TAATAGTATTCTTAATACAGATAATACTAGGAGTAGAAGAGTCTTTAGAAGATAAGCTAAGAGTCTTTATAAGTAAGTTAGTTAAGGGCTTAGACTTAATATACTTCTGTAATTCTTTCTTCTTATAGTTATTAAAAAGGTTACTACTACTAAATAAGTACTTATTATACTATTACTTATAACTATTATACTTTTTTATAGAGATAAAGGTCAGGTCTGAAGTATCTGTATTAGATCCTATAGTAATACTACTATAGAGAAGTATATTATTAAACTCTATAATAAGGTTATCCGGACTAAGGAAAGCGTAACTTATAAACTTCTGACTAGAATATATATAAAGATATAAGAGAAAATCGATCCTTTACTTATTAGATACTTTTATCTTAATAAGGACTTACTTATTAAAAGTAAGGACTAAGAGGCTAATTACGTAGTTTAATAAATATATAATCCTATTAGCTCAGATAACTACTATAATATCCTAGATATAGATTATACTAGGGGTTAAGCTATATAGAGAATACTTTAAGATATACTAGGCGGAGATAATCTTTAAAAGTAATACTATAATAATAGAAGTAATAGAGGTATAAGTTAAGAGTATAGAAAGCATAAGGAAAGTAGTAGAGTATAAGGATAGTAATAATAGCGTAGGGGAAAAAAGTAATTATAGAAAAATAGTTATTAAAGAAAAAAGGAAAATTTAAAAAAATAAGAGCGTAGGGAAGTTTTTATATTAAGCGAATAGTAGTAGCGAGGCTATAGAAAAAGTGAATTTAGTAGAAAGAAATATAGGACAGCGAATAAAAAGGTGAATTTTAAGAGGGAAAAGTAAAAAGAGTAGAGAAGTTACTAGTTATTTATTATATATTAGTTACTAGCAGGTAGCGTAATAATACGATTAGAGGAATAGTAGGCTATAAGCTACTAAATGAAGTATAAGAGCTTTTAAAAGGGGATTTAAGGCGCTAGGGATTTTTTCTAATTTAAAACTTTTAACTTTCTTTAAAAAAAAATAATAACTTCCCTATGTTCCGCGCTATAATAACTAAATTACTACGCAAATACGATAGTTTATTATAGATAACAGGGGAGATATAAGCACAAGCTTAGTCGAAGTACCTACAGAAGATAGATTATTAGCTTTTACTAATTTTAATAAGGTAGTTATATACTTAGATAGGATCCTGCTATAAGACTAGTATAATACCTAGTTAAGGGTCTTAGAGACTATAATAGTATACTATAATAAGGCTAGGGAACTTATTAAGTAAGTATATAAGTATATAGAAAAGTCGGGAGTATTCCGGATTTATATATTAGAGGATAAGTTTTATTAGTCTTAGATAGAAGTTCAAGTTATAATTATTAATAACACGAAGAAGAGAAATAAATAAAGTAAAGCTTATAAGAGTATAGCGAAGAATTAGATAGACCTGGAAGTGCTAGCCTAGCTAGCGACTAAGTTAAAGGAATTTATAAGTTACTACTAATAAGCCTCCGTGAAAATATCCGTTAAAGAAGCTAAATTATAAGTTAACTTAGAAGTCTAGAGATAAGTCTTAGGGCTACTTTATTAAGGGATATCTAAGGTAAAGGAAATTACTACAATAGATATAACTTATATAATAGGCGCGAAGGCAAGAGAAGAAGAGGTAAGGAAGTTATTAAAAAAGGAATAAAAGAGTATTAGAATACAAGTTAATATAAGAGGCTTTATAGAAGAAAGGGTATTTATAAAGGAATTAGAAGATATACCTATAGCTATAAGTAAAGAGGAAAAGAGCCCTAGTAACGTTAATAATTTAGCTCGCCCGGCAGGGGAAATTATTACAGGTATTATAGCAGCCTTAGTTCCTTAACTGCGTTAGTCCCGACGCTAAGAGGAAATAAGCGAAGCTATAAAAGAGTTTAGGTTTATATATAAGGAAAAGGCTAAGATTAATAAGGAAGAGGTTAACTTAGTTAAGAAGGAACTAAAGGAATAGGAAAAGTAGGAGATTAATAAGGAGAGCGGAGATAAGCAGAAGTATAACTATAAGAAGAATATAACTACTAGCTAGAAAACTATAATAGGAGGAAAGAAAGTTCTACTAATTATAGCGATAATAAAGCTCCTAGGTAAGATACTAGGATTTCAGCGAGTTTACTATAGTTACTTGCGATTAATAGTAAAGCGTATAGGTCTCTATATAAAGCAGCTCCCGGAAGGTTTAGCTATCGAGAGACTATATATTATATATAATAGGAGGTTAGAAATTAGAAAGCTGAAGATAGACCTGGAGACTTATATTTAGTTTTATATAGTTAATCGCTTTCCCTACTTATTAGATAAGCTTAGACCTTATAAATTTTATAAGAAAGAGGGGCTTGAATTATTCGATTATAATTAGAAGCTAATTCTAAATAGCTAGGATCTAACGATCTTACTATAATAGGAAGAGAATAGATAAGTTATTCGCTCTCTCTTTAAATAATAGTTTAGTTCCCCTCTTAGAAAGTAAATCTATAATAAATTAGATATATATTAGTACTACTTACAAGAGATTAATAGGTGTAAGAATATCAGATAGCTACAGAATATATTTTTTTTAGTAACCCAGTAGCTTATACGCCAAGACCCCGCTTACTACATATTATATATAGCTCTTTATCCTGATAAGAAGTAGAGACTAGTTAGTTACCCCTACTACGCTAAATACACTATACCGGGAGATAGAACCTTTTTCTATTATATTAATTTAAATATTAATAATATACTTACTACTAATTAAGAAGCTATTATAATTTAAGGTAGTATCTCACTAGATTAGGAGGATAAGGATAATTATACTTTCTACTATCCAGGGATATAATATAAGCTAGGTAAGTAGTAAGCGCGTATTTATAAGCGAGAATAGGATACTAATTACTACGTTTACTAAATTATAAACTAAACGTTTACTCGAGAGGATATAGAGGTCCTAGGAGTAGATTAGGTTAGGACTCCTTACAGCCTTAGAGATATACGGATTATACTACTAAAGATCTTATATAAGTTAACTAAGCCCGTGATAAAAGTTTATCAGACTATCTTACTATAGTTTATTATAATTTAGGATAATAAGGAAACCTTAGAGGTTATAGAAAGAGGAACTTAGAGAGATCTAGCTAACTCTTATCGAGATTTCTTTATACTTTTAGCTACTTTATTAGGCCTTATAAATTAGTACAGAGCTATTCCCTTTTAGTTCGCTACTATAGTTAAGCTTTCTAGGTTAAGTGCTCTATCTAATACTCTAGTTACGCGATAATAATAGAGTTCGCTAGTAGTAATAGCTCAGAGAAACGTTCTATTAGAAAAGGATTAAGCGGCAGCTTATAGCTTTATTAATAGGTGAAGAGCTAAGGCACTAGTTATAGCTATAGAGGCTTTTAAGATAGTAAGGAGAGTAGAGAAGGAGGCGTTTAGAGAGAAGTCCTTTTACTACTTAAAAGAGGTATTAGAGGCTATAGGCGTTCTAATAGAAGAAGTAGAGGCTGACACTAACTAGCTAAGTAAGGAAGTAATAGAGATCGTGTTAAAGGAGGGCCTATTATTTATAGAGAAGGCCGAGGAGTGCCTAGTAGCAGGTATAGGCGATATAATAGAGGTAGATAGTTAAGAGGAGTATCTATATGTTTCTTTTATTTATATAATATATCAGGGGATATAGTCAGGGGGCGACTACTTAGTTAGGGGAGGATATATATAGTAAGGTAGTATAGTTCTAGGTCGGAAGATAGTTAGCCTGTTCCGTAAGGTTATATAGATAAGCGCGATAGCGCGTAACGAATATATTATCTTCTCTCTCTTACTCTTACTACCTGTTTAGTTAGTAGTCCTCTATATCCCTGCTTACTATATACTTTAACAGCACTACCCCACTTCTTTATAGTATATATAAAGATATCTCTATTATATATTAGTCTCGCTAACTTTACTTATTATAGCAGGGTAGCTAGTATTAATATAGTAGCCTAACTACTATTATTACTATAGCTAATACAGTTGCCTAATACACTAGTAATAGTAATATTAGCCTACTTAACGATATACTTATTTAGTTTAAGCTACTCTCAGAGTAGTTTCTTTATAGTCTCGCTATTAATAGCGAGTTATATCTCCTTTATAGTAATACTATTAATCTAGGAGGCTCTAGCTATAAATATAGTAGATACTATAGCTACTTCTCTAGTAGTAATTCTATTACTAGCTACTAATATATAAGACTATCTCTCTTAATATATTTATAGTACTATAGTCGTATTTAACTATATCTCTTATATTAAGGAGTTACTCTTACTAAGTAGTTTATATAGTAATATAGTCTACTATTTATACTAAGCTACGATATTAACTTAGAGCTACTAGACCGCTTTCTAAAGTATATCCTACCTATCTTATTTCTCTACTACCTTAAAATAAGTAATAATTAAGTCTAAGAATAAGACTACTATTCTATAGAGTATACTAACTTTACGTTTAGCTCTTAAGTTATACGCTACTTTAAGTTAACGCGCCTCCTTATTAAAGTTTAATATATAGATTTTCCTATCTATACTTTTCCTACTTATAATAAGCTAAGGAGAACCTGAAATCAGTACTATAAGAGTAAGAAGCCTCTAGGAATCGATTCCCGGGATTTATTTTACTATATAAGGCGTAGTTATTAAGTTATTTCTAAAAATTAAGTTTAATTAAAAGATAATATTCGTATTTTAGATATCTGTTCGGTTAATGCCAGCCAGAGTAGATTATTCTGAACTTCATGAAAAATGAGCATTCAAATATGCTACGATGAACATTATCTGATTGCAGTTCTTTACTGAAAATTGAAAATTGAAACGTACTTGTTTGGCTTTTCAAACTAAGACAGCTTTACTCGAAGAAGTCAATGTTTGGCTTTCGCGGAACTGTATTTGGTTGTTTGGTGGGGGAACGACCGAGCCGAAGCGCTTGATTATCTAAACGTCATCACTGGCTTCAACTCCACATATCATTCCCTCCCTCTCATAACAACTTAAAAAATCAACTATAAACATATTTATATAATCTAAGCTGTCTTAATACATTCAAGTCCCTCAAAATAGCTTCCCAAGCCAACTCCCGCCTCTTGCGACTGGCCCGCACAATGTCAACAACCTCAGCACCCCCCTCTACCATCGGGGTAGCCCCCTGGCGGCCTCTGTTCCTAACCCATATCTCCAAGATGGCCTCACCGGAGTTTGTTTTCTCATCTCTTCACCCTTCGCCATCCAAGGACTCGCCTGTCCCTTACCTCCCACGAGCGCGCTACTGCATCTTCAGAGGAATGTGGGCCGAGCTGCCAGAGAACAAGCATAATACCGCGCCTCAGAATGAGCGGGTCTATGAAAGTGATCTGTTGACTATCACAACCGATGTTAGGATGGAAAAAGTGCCTGAGATTTTTGCCAGCTCGGCGGGTCACGGGGATGTGAGCCAAAGTCAGGGGAGTGGTGGGGGTGGACCTGTTGAGGCGGTATTTTGGGTCAAGGATGTTATGACGCAGTGGAGGATTAGAGGGGAGGCTTTCATCATAGGACGGGATATTGAGGGTGAGGGAGATGAGTCGAGTGGAGTGAGGACGGTCAAGAGTGAGGTTGGGGAGAGGATGAGGATTGTTAAGGAGGATGGGCGTGAGGGCTGGAGTTGGGCGAAGGAGCTGACGGCTCATTTTGGAAATTTGAGTCCTGGTATGAGAGGAAGTTTCAAGAATCCACCGCCTGGTACGCTGGTTGGTGTTCCGCAGCCAGATAAAAGGTTGGCCTTGGGGCAGAAAGTTGATGACTTGGAGGATGAGGTTGCGAGGAAAAATTTCAGAGTTGTCATTATCAAGGTAAGCGATTATCACTATTCGAGCGATTTCTACTTCTTTCCCATGCTCCAAGCGATTAGATGTGACTGACCAGTGACAAATCTAGCCTGAGGTTGTGGAGATGGTCGATTTGACAGACCCGGAGAGAGCTCGGAGGTGGAAATATTCTTATGTCGGACCGAATGCTAGCGATTCTGGAGACCATGGTGAAATTATCGGGGAATGGAAGAAGGAAGAGCTATGGCCATAGAACATCTCTGAATTTTTTCAGGTAGAATTGGGCTTTTTAGATGCATTCGTCGATAGATATCGTTGTACCAGACCATTTTCCAAAGTACTCAAAGTGTGATATGACATCGGAGTCGTAACTACTACATGAAAGCTTTCCACGATTCCCCTTCTGAAGCCGTGGGACTCATTTCCCTATTGCTAAGAAGGTCACGGAGCCGATCGCTCATTTTGTTAGGCTGCCTCGCCTATTTCCAATAAGTCTTAGGCACGATTGATCACAACCACGATACATTGAGTATCAGCCCGCCATTTTCACTCATTTACATCTAGCTAGGTATAATCTTGTTTATCCATCCATTCCTTTTATCTGACAATGCCATTGGTCAAGCTCTTAACCTTGCAAATGCCACCACTGGCAGTAACCAGCTTTCCAAGGCCAGTCTTCGGCTCCTCGCCCTCCTTGCTCAACTCCTTTACAGCACCTGCATCAAAAGCAACCTCTAATTCACTCGTGGTTGTGAAGCCAATTTGACACTGCTCCCAAACCTTCTTCTAAAATTAGGTCTGTGAAGACCGATCCAGCCCCACCCCTACCCTAAATTTGCAGCTGACATGGTCGGCCTCCACGGCAGTGGCCCCCGGAGGGCCAGCGGAGCGTCACCAATGCTTGTTCGCATGCGATGTTCTATTCATCGGCTCTTGTCCAAATCGACAGGGTTGATTAGAGTACTTGCGAGGTGACGCTCCGCTGGCCCTCCGGGGGCCACTGCCGTGGAGGCCGTCTCATTTCTGTGCTCTAAAGTATAGGTAGATACTGCAGTGGTATAACTGTTCATGAAGAGCAAAGAGCACTATTTACCCGGGTGAAGGCCATTAGAAGCTACTGCTGTGGAGTCTAGTGCTTCAGTTCTGTCCTCAGATGCTTGGAAGCGCAGTAGATAGGTATGTTCTGCTAGATATGAAGACGTTCTTTCTTTGTTGGGCGAACATGTGATAACGCGACAGCCTAGCGTTGTCTCCACGGCAGTGGCCCTTGTAGGGAAATAAATACTCCTCATTTGAACCTCCAGGCGTTGCTGCTTTGCAGAGCCCCAACACCTTTCATCGACATTGTAAGCTCCTTTCCAATGGACGCCGTCCAAGCCTTGTGTATTCCGATACTTACAGTAGCAGAAACTTCTTTATAGACCATGCCGTTTCTAACGCTACACGTTGGCCTCTGGATCTGAGGCAAAATGGAGCTCCTACTAGAGTCTAGTAAGAATCTCTCTGTCCCTAGGTAGAGAGGGTGGAGAGGAAATACCAGAGCCTCAAAGTTACTACTAGAGTCTAGAAGTAACCCTAGAGGGCAGGAAAATGGATACCTGAGAAAAGTCGACTTACTCTCAAACTTTGAGAGTAAGTTAAGCATAAATTTCTCAGTTAACTCTACTCTCAGACAGCGTCTGAGTGATACCCACGTATATTTGATTGGGACTCTGCATAGTGCATTTCATGGCTCGGCCTGCGAGAATGGGGCAGGTGTGGTCATGCTTTCCCTATTCAGAAGGCACGCGAACTTCCCTCTTTTAAGCTCGCTCTCCTTCTCTTTTCTTCCTTCTCACTTCTTGATTCTTTCATCTTCTCACCACAACGTTCTTTCATCTCTCACGGTCGGTCATCGCTGCAATTCTGCCAGTATCTTCCACTGTCAATCCTCCCGACTCTGTCCCCTCCGCACTCTCTTTTTCCCCGTCACAGTCAGGGATCAGACGCTGTCCGATGCGAAGATGCCTCCTGCAGGCTTCCAATTCCCAGACAGGGCGGCAGCTACAATGGCCAAACGCCTTGAGAAGCTCAAACGCGTCGAAGAGGCCAAGCCCCCCGAAGACCGCATTGTCAATCGTGACTGGGACGATGAAGTGCAGAAGAAGATTGGTATGCTTGAGGCAATTAGACAACGGTGAGTCTTTCTTTTCCAATCACACAATACCATGCGCTGATCCTACCACCTAGGAATGCGAAGCGTCACTTTATAGAACTTGCCACCTCGGAATTGGTCAACATCTGCAAAACCGTTGAAGAAGCCGAAGCGTTCTTCACAAAGGACGGCACCAAGTTCACTTGCAAGACTTTGAAGATGTTCACCGAGGCTCATGCACTGTCATCGAATGGCCAGATCACTGATGGTATGTAAAGCCCTTTGATGGATGTCGTCCATCTCGCCTGGCTCAGAACTGGCTGACGACTCTGATTTTAGTTCCGACTGTACGCACTATACAAGCCCTCTTGTTCGCACTATATTCTGCCTGCAAGAACTCTAATAACCCTGTTGATCGAGATGTGAAGCGGAGTACCATGATGTGGGTCCAGTCTGACTTGGCTGTTCGTGGTTTGGCCTGTTACAACCAGCGAAGAAAAGAGGTTGCGATGCCAGAAGACTTCTCCGCATTCATTCGAGCATTCTTCGATACAGAATACCTCACTGCGACCCAGTATAGCACGAGAAATGCTCTCAACTTCGTACTATGTGCCAACATGATGCTGGACTGCAGCAATCGCATCAGCGAGTTGTTGCGGCCCAGTCTATCAAATGCTGATTGGGAAGTATACAAGAAAGAGCGCAAGGATAGGCTGTTCACATGGGGCCGAGTGGAACTGTTTGCCTACCCAGGAGTCGACAGTCCTGTTGATTTGCGTGCGCGTTTGACTTTTCGGGGATTGAAGAACACTGGGCAGAAGGGCAACAAAAGCAAGATTATCCCAATCCGCCTCCTTCCACTGCACATGGCTGCCGAAGACAGTCTGCGATGGCTCCTAATCTTGGGGCTGATTGACAGAGTCTTCGAGGGTATCTCTCGTTGGTCAGATTTCGACGCTGTCCGACCATCGCAGCATGGCACAGTCATTCACATCAAGAAGTCAATGCTGGAAGTCCCGGTGAGTTTACCAATCGTGACCTCAAGATATTGGTAGCTCATAAAAATTCTCTCTTCAGGTTTTCCGTCAGCCTGTATACAAACCTGCGGACCCATCCTTGGACTTGCTAGAGGCAGACGTGATGAGGTCTCAGAATTTCGTCAAACAATTGAAGGTTTTGAGCCGACACTGCGGTCTGCAGAGCCCGATGTTACCTGGAGTGCTTCGGCGTGGTAGTGCATACCTTCTTGGCTTGAAGACGAGTCACGAAGAACGGTGTGCACGTATGGGTCATGATGACAAAGACACAACTTACTGGGGAGCATACAGAAACCAGACATCAACTGTTGACTTCCAGGCACTCCGCCACAACTTGGACGCCGTCGATGTGAGTCGAATGTCAAGCATTTTCCGTGGAAGGTCGGAATCAGCTCCGACTTGCGTCTCTGAGCAAGGCATGATCGAAATTAGTCGAGATCAAGAGCTTATTAGGCTTCTTGAGAGGGAATGCGAGGTCATTGATCGAGCGGTTCAGGCTTTTGGCTCACTTGCTGAGGCGAGAGCTCAAGGATCTCCGACGGCGTCAGAACACGCTGCAATACGTCGCCAGTATCAAGAGCGAGAGCGAACTCTCATGACCAAAAAGTTCGAGGAGGAGTACAGACAGCATTTCGAAAACCCGAATGATGCCCCTGAGATGACAACACATGTTGAACCAAGAGATCAAGGCGCTTACTACGACAACATGTTGGATGTTGACGATGCCGAGAATGCTCTCATTGATCCCGCACTCCTTCAGGATGTCGACTCTATGGCCGCAGATCTCGGTAACATGCTTGTAGACGATGACAGCCAGCCAGATGATACCGAAATGGAAGACATGGGCTCTAACCTTGGTACAGAAACTGATGCTTCATCATTGCACACATCTGGAACCACGGGCAGAAGTAAATTTAGCTTGCGGGTAGTTGCGAAGAATTCTGTCTTTGAAGGTCTTTTTGACATCATCTTCAACCAGCCCGAAGATCTTTCGGCGGCTCAATTCGCAGATGTCTGTGTGGAGAAGTTCAACCACCTTCACGCTGCGGACAAATACTATCCAGACCAGGAGCCAACGCCAGGAACTTTGTCTTGCAGATTCTGTGGCATCTGTCTTATTGGCATTGATCATAACGGGCACATTCGGACCTGCGGACTGACTTCCATGGCGAAACATATTCTTGAGGACCTTGATCGCCATCAAGAGACACATCCTCCAGCCCAGAAGTGTGGAATGGTCATTGGGTCGGACAGCGTCCGACTCTGTGCAGCCAAATACAAGCAGAAGAGAAATGCCAACTCGGGGGCTCATTTCACGGAACACTGCTACAAACGTCACAGAGATGCGTCGACAGGACAATATATTTGCAACGATGATGCTACCACTTTCTCGAGCTGGGAAGATTTTCGGATCCATCGAGTTGTTCACCATGCAGCCTCAACCACCGTCATACCTGTGGATGAAAAAAGTGGAAACCCAAGAGCTGAGATATTGCTCTTCTGGTGCAAGATTTGTCAGTATGCATACTCTCGTACAGAGGTAGATGAGGACAGCCACTTTGTCCAACATTTGGACGATGTCCAACTGGCTCTTGACAGGCACGGGTTCTCTGGATATTTCTTTACTTTCAGATGGTTCCATCCGTCGTTCTGTATATTTTGCTTGTACGACGGGAATGCAGGATTTTCGACCCAGTTCGCAGACTTCTACACCGAGATTGCCTTTACGCAGCATGTCGAAAAGCACTTCCGAGACCTCAACGATGATGTGAGCATATCCTGTCCCGCATCAGCGAGCACTGCAAATGGGATCAAAGCTGTCTGTCATCGCAGCGAGCTTATGAGCAAGGACGCTCTTGTTACACACCTAATCGAAGACCACAATCTGGCAATCAACAGCAGCAAAACCTGCTTCAAGAATGTGCGGAAGAGGTCGAGACCTGCGTTGGCAGAAAAGAACGTCAATGAAGGTATTCCTGGCGCCAGCGCCGATAGGAGCATGGATTAAGTTGATTGTGTGGGAGATTTCGAGATGTCTTGAAGAAATACCGAATATGGTTATGACAGCTTGTTGCACGTATAGCTAATTGCTACAAGAGCAATGTTATTGTCTCGTAGCTGATCTTTCAAGGGGCACCTATGTTGAGCAGACACGATGAGCAGACACGATAGATATAGTGGTTGCTATGGGTATTTCTTCCATTGCCATTATTACCTTTAGAGAATGAAGAAATTATCTCACTATCGCGTCTACCAAGCTCTTGACCTTACATATACCTCCGCTAGCAGTGACCAGCTTTCCTACGTCTGTCTTAGGCTCTTCTCCATCCTTGCTAAGCTCCTTAACCATAGCTGCGTCGAACGCAACATCTAAGTCTAATGTAGTCTTGAAGCCGGGCTGAATTGTCTCCCAGACACGACCTTTCTTTGGATTCAGCACGCCCTCTGGCTCGCCTTGCCATCCCTCGAAGTAAACTCGCTCACCTGCTGGAGCGTCTGCAGGTGGGGTAACCAACTCAACAGGTCCTGCATGGTGATCTTCCTCTCCTTCCTTGAGTCTAGGTGAAGCAGCAAGAACCATAGCACATGACTTAACACCACACATCTTGACAGGCTTCAAGTTGCACACAACGACAACCTTGCGACCTTGCATCTCCTCCAATGGAACCAGACCGTTCAAGCCCGAGCAAACAGTTCTGACTACTTGTCCCTCGTACTCAGATGTGTCATCGGTACCAGCCTTGTCGCCCATAGCAATGGTAGAGACGTACAAAGAATCAGCCTCTGGATGCTTGATAGCCTTAAGGATGTGTCCAACGCGAAGATCGATCAGGCTTGGAGAAAGCGGAGCTGCGACAGCTGGAGCCTTCTGTGGCTTGGGTGCTTTCTCTTTCTTCTCTTTCTTCTTCTGTTGCTGTTCTGGTTGAGCAGATCCTTCGCCAGTCACGGCAGCAACTACAGCACCCTTGACCTCCGCAACCTTGACCGCAACCTTCTCGCCAACACTCTTATCCTTCTTGTCCTTCTTTCCATTTGTACGATCCGCAAGAATGGTCTCGCCCCCACCAGCAGCGGCCGCAGCAGCAGCTTTCTCCTTCTTCAGACGCTCCTTCTCGGCCTTTGCATCCACGGGTGGCTTCACATAGAGGATCTCCTCTGGATCGACCTTGACCTTCTTGTCTGCTCCAACAGCCAGGGCAAAGACAGGCGAGTTTTGCACAAAGTCCAAATGGCGGACAATATTGGGATGACCGTGCTCGCCAGTTCGTTGCTCAGCCGTCCACGAGTGGACTTGTGGCGCGAGGGATTCGTAGAGCGCGATGTCTGCCTTGGATGGTTTGGCGCCAAGAAGAGTTGTACGAGAGGCAAGGTGAGCATTGAGAGTATCTAAGAGGGATTTCTGGTCATTGGTGCCAGCAGTCGACTTGAGGCGGTCGGAGGTTGTGAGCCATTGATTGATCTCTGTCTGCTCCGTCTCGGAGTAGCTGAGGTTGGTGAAGGACGACATGGTTCTGTGACGTGTTTTTAAAGTGTGCCTGATGGCGCGTTCGAGAATTCGTGGAGGAAACAGCTTGGCGGCTGTCTAGTGATATAATGAGGGTGGAATGTGTCGCTTGCGGTGTGTTTGTTGATCAGAAAATATCGTGTGGTTGAGGGAGTCACGAAGTGGGGCAGCCAGCCTTGTCTCTCGCCTCGCTTGAAAGGCTGAAATTTGGTCATGATACTTTCAGGACATTTGAGTCTAGGTACCAAATTATGATCGAATTTTATACTATATAGTTCCATTCGTTATAGCTGTCAGACATCTTCCAAATATGCTTTTGAGAAGCTCACGATACAGAAGTAGTATCCAGCACCAGTAACTCTGCCTCTGCAGCTTGACGCCGCCAGATGCAACGCTATGCTAGAAAATATGCAAAGACATTCAAGCACATCCAAAAGATGTTTACCATCATCTCCTTCACGTGAGATTCCAGCCTTATCCAGCCGCGAACGTACTCTTCGCTCTCAGCTTCTCACCGTATTTCCAAAGCAATATTGGACCAGGCCACCCCAAAACAATGGCAATGAATGCCAGAAGACTGTTCCCCCAGCCATAATGTAACTTGGCGTACATGTATGGGGCAAAGAGAGGGAAACCAAAACCCGCCAAACTCCGCAGCACGGTGGCTGCGCCAACAGCGCTTGCAGCATATCGTGTATACGCATCAACGATATATGTCTGAATACACTGGAAACCAATGATGGTTCCTGCTGAGAAAATAGAGGCTCCCATATTCGGAACAATCCCTGTGAGATCGAGATGTTAGCAATTACATGTGAATAATGTATTTGGAGTACTTTTGGGAGTAAAAACGCGACTGGGGGAGAAAAGATAACGCTTGAGCAACGTACAATGAGTGTGTGCATCAGCAGACCATCCATATATGAACAGACCCACAGGCACTAAGAGAGCCCCAGGTATCATGAGTGGAACACGGAACTCAGGCTTTCCGACACCATTGTTGCGTTTTTTGAGGGCTCGATAGATCCTGTCCTGGCAAGGTGCTGCTATTTGTGTACCGAGAAAGAGGCCCACGCCTAGAGAGATGTAGTTCAAACCGCCGATACCTACCGACTCATTATACTCAATCTCCCATAGTCCTGGGAACGTGCTAAGAACGAGGTATGTAATGCCATAAAGATATGCCATATACATAGCTAGAACCTGAACGATGACCTGAGTAAAGAGGAGTCTGAAAGGTCGACTGAGAGCAATGCGGATACTTCTCCCGACCGTGCGATCTGGATGTTCGAATTCGGTATGCAAAGCTTCGTTCCCGGTATCTTTGATCATTTGCCTCTTCTTACGATGCAGAAGAACTGGAGCATAAGTCTCTTGAAGAAAGAACAGCCCAGCCACCTGAACGATGCCATCGACTATGGTAGTTGAGTAGAAAACCCACCTCCATGTCGTATTTTCCGCAATGAAACCTCCAGCTACGGGACCAATAGCTGGGCCTAGCAGCGGTGCAAGACTGTAAATACTGATTGCTTTTCCACGCTGCTCAGCAGTAAAAAGATCGCCTAGAAGCCCTCCACCAATTGCAAGAGGAGCAGATCCTCCCAATCCTGACAAAAACCGAAATGCAATGAGTTGCCCCTTGTTCTGGGCCAATCCGCACCCAAGATTGAAGAACAAGAAAAATAGGTTTGAAATTTGGAGGACAATGACACGACCGTACATCTCGGAAAGAGGTCCAAGAAACAGAGGGCCAACGGCATAGGCCAAGACAAAAATAGACAAAGTCATGGACTTCTCTAACTCGCTGGTAATGTTGAATTCTGCTGCAAGGGAATTTACAGCCGGTGCAACCATGGAACTGGATACTGGCGAGAGAAATGTAAATGAAGAAACTGGGGAACACGAATCAGCAAGATTACTTTCAAATGGTGCTTGTGAACTTACCAATCAATGTCGCCGCCCATTTGCGTCGCATCGACCAATTTTTGGGATTCTTAGGATCTTCGACCCCATCCCAACTCACAAGATTCGGATCTCTTGCACTTCTTCCACTCTGCGTTGTTCTTGGCTTCTCCAATGTTGGCCCAGACTCCAAGTCTCTTTGGTCTTCTTTCCCGTCTCTCACTTCCGGCACAATATCCTCGTCTAGCTCTTCTTTTGTATCTTTTTCAGCCAAGTCTGATTCGCTGATACTCTCATCATCTTCGAGCTTCTCATGCGAACTTTCATGATCTCCATGGTAGTTGTGCCCGTAGTATTGGGCATTGTCGTCAAGGTAAGCGCCGCTGGAGGGTATGCGACTGAGAGGACCCGGAGATGCACCGGAACCCTGAGATGCTGCGACAGAAGTGGTTCTTCTCGGACGATTTGGCTGGTCTTCTGAATCGGCCATACTCAATTATCCTGAAGGCTACAAAGCATATATCTGGTTGAATGTCGAGGCTGGCCTTCTAACTGTGAGGTGAGGGAGAATCAACTCGGACGATGACGTTGGTGGGCAAGGCAAAACGATGCGCATTCAACACAGCAATACACAGCGATACACAGTGAAACCTGCCACTTGGAATAGATTACCAGTAGTCTCTGCCGCCTATATATACCATTTAAGAGAAAAAGAAGAGAACTTAACGTGATCCGATTGCGAAGAGTTATGGAGATAAAGCTACGTAGATCAGGGACTTTAGGAAGTGCCGACTCACCGTCACCATCGAGGCCCCAATCCTAAAAGGTGGTTATTGGTAGACAGGTCGGAATATCGGCGTCTAGCCACTGAGAACAGGAGGCGTTTGAGGACATTGCCTCAATGGTTAACAGTCGTGAAAGGAAAGACTTGAGAGGCGGAAAATCGGTTGTGTCGGCACAATCCCGACGGTTCGCTTCTGGAAGCTGAAATCGCTTCGGACAAGTCTTGGGCCAGCAACACGGGGATTACTGTAGCCGTGACGATAATAAAGTCCGCCTTCTCCTCCAATAACAGACTTTTGAGTAACAAGCTTATCTCTAGCATGGGCACTTATTCGTGGGTTCGGTTACCGTGAGTTGTCTATCTGAAAGCTTGTTTTTTATTATTCTCATCTCTAACAGTCCCTGTCATTGACACGATTCTCGGACATCAGCACCAGAATCCGCATGATACCTAATGCCTTTGAGAGATGTCGGGCAGCCAAGCTGGGGAAACGAGGCCAAAACATGTGATTGCCTGCAGAACAGTTCAGAATTCAATCAGAAGCCTCATCAGCGTGTTGACCTTTGGGGTGGTTATTGAATCATCCCACTCGGGAAACGCTTTTTGAAAGCAAAAGTTGCACAATAGGAAGCCATACAAGCCACAATATTTCCTGGCCCAACCTAGACAGAAGAAAGCATTGTGGCCTCGAGGGCGCATGTTGCGTGACATCGATCTAGAAGACACATGAGGCGTGTTTCGCATCACATCATTATGCCGTCAAGTTCAAGGCTAATTCCCAAGATGTGAAAAGCAAAATCGAGGGCTGAGAATGCTACTAAATAAGACAATATGGATGGAGTAATGAATGGATGTCCCCAGAGGATCCTCAGAGGGATCCAGCAGGAATGGACCTACCCCTTTCAGCTGGATATCGTGGATTCAACAACATCTGCCTCACCTCCTAGGTTCTCTTATGAAAAGAGCTGTACCACAATCTTCAATAGAGGTCGCACGTAAATTTATATCTCTTTCAACAGACGCCCAGCCCTTAGGCCCTTGTCATTACAGCGAGATTAGGAAAGGTGCAACCTTATCCTGCCCCTCCAATCAACAGTGCTGATTTCCAAAGATTGTCCCCGTCCCGTCCCCTCCCCTCCAAGATCTTTCTTATCAGCTCGCTAGGGTGGAGTGTCACTCATCATAGCGTCCGATTCGAGGGGCAGCATCTCACGGTATTTGCTTCTTACAGAGCAGAGCAGAGCAGAGCAGATTGCGATCAAGTCAAGCATATCCGCATTGCCCCCCCCCCCCCTCCCCCCCCCCCGCGCGCCTCTCGCTCGCGATTGTCAGTATATGCAAAGGCTTCCTAGGAGATTGTTCTTCTAGCTGCTGACGCGGGAGGAAGAGAATTCCACCGCATTCGGCAGTCGACGCGATCAACATACAGTAGATTCGTGACTTCTCGAAACGATCCGATCTTTGCTGTGAACAGCAGATGATAGAGCCTGATCCGTGCTCGATGAACCGCGATCCATATCCCAAATCGACCTGGGCATCTATCTCCCACTCTTCAGAGCCTGTCACTTCTCTTGCTACTGCGCCTTATCATACATCTTCCACACGGGTGCAGCTGTTCCTATCGCCCCACTGATGGCCGACACCCAAGATGGATTTCAGACGATGCAGGGCGTGGGCAACAGCGGGGATTTCAATGCGAACGATGCTAGTACCGGTGGTTTGGGACCGGGAGGAGGAGTAACGAAAAAAAAGTCAAGAAGCAGTGGGGATGCTGCCGCAAGCAAGAGGCGCTGCGTCAGTACGGCTTGTATTGCCTGTAGGAGGAGGAAATCGAAATGCGATGGCAACACCCCAAGCTGCGCAGCCTGTTCGAGCGTTTACGGGACTGGTGAGTTATTAAGGATACAGAATGAGATTCGCAACAATCGGCTAACAGAAAATAGAATGCGTTTACGATCCCAACAGCGACCATCGGAGGAAAGGCGTCTACAAAGAGAAGATCGATAGTCTCAAAACGAGGAATTCAACACTGCAGACGTTGGTACAAGCAATATTGAATGCGGCAGAAGACGATGTACCTGCACTTATACGGCAAATACGGACCTGTGAGAGTCTCGACGATGTTGCGGATAACATTCTTAGACAAGAGCAAGGACTTGAGGAAGAGGAGGATGATTACGATGACAACACTGCGTACAATACCTCGAATCTGTCAACATTCGAGACGGAACTGTCAGGGAAGATGGGAGAATTGAGGCTGGAGAACGGCTCCGTTCGATTTCTAGGAGGAACTTCGAACTTGATCTACCTTGATCCAACCGACGAGGCCGACGAAGGGATCGCCGGTGTAGAAATGGCTGAGCAACAGGATGATCCCTTGACCAGCTGGTCAGCCGTAACGACAGATACCGAGCTTATTGTGCACTTGATCAATAGTGAGTACTTCCATTTTAACTCACCTGTTTTCTTCATTGGAGGCTCCAGGCTCCCACAAGAATCCTTGCACTGCCCCAAAGCAAGCTATATTATCGTTGAATTACATGTCAACTAGCAGTGCTGATTTTGGGTATCCTTTTGAAGTGTACTTCACGTGGCATTATAACTTCTTCACCACGTTGTCGAAGAGTCTTTTCTACAGGGACTTTTTACTGGGCAAGCCCCAGGGAACACCGAAGCGAACAATATATTGTTCCAGCTTGCTGGTAAATGCCATGCTTGCCCTTGGATGCCATTTCACGAGCTCACCAAAAGCTTGTGCTGATCCAAGTGATCCAACAACCAAGGGAGATGCTTTTTTTGCCGAGGCCAAGAGACTTATCGTTGAAAATGATGAATATGAAAAGCCTAAGCTCACCACAATTCAAGCTTTGTGTCTCATGTCTGTCCGAGAAGCTGGCTGTGGCCGCGAAGCCAAAGGGTGGGTTTATTCCGGAATGGCCTTCCGGATGGCACAAGATATGGGATTGAATCTTGATTCTGGTGGGATGACCAACAATAAAGAGACTATGGACGAGAAAGAAATAGATGCTCGCAGGATTACATTCTGGGGCTGCTTCTTGTTCGACAAATGCTGGTCCAATTACCTTGGTCGTCTTCCGCAATTACCAGTTTCAAATATCACTGCCCCAAAGTACGATGTGTTTCCAGAAGAAGATGCCGATATTTGGTCGCCTTATACTGATAATGGTGTTGGACAACTGCACTCACAGGCGTCCCGTACCAGAGCTGTGGCATTGCAGGGCTCTAAACTCTGCGAGATCAGTAGTGATCTGTTGACATTCTTCTACCACCCGCAAGCTCTGGAAAGATCGGTCGGAAGGTCCCAGGAGTTGAAAAAGTTGAGCGAGTTGCAAACGAGACTGGAGGCTTGGCGAAGAGAATTACCGAAGGAAATGGAGCCAAAGGAAGGACAATTGCCCAATGTTCTGCTAATGCAGTAAGTTTACTAATTCTATGGCGCAACTTATTCGCTGACGTCCCGCAGTATGTTCTTCCATTTGTTGTATATCCACCTTTTCCGACCTTTCCTCAAGTACAATCCATCGACATCACCCCTGCCGACCCACGTCTCACCTCGAAAGCTCTGTACACAGGCTGCTGGATCAATCTCGAAGCTCATGCGTCTATACAAACGCACGTATGGTCTACGCCAGATATGCAACATCGCAGTATATATGGTCCATTCGGCATGCACCATTCACCTCCTCAATCTCCCAGAGAAGACAGCAAAGAGAGACATAATTCACGGAGTGAAGCACCTGGAAGAAATTGCCGAAGACTGGCTATGCGCTCGTCGCACTTTGAGCATCTTATCTGTTCTAGCACGGAAGTGGAAGATTGACCTTCCTGACGAGGCTGCAACAGTCTTGACTCGCACTGATTCTAAGTTTGGCTTCTTCAGCACTGCGGATGTGCCATCTCCCAAACACGAATTGGTTGTGGCTACTCCTCCCTCGAACAATACATCTCCGCCTCGTGTGATACATTCGGTAACACAGCAACAGAATCAAGCCCGTTTTCAAACGCAGCTTCAGCAAAGTCTGTACTCCTACCTTCCTGATTCCAGGATTAATGGAGCTGCTTTACGACCAATCAAAACACCGAGCAACCAGACAAGTACGGGTCAAAACCGTGACGGTTTTGCGACCAGTATCGGATCGATGAACATGCCCAGCGAGCCAATTATTCCAACTGTGCCTTATCCTCGCCACAACTATTCCAACTCCACTTCCTCGATAGCCAGATCTGCTATGACACCAAATAACGATGTCCCCCGCAACAATTCTGGTGTGACTTCAGAAGCATCAGGCTCCATGACAAGACAAGTTAGTCCCACCATGTTCGGTGGTGTAGAAGCTTTGGTAGAGAGCCAAGATTGGTGGCTGCGAGATCAGGCAAGTCTCGCCATTGGTTTTGACAACTGGATGTCAGCTGGTAGCGACCTCACAGCGGGCACTAGTACTAATAATCCTGGATTGAACGGTAACGCCTCTGCCGATATTGACCAGATGACGGGATCTTCTTACTACATGTCACCGAACGCAAATGGGAAGCGAAATGATGGCTTCGATGACGAATGGTATTAGCGACCCCTTCTCACAGACAGAACAGACTCTCTCCCTGTCTAGTATGTACACCATTAAAATTCTGTTGGGCGAGTAGGAAAATTTACTTGGATGGTCGGATGGAGGGAAATATATTGAATGATGGCTGATGATATATGATAATTATACGTGTTCAAGGACGGTACCCGGAACGGGCTCTGGGCCAGTCCCGAGCAATTGTAGCGAGGAGTTGGATAATTAGCAGGGGAGTACATAGAAAGGCGTTCGGTGTTGTAGGAGCTCATGTTTGAATCTACCTATATTTACGTGGATTTCGGGGAAAACTATGTTTTTCGCTCACTACTTTCTGTAGCAGCGTGCAAAGGAACGCTAGGTTCTCTACCAAAGCCACCTAAGCTGACTGCGGCACACAAAAGATCCCCATTACAATGGAGGCCATCCAGCAAGTATGCGTGTGAACTCTCCCGTCAACATCGCCGTTCAAGGCAAGCATGCAAGAAGGCAGATATTATTTGCTGATTAATGCACACTTCCACTGTTGAAAACGACAACAGTGTTTACTTTTACAATACCAGTGTCTTCGAGTGCTTAGCAATGGATTCCACCAAGGAGATAAAAATGCAAATCGCATCATTGTGTGGTGAGAAGGAGACATCGAGTTCAGATGACATATTGCACAACTCGATCGAGCAGTACGGCCTTCCTCAATTTGCACTTGGGAAATTTCTCAGAACCGAAGTCTATCGATTCGTCTAGATTCCTCTCTCGCTGACTATATATGTGCAACGCCTGACTTCTATGTAAATAGATCTCACCCTAACCGAGACCACGATATATCCAACACAACTTCCCAATACATACAGATCTCACGCTCAGCACTTCATCCATCATGCGCAAGACTCTGGACGGTACCCGCCAGAATGCCCGCTCCAATGATCCCGCCATCATGGCAGGGCATCAGCACCACTCTCGGCACATCTTCTTGGCCGGCGAACTCAGCTCCCATAATCTCATCTAAAAACCTCTGGCAATCGGCTAGATAGTCCTGGAAATGCACAATACAACCACCGGTGTATCCGACCATCAATTCGTCAAGCGCTTCTTTGCTACCGTTGATTTGGGCGGTTATACCATTAGGTAGTGATTTTGTTGTGCTAGGTGAAGAGAAGTGTATCTCCTCTGCGCAAGCGAGGAGTGCGATTACGGCTGCGGCAGTCATTCCCGCTGCCCGGATTTGTATCGCTTTCGCGATATCATATACCACATCTGCTATTTCAGCAGTCCATTTCCACGCATCTGGCTCTATCGATGGTGGGATCTCGGTGTTTAGTTGCTTGAGCAGTGATGGCTCGAGGGTAGCGAGATGTGGGCCTAAATTCCCTAAGAAGGTAGTGCTCAATCCATGCCGCTGAGTAAGAAGAGGTGGGAGAGAAGATTCGGGAATATACAGATTAGTTGTAAGATAGTCGACTATGATGATGCGGCCTAGTTCTCCTAGATATCTTCCCGCAGTCATATATTCGAAGGGCTGGAAGCCCGGCACTTCGCCTTGGGCATCGAGTTTCTTGTCCCAATGGGTGATGAAATTTAGTTCGTGTAATGGTCCCGCGGCGCCTCGGATGGTCCATTCTGTATTGACGGCTATCTTGAGATTTAGGTCTGCCTCTGTTTCGCCGTCTAGGATCTTGACTTGGGTAGGTCGTTTGTCTGGATGCAGTTTTCCAAGTGCTAAGGGGATGGTTGCGTTGCAGCCTGTGCCTACTATGAGTCCCATAGCTGCTTTTCGTCTCGTGTTGCTTCGGAATTGATATGCGAAGGAAACGAGAGTTGCTACTGCATCGTTGACGATGGCTGTGATCTTGATGCGTGGTAAAGCACCTCGAGTCTTTTCGTAGCCTTGTAGGAGGAGTTTGCCGAGGTCAAGATTGGAGGTTATTTGGAACCCCTTTCCCATCGACATAAGAGTCGCTTCAGACAACGTATGTTGACTAACAAAGGTAAGCAAGATCGCCTCGCTTCGGAAATAGGGTTGGGGGGGAGAGACAAACACCATGGGAAAACTAAACGTGATGCCAAGTGGGATCTCGTCTGGCAAGTTCCCAGGCCATGTGTGACAGCCATCTTGCACAACTCCCGCGATGCATGCTCCAATCCACCCGAACAAGTCCTCGGCTTTGTTGTGTTTTAATTGCTCTCCAATCGGCCAACTCTTCTCAAGATGACGGACAACACGTGACCGTTCACCTGCATTATCGACTCTTGTTGTTGCATCTGTAGAAGTTTCACCAGGCCCAAGTAACTCGATAAATCCAACTCGAAGGTTTGTCCCTCCACTAGAGATGTCAGGCCTGTGAGAGGAGAGAGCGTGTGATCGATTCGGGTACTCACATATCAATCGCTAAATATCTTTAAGGTTTAAGTATGTCAGTAAGTACTTTAGCATAGTGACCAACCTGACGACCTTGCAAGCCGCTCTCTTCAAGTTGTCTCGAAACGGAAGTACATCACATGATAATACATAATCCAAAATGGCAACAAACGGCCTGCAGGTAAGGTACCTGGCAATAACTAGGTACTTTAGAAAGGTCGTATCTCACCTGCCGCTCTCATCACCCTCGGGCCTTAGCACAGAATCCGAAATCGGCGTAGGTAAAAACTGCTCTTGCGAATTTGCGGCAAGGCTCGTAAAGGTGCTGCATAAGCTGCGTGCGAGGCTACGGATCTTTGCAGTGTCAATGGAGAGCGGCTCTAGGAAGGAGGAGGAGTCCAGAGACTGCCTTGTCGTGGCCATTGAGAGAGGAACATGGGGAGAGGAGAGGAGAGGAGAGGAGAGGAGAGTAAAATTCCAGGGACCGGTTCACGACCAGATTTTGGCTTTGGGCTCTGGCAGGGCTGGCTGGCTGGTTTAGTGGGGTTTCTCAGCCTTTCCTTCCCGCAGGCGCGCTACGCTGCATGTCACTCACAAGGCTCCGTAAATGTCGTGCTCCTTGGAGTGACTGTAATGATAAGTTGAGCAAAAATATCGATAAATCTGGTATGTCGCGTGGTGCAGTTGTCACTTTAGCTGATACAAGGGTGTGATCAGCGAGTGCCACAACAAGCCTTGTCATTTCCGTCTCGTGGGCTAGCATTAACCTTCACTTTAATCCAAAGTTAAAGTCGACATCGCAGCTACATTTCTATGTCTCCATCACTATGACATCTGAACGCCCGTTCTCTTCCGATTATCCTCGCGACATCAAGCACCCGGAGATGTTCAGCGAGAAGGAAAGGATGATCAACAGACCCAGCTATCGCCGGCATCGCCCCTTTGCCATAGCTTTTGCTGTTGTTGGACTCTGCTACTTTTTATGGACAACGGTATCGAGCCCGCACCTGTTCCAATACAGCAGCCATGGGAAGACTGGTGGAGGTGTGACTGTTCTGGGCTCGTCGAGTGCGATATCGTCGGATAATGCGAAGGCGCTGGACAAGAAGCTGGTTCCGTTAGAAGCACACATCATGTCCAAGTGCCCTGATGCGCGGGTATGTTCAAAAAGATGTAGGACATTTGGAACAAGATGTTGACAAGGCTACTGCAGGACTGCCTCAGAGAGATGATACTACCCACCATGCAACGAGTGATTGACAAAGTCAATTTCACCCTGTCGTACATTGGAACGTAAGTCTTCTGGATGTCTTGTTTGATTTCTTGCAACTAATGTATATTCCTCTAGTCCTACAGACAACGATGGAGTCTCCTGTATGCATGGCCCGCAGGAATGTATGGGAAACATTATCGAGCTATGCTCTGCGAAGCTCTACCCCGACCCAAAAATCTACCTAGGGTTTACTATGTGCCTCTCCCGCGACTACCAGGAAATACCACAAGAGAGTCTAGTCAAAGACTGCGCATTGGAGCATGGAATCGATTTCGACGAATTGGATAAGTGTGCTGTCGAGGAGAACGGAGGGACAGCTATTGGGATGTTAAGAGATAGCGTGAGGAGGAGTATTGATGCGGGTGTGACGAAGTCCTGTACCGTCAGGCTGAATGAGGAGATATACTGTATCCGCGACGGTGGCAAGTGGAAGGATTGTCCTAGTGGATCAGGGGTCAATGATCTGGTCATTGCGGTTGAGAAGCTCTACCGGTCTTCTAAGACGAAGTCTGGCTCTAGCCCTCTTTCAGGGGCGCAAATATCTCCGTCCATAGCTCGCTAGCTTCCCCGACTGTGTAATGAAGTTCTGCTTCTTCCATACCCCTCTCCTCATCTCCTCCCATTGTGTCGAGTTGCGAGATGATAGTTTCTAGTCCGACTGCTTTGCCTACAGCTTGTGTAGCTCCAGCTTCCAGTGCCACATGAACAATGTGGATATGGAAGTGATAGTATGTGGGTTGGTAGTGAACGTACAGCTTCAGGGTATCTCTTTCCACACCCTTATCACCGTACATTTTGACTGTAGCATCCACCAACTTGTCCCGCATGTGTCTCAGCCAAGGAAGATGTCTCTTTTTCAGATCTCGTAGACTCCATATGTCCCTCCTCTCCACCAGTCCCAAAAGATGTAGGCCTTCCATCGTTTTGCGGTCCCAATTCAGATCTGGCAGTAAGAGGAATCCCTCATCACCATCTCTTCCTTGCGGTGTACGATAAATCACATCCTCGACTTCGGTTTTTCCATCGATTATATTGTAGACCCAGTTGAGACGGCCCTGCTCTCTTTTGGCTAACATGTACGGCTTCACTTTCTCCCTGTAAATCTGAGGTGTCTCGACCACCATACGTACAGCCTGCTTCGAATACTTTTTAATATGCTGTTCCGTACATGGATATATTAAATTGATCTTGAGGTCTGCGAAATTTTCGGGCTTGTCGGAAGCTGTATAGGGTGTCGAGGTTGCGAGATACCAGAAGTAAACATCATTCGCACCGAGGTTCTTGAGAGTTTGGAGAGTGGAGGGTATCTTGGAGAGGTATGTCGTTGAGCTGGGAAATGGTGCGCGCTCGAGGATTAATAAGGCCGGGTTGTCGTTGATTTTCCCAAGGAGAATACTGCGGCGTCCAGCTTCATCTAGAGACCCGTTTGTCAATTGAGGGGATGAGGCAAGCTTGGTGGGGTAACATGTGTACCTTGTTTGAGGACTCGGTCGAGCTTAAATAGTGGGATGAGAGACTCGGGATTGGAAGCAAAGTCACCCATTGTGAGGGTTGTGAATGAGAAATAGGGGACTGAAGAAGCTTCTATGAACTGGTCAAGTCAAAATGTCCGTCTGGTTGAGTGCTGTGTTGACATGAAAGCTAGGCGGTGAGAAGTTAGTGCTGTATTGGGGTTAGCGTTCAAGACCCCTGAGATTATTTAAGGTACAACTGAGCTCTCGGCTGAAGATACAATCTCGGAGCCGGTTTCTTGAACCCGAGCTTCAATCGATCCTACGACATGACACATCCAGACGAAAATGGAAAAGGGACTGCAAAGTTGCATACGAATTCTCTCAGATCTATATAACCCTGTTGCACCAAATGACGCTGCTCTCTGCCTGTGGGACCAATTCTTGTGGCAGACCCCGCCCCATAGACACTGAAAAAACCCTCCTTTCCCTTCTTATTGCTGAGTTCGAGTCAATCCAAATGATGCTTCGATTTCTCTTCAAAATATCCCGCATTTGGATCTGCTCAGTCGCCCATTATTCAGATTCTGAGGGAATTGTAAAGGTCGAATTCCAGAGTGACTAGCAGAAAAAGTGCAGATGAAAGAAAATCATACTTTTGATTGATGTCAGCCATTTCACTAAACTACTTGGGTACTCGATGGATTTTAGTCTTCAAACAAGATTCGATTTAGAGTTGAAGCCCTAGAGAAGGACAACAGCAAGAGAATATTCATATTTACCGTTTATGCTGCTGTTTACCTGCCATTCTGATCTATCAATGGCTATCTCGGCATGAACACTATTGACATTAGGGACATGATAAGTAACAGTCTATTTCCTGAGCTACAGCTATTCATGCCACATTTCGTGTTGAGATGAGGTAAGAGAATGGCTCCGCGAAAAGAGGCGCGAACTGGGACGGCTGGCTTTGGGGTAAACAAGGGTCAAAGGCAACCTCGCTCGTGAGAACAAAGTGCTGGCAGGGAAACACAATTTAGGACGCGGACAAGTAAAGAACACCTGATTGTATATGTTAATTTTACCCTTACAATGAGAGAGATTATCTGCGTTCGACCGCAACAGTTTGTAGATTGTCTCTAGCAGCTGCCCCTAGTTGTTTACATTCGAGGCGTTAAGCGAGCCATTGCGGACTTACGCTATGGTGCACAAGCAACGAAGCATGTTCACTTCGGTCACGCTACTTTCTCTCACAGGCTTGGTACTGAAAACATTGGATTTCAAACAATTTTGAAATCAGCGTAGTCCTGAATGCCACTTGTGAAATGACACCAGGTGTCAGGTCAACAAGTGCCATAATATATCCATTGAATCTCGGGCTCGAAGAGTATGTACTCTTCCTAACTGTTGTACAACATTCCATTCCATGCCATGCTATGTCCTGAACCAGTCTCTCCTCAATGATACCCATTAGTCCCCGCCGTCAAATTGACCAACTCCTCCTTCCTCATCCTGTACAGATCCTGCGCTTCTCTCTCCCTCGTAGCCACAAACCCAACCTCAGCACGCAACGCTTCCAAACGACGTGAGATAGCTGCTTCCTCGGATATTTGCAGCGTGCGGAAGGAATCCAGCGACTGGTTTGCTTTGTCCAGGGCTTCGGATGCTTCGCCAATTTTCTGGCGCAGGGTATTGGCGCGCTTTTGGTAGCCGCCAAGGTGGAGGGCTAGTTTCTTCTGGAGTTTATTGCCTTTCTCGGCTGTAGCTACTAGTTTATCTTGAACGTTCTAGGCAAATTGTTAGCATTTGAGTCTGGTTGGTTAAATGGAGAAATACATACGTCGAAAGTCTGGACGAGCATCTGATGTTCATCGACCTCATCTTCGTAGCCGCTAATGCCCGGCAGCAGCGAGTGGGTTTTCGCCTCACTCCATAACTTCTGGAATTCTTCTGACCCAGCCTGGGCCGCTGATTCTGGGACTTCTCGCGCGATAACAAGTCGGGCTCTAGCGAGGTCGTCGTCGTCGATCACAGCCAGGGGCCCTGGAGTGCCTCTGACTCGGGCACCTGGAACTGGATATTTGATAGCGTCGTTTGCCTCAAGCAAAGCAGCTTCTCTTGCAATTGTAGCTAGAATGGGATCCTGAACTTGGGAAGCTCCTAGAAGGAGCGCATTTATATCAAGAGCAGTGGGGCGAGGGAGCCCTTTCTGCATGACTTGACTCCGCCTCTTGAACTCGATTGCTTCTTGTGCTTCTCGGATCAGTCGATTTCTCTCGTCTCGGATGGCTGCATCTTCTTCGGAGAGTTCTTCGGTGCCAATTAGTTCTTGCTGTTCCTCGGGCAATTCTAGCTCCCATTCAACATCCTTTGGCCTCGGCAGAGATGCAAGACCTTGCTTCAGCTTGTGCTTCATTGACATTTCTCTCAGTTTGATGTCTCTAGGAGTGCCACCGACAAGTTGCATTTCTCCGTCGGCGTTGAGAGCAAATGTGTCACGAGGTGTACGCATTGGAGTTTGACCTGGAATCGCTGGAGGTCGCATCGGGGTCTGGCCAATACCGTTCGAAGCTTGTCTGAAAGGTGTTGCCATAGGATTTGGTGTTTCCATCTGTTGTCGTCGGGGAGTAACTCCATCGAACCCCGTGCTACCAATGCCCTCGTGCAAAGGTGTATTCTCACCACCTAGTAGCGACGATTGTGTCTCAGTCAAGGCTCTGATGTTTCTGATCTCATTCGCAATATGGTCCTCCTGAGCAGGTGCTCTTGGTGTTCGAATAGGTGCTCCACTGTTGACAGTCGAATATGTGTTGACCAAGCCTCGTGTCGCATCATTCTCACTGGATCTTGCAATCATGTTGGCCCTTTCACCAATCATGCCCATTTTGACAATTTCCTCCAACTCTCCCTCTCCAACTTGTGGTGCTGGCAAAACAAGAGATCTTCTTTTGCTGCTTTGTTCCGCCTCTCGAATCTTCTGCATTTGACCAGCCTTCATAGCTGCTTGATATGAGGCAGATGGGGCTTCTTTCTCTCCCTTCCTACGTTTTCGATCTGGGTCCTCTTCCTGGTCGCCCTTTCGCTTGTTCGCTAGCTGCTGCTTCCTAGGATCAAAGGCCTCTCTTTCTTTCTCATTCTGCATCTGCTCGTCGCCAGTCTCGTAGAATCCAGGTGCAGGAGCCTTCTCAAACGGAATATCGGCATTGTAGTCCATCATCCCCTTCTTACGGTTCACGACCTTAATATTGATACCCGCATTTTTCAACTCTCTGCGCTTCTGCAACACCGCCAACCGTCTCGACTCCTCCAGCTGCCTCTCTCTCGCCTTCCGCTTCGCCTTCTTTCCCTGTGTATTCGCCAGACGGGCACGAGCCTCGCTCAGCATTTCCTTTTCATCTTCGTCCAGATCAATGGTATCAGGTCGCGCAGGTTTCGATTCAGGATCCGGATCCACCTCTCCAGGTCTCAACCTCCTAACATCATCCGCAGATGGAGCCTTGGTCTCTCCTCCATCAGGCCCACCTAGTCCCAACTCTCCAGCTTCCTTCTGCTCAGCTTCATCCAGAAGTCGTTGGTAGCGCTCCAGGCACTGTGTAGCAGTTCTGCCAACCAGCGGAGCGATCGTGCGCCATTGCGTGGGCATCAACTTCGCCAGATGCAGGAGCTTCTCATCTTCCTCCTTGCTCCATTCGATCTTCCGGATACCCGGGTCAAGCCATTCGCTCCATCGCGCTTTGCATTGTTTCGGTGTTTTTCGCGCCAGTAACGACGAAACTCGCGCCCATTGGTTCAGACCATATTTCGAAACACTGGCTTTCAAAATTTCATCTTCTATATTCGTCCATACTCCTCCTTTGACGACGGGCATCGTGTCGTGATGTCGAGGTCCGTGGTGGTGAGGTTATAGGAGGATTGAAATGCGATTTTGCTGAAGTCGCGGCTCCAAGGAAAGTTGCACGCGGCGTCGGCGAAACCATACACCGAGATCGACGCTAAGCGAGCATTACCACTTGACTTTGGTCTGGCTGGCCAGGAATCGGAGTGAATATGATGGGTTCTTTTTATTTAAAGGTCTTTTTGGAACGCAGTGACATTGAAACGGGCCCCAGCGCTGTGGTCTAGTAATGGGATTTACTGTGCCGCTTAGAAGTGTAACAGCCTTTCCTATCCCGAAAGCGAGATTGAACGACGTTCAGTCCTCACTCTTCAGTCCTTCGGAGATTCTCATAACATTGAGAGATACCGAGGACTCTGATCGCCGCGAGAATTACACTTTAGAATTCTTGTGCGAGATACAGTATATGTGTTTCCCCTAAGGTATCGAATCACCCCTTCGATCCGACCGGTATATTATCAGCAAAGTGGTCCTTCCTTCCTCAACAGTGTACATATCACCTCTAACATAGTACAAACCACGTCACCAAATTTCAATGTCAGAAGCCCGTCCAATTCTAAGTAACATCCGTTAAAATCTCAACAGGGACATTTTCATTGACACTCAAACTCTGGCCGTCACCATCACCATTCTCGTCATCGGCCTTGCCACCATAATCTATATGACCAATAATCAAGACAAAATGTCCTCCTCAAAATCCTCCACATCAACCCTCCAGACTGTCCCCATCCCAACCCCCACCTACGGTCCCTCCGGATCCTTCACCGTCCTCGCAAAAACATTCATCCCAAACGCAACACCAGCCGAAGTCCTCGCCACCATCCGAAACACCAACACCTGGTCCCAATGGAACGGCTTCACGCCAACATTCACATTCTCTCCATCCTCAGTCGTAAACCCGGCATCGGGATCATTTCAGAAGACGAAAACAACGCCAGTATCTAAGGCTGGTTCCGAATCATTGGGATCTCCATCTGATCCAGCCCTCGTGACCGGAAAGCCCGGATGGCTGGACCCAGGCTCTGCAGGTGAGATGGCTGTTTTCATGAGCGGGGATGGATTGGTTGAGGGGATAAAGAAAAGCAGAGATCAGGGTATTATTGTCACTGTCCTGGAGCTTCTCACTGCGTCTATGAATGCCCCACGGGATGAGAAGAAAGGGTACAGGATCGCGTGGAAGAGTGTTGGGTATGCGCAGTGGCAGATGTTCTCTGAGCGCGTGACTGAACTGGTCGAGGTTGATGAGGAAGGCCAGGGAGGAGAAGAGGGGAGGAAGGGTACGGAGTATGTGTGTTGGGAGACTTTTGGGGGCGTGCTTGGGCCGGTTGTGAGGTTAGCTGTTGGGGGGACGTTGAAGGTCAGGTTTATGGAGTACGCGGATGGGCTGAGAGGGTTTTGTGGGGAAGGGAAGGGCAATTGAAGTGAGGGTGGGGCTGTTGGAAAGTGTGTGAGGCTGTTGGTCTTAAAGTGCGAATGGGGAGTTTTGAGTTTAGAAAGATTGGATATCGTGTTTTCTTTGCGCCCACATGGAGCCAAAAGGCCATGAGACTAGTCTCCAAGTACTACACGACACAAGGTATGTGGTAATATATGTATGACATATAATAAAATTGTTTTGGGTGGGTTTTAAGCTACCTGAGTTTTTCAATGATGAGAGAAAAGTCGCAAAATTGAGCAAGTCAAGACTCCAAACCATGATATGACCAAGATCAATATCAGTCCATCGTACACAGAAGAGAAAGGTCAAATAGCAGCAGTGAATCCAACCCAACAAGCCCAAAGATTTAACTCCCCATGAAGCTATACACATCAATAAGGCGAACTCCTTTTTTGGTCGATCCCCCGTTGCATTTCCAAGACGCAACGTCATAAGAACAAATAAAAAGTTATCCAACCAGAGCCGAGTATTATCCATTCCAGCCTCCCAGTCATATCCATCCATATTCCGCAGATTGCGTCGCGTCGTTATAGTGTGTTGAGATCCTAAGCCAAGTCAAGAAGCCCACCCAAAATCCATTGTGGGATTCAAATCTTCCGTAGAACGCCATATTAGTGAAGAAAACGAGATCGATTGTATTATCAATTAAAGAGCCAGGCCCGTCCCGTCGCCTGTCCACCGGTACAGAGCTAGCACTTCCCTCCGCCGTAATTGCTGTTCACCGAAATCCTCTGGTACGCGGCCGCGTACTTGTGCCAATGCTGAGCGCATAACTTTACGGAAATTCCTCTGTTGTTCTTGTTAGGCCTGTACTTGAAAGAGGATAGAGAGATGGTTACTAACCTGGTATTCAGTGTTCAGAGTCACGACACAGGCCTCGTGTGCGCGTACTATCGTCTCGCAAGCTTTGACTACACTTGGTGAAGCCTCTACCTGGAGCTTATCCGCAATTAATAACAGCAGGAAACTTCCCTGGAGCAGATACACGCCGAAGAAGAATGGCATGAACTCCAGTCCGGGGTCGTATTCGAGGATGTTGTTGATTGCTTCGGCAGCACTGACGGCGTGGCCTGTGGCATTGATGAAACTTTGTGAGGAGATCCAGAGGTCGTTATCGTCGAGGAGGGAGATAGGATCCCATTTTCCGGTCAATAAGATATGCAGCACGTGCATTACATGTGTACCGTAAGCGACGACAATCCGTGTTTGGATATCTGCTTCAGAGACGTGGGCGGAGGATGCGGTGTGGACCGAGCGAACAGAAGGAGTGCCGATGTCGTTATGCTCTGTTGTGGTCGCTTGATGGGCAGCTGCGATGCTGTCTAAGGTCGCCTCGGTTTGTTCGTCCTGCTTGAGATTTCGTTCTTCGAATTCTTTGAGGCTCTCGCCGTAGCGATCGAGTTGTCTGGCGATTTCGCTGGCATGGTCGTCCCATTCGGACTGGGATCTGAAGCCAACTCCGAATCGAGGGTGGTTCTTGGCGTGGTAGAGATCTACGATCTCTCCGAGGATAGTCATGAGGGGTAAGAAATATCCGAATATGCTATGTCCGGTACACTCAAAGTTAGGTCCAATCCCTCTAATCCGTGGAGCGCCACTCGGGGAGGTAATATGAATGCTTGAATCACCGGTGTAGAAGTCTCCAGCTTGCCACAACGTGTCGTCCATTGGCTGGAGAAGGCCATCGCACTCAATGTCTAACAGGAAAAGTGGTCTGTTATAACACAAAGCGAGATGGCGATCCACGGTATAACACAGCCACCATATCCTTCTCCGTTCCTCCCTTTCTTCCTCGCTGATGCCAGATGTTGGCAGGTCATCCTCCTCCCCATCAGCATCGGCATCGTTCTCAGTAGGTTGCTGGGCAGCTGTGTGAGGCAGCTCTCTTCCAAGCTTCAGTTCTCTTGCCAGAGACCAAGCTGCGTTCCACCACCTGAGACTGGCACCCTTGTACTCGCTTGCTGAGACAACAGTGGCAAGATGGATGTAGGTGACAACATCATCCAGGGTTCCAGCAGCACCAAAAGCGCCACTAGTCTCTCCATTCAAGCCTTCTGGGTTGACAGACCCAGGCATGGCCACACCAAGGCCTCCCAAGGCAACACCATTGATGACAGTGTTGGAGAAGTTGGGCGATGATTCGCCACTGGATGGCCCATGGATGAGTGGCTTGAGAAGACCGACAGTGAGTTCCAACAGTCTCTGACAGATACGTCCGCGTGAGGAAGGAGGTGCTGTCAGGAAAGCTGCGTCACTCGTTTGGGCTACCACCCACAGCATGCTGGCTAATAATGCTGGAGTACATTGTCTCGGCTTGGTCGGATGAAGAATAGAGTGTTTACGAAACACATACCCAAGGACATATGGTGAAGTCGGATGCATCAACGCCGATGAAGAACTTGCAAAGTACAAGTCCAACAGGTCACAAGCCAGGGATAAAGGGATGATGTTGCCAAGATGTGGGATCAGGGGCTGCAAGACGGGGTAACGGAGGGTGGTGTTGTAGCTGTGATTCGTCACGTGTTGTTGATATTGGTTCGAGGGGGAAGGAATCGACATCCATCCTCCCGGTGAAGCAGCATCTGACCCCATAGGAAATCCGGGGAGAGGACTATCGCCTAAACGAAAGGGACCAGGGGTATTCCCCGGGTAATGCGTCGGGCTTGATGTTTGGATGGCATAGGGGAGATCATAGCCGGGTAAATTTCCCTGTCCGGCAGTGAAGTTGGGGTGACCACCATTGCCATTCATCATGTGGGGATTCATGGCAGGTCTGTAGCCATGCATGCTTGAATAGCCGTTAAGATTCAGGGACGCGGGGCTTTCGATTTGATCAGCTTCCGCGCGACTAACCATGTGAGGCTGATGTCCATTTGGGGGTTCCGCGAGGCTCTCGAGGCTGCCGGCTCGTAGCCTTCCCTTCATGACAGCTTCACGAGCAGAGACCTTGTCTAGCCCTGTGGTGTTGAGGCTAAGCGACCTGGAGGCTTGGGGACGGCGAAATTCACCATTTTCGTTCTGCGCAGAGGTCGTGGAAGAGCCATTTTCGTTGCGTGATTCAGTCGGTGAAGTGCGCTCGTCTGAAGACTGGCCGGTTGGTGATTTTTGGCCAATAGCTGCAGCGGCGGCAGCTTGTTGTGCTAAGTCTTTACGAGAAGCTTTTCCTCGCTTCTTTCTCTCCCGAATATACTCACAGCCCAAGCCGAATTCTGTAGATACACGATTAGCTTCTGTACGGCCAATCATGAAAACCACCGGAAAAAAGTAGCGAGGAACTTACCAACGCAATGGGCGCAAGGGCTTTGCCCATCACATTTCGTGCGAAGCTGATTGCACTGGTCGCACGCTCTGCTGATCCGCCGGCGAATCGGCCCTGAAGCCCCATTGCCCACCGACCTCCCATTTCCTGGCCCAGGACCATAAGGATGTTGGCGGTGCTTATTATTGTGATTTCTGTGAAATTGACCATTTTGATGAACATCGACATGTTGTTGCAATTGTTGCAGAGCGTATTGGGAACCGTCAGCAAGAGTATGCAGCCCTGAGTGCATGTGATTGGAGGGCAGGTGGCCGTTTGCGTAGCTGTTATTCGACGGCAAGGCATTGTACGCCGAAAAGCGATGAAGAGGGTTCGATAGCATGTTGAAAGTTCTTGCTCAAGTGCACTTCTGGTGGGTAGAAATGTTGAACAATATTTCGTGCTGAAGTTGTGGAGGAGTGTAAAAGAGGGTGGAGAAGAGTTGCTCTAGAAAGGCAGTTCAAGATGGAGGTCGGAGGATATATCTATATTCGTAGTTGGGTCCGGGGGTGGCACCTTAGAGCCCTTGATCATCAGCAGGGCTCTCTGTGTGAGGCAATGCGGAGAGAAGAAACAAGCAGTCGAGTTAAGGACGGCACCACCAGGATGACAGCGGCAATCAATTATATTATTTGGCGGGGTATTGTATGGGACTGCAGGACATGGACATGACAAGGCACGGTCTGAAGAAGAAAGAAATTCGAGGGCATGATCATGGAAGATATTGATGTGGTCCTGGGCAGCAAGAGGCGTGCTTTACGGAGGTAGACTTGTTGTGGAGAGATGCGAGGGGAAGCCGGGGGTGTGAGAGGATTTAGTACCTAATGTAGTAAAGCGGCATACAAAGTCTGTTGACAGGGGAAGATGGTGGGTTTGGAGGGGGAGGGCGAGCCAGCGGCGGGAATCAGATGGGGCCGTGATATTGCTGCCCTGATACTGGGATGGGATGGGATGGGATGATGGCAGGGCAGGGCATGGGATAGACGACCGGCATGGGATAGCATGGGACGGATTGGGATGATGGAGAACGACTAAAGTTCTGGTTAGCCAGGACAGTCGTCGAGAGGAGGGAAGAAAGAAGAGAGCGAAGCATGGCATGGCAAAGCATGGCACGGAATGGCAGGCATTGGAAGGATAGGCAGGACTCATAGGAGAGCAGAGGAGAGGAGACGTGGGAGACCTCAGACGAAGACTACTATCGTGCTTTGGAGAGAGTTGGTAGCCAGGCCAGGCAGTCAGAACGGCAGTGTCCTCAGTGTCCTGTACTGCGGCGGCATGGGCTCCGAGGAGTCGTCTGGTGTCGGCCACACTTTTTCCGAACATATGAGAAAAGTGCGGTGCGATGCGGTGCGATGCGGTGCTATGCAGTGCTATGTGTGTGGACACTGGACATGTGTGTATGTGTGTGTCTGGACGACCGGTCCTAGTACGGCGGCCAGGTGCAGGGAATCGTCAGTCGTCGTAAAGTGGATCGTTTTCAGCGCTTTCGCGATGTGTGAATGGCTCGCCAGAGATTGGCAGACAACACCAGGCCCGATGAGTGAATGAGTGGTCGATTTTAGGTACGGGTACAGCCAGCTCTTCGGCCCTGCTTTGTTTGTGGTGCTGCATCGCGCTGCAAGATCGAGAAGTACATACCATACCAGACCATACCAGACCATACCTATCCTGCCTGCGAAGGATTAACTTAGAATCTCGCAGGAAGGCATCGTCAATTCTATTTCCTCCCCTATTTGATACTATTCTTTGACACTGCGACTGCTGCTCCTGCATACTGTAACTTACCTAAGGTAAAGTTACCATACCTATTCCCAGGCCCCGTCATCGCCGTCCTCCATCTCTCCCTCACTGGCTATCCAGCCTTACTCATCCCCCGCTCGCCATGTCTACCCTGTCACCACTGCTCGTTCACCAGTCCTAGTCCTCGCCTTCAGGCCGAGGAGGCCTGTACGTACGTGCAGGGTCGGCAGCCAATGAAGTGGCGCCTGTCTGGCAAACGCTTCCCTTTCTCTCGCGTTGCCGACTCAGTGCAACCCTACTGCCTCCTGCCTCCTGCCTCCTGCCTCCTCCTGTCCAACCCAGGTTGCGAGCATGAACGGGCGACATGGATCGTCTCGGTCGAAGACTGCCCACTGCCCACTGCCCACTGCCCAGGTCGGGTGCTATGCGCTTTGAGGCAGTTGATGAGAAAAGGCGGGCAGCAAGCGAGCCAGCTTGGCAGTGGCACTGACGGCGCTGGCGCTGGCGCTGGCGTGTTGCATCTCGTCTGTCAACTGCAAATCCTGGAGGATGTCCGATTGCCTCTTCCTTCTACTGGCCGCGCTAGAAGCGGAAGGGAAGCTCGATTCAGGCCAATGGATGGTGATGGTCATCAACAGACCAAGATGGCAAGATCACGTCTTGGAGGTTACCTTAGTTAACCTGTTTGGCAGCACAGCGATGTCAATCTCAATCGGCGCTCTCGAGAGCGACAAAAGCGCTGACAGGACAGGTGATCGGAAGTGATCGCGGAATGTAAGGGTTCTCTATGAGAAAGGGGAAAGGGGATAGCGGCCTAAGGATCCCTCGCATCGCTGAAGTTTGGTAAAGTTTATTGTGTTGCGGAGTCGTGAATAGAACACAATCCAATCCGGGGCTGGAGTGATATTGATAGTGGACTGACGGAACGCTATAGATCCAATCCGCATGCTGTGTCAAAGTCATTTGTTCGCAGCAGCGGATTGATCGGCAGTTTATCACTTCATAACCAAATCTATATTCACTGCACAGAGAGTGAGTGACAGCGAGCATTACTTTCTGTCTGTTTCTTTCTGCTCTCATCTCAGAACCTCGTTTACGGGGAAGGCCTTGCAGTCGACACCTCGGACGCCACATCCTGTATCTCACCAGGAGATAGGTAAATTACCAAGGGCAAGGTAGGTAGGTAAATTTACGTGGTATTTACCTCCCTTAGGTACGAGGTACTGCCTGTCCCGTAGGTACTATTCCATCTGACTGAACACCGCGCGCCTTGCCATACCGTACCATACCATACCATACCATACCATAATGGCACATCTTATACCAGTGCCAACAGAGAGCACGATCCTTCCTTTCCACTTTTCCATGGCCTCCTACTAATTACCATTTCCGCACCGATGCCATCATTTTTGGAAATGGATCTTGCGAAGCCAAGACGGCCCTGAGACTGCCTACCAGCTGCCGTGCTGGAACGTGGAACGCAGAACGCGATGGGTACATTAAATATGTTAGCGATCGCACCGGCTGCCGCTTGTGACCTGCCAGATTCTTCACCGGCGCTGGCCTTTCGCTTCATTTTCGTCCACTCCCTACGTGTTTCCCCTCCGCATTCTCACCCCTCCACATACCTACTCATACTCCCACCACTCTCGCTTCAGCCTTTACCTGAATTTCTACATTGGTGTCCACCCAGGACTGACAGTACCTTAATATCCCGCTGCAGCCCACTAACGACTATATACCTCCACGCTTGGCTCCTCTCCTCCGCCTCCACAGACTGTGCAGCTCAAACAATTCTTACGCCAATCAGGGGCCCATGTCTTCCCCAGAATCCGCAATACACCCGTCCCAACGCAAATCTGATCAAAGGCATAAAGAAGAAGGCAGAGTTGGCCCTCAACGGCTCACCCTCCTCGAACTTCCTCACGTCCGAGGATTTAACTAGCAGCCAACGGGACCTGGCCAGTCGAGCCAGTCCATCATCACTGTCCCTCCCTCACTGACTCTGCCGCAATGACCAGGGGCGAGTAGGTAAATTTAAGTGCTCATGCCCTGGCCACGCCGCATCCTTGCTCGCCAGCAGGGAACCACAGAGAGTGTCGTGCATGGAACTGACGGGGTGCTGCTGGGCAAGGGCTTGTTCCTGTTCCTGGTCGCCAACCCGCCACAAAAGTTCAAACGGTCCGAAGTTCCTCACCTCACGCACCACACGGCCGCTTGGCACCTTTCTCGCATGTGCCACTGCCAGTAGTAGTCAGTAACGAACGATACCAGTGCCAGTGCCAGTGCCAGTGCCAGTGACCTCCGGCTGGCCAGCTGCAGCTGTCACCCAATCATTGCTGCATTCTAGCTTTCGGCCCCCTATTCGTATTCCTATCCCTATCCACTTGACAAGAAGTGTGATCTTCATGTGCTGGGCAATGTTTCGTGACGACTTTACTATTTTCATAGAATCGTGCAGTGCAGTCAGTCTTGGAGGCCCGCCCTCAACGATCTACTGTACGGATGGCTGGCCGGGCCAACTTTAACTTTAAATTTCAGGCGCCCCGAAAAGCCTCCGCTTCCGTTGTGATATGCTGTTCTCCTAACCAAACCACCAAGCGTCATTCTTCAGGTGCTACAGTACAGCGTCCTATGATTTCATGCACGATGAGAGAAGCTTACCCCGGATCTGGACTCTCCCAGAGGTCCCATAAATGCTCCGCAGACCCTCCGATCGCGAGCTGCAATATCAATTTACAAGTACCGTCACAACTCCATGGGCAGGGGCACGGCACCGAGAGACGAAGTGCCATATGCAGGTGCAAGAATGCGGAGGTCGAGCTAGCCCTCATCCAGGAATCCCAAAGATCAGATCGAAGCTTCGGATCTTCGAGAACGACGTTTGTCGTCGTGAAACCTTGAAACACAAGACATTTGAAATTCTTCGACTGGCTGGATGTTGTCAGCTGGCAGGGAGAATCTTTACCAGGGGTCCGGCACTGTAGGCTTTTCGTCTCGACCCTCCGCAAATTGAGGGGGCTGTCAAGCCCATCATGCACTTCGGCTCGCTCCATTCGTAACCGCTGGGCTCGCGTTATGGCCCGTGGCGGAGAGTAGCGTACTCGCCTCATTAATAGCAAGTCCATATTATGATCTTCTGGTCAGAGTTACATTCTGGGGAGAGATCAATCTGATACTGTGCGGTTCCTGGACGCGAGTGCTGCATGTTGTTTATTTGACAATATCAACGAATCATTGGCAGACGCGCTTGATCACGCAAGCCCCTTGATACAACATATTCCCTAGGAAGCTTCGCTATAGATGACGGGAAGATGTGCCTTCTCTCCTTATTTGGTGGATTTTGACGTAAATCATGGAGCGGCGGACCTCCCGATTTTCCCGCATGGAGGCTCCAGGCCATGCGATTATGGTGTAACAGCATCTCGCTACCAAGAGAATACCAGCTGACCATACGACCTAATTGTTGGACTGCTGGCCTTGTATATCGCTGTCGTCGTCGTCCTTGACGCAGGATCGGATCGATGGTGATACGCCCTGGAAGTCTCGGGGGAGCGGGATTAATTTGTGCTAGATTGTTTGCAATCTCGGTCTGATAGAAACGGGATTCTGAGAAACAAAATGGTTATCCTTTAAGGGATCAGATACTCAAATCGGCACGATTCTCGGAGGCGATTTCGACAACAATCAATATTCCACGTGTTGACGACCTGCACGAGTGTAACACAACAGATACTGGGAGTCCATGAGATCCAACGACTGTCATTGTTCGTCTCGACGAGACATATGCGACCCAAACGAAAATTTCTTAGTCCTAATCAATCCCATTCCACCTGATATTTCATATCTGACCTTGTCGTGCCTCTTGACAAGCCGGGAGAAGCTGAATCCTTTCCGATGAGCAACACCAACACCAAAATCATAGAACCTGTCCCACAGGTGGCCCACCATGCAATGCGCACGACCTTGGCTGCTTATGGTTCCCAGCTGCTGAAAGAAGAGTCCAAATCCAACAAAATGGCGTTCGCAGAGCCCAATGCGGCACGTATCACAACACGAAGGAGAAATCGGCAAGCACTTCCACTCGAACATGCACATTGACATCGCCCCAGCAAAACAAAGGCAAAGCATACATGACAAAATCAAGACAAGGTATCTGTTCAACTTGTCCCACTTGAGGTTCTTTTGGGTTCGATACACGTGATTGCATGATAGCAATCTCAGCTTCCTTCATCCCGCTCCTCCGAGACAGCGTGTTTAGCTTAGCAGAAGGCACCTTCATCTTACTTTCCTCCGAGCCTTTATGAATATAGCAGTCCAATAATTCCAATATCTGCTTGAATGCCTCAAAACACATATGAAAAGAAATAAAATAGCGAAGTGTACAACAAGGACTGGAAAAAGATGGTGTATCATGTGCCAACGACCTCCCACATTGTACGAGAGCCCAGGCCCAGGATTGATGTTCCAGCGGCGGTACTGGCCACAGTGAGGAAGCGAAGTTCGGTATGGTACTCAGATCGGGGATCAATGACCAAGATTTCTATTCTCCTTGGACCCTGCCTGACTGGCTTTCTCAGCAGATGACGTCTATGCAACAACTCAGTTGATCCAAATCCAAAAGGATAGCACAAGAAGAGATATATGTACGGCACGTCCCCTAAAACAGATTTTCCAACATCTGCTTCTGCAATAACCATTGGTGATGCTTTCGTCAGCCATCTGTCACGACGAGGCAGAGTCCCGAGATGCACTCAAGCATTGCATCTCACGGACCGTCCATCTGCCGAAGGGCAAGGGGGTCGTCTGCCTTGCGTTCGCTGCAGGAATCAACAGGTCGACGGAGCCGTGATGTGATGTCGTGTCGTCTTCGATCCTTGCTGATGTGGTGAAGCAAGGACTTCAAGCCCCACCAGCTCATGCCACCGAGGCCAAACAGTGGCCGGCCCCACATGAGAATCAATCATCCAAGTTGTATTGGAAAAGTCAGAATAATCCGAGGTCATCAAATCAACCTTCATTGCCAGGTCTCTTGGCGAGTGGAAAAACGTCATTGGATTGAGGTCCCTGTGTAAGCAAAAGTGAGGGGAAAACATCAAAGTTTTGATGTGATATCCACCATAATTATTCAGCATTGGATCATGATCCTCGGGAAGATTTTTGATACTCTCTTATCTCCGATCAACAACTAGGACATTAGTATACCTTTCTGCACAAGAGTTTCCTGGTCTGCCAGTGTTTAAATTTTATATAAATTTCAGTTGCTTCATCATATTTCATATCTGACAACTCATTAATATTGCTGTAAACTATTTTGAAAAATCATACTTTCAAGTACTTTCGACTTTCGCTCTCAAGATGTCCTCAGCAGCAATTCCCAAAACCACCAAAGCCTGGACCATCGAAGGCCAGGATGGCTTTGAGAGCTTGAAGCTCAATAATGAGGTTCCAATTCCAGCTCTCTCTGATAATGAAGTTCTCGTCAAATTCCATGCTGCTTCTCTCAACTACCGCGATTTGATTATTCCGAAAGGTATGTGCAACAGCCACTACCATGCATGACCTCAGTGTGATCAATATTTGCACTCCTCTGCACCACACTCCTTAACATATAGCTAACATAAACACATAGGAATGTACCCCTTTGCCCAAAAGAAAGACGTAGTCCCGGGCTCTGATGGAGCAGGCGAAGTCATCGCCGTGGGCAGTAAAGTGACTCGCTTCCAACCAGGCTCCAAAGTCGTCACCCTCTTCAACCAAGGCCATCTCAGCGGCTCCCTCGACACCCAAACCATCGCCACCGGTCTCGGCGGTGTCATTGACGGTACCCTCCGCCAATACGGAACCTTCAACGAAGCCGGCCTCGTCGAGATGCCCGAATCGCTAAACTGGCTTGAAGCCGCCACGCTCTCTTGTGCTGCTTTAACGGCGTGGAATGCTTTGTATGGACTCAAGCCATTGGTACCGGGCGATGTAGTCCTCACTCAGGGAACAGGCGGAGTTTCGATCTTCGCTGTCCAGTTCGCGAAAGCTGCTGGTGCAACAGTCATTGCGACGACCTCCTCGCCAGAAAAGGAAGCAATCCTTAAGAAGCTCGGCGCGGACCACGTAATCAACTACAAAGAGGTTTCCGAATGGGGCGAGAAAGCTGCATCTCTCACTCCCAAAAAGCAAGGTGTAACTCACATTCTCGAAGTCGGTGGTCCCAAAACGATGGCCCAGAGTCTGAAGGCTGTGAAGATTGATGGTGTAATTTCAATTATTGGGTTCCTTGGGGGAAACGCGAAGGAGCAGCCGAGTTTCTTGGATGCGTTGAGTAATTCTTGTATAGTTAGAGGTATATTGGTGGGGAGTCGACAGCAGTTTGAGGATATGAATAGGGCGATTGAGGCGAATAGGATTAAGCCAGTCGTGGATGAGAAGGTCTTCACGTTGGAACAGGTAAAAGAGTACGTTTACCTTCTATGAAGCGAATGTTAATTTTTCGGAATTCTGCTAACTGTTTGATAGGGCATACCAGTATATGTGGGAACAGAAGCATTTTGGAAAGCTTACTATCAAGATTGAGTAAAGTGCTGGGCTGGATAGATCAAAAAGACTGTATGAAACTGTATGATACCAACCTGATCAAATCAACTTTGCGTATACCGATTGTCTGAAAACATTGTAAGAGGGATTGTGATTGTAAGCTACTTCTCTCCCAGGTCTGATCTCTACCATTTCGCAGAATCGTGCTCTCAGACCGAATAGGTACCTACTTCGAAGGCAGGCGCTGTTCCCGGCGCGCTATTCGATCTCATATGTCCATAGATCGATCCTCAAGGGCTACCTGAAATAATGTTGTTAGTTCCTCGGCTACAACTTCAAAGATCTCTTTTACAAGAACGCTGAAGCGCGGGCATGTCACATGATAATTGAGGAGTGAGGAGTGAAAATAGGTAGTACCGAAATAGCTCTTAGTGGTCCCCGACGAGGTCTGGATATACATCTAGTATTCAAACTTTCACAAGAATAGTGCATTGTGCCGAGGTTAATTTTCGCTTTGAAAGCCCATGTCCCTGTCACGATGGCATTCTGCGGCGACGGCTCGGAAGTCATCTCCGCTCATCTCTCCACTACGAGATAGTCTGCAGATCAACACAATTTCAGCATCCATGGTGAAGCTGAAGAATCAACAGTATCAGCAAGAGCCTCAATCTTGACTTCGACAACGGTGCCGGGAAGGGCTCGCACCTGTCGAATGACACCCATGTCAGTCAATCAATTACATCCATCGTTGGAAAATATCCTGCCAATCGCGGCTAGCTAACTAGCTACCTTTCCGATTTTCATTACAATATTCTATTTCGCCGAAATCGAAAACAATCCGACCAGCCATTCCCGGCTTCTCACATAAATTTACCTACCCAAAGAAGCTTGAACCCTGCTCCGAGCTGTCATCCTGTCGGCAAGGGCGGTCTCGATCCCCTTTGGACCCATCACGATCTAGACCAGGGGCTTCAGGCTTCGCTTGCACAATTGGAACAGCAGCTACGCTACACCACAACGACAAAACGGAAACGAAGAAAGAACAGGACGACCCGGCGCCTCGGTACGGCGCGCTGCATCGAGCCCAACCAGAGTTTGGAATCGCTTGGTTCGGACGGGAGTCTACTTGATGGATAGGTCGATGAGCCACTGAGGAGCGTGGCACGTTTTCATGAGATGACTTCCCCGTCGAGGAAGCATGCCAGGTCGTCGACAGGAAGTACGCAGAGGAGTGAGTGACTTCCTGTGTTTCTCCCCAATTTGTTCAGACTTCAAAAGATTTTCATGCTCTACCTTTGCAACTTGCGAAGATGAAGTACTCCATCGGCTGTTTGTTTGTGTTGTCGCCCTGTCCTTCCTTCCGCTGCGTTATACCAGATGACCCCTTGCCCAAACTATGTACTGCATTGTATTTCGTTATCGACAGATGCGAAGAATACCACCCGCCGTATCTCGTTTGGGTCTGAATGGCTATCGCTGACATTCAAAGGCACTAGAGATGGGTCCGGCGACCATGGGGCAGAGCGGTTCTACAACGTCGACGACGAATTCATCAGTCTCGGCGTCGGTGAGGTGTTCGAACTGGATCCTCGTCCAACCTTCGCCTTGAGTTCAGAATTCGACCTTGATTATGCATTTAGCCCGGTCTTCTTGAACGTCAGTTTGCGCTCTGACCGACAGCTCATGAACGTTATTCCATTCAGACCTAAATCGTACGCTTCTCTATCTCCGTCCAAAAGTCCGCCCTCGGACTTCCAAAGATGGGTAAAGAATGTTGCAACGACGGACGGCACCACGCCCTCCTTCCTGCATGCCGGGATTCTCTGGACTTCTTTCCGTGTCAAGAGGTGGATTGTCATCAGTGGCTGCCATGTCACAGGACATGTCAACGATTCTGCTCTTGATCGAAGTCCCCCAAGCTCAGCATCACAGAGCGAAACAATTAATAACCCATCTGCCCGACGGATGGAGATTTATAGAAGAGAGGATATTCCAAAGCCAAGGAGGGTTTTGAGTTCTGATAGTGATAATGCTGCCTCTTTACTTGATCACAAGACATCTACGTTGGAACCTTCCTTCATTACACCTGGAACTCCAGATTGGACTCTTCCTCATCCCGTAGGAGAACTGAGCCCCCATGTTATTTTTGCGAGGAGTATCGACTGGTTAGTACTTCTCCCCGGTCCAAGATATAGGCGGTCAAAACTTGCAAATGCTGACACCTTAAATAGGGGTGCAACACCACTAGGAGACATGAAGTCATGGTGGGTGATAGCGCTTCTTCAACAAGGGCTTCTGGCGTTTATGTCGAGCACTTTCTGTATAGAATGCTAACATAATCTAGGTCTCGAGAATTCCGTCAGATCGCCTGCTTGCTCATGGCACATCCATTCCCCCTGGCATTGTTCTGGGGAGCCGAGCTTACAGTCGTCTACAATCAAGCATATGCTCAGACTGTGGCTGGATTGAAACATCCTCAATTAATGGGCACAGGTTTTAGAGGACCATTCAAAGAACTATGTATGTACCAGTGGTGCAATGTTTCACATCATCATGTGCGGCTCGTTCCCGTGAAGCTCAAATGATGCCTCTACACATTTATTTCGCTGTTCAAATCGAAGACTAACGATGTGCTGTAGGGGATAGCGTTAGTGCTATATTTGATGAGTGCAGACAGACAGGAAAATCTGTAGCGGTTTACAACCAGATGCTCCCCATAGAACGGCAGGGGTTTGTCGAGGAGACTTTCTATACGGTAAGTCATTCACATCCAGGTCGTTGTCTTCTCCAGGTCATCGAGCCTTTGGCTGTATCCACCGTCTCTGTAATGTTGTTGAAAGTTGAACATTACTAATAACAAGCCATTCAGTGGAGTTTGACACCCCTCTACGGAGGCACAGATCAGATGCTCGGGCTATACAACTCTCCATTCGAAACTACCCGCCAAACACGAGGCACTCGAGCGATGAAGACGCTGCTGAAATTGGCCCAAGAAACGGCAATGGCACAGTCCGTTTCCGCATTCTGGCCAAAGATACTTTCGGCACTAAGCGAGAACGAGTTCGACTTCCCGTTTGCTATTCTCTACTCTGTGGCAGAGGATGAGGAGGACATAAGTAAGGATGGAAGCGTGTCTCAATCATCAGAAAACTCGCAGACGTTCAAGAGTTGTGCTTTGGAGGGTACGATTGGTGTAAGTCCTTTTCTATGTTTTGGAAATCGAATAATATTGCCCTTCGATTGCCATGGTATCAGCCATTTAAAAACCCGAAGAGAATGCTAACTCCTACCAGATTCCTGCTGGACACCCTTCTACCCCTCAAAGATTGGATCTCAAAAGATCATACGGAGGCTTTGTCCCTGCATTTCGGGACTCGATACAGACTCGAGAACCAACTCTACTCACCATCAAAGACGGGACACTGTCTGAGTCTATGATGGAGAACTTCGAGCTCCGTGGATTCGGCGAACCCTGCAGAGAAGCACTTGTCTGTCCGATCCGTCCAACCACTGGCGAAAACGTGCTTGGATTCTTGGTCGTGGGAGTTAATCCTCGACGACCATTCGATGATGACTACCAAAGTTTCATTCAGGTATATTGATGTTTCGAAATGATTACAATATGCTTTACTGATTCTACTCTACAGCTTTTAGATAGGCAGCTGGCGACGTCTCTTGCATCGGTGACGCTGCTAGAGGCAGAGGTGCGAAGAGGACTTACAGCAGCCGAAGCAGCAGCCATAGAGCGCTCTAGGCTGTCGGAAGAATTAGCTGTGCAGAAGAGCCGTCTCCAGCGGATTGCTGAGGTATGGTCTCTGTTATTATTCCTCCCTTTGATGGCTCTAGCGTTAGGCATGATCCTCTACTACGCCATTCGGAGGAGTCGGTCACTCGCTCAATTCCTTGGAAATGGATTAGATACTCTTCTTCTAATTCTAACACGTTCCAGGTATCTCCAGTTGGCATGTTCTCAGTGGACTCCGCTGGCCTGCTTCTAGAAGGAAACGATAGATGGTTCGAGATGACAGGCCATTCCCGAGACAAGATTTTCGCTATGTCCTGGATGGAGACTGTACATAACGACAGTCTTGGAGTGGTCCAAGAAGGTTGGAAAACAATGACGGAAACTGGTATTCCTTGGTCATCTGAATTGGTATGTCGTTGAGTGACGCCGATGGAAGCTCTGCAAGCTAATTCTTTTTAGCGATTGAAAAAGCCGTGGTATGACAAAGTCACCGGAGACCAGGTCGACAGCTGGATCATTGCTGCTTGTCAACCAGAGTTTTCAGACGGGAAATTGAAAACAGTGATGGGTAGTAAGTATATCTTGCAGCTAGAGTGGTGTTTCGGCGCTGACCTATGAATGCATAGGTATCACCGATATCTCCCGGATCAAATGGGCGGAGAATCTTCAATCAAGAAGGTTGCTCGAGGCGGAAGAGACGAGGAGAGCTCAGAACAATTTCATCGATATTACTTCGCATGAGATGAGGAACCCTTTGAGTAAGTGGACTCCAAATGCGGAACATTGGATTCTCTGCGCCAGTGTTGCGTCATGATGCTAATGTTGATGTAGGTGCTATCTTACAATGTGCCGATGGAATATCGAGCTCGTTAACAGACATCATCGACGTTCCAAATTTGACCGCAGAAACTGTTACTAGTATCAAAGAGAGTATCTCGAACGCTGAGACTATTCAACTCTGTGCTCAACACCAAAAATCAATCGTCGATGAGTATGTACACCTCTCTTCCAACAGCGCTCTACTTACCATCTTCCAGTATCCTTACTATCTCCAAGCTTGACTCTAACTTGCTGCTCATCACTCCTGTTCCTATTCAGCCAGTTGAGATAGTACGGCGGGCTCTACAGATGTTCATGGTTGAGTGCCACAAAGTCCACGACATCAAGATGAAGTTCCATATCAGTCCTTCATTCGAGAGCTTGAAAGTAGATATGGTCATGCTGGACTCATCGAGATTACTGCAGGTCTTGATCAACCTGATGACGAATGCTATCAAGTTCACCAAGTCGTCACCAAAGAGGTCGATTGACGTCTCGATTGGAGCATACCTGGAGCCACCTGAGGAGCATGACTCGAGTTTTCAATACTTCCCAACCAAGAAGGCCAAATCAGACGTCACTACGTCCAGTGATTGGGGTGATGGCGACATTCTGTACTTGCGTTTCGAGGTATGCGATTGAATAATACTTGTCGATTTATGCTGACCTGTGACAGGTGCGGGATAGTGGTTGTGGCCTAACAGCAGAGGAAAAGAAGAAACTCTTCAACCGATTTTCTCAGGCCTCACCACGCACTCATGTGCAGTACGGAGGAAGCGGCTTAGGACTGTTTATCTCTCGTCAACTAACCGAACTTCAAGGCGGCGAAATCGGTGCAGCTTCAGAGGCTGGTGTCGGTTCGACATTCGCATTCTATGTGAAAGCTCGACGAGCTGGAAGCCAGCAAGACCACAAAGCCATTCAGACACGCTTAAGCTCCGAGATTCAATCCAAAGCCCGCCTTCCCATCAATGCTCCCAAGAGCGATGAAGAGCACGAAGGCTCTATGTCGACACTCCTCCAGCTCCGTGGCACACCACCATTACCAAGTCCAAATTCTAGTCCCGGTGACTGGTATATTCTGATAGTAGAAGATAATCTCGTCAACCAACGTATCCTCGCACAGCAGATTGGCAAATTAGGGTGTACCGTCCATGTTGCCAACCATGGCGGCGAAGCACTGGACATCATCAAAGAGACGAAGCACTATCGAGGCCGAGAATTCGATGGAAAGCAACTCTCTGTCATCCTCATGGATCTCGAGATGCCTGTTATGGATGGCCTGACCTGTGTCCGCAAGATCAGAGAGATGGAAGCACAAGGTCTGATACACGGACGTCTGCCCATTATAGCTGTCACTGCGAACGCGCGAGGCGAGCAGATTGCTTTGGCGAGGGATAGTGGAATGGATGATGTGATGCCGAAACCTTTCCGGATACCGCAGATTCGGACGAAGATTGAGGCGTTGTTGGAGAAGACGGCAAAATTGGGGATTAAAAACGATATGACATGATGCTTGATGCCCGGTAGATGAGATGGAATTTAGAGGGATGGAGAGTAAAATGGGATCAAGGCGTACGGGTCTGTACTTTTCTTTTAGAGGAGTGATGATACCCATCTACGCATACGATCAGATGTAGAGCCAATACGTTGTTTTGGCTCTTTTTCCGTTTCACAAGCTTCTCAAATTCTCGTTGACTAGTGATAATCATACTATTCATTCATCACTCAATCTATCCCCCAAACATACAATCCTTACTCTCACTTCAAGGTTGCTTCATCATATACACGCATAAGCCAGCACAGTAGTAGTCTTTCCTACCGCCGTCGTGGTCCCCTTGAACTGACTCGCCGGACCAAATCCATTCAGAAACTTTGTCACAATCCCACAGCCCTTACAATCCAGCAGCGAAGTCTTCGTCGTGGTTGCGGGATACACAGTCTGCGTTGCACCTGTCGGTATTGGATCGGTGTTGATCACGGTCGTGTAGCAGGATGGTGCTGCTTGAGCTTCTGCTTCTGCTTTTGGTTCTGCAGCACGCTCATTGAGACCGAGAGTAACAACTCCGGTTGGTAGAACGGGACTTTCGGTGATGTATGCGGTGGTGACAGAGACATCACAGCCTGTTTGGCAGGTGGGACATGGACCGGGTACAAGGGATGTTGGTGTTGACGTGCAGCAGGCGTCTGCAGATGGGAATTTGACAGTTTGTGTTGAGATGATGATGCAGTCTGGGTGAGGTCCGCATTTTGTTAGGGTGGGACATCCTAGTGCGATTGTGTTAACACATGGTTCGAGCAATATGGATGGATCTTCATTGGAGTGAGGGAGATAGGGGTTGGAGACTGATAGGGACAGAGAAGATGGGGGGTTGTGTGAGCTTACCACTAGTCCCAGCAAGGGGCTTGGTTGTCAGTGTTTGCGTGTAACATGAATGCGTGAGCGTTATAATGCTCTCAATGGTGATTGTCGTTACCCGGCCCACAGTTGCGATTGTTGGACCGCAGGTCGATGGAGCAGGAGGAGCTTGCACAAGGTCTCGTGCAGGGTTACCGTGTACATATTGCCTATATATGAAGACTACTGATCAGCGTCGAGTATGGTAACGTCGAGTAATATGGTAGAGCCAGAAGGAAGATATTTGAACATCGCCGATCTTCAAACCAACAGTCCATAACAGGTAGATAGAAAGGGTGAGGTTTACGCATGTGTGGCTATCAGCAGCAATATTACCGATGGAGCCTGGAGAGGTATCATGTTGATTGGAAAGGCCAAGCACGGATTTGACAGACTGTCAGCTGGACTTGCAAGGACACGTAGACACTCAAATCAGAAGTCGACAGATTCGACTCGAGCTCGAGATTGACAGATCAACAGTATCTGACAGACCTGTTTTCATGACATGATACTGTTGGTTAAGCGGGTTGGGTTAGCGATGACTTCTTATGCTCCCACAGTTCTGGGAATCGAAGAAGCCGAGTCCTTGGAGAGGCGGAAGATAAAACTTGTGCCGGTAGCCAGACCGCATGCAACCAAAAAGAGAAATTGGGATGGGATAATGAAGCGAAGGAAAGGACGGTGAGGGGAAGTAAGGAAGTGAGGAAGTGAGGAGGAAGCCTTTAATCTGTCTTGCCCCACCACCTTGTTACCATGGATAGGACGTTCAAAAGAATATTCTCTCTACACCCTAGCGAAGTCCTTCATTTTCTGGCCTATCTAGGAAGGCGTGAGTGGCAGGCTTGGAACTCGGTTCGTGGCAAGTGACGAAGATCCCCAGTCTGGACCAGACGGAGGCAAGGTGAGGTAGCATCTGAACAAACCCTTCCTGACGGAGCGCCGAGCCCGTGAGTTGATTCATCACTGTCCAAGAAAACCATGTGCATTGCGGGTGAATATGGTTGCACATTTTTGAAAACTAGATATAGTACAATATATCGACGGACAAGCTTTTAGATGATTTCTCATTCTGCCTGTGAGAAGAGTGTGGGGAAGTTGACGCCGCTCGTGACTCCAGTGACAAGCCCCCCATGGTACAATAATCATACAACCTCACCGGATTGGCCACCTCTAATTTTCCACCCGAACAGCGGAATGTCAAACGCCCGTGAAATGCAAGGCCCCTCGCTATGCTGTTATGCAGGAAAATTCCAGAACAAAAAAAGAACAGAGATCCAGTTGTGCACCTTGTTTTTGCGCGTTTTGGCCCCTGAGGTCCTTAGCCGTCTCTGACGATTTTCGGTATTAGTGTCGGAATTGCACTCGCCCTCTACAATATCCTTATAGTAATAAGACATGCCGCGTAGCGTTCTACAGGCTTTGCTGTTTCAGGCGAGCTTCGATCACGTCAGGCGGAGCCTGAAGGTCCTCTTCGTTGTATCCAGTGGAATACATCTTCAAGAGAAGAAGTACTGACTATTCTTTAGTCTGGAGACATCAAATTCCCCCTATAAATTCGTCAGTGTTTGACCCAAATACGCTGGGCCCTGGGAGAAATAAAGCTTACCTTTTGAGGCACCGGGGGAAAGGTCAATGGAAGCCAGACCTGCGTTGTTGGTCCAGAATATCTGGACGGCAAATTCATGCTTTTTTCAAATATACTCCTATCGTCGACTTCTTCATTCTCTTGGTCACTTTCAAGATCCCGAGTGGTATCTGGTCCATCTTCATCGTTCGCAAGACCAATCTCGTCCACCTCACTCTCATTATCGCCGTCTTCGATGTCATCAACTGCGCTGTTTTGATTTGCAGCTGACCGTGCTGTGCCCTTCGAAATATCTCCGAGGCCTGTAATTTTGATATCAACACTGGCGGCAAGATCCTCATCAGCGGCATGTTCTTGAAAGATGCTGGTTGGTGTCACTATGCTCTTTCCAAGTTCAACATCTGCGGGGTCCGCGGAACTTAGGAGTCGCACGCGCTTACGTTCCAAGATCAATTCGTCGAGATGTGGAGCTTTCCTAAGTCGTGGAAATTTCATGCTTCGAGGAATGGAATTTGTTTCACGCCAGGCTTTTATCTTTTGTAAAACAGGAGAATCTTGCTGTATCGTAGCAAGGTGCATTGCGCCCTGGTATCTTGCAATGAACTCGTCTCGAAGACGCCCAACGACATCCTCACTGTGGATCCTGATAAAGGCATCTCTCAATACTTTGTTCATCGTATCAACCTCGCTAGCATGAGTCCAGAAGGAGTCATGAACAGCAGCAAATGAGAGGCCAAGTTCATCGCACCGTAGAGCAGAGAGAAGCATGTGGGTAGCATCTAACGAATGAATAAAATTTGGAGGAAACCCTTGAAGCTGCTTCCGCTTGCTGATTGGGTCCGATCGGTGAGGTTCTGAGAGACTGAGCTTTTGCATGTTCGTTTTGATCGTCTTTGATTTCGAGTCTCGATAAGGCTGTACCACTGGCATGTGTAGTGGGGTTGTCCAGATGACACTGGACTTGAATTGGACCAACTCTTCTATCGACGCGGCCTTGTGGTTACCCGGGAGCGCTGTGGAGGTCAGTCTCGGCCATTCTGACTCTAGCCGTGCTATTTGTTCTGGAGTTAAGCATGTCGAGATCCTTGTGGCACAGTCTCCGAGCCAGTACTGAATGTCATGCGCACCCTTGAACATAGTTGAGAGAGCCGTGAAAATTTTGGTTGCAACATACGCAGCAAGGTTACCTGCATTCATGGCATCGTTGTTCGGAAGGTCTGGATATGCAGCGATCAGTTGGCGTCTGACCTGAGCTTTGGCACCGATAAATGTCACCCCGTAGACGTTTGTCATGACTGTTTGCTTGACTACCTTCCTACTGATCTTGTCTTGAAGTAATAGACCTTTTTCGTTTCCATTGGCTGCGTCCTCGGCGATACTTGCCTTGACTAGATCTGCCACTGCCGAGTAGACGTCGGCGGGGCGGTCACCAGGCTCGAGGTTGACCTGTCGCGCTCCCCAGAGGTCTCCTCCCAAGGCAGCGTAATGCTGGAGACCGTTACAGGTGCCATCCTGGTGAACTGGCAGGTCCGAAACGAACTTTTTGGGATCCGCCGACTCGAGAGCATTTCTGAGCTCCATACATGCTGCCAAAAATTGCCATGGATCTTCGGCGTTAAGCCACCATCTGCTGCCTGACAGAGGATTTGTTGCTGTTTCGTATATTTTCTCTAGATGTTTCGACGCGAATGCCTCACGCTCCGAGAGACTAGCCTTGTCGAAACCGAAGACATTTGCAACATGTATCTTAAGCCATCGCAGGCCACCTTCTCCAAGCTCTCTTCCAACTCCAAACTTCAGTAGACCTCTACAGTGATCTGCACCGATGTGATTGAGGTATGGTGGAATTGGATAGGCTCGACCACGGAAGTCAATATTGTGCGGGAAGTAAAATACCTCATTTCTCAAAGCTCGCGCAATTTCAAGTTGAAAATTCTGAAAGCAGCGTTGTGAATGCAGTCCGCTTCTAGTATTTTCCACATTTTTGACTTCACGTATCCAGCGCCGACGTTCTAGCGGATCCGATGATGGCTCAGGCTCGGGAGGAATAGTCAAATTCGGAGTTTCCGGAGGCATATTTGCAATGCCCTCCCCTGAGTTCCATGCTTCCAGCATAACGTCAAAAACAGACTGATTAATTTTCCAAGGAGTCTTGCCGAGTACATCGAGTCCTTTGAATGTCTGTCGCATGTCTCCTTGGCCAATAGCAGCTTCTGCATAGTGTCTTTGGTCTTTGTCCCCATTTTTGATTCTCATCACCTTGGCTGGGTGGGCAAGGAAACCCCCTTTGCTGAACTCCGTCCACGGATCAGGTTCCACAAGCATTGGGAGATGCTTAGCAAGAAGACTATGCACCGGTTCGCGTTTCATCTGAGCCACGAGGGATTTATTGACAATGATGACACCAAGCTTCTTGCCCATTTTGTATTGATGGGAATGGGACAGCGCTGGCTGCATTTGCGTGACAACCTCTCCTGTTTCTGGATGGGTCAAAGTTACGGGGACCTTGGCGACTTGAATAAGAGCAGACATCAGGAAGGCTCCCACCTTGGCCTTGACGGACAATGGCCATTCGGCACGTGGGCTGTTTGTAAACGTTTCGGTCTGATCCAGCAGAGCAGGCCCAGAGCCGTTTCTGTGAGTGGACATACGAAATCGAGCGGCCCGTTTTATATCCTTCACGTCCAGTCGATTCTTGCTCTTTGGCCACATCTGTTTCTTGCTCTCTTTATGCAGAGCCTCAAAGACACTTTCGTCCTCAACACTTCTAGATATCGACATGATAGCAGTCGACAACGGTAAGCCCTTGTCGGCTCCTAGAGCGCCCAGAGAGCTCATGGACGATAAGATAGTGACGGCAGCTAATGTCTCTGGCCGCAAGAGTCGCAAAAATGGGCCATACGCAACGCGCTCTAGGTCTTCTCTAGACATCTTTTCCGCTTCTTCGGACGCATTAACTTTTTCGATCTCGACTTCCAAGTATTCTGTCAAGCTCTCCTGCCACTTCCACATTCTCGCTCCCAACGACTTGGTCTGCAGTGCAGTGTTCAGACCCATTTTCTTCAGATGTGTGCTTTCATCTCGCCACCGATCGATGGCGGACGTAACCGCATCTTCCTCTAGTCTGGTTTGAACGTCTCGTTTCATCTGGGCTGTTGCTGATGCGAGATCAATCCCCTCAGTAGGAAGTGTTGAAAAAAGCGAAAGCGCTTTTTTCAAGGACTTTAAACCCAGACCCTTTTGTCCAGTAGGTCGTACATTCGGTACTGGAGATTTCGATACGACTTGGTCCAGCGAAGATGGGTCCACTTCCATCCCATTGTGCATCTCTTCGTCCTGGTCCTTTTCTACCATCAGGTTGTACTTTGGGTAGATGTGATTGATTGCATCGATTTCTTGCGCTGTCAGCACTTCCGCGTTCCATAACTGCGCAGCAGAATTCTCGTCTAGCATGTCCATATATCTCCGAACGAGTCGTTCTCGTTGCTCCAGGGGTGCTTGAAGTGATGCTTTGATCATGTATGCAACTGTGTCTGTATTCTGCGGAACGCCCCGTGACCTTATCTGAAGTTCGTACCACTTGTGCAGCTCTTGCATGGATTTTGAGGTGGGATTTACCATGATCTCTTCAATGGCAGCTCGCAGATATTGATTATGGAAACCAAGCAGTTCGTTGGGGTCCACACCGTCGAGTTTAGCAATCCGCTGAAGAATAACTCCTGCACGTTGGATTCTGCCAACCTGCAAACATGCGTTGAAAACCGATTGAATTTCTGAGATGCTGCCGGTGATTCCTCTCGTGCCTTTTGTATATCTATGCGGAGGCATTGCCAGAGACCCGCCGAGCTGTAATAGCTGTGTAGGGGAGCCGAACGATTCGAGGGCAGAGAGGCTATTGCCATCAGCAAAGCCATACCCAGTCCCCGACCCTCTTGGTGGCGGCATAGTTCCGATACTTTCAAAGGGTATATCGTCCATTGGCATGTATCCGGTTGCTGTGGCCAGAGCTCTCCGGGTTGGACGACTGGGTGCATCTTGTGAGTTCCTCCTCGGCCTCGGTCCTCCTACTTGAGATCCAGTATCGGTACCAAACGACCGCCGGCCCCTCTGAGAAGCATTGTATGTTGGGCAGAGCCAAGGGAGGTATAGCTGGTCTTTGTAAGTGCGAATTCGAAGGGATTCCGGACGGGCTTTCCGGCGCGCAGCTCGAACAAGCATCGTTGGTATTTGGCACAGAAAAAGTAGACGCTGTAGAAACGAAGGGACGCTGGGAATTAAAACAAAAATCTACAGGAATATTGAAAGTACGTGCTGATACAGGGCCATCCAACTGCCCGTCGCGTAAATTTGAATGGAGTCGAGGATATATCGTAGCAGAGCACCAGAACTGAGAGATAGGAGGCGAGGCAAACAAATTTTGGCCAAACACACTAAAAGGTGGATACGGGTATTACGCTGCTTAAGCTGGGATCCCTGCGCTGCAGCGGCGGCCCATCGAGTGCGGCCGCCGTGGAAATTTCCAGGACTCGAGTCGCATGGACGACACGCAGTACAGCACAACACAGCACAGCACAGCAGGCAATTATTCGATGATGAGATGAGAATGCAATAGGTGGATTGCATTGATTTCGAGACGAAATATGGTCGTCAGCAGAACTTTCCGTGCTGCAGCATGCGCCAGTTGTCGATTGTCAATACTTCGAAGCTTCACATCTCTTGCAGGCCCTTCGATTCGAGCGCCGCAGGTCTCTGCTCGAGCATCTCGATGTAGCAGCTCTTCAAGTCAACAATTGGGGAAATCCGCGCGTCTATTTTCCGATGATCAGAAGCTCGAATCCAGTAGTGCGAAGGAGGACGATGCTTTAGCAGAAGAGGCTCTACTTGAGGGCTTGGAAGCCTCCTCGGAAGGTGGCAAGGAGCTCGAAGAACTTGAAGATGAAGAGGCTGCCGCAGCCGTTCCATGGTATCTACAAGTCGAATCTCCTCACAGGGCGCCGAAACTATTATCGGAACGCCAGAATCTGCCAGACCTCCCCGATTCGCCTCCGCCCATCCTGCAGCCATTGCTTCAACAGATTTCAATCGACCTGGGCTTCGACGACCTCTCTTTACTGGACCTACGGAAACTCGATCCTCCCCCGGCACTGGGAGCCAATCTACTGATGATCCTCGGTACTGCTCGCAGCGAGAAGCATTTGCACGTATCTGCAGACCGCCTGTGTCGCTGGCTCAGGAGTAATTACAAACTCAGACCAGATGCTGATGGTCTCTTGGGAAGGAATGAGCTTAAACTAAAGCTGAAGAGGAAAGCGAAAAGAGCAAAGCTCATGGGAAGCGCAAACGATGATAACGGAGACGATGGAGTACGAACTGGATGGGTCTGTGTTGACATTGGTGTCGTTGATGGGGGCGAGTCAGCAACTGCGGACAGTGCTCGTCACGATAACTTCGTTGGGTTTGGGCGAAGAACAGACGGAGTACGAATTGTCGTACAGATGCTTACAGAGGAGAAGAGGCAGGAGATTGAGCTGGAAAAATTGTGGAGTGGTATTCTCAAGCGAGGCAGCGATCCCGAGACTGATCTCATTGACTCTGAGCACCAAGAACCTGCTGCTCCTTCTGGATTACCGAAACCAATTGAACGAGCTAGCCTTTCAGCAATTCTTGGGCGTGGACAGACACGAGAACTACACACCTCAACTCGCCGTATGTTGCATAGCGCGTCTTCCGCTGAGCAACCATTTAACATCAAAGTTATGGAAGAGTCATTGATCGATGCAATCATGAATGGGGATTTCGAAAAGGCTGTGGATGTATTGCGACAATCAATACCATACGCAGAATTCTTACAACAGGACAAATGGAAGCTGCTTCCGTTGCAGCAAATGAGGACCTATCTAGAAAACGTGCCCCAAGAACGTGCCATTCAGGAGTTGGGTATCGTCGCTCCCACTACAGTAACAACACCTTATTTGACCTGCTTCAATGAACTCTTGTCCTCATTTCCGACGGAAGCAGAAGCTGACATCAGAATATGGCTGGCCTGTTTCGCTCGAGACCTTGGGCACCCAGACTATACAAAATACATGGTGTTTGAAGTTTTCAAAGAATTGCAGAGTTATGGGGTCAAGATATCTCAAGGGTCATATATGCGGCTTCTCAAGGGAATCCTTGGTCCTGTCAGGGGCAGAAAGCACTTTTATCCATATCGGAAGTACGCCGAAATGGCTATGAACATACTGCAGACCATGCATGACCAGGGACTTGAGATTCTAAATGAAGATCTTCTCGTATATATTCAAGAGCTTGTCTCCCCACGGCGGCCTGCTAGGGATGTAGCACCAGATTCGACATACACCGATCCAATCGATACATTCGATCTTCCTAGCTTGCCAATGTATCCCATACAAGAACGGCTCCATGCTCTCATCATGTCCCTTGAGCTACCACCTTTCAAGGATGTGTCTCGAATGAGGCTGATGGACTTGTACGCACGACTTGGCAACTGGAAGGAATTCTTCGAGATATTCCGGATGGCGTCAAACCAGGGCCAGCTTCAGTCGGCAACTGTGTACGCGTTCATGTTTGGCTCTGTAGCACGGACAGACTACCAGAAGTCGTGCATGGCTGTGCTGCGAACATGGATACCAGATCTCGAATCAGCCAAAGTTGAACTTGACGGAGAATTGGGAGAAGCCGTGAAGGCATGCTTGCGGGTTGCTGATCCTTTCGTTGAACAAGATTTTATAGATTTCTCAGAAAAGCCGAGTGAATGGTTGTCTTTGTGGAAGCGGATTAAGTCGAGCGAAGCTCAGAAAGACCAGTTCTTGTACGAATAGATGTGTAACATAGCTAGAGCTGGGGTATCAGTGGTACCACCATGTAACCAACAACGATGTACAAAAGCCTTCTCTCACTCGTCGCAAACGTTACTCGGTGCCCACACATACCTGTTATCCATGTGACGTGAAACATGTCTAAATTTTTTGGTTGGTGACAGCGCGTGGTCTTCAAGATGGTCGCGCTTGTGTGATCCACCTGACAACAACACCCAACCAAAACATCTCGTCCCCCGTCTCCAAGACTCGTTTCATCCCAGCTCTTGTTTATTTATTTCAGCCTTTTTCCCATGATAAAATAAAACAACTATCATCCCCTCTGTTCAACCATTTAAACTTTATCACTCTACTACTCACAAAGATACCCAAAATGAAAGCCGCAGTTTTCACTCCACTCGCACTTCTTTCCGCCCTCCCCAGCACCTTAGCTTGGGGCACTTTAGGTCACACGACAGTTGCTTATATCGCCTCCAACTTCGTACAGCCTGAGACTCGGGATTTCTTCCAGAACATACTGCATAATACCTCAGATGCATATCTAGCGGGTGTTGCGACCTGGGCTGACTCATTTCGGTATACTGCTGCTGGGAGGTTCTCAGGCCCCTTCCATTTCATCGATGCCGAGGATAGTCCGCCCACCAGCTGTGGCGTGAAGTATGCAAGGGACTGCGGGGAGCAGGGAGTATGTAGACAGTCTTGAATTTTACAAAAGTCACAGCTAACTTTTATGAAGTGTGTGGTTGGGGCTATTCAGAATTATGTAAGTTTGGGAATGGTGAGATGAGACGAGAGTGCTGAGATGCTGTTCGGACTTAGACCAGACAACTGCTTAATCCCAACTTGAATGGGGGACTTAGAAATATGGCTGCTAAGGTAGGTGTTTGGAATAGAGGTGACTCTGATATTTGCTGACATTGTACATAGTTCGTAGTTCATGTAAGCATTTGGCACCTTATCTGATCAGCACATTCGGCTAACACCTCCAACGCTCCTTGGGGATATCCATCAACCACTTCATGTCGAGAATGTACAGAAGGGTGGCAACGGCATCCAGGTACTATTCAACGGAGCTCACGTAAACCTCCACCACGTCTGGGACACCAGCATCGCGGAAAGACTGGTCGGTGGCTATGGCCTTCCTCTCGCCCAAGAATGGGCCAAGAATCTCTCGCTCGCCATCACAGAAAATGAATACAGATCTCTAGCATCTTCATGGCTAGATGGTATTGACTTAGCTGATCCGGTGACGACTTCGCTTGCTTGGGCAGAGGAGACGAATAAGTTTGTGTGCACGGCAGTCTTGCCGGCTGGTACTGAAGGCGTTCAGGATAAGGAGTTGAACGGTACATATTATGAGATTGCGGCGCCGATTGTGAAAATGCAGGTCGCGAAGGCTGGATACAGACTGGCGAAGTGGTTGGACCTTATTGCGCAAGGACAGATTGAAAAGCCAGAGTTGTGAGGGGAGAGCGGCAATGGACTTTGAAGAACAAACAATTCCTCACTTCTAGAAAAGAAATGCCATATCTTGTAAATGTCATGAGACAATGAGGTACCTACAAAGCTTGCTAAGATACAATGAGAACTCCCCTACGTTTCTAACATCCAGAAGCGGTGGTGAAGCTGTCCTATCTTTTCTCGCCTACATCGAAACGGGAATGTTTTAACTGGGGTTTCCTTCTTTTGGAAGTTGAAGTGAGGGCATTATTCGGAGGGTGCAGATCTTCTTTAGACACTCTTCTAGTCCAACCAACTGTAGTTTGAATACTTAACAGGAAGATAGAATGGCAAACAAATGGAGGTCTTTGTTCTAATCTTGATTCCATGCTCATTACATCTTATCGATAAGGTTAAAAAGTCACCAACGATATCGGAGGAGAGCTTGATGAACCGAAGTTGCCCCTCGAGTCCACTTTCTTGGCGGAGGAAAGAGAGTTTCCATTTGACTTCAAGCGACAGCGCCTTCTTCACAGTACTTCATGTTTTCATGAGAACCCTTCTTTATTACCCTGGTGCACCGCGCCTTGTTAACAGCAGCGTCAGAATCCATGTCACTAAAAAGGTTGGTTAAACCATGAATCTCAGCAACTAAACTCAAGATGCAGGCATCTTCTTATTGCGCCATTATTCGCGCACCTGTGGGCATGCGGGTGGGGCCTTACCATGTCTGGTCGAAATGAATCGACAGGCTTTTCTCAATCTTTATTCCCTTCTATCTCAGATCTTGCTGTGTTTATATATTTTCATCTCGCATAAATTGACCAACGACAGGCGCTGTTAGGCGAATACTAGGGTTACACATCAGACGGAGGGGCGCAACTCTGTGTCCGGCAATTCGATCTGCTCTCACCTCGTCATAATCAGCCAGTAGCCAGCGACGGCGATCAGAGTTCAAGCTTTCTTGCGGATGAGTCTGCGGTAGCTAGTCCAATGACTCGCTCGGAACTTCCATTCTATAGATACATATCTGGTGACACCTGAAAGCTCTTCAAAACGTCACCCTCTCTATCCCACTCTTCACGTCCACGTCAAACATGGCGGCATATGGGTCCTATGGCGAGGGTCCGAACGGCCAACAGAATGGAATTAATGAACAAACCTCACTACTCGCTGGAAATAGTCTACGCGAATCTCATCATGGAACAATTTCATCAGACGCAACGCTCCGAGACGATGATCTCTACGAGGACGACATCGACCCGAACGAGTTCGACAACCTCCTCTCAAGATCCCAGTCGATCACAAGCGGCCTAGGAATCGAGCCAGACTCCCAGGAAAGAGCCATGCTACGCGGTCCACGACGATACAGCACAGTACGAGGAGGTTCTCGAGCACCAAGTCATGTTAGCACTCTACGCCGAAAACAGTCCCACGCGAGCAGTCTTGGCAGTGCTCATGAAGCTATCCGAGAAGCAGAGGAATCAGAGGATGAGGGACCAAAATCTCCATTCCTCGCTGGTGTTAGTGTCTCGACTTTCTGGCTTATCTTCGGAGGAATCTTGACTGCTCAGTTTGTGGCATGCTTTGATTCAACGATAATGGTTTCGTCACATCCCGTGATCACATCATACTTCCACAGCTCCAATAGTGCTTCATGGTTATCGACCGCATTTCTGTTGACCTCGACGAGTTTCCAGCCCTTGTTTGGACGGTTGTCGGATACCATTGGTAGGAAATCACCTTATATCTTTAGTATGGCATTGTTCTTACTTGCTACGATCTGGTGTGCTCTTGCCCAAAGCATGACCAGCTTCATCCTTGCGAGGGCTGTGTGCGGCTTGGGAGCTGGTGGTATGATGTCGATGGGAGCTATCATAACTAGTGACCTTGTGCCAATCGAGATCCGTGGAGCATACCAGTCTTATATCAACATCGTTTATGGAGCTGGCTCGGCTCTAGGAGCCGCTACCGGAGGAGCAATTGCTGATAGCTTGGGCTGGCGATGGGAGTTTGGTGTCCAGGTGCCTCTTTTAGGAGTGGGACTCTGTATTGCCTATTTGGCTGTTCCAAGAAAGCTCGGTCTTGCAGAGGGAGCAGAGAGAAGAACTGTTCGTGAAGCGATAAAAGTGTTCGACTATCGAGGTTCAATCCTCTTGACAACATCCATTACATTCCTTATTCTGGGAATCAACCTAGGCGGAAACATCTTCCCATGGTCACACCCTTTTGTGATAACCTCGCTTTCCATCTTTGCTGTCTGCTTCCCGGCGTTCATATGGATTGAATCTCGAGTAGCACTTCCCATCATGCCTCTGGACTTACTCACACGCTACCCTCGCGCTGGTCTTATATTATCCAACTTCCTCGGAGCAATCATAATGAACTCAGTCATGTTCAATATCCCATTATACTTCCAAGCCGTCCTACTGGAAAGTGCAACAAGCTCCGGACTCCGGCTTATCGTTCCATCACTCGCTTCTTCGTCGATCGGCACCGCGACCGGCTTTCTCATTACATACACCAAGCGTCTTAAAATCTGGCTTGTACTCGGCCCTGTGTTCTTCATTATTGGAACGGTAGCGCTTTCATTCATGCATCGGGGCCTGGTAGACTGGGCATACCTGCTCTTCCTTGTGCCGCAAAGTATTGGTCAGGGGTTTATGTTCCCCGCCACGTTCATGACAGTTCTAGCTGTGTCAAAACAGGCAGACCAAGCTGTGGTGACCTCGACCTTGATTCTCTGGAGATCGATAGGATCAGTTTTGGGCGTAGCAACGAGTAGCCTGGTCTTGCAGAATGCGCTGCTGATCTACCTCGAGAAGTTCGTTATTGGGCCGGATAAAGAAGCTGTAAGGCGACTCTCCACTTTGTTTGTTGCGTTCAAGATGCTAATCTTTTGATAGGTCATTCAGCAAGTCCGAAAGTCAGTTCGAGCTATCGCTGATCTCAAACCTATATATCGCGAACAAGTCATTAGTGCGTACGCGGCTTCACTGAGAGCGACTTTCATGATGTCAGCAATCATGTCAGTTGCGGCGTTCTGCATGGTAGTTCCTCTCAAACTTCCCAGACTAGGCCAGAGAAAGTGATCGGGTAGAAAGATGTCTTTTGGTGCGGGTCTTAAGATACAATACAAATTGTCAAGCATGGGTTGCGTGGGATGTATTAGCATTTGGGTGGTGATTTGATTTGAGATCTAGGTGCAAACCATAATTTAAGTTATAGCATATAATTTAACTTGTTTGAAAGTTGAGCGTATGTTCTATAGTCCTCGTCTCTGCTCGGAGTGCTGCATCCTGAACGATTTATATCAACAGAAGTCGTTCTGGCTTTCCCCCTGCAAGTACCCGGATGTGCTTTCCAACAACGGACGAGTATTGGATTAGAAACCAACATCATTAAGTTTCCTAGAAGATATACGTCTTTTATTAGATATATCCAGGACCCAAATGCGAAATAAGGCGAGCTCCCAACACATCTCGTACTTCTATCGCAGACGGACAAGTTTCGTTGCACGTGACATTTATGCTCGGTTGAAAAGGGGGTTTCATCAAGCGAGAGGGAGTCAACAATGGAGCTGCACGAGGACCAAGAAAGGCACACACTTGTGCAGAGGACTATGCATCGCAGTTTCTGAATAAAGTAAGATGCCTTACTCATTATCGAGGCTCTCTCATTCAAATCCAACATAATATGGATATACTTGCTACAGTGTGCTACATAATTTCGCGCACTCCTCCATTCAGCCCCAGCACCAAAATATTCGACTCAGAGCGCAAACCCTCTTGTGTACAGATCCACATCTCCCTCCTAGATAACGATAATGTGACCGTATCGTGAAAACCAAAGGATATCAGAACACCTTTCCATGCAGTAAAATGCAACCACGCAATGCAAGACTGGGTCCGCGGACGCACCAGTCGTTTCAAGCTTCCGACCGTTATTCCATCCGTTACAAAGACAACGCAGCTTCGACGCTCAAAACAGACCGAACCCAAAATCAAGCTCAAGTGCAACCCTGATAGGTCGAGAGCACTAACACCAGCACCAAACGCCGCCCATATGCATGCATCCATCGACTCCTCCATGGTCCAAGCCTGGCCGTTTTGATATTGTATCGTATGTCGTGTACCGCTCTATGCACAACTCCCCTTTCCCGGACATTTATATACGTTTTTCATCCATCTCATCCGTCTCTTTCTTGTCACCTTTCCGACTCCGCCTGTTCGACCGGCGATTCTAATACCGGTGTACCCAAAGCCGTAGTACCGCTCCCATCTGTCTCCTCTGGCGCCTTCTCATCATCCTCGTACCTCGATGCCTTAGTGTCCGAGCCCTTAAGCGTATTCGCACCATCAGAAAACGCATCCTCGTTGAACACAATGCCGCCTTCACTCTCAATATCTCTGTCCATCGGATTCGCCTCCTCATGAACAGGACTCATCGCCCCATCTACACCAACACTTTCCCACCACTCGGCTCTCCTAGCACCTGGCTCTCGATTTCCCGTGTTGTTCGAATCCGCCTGATTCCTGCGCTGCAAGATCTCCTCATCGCGCCGACGATACGCAGCTCGTGCTTCGCGTACCATCTCCTCCCGTGTCTTGCCAGGTCCTTGCACAATCCTCCGCTTACGGAACCCGCTCCAGTCGGCCCAGAATTTGAGACTCACCCAGAATCCGCCGTTGGTGCCGGGGATGTGTCGCCATGGTTTTTCTCGAGTGGAGAAGAGCCAGGCATCGACGGCAGCTTGCATGCAGATGGAGATGGTGGTGCAGCAGGTCAGTGCAAAAGGAGGGTCGATGGCAAATCTGTCGGAGTATTGCATGCCGTGTGAGACGAAGGGGAGGATCCACATCCCGATATAGACGAGTGGGTAGATGAAGAGGAAGCGGAGTTGGCGGCGGATCTTCTCGCGTGTGCGATCCATTTCGGCATCGGCCATTGTTTGGCCTTGGGTATTAATTAGCTGGATTCGGGAGACGCGTGTTGATGCGTCAGACTGGTCGGGATGTTTGCGAAGGACGGTAAAGATGTCGACGACGGAGTGCTTGGTTGTTGTGTCACCGCTGGTGTTTTGGGGCGAGAATCGAGTGACGAAGCCGTCTCTCCATGATGAGGCTCGTGATGGCAGTTCGGACATTGACTCGCTTCGAGGTGAGATTGGTGCTGGGACTGTAGGTGGGAGAGGATGAGGTGTTGAGGGACCGTCGAAGGAGTCTTCTTCAATTGAGCTTTCTGAGGGAGGTGTAGGAGATGAATTATCAGGTGCTGAAAAGCTCTGCCACATGAAACGGTGGGCACCAGTTGTTCTTAGTGCTGGCCGTTGCCCTGGATCATGCGAATCGACTGTTGATACGGATGGCTTCCGACCCGCTTGCTCTGTCATAGTATCCTGCCTGAAATCCGGGATCAAGCCGTGGCAGGCCAGTGTTGGGGTAGATGGGACAGTAGGCCCCTGTTTTCGTTTCTGTTTCTTTGTTGGTCGTTCCGCTGATCCTATCGACTCATCATTCCCTTCTGAATTGTGCTTCGCCAGCTTGTTAAAACCTTGAAACTTGAAGCGCACGTAGTAATATATAGACACATATATAACTAGAATAAAAATGAAAATCACATATCGAGGTATCCAGTCCAAGGCTAGCCGGTACCAGAACGGTCGTACAGGAAGGTAACAATATGTTCCTTCCGAGACATATGCATGACGACCATTTATAAAGGCAAGACTTGCCATCAAAAACGGAAATATGATCCACAATAGGTATGCAAGCTTTCGGTATGGGTATAGACCTCCTTCGCCGCGAGAGGATCGCGGTCGAAATATGTACAGTGCGCTGTGGACCGCAATCATAAGAACGGAAAAGTCTGTGTAACAATTAGCCGTGAACGACAAATGTGTAACAGAGTCTTGTATCCTACCGGAAGCTTCGATTCCTAGAGCAATCATGAAGCCATTTACTTGACAGAAAGTCGAGGTATCTCGAACTGGACCGTGTATGAAAACGACGATAGGGTAAATCATAAACCAAAGGGCTTTGAACATGTCGCTCTGAATCAATAACATGATGAGGCTAGAATCCGTCAGTATTTGAAGTCCAAAGGGAGTTCTGGAAGCTTACTCGTGTCTGAAGCTCCTTCTCATTTTCAAGAACCAGTAGAAGGTCAACACGGAAGAAGCAACACTAATCGCAGAGAAAGTCAAAGCCAAAATCTGCAGCGTGTTCTTCTGATCATCCGATAACGAAGGTGCCGAACTTGTATTGTTGCCATCGCTGCCGCCCAATCCTCGCGATTCGAGATGTATGCTGGCCCTCACCATCACATCTGCCAACAGTCCTGACGAGAGGGGCGCCATTGTGCGATAGCTTGACCTTCGAGATTGGCTTCAGGATATCCGACAGCAAGGAACGACGAAGAGAGGAATTATGAGGTTCTTGTTTGCTGTTTGCTTCGTAGCGTCCGCATATTTCGAATTCCGGGTTCGGGTTATGGGTGGCCGAATGCGGTGAGCTGAATGTCAATACTCGAGAAATTTCAGTTGGTGGATGCGCAGACAATAGGTATTGATTGTACTGTGTGCTGCAGGTTCCCGATGAGCATCCGCAGAGCTGATCTCCCAATGCCTCGAGCGCTTCCCAGCTGGTGTTGTTGAGATCTGGGCTGAAGGCTGTCAGAAAGGGAGGGCGAGTCGAGTTGTTGGCGTTGGCGTTGGCAAGCACAGCGAAAAACAAGCCCGGCAGCCTTATCGAACAGACCTTGCGAGAGATCCCGTCGATGATGTAGGCGCAGCCGGGGTGGGGCTGGGGCCGGGGCCGCCGCGGCAATGATGAAGTCCAAGATCCTGGCCTTATCTGGTGGTCTGGACTTGTTCAGACGAATCCCACCAGCAACATCAAAAGAGTTGCTGTAGGTAGAATATCTCCTCGTCGCAGTCTTGGAGTGTGAAAATGGTGGAAACAGAGGACGAGGGAACAGAAACTGGACAAGGGAGGATAGAGGATAGAGGATAGAGGATAGAGGAGCACATGCATGGGCGCAACCTGTGAACGGTGTGAGTTGTGGGGGTTGCTTGCCCGGCGGTGGACGTGGAGGTGGAGTAATTGACTAGCTGGCCCGGGGCGAGTGGTGGAGGGATAGCAGGATGAGACGAGCGAAACAGCATGCGAGTCAACGACAGCGAACGAAAAGAAGGGAAGAGAGGGAGAGGGAGAGGGAGAGGGAGAGGGAGAGGGCAGACTGACTGACAAGCAGGCAGCCGTCAGTCCACGATGCATGAAACCTTGATTGATCTCACTCACTGGACTGGTTCATGGCCATCAGCAAAATGCAGTACAGTACAGTGTCGAGAGAGTCCTCGCGAGCCGTGTCCTTGCCCTTCCTTGTCTGCACGCGGGTCGAGTCGGTCGACTTGATTGACAATGGAAATCCACCAATTCCACGCGTGGTCAAACGCCCACAGCAGCCTCCATCGCCCAAGATAACGTGGGCTCGCCAATAAGTTAAGGGAAGGGAATGAAAGCCGCCTGCACACCTGACAAAGTCACTGTACTGTTCTGCACTGTATTGCTTGTCTCAGGGCCACGCCTGGATCTCTCCCAGCCACGATGCAAAGCATTCTGGTCTTACTGTATTGCTTTCTGAGTTCACGCCAACTCGCTCCAACCCTCTTGGCCTCGTGCATATGGCTCATGGCAGGCATGTTTTCTAAGTAGATATTCCGTAGTAATTTAGATACACAGAAACGAAAGCGGGAATCTTGACAGATGCCGCTTGGCTCCTCCTGCTTGCTCGGCCCTCCTATCCTGTTAGCAGTCTACTGTCACCCCCGGCTTGTCCGACTGACGATGCTGAGAATGTGATGCCATGCGATGCGATGCAGGCATTTTATAAATCCCCGCACATCCATGTTGTGTGCAGAAAACCGGTAACATACAGGCCTCGACTGGCACGACGGCACGCACACCGTTGAGCTTGGATCACTTGTCGGTCTGGAGTGGAGTGTTTTGACACGGGCGGCCTGGTCCTCTTCCGAGGGACTGGATGATAGCAGTGTCAAAAGGGAAAGTAAGTTAAGTTAAGGTCAGGTAAGGTAGGGAAGGTATGGTAAGGTAAGGTAAGGTAACCAACCATACACAGAGAGTCAGCCACTGAAGGCTAACTTACTGAGTAGTGCGCAGAGCAATTGCTGTCTTTCGAGTAAATGCGGTATTGAAGGCGAGCCTGCCGCCCGAGCCTACCTTAAGAGACAACAACTCCAGATACTTATACCCCAAGACGGCAATGCCCCAGGCAAACGCTCCGATGGCTCCTCTCCTCTCCTCACCTCTCCTTCACAACCCCAGCCGAGCGAACCACGCTTCCCCACCAAGCGGAAGGGGGAAAAGTTCAAAAAGAGTTGAGGATGAACTGTCACTCTCCGCACTCGGACATTATTATTCACCGCCAAGAGCAGTAACTTTCCCCATATTTGCTTTCTTGCTTTTATTTGGGTTTGTTAGCCAGGGCGAGAAGAAGACGTGCATTTCCATCCCTATGCTGCAAATTTGCATGTTCCTGTTTCGGCATCAAGCCTCGTTCATCATAAGGCAATTTGATGGATGCTGGCGTGGACTTTCTTTTCTTTCCCAAACTGTCACTCGCTTATCCTACAGTCGTTGAGGGCCGCCTTGAGCGCTCATCCGTCTCTGGTTATTTCAGCCAATAATGAAGAGCCTTCGTGTGTTGATTGGCTCACGCAAAGTATGGGAGAATGTTCCACTCACAATCTTCTAATTTTCTAATCTCCAAGAATACTTTCAATGCAGAAGCACGATCACGCCTCATGAACATGCGGCGGGAACAATTGTATAGAAGATTCCTTAGCACAAGCAATCCTAGAATTTGGCTTAGGGAGCCTAAGTCAGGGCAATTCTATAACACTTTTGATATAAAGTATCCACCTTATCAAAATTGACATCATGCGCGGGAGCAACGTCAAAGCATCAAGCTGAACACTCTTGAACTTACGAGCAAGAGAGCGGCGCTCAAAGTATATTGTTCTTTCGAACTACCCACAAAGATAACTCTGGAGCCAGGAGAATGTCTGGCAGGAGTGAATGAGACCACACCCACTACATGATCAACGGGTTGTCTTGGTGCTAAGAGTCAGAAACATTAGCAGACTAAAAGAACTTCGTACGCAAATACAGAAATGCATCTCTATATTGAATTGATTTAATGAAAACCATTCACAAACCGGCTTCCTCTGTTTTCGTTCGACTTGTTGATATGAAAATCAATGAAGAGAAACTTCTCGGTCTCACTCTGACTCAAATAGATCTACATGGACCATAGCTATAAACTCATATTGGAGAATCATAAATTGTCACAATAGCTCTCTGACACGGAATACAGTAATGATCCTCGACTTTTCAACCTCCTCCATCTCTTCCTCAGCTATAAAAGACCCCCCTCACCTTCCCCCAAAATACACCCTTTCTTCCTCATCCAAACCTCCACAACAAAACCCAAAAACATCATCGAAACAAAACCTAAAATACCCACAACTAACAACTAATCACTACTCTACCAAAGTAAAGAAGTGGAAAAAAAAAAAAACCATGTCCGACAACCGCCGCCGCCCTCCAACCAACAACTGGCCTCCCCTAGGACAAATCGGCAGCCAGTTCCGCGATCCTCGCTTTCCACATGGCGTGGGGCTCGCTCCTCTACCTGGTATGAATGGTGCTGTTGGTATCTACATTCCAGGTGGTATGCCTGGCGGAGGAGTGAGACCGCCTCCTCGTCCACCGCCAGGATATGATCCGAGGTAGATATGGTGGCGTTGAGGAAAAGAGAGTTGAGGGGAGAGGTGGGAGAGGTGAGGGTATGTTGGGGATTGCTGGGGAATGAGAAGTTGGCTATAGAAGATTGGGGCTAGATAGGGAAATCGATGGGCTTGTTTCTGCGGAGTCTGGCTGTGACAGAAAGTGTGAATGTGACTGTCTAAGGGTCGATCTGGAAAGGAATAGCAAAGCTGGCTTGCGAGACTTGAAACCATCTGAGTGTTCTCGATACAAAAATCATATCAACCAATGGCGATCTCTGCATAATTAACCTGGTGTTCAAGTTGTGTTATTCTTTCCTCTGGTTTCACCTACTTTGAAAGAAATAGTGAAGTATAAAACGTTGTGTCTACCTGCTCACGCCATGTACGAGAATCTCTTCCCTAGCCCTGCATTGTCCTTGAATTACACACTGTTCTGTCATCCCTTTCTATGTTTCTGTACAGTAACATCGAAATTCAGATATTGTCAAGAAATAATTCAAAATGAAAGTGTTTTGTAGATGAGCTCATGGAGATTGATTGGCCTGCAATGAGAGTGAGAAGTGGCAGCGGTTCCCTTCTGACGAGTGAAGTGCAGCAACGAGTAATTGGTACGTCCTGAATAACAGACCAATGGCAATGATAACGGACACATATGAAGTCATTTTTGAAGACGCATAGGAGCTACAGTAAGAGCCGGAATTAACATTCCGCGAACGGGGCCGCAGAGGATAACGAAGCTGTAGACTGCAAATACCTCGGAGCATGGGAAAGCTAGACCAGGGGTGTTATTCTTTTCAAATAACTGAGTGAACGACTCTGACATACATACCATAATATAATGAGAAGATGTTCACCTTGTTTCCTTCGCGCTTGGAGATTTTACCGGTGAATATTGGAGTAGTGTGAACACCTTCAAAATTGAAACTGGCTGAGGAACAGAGCCATGTAACCCGTAGCGAGGGGTATATAAATCTTGAATTCTTAATCCCAGAATTTTCTATCCCTCTCGTCAACCCACCACCTTCGTAGAAATCAGTGCAATACTCTCATCACAAAAGGGCAATATGATAGGCGTTCAAGAGATACCTGCCAGTAAGCCTACCAGCACACCTACCACCATATCTACTACGACATCTACCACCACAACTACCACCACAACTACCAGTCCACAGGAAGCAATTGCCACAAACCAAAGAGAGGAGTGGCCCAAACCAGAAAGCATCTTCTATCACCCCACACTACCACACAACGTAGGTCTACCATTGCCTCGTAAGACACAACCGCTACCAAACGATCAAATCTGCTTGCGCAGGTACAACCCAGTTACTGGAAAGGTCACGCTGGAGCCTTTCCCTCCGAATGAACCTCCAGTTCGATTAGGTATAAAGACAGAGAAGAATTGATCAGGATACTGGAGAAGCTGTGACGTACTGAAACTGAGGCTTCTGCATTGTCAACTGTAGTGACACGGCATGACAGGGCTTGCATGAGACCAGGAGACCACAACATTCGTAAATCCGATATTTAGGTAAGTGTCAATAAAATCCAAACATGTAATCATCTTACCGCTCGATTCGTCAGTGCTTATGCCCTTGTCTTGCAGATGTTACACCAGCGCTCAGATCAGAGTCAACAAAGCCTCGCCAAAATCCAGGGGTTCTTCGCTTGGGCTTCACTGACGTCAGCCCTGCACCAAAACGCGACACAGCTTTTCTCTCTACCACCACCCTTCGCAACGAGTGCTGGGCACCCGTGTTCAATTCGATACAGGGATACAACATTTAAAATGCCTCTGCCACGCGTATCTCTGCGAACATTTCTCTCCTCAGCAAAATCCGCCCTGCACAATGCGAACCAGCAGTCCTCGCCCCTCACATTCGTTATCGGCAATGAAGCAGCTGGTAACCCCACCTCCTCTCCTGCTTCAGAGTAAACCTTGCTGATATATTTGGTTACAGACCTCGATTCCCTCTGCAGCGCAGTCGTCCTAGCATATCTACGAACCTACACCTCAGCCTCCCATACAAACACCCTCTACATACCCCTCTCCAACATCCCACACACCGACCTCGCGCTCCGGCCAGAACTCCTCCCTGTGCTCTCACGCGCCAATCTCAAACCCAGCGACCTGATTACTCTCTCCGATTTACCTAATCTATCACAGGGTACACGCCTTGCTCCCGAAAGGACGAAATGGATACTCGTCGACCACAACGCGCTGCTTGGTGAGCTGGGCAAGATATACAGCGGGCGGGTGGTTGGCTGTATAGATCACCACGATGAGGAAGGCAAGGTGCCGAAAGATTGCGGTGATGAGCCGAGGGTTGTGAGGAAGAGTGGTAGCTGTGCTAGCTTAGTGGTGGAATACTGCAGAGAAGCGTGGGATGCAGCATCCGCCAGATCGAACGACGAGGAAACGGCGAGATGGAATGCGGAGCTTGCGAGGGTTGCGCTTGGGCCGGTGCTGATTGATACTTCGAATCTGGAGAATGAGGCGAAGACTACGCCTGCCGATGTTGAGGCTGTGAAATACCTTGAGAAGTGGATTACTGCTGGTGAGGGGGAGAAGCTTGACGCGAAGAGTTATTACAAGGAGATTTGGACGGCGGAGAGGGACGTGGAGGGGTTGAATTTGATGGATCTGCTAAGGAAGGATTATAAGCAGTGGAGTGAGGGAGGTGTTATTTTGGGAGTTAGTTCTGTTGTCAAGGACATGGACTTTTTGCTCTCCAAGAAGGAGACCAGGGAAGAATTCTTCGATACCCTGAAGATATTCTCTAAGGAAAGGGGCCTATCGATATGCTGTATCATGACCAGATCATCAGCCAAAAATGGGAACGGGTTCCAGAGAGAACTCTTCCTCTGGGGCCTAGATGACAAGGGCATTGAAGCTTCTAAGAAGTTCGAAGCTGAATCGACTAACAGTCTGGGTCTTGAGATTTGGAAAGAAGGATCCTTGGATTCCGAAGATGGAGGACTGTGGAGGAAGTGTTGGCATCAGAAGAAGATTGAGAATTCGAGGAAGCAGGTTGCTCCCTTACTCAGATCGTCGATGGCTAGTTGAGATACCCAGGTAGAAAGCCTACTATAGAGCATTAGAGCTTCCATCAAGCATGCTAAAATTAAGATCGTTTCGACCGAGCATCAGTGTTTTGCCCGATATTATTTGCTCCCTCATTTCAAGTAACCCCTCGAGCAACCTTCCATCATTGCTGTCGGATTGTTGTGAGAGACATGAAAAGTAAACAAGTAAGTGATATTGTCATATGAACGAAGTTCTCAAGTCTATGAGTCTAGTCTACGCTATGTCGTTGCAAAAACAGAGCTCGCTTCAGTTTGCCATAATTTCATCAATCAATATCGTCGTTGCCCCTAGAAAGGCATTTCTACATCTCTCGCCATCCTTGAATTGGAGACCTCATAGTCGCCATAATATCAGCATTTGGTGTCGCATCGGTCGAGATGGTCAAGCAAATCGATTGCTGAAGTTTGTCGAGGTCCTACTTCGTCGTAAAAGATGTTAATCAACAACCAAACATCTTGTTCGTGCTCACATTACACCTGCTCCACCACTTCCTCTCCCAGATACTGACCAAGAACATCTCTGGCCAATACCCAACGTACAGCCACCATGCCGGCCAAGGATCCCATACTTCCCACGTTCCATCTCTCCAGTACAGCACATGCTCCGCGAACTCCATCCACATCCTCAACATATCCCGTACCCCGATTTCAGATCTCAGGACACTCAGAACGGGCAATATGACTCTCGTCACGAGATCGTGCCCTATCCAGTAGTACCCCGGAACACCTGGTGTCGGTACAACGAGCGCCTCGCTCTTATGCCCATTCGAAACACCCTTTGGCTCATGATCTGGCAGAATAGAGAGATAAGCCGCTGCCAAATCTTCACATACATCGCTGAGACACACCACGGCCGTGTGAACACGTGGATTACATTCAATCGGATAGATCTTCTGCATCAGCTCCTTGACTTCGCTCTCCTGGACCCCCATCCTCGTCTCCGCCACACGAGCAACTTCCTCCTCCACGAGGAAATCGATCGAGAAGTGCCCCGTCATACCGTTCCCCGTTTTTCTTGCGTACAGCGTGGTGTAGAGGAGCATAGCTTGCGAGAGGGCTGATGAGGTAGGGAGGGGCGTGTAGTGCATGAGGAGCTCTGCGGAGGGGCAAGCGACGAAGGCTTTAACTTTTCCACCGATGATGAGGCTGTGTGTGCAGTATTCCGGTCCTTTGATGAATTTCTGTAGGACGAATGGCCGGAAAGGGGTAGGGTTCATACGCTTGATGTGTGCTTCCGTTTCTCTTAGCGTCGGGAGAGGGAGTTGTGTCATATTGGAGCGGTTTGAATCGTCGAGCAGGATACTCTTCATGATGTACTTATCATTTGGTCGCATCGTTGGCCTGGGCTTCTCGGGATACAAGACTGAGAGGCTCTCGGTTTCAGAGGTTACTAGATGCGTATCTGGGACGTTGAGACCTAGGTTTCTTGTGTTGTCTATGAAGAAGTGTTTCTCGTGCAGTGTTTCCGTGAGCGTGAGTCCAAACTGTACGGCTTTACAGCGTGTTTCCTTCGAGATTGCTTCCGCAGCTTCACCATCTTCGATACCAGACGCTATGCCTGAGCATGGAACCCATAACTCCACGCCCTCTTTGTTGATAATGTCAATCAGATCCTGTATATATTGTGCCGACCCGGCCTCAGACGTAGGCCTAGAGAGCCGGTAAAATTTATCGATGGATGTTGAAAAGTGACCGCATACTGGAATCAGATATGATTCGAAGTCAGCGCCAATAACTCGATGTCCTGCCCGGTAGAATGTGTGCGCTACATTAAGTCCTTTACTCATGCCGACTCCTGTCACAAGTATCGTACGTGGTCGGAATGTCGACGAGGAGATCTGCCGCCATGTCCGGTAGTGCTTAATGTGCCTAGAGATCTTGAGATAAGGGGACACGAGTCGGCTGCATACCGCAACGAAGGTGCATAGTGGCAACAGGCAGAGCGAGAGTAGGATTAGGGAGGCGTTTTGAAGGACGTGTTGGTAGGTAGGTGAGGTGCTGGTCAGGAGCATCTTTCGCGTCGGGCTGAGATATTGTCTGCTTGATCGATTTTTGCTGCGTGGGCTAGGTAGATGATTCACGAGGCCATTGTGAGCTGGTTGTGGACGAGAGCAGGCTCTGTCTTTGGGGCTGACGAAGCAGATTTGGTCGTGATATTGCTACAGCTTAGAGTACAGTCCAGCGGATTCGAGAGGACAGTCGCAAATATGTAAATTACAGTGTGGTGCAGAGCAGTATCTTTGTGGGACTGAGTGGGCCACAGGGAGGGAAAATTGTGGTTGTTGTCTTCATCCGATGCCCTTCCCCTTCCCTTCCCATTCCCCTTCCCTTGTCCTTGTGGATGGACGTTGGGGTTCTCCACGTCATCTTCACATGCCAAAGGGTGGGGTGAAAGCGGGCCCTGAATTGCATTGTTCCTGGCTAGGAAATGCTGAATATTCCACTGCGATAGCCTGAACGTGGCCATGAAGAATTGGAAGAATGTCTGAGACAAAATGCACAGAGGAGACGATTCGGATGAGCCCAGATAAGATGAAGTATGATTTGTGCCACGTTGTGTGAGGTTGGTTTAAAGCTCAAGTGCTGGAAGGCACTGACTCGCGGGCAAGCGAAACCAAACACCACCACCAAGGAGCGTGGGGGATCTGGTTAGAAGCCCTCCGACAGGAACACGATGCTCATTGGCGCCTAGTTGAACAATGATGGCCAAACAAAGTTTTTCTGATGTGAAAAGCCCGATGCAGCTTAAGCTTAAGTTACTATGTAGCTAAGTATCCGAGTGTGTATTGGGCGACTGTGGCATATTCACCACAGACTCTTGATTTGAAATGGAAAAGTCGAGGGAACAGGTTTTTCACAATATTGAGAATGCCTGTACGAGTACATATCATATACAATCGACCCTCGAGAAAGGCTAGTAGGAATACATAGTAGCGAAATACACGCTCACTCCTACACTAACGTAAAGCGCCACCCGCATCCGGTCAAGGTAAAGATTAGAGAGAGATAACGCCCATTCACATCCTGCCTTCAATTCTAAATTTTCCCATCACTCTCAAAACAAGTAGCATAACATTAGATCTCCGCTGCGTAAATGGCATGTCATTATAGTAAAGTATCCTCCTCTTCTTCCTTTCCTCCAATTTCTGGTGTATGGTAGCAATTGCGATAGCCATGGTGTGGCTATAGTGGGTCGCTAGGACTTGTCGTCTTCTGCACGTAGGCATTTGGGATTTTCGGCACACGAGGGGATTTGGGCGGCTGCGAGAGGCCGCGGCGCTCAGCTCGCAGGGTATCTCTCATGCGGTCACTGTCTCGAGATCGTCCGCCTGTGAGTCGACGCATGCTGCTTCGGGTACCTTGGGCGAGCGGCTTGATCATATTCTCGAGGAAGAAAGAGCCTTCTCCCGGAGCAGCTGTGCGCTCATCATCGCCATCTGAGAAGACCTCCTCAGTGTAATCGTCGTCGGAGGTGTACGTCATGCTGGGATGGGTAGTGGTGGAGGCGGAGGGAGACGTGATGGAGCGAGAGTGCATTATGGGCCGGGCGCCAGGAACGAGACTGAATGCGCCGGGATTCATGGCATTGTGTTCACGACTTGGAGGAGGTCGCATATCTGTGAAGCCGTTTTGAAACGATGTGTTGCTGGACGTGCTAGCGAGTGATTGGTGGAGGATGGGAAGAGTTTGTTCATCGTATAATTGGGCACCCGACTCGAATCCTTCACTGGCGAATCCTGCTTCTGTAATTGTCCGAGACGATCGACCATCACTTGTAGGGCTCTGTAAACTATCTTCGAAGAAATCATCCAGACTATCGAGCTTCATCACAAGATCTCCAATATGCCCGTCTCCTCGGCCTTCGTCGGACATCATTGTCTCTGTTCTCTCGGTGGCTGGGAAGTAGCCGTATTGGAAATCATCGACGTGAAATTCGACGTCTGGAGTTGGAGCTGTCTCAGGGTCCATATTCTCGGCGTTTTGACACATATAGAATACAGCATGGACATTCGCTCTTGTAGTCTCGGCATGTTTTGCAGGAACTGGTATCGACCATCCCGACTCTTCTGGTATTCCGAACAAGCTCTGGGTACGCTCATATTCCTTTCGAATTGCCTTCGAGGAAGACCTGGTCATGCTCATCCTCAAATGATGCTTGTCCATGGAGGTACCTGTCATCGTCATGATGTTGTCCAATACTTCTAAAGCTTCCATACAAAATTCAGTCTGTAGCAGTCTCAACAGTGGTGAGATCAGATCTGGGCCATGCGAAGCAATTTCAGGCTTCTTCATGTCGATATCGGGTATTATTGCACAAAGAATGCGCATCGTCTTCAGCTTGAACCAGGGTATATTGTTCGTAAGCAGGCCCATGAGGAAAGTAAGACTTCCGAAATCCCATTGCGGGAAGAAAGCTTCCCGGATTGCAGATACAAGCTGGGCAAGAAAGTCCTTACTTGTTCGATATCGGCCAGCTGCGAATCCACTCAGCGCTCTTGAGATGGTACTACAACCCTGGGCTTCGGCGACCTGAGCAAGAATTTCGGCGCTCTTTGCGCTCTCAACATCAATCGTGTCTTGATCCATTGCGTGGAGGTACCTTGGGAAATTGGCAAGGACAGCGAAAAGAAGTCGGCTGTCGTCTCCGATCAGGTCATCGTTTGGAAGCCGAACAAGCTTATTCAAAGTCTTCAATGTCAAGTCGAGACACACTGATGACCGAAGTCCCTTGTGCACTAATTGTTGGAGACCCTCGAATGCACCCTCCCATCGAAGTGGTCTTCCCTCGGCGAGAAGCAATCTGACATTCGGATCGCTCAGGTCGAGTTTTCCAATGAGCTCTTCTAGCATATTGAGTGCTTCCAAGAATTCTCTTTCGTTGATAGTATCCAAGCATGCACATGTTGTCCAAAACAGCTGTGGGAATGTCATTAAATCCTGGGTGTCCAATTTACAGATCAAGGTCTTCAGCGTCGTTAGAATCTCCATTGAAAACGTTTGGACATCAGAATCTTCGTCAGCAATGGTGTTCGACAATCTTGCAAGCATGTCCGCAAGCATGGGTTGATCCAAGGACGTGAGAATGCAGCGAAAAATTTGAAAAGATCGGCACGCCAAATGCCTCACTGGGCAAGATGTTGCCCAGGTTAAAGACAGTTTACCCCATTGCTCTTGAATGCCAGGATATGTGACTTCGAAATCTCTGACCACCTCACTTGTAAGAAGCTCCATGCCGGCGGGCACTTTGTTGTCCTGGTCATCAACTTTCCCATTATTATCTTCATACGCCCAAATGACTTTGGGATCATGCCGACGGATGGACTCGATGAAGTCTTCGATTGACTTCTTTGTTGGTGTGGTAAGCTCATCATCAATCTGTGAGATGACCAACTCGTGGATGAGATGAATGAGCATTTCTCGAGCCTGTTCTTGTACCAGCGGTATGTAGTGATCCCATAAGACAGTGACAACTTGGAGGAGCAGTGGCACATTTTCGGCAACTAGTTGGACTGGGGACACCATCAGATCTACCAAAAGAATCAACGACAGCTGTCCAAGAGAAAACCCAGCTTGCTTGGCTCCAATAGGCAGCGCCTCGGCAAGTTCTGCGATGTATGGAAGTTTACCGACATCTGGAGGAGGCGGACTGAGCTCGCGCTTCTCGTTTGGTATCATGGCTTTTGGCGTAATTTGCATCAAGAGGAACTCGACCACCTTTACTCCAGCAGGCGTACTGGACAGGAAGACGACAATTTGCTTGGCATACTCAACAAAATTCTGCTCTCGACGATCCAAACAGAGAGACATGATAAAGTCTAGCACAAGTTGGACATTGCCGGCATGTGGTCCAGTTGCAAGAGCTTGCCATAGTGCTTGCACCTCATTGTGGAGCGCACTGCTGGACTTGATAGTAATTTCAAATAAATTCGTCAGAAGCACGTAGGACTGAGCTGTTGGTCCACCATTCGGATCGATCTGCAGTTCGATGATCTGAATCCAGGGGAGAATAGCGGCAACCATGTTTCGCTGGGCACCAGACTGAAGCTGATTGAAGTATGCAGTGAACTCAGAAAATATGATGAAAGCCAATTCAGAGTGCTGTTTGGAGAGTCGCTTCGAAATCTCAAATTGAGCAAGCTTGTACACGGCTTTGGTCTTGTCAGAAATGCTGATATCGTAATCTTGGATTTTCGAGCTCTTCTGTTGCCTCTCCTCGAGTATTCGTAACATGTGGGCTGACTTCGATCGCATTTCACTCTGCTCACTGCCCAGTGTATACAGCCCAACACCAAGGAGCTTCCAGAAGGGCATTGGATAATCAGGATGCTCCAGCACTACTTCAGTCACCACTTCGTAGTAGCTCTCCAGCACCTTTCCCATATCGGCCAAATAGCACCGAGCAATCGAATGCTCGAGCAAATATGTGAACTCCTTGTTGTGCACAATCAGATTCTTCAGGGCTCTTCGTCCAATGACATGCATCCGATCACTCCCCGAGCTGAAAATGGTATCGATCCATGAGAGCATTCGTCTGATGTCAAATTGAAGATTCGCTTGGCTCTGGGTTGTAATGCTTACTGGGCCACCACACAGGGCGGCCATTGCGCTGAGGGCCGCCGTTCGCAGGTTTCTCTTCTCAATCTCCATGGCTGCAGTAACCGTTCCTCTTTCGCCAAGCGACTGTTGATCGATCATTGACTGTCTCATACTGTCTTCACGTTGACGTATTTGAGGCTGATTGGGCGAATAACCACACCAATCTTCCATTAGGGCAAATGAAGATTTCCTCGATTCGAAAGTCATCCACCGAGAAGGGTCCTTGGTGAGGTTTATTCCCTCAAATAGCTCTTCCATTAGGCCGCAGTAATGCCTACGGAGTTTTTGGAACTCCCAATCCATTTGAACCTCACCATCCATGAGGAATAACTTGAGGTCTTTCGTGTACGCGACGAGATTGTTCAGTATCCAATCACTCTGATGTACCTCTGGGTCTTTCAAGAAGCGTGACGTGAGTCTATAAACATGGGTAATTTCTGTCCTTAATAGATCTGTTCGCTTATTCCTCCTTGGACTGCTCACTGTTCGTTGGTGAATTCGAGCTCTGGCATCATCATTGCACCGACTGACCGCTGTTTGCAACTCTTCGAGCAAGGTCTTGTAGATATTGACGTTGATAGACCCTAGAGCGACGACAACAGCGTCTCGGATCGAAGCTGGGTTGACCGGAAGCAGAGGTATGATGTATTTGAATAATGATCGAGCAGATGTGATTTTCTCCTGCGTCTGACTGGGCTTTGAGCCTTTCCGCAAGTGCTGAGCAGCCTGAGGAGAGGATTGTTGCTGACCACCTTTGTCGGAAAGCGTGGTGCACGCCACGATCAGATATAGCTTCCACTGCTCAATCAAAACTTCTGGTGGGGTTGTTGAAGATCTCGATAGCAGGCGGCCACTCCCTGTTTCGAACCGATCAAAGGAACCGTACTGCGGACCTCTGGTGACCTCCGATAAGGCTACAATACCCCGATACATTTGTAAAATACGATTACATATCAACTCCCGTCCAAGTGTAACAGCGAAAGGACATCGGTCGTAGCTGATCCGGATTAAGTTGGGGAAAATCTTGAACCAAAGTGTTGTATCGTAAGAAACTTCGCTGCTGCAAAGATCAATGAGAGCACTTTGTGAGTTGCTCTTTCGCATCCCTCGCTGTAGTCTGCTGCGCTCCGCAACAGATAGATGCTCATCATTGAAATCCATGACACGCATTGAGTCGCCTTCGAGGATATGAATGAGTCTACCATTATCTTTGCCGAGTGCTGTATCGAATTCGGTGATTAGCCGCAAAACGTTGACAGCAAAGGCACGAACTCTCCTCGACTGAGAGCACAGGAAGAACAGTCCATGTGATTCTACTTCATCCACGTGAGCCCAGATGCCTGAAAGATCTAGTTGGACGCCGCGCTTGTCTGCGCCTCCATCTTCAGTGACATCGGCAGAAGCTTCTTTGGTCTTGTGCTTGATCTCCTCAATCCAAATGTGCAAAAGCTCAACATACAGCTTCAGTGTACTCTCAATATGGCCAGGACCAAGCATGCCACCATCTGACATTGTTGAATATCTGTCATCAAAATTGAATATGAATCGAGCAAATCCGATTGTGACTTGCTGGGCATGAGACTGGCGTGCGATTGATTTTAATGACTGCGCCGAAGACTCGGCAATGTTGTACTGGACGTGGGCTGTGCCAGTGCACAGCAAGTTCACCAAGGAATTGAAGGGAATATCAGCTGAGAGACAACGTGGTAGCGCTTGTACAGCAACGTGTAGTAGTTCGTAGAAGCCCTGCTTCTGGTCCGAGTAGCTCTGATGATCATCACGCCGAGCAAAATTGAAGCTTTCGGCTAACGGAGTTTTTGGTGCAGGGCTGTTAAATTTCTCGTCCAATACAGCTTGACCGCCAAAAGTATTGTCACATATGATGGTGATCTTCCCAAGTATCTCGCAGAATTTCGAATAATATTCTTTGGCGACGTCACTGAGGGTATTCGTCATTACTGGACGAGACAACCGATCGTCCTGGCTTCGAATTTGGGTTGGGAGTAGTGGAGGACTTCGCGGAGCGGTCATTAGAGGTGAAGTTGGCATTCGATCCCATAATGGTAGGGGCGCATAGTGCTGTGGAAATGGCGGTCGACCTTGATCTCCCTTTTCGAGATCTGCCATTATAGCCAGGAATGCTCTAATACCAATTACCATCTTCTCTGGCTCCAATTGCTCGACTTTCAAGTCTCTGCCTGAAGCGAATAGGTCTGCGTTGATCAGAGGAAAGACTATCGTTCGCAAGCAAAAGTCCTGGTGCTTGAACCCAATGATGCGAATTATCTGAATCAAAGGCTCGGCAATTGAAGGGTCAGTCGAGAGATACGTCCTCTTCCCAGGTGGTATCACCAGCTTGATAACTTCTTCCAACTTCTTGATCGTCGAGTTTAGGGTATCAGATGTGCGGTAAAGATAAGTCCAAAGTAATCTCGAAATGACTTGCAAGCACAAAGGTCTGGCAAAACGGTCTTTGAATTTCGGCTGTAACGGAAGCACAAGCTGCAGCCACTGGGTTGAAAAAGCCTCAACTGGTGATACACACAGCAGAGTAGCTGTCAACGGAAACGCAACACTCCAGTGTCGAGGTTTGACGAACATAGAAGCAAGGCGAGGTGCGATCGTTCCAAGAACTTCAGTCCATTTTGGCATATTTAGCTCAGTATTGGCTTTTGCCGCGATGGGGAGCAGTAGAATTTCGAGAGCTTGGCAATAAGCATATTTTAAACGTTGTCCGTGTGACCGAGCAAAGAACCGTCCAAGCGATATCATAAAGTCGCAAGACTGATCCCAGGCATCTTCTGGATACACCTTGATTCGTAGGTGCTTCATTCCCCCAAGCACAAGTTCCATCCTTCCTTCAATTTCTCGATTTGCTGGTCCCTTGCCGATAAGATCTTTTTGTGACTTCTCCAGATCCGCAATAAACCTGTCTGCAACACTTTCGAAATTGATCTCGCTCATAACACCCAGCAATTGGCTGAACAGGTACCAATTTGCCATCTTGAGAGGCGAATTGTTAAGTTGGTCAGCATCGGCAATCTTCAACTGTCCAAAAATGATTCCCTCCAGCTTTTCCTCCATTTCGGGGGTTATACACGATAGTGTACTTTGGCCAATGACCTCCATCAACACACGACATAGTATGTAGATTGAGGCGGTGGAACGGCGCTCGGCTTGGGCAACAAACTCTTGACGGGCAGCTATTGTAGGTTGATTATTAGCAGCAAGAGCATCGTCCGGCATTATATGTGGAGGTTCTGTATTTCGTCGTAGCATTTGGCCCGGTTGTATCTTAGACTTATGGGAATGAGTATCAGCCATTGCAAAGTGTTCACAGGTTACATACCTGTTGTAGTTGCACTCTTGCCTCACTAGCGGCATCACTTTTGTTCTTACGCCACAACATCATTGAATCGATCAAAGGCTTCGGTTTCTGGCTCGCAATATGGCCCAGGGCCGAAATTAGCTGGTCGAACGTCGGGTCCACTCCAGGACCACATATCTGCTCTATTTGAGGTTCAGGGTCGAGAGGAACAGTGATACATTGGCTGATTTTCTCTTCGGCTTGGGCAATAAACTGTTTGGGCGTTATTAAGATTTCAGCAATGGGCATATATTGAAAGAACTGACTGATGTAAATAGCACATGTAGAGCATACTCGCCAACGGTCTTCAGCTCCTCCTTATGATGATGTCGCGAATGCGAATGATGGTGTCGATGGTCCCGACTACTCTTCCCACTATGCATGCGCTCCACCCGCTTCTGCGTTGTATGGTAACTGCCATTCTCCGTAGCAGACGAGGCTCGATCAGGTACAACTGTCGAAGTTGAGGAACTGAAGGAGGCACCCCCAGCCAGCCCAACTAGACTGCTTGCAAATGTTGAGTCGCCCATGGTGGATGCATCAGTGCCGGCTGCAATGATCATCTGAGGACTCAACGGACTGGATGAAGCACTCGCGAAGCTTCCATTCCTCGAATGCTGTATGCCATGGACGATACTCGTCTGTCGATTGTGGGCTTTTGATTCGGTCAAACCTCCTTTGCCTGCGATCAGGCGCGGGGAGAGGTTGTATGGTTGCGACTGAGGGTCCGAAGATAGGGTTCTTGATGCGAAGGCCGCAGGTGGAGTCTGGTGCGAAAGCAGGTCTCGCGGATCTCGCCCGTCCGGCGAGATTCTCGAGAAGGTCGGAGTGGAGGAAGACGGTTTCAGAGCCTGGGTCGCATTCCAAAAATCGAAGTCGATTGGAGCAAAGCTGCTTGCCAGTCTCTCGCTCAGGCTGTCCGGTGTTGGTGCTTGTGCTGGACCCTGACCTTGACACCAAGAACCGGGTTAGCAAGGATGTAAGTACTAGAGTGCAGGAGAAGGAGGCTCAAGAGCTTTGAAGTTTCGAGCGTAGCCCTCCCATTAATCGTCAAACAATGGCGGGTGGTAGCTCGATTCCAGACGTACCAGAACTCATTTTCAAGACTATCACGTGCCAGGGGTACGAATCCAGGGGCAAGCATCAGCTCGCAGACAGTCCATTGCAGACAGGTGCAGGTGAGATGCGCGCTGCTCTATCGTGAACAGATGGCGATTGGAATTATCAGCATTGTCGATTACGAGGGGTTGTCCCTGTACTTGTGATGCTCGTTCTCTCACCGCAACTGAGGAATAAATCATCGTGCAATTCAGCAGAGGCCAGTTAACAGTCACAGCTCGAGTCACAGCGCTGACCCCAGCTGGCGAGAGGCTCGAATAGGACCAAGGGCAACGCTGAACAGAGCATTCTTGTCAGATGTCACAAGCGCTTGAAAAGTACGGAAAGAGCTTCTATTTGTTCTGGAGAGTTGCCGGATTCCCTTACCTTTCTCACACACCCAGCCCCTCCTGTCGAGAATGTACACTGTCGAGAAAAGGAAAGGAAAAAGGTATGGCAGCTCTGATATTATTATATCGGCATCTAAGACATGGAACCATGTCTGAAAGCATAATATTTAGAGCGGGGACTGAAGCCACACGACCCCTCACTCGGTTCATGCCATCGGGCTCGTTTTTGGGCTTGTTGATGCCGTCGGGCCGGCTTTGAGATCCAAAGGCGCGTTTCGGGCTCGGGGTAAGATCTCGACTCCAAAATGTTTTGGGGTAACCTGATCGATCTCCAAAAGTGCTCGGGAGATCTCCAAAATCACCACAAGCTTCCCTTTCATCAACATCACATGTAAAGCGTTAGCACCTACCTTAGGTAGCCCTTGATAGCGATAGGGTGATTAATACGACGTGTTGAATCACCTCGCCTATGCGAGTAAGAGCTAGGTTGCTGTGGCTGGGGGCGATGTCGGTGATATGATAATATCTGACTGTTCCTTTCTGCGACGATGGTGATGACAATGACTATCTATGACTATGAGCATGGCAGAAGAGACAAGGATCCCGAGCGACGAATTTAGGGCTCAGCGGTATCAGGCTGTCAGCTGTCAGCCTTGATTGTCAGTCTGCTTCCAGAAGGAGGCGAGACAGGTATAATGAATAGTCTGAAAGAGCTTGCTCCTTTTGCTGTTAAGGTTATGAGAAATAGGCTTTGATTCTCAGCTACACATGGCAGGCCGGGAAAAGTCCACATCAGATCTATGCGAATAGAGGGGAAAATTCCCGAGTTTCGATTCCGCTTGAGGGGTAGGTTGAGTAAGGTAAATGCACAAGAGCACATCTTGTCCACGGCGACTCGGCACATGCACAAGGGGACTCCAGATTCCAGAGTCCAGAGTCCAGAGTCCAGAGCGTAGGTAGGTAGTACCTAGGTTGGCATTCGTAGTCGGGACTCGGGAGTGATGAGGACATGACTTGATGACTCGCGCGGAATCAGCCCGCTTGGAGACAGTGTCGGAGGCCAGAGGCCAGGCGAGTCAGGTTAAGGAAAGGAAAGGAGAGGAAAGGGAGAACATGTGGCGGCAAGATGGAACCGAGTAGATTCCGCCAGTCTGGCGCTGGAAATTTAACACTGTAGCGGTGCCGGCAGGCAAAGAAATATCAATATCTCGATCCCACTGTACGCAACCTGACAACTGCTCTCCAAAGCAATTCTTAATATCAATACTGCTTCACCGTAAACACAATTACCTTCACTTCTCTTCTTCCGTCTCCAATTGGAATTCTTCAACAGGTCACCCGAGAGTCCGAGACTCAGCTTCAGCCTAGGTTATCTCTCCACCTCGGCCGCCTTCAGATCCGTGCTAAATACAATACCGTGCCACAAGATTATCGCATGGATGCTTGAATAAGACCACGCCGCTGAAATACAACACAGTCAGCCTCAATCTCTCCCAGAATATATCAACACCACAAGGCACAAGTCCGCTTGGTCTCGCAGACTATCTCTCCGACTTCCTCCTGCACCTACTCTGTCTTTGATCTCTGTCCCGAACCTTGGAAAGGCCTGAAAGAAGACCCACATCTCTCATCATGGCGCAACTGGACACGCTGGACATTATTGTCCTAGGTGTTCTTCTCCTAGGCACAATTGCGTATTTCACAAAGGGTACATACTGGGGCGTGGCAAAGGATCCATACGCAAACAGCTATGCCAATGCCAATGGAAATAAACCAGGGAAGACGAGGAATATCGTGGAGAAGATGGACGAATCTGGCAAGAACTGCGTGGTCTTCTACGGTTCCCAAACAGGAACTGCAGAGGATTACGCTTCGAGATTGGCCAAAGAAGGCAAGAGCAGATTTGGACTGGAGACCATGGTGGCAGATTTGGAAGACTACGATTACGAGAATCTTGACACCCTTCCAGAAGACAAGATTGCCATGTTCGTGCTTGCAACCTATGGTGAAGGAGAGCCAACCGATAACGCTGTTGACTTCTATGAGTTCATTACAGGCGAAGATGCCTCATTTTCGAATGCCGCGGATCCACCACTCGAAAATCTGAAGTTTGTTGCTTTTGGTCTTGGAAATAACACATATGAACATTACAATTCTATGGTCCGAAATGTTACAAAGGCGTTGGAGAAGCTGGGTGCAAAGCGAATTGGGGCCGCTGGTGAGGGAGACGATGGTGCTGGAACTATGGAGGAAGACTTCTTAGCCTGGAAAGACCCGATGTGGGCAGATCTAGCTGAGAAGATGGGCTTGGATGAGCGTGAAGCTGTTTACGAGCCAACCTTTGCCATTACCGAGAGGGAAGGCCTGACAAAAGACTCTCCAGAGGTCTATCTTGGAGAGCCGAACAAGATGCATTTGGAGGGTACCGCAAAGGGTCCTTTCAATGCCCATAACCCTTACATCGCACCAATTGCCGAATCTCGAGAGATCTTTACCGTCAAGGACCGAAACTGCCTGCATATGGAAATCGATATCAGCAAGTCCAACCTTAGCTATCAAACTGGTGACCACATTGCAGTCTGGCCTACAAACGCGGGTAAGGAGGTTGACCGGTTCCTTAAGGTTCTCGGTCTCGAGTCAAAGGCGGACTCTGTCATCAGCGTCAAGGCACTTGACCCAACCGCCAAAGTACCATTTCCAACACCAACCACCTACGATGCCATAATTCGATACCATATGGAAATTTGCGCCCCTGTCTCTCGCCAATTTATTGCAACTTTAGCACCGTTTGCACCGACAGAGGAAGCGAAGGCTGAGATGGCAAAGCTGGGTAGTGACAAGGACTATTTTCACGAGAAGATCAGCAACAAGTACTACAACATCGCTCAAGCTCTCCATTCCATCTGTTCCTCAGAGCCTTGGACGGCCATTCCCTTCTCGGCATTCATTGAAGGCGTCAACAAAGTCCAGCCAAGATACTACTCAATCTCTTCCTCATCACTTGTTCAGAAGACCAAGATCTCCATTACCGCTGTTGTTGAGTCACTGGAGATCCCAGGTCGAGATGACGCCCTCAAAGGTGTTACTACGAACTACCTCCTTGCTCTCAAGCAAAAGCAACATGGTGATCCACAGCCAGATCCTCATGGACTCACATACAACATCACTGGACCAAGAAACAAGTACGATGGTATCCATGTGCCTGTCCACGTTCGGCACTCCAATTTCAAACTTCCTTCCGATCCGTCAAAGCCAATCATCATGGTAGGGCCAGGAACGGGTGTAGCGCCATTCAGAGCATTCGTCCAAGAACGAGCTGCACAAGCCAAGGCTGGAGAGAACGTTGGGAAGACCATGCTCTTCTTCGGCTGCAGAAAGCAAACAGAAGATTTCCTGTACTCTTCGGAATGGGAGGTTAGTTTAGATACCCCTCAGATCTACACAATCTTGGTAATGGAACTAATGCAGCAATAGGAATACAAGAAAGCGCTTGGCGATAAGTTCTCTCTGATCACAGCCTTCTCTCGTGAAGGTCCAAAGAAGGTCTACGTCCAACATAGATTACAAGAGCACGCCAAGGAAGTCAACGAGCTGCTTCTGCAGAAGGCGTACTTCTACGTCTGCGGTGATGCGGCTAACATGGCACGTGAGGTCAATACTGTGCTAGGCAAGATCATGGCTGAGCAACGAGGGATCCCTGAATCCAAGGCCGAAGAGATTGTCAAGGGTATGCGTTCTGCAAACCAATATCAGGTATGTGATCAACATCTACCTTCCCGAATCTCGCCCTCTGCAATCCTTTCCCGATCTTGTCGTTTGTTTGCTGCTTCATCTGTTTGTCCCTGTGGCCAAACCTGGAGGTCCACCATCTATCACCTTCCTATTCCCTACATCACAAACTTGTCCATTTTACAAACAAGCAAGTAAAGTTTCAAAAAACTAACAGAAATACCCACTTACAGGAAGATGTCTGGTCATAAACTCTCTATCGATACACCACTCATTCCGTGTACTACAATCCTCCACATCCGTCCAAACAGAAGCCTCCTCTTCCTCCGCTTCTCCGATCTCGCACTGCATTTAGATGGCCTCCATATACATCTCCTGCATACAGTACAGAGCCTCATGCCCGTCACGTTTCTTTCTGGCTGCATTATGGCGGCGTTGGTATCATGGGATCATTTGCATGCTGGAATGAATTTGCTGCTGCATTTCATTGCGTTGCGCTGCGGGCTTTTGGCAGGCGGTGCGTGCTGGGATACAATTGGGATCTCTGCTGGTTCAGTTGAGGTCAACCATTATCTCACGTGGGGTGCATTGTCTTCGGGATAAGACTGGACTGAGTGAGATCTGATGAAGCCTTGAGTTGCAAATCACCACGAAATTGGCAATGCGATTTGGAGCCTTTTCGAAGATCGTATTCGATTTTGTCCTCTTTTTTTTACATAGATCTTCTGTTCGGAGGCTGGCTGATTGGGAGTCTTTGCCTGCTTTTCTCTGTTCATCTACACTGCACTGCGCTGCGCTGCGTTACATTGTTTGAGATTTAGAAACTCCGCTTTCCAAATAAAGTTTGATAAAAACGATGAGCCGTCTGTCCATGTTGCTGAGGCCGTGACCGAAGAGGGGTCTGAAAGCCCATATTTGGGAAGTGGAGTTTGTGTGGTTTAATGAGTGACATATGTACGGGGGTAAAGTCCTAACTATGTAAGAAAAAGTTGACGCCAATGTCAGTCAGTTTCAGTTTCAGTAGATCGCTGAACCCCATTCCCCCTCGATTTCGCGACCAGGGTTCCCGATAAGCAAGTCTTGCGAATCATCCATGGTAGATCTTGGATAACGGAGAGGAAAAAGGAATCGCATTTCAGATCTCGGGACGTTTGAGGGGGGTTCATGGCGTGGGAGGTGCAGATCCGGGTCGTGGAGGTGGACCGAGTCTGGGAGGCTGGCTGACTGGTAGGCGGGCATAGTACATAATTGCTTTTCGATGCGTACCTCTGTGGATGTCTGGACTACCAGATTATGCCGAGGAGTGTCAGAGCAACTATTCGTGTGAATACAGAGGGTGCTATTTCTTGAGGAATGCTGTTGGCATGTTATATTTTGAAGTTATGTTGGACGATAACTTATTGAGCACAACATGTAAGATACGAATTCCAAAATAGATCTCAGCATTCAGTCAGCAGTTCTTCGTTTGCAATGATGGAGGAAACACGCCATTGCCGCCTTAACAATTATCTAGATATTCAACGGGTGTCAAATCTGATGCGTCATTATTGTCCCGGACGGCCAAGTCGATATATACAAACACCTGCCAATCAGTAATGTCCAAGCCAAGGCAGAACGACAAGCAGACCTTTCTGTTTGAGGATCCTGGAGAACGGGCCCGGCCGGATAGATCGTGATTAGCGAGAGGCAAGGGCTGCTGAGTGGCCCCTGTTCAACTGCAAGTCCAAATCCCACTACCCACAGCCAACGACACCCGCTGGACTGCATCTGCAATCCAGTCCAATCTCATCCCATCACTTCTGAAACACAAATACAATTGTATCATCTTTTAGCTGAGGGCATGCCTTTTTTCGGACTCTCGGCGATTTCTGCAGGGAACAGCCTTGGTGAGCGTTGAAGGCTGTCATCCTGTGGTTGCGTTCGAGAAGGATCGTCTTCGTTGCTTTTTCTCGGGGTAGTCCTAAAACGACACTCTGGATCAATGACAAATGCAAGGGGGCTGACGGAAAGTATTCCTGTCTCGAGCAATTCTCCACTTCACACATAAACAGCTGTCCTGGGATTATAGCAGTAGCCATGTGCTGTGTGAGTGGAGGAAGGGATACCAAGGTGCAAGTAGTCGAAACGAGCGTGCTCCCTCTTCCCTCCACTCTCATCTGTCCCCATGGATGCACTCTCAAACGGCCTGCAATACCGAAAATACTATACACAGGCATCTGGACCCTAGGGCTGGATCAAGCCCATGGCCACGATTTCCCTACATCCCGTCTATTCTGAGCCTGTATTCCCCCATCTGCAGACTCTACCAATGGCATCATTCTCCCCATCCCTGGACATAGCCGACGTGTGGCAAGAGGCGTCTGCGCCATTTGTGAGGTCAAGTAGGGAGAGTGGTATTTTCCAACGATCAGCGTAACCTTATTCTCGTTTTGTTGGCATCGTGGCCAGTCTAGCCTGCCTGCGAACTGGTCTGGGGGAAGCAAACGGGGGGGTCTTAGAGGCGCAAGATGATCAAGTTTGGTTTGTCAGATCATCCGCGCGACCCCTCCATCAGATCTCAGATTTTCTGGTGGAGACTTGACTTTACTGGCATTGAGAACGGTTCTAGCAGTCAGATCTATAATCTAGTCCCTGCAGATGGAAAAGTACCCTGGCAATAGGGAGTAGGTTCTCCGGTGCTGGTAGCCGCAGAAGAAAAGATGTCTCAGGAAGGGAACTTACATCGAAAGACTCTACGATTCATCTTGAGCCTGGTCCTTGTTCCTTGCATGCTTTCCAGTTCTGGAAGCATTCGTGTGAGCAGCCACCCATCCATGCACCCAATCTTCTTTGGCAGAACGAACAGGACATGGAGGCGGAAACCACACACGCACCACTGCCACCTTGCTGCACTTGCATTTCATGTTGTGCAGATGGCTCTTGCTTGCCCCCGTTGCATCCTTAGCATAGCGTGGCATAACATTTATTATAAGGCAGAGCGATCGAACGCACAGATGGCTCTCAGGGGGGCTGCCATAAAGAAGGCTTTGTCCCCTCCCCTCTCGTGTCTCGTGGTTGCGCCTTGCCAGTGCTGTATCTGTATCCGTATCTGTATCGTCCCAGCACTTCTTATCGCTATATCACTTTTGGGGTCATATATCGTTATTGATCTTCCATTGTTGTTGCCCTTCTTCGTTTCATTGTGTTTCTTGCGGCGTTCGAATTGCGCTTCCTGGATTGGTATTGAGTCGTGGAAGCTGTTTCTTCTTTTGTTTACTCTCTAGAGGACTTTTTCGGACTCGGCACGCTCTCGCCGCAGCGCACTTCAGCTTCGACTCGACTCGACCCGACTCGACTCAACTCAACTCAACTCAACTCACTTCGCTTCACCTTCCCGGCGCCTCTTTTCGCTCCTTCCCTTCCTCAGTCAATTCAGGAATTCTCTCTCAACGCGCTCCTCCTTCTCCTCCGCTCATCCCGCCATCGCTCCTGCCCATAACCTCACCTTGACCATTTACCCCTCATAAATACCAGCTGCCCTCATCTTTCTATCCTCTCCCCCTCTCTCTCTTCTCATCAACACCGGAATCCCATCAGATCCATCAGAATCACAATCACAATCTCTACATCACACTCCCATCTGGCTTGATAGCTTCCTATCTTACAGAATCCTCACTCGCTCGATTCATCACCACAGTTGACCCATTTCTCTCAGCAGCAGCACAGCACCAAGAGTAGCAATCGAACCACGCCCGTGTCCGTCCCAGTGACTTTGGTCAAAGAGCACGGTAGGACCATATTTCTGGCAAGCCATTCAAGGTTTGTATTGCTGCATCACCCACAGCATTCATGCACAGCTTGCTGACCTTGGTTCTATAGTCACTTCTATTTGCTTTCTCAGTAAATACAGACTTTGAGCTCTCTTTATAGAGACTGTGTGATTGTACGTTCGTTATGCTCTGCCTCTTTTGTCGCGCAATTGTTTCTCTATGATGCAGGTGGTCAAGGACCTTGTCACCTTTTGGATCTCCATCATCACCTGCACATCATTCACCTTTCTGTTCACTTCTGGCTTCGCTTCCTCTGTCTCTTCGCACGATATTTTCTATAAAAGCTCCGCCTCTCCTCGGTTCTATCCTCGTTCTCTTCAGCATATTCTTTCTCGAGATCAGTTGGGCTAATTCCATCTACCGCAGACTGCCATGTCTTATCAGCACAACACAGACACCTCAATCCACACCCGTTCCACCTCCAACATGTACGCTCCACCTCAAGCTCGTGCCCATCGCGACTCCCAGGGTCAAACTACTATTCCTGGCACACAGACCGATAACTCCATGAACGCCATGATGGCTCAGTTTGGTGGCATGTCCATGTCCGGAACCAGTATGGCTGGCGCACCTGGCCTCGGTGCTGCTCAACTCCCAATTGGCGGTGCTCAGTTCTATTACAATCCCGTCGACAATACCTTTTTGGCCGCTCCCCCTATGTACTCGGCTCAGCCTCTCGCTGCCACTCAACCTACCGATGGCACCTACAACTCATACGCAGCTCCCATGTCATACTATGCCCAAGGTGCCTATCCAAGCTACCTTCCCGCCATGCCTTATATGCCATACACTCCAAGTCGTGTCTCTGCTGGCTATCCAGAACTGTACAAGGAGGTTCCAGGTCTTGAGAATCGACGCGGATCTTACTCCACCAACGAGTCCGCTCCCGGCACTCCCAATTACGGATCGATCTCTCAACGTGAACAAGGTACTCAGATTGTCGCTGTTGATCGATCTCCCTTTGGCTCAACTCCATCGCCACAACAGCTCCCAGTCCAACATGCTGCGCAGCAAGCTAAGCCACTTCCATACAAGACCATCCCTATTAATGTTGATCTTGACGCTTTGCTCGTTCAGCACCCAGCTATTCCTCCAGCCGTTCCTGCCGTCTTCACTCCTCGTGAGAGCATGAGAACTCTTGACCAGAGCTTGTCTAACCCCATCCCGGGCAACCGAAATGTCTATATCCGTGGTCTCCACCCAGATACTGACGATGAGACGCTTGCTGCATATGCTGCTCGATTCGGTAAGGTTGAGACATCGAAGGCCATCATCGACACCAGCACTGGAGCCTGCAAGGGGTAAGCTGCAATCCTTTCTTCTTCCCGGACTTTGTTCTAACTTCTTCCCAGTTTTGGCTTTGCGAAGTACTTCTCTCTTCGTGACTCGGAGCTCTGCATTCGTGGATTCTACAAGCTTGGCTATGAAGTCGGATTTGCTAGGGTACCACACCATGCACCTCATGAGGTCGGCAAGCATACTCACTATACACAGGAGTCCTTCAATTCCCGCCTCAAGGCTGAGGGAGATGAGCAGTCGACTAATCTCTACGTCTCTAACCTTCCCAAAAACATGACCGAGTCGGTATGTTCTCTATTTTTCTTCGTAAGCATGGCTTTTCCTGACATCGGCTCAGGAACTTGGTGCAATCTTCATGGACTATACCGTTCAGTCCAGCAGAATCCTTCGTGATAACCAAAACAACAGCCGTGGCGTTGGTTTCGCTCGGTAAGTCTGGCACATCTTGGACCCTTGTAAGTATTACTAACCTTCTACGACAGTTTCGAGACTCGTGAGATCTGCGAGGAGATCATCAAGAAGTTCCATGGTCAGCCAATTGGTGAGGAAGGTCTTCTTCTCCAGGTCCGCTATGCCGACACTCCTGCTCAGAAGGATCTGAAGCGCATCACTACGGAGCGTCGCCAGTTCCGAACCAATGAGTACAATGTCGGTGCTTATGGTGGCCCTGTTGACATGCTGGCCCTTTCACCTCCTATTCCATCCATGCCATCACCTGTCGGTCCTCGTACTGGCCAGATCGCTGCCCACTTCCCATCCAGAGCCAGTGGTTCTTGGAAGCGTCGTGACAACAGGTACGTCGAAACACAGAGACTGTCACATGGTTTTCAGGCTAACATCTCTGATAGCTCTGCCGGTTCCGTTGGTGGCTTCAAGGACCTTGACCGCAGCGTTAGAGTCTCTACGGCCGAGTCAATCTCAAAGTCAAAGGATACGTAAGGCCTTCTCATTCCAGCTTGGCTTACCTTTTACTGACCAGCAAGCAGCAAGGTTTCGCACTCCACTCCTACGGTCTCTGACGATGGCACGGCTGAGGATGGTGTTACCGTTCACCACGACTCACCCGCTGTCGCCCACGGTGGCTCTACATCCCCTTCTGCTCGCAAGTCTTGAAGACTTTGCCATTGCAGAGGTACTTCATCATCGACATACATTCTCTACACATTCCTCATTGGCAATCCGTATCGCATTTCTAACATTGGGCCTCGACCACATGCGATCTGATGCCTTCATACAGTCATTTGCAGAATTGTTCTTTACCCTTACTCGGTAATTCACCTCTCATACGTGCGTAGATTGCAGACATACATATCCTGTCAACATAGATATGTTGTTCGCATACACTGGTACCGAAATCATCCTCCGAATTTTTTCGATCGGTACATCGCATGTAGACAGCTTCCATCGGTATTTTCAGGCAGAGTGTGGCATATGGGCGGCACGAGCAGGAAACATTGTTTTCATGTTGAGCATCGATGGATTGATATCAAAAAGTATTGCAACTGGCACTGTAAATATTTCTTCCTCTTGCTACTATGGCTAGTTCACTCTAGATGTGGATTTTGTAGCGCAATTGAACGCATTCCACCAATCTAACTTGCAACTGTGATTCCAATGCCTTGGCTTGTGACTTCTTGGGCCTTCAAGGGCTTCGGCTGGTCTTGAAATGATCTTTTGCCTCTATTTGGGCTACTTGAACCATGAAAATAATACGACAGTTCCGCAATGGCGTCTGAGTTCAATGGTCTTAGTTCGTCGGTCGAGGATAGATGGGTGCGTATTCAAGTTCCATCCTTGATTTCAAGTTTTGATATCAGAATGTCATTTCCCAGGCTATCCTTCAAACCAGTTGATTCGTACTCGGTTGTGTGTTGGGAAGGTGGGCTGCATCCTTTGGTCTCGCGATCACTTTGGACTTCCTGTCCATCTTCCACGGCATCTGCATCCTCTTCACTCGTTCCACCTTCACCATCCGAGGATTCCTCATCGCCACGAGCTGCATTTGGATCGCCATCACCATCAACGCCAACTTCTTTCATGTACGCCTCGAGCTCTTTGGCCATCTTTCTTGAGAATCCAGACGCCTCTACTGAAACATCGAGTCTGGTGACACCATCCTTCCCGATCAATTTTCTCGCATCCTTGAAGTATGGGCCCTTCGCATCGCTTGTAAAATGAAAACGTCTTTCAAAGAATCGCTTAATGCAGTTCACGTCTCGGTCGAAATAGTACTCGGCATTTCCGTGGTCAACTGAGACCATTTGAGGAAAGTCAATGAGGATTGGAGTGAGAACAAGGGTTTCAGTCGTCTTATCATCCACGGTCTCCTTCTTTATCTCCTCCTTGATCAGAATATTGAACTCGTTGAAGTCGCCGTGGATAAGTCCGTATTGTGCGAGGCGCATTATCATGGCAATGAGTTCAGCGTAGAGAGAAGCCGGGTCTGGAACTGATGATATTTGGCGCATGGGAAAAGCATCAATCAATGACATGACTATCGTATGTCTTGACTGAGCCAGAGGTTCTGGAACTGGGAACCCGTTGTCTCGCAATGCCGTCATGAAGGTAAACTCTTTGAGTGCTGCCAGTCTGGACATGTACATCCAAGAACCCGATGATCGATTCCGTAAGTAATCTCGATTCGCCTTGACCGTTCGAAAAGATATGCGCCCCAATCTGTGTATCTTCAAAACTCTCTGAACTCCCTGCTCGTCTGCCACTACAAAGATGTCACTCTCCTTGCCCACACCAATCTGATTCCCGACGCTGTAGACATCTTTGCGCTTGCGGTATGTATTAAGGGCAAGGTAGTCGAGTCCTCCGTAGGTCAGGCGGTATCCATCATATTTGGCATTCTTGAGACGTGCGATCAGTCCGACTTTCGCCAGCGCAGATATATTTTTATGTACCCCTCCTCGCTGCCCAGATATTTGTCCGATGAGCGCTGTAGGGACGACTTCGTGGTTCTTTGAGCCCGTCTCAACGGCTGTGAGGGTCCTCCAGTCTTCGGGGGTCAGATATCGCATATGTTTCGTATCGAGCCTCATGGTTGCGAATATGTCTGCTGATTCGCTGTTTGTGAGGGTCTTCTAAATAATTTATTTTCTGCCGCCCACCTGAAGGTGGAGGATCCCTGTCGGAGCTAAAAGTCATCCGCGAAACGAGACGGGCTGCTAACTAAGCGATCAAGCTGTATTTGTACGCGGCTTGGAGTGCCTGAAGGAACCACAACAAATCCGATACCACCTTCAACCTCACCACGAATTTTACGAATATCGCCTTTCGAACCCTTTGACTCAAGGGAATCATCTGTACTTTGCGTGCCATTTTCCAGAATTCATCCTTCTCCTAACTCACACGACAAAGCTCAACACACGCAGCTAGGATGGCGAAGGATGGCGAACCTCCAAAGTCTGTTGACAAGGGCAAGGGAAAGGCCGTAGATGGCGAATCTAGCAAAGCTGAGGAGGTCAAGAAGGATAAGGACGGGAAGCCGCTCGTAAATGGGAAGACTGATAAGCCTACTATTGGAGGTAAGGTGTCAGCCTCGAATTGTAGGGGAACCAGCTAATAGACCGCTTCAGCGCCTGAAGAGCTCAGTGAGGAGGACCAACAGCTCAAGAGTGAGCTGGATATGCTGGTCGAGCGATTGACGGTATGAAAATGGCTACCTCTGATTACTGGATGCTAATATATGTTGGTTCAGGAATCAGATACAACACTTTACAAGTCTGCTTTGGAGGCTATTAAGGACTCTATCAAAACATCCACATCTTCTATGACCGCTGTTCCGAAACCCCTCAAGTTCCTGCGACCACATTACGAGCCGATGATAAAGTTGTACGAACAATGGCCTGCGGGAGATGATAGGACTTCGTTGGCGGATGTACTGTCAGTGATTGGCATGACATTTTCGGACGAAGACAGACAAGATACCCTCAAATACCGCCTGCTCGCGCCAACATCGGACATTGGATCTTGGGGCCACGAATACACGCGGCATCTCGCCCTGGAGATTGGAGAGGTGTACACCAAGCGATTAACAGCAGACGAGCCATACAAGGATCTTATTGATCTTGCATTAGTTCTTGTCCCTCTGTTCCTCAAGAGCAATGCCGAAGCTGACGCTGTGGACCTGATGAGCGAGCTCGAAATTATCGAGGATATCCCCAAGTTTCTCGACAAAGATACATACCCACGAGTGTGCTTGTACATGGTTAGCATGGTCAGTCTGTTGACTTACCCAGAGGATCAACAATTTCTCCGAACCGCGCACGACATCTACAAGCATTATGGCCAGCTTACGCAGGCTATCGTACTCGCTATCCGCCTCAATGACGTTACGCTCATTCAGGAGGATTTCGACTCGACAAAGGATGTGGCGCTGAAGAAGCAGATGGCTTTCCTGATCGCCAGACAACATATCGTTTTGGATCTGCCAACGGACACGGATGACGAGAGGGAAATAGTCGAGTGCTTAAACAGCACCAAGATGCCTGAGCATTTCAAGGCTCTGGCAAAGGAGCTGAACATTCTCGACCCGAAGACGACTGAGGATATTTACAAGAGCCATCTTGAGAGCAACCGCGTGGCTGGGCTTACGAACTTGGATTCCGCAAGACACAACTTGGCTGCAGCATTTGTCAACGCTTTTGTCAACGCTGGATTCGGCAACGATAAAATGATGATGGTTGAGGAGGAGAAGTCCGCTTGGGTTTGGAAGACAAAGGAGGAGGGTATGATGTCCACAGTTGCTTCTCTGGGAACGCTGCTTCTATGGGATGTTGAAGGTGGTCTGGACAAGATCGACAAGTACACTTATGCCGACGAGGACCAAATTCTTGCTGGTGCCATGTTGGCTATTGGTATCATGAACACTGGTGTCAGAATGGATTCTGACCCCGCCCTGGCACTCTTGAGCGACGAGGATAGAATCAACCACAAGAGTACCGCGGTCCGGGTGGCATCGATCATGGGTCTTGGACTTGCATATGCTGGCTCGAACCGAGCTGACCTCCTCGAAATTTTGATCCCTATTGTTGTAGACACTTCGCTGGACATGCAGATCTCGGCAATGGCGGCGCTATCGCTGGGTATGGTCTTTGTAGGTTCCTCGAACAGTGATGTCAGCGAGGCGATTATTCAGACATTCCTTGACGATGACCGAAAATCACAGCTTAAGGATAAGTGGACTCGTTTCATGGCTCTGGGTCTTGGTCTACTGTTCTTTGGTCGCCAAGAAGAGGTTGAGGTTATTTTGGAGACACTGAAGGCTATCGATCATCCAATGTCAAAGCCAACTTCGGTACTTGCTGAAATCTGTGCTTGGGCTGGAACTGGAACTGTTCTGAAGCTCCAGGAGCTTCTTCACATCTGTAACGACCATATCGAGGAGAGTGACGAGAAGAAGGGTGACGAGTTGCTACAAGCATACGCCGTCATTGGTCTTGGTTTGGTAGCTATGGGTGAAGATGTTGGTCAAGAAATGGTCCTCCGTCAATTTGGGCATCTAATGCATTACGGCGAAGCCAATATCCGCAAGGCTGTACCCTTGGCGATGGGTCTTCTAAGCCCCAGCAATCCGCAGATGAAGGTCTATGATACTTTGTCGAGGTACAGTCACGACAATGACAACGACGTTGCTATCAACGCCATCTTTGCCATGGGTCTTCTCGGTGCTGGAACCAACAACGCCAGATTAGCCCAACTCCTGCGACAACTAGCTAGCTATTACCACCGCGACCAAGAATCTCTCTTCATGGTCAGAATCGCCCAAGGTCTTCTGCATATGGGTAAGGGTACGCTTTCTATCAGTCCATTCCACACAGACCGACAAGTCCTCTCTCGAGTCTCTGCTGCTGGTCTCCTAGCAGTTCTGGTCGCCATGATCGACGCCAAGCAGTTCGTGACCGACAAGTCACACTACCTACTCTACTATCTCGTCACAGCCATGCATCCCCGCTTCCTAGTCACTCTGGACGAAGACCTCAAGCCGCTCACAGTCAATGTCCGTGTTGGTCAGGCTGTCGATGTTGTTGGACAGGCGGGTCGACCAAAGACTATCACCGGATGGCAGACACAGAGTACGCCGGTACTGTTGGCGTATGGTGAGCGTGCAGAGTTGGAGGATGAGCAGTATATTCCGTTGACAAGTAATCTCGAGGGCTTGGTCATTCTGAGAAAGGTAGGCTTATCCACTGAACCCAAGACTTGATGGCAATATGAAAATGGTTGAGTTGGAAATTTACTGACAAGAAACAGAACCCCGAATGGGAAGATGGTAAGAGCTAAATGAATCGGAGCATAGGTATGGATTGGAATGAACGGACCGATGGATGAATGAACTTATACTGTATAATAGCGGCGTAGACCTTTGACTGATCTGGAGAGGTTCAGGAACGTCATCGATTAGTCACATTCAATCAAAACGATAGAGATGATATCTGGCGTTTTATATAAGTCTTATGCGATTGTCCCCTTGTAGCCCGTTCATTCTCGATGTTTCTTCATACTATGACTACGAGCAGATAAATTCCGAGCAAATATGACAGCCAAAAACGCCCCGGACTCCCAAGAATGAAACAGCACTAGTACATCCCGAAAGGAACCGTCCTGCCCATATGCAATACGAAAATGCAACAACCATCCAGTACCAAGCCAAGCCCGAGAAGCAATAATATACAGCCCAACTGGTACTTCTTTAGCAGCGCTCAAACACCCTATATAACCCCTTTAAATTCGCAATCTCTACGACACCTCCCTTCATCAACGACTTCGTAGCGATCAACCTTGCCCTGAAAGCCGGAAAAAGAATATCCTCCACCGCCTTCGTAATCTGCTGTCTCCTGGTCTTAATGTCTTCACTGAGATCTTCCTCTGGATCTTCCGGACCAGGAGAAGGCGGCAGCTGTTCCGGCACATAGTATGCTGCTAACTCGCGCAGGAAAGTGGAAAAGCATTCTTTTTCAGCAGTCCAGTTTACGTGTGGTCCGAGCCGAAGGAGAAAGCGTGGAAGTTTGGCCAGGCTGGGCGTGTAGCCTTTTAACAAGAGAGGAATACTGAGCAAATCTCCGTCCTCAGATATCTCCATGGAGAAGTACTCGAGAAGCATCTCTCTGCGATTGATCAGTTGCGCGGAGACTAAATCGGCTACTTCATCAACGTCGAAATCACCTTCGGCTTTGTCTGGCGTAGGAGATGTGCTTTTCTCATGCTGGGCAGCAAGGACGAGTAGTTCCTGAAGGTTGAGAGGAGGTTCAAAACGGACCATGCCGAAGTTTCCGAAGTCGGTGAGGCCGACTTGGTAGAAGTACTCGTTGCAGACCGTGCCGTAGTCCACAAGGAAGAGTTTCACACCTCCTTGAATTGCGGCCAGGCGGCGACGCTCATCAACGACGCCGACGAACGTGTGACCAGCAAATATCTCAGTTAGCTCGTTATGTATCTCGTCGCGGACTTCGGCGCGAAGTTCTTTGACTGTTGCAAGACGACAGACAACGGCTCCTCGATCTGAGGTCTCGTACTCAGTGTCTGCAGCTTGAGGTTGTGCGTCGTTAGGTCCTGAGGTCGTGCTGGCTCGACTCATGCTAGGCGGCAGCATGCTGGTGATTTTGCGGAGTTTGGCATCGGTGCGCACGAGATTGTTCTCGTAGGATTTGGTCTTCGGGGTTGAGGAAGTAGCGTTTGGGGTTCCATCGGCTTCTGTGGTCGTTGACGGAAGTCGTACACCAGGGAGTAGGGTTTGGGTCATGAATGTTCGGCTCGTGTCGACATCTGCGAGCTTGGAGCGTATGTCGGTGCAGATCTTCTCAATGATCTCATCTTCGTTGAGGAAGTTAACTTCTCTCTTCGTGGGGTGCACGTTGACATCGACTCGGTGCGGGTCGATGTCGAGACTCAGATATGTGAAGGGGTGACCACCCTTAGGAAGGAAGGCTGAATACGTCTGCTCGATGGCCTTGCGGATATTTGTAGAGTCAACGGAGCGATGATTGATGAAGAGAAGGAGGGTAGTTTTCTTGACGTGGTAATTTGCATTGGTCGTCCAACCGCGAGCTCGATACCCCCACTGGGAATCAGAGGACGTAAACTCTATGAGTTCGTTTGCCACTGAACTTCCGTGGATTTGTCGGATTCGATCAACAGTGGATGAGCTTGACTGGGTCGAAATGGTAGTGCTGGCTTCTCCATGCTTCTTACAGCTGAAGGCAACCCCGTCACAATGTACAGCATATCTGCCGACTACATCGAGGATCTTATTGTATTCCTCGGATGCTGATCTGAAAGCTCTGCGACGAGTAGGGACATTGTAAAATAAGTCTTCAACTGTGATTTGAGTACCCTGTCTACCTGCAGTCGGCTTCGGATCAGAACTTTGACCGGGTTTCGCGGGAGCCAAACGACCACTATCATAATGTGCTCGGAAAGCGCAGGTAGAGTCTTTCGTTCTGGTTGTGACCGTGAGATGGGCAACATGACTGATACTCGCCAAGGCTTCTCCTCGAAAGCCGTAAGTTCCAATGGAAGTCAGGTCTTCGAAAGACTTGAGCTTGGAGGTTGTGAAACGCTCGCATAATATTGGAAGGTCTTCTTTCTTTGGATTGCGTCAGCCCCCTCTGGATGAAATATAATTTCTATCCTTGCCTCCAAGACTTACGGCGATTCCATGACCATTGTCTGTGATCTGTAGAAGTTTCAAGCCACCATCTTTGACAAGAACTTCAAGTGATGTTGAACCAGCATCGACAGAATTCTCGATAAGTTCTTTCAACGCATGTACGGGGGCAACGATGATCTCGCCAGCCGCAATCTTGTTGACAACATCTGGATCCAGTGCCTGTCACATGATGTTAGGATAGGTGCATGAGGCTGAGAAGCGGCCAATACTTACCCTGATTCTTCGCGGTGCAGTCACACCTGCAAGAGCCTCATCCGCCTTTCTCTTCGTTCCTCTCTGCTCCAGATCCACATCGATATCCATCGGCTCGGCCATCTTCACATATCGTCCATCTGCTGTTTGCACGTAGCTCCTTGGGAGAACAGGGTACCTAGTAATGAAGAGATATGACAGGCTTGAGATGGAAGTGACTATGGGTGCATATTCAAGGATTAAGACAATGGCTAAGTCGCTCTTTCCCGCCCGAATATTCGTTAATGTTTTGTCCCAGATGATGAGTTGAAGTTGAGGTTGGCAGCTTCAGCGCTGGTGGGTATAGAAGATGGTCAGGCAGGGCAGTTGAAGAATGGTTTCAAATGCCACGCCACCAGTCCTCATCCATACTACTGACTAAGCAAGACCTCAGCCAACGGTCTTTGACGTCGGTCGAATGTCAGTCTTCTTTTTCGATTCACCTGATTATTGCATTTGAGAACATTCCAAAACAAGCTCATCCAATATAGGTCGCAGTCAATCTGAATATCTAGCATACCCCATTTCGAGTCCTGAATGTCCATCACCCAATGCCAATCAGATTATCCTCGCCCGCATATCCCATGCCTCGGCCCTCACGATGTTTCCAAGACTGACCCGATATCCTTCGTTTTCATCTCGGTTGCTTCGAACAGATACACTTGTGGATCGTACTCAAACAGGTGTAGGGAGACGATGTCTCCATCTGGCACCTCCATTCCTGCTCGACGACTATACCCCAAGACATCAATTACTCTCCTCCATTGATGCCTCCAAGAAGAGATCTGCTGCATATGCGCACCTTTCGAAGTGTAATTTGTGCCCTCGACTATGCAATGTGAATCGATACGAGAAACCTGGGGCTTGCTTGATTGGAGCTGAGACGGTAAAAGTCAATGTTATTGCTCCACATTTTGGAGAAGGTAGGTGATTCCATAGTGTAGGACTTGTATGCTTAAAAAGTAAGATTCGTCAATATTTGCTGCTAACTTCCTAGCATATAGAACCCTGTATGCAAGGCCACAATGGCTCTGGAAGTGTGTTCTTCTCCGGATGCAATCTCCGCTGTGTATTCTGTCAGAATCATGACATTGCCCATCAACGTAACGGCCAAGACTTGACTCCCGAAGAACTTGGAGATTGGTACATCAAGCTTCAGGATGTCGGAAAAGTACACAATATCAACTTGATCACTCCTGAGCATATTGTTCCCCAGGTCGTTCTTTCAATACTCCACGCTCGCGATCACGGCCTGAAGCTTCCAATTATTTACAACACTTCGGCGTTCGATTCTCTGGCATCTATCGAACTGCTTGATGGATTGGTGGATATCTATCTTCCCGACTTCAAGGTCTGGAATGCTAGTACCTCCAAGCGCCTGCTGAAAGCCGACGATTATGCAGCCGCCGCCATGGAAAGCGTCAAGGCTATGCAAGCCCAAGTTGGAGACTTATGCTTCACGCCTGATGGTATTGCCAAGAAGGGATTACTTGTCAGACACTTAGTCATGCCTGGCTATGAGTCGGAAGGCGAAGAAATCATGAAATGGATGGCAAGCAACGTCTCAAAAGATGTCTTTGTCAATATCATGGAGCAGTATCACCCAGACGCTCACGTTGGGAAAGCGAAGCAGCCTCGTCGGTCAGCAGTAAAGCCTGTACATGTAGGCGAGGAGCCTTTATCAGAGAGGGCAGTACGGTACGAAGAGATCAACAGACACGTCACGAAAGAAGAGGTCTCTACAGTCAGGATGGCTGCTGAGAAAGCAGGACTATGGCGATTCTGCGATCCTCCAAAGCATGATGGCTTTGCATTGTGATTGTTTGAAGTCGCTTCAAGATTATTGGGTTGCATGCCTCTGAATACAGAGCAGACTGCAGTATTTAAAGCGTCTCCAAATATGACTATACTATACGATTGTCAAATTGCAGAAAGAGGCCCTTCAGTCGTCACATGTGTGAGACTTTTGAATTCTACCCTTTGCATCCGAGCTCACCACAAGTAAGAAATGCAGAAGGTACGATACATCGTGTTGAGGAATGAACGATTTTTTAGCACAGGCACATAAGGAAATCAGCATGCAATGATCTCAAGCAATGATCCAAAGCAATGATTCCAAGCTCTCTGCATGGAGCTTTGCTGAGGAAAAGCTAAAGCTATAAACCTACCAATCGCGGTTCCGGTCACTACAGAGTGTCAAATGTATCTTCAAATTCTTTGGATCACCTATGTAAGAGGGGCCGTGCCCTGAAATTTGGTAGAGTCGCTCAATGGGTTGCTCTTTCCATACATCCAAGGGTCTGGGAATCTTCATCCTCACTCGAAATAAACATTTCGTCTCATCAACTTCCGCGGTCTCAGTTGTTTGGCGTCTGGGTACCGCTCGACCAAAATACGCATGAAATTGCTCGCAATGCATCCCGAAGCCGCGTTCTTTTTGGTTTTCGCCTTCCTTACACTCACTCACTCGCTCCACCTTAATCCCCGAGATCTCAACGCTCCTTTCTTACCCTGCTACGACTACATCATTGTTGGTGGCGGGGTCTCCGGTCTTGTAGTTGCGAATCGTCTCACTGAAGATCCCAATGGTACGTTGTCGTAGATGCTTGTAATATATTTCACTGACAAAACAGTGACGGTGTTAGTCCTGGAAGCTGGCGACCTGTGGGTGTTTCGCTGCAAACTAAAACGGCGTCGCTGATATCCAGGCAGTGATGACTACGAAGACTTGATTCTGTTTCCTATCGAAGATGGCTATGGTCTTGGAACGAAATACGATTGGAATCTCTGGACTGTTCCTCAGACATACCTCGACGGTGCATCACGACCGTATGATATGGGGAGAGGAGTGGGTGGTGGCAGCTTGATTAATGGAATGTGCTGTAAGTGATTGTTCGATGGAGCTGATATGAGTTGATCTTGTGCCACCTTCTATCAAAGACTCTTGAGACGTAGGGGTGGCCTTTCCCATGCGTATTCTCATTGTTGCAGGGACTAGAGGTGGCCGAGCCGATTATGATGCCTGGGCTGCTCTTGGCAACGAAGGCTGGGGTTGGGATGATTTGCTGCCGTACTTCAAGAAAGTACGTTGGATTATCCTACCCTAGCGAATCATCTGCTAATACGACCTAAAGAGTGAGAACTACACCGACAACGTGAATGCTGAATTCAGCCACGAGCTTTATATCCAACCTGACGCGGCTACACATGGTACGGACGGCTATGTCCATGTCAGCTATCCGCGATACTTTTACAACCAATCTCGTGCGTATGAATCAATTTCACTCTGGGCAATATTGACGTGGCATAGATCTCTTCCTGGATGGCCTGAGAGAGCTTGGCATTCCAGTCCTGACTGACCCGAACAATGGAACTGCTGCTGGTGGGATGCTCATTCCTGACAGTATCTCTCCTGACAATCAAACACGATCGAGTGCCAGGCTGGGCTACTACGATGGTTTCATTGACAGTCGCCCGAATTTCCACATTGCAAGCCAACAGCACGTTACGCGAGTGCTTCTCGACCAAGATGCTCCAGCCAATGTCACGTCTCGAGACTATCCACCAGGGCAATGGATCGGCGGTGTTGAGGTAGAGTAACTCCCCATTTGAAGCACAGAGCTAACTCAGATAGTTTGCAACGAAAGGAACTTTGTCCCTTCGCAATGTTAGTTGCTCGCGGGAAGTAATTCTTGCAGCTGGGGCAGTGCATACACCTCAGATCCTTGAATTGTCAGGTATCGGTAGTCCAGATATTTTAGACGACTTTAATATTCCAGTGGCCATCAATCTTCCCGGCGTAGGAAATAACTTTCAAGACCACCCGTATGTTGGAGTCATTTATTATTGTAAGTTATTTTCAGGGACTTGCTTGCGATTTACTAACTCAGAAGATGATAATGCCTCGTATTTCAACATCAACATGCTCAACTTCAACCCGACCCTCTTGGATCAGGCCGCCCGAGAGTATTATGTCAATAAGACCGGTACGTATCTTACAAGACTGGAGACGTTCTCCCTAAATATCTTCAGGTCCCTGGACAGCCGGAGCAATCAACACTGTCGCTTTCCCCTCACTACCGTCAATCTCCAAGAATTGGACGGCCATGATGGTAGATGCTTTGAATCAGAATGCTTCTCTACATCTCCTCCCTGGTCTCGATGGAACTATAATTGCAGGATACGAGGCCCAGAAAAGAATTCTCGTAGCAATGTTGAGTCGTGATGATGTTGGAGCTTATGAGATATTGAACGACAATGTTGGACTTCTTGCAGTCGCAGCAATGCATACTTTCTCCCGCGGAAGTGTTCATATTCAAACGAGAAGCTCTTTCGACCAACCAGCCATCGATCCTCGGTATTGTTCAAATCCTCTTGACTGTCAGATCATATCTGAAGGATTACTTTTCAACAATCGAATTATCAAAACTGCTTCAATGAGAGTTTTGGATGTTGCTCCGTACTACCCATTCTTCCAGGACGCTACATTGGAAACTCTGATGCCAGCAATTCAGAGCGGTATCAGAACAGAGTTTCATGGTTCTGGTACGACTTCTATGTTGCCCCTCGAGCTTGGTGGTGTTGTCGATACACATCTCCGCGTATACGGGACGAAAAATCTAAGGGTAGTTGATGCTGGAATCTTCCCGTTGGTGCCTGCAGCTCATTTACAGGCACCGGTGTACGCGGTTGCAGAGAAGGTAAGTCCCGGAGCATGTTAGTAGACATTGACATGCTGATGATCTTAATCAGGCTGCAGATATTATCAAAGCTGACAATGAGGGTTTGACTCCTCGTGGATGCGGTATGGACTCGTCGTTTGCGAGATCCGGTCCACTGGTCTCCAACCATATCAGCTCGTTTTTGAAGCCAACTTTTTCGTCGGTCACTAGTGCCCACCCATCAGCTTCGACGTTCCCAGAGCTTCTCGATTCGCAGCTGGCTGTCAATTTCACTCGTTGGAACTCTTCTTCTCAAAAGCCACCTCTCTTGGTAGCTTCTGGGGCTGCGTTTGATCAACTTCCCTCAACTATCAAGTCAGATGCTATTCTGAATGCAGCTTCTATCTTTCTGGCAAATCCACCGCCGTTCTCATCATTTATCAGCATCCAGGCTTTCACTCTGCGAGATGGAGCCATTCCAGCATCGACCACCACCAGTTCGGGATTGCACATAGCTACTGCTAGCTCCACAACCTCCAGCAGTGCCAATGAAACCAATACTAGGAGCTCAACCGTGGTCACTAGTATTGTGGTTGTGACGATGAAAGCTCGAGATGATGCTTGTAGCGCTACTGGCGAGTAACGAACGTATAGGAGGGCGGTACTTCATATATGTATTATTCATTTTGGCAGAGTATGGCACCATATTCAAAGGATTTTGGGGCACCTGCCGGGTATCACAACAGATCAGATTTCCTGTAGAGTAATTCAAACCAACCTTCAGTGACTAAAGTCCGTATGACGTGAAATTCCTCTTATTACGATCTCATGTGAATAATCATCATATTCGTTTCGAGTTTGTAGCTAAAAATAGTACACAAACGCCAACAATGCTGAAAGCGATGACGGTGAGAACCTAGTATGATTGTTAGCATTTGGTGGAAAACCCATCTCTAAAGACCAAATATCCAACATGGATCTCTCCCAGAAAAGCTCGTCCACTCATTTCACCCTTCTGACCCCTCCAACCCTTTAACAGAATCCAATCTCCTAGATTCCCAACCAATAACCGCAGCAGATAAGAGAAGCGATCCAACTCACCGACTGCGTCTTCCACCCAGTCTGCACGATGGCCGCCCTCTTACTATACTTATTCACCGTCTTTATATAATTCCCAAACCCCAGCGCCAGACAGCTCAGACTCAACAACCAGAATATTATCCCCAAAGGCTTCGCCATTCGCAGCTCGAGTCGTGAGGGTTGTGATTTCAAGTGGAAGGAGACGACGATTGCGATGCTGACGATGGCCATATAGACGGAGAGGCGGAGGTAGGAGAGGAATGCTGGGGGAGAGGGGGGTTAGTGAGGGGAGGAAATGGGAGGGGAGAGGAGAGTTTACTTCGTTCGTTGGCGCAGTGGTCGCGGGCGTCGCTGTCGGTGTTGTCGAAGAGGAGGGGGCCAAAGAATGGGGGTACGCAGAAGATCGAGGAGGCGTTGTGTCTGTTGTGTTTCTGTTAGTATATTGAGCAAAGCTTCTGCTCGTCTTTACCCCTCTATTCCCAGTAGCCAATTCCTGCCTCTCTTCGGCAACTCAATTGCTGCAACGTCGAAACTCTGGTGACCAAAAGCTTGATCGAGAGAAGATATAGGGGGGACAGAGGAGAAGATACTTACGCAGGGACGTTCACGGGTGTAAAGCGCACAGGGAGTCCGAATGGACTGTAGGTATTTCGTCGCCCTACTTCCTCCTCATCGTCGGAGATATCTGCCAGAGGCATGGTGGACACATGGGATGAATCTCCGGTTTCCAATATAGAGAGGGAAGAATCCCTTAGAAGGGTGCTTGAATGGTGTTGTGGTGAAGTGTGTAAGTGTGTCGCTTTGCGCTTTGCGTGCTCTTATGATCCGGTGATATCATTTGCCAATGGCTGCTCCTGTCCTCGGCTCTCTGCAGCTGCAGTTGAGAGCTGCAGGTGGGGCACCGGTAGCAGTTGCAGGGGTATTTTCGATGTCCTTGTTCAACCCAACTTTCGAAAATTGGGTTGAATAAAGAAATAGAGAATAATTATCTTCTATAAAGATGCCCAAATAAGAAAGTCTTTCGGCTGCCATGATTTAGGTATGATATTTACTGCACAAACCGTGGTACTTTGTAGCTCCTCTGATCCTGTCATACCTTATCCAGCTGGTGCCTCGGAAGCGGCCGCATTACTTTTCGTCCCAACCTTGCCATTGGCAGAGGTTCCTTCGTGAGTCCCCATTTTCCACATGGCCTTTTGTACAACTTCAAATGCTGTGAACGTCAATCTACCTTAACGCTCAAGTGAAAATGAGATCAAGATTTGCTACCATCCATGCACATCTCGCCTTCTTTAATCAGGTAAGAATACCATGCCGTACCTCTTTCGCTTTCTCGTCTCTCCAAAGCTTGACTCACTGGCCGTCGGCTACATGCTCCTCTTTGAGACAGGCTCTTATCTATTGGTGCAGACTTGGAGGGGTTAGTTCTGGGGCGATTACAAGTAGCAGGAGGGGAGAGCTTTGGTGGGGAAACGGTCCGCCTTCTCTTACCTTAATCTTATGCACCTTTTAAATCTCCGCCTCTTTTTTTCTTCTTTTCTATTATTTATCTTGCCTATATGGTACCTATCTTTACTTTTATGATATCCTCAACCGACCCCCGTTGCGTCCTTGAAATCTATGCGAGGCTGCACTGCTGAGTGCAGAAATCAATTTGAGTATTTGAGCCAAGTCGGCCAGCCATTGTTGACAGACGACCCCGAACTCTACGCCCTCCCCATTGTTAAAAATGTCGAGCTCCTCTGCTCGACCGATCCGGAAACAACCCAGTCGGCACTCAATTGCGCGATCACCATTCAGCAATTCGTACCTGTCGGGCTCCTTCCTGCCTGGCTCGCCTCTAGCCCAGGAGTCGATCGCACGGGATCTTGAGGAGTGCGACGACGATGATGGGGTCAACAATTCCGAAAATGGAACGTCAAGCTCTGAAGATGATTCTTCGGAAGCGTCGACTGTGCGCCCTGAGGCGGTGCAACACTCCATGGCCAATTCGTATAGGAGGCCAAGTTTTGTAGCCTTTGGAGGGACGAGGGGTGCGGTGACGCCGCAGGTAGGCGAACACATATTTTCTGGAAATTTTATTACCTGAATGTGCAAAGCTGCGTTTTCAAATTTAGACAAGTCAATGATTTTGAAATCTAATTGGACAGAATACTAATGTAAAATGTCAAAACAGCTCCAGGAACCGACCTACTTAACGAAGAAAGAAAAGAAGGCAGCAAGAAATGAAGAGAGAAGCCTGCTAAGGGACAATCATCTTGCTCCACCGAAACACCCTGAACCGAAAGACCGAAGTGCTCTGAGTCGGTTGTACAAGCGGCTATTCAGTACCAGGAGACCGAAGACCGTGGCAGACGAAGAGGCGGATGCTGAAGACCCAACATCCATTGTAGGGCCGTCAGAAACGACTGCGTTACTGGGAGATGGTGCACCTGAATCTGCGAGAACCCGTCATGAGAGACTGAACGCTCAATGGGAAGCAGCTGTCGCATCTGGGAAGATCAAGACAACATGGCAGCGCGAAGCGAAGACGTTGTGGAAATACTCCAGTCCTCTGGTTGTCACCTTCGTGCTTCAATACTCTCTACCAGTCGCCAGTATCTTTACAGTCGGACATCTTGGGAAGGTGGAACTCGGCGCAGTCAGTTTGGCTAGTATGACTGCGAATATTTCTGGATATGCGATATACCAAGGATTGGCTACGAGTTTGGATACGCTATGTGCGCAGGCTTACGGGAGCGGGAAGAAACATCTCGTTGGACTTCAGCTGCAGAGAATGGTGTATTTTCTATGGATTCTGACAATACCAATCGGCATACTCTGGCTATTTGCTGAGAAGATCTTGGAGAAGATGGTCCCCGAAAAGGAATCTGCAGAGTTCGCAGGACTTTACCTCCGAATCTTACTCATTGGTGCACCCGGATACGCTTGTTTCGAGAGTGGGAAGCGCTTTGTACAGGCTCAGGGCTTGTTTTCTGCGACTACCTACGTTCTGCTTGTTGCAGCACCTCTGAACGCTTTCATGAATTGGCTGTTTGTTTGGCATTTCGATTGGGGCTTCGTTGGTGCTCCAATTGCGGTTGCTGTTACGGATAATCTTTTGCCGATTCTCTTGTTCCTATATGTGAGATTCGTTGATGGTCGACAATGTTGGAACGGTTTTACTTGGAAGGCATTCCATAATTGGGGTAAGCATCGAGTAGTAAGTTTGTATGCGAGAAGCAAAGCTAACATATATAGGCCCAATGATCAAGCTTGCGCTACCGGGTCTGCTAATGGTCGAGGCGGAATATCTAGCATTTGAAATCTTGACACTTGCAGCCAGTTACTTCGGTACCACACATCTTGCTGCTCAGAGCGTCCTGAGTACTATCACTGCAATGACTTTTCAGATCCCATTCTCGACTTCGATCGCAGCCTCAACTCGTATTGCGAACTTGATTGGTGCTACTCTCAGTGATGCTGCGAAGACGTCCGCTATAGTGGTGAGTTCAGGTCCTCTCATTTCTTGGTAACATATGCTGACAGCTTGCCCAGGTAATGATAACAGCAACTGTCATTGGAGTATTCAACGTCATTCTCCTCTCGTCCCTCCGCAACCTCATACCTCAACTCTTCACCAACGACCAAGGCGTATCCGACCTCGTCGCCCGCGTGATGCCTCTCTGCGCAGCATTTCAGCTCTTTGACGCCCTAGCAGCCAATTGCAACGGTCTGCTTCGAGGTCTTGGAAGACAGGAGATAGGAGGTTGGGTTAACCTTTTCTGTTATTATGTTATCGCGATGCCGATCTCGTTCTATACCGCTTTTGCGCTGGACTGGGAGTTGCATGGTCTTTGGTCAGGAGTGGCTCTCGCCCTTGGCTTGTAAGTCTTATCATTTCTAGGGGAAGTTGAGGTGAGGACGGGACTTAGGGCTGACTTTTGACAGGGTCGCTGCTGCTGAAGGATATTTCATCTGGAAGGCCGATTGGAATCAAGCTGTTGAAGATGCTCAGACGAGGAATAACGCTGGCTAATGCAGCCTCCACACGGATGAAGCTGGATATGATTCAAAATTGAGTTAGAAATTTGGTTTTGAGTTCGATATGTTGCGATCTACGGGCTTACAGGGACCCTCAGATTCTACATATGATGGGCATGATGATGATTTTGATGATGGAATGAGCTGCGGAAATATTAGATACGTTTGTGGTTTGATTCATTCTATCATACCCTTGTTGTACCTGCAGGCGCTGGGTTTGGAAAATTTGATTGTTGTACATACTCTTGAGACCTAGACCTCAGGAGATGCATTTAGGCTGGATAAAGAAAATAAAAAAAGATTACTGTGGAATTATGTTCCTTTCCTTCACTTCATGAGTCTATGACCTCTGCGTCATATATATTTCCAGAACGTCGCATGTACTTGCCTGGTGTTGCGCTGGATTCCAGCTTTCCATATCTGTGAAGGCAAAAAAACTGAAGACAAAGGAATGCTTCCGGAACGGGGAATTGAACGCCGGTCTCATGCGAGCTTTCATTGCTCGGTGCAACTTGAAAGGCAGAAATTCCAACCACTACACCATTCCGGATCATATCATTTGATGGAGGTGGATTCGGTATCTGGGTAGATGACGAAGATAGCGAAGTTAAAGACAAGGAAAGTTATCTTTGAAAGTTAGGTGATGCCAGTTGAGCTGGGGGGGAAACAGGTGGATTTACTGAATCTGGCACGAATTCATACTATAGCACAGATAGAAAGCGATGACTATTAGTGGAGCATGCCCGACACTAAGGTGGTTCAAAGTCAGTGTATTGTATGCGCGGTAGCTATGTTAACGATGACGGAGCCGAGGGTTTCGCTTAGCTAACTCGTTCGGAGCTGGAAGTATATCAACAAACAAGAAAAGTTCAAAAAGAATAGTAGCATTACGTATCGCGTACATAAGCAACGGTGACAAGAAAAAACAATCCACAATACAAAAAAAGAGGCAAAACAAACCCCTTTTCAGGGCTCTGCTTCTTTCTATTAAAATCCTAATCTACAATAATTTTATAATCAATCTTTTAAACCGTCTCGAGTCTTCCCGGTGAAGAGTTTCTGAGGTTCCCCCCGGTTCTGAGGCATCAGGTGCCCTAGTCGTTGCATACCATTCGAGGACGGGCAAAGGGCTACTCTTGAGCTAGGAACATTGGGCCTCCACTGTGAGATGCAAAGGCTTTTCGGCGGGGATAATTGGAGAGTGTGGTGTTGGCGGGAGTGGTGCCCTGGCGAGAAGTCGGGAGGGAATTTGCATATTTCGCTAGATATTGGCGTGGTTTGTGTGGGATGTGAGAAGTGAGTGCGTGAGGTGGTTGGTGTGGTGATGCCGGATTTGAGCCGGGCGACGCTGGAGCCAGCGGCGATGGGTGACTTGTGAGTCGACGGCATGGTATGATTTTGGGCCGTTTTACTGCATCGCTATGTGTCTCAAGCTTTCAAGTACACAGGCAGTCTGAAATAGGAGACGCAAAAACAGGATAACTTCAAGTTGCTCAACAACTCTGCAGCTGACCTGCATCAACGAAAAGATATAGGGGCATTTAAGCTCTATATCTACAGATTTGAAAGATTTTTGCAAAATTCAGTGCCCTTTTGAGTGTTACCAGCGGGCATGTTCAAATGAATGCGACAAAAGACCACAAAGTTTATATTGTGACTCAAATTGTCGCGAGTACTGTTGAAAATTCAGTTATCTACACCTACCCCAGTAGAGATAACTTAGTTTCTAATCAGATGGAGTACTTCTCTACGCAGCTTGAGCACGAAGACACTACCTTTGAAGTGAAGGATCTCGGTGGTCGTTCAGATTCTCGCTTAATCCGGCTGCTCACAACAGGGTAACAACCAGTAACACAACATAAATCTCGCCCAGAGTTCTTGACTATGTACCGCAGAAGTTTAGACAAATTATTTAGGAGCTAAAGAAAGGATATTTTTATTATCGAATATGTGGCAAGTCGGAGGAGATTCAGTCTTCTGGGCGAAAGCACTTCGGCAGCTGGATTTACTCGTGTATTTCTTCATACTACTCCTTGGCATTATACCTCAGTTCAAGCTCAATAAATGGTGCAATTGGAAATATAAGTTATGAAGCGATAAATAGATAGCGTCGGATTTTTGGACGCTGACCACGCTCGAAGAACTGTCAGCGCTGGCCTCGATATCCTCGCTATCCTGCCTAGCCAGGGTAGAGAGTGAGCCAGGACTTTTTCGTACAATACATTTTGGTTACAATAACGATAGAATTGCTTCTGTTAATTCATTTCGCGTGCGATGAAGTTTACTCATAGGGAAAAAGTAGATAGGTACAGTGAAGGAAGATTCCAGCTCCACTGGACTGCTTCCAAATAGACCTTGTCAACAGAACACATTCTAATGTGAGGGCAATTTCTCATGCCTCATAAGGAAGTGGGAAGGGGACATAAAATTCTGTTCGTTTTGAAGAGAGGTTCAAGGGGCACTTAAGGGGACATGAAATATCTCTGCACAAGCAACAAGGAACCGAGAATTCAGAAGACATATAGCATTTGGCCATGGTCGCAAAATGTGAAGTGCTAGCCATCTAGCAACTCATCTCAGTATCCACACCCGATGATTGAATTGATCCAGACCAACACCTTTTTCTACCAAACGCCAACATATCAGATGCATTGCCCAAGGCTCCCTACTTGTCCGTAACAGCCAACTCATCAAACTCATCAAGCAACTCCTCCATATCGATATGTGGAGTCTCGTCCTCCCCATCATCGGTCTCGACAACGCTCATAGCCTCCGCATCAATCTTCTGTTGCTGTTGAGCCTTGTACAGGGCCATCGTTTGTCTCAACTCTTCATCCTCCTCAACATCTCGCAAGAACATCTCGTAATCCTTGTCCATACGCTCCTGGTCGGACTTCTTGGGCAATAGATCGCCCTCGTCTCTGGCCATACGCTTCAGGCGCCAGTTGCGGTTCTTCGCCTTCTTCTTTCTGGCGTAGAACTTCTTGACGAGCATGACGTCAGGTATTTGTGACGAGTATGTGTGGGACTCTTCGAGAGCCTCGAATTGTGGACTATTGAAGTTTGTGCCGGTAAGTAAGTATCCCATCACGGAATCTCCTGGATGTAGAACATTGCCCAGATGTGTGCGGGTGTAGTATGTCTTGTCGTTGGACCCGAGATCTGAAGCACGAGCGACAGTCGCTTCAGCCAAAGCCCATCTTCCCTTTTGTGGTCCCAGCAGGTCGATGTCCATAACAATAAATTCTGTCAATTCTTGAACATCGGCGAGAGATGTAAATGGAGCACGCCAGTAAACTGGGGTGCTGATATCTGCGGTTTGGAGAGTTGCGGGGTCGAGGACGTTGACTGTGGTTCCCACTCGGTAGCAAAGTCCGAGTGGTGAGATATTACCAATCTGCTTTGCGAGCTTTATGGGTATCGCCACTAAATCGTCTTTGCAGATAGGGACCAGTTCGACGGAGTATGAGAATTTGTAGGATTTGGTAGATGTATGAATATCCATCGAGATCAGTTCTTGGGACTTCTTGCTTCGAACAGGTGCGACGGAATTGAGGAAATCGACGAATTTCTCGGCCTGATTCCTTGCTGAGTAGTAGAAATCCAACCCATCCTTCACCTCCTTAATATTGATTGTGTCCTTGTGTGCGCCGTGCTTGAGAATGAGTTGTTCGAGGTAGAGGAACGTTCTCTTGTGAGGAACCTTTTGTCGTACTTGTACACAAGCTCTCCAGGTATTCGCAGTGTAGGACTTCGCACAGTCGGGACACTGCTGGTACGCGACGATATATTCCACCTCAAATGCCTGCTGCAGCACAACTCCCTCTGAAACTGAATCTTGGATTGTGAGCTTGACCTTTACTCTCCGAGAATGCGGTTCCGTCCATATAAAGCTTGCGTCGATAATCCGTACTTTGTGTAGGCCTCTTAGTTTCTTCAGGCAAAGGGCGAGCAGTTCTCTGGACTCGAGAGCAGCCACAATCCAACTGGAGGGAGGAAGAAGCCATCGATCGCAGTCTCTGCAGAAATGTAGGGTAGCCTCGCGCTGGATTCCTTGGGAGACGTCGACAGTAAGCTTCACACAGTCGTAGCAGAGAGCACCTGCAGCGGTCGTTCCATCGATAGCAGCGCCACAATTACAGCATAGAATACTGCAAGATGTTAGCAGAAGATTTGTGAAATGCTGAGGATGCTCTTACGTTGCGCCATTTTGCTGCTGATCTGCTGCTGCAAATCGAGTTGCAATAGACACCGGGGCGTCAAGGTCCATGGCGGACATCTTGACGGTATTTTCTGGTTGTTTCTTGAGTTGTTGGTGGGGTTCAAGAAAATGTCAAATCTTCGAGAACCCCGCGATTTATCGAGCCGAAAAATCGTTATCTCAGCAAAGCCGCCACCAAGCAGAACGTGATACTGAGTCATGCTTCGAAATACAACCTGGAGGAAGTTTGATGGTTGGGGAATGTACTGTTAGATTGACATTCCACTGTCCAAAGATAATTTAGGAGTCTCTAGATTGTAGATACCAAACCTGAGAGAACCACTTGGCAGCAGACAGACACGTGAATTTTTGTCACATGACCATTTCAGCACCTTCTACCTAGGTAGGCGCTCTTTGCCTAGCTTAATCAAGCCTCGAGGTACTCCACAGAAAGGCTGTATCAGATGGTGGATGGAAACAAATCTCCAGCTTTATTTGTGCTTGCCCATGGCCTATATTTCCCTTGCACTTCGTGATATTCGAGCTTAATTGCATCATTCTTAGCCCGATCAAGAGCCAATGATAGTTGCTTCCCCTCAACGACGTCAAGCAATCGTGACCATCATTCAGTATGTCGTCCTCTTTACCTTGCAGGTAATGGGTACTTTTCATAGCGTTGTCTTCACATTAAGTTGCTCCGCACCAATAAGCGCTGCTGAACCTTACAAAGGATGGATGTATCCCGAATATCCAGGAGTGGGGATTGCTTGTTACAAAAGACGCAATTCTTGGAAGACGCAATATGACCGAGTTTTGGAAAGCAGATATAAGAACTCTCTTCACCCTGACTCTGACGGACGAAAACACTATCCACTGCCTACCAAAATGGCTCCTTCAGCAACAGAAACCGTCACTTTGGAAAGTCGCCCAGTCAAGCTCACGAGCAACGTTGGGCCGTACAAGGAACTTGCACCTATCGGTTATGAGAAAGATGCAGAAGAACAAGGAAAAGATGGTTTCTCTGCCGCCAAAGTATGTATCCAATGACTGCATTCATGTCATTGCGCCCTGACCAGCCAAAAGTACAAACACTACCTCCCAACCTGGGGCATTGAAAGCTACCCGCCTCTGGAGCCTTTTGAGCACAGAGACCACGGCCTGGACGCTGATCCGAACTTCCCAGAGCTTCTGGCAAGTGGTGTTACGACCAACGACTTGACTCCAACTATCGGTACTGAAGTGACTGGGGTTCAACTGAGCAAGTTGAGCAACGCTGGAAAGGATGAGCTGGCACGGTTTGTTGCCGAAAGAAAAGTCGTCGCCTTCAGAGACCAGGACTTTGCCGATCTTCCCATAAGTGAAGCTCTTGACTATGGCAGATACTTCGGCCGACTTCATATTCATCCTACTTCCGGAGCCCCGGCTGGATGTCCGGAGGTCCATCTTGTACACCGTGGTGCCGGAGACAAAACAGCAGAGCAATTTTTTGAAACCAGGACCTCTTCTGTAGCATGGCACAGCGATGTCTCATACGAACTACAACCTCCTGGAACAACATTTCTCTACATCCTTGACGTCCCAGAGAGCGGTGGAGACACCCTTTTCGCCAATCAAGCGGAAGCATACAACAGACTCAGCGACGGATTCAAGGAGAGGCTACACGGTCTCAAGGCTACTCACTCGGGCATAGAGCAGGTAAATGCTTCTAGGGGCAAGAATGGCGCAGTTCGAAGAGAGCCAGTTGTGAGTGTGCACCCGATTGTGCGCACACACCCTGTCACAGGGGAGAAGGCTCTTTATGTGAACCCACAATGTAAGAACAACGTTCTCCTAGATAGGTTTTCATCTAACAACCTCTAGTCACCAGGTCAATCGTCGGTTACAAACATGAGGAGAGCGAGGCCTTACTCAAATTTTTATATGATCATATCGCATATGGCGCAGACTTCCAGGCTAGAGTCAAATGGGCCGAGAAAACGGTGGTAGTGTGGGATAACAGAGTCACTTCTCACTCCGCATTAGTCGACTGGAAGTCGGGGCAGAGAAGACATTTGGCACGAATTGCAGCGCAAGCTGAGCCCCCAACTGAGACACCCTTTAAGGCTTGATCATATAGAGTACTTGAATGTATACAATTAGCAACAGGCAGAAATGGGACTGAAAGGAGCAACACACATGCGTTCAATAGAAGAACGTTATCAGAAGGTAGGAATAGAATTGTAGTCCACTTCCTTCTTAATCTGCTGCTCCTTTTCCTTTTTTGCTCTGGCTAGCCGGAGTCGTTCTAATCTTGACGGCTTCGGAGCGGCTTCCACATTTGGCCATGTCGTCGTAACAGCATTAGACCTGACTGTTGGTGACGATTCGGTCTTGATGAATGGATCTAGCTCAGGGTGTGGAGATGCTGCATTGAGAGGCTCCTTCTTAATTGTGGCGGATTTCGAAAACAACGAGCCGGAATGGAGACTCGAAGGTGCGATAGCATTTTGAGACGGAGCAATCAGCTTTGGGGCAGGTATTGGTGCATCGAGATCGTCATCGTCATCCGTAGATTCGACAGTCAGATCAGCTTGAGCACGTTTCGTAGCGTGTTTGGGTTCAGGCGAGTCTATGAGGGACTTACACTGATTGCTATTTGATTGTATCGCTGGTTTTTTGAAGCCTGCTGCAGCTCGAGTCGTAGCTGTTGAACCGAGCTTTGCTAGCGATGCGGCTTTCTTGCGAGGACTGTCCATCAGACCGTGAAGCGTAGTCCCAATATAGGGAAGTTCTTCAGCATCGCTCTCCGATTCTGCACCATTCTCTTTCTTTCCAGTGAGCTTTTCAATCATCGCTCTTTGCTTTTTTGCGAGTGTAGCTGCTTCTAATTTCCGCTTGGTCTGATCCGGCATTTTGCCAGTAACGGGTCGTGAGATGGAGTTAATGGTATCGGCATTTTGGCTTTTCACAGCTTTCTGTTGCCTTTTGTACTCAGCAGCGTGGAGATGAACTGTGAACTGCTGAGCTACTTCAATAAACTCGTCCTCGACCATGCGATACCTGTCATCATTGTCTTTGCCTTCCTGCATAAAGCTGTGAAAGGTCAGCTGATCGAGTACGAGATTTTGCTAAGGTGTACTATACCTCTCAGATGGTGGATCCGCAGCGGGCGATGAAGATGGAGGGCGACCTGGTCTCCGTGTTTAGCTTCCCCACAATGGGACGAGCAGTAAGGTAACGACCAAGGAAACAGGACTGACCATGATCACGAGAACGTTCTTTCTTGGAAGTAACCGTTGACTCCTCCTCTTCGCTACCAGGCGTCGTCTTTCGGACTTTCTGTCGCTTCGTCACAGGAGTACCAGCTGGCCGTTTTGGGCGAGTTGTTGTGCTCGAAGTAGCCCATGGAAGCTTTCTAGGCATGTTGCACAGCAAGCCAGGCAGGTCAGCTAGGAGATGTGGCGATCGTGGAAGCCACAATTCTCGAAACTAAGTCTTGTTGAATTTTGCTTCCGATAGTCTCATTGACGTAGCTCTGAAATCAGGAAACGAAAAAGTCCCAGGTTCTGGCGCGCTGGCCAGGGTATAAAATGAGAGGGGGCTTTAATGCAGATATTGGTTGCATCGGACAAACACAAGTAGATGAGAAAACGATACGGCGGGTCACGCGTTTCTTTCAAGGTATCAAAGAGTTTCAAGATGTTGTTTGCTAACAGGGTCTTCCCTCTTTAGCCAACAAGGCCACTGTTCGTCTTGACGTCCTGTCCTCAAACGACGCGATACGCGACTGCCTGTGAGAGGTTTTGCTTAGTCAGCTTCGCTTGGATTGTCCAGTCCAAGCCAAGACATCAATTCGAAGACCATAGAAGCCAGGGCATCCAGATGTCCACCTCCACGCCGGCATCCTCAATCCAATCTTACCTATGCTTTTAGCCCTTTTAGTCATTCATTCTCAGCCCTTCGATTGACAAGTCGCCAGGAGACATGCTGCTCTACAAACAGAACACCGTTTTCTTAATTGTCAATTGAGACTCACTTTCCTTTTATACGGGCTCTTCCCCAAATTTCTGCTTATTTCATGTCTACCTAGCCTTCGGCAGCAAGAGGCAACAGGGTATTTCATCCTGGCCAAATCTCAATATGGCTTCAAGGTTCTGGGCATCATCGGAAGATTTGAGCGTTGACTCCTCTGCAGAGGGTTTTGGCGGCTCACGTGATGAATCTCATGATAGCCAGAATCAGGACGGCTTCGAAAGTACAGACAACCATGATTCAATGGGCGATGTTGGTGCTCTGGCACGTATCATGGCTTCTGATCTGTCAAGGCAAACCCTACAACCGTCACAGCATACAACTTTCTTTTACCTCGCGCTCATTGAGGCGAGGTGTAAGAAACAAGCTGCAGTGTTCATCAACAAACAACGTCGTCCTGCCGACCACCTATCCGAAGAGCATCCTGAAGTATGTGCTCTGGCTAAAATAATCTTTTCCGATGTGCAGAGAGATCTAGCAAGGGCTGGCATGCTGCCTGAAGAGTTCGTCGGTCAACATATTCCCGAACTGCAGTCGTATCTCACGTCTTTTGACACTGCTATCAGCAACATTGCAACAAGGAAAACCTCCGACATCTCTGGTGTACCAATTATATCCTTTGTTGACACTCAATCTCTTCCATTCGTCCCTAGTTCGTCTCAACTTGAACAGTCGCAAGACTATTCGAATGCACTTGTGCGTCAAGACCTTAGGATGGCCCTTTCAGATCGTCGTCAGACTGGTGGCCAGTCCCCCTTCTCCTTGTTGTATCCCGCCGGAAGTACGTCAGGGCCTGTCTCAGAATCACGCTATGGCAAAGATTACCAGCAGTAAGCAATCATCTACTATCTAGCAAATCAATATATCCTCCGAATTTCACTCTCCCGCTACGGGTGGGACCAGAGTTATTGCGACGTCAAGAAGATGTGACTCGTCGGATCTGGTCCCCTTTGCCCGAGCCCGGCTATGAGATGGATCTCTTCACATGCTCATAGCATTGCCAGTTTGGTCTTTTATTGGAATTGTTGTGAGATTGGAGGCACGCCGAGTATCTTTGAGGCATTATGCTTACATCCCATTTCTAGGTTATTGAAGCTTGGCAGCGGAGGCTTCGGGAGTGTCTATCTAGCAAAATACTACCTCGATAATAGATCATATGCCGTCAAGCAAATAGTTGTCCCGGCCGAAAAATTCCTGGGCGCTGCTGGTAGGGCAAAGGTAGACCAAGTGCTTACCGAAGCGAGATCTTTGGCGCAGCTGGATCACCATAATATCGTTAGATATTATCATACCTGGGTCGAGGAACGTGTTCGCACAAGCACGACCCGTACTGACGATGATGAATCCGATTCCGGTTCAGACACTGATTCCGATCCTCGCCCAGACTCCATGGAACCCATCACGCAAGGTGCGCACAGTATACAGCTCGGCTTGGAGCGGAGCCTCTTTAAAGAAATCAGGAGAGAGCGACAACGAGCAAGTTCCACTGCTGCCGAGGAGAGTAATAACTACATCATCTTCGAAGCCTCCGATTCATCGAAGCCTACTCCAGGATATAAAAGCGCCTTTCGCCAACCAGGAGAAATTGATAGCGATGATGAGGACAGCGATGGACAAAAGTGAGTTTATTCTCCATTTCCTTTTTTTTTCCGGGTCGCTCCGCAGAGTTCAGGTATTATGCCTCGCCTTCCAGACGACTTCCTTGTCTGAATTTATTTGTTGACATCTACCTGGAAACGATTACTGACGCCGAACTCCTTGAATTAGCGACAGCACAGAAGAAATCCCGAGAAGTGAAATCCCAAATGAGGTCACCATCTACAGCGGAATTGAGAAGGATTTGGTGCTGCACATCTCCATGTTTCCATATCCATTGTCTCTGGACGATTTCATCTGGGGCTCAGGTGCAGAGAAGATTTCTGGAGAAGCCTCGCCTCGTCACTGCTTTCATACACTACCGACGATCCGTCTTCTTCTCGCTATTCTTGACGGCACAGAGTATCTTCATCGAAAAGGCTTCATCCACCGTGATCTCAAGCCTCCTAACATATTTCTTTCTATCCTCGAACCAAATGAGCCTGAGCGCCACCAGTTCATCAACATCTCAGACTGCAAGGAGTGTGGCACCTTGGGACAGCCAGTCTTTGTCTGCCCACATATTGGTGATTTTGGCTTGATACACGACCTAAAAATTGTTGACCAGGATCCTCTGGCAACACCATCTCGGAAGAAGGCAGCTCTGGAGCCATTTCCGTTCTCTACCGTTGCATCCCAGCAGGTCGGAACAAAGTTTTACTGTCCTCCAAAAGTACCAAAGGAGCGTCCAATCTGCCCCAAACTCGACGTATATAGTTTTGGCGTGATCACATTCGAGATGGTCTACAAATTCGGCACAAGAACGGAGCGCCAGCACGTATTGAGCAACCTGCGAAATGGAGATTATCCAATACACTTTGAACATCATTCACTGGCCGAAGGTATTAAGGCGATGCTGTGTGAGGATCGAGACAAACGTTGGGACTGTGCTCAAGTTAGGAAGTGGTTAAATGGCAAGCTCAAGGTGGAGTCTGAACGATAGATTCTGGTGAATAATATGAGAGTGTCGACATGGAAGGTTCCGGGCATAACTGTATAAATGTTGGAGTATGATACCATGGGGTCAGGCAGCTGGAGTTGGTCATTCGCAGCGGGTTCGGCATACTGTGTTCACTCTGCATGCACAGCGGTTGATTCATATTGCCTCCTCAAGAGGCCAAGTTTCTGAATTCCCTCGGACACGACAGCGAGTAGCGAATTAGAAAAGCAAATCACCACTTCGCTGGATAATTTCGGTGTGCGTGATGCAGTATACCTCCAATTTGAAAACTAATATACAACTAGGACATCGTCTCTGCCGGTGCTCTTGCCTCTTTAAATCTGCAGTAGTAGTAAGCTGTCCCCTCTTCTCCTCTGAAGCCACACACCGGGTACTAACGCCCCTTGCAGAAAGTGTCTAACAACTTTTCTTTCTTCTCTGAAGATATCCATAGCTTTTCTCCACATTACAAGGTTATTTCTCTTCTCTTCATGTATCTTTGGACCCTCCAATTCTTATTCCGAAGATCTCCAGGAACCGCCTAATCAGCACCCAGATCACAACGCACCAGATATTGAAAAACAATCTCACACTCAGCAAGCCCTGCACATTGATCCGCATCCGATTCAGCAGGCCTGGTATCTTAAATGGGTTCGAGATATATCTGCCAGCTCGTGATGGAAGGTTGAGAGTCTGTAAGTGCGCTTGTGCGAGCTGAAATGCTGCGAGATATGGGCTTGATTGGGTGGGGATGTACGAAATTGCTGAGTGAGTCGATTCTGAGAGGATATTTGATAGTATAGACTTCAGAGTTGGCAAAGAGAGATAAGCTCCAGCGTCGGGAGAACTATGTGGATTGATGATAAGAATGTTCTTTGCGTGGACGAGGTGAGGCGAGCAAGAGCAGATGATGACTTGCACATGCGAGCAACTATGCTCTTCCCCGTAACATTTCTAAGCGGATGTCAGACATAGCTTCAAAGCAAGCACGAATATTTACTCACTGCTGATAGTTCCTGCCAATCTTGCTTATTAGATTGCATATCTCCCTGGGGTGGTTGAGGAGAATACATTTTTGTATGTATATCAGAGACGGAAAGTACCCCAGAACATAGTAAGAATTCCAGCTCCCGGGATTGAAGGAGGAAGAAAGTGCTTGTATTATTTACTTGTCTGATCAACCTCGATTTCGCTCAGCACGGCCCCCATTTCTCTGCTATGGGTCTCGTCTATCGAGTCTCGGCCAACGCCTCACACATGTCGCAGCTCGCGAGCAGCCTTCCATCGATCCAAATTCAGGCGTGCACCAGCCTCCAGTTCATCAAAGTATGGAACCAATATGTGGGCTCGTCCAGTTTCGGATCGCATCTCCAGCACCAACGTGGGCGTAGACCCAAGAGATGACCTGCATGTGCATGCAGCATAACTCGGCAGCATAGCCCAATACAACCAATTTGGCTTTGCTCGCCTTCGCATCCGCGTTCAAACTCCACAAGAACTCTTCCCCATACACCATCGTGCCCCAACTCTGCAGGTCGAACCAAGGGTTCATGGTGCAAAGGAGTTTAGCCGCCGTCTTGGGAGCGCCTCAATGGCTGTCTCGGGTGTGCAACCGCCAAAGCAGTCATATCTTGGGGTCGGAATCCACCTCGTCAAAGTGTAAAAAGGCGGGTTGTGACCATTTGGCGGACGCAGTTGGTAATATTTAACGAGACGGAACGGCTCGTTCAAAATACCTTTCTCACCTCATTTCAGCTCTTGGTAGATCGAGACATCATCGATCTACTTGCAGAGGATCTGAGATCTGGTGTGAGACATGACATTTCAATCTCAGAACAAAACTCGCTTCGTCACGTCAGAGGAATCGATACACGTCACGGACTGTGCCCAGCGATGATAAGTTCAAATATGCTTCGCAATCATTAGACAGAAAAGTGTCATGTCGGCTACCGCACTCATATTATACTAGATATATAGCCCAGTAATCTCAAGAACCGCCCATGATCAGATTTACTTCCGGTAAGTTGTCAGGGCAGGACTTCCAGGTGCCGCAGGTGCAGAGAACTTCGTCTCGACGAAGATTTTCTGCATGCCATCTTCCTTCTTCTCGAACTTGTAGTAGACATCATCAAGTTCGTCCAGTGAAATACGATGAGTAACCATCTTCAGTGGATCGATCTCGCCACTTTCGATCATTTTGCAAAGTTTCTCCCAATACAGGTGCACTGGGGCTTGTCCATTACCAATCAGACGGATACCACGCTCCATCAGTGACCCAATGTTGAAGTGATTTGTCTTGACTCAGTCAGTCATGATTTTTCGTTCTTCTTGAGAGAGTTCGACACTTACATAGCCAACATAAACGCCAGTGACACCACATCTTCCGTAATTGCGGACAGATGTAATCATCTCATTAATAATCTCCGATGTATCTGTTTCCAACCCAAGCTGGAGTTCGAAGTAGTGAGCCCATCCTTTGGCATATTCACCTGCTACACACTCCAGAGCTACATCTGGACCACGTGGACACAGTTCTCGTAATTTCGAATATACGGTCTGTCCCTTTGGAAGAGTGCTGTAGTCGATGAGTTCCACTTTTGGATACTTGGACTTGACGTAGTCGAGCCTCCAGTTGCTGTCAATCATGATAACTCGACCAGCACCATTCATAAATGCAAATTCGGCACACATTTGACCGATCGGACCTGTAGCGGTTAGCTTTAAAACTTTTCACTGCGAGAGGAAACATACCAGCTCCCCAGATTGCGACGGTGTCGTTGGGGTCAATGCGAGTGTCGACCACACAGTTCCAGGATGTTGCAAGAACATCGGAAAGATACAGTCCCTTCTCATCAGGGACACTGTCTGGAAGCTTGAGGAGGTTTACATCTCCATATGGAACCCGAGTATATTCAGCTTGTCCTCCAGCCTGTTTGACATGTAAGCAACGAGTCAACCTGTTGAGACAAGAACACAACTACTCACAAATCCGCCAGTGAAATGGGAGTAGCCAAACATTCCAGCTGTTCGTCCGCCGTACTGTCGATAGTTAGTACAAACTCTTCCAAGTCCAATGCTTCTCTTACCATCCCATTCTCCATCGAATTTGAATTTGTCTTCTCGCATTGAGAAGACAGTTTCTGCTTACAGAAGAAGCACTCCCTCAGTCAGCAAATAAATCATCTCGAAACTGGGAATTGAGAGCTCACATCACCACATGCAATCTGGAATGAAGCCACAACACGATCTCCCTTCTTCAATCCCTTCACAGCAGGACCCATCGAATCTACGATGCCGCAAAACTCGTGACCAAGAATGTCCCCCTTCTCCATCTGCACAACACTTCCATGCAGAAGATGCAAATCACTTCCGCAGACAGTCGATCCCGTGATCTTGAGAATAACATCACGGTCTTCCACAACTCTTGGCTTGGGGACGTCCTCTAATTCAAAACGTGAGCATCATTCGTCAATTGAGGTCAAAATAAAATACCAATGTTGACGGTATTCTTTCCGTTCCATACAAGAGCCTTCATCATCTCGCCACTAGGATCAGCATATTTCGCCCTGTCTCTCCCTGGGTTCGTGATATCCTGAGCTGTGGTGGCGTTGTCACCATGGCCGACGGCCTTTTCCACAAGGGCTGCTGCTTGACTCAATGCCATTTTGAAAATAAGTGATATTGCTTTTTTTTGTGTGATAAAATTATCAAGGTACGATAAAAACAAATTTGAATTAATTGTTTAGATGAAGAATCCCTCTTTCATAGGTACTTATTGCTTGCAATGCCTGTAAAGTCGTTACGTCACTACGACCAATATCTTACCGACGTCACTTGACGAAGATCTCGAAAATTTGATTGACAATATGTTACAAATCTTATCACCGACAATATAAGACATCATGAAAAGAAGTATTTCGGCAGTTGTGATTCTGAAACTCGATTGCACGATGTTACGTTTGCAAGCTTCGTTGGAGAAGCTGTCAAGGTCGCCACCAATTTCCTCGGCTCCCTTCCTAACAGCCACTAAGAGAAAATAGGTCAATCAGGGAACACAGGCACACGCGAGACTGTGTGAATAGTGAAATCTCGGAGCCATAAAGTACGCTTACTGCTTCTTGAGTCGGGAAATCTCAGGATTAAACGTCTGCTGCTCCACTCCTTTTGAGTCAACCTTGGTTTATTCGATCACTGGAATAGCTCCAGAGCTGCAACCAGTATATCAGTGGAAAAACTCAACGTGCATTCGCAAATCCGATTCACCCTCCGCAACAAGCCCTAGTACAGCATCAATTACTTGATAATCAGCCTGAACTAATCCATATCAGCTTCGTGGCTGCGACCGACACTTGGACTGGGGGGCAAGAGCATCAAATACATGCCCTATAAAAAGTCAGTATTCTTGTGGCAAGATTTATTCATTTCAGCATCATATGAAATACGAAATTCAATAACTTATAAACTCCGGGCTAGACATGTCACTCGGTCCTAACGCCACATTCCCGCACCTTCGAAGCAAATGCATCAACTTCATTTCTGAACGATTGCCCTGCTCCAGCCGAGATGATCATTGGTGGTAGATCAGATATGTCCCCTTGCGCAGGCTGGAGCAACATATATGCTGACACCTTTCTTGCCTCTTGAAGGGGGGTGCTTCATTGTGGTGTTAGGGAAACAGGAAAACAGGCACTAAGCGACGCAACAATTGTTGTAAACATACCTTACAATATCCCTTGTTACCACCAAAACACAGAAAATGTGACGATAAGACAAACTGAATATAGGTTCACGAAGAACAGTCCTTTGTTCCCACTATCCACCGTCGCTATACTTGATTGGCATGGTGTGCTGTGTGCTTTTGGCACCAACCTATCGTCCAAGATCACGAGATGGTAGAGAACTATCTTCCGCGATAGTTTGTCTGACCAGAATGCAGACCCTTTTCCCAGTGCCGTGATCCGTGTCCTTCTGTTCAAAATTTCGACGAGATCGAAGTCGCAAACGCATACTCCTATCAACGCCTAAGGTTACCCCGCATGAATAAATGTTTCCTAGCCACCCAATCCGTCACTCCGTCTTCAGATATACCACGCAGCTTCCATTGGGGAAGATGTACCCGTCTTCAGTTGAAACAATCCGCACCGACGGCAAAGCATGGTCTCTGTCCCGAACAAATTAACATTTTCTTGGCTTCCGAGAATGCCTGCAAGCTGACAGCCAACCACGCCAAAAATTTGCTCAATTCCCCTCAATATCCACCTACAGCAAGCCCATCATACGGCTGCGTGCGTGGATCAGATTTGAGATCATTTTCATTCAATTCCACCAGTAGTCAGCTGAATCTTTCATGAGTGTTTAGGGAACGTTTATTGGCCCGCTCGGGTAACTGTTTCTTCCATATTAGATGTGCATGTTTGGATGGAACCTTAATACGACCACATGGGAATAGTGGGGTTTAATATGAGTGTTTATTTAAGGTATATAAGAGATGTTTGGACGGCGGAAGGTGAAAATCATAGCTTTGTTGCTTCAGCAAGATCTTCCTAGCGGTCATGTTCTCTGTCAGTAAACTTATATGCCTGCTTGGCTTGGCCAGCACTTCACTTTGCCAAAATGTCACAAGTAAGTAGCTTATGAGAATTTGAGCCCCCTTAAAATATGGCCACTCACTATGGAATAAGATTCCACATTGCCCTACGCATTCGGCATGATAGTCTTCCCTGGCTTCCAAGCCCTCGATGTTTTCGGTCCCCTAGACGCACTGAACGTCCTTGCGTTTACAACCAAAATAAATCTCACAGTCATCGCCGACACACTCGATCCCGTATCGACCAATAAAGTCTCTTGGACTAATAGCTCTGTCGGTGCTACGTTTGGAGAGACAATTCTTCCAAGCCACACATTCGCTACAGCACCACCACTTGATGTCTTGATTATCCCTGGAGGTTTGGGAACAAGAGCACCGGGAACGGGATTAGATACTACAATTGCCTTCATCAAGGACCGTTATCCTGCCGTCAAGTATCTGATCAGTGTCTGTACCGGTGCTGGTGTTGTTGCGAGGGCGGGTGTATTGGATGGGAAGTGTGCAACTACGAATAAACTAGCTTGGGCAACTACTACTCCTTGGGGCCCAAAAGTTAAATGGGTTGCGCAAGCTAGATGGGTACAAGATGGAAACATTTGTAAGTGTTTTCATGAAATCTCGGACTTTCACAAGTTCCTCCAGAGTAATGTACATCCATCTAATCCACGATACAGGGACATCTTCTGGAGTATCTGCTGGAATCGATGTGACCATCGCATGGATTGCGGCTGTCTTTGGAGAAGCAAAAGCTGTTGCTGTTGCCAACGGAATGGAATACCACAGACAGAATAATTCAACGGATGATCCGTTTTCTGCTTTATACGGCTTGACCAACGCGAAGAATTCAACGAACCAGGAGGTGGATAGATGCTAGAGTGAAGTTCTGAAGCAAAGCTTATGTTAGTTCTTTTTAAATCCAAAATAAATACTTTTATGAAGACAAATGCGGGCATGATGAACATGTCGTGTGGGTCGAGGATTTCTGCCTTCTGGCAACCGACCCTTCTCGCCTCAAGGGCTCGCTTGAGCTGGGACCCAACATAAACAATGAAGTACACCACTTCACCAATTCAATTCTCCTGCGTTTCATTATGGTACTAATTTACGAGCGATATTTGCGAGAGCATAAAGGCACGGAAGAAGGAGCGGGCTAGGATCGAAATAAGGACTGTCATTAAGTCATAATCATCGTGTGCTGAGTTCCGACGCATGCTCGCTTTCGACAGGATCAATACCCGCCATTTGCAACCGCCTGATTAAACCTCTTCAACCCTCCCGAAAGAGGCATAATCCTACTCCTCCTCTTCCTACCCCTCAAATCACCGCCCTCTTTCTCATCCACTTCAATATCGACCCCATCTCTGTCCCTATCCCTTAAAAAACTCCTCCTAATACTTCCCCCAACTCTCCTCCACCGACCTCCACCCCTCCTGCTCTCGTCATCACCAATTATACTACTCCTTAAACTCCCCTTATCATCTATACTGGTAAAACCCGTCCTCTGTGACCTGATACTCCCCGTCCTCCCAGGCCTCACGTACTCCGCCATCCGGTCGAATATACTGCCCGCTTTACTCCCCTGCTTCGATGCCACCGAGCGCTGCGACATAGCATAGGCGCGTTCTCGTTCCCGCTCTCTTTCCAGAGACTGTTGATTCGAAATAATCTCTTGCATCAGCTGTGATGTCTTGGGTGTGAAGTTGCTGGATGAGATGACGCCGTAGGAATTATAGTTCCCTGCTGCGGCGAGGCGAGATGCTTTGAGGAAGCTTTGGTAGTCGTCGAGATCGGCATCGGACATGCGAGAAGGGTTGTGGACTGTACTCATGTTTTGATCGGAAGGGTGTTGTGCGAGACCGTTCGAGTCGAGTGTGAAGGGGAGTTTTAGCTTGGAGAAATCGGATGCTGCGTGCTTGGGTTGGTAGGCTGCCTTTTCGGGAGCTTGTATTTGTCCTGGGACAGGTTTCCGTGGGATAGAACTGTTTTGAGGCTGCTGGCTCTGATTGCTACTGATTTTCTGAAAGTCTGCTGCTGCATGTCGAGGGACGTACGCGGCGGTGCTGGAGCTGGGAGGGCCGGCTGATATGATCTCGACTTGGTCTCTCTTAATATCGCGCATAACGAAGATCGGCTCACGAGGCTCCTGTATTGATCTCCGTTTAGAGTTCGATCTCGATAACGATCGCTTGACGAAGTTGAATTTCGAGGGTTCATTCGGCTCTCTCGGGCCCATTGGAACAGGACGTTGCTTTCGGAGGACATCGGGTTGATAGGCATTTGACTGTGAATATCCTCTTGATATTTCGGGTTGGTTTGCGGTACTTGGTCTTGTGTTCCGCTCATTCAACCGCTGTTGGTGGATCTCAACGAGGGTCTGACTCTTTGGTGAATCGGTTCGTTCTGGCTTGCCAATGTCCGTCTTCTCTTGAACACTAGATTTGGGGAAAAGTCCTCTCTTGATTCTGCGCAGAGCTGGCCGCCAGTTAGAGCTCTCCCGAGGCGCTGGGAACTCTTGTTGAGTGACTGCTACAGGAGCTTCTCCACGAGATCTGCTGCTTCCGCGAAACATTTTGGAAGTAATTTGCATATAAGAAAAAGAGATATAATGTCTTGAATCTACAATGAAGAAAAGAAGAAACAGTGTCCAGCTAAGAGCTTGAAACGTGAAACAAAACAGTAATACAGAACGAGAACTCTCTACGAAGCGAAGGAAAGGGAAGAGGAGAAAAGACTGGAGCGGACTTCCTCTCACACTACTTATTCAGACTTCACGGCGGTTGAGGTTGGGTAGTGTACTTCGCCCAGGTCCAGACCAGCGTAGCAGACTGTACCTAGCATCAACGCCATCATCGACGCCATTCGGCTCGGTCTCCGATGTGATACCCATCATAGCAGCCATCGAAGCAGTCTCGCAAATCAGCCATCTCGAAAAAACCCCCTAGCTTCTCACGATCTCTCCGACACTTATCTGACACGGCTTGATTTCGACCAACAGGAAGAAAGCCTCAAAGCCATCAAGACCCGAAGTGTGGAAATCATGCGCGGCCATCTGGTGAAGTCAGACGCCTTCTGCAGAGCAAGGAGGGTGGGGGCCGCATATCGGGCCAGGCCCTGCCGCTTCTGCGAGTGTTCTTACTATTTTGGCTCTTTGAAGTGGTCTGGTTTGACGTTTCGGGGATGGAAACAGAACACGGATCGACGCTGTTGGACCAATACAAATGGAGGAGGCGTTGGACCGGAGATTTCTAGTCGCAGGTCTGTGAAGTCTTTGGGTCTTTGGCGCGGTTGGAGGAGGCTAACTGGATGTTTGGCGTGATCTAGCGCGTGGACTACATTGCGGAATACTGCGAGTGAGGCTGGGCCCGAGCCTTCAAAGCTATGAAACTGTGAGCATGCCGCTCGAGCAGAAACTGATCAAAGTCATCAATGGAGTGCAGGAAATAATAGACGAATAAGGATTGGGGATATCGAGGAGGAGCCATCTGATTTGGACCGACGACACCGCACTAGAATTGTGAGGCAGTCAATGGTGAGAGTTCGACTGTATGCAGCGGTTGAAGTGGCACCACTCCAAGGCGATTTCACAGGACACGAAAATAAAACTTCTGTGCCGCATGCATGAGAATTCGGAAAATCGGAAATACCTTAGATTTGAGTTTTAAGGCTGCTTTTCTGGAATTGTTGATAAGATTACGGCGCTTGATGCTGACGGGAGGATGAGGTTGACACGGGACGCTGTGGGGTCTTCGGCAAATTTGACCGTAGTTACCTAGGTATGTAAATCACCCTCGTCCAACTTCAGGACACTATGAAAACGAGATGTTGATGTCTTGGATGAAAAGGACTTCTGGTCAGTTGTCATGGCCAATCTTTATTTCAAGCAGAAGAGAAAAGGTTCTTAGCGGCTAATCGGGAAGCTTTTTCATTCAAGTCAACAAATCCATGTCACGTGTCTCGTCCTTCTTCCTGCTCAGAACTGCTGCTTCGCAACTCCCTCACAAATCTTTTTCAGCGTCTCACCAGCCCATACAAAGTCCTCCATCTCTAGATAAATCTGCCCACTCAATCTCGCCCAGAATTGACCCTGAAAGAACCAAATCGCCAAGAAAGTCTTGTGCTCATCAATCAGCGTCCTCTGCAGCCACTGTGTCGTCTTCACAATATGCTCTGGCTTGATAGTTACTGTTCCAGTAAGATCTCCACCGTTGACTGCCAAGGGTAGGAGGACATTGACAAGACAGCAGTTTGTTAAGCTGTGTGATGCGTTGTCGAGGACTTTCGTCCCCAGGATCTTCGCTACCATTGCGCCCCCTTCTCGTGCCAATTTCGTGTTATACTCGATGATAGCTTTCTCACCACCACAGACTTCTTCCCGCCATTTGATGGCCTCACCTGCTACGAGATAGTTCGTGTTGTCAATCGTTCCGATGAACTCGAATTGGTTCACGAACTCGCTCTTCGTGGGTGGAGGGAGAGGCATCAGTGCAGCGGTATTGGTCTTGGGCACGAAGCCGTGGGAAGTGGGGAGAGAAGACCGCATCAGCGGCTGGTTCTTGAACGGAACGTAGAAGACTGCACAGCCTCGTGGAACGAAGAGCCATTTGTGGGCATTGGTAACCAGGAAATCTGGGTCGAGAGTCGTCAGGTCGAGATGCACATGTCCGATCCCATGGGCACCGTCGACAAGGGACAGGATTCCTTCTTCTTTGCAGGCGGCTGTAAGATCTTCAAACGGCATTCGGAGACCAGGGAGAGAGGATACGACGTCGTAGATTGCTAGACGGGGTCGCTTGCCTTCAGCTCGGGAGGCTTTGATGGCATCTTTGAAGAGGGCGAGGAGGTCTGCATCTTCCATCGGGTACTTGACGATTATCTCTCGAGGATTGACGATATTGTGATTTGCTTCACAGACGTACTCGACAGTTTTGAGGCAAGCTCCATAGATGTGTCTGCTGATGTTGAGCCTTATTATCTCGTTAAATGAGAGCATCGACATACTTGAAGTACAAAATCTCATCCTTCCCATCTTGGTTCCACACAATGTTTCGAAGAACGGTATTGACACCAGTCGTAGCATTAGGCACGAATACAACAGTATCAGTCGGGCAGTTCAGGATCTTGGCCACAGCTCCTCGAGCTTCGTCAGATAGCTTAGGGTAGGTGTAGCGAATGAATGGATCAGGAGCAGCTTCACACAGATCTTGGTACTCTCGCTGTTTGTTCCGAACTGGAAGAGGGAATGTACCAAAAGAACCTGACATGCATTAAGATATAGTAGGCTAGGAGGTGATGGTTAGGTTGGTGAAGTACCATGATTGAGATTCTTATACGAAGGATCGAATGAGAAATGCTTCAGCATCTCCTTCCCGAACGGAGTGCGCTCATACGTTGGACATTGCTCGAGAGAAATATCGCCCATTCTGCTTTCAATTGAAGATGGTAACTGCATGTGGAATAAGATGTGGAATAAGTATAATAGGAGTAGAAGGTTGAGAAAGGTAGTGACTCAATGGTCAAAGATGCCAAGACTTGAGAATAAGAACAATGATGGAGATGAAGAAATGAGAAGATCAATGGGCTTGGATGAAGATATATATTAGCAAAACTGTGACTCCTCCATATTTCTTATCGCGATTCCTGACTCAACAGTTCATTTCTGCGACATCGTCAATGGAAGGGCGAAAAGGGCGGAGAACCGAATCCGTCAAAAGTGGATGGGTGGTGGAATTTTGGCGCTGCTGGGCTGGGCATGCGGTACTTCTGCAGCACACCTTGGTGATAGGCGAGTTCTCAGGCGAGGCTCTCGGACGAGTTGAAGCGATAGAAACCGAGGATTGTTGTGGATGACACATCGAAAGGTATATGGTCCAATCTCTCCATTCAATATAGTCTAGTAGAGGCCGAGGCAACTCGTTAAGATGGCTTTAAGGAACACTCTCCTGACAGCTTCCAAAGCTGCGGGGATTTCGTACCCTGGTAAGTACCTATTGCAAACGAGTCACGTTTCACGGCAGGAAGCAGTGTGCGAATGTAAACAAATATTGAAATGCCAAAACAACATCACATTCAAATTCACGGAGTGAAACCAATGCTAGTATCATAGCCATTTGCGGATCATTGGAAATAAAACGATCCATTTTGAAGTCTCGTCATTCATGAAGTCCTAAATACCGGACTGGAAAAAGTAGAGATCTCGGCGCGCAATTGCGAAACGTAAAATAAAGAGGCTTCCAAAAACCATAGGTCTTGCCATCATCCAAAAGAAAATCATGATCCATGTCCAATGCGCCAGTTCCCAGCTATCGTAACCATCGTTCCAAAAAACCTTCTAGTCGCTATCACTTGAACTGGATGAAGAACTCGATCCACCACCACGACTTCTAGATCTCGAATGATGTCTGTGATGTCCATGGTGTCCATGCGCCTGTGGATATAATCCGCCAACTGCACTTCCGCCATAGCTGCTGCCACCATAGCTACTGCCGCCGTACCCAGAGGATGAGTGCTTGTGTTTCTTGTCCTTCTTCTCCTTCTTCTTTTTCTTGTGCTTGCCCTCTAATGCGTTTGCACCAATTGCGCCAACGATACCGCCGACCATTGTGCCCAAGACTCCTCCTCCCACTTGATGGGCAAGGAAGCCGCCTCCGGCCGATCCGATCAGTGTAGCTCCGAATCCTCGCTCGCCGTTTGGACCGATCTGCTCGCCTGGCGCACCGCGTTGCACTTGTTGTCTGTTGTCACCGTATTGGGGCTGGGGGGAATGCGATGAAGGATATGGAGGACCGGCTTGAGGATAGGGAGCTGGCGAATGTGATGGAGAGGGACCGCCGCCGTAGTGTGGCTGAGGCTGATAGAGTTGGCCGGGCTGCTGTTGTGGATATGGAGAGTGCGAAGGGGGAGGACCGCCATAGCCTTGGTGTTGAGGAGGAGGAGTCGAGTAGTTGGGCTGAGGAGGGTACTGGCCTTGAGGCTGGTTGTAGTTTTGCGGCTGATTGTAGTTGGGTTGAGGAGGATATTGCTGTTGCGGGGGCTGATTGTAATTTTGGTGCTGTTGATAGCCTCCTTGGTGACCACCGCCACCTCCACCGTAATAATCTGAGTTGGACATAATGTCTGTATCTGCGACAAGATCCGCAAAGTATCGGATGTGACGAGGAATTGAAGGAAGAGCTGAACTTGCGGGGTTGCGAAAGAAAGAAGAATCGAGGAGGGGCGGGTGAGGGGTCTTTAAATAAGCAGGTAGAGGGCCTGGATGACGGGACGCTTGCCCCTCCACCAGCGCCTCACCTCACCTCAGTGAATATCCAACGAGTGAATACAAAGGTGGCCGAGCTGACTTACGAGTACGTGCTTAGCTTTGAGCGGGGAATGGGATGAACGAAGCTGGGAGCAGGCCGGGAGAGGGAGCAACAGACGTGGTAGGCTGAGGGCGATACAGAGCTTCTTTTGCACCAACCAGACCCCACGGCCCTGCGAACGCTCACCTACACACCAGACGCTCTCGAATCACAATGCGGCCTGAATGACAGTTGGGCCGTGACCCGCGGGGGAGCGCATGATGCGGCAGTACCACCAGGTACCTAGGTAAGCGTTCAGTTGCGCAGAAGTGGCTGTGACGGGATGGTTGTCGAGCGAGTCGAGCAGCAGCCAACGCCGCGGGAGGGACGCGAGGCAAGGCGATGCCTGTGCTGTGCTGTGCTGTGCTGTGCTGTGCGCTCTGGCTCCGGGATGGCTGAGCTTCCACGAGCATTCTATGCACAGCATTCTGACGTCGTAGTGAATGATTGCGAACCAACTCAATCCAGGTCAGGTACAGTACCGGCCCCGCCGAGGTGTTCTTGTTCTTTCTTGCATCTTCGGTACAATACCTCCCAAGCCCAATAACCGTCGTTGGTGGAGCCTCTCGACGAACTTGTAGGGCTGTGCTGGGTAGAAATAGCGGTGGCCAAGCCCGTGGCGCATGCATTCTGAGTAGGGATAGTAACTTATCCCCGAACAGCAGTCTGAAGATGTGTTGTCTTTAAGATCCGAGTCTTCTGTTATCGTCATAGAGTAACGGAAAGGATGGCCTTGTGATGGCTCTCCAACAGTCGTAGACATTGTGATGACTAATGACACAAAACATGTTGAGTTACTGTAGAGCGGTTTTCTCTGTTCTTGTTTTGTGGCGAAAGCGTCCTATGACCAGAGCAAGTACATCCAAGAGCGCAAGAGGGTATCAAGAATCGATGTACTTCATCCCATATTGGTATTAAGGTCTCTTCAATCAGTTCCACTCAAACTAGTTATTTTGTCTTTGGCTTGCCTGAAAGACTCGGTTTCTGTTTCTCACAGTATTGGCTTCTCTACCTCCTGCTTGTCCTTCAAGCGAAGCAGCCAAGAACGGTTAGCCAAAAATTCGGTATCATTTTCGACTCTTAAGTTGTCCAAATTTATTTCTCCCTGGCGCTGTCACATGGTGGTTAGTCCACATTGCGTCTAGATCTTTATTCACAACTCAAGGCTGGTCAGCTCAATCATTTCAGAGGAGTGAGTTGGACAAGTCACTCCCCTTGATCTTAATGTTATTTGGCGGAGATCTAGGGATCCAATCAACTTCTATAAATCAGCATCCATTACTTAAATATGTTGAAACTCTTTGAGCCTGACGGCCGACCCAGCGAACACTATTGGAGCCAGGGTTGAACTGTCCTGCTGTCAATACAGAACCTGGAAGTGCATGGCTAGCATTGCAGTCGGTACGCTTGAAGAGCCCAGCAGATTATTATCCAGCTTTAGGGCAAGACACTGTCAGCAAGCCAGCCATTTCCAGCCTCATCGTAAAGTAGCCTCTGGACTGTTAAGTGACGAGAGAACGCACGAGAAGATTGCGATTTAAGTCTATTGAGAGGTAGGGTATGAAGGTCCTAGGCAGGCAGGTCTGTTTATGAAGAGATATTCAATATGCTGATAACAACGTCGGGGAAGGCTGTAACCACATAAATGGCTTGATTATGTCGCCCAAGACTTTTGGCAATGATAGGGAACTAGTGTAGATCTCCCCAAACCTGCTCATGGTCTAGGTATGCCTCCCATCATACCACCCCCTACACCAGGCATCATGCCTCCTCCCATTCCTCCAGTCATCACAGGCCCCATCCCACCAAAATGATCTCCATATTGGCCATCGTCATAGAAAAAAGGGTTTCCGCCAACTCCATTCATCATCTGCATCTGCATGGCAGCGTGATGAGCCGCCACTTCAGCTTCTATCTCACTCCCTTCATAATCCTCAACATAAGGAGGACGATAGTTCGGATACTGGTTCTGTAGCTGCATCAGACTGCCTTGGAATGGCCCATAAGGCATGCTTGGCCGATCCACGGCACGCATGTCCAAACTACCACCTGATCTGAGAGACGGTGATCTGATGCCGAGGCCAAGAGGGTTCATTAGACCTTGTCTTTCTTCCATGAAGCGATCTTGTAAAGGACTGCCCATACTCAGTTCTGGACGGAGCAGATTCCGCTGGTGAAGTCCTAGCATGGGATTGGCTGCGAAGGGCTGTTGATTGTTGAACATTGTAGCTCGAGCAGAGGCGAGGGGGGTTTGGCCCATCATCGGGTAGCTGAGGATATCTCCTCCACCCATCCCGCCCAGCCCACCCATTCCTCCTAATGCACCCATTCCACTCAACCCTCCGAATGGATCAATGCCTCCTCGTCTGCCCAATGGGTTAATTCCATCTTGGCTTCCCAATCCACCCATCCTGCCCATTGCTCTTGACGACCCCAAAACATCATCATTCTCATCCTGTGAACGTCGAAGGGGGGGATCATCAAGACGAACCGCGCCTTGACGACCCCAACCAATGTTCTCTCCACCTCTACCCCCCAAACTCCGTCTCCCATACCCGTCTCTTCCACCACGCCCCAATTCCCCCAGACAGTCACCACAGCCGTGAGATTTGCTACTCCTTCCGTGACACCTGGAACCAGAGCGGGAATTCCTAGCGCCTGACATGGTTCTTATTGGAGATTGCGGGGTCGACCATAAGCTTGTGTATGTTTGATATTGATCACTTCAACGGTTTGGGTAACGAAGACACAAATTTTGTGGAACGGCCCAGGTCGCAAGTATTGCTCGAATGGAAAAACTTGGAGACGGTGGGCGATGGGTGATGAGTAGATAGATATATGTACGCTTTTAAAAGATGGAGCAACTAGCTCGCAAACACTGTGCTGCAAGAGGATGTGCCAGCACCCGGTGCGAGGTGATTTGAACGCCGGTCCACATTGATTGGAAATACTGAACAGTGCGATATTGTGTTTGTCAAGAATACTTTACACAAGAAACACGTACTGAGGTGTCAAGCCAGTCGCCACTTGTGATACTGACATGCATGATAACGACCGTCGCACTTGAACGCAATGTTTGGTGGCCAAGACTGATAAATCAGGTGGTTCCTTTCAAATGGCGGAGGCAAGCTGACAACTCTCTGGGGGCAAACACTAGGGCGAGAGGGCACATGGTGAGCTGTCCAGAGAAAGTCACTTACTCGAGAATTAGCAGCTATTATCGATCGGCTTCCCACTCCAAAGTACCAAGCACGATCCCGTCGATGACAAGATGCGATATCATCGAGAGAAAAGAAACATGCGAAGGCACTCGGATAGCTGATATTCATTATTAATAAGTTCCCGTTGAAAATTGACTGATGCTCCGGGTACACAGTTGCTGCCTACCCAAAAGCAGTTTTGATTCCCTGCTGTGCCGTCGTTGCTCAAATGTGGACTAATTCCCAAATCAGGTGAGCCTGAATGTGAGAGCACACTGCTCCCCAGTGCGCAAGATTTCCAGATAGCGATTATCCAGCTGTGGAGCACTTCTTACTGGAGCTCCGGTAGATAGCGAGCAAAGCATTGAGCATTGCCCAATTCGACGTGTGATATGGGGGTCGAAACGTGATCCGATGTTCAACACTCTGATCATAGCCGCGCACACGTAGCAACTCTGGAAAAGTGTTGCTCTGACGAGAGATTGAACGCAATACAATCAGATGGAGCGGTGCAGATAGCGCGGAGAAGCCCAGTAATTCATAGGTGACAGTCCATCTTCGGAGGCGGATTCAGGATCGATGGATATCTCGATTGTGCCTGGATCTACTCCCACATGTCGCGTGGGCACAAGAGAGGCGTCGCTGGCCTTCTCTCCCTACGTGTAGATTTGGGTTTGGATCTAACGCGGTAAAGTTTAGCGCCACGAAGCGACCGCTCCATGAGCTCCACGGCTCCAGCGAACTTTCTTTACAGCAAAGCAGAAATTGTTGCTCCCAGCTTAACACCCAAACCCACCTACAACGATCCAAAATCTACGTGACTCTCACTGAAAATCATCTTCGCGCTGTAAGATACAAGCCCGCCGGTCTTTGTCAACCAGAAACACACTATTGAAGACCTCAATTCTCGCGTTTTCGAATCGCGAATCGAATCCTCGGACCCTAGGATCGAGAATTTGCTCCATACAATCAATCTTGCTAGCGATCAATTCTAGCCATGCCTTCCCATCTACCATCAAGCTTTGCATCTGCAGCTGCAGGATCCAGCCGTGATACTCGAAATGGAAGAGGTGACGGTCGAGGGAGCGGGGATTGGTACGTTGCCTCCCGAATATGTCCTAGCCTTGGGGGACGCTGAAGAAGCTCGCGACCTGTGTTTGCATCTCTGGGAGCTCTATTCTAATCTGGACAAATCTACAGGAGTCGAAGAGAACAGAGACCTGCTAATGGTACCTTGACCCTACGACGCAACTCCCAAGCCCCCTTTACTCAACCAACCCAAGATGCTCCACCTCAAACACCTGGCGCAGAAACACCTGGCTTGTCGCAACAATCAAACCCTTATGACTCAACTCCATCAGGTGGTCGGTATTCGAAGCAGGATATACTCGATATTGCTGCCGCGCGGAAGGAAGTTGGACAGAATAAAGATGTCTCAGCCCTCTTCATGGGAGGCTGGGACCCGGAGAACTCCAGCAATACCAACGGTCGCAGCGGATGGGGCAAAACCGGTGATGGCAGAGATAATTATGGACCGGAAGTGTGCTGGAACCGAAATGGAGATTCTCATCCAATTGCCTTTGAGGAAATGTCGGACGCAGAAAAGACTGTCAGTACCTCCTCAGAGAGTTTGTTGTGTAGCTGACATTCTATAGCTTTTTTCTACCGATGTCAACTCGCCCTTGAAACCTCCACCACAGAACTCTAACAAGGATCAGAATGCGCAGGGCACTGGTACCAATGGTCGCAAGACATCTGTCTCTCACGGACAAAACTCTGGACCATTTGGACTCTCCTCACCAGCATCGAGCCGACCAAGTACGAGACGACAATTGACCACTGATGGTGCCTTGCAATCACCCTCTGGATCGGGTCGCTTTTCTAGAGATGAACCCTCTCCATTTTTTAGTCGTAAATTCAATGACACAAAGGATGGACAAGATGATCGCACCGAGGATTCAAAGCCTGGCTTGCCTTTTGGAGGCTTGATGCGAAGCAACACAGCTGGCAGTGCACTTGGGAATGGACCTGCATCTCCTTGGGGCCCTTCCTCGGCAAATGTTGCAATGTCTCCAATGGGTAACTTTGGGAGCTTTGCACTGGGAGGCTCTGCGGCCAATCCCCCAACTCCACTGGATAAACGACCAGCGTTGGGACGAGGAGAAAGTCGCCTAGCACACTTGATGCCCAAGGAAAGTGCCGAGGATCTTTCGAAAACTGCAGACAGGCCATGGAGGACCAGACAGCGGACCGACACAGACCCCTTTGGAGATGACGCCCCAACTGGAAGTGCTGCCTTGGGTGGCGGTCAAGATTCGAGCCCACCATTCAATCCCCAGCAGCGAGCTCCTGGCGTAGACACTCCAGTTCGAGGAAACTCGAGTGATTTCGGAATGTCTGAAATGCCAAGTTTTGCTCAGCGTGGCCAAGCACACCAAACGCCAGCTCGCCACAACGAGCATGAGCCCATGAGCCCATCCGACACCAACCCTTACCGTAGTCCTCCGGATGAGAAGCACCATGCGGATGATTCGAGCTTCGATGGCGAGCCTGCTCATCATAGTCGTGTTCAAGGCCTTGGCGGTATCCCGGAGCACGCCCCGAACACGTACGGAGGATTACCTCGAGCATTCACAAACACGTTTGAGGGAAGCGATCGGAGTCAAAATTCTAGTGCTGGTGCTACGAGAGGATTTCCACCTCTTTCTGGACTTCCAAGTGGCTTTGGAGGGTTAGGAGGATGGCCAACGAGTGGCAATCCCCTTTCCACCCCAGACCGTGAACGACAAGCATTTGCATCAAATGCATTCGGTAGCTCTGTATTTGGCCCAATGGGAGAGCTTCAGTCCCCAAGTGTCGGAATGAACAGCATGTTTGGCCCATCTGGTAACGTTAGCGGGACCAATACCATTGGGCGTGGAAGCAGCAAGCTTGGGTCTTTGTTCCCCGCAGCCATGCAAGCTCAGATGCAGAATGCGGACAGCGAGCAGCATTCTGGTGACGGAGGCGACATGCGCCAAAGCAGTGCATTTGGAGCAATTGGCAGAAACACGTTTCCTCCAAGAGATACAGACAGTCCAATGCGCACTGTGAGACATCCTTTCGAAGATCTGTTTCCGTCCAGCGATGCCGCCAGAAACCAAGGACCATTCTCATCTGCCGAGACCGCCCCGGGCCAAACGGCTACATCGTTCTCACAAGCCCCTTCTGCTCAAGCCAACTATGTACAGTCCCAAGCATCATCTGACTCTGCTTCCAATCAACTTCCTGCATCGCAGCAGCGCATGATGGTAATGCCAGACAGAATGAGATGGGTGTATCTTGATCCTCAAGGCAAAGTACAAGGTCCTTGGTCAGGTTTGGAGATGCATGACTGGTACAAGGCGTCGTTCTTTACTGCAGACCTCTCTGTGAAGAAGGTTGAGGATACAGATTTTGAGCCACTTGGTCAGTTGATCAGACGTATTGGAAATTCCCGCGAACCTTTCCTCGTCCCTCAGATTGGCATTCCTCACGGCCCACCAACTTCACAAGGCGCTGCATTTGCTCCTGCCGCAGCTGGTCCTGGAAATGCTGCTCAACCTGGGGCGGTTCAACCGCCATTTGCAAATTCGTTCCCAAGCTTTGGTACGACATTGACAGCAGAGCAACAGAATAATTTGGAGCGACGCAAGCAGGAGGAACAATTCTTGATGGCTCGTCAAAAAGAGTTCTTAGCTCAACAGCAGGTCAATGCCAAGCAGATGCAAATGGGTGGAATTGGCGGACTTCATCACCAAACCAGCGCTCATAGCCTTCAGAGTCAGCCTAGCTTTGGAAGCATGAACTCTCCTATTGGCATGCCACAACCTCCAATGCCGAATGTCACTGGATTCTACGATGGGCCCCCAAGACAGTTTCCTGCCCCACCAACAGAGGGCATTGCATCCAGCTTTTTTCGTGAGGAAGAACTCGCACGTTTGTCACTCCGGGACCGCCAGCAGCTTTTCAATCCCGCTGTACCTGGCCCACAGCAATCGACCCATGCCCAACAGATAGCATCACTCTTTGGCCCAAACTCCGAGGCTCAGCGTCAGGCCGCTAGAATGGAACAAGATGACCCTTCTGGTTTCAATGCTCGTCTTCAAGAGTTCCAACAGTTGAGAGCTCAACACGAGTTGGAGGAAGCAAATCAAGCTCATGGCATCTCGGAGCCGATCGCCCCACCTCAACATCAAGAGCAGGAGCCAGCTTATCACAATGATGTCGAGCCTGAGCCAGAAGTCCCTGAAACTAAGGAGCAACCATTGTCTCTGACGGAGCAAGTTCAGAAGGCAAAGTCGGCCAAGCAATCACCTGTCGCTCCTGCTCAGCCAGAGTCACCATGGGGTAAAGTTACAACCACAGGTTTCCCAATGCCATTCCCTCCACCACCTCAGTCCACAACTCCGTTGCCGGCTCCTACCGCGCAGCGTGGTCGCTCTACCCTCCCTGATGCATTAAATGTCGAAGTCAGATCGCGTTCTGAGACCCCTGAAGTCCCTAGCGCCACACCTTCTCTCGCACCATGGGCCAAAGAGCCATCGGAGGCAGCCAGAGGTCCATCTCTGAAAGAGATTCAAGAAGCAGAAGCAAAGAAAGCCGCCAAGGCCGAAGAAATTGCTGCAGCTCAGCGCCGCGCAAACTATGAGCAGGAGTTGAAGATGCTTACCAGTGTTGCCACTGCCCCCGCTCCAGGACTACCGACAACTTCTACCTGGGGCAACACTGGTTCGCCTGCTACCCCTACTAATGCTCCATCTGCATGGGCAAAGCCTGCTGCCTCTAAGGTTCAAGTTTCGACTGCCTCCGCTGCATCTAAGAAGACTTTGGCAGATATTCAGAGGGAAGAAGAATCGCGGAAGCAGAAAGCTGCTGCTGCAGTTCTCGCAGCTCAACCTGCTGTATCTGCCGGGAAGCGCTATGCCGATCTTGCAAGTAAAGCCAGCCCGCCTGTACCTCTCGCTGGCTCACCTTGGTCCACTGTTGGGGCCGGCGGTAAAGTTCGAATCCCAACCGGACCTGCTGCATCTTCTCCTCAACCAACGCGTGCTGTGAGCAGTGCAACTGTTCCTACGGTTTCTGCACCCCGTGTCACAAGACCAGCAGCCACTGTACGTAGCGCAACTGAATCAGCTGGCTCTAATGCAGCTAAGGAGGAGTTTGTCAAGTGGGCGAAGGCTACTCTGGCGAACGGTCTAAACTCAGACATCAATGGTATGTGGACTATTCCTATTCTATTGTCGTCTGCTAATAATATCTAGTTGATGAATTTATCGTGACCCTTATGGCACTCCCAGCCGAGGCTGGCATTATCGCCGACAGTATCTACGCCAGCTCCAAGCTGATGAATGGAAATGATTTTGCTGTTGAATTTCTTCGACGCCGTGGCCTTTCAGAGAAAGGAATTGTTGAGCCTGCCAACAACGGATCTGGCCTCTCTGGTGATAAGTCAGGTGGATGGAACGAGGTCGCAAAGAAGGGACCACCCAAAGAGGAACCAACTGCAGGTTTCAAGGTCGTCCCCAACAAGAAGAAGGGGCGTAAGTGAACAGCTGTACGATTAATGTATGAATACACGTGTACACGTTTTAGCATAGCCAGGATTGTCGAGCACGATGGTTTTTGTGCATCATTCGGTGCATATCAGCGAGCGTAGTATAGTGGCTGTACTCGTCGGGTATTGCGAGGTTTATATGTTTTGATAGCTGCATAATTTATGTACTGATATGTGCTGATATTAGTTTCCGTGAGTGAAGTAACGAATGATAGAGGTGAATGAAGCAGCTTTCCAAAGCAGTCTGATGTACAAAACCGGAGAAAAGTTGAAGCAGTAAATATAATTCTCCTGCCCTGTTGAAAAACCAGTGTTTCGTCCTTGATATTTCTGCTGACAAAGCATCTCGCCAAATTTGAAGATTTTCACAAATCTGAACACAAAAATGAACTTCAATAACCCCTTGACACCACAAACAAAATGTCTCAAAATCCAACTGTCCTTGGAATCGGGAGTCTCGATGCTTTGCTCTTCAATCTCGATTCTTTGAAAGATCATTCGGAGCTCTCAGAGGTAGTGTCTCAATACCAGGGCGGGAATTACAGAGCCGTCCTCCGAAACGCAGCCTCACAGGCCCTGTATGGAAAGCTCATTCAAACAATCTCTCTCCCAAGACCTGAACAAGACGCTGCTCTGCAGAGCTCAGGCTTTGATAGCGAAGCAGGAGCTGTGCAAGTCTTGACTGTAGGATTAGCTGCTTTTAATGCCTTCTTGCAGGCCAATGTCACGGGACCACCACTGGACTTTGGGGATGTGTTTCCGAGGAATGGAGAGGGAGATACATTCAAGGAGGAGTGCTTGAGAAGTCTGGATATTGATGGGGTCTCGGTCTATCAATACATCCCATACGTAGAACTGTTCTGTCTTGCGAGATTCATCTTCACAGTCTTCTTTCCGCGGATTGTGGGAGGAGCATTCAATGACTCGAAGTGGATGCGCTTCAGGATCAATGCATACCATCAAAGACTTCTGTCTGGCGTTTCCGGTGCAAGATTGAGCGAGTTTACAGTATTGCAGGATGCTATTGATAAAGATTTGAAAGGCCTGGAGGATGAAATTCTAGGCGACAGATCTACGTTTTCGACAGAAGCAAAGGTGCAGTTTCTGTTGGAAAAAGCACAAGTTTACATCCTCCAGGGTCATGATATCAAGGCTCGAGAGAACGTGAAGCTTGCTAAGACGGTTTCCGGGTTCACTTATGCTCTAACAGGAGCACTTGGGAAGCGAACGAAGTTCCAGCAGAATGATCTGTCACAATTGGTGGTCCTTGCTCAGAGCAGCGAGTCTGACGTCTCAACTGAGGCTTTGTCAAATGGCCTCAGAGAGAGCACAATGTCAAATGGAGATTCGACCAAACCAGAGGCATTACAGCTGAACGACGACACTCTTCTAGAGTCCATAGAGTTCACCACCAACAAAGTTGATCCTACCAATTTACCTTCAGAGCTAGTAGGGCTCCAACCCAATGACCAACCTCAACTGAAATCCCTGGACCAAATCACTCTTCTCACAGAGGCAACCATCAAAGATACCTTTCTTCCTCTCGACAAGTTGAACAGTGAAGAGATTCTTCCCTTCGCAACACGAGTGCTTTCAGACAAGCCCACCAATTGGCAAATTTACACACAGGCCCTCCTAGTACGCAGCCGGATCGAATCCCACCGCTCCAGAACCCAAGAGCGCAGTATCCTCCAGTTGCAAGTCATTGTTGACCAGATCATCGCCGATACTCAAGAAGAGCCCTCTTCAGAAGTAGCAGACATTCCTGAAATCCGAGTCACGCAGTTCATGCCACGAGCGAAAGCTTCGGAATCTGCACCTGTTGCAGAACGCCTACGGTATATCTACCAACTCAACACGCCAACGAGATGGGAACTAGAAACTGAGCTCGCATATGCCTGGTCAGGAGCAGGTAGTTTTGTATCTGCCCTCGAGATCTTCAAGCGCTTGAAGCTTTGGGCTGAAGTAGCCCTCTGTTACCACACTGTAGGTCAAGAAGATAGAGCACGGCAGGTTATCCGTCGCCAGCTGTATTTCTCATCCAAAGGCCCAGAGATGGACAAATTCCACATCGATGCCCCTGAGCTCTTGACCGAAAATTGGGAAGGCGAGATGCGTCCTACCCCAGCTCATGCCCCCCGTCTCTGGTGCATCCTAGGTGATCTTGAGAACGACCCAGCATGTTGGCTGCGTGCATGGGAGATCTCTAAGCACAGATATGCACGATCACAGCGTAGTTTAGGGGAATACTACGTCAAGGCCGGCAAGTTGGAAGAAGCCCGTGATGCATACATGCAAGCCACTGTTGTCAACCGACAAAACGAAGACTCCTGGTCACGACTTGGCGATCTGGACCTCCGAATCGGGAATTGGGATGGAGCTATCATCGCTTTCCAGCAAAGCATTATGATTGACGACACTGATGCGAAGACTTACTCCAATCTCGGTTCCGCTCTCCTATCCAAACACAAAGAACTCGTTACCCTAGAGAAAGCAGCTGCCAAAGATGTGATCCTCCCTCCATCAACGACCGACGCAGATTCTGACTCGGAAGAAGCCACCTCCCCAAGAAAAGACATAGGACAAGATCCCAAAGCCATCCTCCACCAAGCCCTGCAAGCCTACAAACGCGGTGCGGCACTCGCCCACTCCAACTGGCAGATCTACGACAACGTAATAACCATCGCGCTCCGCCTTTCTCCTCCTTCATTTCCTGATCTGCTCCTCGGTCTCCGGGCCGTTCTCAGAATACGCGCTCCAGCTGTTGGAGAACATGCCATCGATATAGACGTGCTACGTGCTCTAGTTGCGGAGGTCACATCCTCTGAGCGAACACCCAGCACCTACCCTGGTGAATCCGCGTCCGAAAATAACGGGAAATACATCCCACCGCGAGGCACACTTGGTCGTGCGTTGATCACTATGGTCGACAACGAGATAGTCCCACTTATAACCAAGCGCGGCGAGCTCTGGGTCTTGGTTGAGAAGTTGCGGTTCTGGCAACGAGATCACGAAGGCGCGTTGAGATGTGCGGAGCGGGGATGGAGGTTGGTGATGAGTGCTGCTGAGGCAGAGTGGTTGGTTGAGAAGGACGGTTGGCAGGCTGTGGTAGGTGTGACGGATAACTTGGTGAGTGCGTATGAAAATTATGGGGGCATGGAGGGGGTAGATGGGAAGGAAGTTGAGAAGGGGTGGAAGATGAAGGCGAGGAGTGCGGTCAGGGGTGTTATGGCGAAGGCGAGGGATGCGTGGGAGGGGACTGCGGAGTGGGGAATATTAGAGGGGAGATTGGAAGAGCTGAAGAGTTGAGAGGTATAGTTCAAGAGTGAGCAGAGTGGAAATATCAAAATATTCATGAGAATGCATTAGCTCATGGTACAACTGCACTTGACGTATGTGCATAGATCTATCGTGGTAGAAAATCACTAATTCGACAAATCTCTGATGCTTATCATCTTATGCAGCGGCAGGTAAATTTTGCCTATGTGAGAAATGCTAGATGCTGAACGCCAACAAATGTTCCAATTCTATCTCTCTTACCACCAGACTGAGAACATATTTACGGTCGGGCATGACCCTCCCCAAATATACTTTCAACCAACTCTCCACCTCTGATCGCCAATATAGAAAGAAGAGTATCACTCAACTACAAATTACACAGATTAGCCGACATCATAAACTCAATCCACCTCCCCATATTCCAATAAAAAAGGAAGTAAGAACTTACACCATGCGTCTTCTCATTACAGCCCTGCAACCAAACACCAGCCTTATCGTCTACACACCCCTCCTCAAACGTAATCCTATAATCCCTCCCAACGTCCCACCCTCCTTTCCCACTCGCAGGCAACAAATGCCTAACCTCGCTTAACATCCCTTCATGCGCATCCCTCACATATCCCGTCGCAGTAAATACGTAATCGACCTCTACCTCTTCGTCTTCGATATCAACTCGTTTACTCTCAGCGGTATCTGCTACTTTCAGCAGAACGCTGGAGTTGGACGACTGTGTAGCTGAGATCACTGCCCGCTTGGGGATGATGCGAGCACGCCATTGGGATTCGGATGATGTGGTGAGCCGTTGCATATACAACTGCTCGTAGATGTGCTCGAGTAGTGAAAGTCGCACTACACCGTAGTTGGTACCTCTGTCGAGAGCGAGGGCTGCTGCTCGCTCAGATGAGGGTTGCGCGTAGATGCCGTCTACGCGGTCGGGATCGAAGATTTCGTTTACGCTGGAAGGGTTGTCAGCTTCTAAGTCTATAAAAAGGACTCTCAACGTGATACAAGCGTAAGGGTTCTTACAAAGGACTATCATCACTGGGTCTCAGACTGGCGCCTTTGATGATGAGTTTCACACTCGCTTCAGGGAACCTCGACCACAGATCATTGAAGATCTCAGCAGCACTCTGTCCACTTCCAATCACAGCGAAGCGTAGCTGCTTCCCAGTTTCTCTCTCCTGTATTTTTCCGATCATGTTGGCAAATTGTGAAGAATGAGCGACATGCTTGATACCTCTCAAATTTTGAGGAATCACAGGTTGTCCACCAACGGCAATGACAACATGGCGAGCTCTTCTCGTAACCAAACTTCCATCTTCTGAACGAGCAGTCACGTCCCAACTTACCACTTTTCCCCTTGAATTCTTCTCAGCAATATTAACACTCTCGACAGCCATCCCATAAGCGACCTTCCCCTCCCGCTCAAAGTGTTTGGCGCACCAACGAAGATAGTCCTCATACTCGAGTCTAGATGGGAGGAAAGTACCCAAGTTGATGAACTGATTCAGTCTCCCCTGATCAAAGAGATAATTCAAGAACGTAAAATTCGATCTGGGGTCTCGAGGAGTAGCCAGGTCTTTCAAGAATGATATCTGCATTTTTGCTCCGGGGAGCTGCATGCCTGCGTGCCATGCGAACTGGTGTTGTTTCTCGAGGAAGAGAGCTTTGGGGGCTGGGGTTATGTTGGCGTCGTGGAGGGCTATGGCTATTGCTAGTGAAGCTGGACCGAAACCTACGCAAAGAAGGTCGAGGACTTCATCTGAGGAGGTGGGTGGTATGGTGGATGCTGTGTGGCCATTTGTATTGCCGTTGATATGAGTTCCATATATTCGACCGTTGAGAGATGATACTCCATTGGTGAAAGTCTCAATGCCTTCGCGAGGCGAGCTGATTGCTGATGGTGTCATGATGTGTTGAAGGGAGCTCAGACGAGGCGAGTAACGTGACCAAGAAGGAGGATACAAGAACAATCGGCAATAAGTAGATCGTAATTCCAGAAGATATGAATATTAAGATAGTGATATCCAGAAATTGTTCGATGCTTGCAGAGATAACTGCTGCTGTTTCGTCTTTCTTATAACGATTTCCTTTTCCAAAAAGAAAAAACTACAGAGCCTCTCAGATCCAGCAAAACTGGTCATAAACAATGGCGAAGATCAATTGTGTATGATTGATTGCTTCAGACCCACGGGTGGTGAGATGTGAAATCAATCACGTCTTATTGGTACTGTGTGGCTTTGAGTTTGCCGATTTTGGGGGGTTGATGACAAGTACTCTTTGAGTCGCTGCTCATTCGTCAGCTTGCAGGAGGAGGATGGATCACAAGCTAGAGCGGAACTGAGACACGTGGGATGAGAGCGTTTGTTTTCCGAGATGTCGGATTGATGTGACCGCAGAAAGAGTTATTCTTCGACTCTGAAATATAGATTGTTGCTTAAGCGATATCGTTGAGTCTTGAACGATGCCACGGCCTGTCGAGCATTGGCAGAGAGATATCCCGTGAGCTTTCGAGGCAACGGCGTCTGAGCTTATTCTGACTGTCGTCCGTCTCTGAAATATCGATAGACGAGCGTTCCAGGTTTTATTATTTGAGATCCTCGCCTGGTCGGATTTTCTCGCAAAAAAAGCGCTCGACGTACTAACAATTATCGAGATCTCAAGTGGAGATTTGAGCCCAAGTGATGTGAAGTCTTTAGCACGCCGGCAAACAATAACGTCTACAAACCATACCAATAACGTCTGGATCTCTTAACTGCGCACTGCTCCTTGCCCTGCTCATGAGGTGTGTCGATAGCAATTAGATGGACCTGCAGCAAGAAGCTGTTCGCGTGGCCGACCACTGCAGCGTTCGATTCACAACCTTCATCTCGCTTTAGCGTGGAGATAGCCCACATGTCTCTATTGAGGTGACGCAAGAGACTTCAGTCTAGTTGACCCAGGGTCGTTGTTCGAAGCTGTCGATGATTCGTTGGCTGTGCCACATGCAAACTGTATTAGTGGGGTGGATCATGATTTCATGCATAGAAAGACGAGAAGGACGATGACGCCGAGATGTGATGCTGCACACCCTTGCTGGGTCGTCACTGTGGTGTTGTGATTTGAGAAGAACTCCACGCGATGCATCCTCGGCACTGGCTACTGGGTGGATCGAAAAGTCTCTTCTGCCAAGAGCATTTATCTGATCCGTTAGAGAAACGAGGGGCGATGAGCCCGATATCGGGATCATCATCACTGGGGTGGGTGGCTATATCAGAGATTTGATTTGCAGCCGGCAAGCATTGTCTAATCAGATGGGGAGATAATCGCTTTGGTGACGACGCCGAGTGTTTTAAAGAGAAGGTGGTACGGCCTTCCGTGATCAGACTTGTATCTAGACTGCTTAAGTCGGTTGACTAAATATGATAACCCTTCCACTGACGATGCCGAGGACGGAAATGGCGTGGCGGGCGGGAGGAAAATATTGATCTGATATGCCAACGGGTTCGGTAAAGGTTTGGGGAGTTCATTCTAGAGGCCGGTTAGTGTGATGGGTGGTGGAGATTTCAACGACTCCCAAGGTTTGGCGGAGATTCGGAGTATGGAGAGGACTGGAAAGATGTCGACTCGGTTCCACGATGGACTGATGAGCAGGGATGTCGAAGAGCTAGACAGAGCATTCGACTAGACGCCGCCCCAGCTTAGTGGTATGTAGCTAAGATAGCTGCTTTGAAGAGGGAAGAAGAAGAAATATGGTCGCAGTGACACTCCTTGATGTAATACATGGTAGACATAAGTTCCTAATTACTGCTGCCACGCAACACAATGTACTCTCTTTACAAATTCTCGACCACTTCGCCATTCTATGCTCCAGCATTCGAACAAGACGCAAGTATATAAGATAGATGGCAATTCAACAGATATCAGCCTAGATTTTGTGCCCTGATCATTTGTTCGTATATGCCACCTCCTCTCACTAAGTCTTCATGTCTGCCCTCCTCAACGATCTTTCCATGATCGAAAACTAGTATCCGATCTGCGCGTTGAACGCTGGTAAGTCGATGTGCAATCATGATTGTAGTACGTTTACGGGATGCAGCGGAGATGGCTTCTTGGATCTGTGCTTCGGAGTGTGAGTCTGCGAGGAATGATTAGCGACGAAGGAGGTATTTGATAAGACATAGTAGGGAAAAATACCCAGAGCAGACGTTGCTTCGTCCAGAAGCAGGATCTCAGGGTTACGAATATAAGCTCTTGCTATTGCAACGCGTTGTTTTTGTCCCCCCGATAGTTGAGAGCCGTTGTTTCCACATTGTCTATCTTGCATCAATATTGGAGTCAGCATACTTGATGATGGGTTACGTACGTCTCATATCCATCAGGCAGCCCGTTGACGAAGTCATGTATGCCAACAGCTTTGCATGCTTCGATGATCTCTTCTCGCGTCGCCTCATGGCCTGGTCGAGCACCTAGTCCGACATTGAAAGCCACACTCCCAGAAAAGAGATCTGGATCTTGAGCAACAAGACTTATCCTAGCACGATGTTCGGATACTGGCACAGATTTGATGTCCACGCCATCCAGGAGGATAGTGCCAGATGTTGGATCGTAGAACCTCTCAATGAGAGTTATTGCCGAGGTCTTTCCGGCACCTGACCGTCCTACAAGCGCGACAGTCTCGCCAGCTTTGATAGTGAGATTGAGATTTGAAAAGACAGGAGCATTGGGACGGGATTTGTACTTCAGGGACACGTTCTGGAAGGTTATACTTCCGGTCTGCGCTGTCGATTTGCCTTTGTGAGTAATTATCGAACTCATCGGGACCATAGCATTGTTGGATGGGGTATCAATGCTAGGTTTCTGATCGTGAAGTGCGAAGACTCTAGAGGCTGCACCCTTTGCTCGGCCAATGTCTGGTGCAAGACTGAAGATCTGGCCTGCTGCTTGAGCCGAGAAGAGGATAGCTGGAAGGACGATGAAAAATTGAAGGCTCGAGTACTGGCCGGAACGTACTTGCTTTGCACCCCACCAATATGCCAGGGCATACACAAAATAGCTGTTTAGTGTTAGCAAAATCTTTGCTATCAAAGTCAAAAAACTTACGTGACTGCAAGTGCAAACGCCAGAATCAGATTCCCGAGAGCTGTACCTCGGAATGTTTGTTTGTGATGCTTGTCAACGGCGACATGGAACCTCTTTGATGTAAGCCTTTCCGTTCCAAGCGCAGCAATTGTACGGATGTTCGAGCAGGCTTCCGATGCGAGCGATGCACCCTCCGTATAGGCATGCTGATTCTTTTCCTCGACTCTAGCAAGTACCCAGATTCTAGCGAATCCAGCGAGTATAACTATTGGAGAGGTAGCGAAAAGAACGATTGCAATCTTCCACGCGACGACGTGTGCTAAAATTGCTCCTCCAACCACAGACACTAATGCAGAGACTATGGTGCCTATAATGACCCCGGAAAGACCACTCAAATGGCCAGCGTCCATGCTGATGACCGAAGTAAGTGCCGATGTTGATCGACCGGGCTGAAGAAACCATTCCATGTCCTGACGGAGAATTGTACGCAAGGAAATGTCTCGAGTGCGAAAGATCAAGTGCTCCGAGACAATTCCAAAGCAGGAACCGGAAATGATGTAGCCTGAGAGAGCAGCCAAAGCTACAACGAAGAACATAAGACAGAAGAAGTCGACTTGAGCAGAAGGAACCAGTCCATTAAGAAGCTCGACGAGATGACCGAAAATAATGGACTCTCCAAGTATCAAGGCGCCGGTAGTCAGGGACCCCATCAGCGCGATTATCGTGAACATGACTCTTGCTTGGCTCAGGGCGAGGCAACGTCTGAGGATTTTTACCGTGCTAAATTGCTCATCTTTGATAGACGGCACCTCTAGAGTATCGGATGGCTGCTCGGACATTAGCACAGGGTCCTCAATGCACACGGAATCAAAGTTGACGACATCTAGTTAATCAGATGTGACTTACCTGCGATTCAAAGGAATTCGCGGGCTCAGTGTTGTCATTGAAGGTGAACTTATGTTTTGTTGACACCGACCGATCTGTGACATCTTCCGAGGTTAATTTTTGAGCTTCGATCAGTCGACGGTAAACTCCTTCATCACTTGACATCAACGTCTCATGATTACCTTGCTCAAGTATGCGACCCTTCCCCATGACAATAATATTATCTGCAGATTTGACGGACGCAAGTCTGTGAGCAATCATAACTGTCGTCCTATTCCCCATGGAACGTGAAGTTCCAAGAGACGTGAGAATCGCCGCTTCGCTTATCGTATCTAAGGCACTGGTTGCTTCATCAAGCACCAGCAGTGCTGGATCTCCAACGAGAGCTCTGGCTAAGCAAAGGCGCTGCTTCTGCCCACCTGAAAGCTTTGTTCCATCGGGTTCTCCCAGCCAAGTGTCAATTCCATTGGGAAGCAAACTGACAAAGGACCATGCATCTGCGGCCTTACAAGCTTTAATGCACCTCCCTCTCATTTCGTCATCAGAGAGTTCAGATCCCTTGTAGCCATCTCGAATATTTGTGTAAATGGTCCCCGAGAATACAGCTGGGTCTTGGTCTACAAGAGCGATCTGGTTTCTAAGACTGGCTAGATTGTATTGTGAGAGAGGATGCCCATCTATCGTAATATTACCCTGGCAAGGATCGTAGAGTCTCAGGAGGAGGGCGGCGATAGTGCTCTTTCCACTTCCGCTAGCACCTACAATACCAACAGTTGATCCCATTTTGATGTTGAAAGTGACTGAATCCAGGACGGTCTCCATGGATCGAGCCGGATATGCGAAACTGGTATCTGTGAAAACGATCTCTTTATCAGGTCCGAAAGTTTCATCATCGGCTTGGACACCGTCCTCGGAATAAACGTTGATGGCAATATCCGGGTAATCGATTAAGCTAAATATTCGGCTTCCGGCGGAGGCAGCTTGAGAGAAAGACTGGATGAATGGCCCCGCTTGACCGATAACAAATGAAGCATCGAGAATAAGGAAGACGATTGCGTAGACAGTTCCGGCGCTTCCATTTCCATTGCTATCCCTGATGATTCGAGCACCTTGCCAAAAAGCCAATGAATTTGCTGCATACCTATAAATCATCAGCTCCATGAAGAGTAAGTTAGCGTCGAAGACTTACGCAATGAAAAATACACTCCCCAAAAGAACAGCCCCAGCGACGGCCTTCTTCATACCAGCCCTCATGGCACCTTTGAGATGGCTCTGATGATCACTAGTCAGAGAATCGAATGCATCAAAAGCTTGCACGACCTGAACAGCCTTGATGGCACCTTCAGCAACTGAAGCAGCAGATGTCGTATATTCTGATGCTTCCCTGGAGAAGGCACCAAGGACAGTGGTGCCCGTGATGATCACCAGAGTCATGGAAGGGATCACAGCAGCAAACAATATACCAGTGAGACGAGCATTGAGGCTGAAGCCGACAATGAAAGCCACCAGAAAGTAACTGACTGACTGGAGAAATATTCCAACTTTCTCAGCAGTTCCAGCCTGGACTGTCTGTGCATCTACTGTCAAACGACTTGTGATCTTTCTGCAAATAAGTTTGGCTGCCATTTCTGTTGGATAAAGTGACTTACATCTGGACATTGAGTTTCGTAGAACGTCTGGTCGAGGCCCAGTGCCCTGTTGACCATTTGGGTTCTCAGCCCCCTAGATATTCTGGCACCAACGATTCCCCAGCAGAACGCCCATCCCCATGTTACAACAAAGTATGCACAAGCTGGAATCGTTAGACCATTTTCAGAGAAGTCCAAAGGGCCTACCGACCAACTCCGAGTAGCTGCGAAATTCTCTTCTGCACTTCTTCCTCAGAAGGGGGAAATGTATCGATAATTTTCGCAAAGATGACCCCAATTACAGGAAGAGGAGCTCCTGCTGAAATTGCGAGGATAACTCCGCATGCTAGAATGAATCTTGACTGCAAATCTTGCAAAGGTCTGAAAAGTGAGAAATATGAAGACCTCGATTTTTTAATAGTTCCATCTTTGGGCAGAAGTCGACGAGGTTTCAGCATCATCCGCCATCTGCTTGATCTGCCATCTTCTTCACTTGCGAAAAGTGTCATTTGATCTTGCAGTGCATGTCCAGGACAAAAGTGTCCAAAGCCTTACCGATATGGAAAAAAAGGAAAAATAAGGTCTCGACACTGCCCACATTTCAAGATCTGATAAGCAGTGATGTTCTACCAGAAATAATACGGCACGGCTCTTGCCCATGACCTTCTTTTCCGAGGTCCTCGATTATACAGACACTCCCATTCAGTGCAACACTATGCGATCAACGGCAAATGCACCGTCACTGTGCATAGCGCCTGTTCGTGAGGGGGGGTAGCGTGGTTCGGCAATAAGCATCACACCTGCAATCGTTTTAACTATAAGCTGGTGTGCTTCTCGGCATTTTCACTAGTGACAGAGTACCAGTATGGCTTCAGGTCCGCAGATCACAATTAGGACCGAACGATCGAAACGAAACTTAGGAATTTTCTCCGACAAAAGACACTTGTTTGTCGTCGAATCCTTAGCTGACATTTACAACTCGAAATGAGTGAAACTTGGGACGAAGAAGAATCCACACGTCTCGCAAGCTAGAAATCTTTCCCGAAAATCAATTACAATCTGAAATTGCACAGAAACTTGGAAGTTGGAAATCCGATGGAAATATCCTCCCAAGGAAGGAGGTAACACAACATTCAAGTGAGGGATTTTCCACAAGCCAATGAGTAAACAGCAAAGCGTTCAACAACCGAATGTCGATCGAAGGGGAAGAGATTTTCGCCCAGATCTAGAGCAGTCGCTGGTGACCGAAATCTCCATAACTTATTGATAGCGCTGGTCTTCGGTCGATGAAGCCAAGAGGCTCAATCAACGGTAAGGTTAAAAGGTGAGGCAAGAATAGCTTCACGGTTATCAGATCGTCTCTTCCCCTCCTTGAATCCATGGCCCATGGCTATTATCCGTCTTGGATTACTGCATGTCCCGCCCCGCCTGTACCGACATCGGGGTTCGACGGCCAAGCAGCAGGCTCTGGAGGCTAGGCGAGGCAGCCTCGGGATCTGATAAGATTACGGTTAGGGCGCGAAAGAATCTTCCCTGCCCGCGTTGGATCTGCTTCTGGATACGACATGGCGTGCGTATCGTATGTGGCTGAGTGGATACATGGCTGACCGGTCGCGTCGCTAGCTGCGTCGAAGATGTTGTTGTTAGTCATGGCAAGGAAAGCAGAAATCTGGGGCGAGGTGAGGTGAGGTGAGGTGAGGTGAGGTTCTGGTGCTGTTGAGATGCGAGGATGCGCACGAGTTGGAGAGTTCAGCAGCGGAGAGTTGTGAGCTGACATAATCTTTGTCGCTTTGGTGGTGCAGACAGCCTAGAATGACCCAGATGCTTCATCTCAAACCAAAAGAATCTTGACAGCAGGTTGAACTCCACTCAGCCAAGCATCAGCCCAATTCACCACGATCAACTTACTCGCCATATACTCTCTCATTCAGAGGTTGGCTTCCATTTTCTACTGTATCCCATCGCGGATGGCCGCACAGGAATGCATCTCAGCAGCATTCTCCTCCATTAGTCCAGTGATGTGGTTCTTGAATCGTTGCCAGTTGAAGCCGCCGCGCCATGATATCTTGCTGCCACAAGCCTAGCCGCGAGCAGTGTCAGTTTGCTCACGGCGAACGGCGCCTTTCTAAATCTTCTGCCGCCCCCACGGATATGATATGATATGCACAAGGATGCCAGTACGTCACGAAGACGCTGGCGGGCCGATGCTATCCCAGCAATCGAGTCACGCCTCCGACTGCTGACAATGCCACTCCAAACATAAGAAGCAAATACAAGCGCAGGACACGAAGCCCTTCGTTTGGGCAGCACAGTCCTGTTGGCCGCAATACACACCAATATCGTACACCTGGTGGAGGTGACTGACTGATGGACAGAATCGCAAGAACTCACCACTAAGATTCATCCTATTTCCAAGCGGGTGGAGCCTTCACTACTTTACCACACCTCTTTGATGAGCACGTGAAGCGACTTAGAAGGAACTCTTGACATTTGCCAACGCTCCCATCTTAGATATCGGTCGGTATTTAATTCGACCTCTTCTTCTCCTTCTTTTTCGAACGAGCGATCATTTCTGCCGACCATATATTTTGCTCAATCATGAAAATCTAAATTCCGTGGCAGCTATGACCGAACGACTTTCCATCCTCAATGACCCTCCCTCAATTTTGGAAGGGCCCCGGCTCCTGCATAAGCTGATCCAATGGGAGAAGCACAGCCAAAATCTCGCGATCGACTTTACCAGCAACAGAACCAGGAAACGATACAGTTATCATGATATCCAACTTTGTGTGGCAGCTTTGGAATCACGAATTCGCAAGTCCTTGAGGAAGTCCCAAACAAGCGATTTGTCTCGTCAACATATTATTCCCATCCTACTTCCTCAATCGCCAGGCTTGTACATTTCTCAGCTGGCCATTTTACAGTCAGGAGGCGCATTCTGTCCTATCAACCTCGATGCACCTAAGGATCGCATCAAATTCGTCGCCGGCGATGTCTCAGCGAGCCTCATCATCACAACACCGGAATTCGAGAATACTGTTACTTGGGAAAATGGCCCAATCGTTGTCCTTGTGGATGAGTTCCCTGATATTACGTATGAGCTGGTGAAGGGGAGAGTTGCCACACGTGATGTAACTCCGGACGATATCTCGTACGTGATGTACACATCTGGATCGAGTGGAACCCCGAAAGGTGTCGCTGTCAGCCATATGGCAGTTTCACAGTCCCTCTTAGCACATGAGATGCATATTCCTCGCTTCGATAGATTTCTCCAATTTGCTGCACCATCTTTCGATGTTTCAGTATTCGAGATCTTCTTTCCACTCATACGAGGTTCGACCCTGGTCGGTTGTGGACGAAGCCAGCTTCTCAATGATCTCCCAGGGATGATGACTGAATTGGAAGTTGATGCGGCGGAGCTTACACCAACTGTTGTCGGCTCCCTCCTCCAGAAGAGATCAAACGCTCCTGGACTGAAGCTTCTCTTGACTATTGGAGAGATGCTCACGTCGCCCATTGTTAAGGAGTTTGGAGGATCTGAAAGTCAGTCTAACATGCTCTATGGCATGTATGGCCCGACTGAGGCAGCTATTCATTGTACAGTGTATCCCAGAATGGAGGCAGATGCGAAGCCTGGAAATATTGGAATGCCTTTTGCTTCCGTTTCAACTTTCATTGCTGCTGCGAGCACATCCGTGGATGATGCTGCGAACCTCCAGTTCTTGCCCATTGGTGAACTTGGTGAGCTAGTTCTTGGTGGTCCACAACTTGCCCAAGGTTATCTAAACCGAGAAGAGCAGAACAGGGCAGCCTTTGTACATTACAATGGCAGGAAGTACTACCGAACTGGTGATAAAGCACGACAGCTTGAGAATGGGACCATTGAAATCCTTGGACGTATGAGTGCTGGACAGGTGAAGCTTCGTGGCCAAAGGGTAGAACTGGGTGAGATTGAGGAGGTAGCCTACAAGCATTCTGGTCTAAAGACTGTTGTGGCTGTTGTGCTCAATGGTGTACTCATAATGTTTGCCTTGACAGATGACCATTCGATCACGTTTGGGAGTGTGATGGAGACGTGTTCCAAGTGGCTGCCAAAGTTCATGGTGCCGAGCGAGGTCGTACTTCTGCAGAATTTCCCATATTTGCCGTCTGGCAAGGTGGACAAGAAAAAGCTGGAAGCAGACTACCAAGCTCATCGAACATCGTCAGGGAATGCTCAAACCCTATCTACCAAAACAGAACGCATCGTGAAAAGGGTTCTTGAGGAAGTTCTTGGTGACTTTTCAGTGGGCACTCGGCTTGCTGCTGCAGGCTTAGACTCTCTTGTTGCCATCCGGGTAGCATCAAAATTGCGAGGCTCAGGCTTCAATGTCAGTGCTGTTGCTGTGCTACAAGCCGAGACCTTCGAGTCACTCGTCGAGCTTTGCGAAAATTTCATGGATATTGCGTCAGCACAGAAAGTCCAGGTGGCTCCTACCAGACATAAGATTGAAACTGTGCTGAATGGCCACGCGAAAGATGTCGACTACACGTCACAGTGCACGCCACTTCAGTCCGCAATGCTGTCAGAAACTGCCATGAAACGAGAAGCATATCGAAACTGGATTGAACTAAAGCTACCAGGCATTACAGATGTGGAAGAAGTAATTTCAGTCTTGCATGATCTGGCTGATTCTAATCCGATCCTGAAAACTGGTTTTGCGGAACCCCATGCTCACAATGGATATGTGCAGATCATTTGGAGAGAGTTGGAGGATTCCCAGATTGAAGTTGTGAAAACTCTCCGCTACGAATTTGACGAGTCCAAAGATATCTCTTTGCATCGCCCCATTCGATTCCAGATTCTACAAGCAGAGTCTATGACAAGAGTTTTGATCCACATCCACCATGCCCTATACGATGCATGGTCTCTTGAGTTGTTGCTTGATGACCTCAATGCGTTGTTGTCGAACGCCTCGCTTCCCTGCCGCCCGCCATTTACCGATATTGTTGAGTGCTACCAGAACGGTCCCATCTCATCTGATAACTGGTCTTCGAAAGACTATTGGAAAGATCATCTCGCCCTTTTGGACGTGGCTCAAATTCCCAACTTCCACTCAAAAGAATCTCCACCTCCTTCGCTAGCTATTGAGCGGCTGCAGACATCCCTTTCGACGCCAAGTATCGAGGCAGCTTCTCGTCGTCTGTCAGCTAGTCCACAGTCATTATTTCAAGCTGCATATGCTCTTGTACTGAGCTCATATGTGGGCGCCTCCGACATTTGCTTTGGGACAGTCTTCTCTGGTCGAACGCTTCCAATCGAAGGGATCGAAGACATCGCAGGACCCTGCCTTACAACACTACCAATTCGGATCGACCTCTCAACCTCCGCGAATGTTCAAGACTTAGTCCAAGAGCTGCATTCGACGAACAGAAAGCATTTGGAACACAGCACTCTTCCCCTGCGTGACATCAAAGCCACAAGTGGGGTCAGTCCTCGACAGCTGCTCTTCGACACATTGCTCATCTGGCAACAGACTCTGCACAGCTATGATCACAAGCGAGAGCATGTCATCCTCGTTGATACGGTGGATAACCTCGAATTCAATCTGACTTTGGAAGTTATTCCAGGCCTTGGAAACATTGAGTTGAAAGCGAATTTCCAGCAGTCATTACTCCCAGCGTCGCAAGTACGTATGCTGCTGCAACAAGTAGAACAACTTACACGAGCCATCATTGAGGATTCGAAAACCTCACTTGAAACAATTTTCAACTGTCTCGATAAAAGCGTCTCGTCGCTTGAGAACGAGAAGCCTGATACGGAGTTGAAAGGTGGAACGCTTTCAAGCTCAGTTGAGATCATCGCCATCAGGGAACCGGAGAGACGCGCGATCGATTTTGCCACATCGATTGAAAATGAAACAATTATAGTCGAGAGTATATCTTACTTTGAGCTCAACTCGTACTCAAATCAAATTGGAAATTGCCTGCTGGAGGAGTATGGCGTTCTTCCAGATGAGCTTGTTTGCATATGTATGGAGAAATCGATCGATCTTTACGCGTCCGTTCTTGCAACAGCAAAACTTGGTTCTGGCTACCTCCCTCTCACTCCCGATGTACCCCATGACCGACTGGAGCATATTCTACGAGAAGCAAAGGTCAGGGTTGTGGTGGCGAGATCGTCATCCAGACCTCTTTTTAGATTATTCAAATCTATCAAAGTACTCTACATCGATGAAGTCCACCTTTCTTCATTTGCCGTCAGCAATATACCCTCGAGGTCCTCGTCGGATATGATCTCGTATTGCGTCTTCACTTCAGGAAGTACCGGAACACCAAAAGGAGTGCTTGTTACCCAAGGCAATCTTCTCAGCAATCTGGATGTCCTTGAAGAGCTCTATCCTACGGCAAAAGACTCTCGATTCTTGCAGTCTTGCTCCCAAGCATTCGATGTATCGGTGTTCGAGATATTCTTTGCATGGCGAGTGGGCGCAACGATTTGCTCAGCCGTCAAGGATGTTTTATTTCGAGATATCGAGAACGCTATCAGGTTGTTCAAGGTGACTCATTTGAGTCTAACGCCCACTGTGGCTGCTCTGATAGACCCCCGAAATGTCCCTAAAGTGGAGTTCCTAGTCACTGCTGGAGAAGGAGTGACCTCCAAGGTGTTCAATTCTTGGGCAGATAGAGGCCTATGGCAGGGCTACGGCCCAAGCGAGACAACAAACATATGCACTGTGAATCCAAGAGTTACAAAATTGGATAGGATCAACAATATTGGTCCGCCATTCAAGAACACTTCCGCCTTTGTGCTCGCACCTGGACCGGATTTTCTTCCTGTTCCTCGTGGTGGGATCGGGGAGTTCTGTTTTGGAGGCTCACAAGTCTTCCGTGGGTACGTGGACCGCATTCAAGAGGTTGGCAAAATCATTGAACACCCGGAATATGGAAAGCTGTACCGCAGTGGTGATTTTGGGCGCCTAATGCCCGATGGATCCCTTGCTTTTACTGGACGAAAAGACGACCAGGTCAAGCTTCGGGGACAAAGGGTTGAGCTGGGGGAGATAAACAGTATCATCCTTCGGTCGGAAGAAGTGGCAGACTGTGTCACAATGGTCATCAACAACGATAAGGACAATTCGCAGCGCCTCGTATGTTTCTGGACTTCTGGTCGAGCTGGGACTGAAGACTTAAAATGTCTAAATCCCGAATTAGGAGTGATTGCTAGGCTGTATAAGACTTTGAACTCGGCGCTTCCAGCATACATGATCCCATCAGCTGTCATTCCTATATCTTTCATGCCGTCGACTTCACAAGGAAAGATTGATAAGCGGCTTCTGATCAAGCATTTCAACCTCCTTGATGTTGGCTACCTCGACCAGACATCACAAGCATCTACACCTACTTCTGATCACGTATGGACAGAGACCGAAAACTCCATAGCACAGTGTGTTTCTGAAGTGGTTCAATTACCACTAGGCGATGTTGGTCCTGATACATCTTTCTTCAGCCTCGGTATCGACTCGATATCCGCGATCCAGCTGTCCAAAACCCTCACTAAGCAGATACCCTATCGAGTGAACATATCAGACATCTTGACGTTCCCTTCTGTCATAAGGCTAGCAGAGAGACTATCCTCTCAACATAAAGACACCGAGAGAGTTCAAATCCCCGCCACGGAAAATGGAGACTTTGGATTTGACGAAGACTTCGTCGAGGCAACGATAGCCAGTTTCAAGCGTGCTGGTAAAAGCGTGCAGATTATTGTTCCTTGTACACCACTGCAAGAAGCCATGCTATCGGCAGCAGAGGCTTCGTCTGAAAAGCTATACGACAACTTCGTGGCCTTGGACATTCGTGGTAATGCCTCAAAGCTGGAAAGATGCTGGCGGGAAATGGTCCGGCGACATGAGATCCTGCGGACTTGTTTCTTAGCCACGGATATGAAACAGTATCCTTTCGTTCAAGTTGTCCTTAGTGATTACGATCTGAAGTTTACTTCAACAATGTCTGTTGTTGATGTGAAATTGCCAAAGGACTTCGACCCGCCGTACGCACTGAGGTTGATAAAGTCACCGGAAAGGACGCAGCTTGTAATATCTATGCACCATGCTCTCTACGACGGGGTAGCTCTTGAGATACTTTTTGCAGAGATTGAGAAACTGTACCATGATGAGGATCTCTCAACTGCTGTTTCTTTTGCTCCGTTCCTGAGATCAGTGGTGGCATTGGACTTGAACGCGGCCGATCAGTTCTGGGCCTCGAAATTACGTGGCTGTCGCTTCTCAAAACTCGAAAGCAATCAAGGCAGTCCGAAGCTTCAGACGAATGAGAGTCCTACTCGCATCCAGCGATGTAATGGGAAAGCTTCTCTCAGGTGGATTGAGAACAGTACTCGGAAACACAGTACTTCGCTCTTAGCAAATTGTCAAACAGCTTGGGCAGCACTTCTAGCAGAGCAACTGTACGACACTGACATCTGTTTCGGCAACGTTGTCAGCGGGCGTACTATGCCTGTAGACGGCATCGAGCGCCTCGTCGCTCCATGCTTCAACACGATCCCGGTCCGACTCCAACACATCCACAAAACCTCATATCTAGAGGCCTTCCGGAATTTCCAAACTTTCAACGCCGAATCTCTTCCCTTCCAACTGACGCCACTACGCCGCATCCAGTCTCAATTAAGCTCTGATGGCTCTCGCATTTTCGATACCCTTTTTATTTTGCAGCAACCGCAACGAGATCTCGATTCGTCCATTTGGTCCATCATGGACGACAGTGGTGCGATGGATTTCCCTCTCGTGTGCGAAGTAGTACCCAAGCATAGCGATGATACCCTCGAAATTATTTTGCATTCATACACATCTGTCATTTCAGAAGAAGACGCACTTGCTCTTCTAGAAGCTTTCGATGAGAAGCTTCGAGCGGCCTTGGAAAATCCGCGTCATCAAATTCTGTCCCCTACTGTGAAGAACAAGATTTTTGCAAAGATGGACAGTAGGGAGAAGTCGAAGGCGCAAGAATCGAGGCTGGAAACATCATTCCAATCGTTCTCCTCAGAGGAGTTGGAGCTACGGGACGTCATATCGAACTTCACAGACGTATCTTCCGAGAATATCACAAGAGACATGAGTATCTTCAGACTTGGCCTAGACAGTATCAGCACAGTACAGGTAGCAGCTCGCCTCCGGAAACAGGGTCACAAGGTTCTGGCCAGCGACATCCTGGAGAACCCAACCATTGCTAAGCTCAACAGTTTCTTGTCTGGATCGAAATGGGACAATGCTGAGGCAATATCATTCGACTTTGGAGCGTTTGATGAGAAGTACCGAGATCTCGCCTGCTCGAGGATTGGTTTGGAGCCAGAAAAGGTTGAAGCGGTACTCCCATGCACATCCGTCCAGAAAGGCATGCTCGCTCAGACACTACATTCCGAAGGCCTCGAGTACGTGAACAGTCTCTGGTTCCAGCTTCCTAGTGAATTGTCTATACTCCAGCTCAAGAACGCCTGGCACGCCGTGTGTGAGAACAATGAAATGCTTCGAACAGCATTTGCATCAACAGAGGATCCGAAGCATCCATTCGTGATGGTTGTCCGAACAAAAGCAGGCTATCAATTGCCTTGGTATGAAAGCATCGAGGCGGTTCAAGCTTCCAGCGCCGAAGACTTACTCAAAATGCCATGGAGTTTGAGCCTCTTTAAAGAACATGGTGCCAACATCCTCCGCTTCACAGCACATCACGCTCTTTATGATGCACAATCAATCCAGATGCTTCTGTCAGACGTAGCACAAACATACGCAACCCAAAATCCTACCGTTCGATCTCCGGTGGCTCCACTCCTTGGTGCGATATTACAAGAATCGGAGAAAAACATTAATGGGAAGGAATTATTTTGGGAGAAAGAAGAAAACAAGATTATCGTAAATCGATTTCCTGACCTCACGCCACTTCGGGGATCGGACTTAAGTAGTGCTGTTGAGGAACTCACCTCACAACTGTCCTCTTCTAAGCTAGAAGAAATGTGTCGCAGGGACGGAGTCACTGTTCAAGCAGCCACTCAGGCAACGTGGGCTAGACTTCTATTCTTCTACATTGGCGAGAATTCGACGACTTTCGGAATGACTCTCTCAGGGCGATCAGTTCATGAGAATGCGGATCATATTTCATTCCCAAGCATTGTTACCCTTCCAGTAAGATGCAACATCACTGGAACCAACAAAGAGCTGCTATCCCGAACCATGGAATCTAATGCGTTGCTCCACAAGCACCAGTTCACACCCCTAACCTCCATTCAAAGGTGGGCTGGCTATCCGGAAGGCAAGATCTTCGATACTCTTTTCGCATATCAGAAGCTCCCAGATGGTGGTGAGGAAGGGAAAGTGCCATGGACAGTTTTTAAAGAAGAAGCATCCGTGGATTATGCAGTTTCTTTGGAAATTCAGCCAACGAGAAATGACGAGGTGACGCTTCGGTTAACTTTCAGACAAGACCTCATCCCGGTCGAACATGCTGAGCTGCTGTTAAAGCAGTATGACGCATTACTCTTTGATATACTTCAAAATCCTCATAATCCATGCGACGTGGCTCCGCATACATCAGAATCACTGCTATCCATCACGGCTGCGGAGGAGAAAGAGTTGCCCGGTCCGGTCACCCTACTTCACGAATTCGTAGAGCTCGGTGCTCGCGACTTTCCTGGCAGACAAGCCCTGGAGTTTGCTACAAGTCTCAACCCAGAAACTTTCAAAAGTAAATCATGGACGTACAGCCAACTCAACCAGGAAGCAAACAAAATCGCCAACATGCTGCTACAGAGGAACCTCCAGCCTGGACAGATGGTTGCAATCTGCTTTGATAAGTGCGCAGAGGCGTCTTTTGCTATCATTGGTATCTTAAAAGCGGGGTGTGCGTATGTAGCACTCGATCCCAATGCGCCAGGAGATCGTTTGAAATTCATTGTGGAAGACTCTGGAGCCAGGATGGTGGTTACCGCTGGCAAGCCTGGTCAGAACATGAAGCAGATGTTGAACGGAGACATGATCATTAACCTGGACTCGTCAGATGTTCTTGTTGACTGCTCCTCTGAACAGCCCAAATTACTTCGCGATATCACTCCTGAAGATGTCTCGTACTGTCTTTACACCTCTGGAACCACCGGTACACCAAAGGGCTGCTTGATCACCCACGAGAATACAGTTCAATTCATGCTCGCTTTCTCTTGCTTATTTGCTGGTCACTGGGATAAAAACTCTAAATACCTACAGTTTGCCTCGTTCCACTTCGATGTTAGTGTCATGGAACAGTTTTGGAGTTGGAGCGTAGGCATATGTGTCGCGTCAGCTCCACGAGATCTGATTTTCGAAGACATCACGGGTGCAATTCAACAACTGGGAATCACTCACATCGATCTCACACCCAGTCTTGCTCGGCTGATTCATCCAAAAGACGTACCTACACTGTGTAAAGGAGCTTTCATCACAGGAGGAGAACAACTCAAGCAAGAAATTCTGGATGTGTGGGGCGAGTATGCCTGTATCTACAATGGCTACGGACCAACCGAGGCGACTATTGGTTGCACGATGTACCCTCGTGTTCCGAAAAATGGCAAGCCGTCAAATATTGGTCCTGCATACATCAATGTTGGAACATTCGTACTCAAGCCCGGCACTGAGCTCCCTGTACTACGCGGTGGTATTGGCGAGCTATGTGTCTCTGGCAAGTTGGTTGGAAAGGGTTATCTCAATCGCCCAGATCTGACAGCTGAGCGGTTTCCCACCTTGAAGTCCTTTGACGAACGCGTATATCGGACAGGAGATCTCGTACGGATCCTTCACGATGGAAGCTTCATATTCCTAGGCCGAGCCGACGATCAGGTCAAACTGCGAGGCCAACGTCTGGAACTCACCGAGATTAACGAAGTCATCAAGAAAGGTGTTGATGGTATCGAAGAAGTCGTCACCCTGGTGCTCAAACATAGCACGCAACAGAAAGAGCAGTTGGTCACATTCTTTGTCACGAGTTCACATTATGACAGTGATAATACTCCAATCTCAGCGATGAGAGATGCCTGCAAGTCTCGCCTGCCTGTATATATGGTTCCTACGCATTTCATTCCCATCAAAGCTCTACCACTTAATGCGAATAATAAAGCTGATTCCAAGCAACTTGCGGCCATGTATGATGAGTTCAAAGTCGAGGATCTACAGAGACTGAGCCAAGCTGGCCAAAGTTCCGATATGTGGTCCGATAGCGAGCAGCAAGTCATCGACACCATTGGCAAAGTCCTACAAATCGAAAATGGAACCTTGACGGGTGGAACGACGATATTCGAGCTGGGAATAGATTCTATCTCCATAATTGGCTTCGCGCGAGCTTTACAAAACGCTGGATTGAAGAAGGCCAAGCTTTCTCTTGTCAAGAATAATCCCTCCATGAAAGCACTCGTCCGAGCCGTCCTTGAAGGCACCGAAGCTGATCAGGGGAAGGAGAATGCCTACGTTGCAGCAGCACAAAGTATTGCTGCCTTTGAGCAGAGACATATGGTATATGTATGCCAAGAGTTAGGACTCGAGAGTGCTGAGGTTGAGACGATAGTCCCTTGCACGCCGGTACAGGAGGGAATGATCTACCGCTTCTTGGAGAGCCATACGGCGCTTTACTTTAACAAGTTCGAGTTTAAGCTTGATGAAGTTGTTGACTTGGAGAAATTGGTTGCTGCTTGGAACAGAGTTATCGAAAGACTTGAGATCTTGAGGATGAAGTTTGTGGCTACTGATGACGGTTTTGCACAAGTTGTATTGCGCAAAGGAGAAGACTCTGCATACGCTCAGTCTATCGACTATGATACGGAAGAGAAAGCATCTGCTTTGAAAACTCCATATAATCTTACTTTGGACGGACGCACTATGAGATTACAGATGTTCCACGGACTATACGACGGGAACAGTCTGACAATGCTCCTCCGCCGCGTGGTAGACGAATATCATGAGCAGGAATCAATCGAATATGGCCCTTCCTTCACATCCCTCCTCCCGTACGGACCTCTTGCGAAGGATCCAGGAGCCAAAGAGTTCTGGATATCGCAATTTAAAGACTGGTCTCCTAATCAAGTGCCCGACGATCACAAATCAACAGCCGACATAATTGCAACTAGTACTGTGAACAACCTCACTGGGTTTGATTCTCTACGGAAACAGCTTGGCGTCACTCCTCAAGCCTTGGTACAAGCAGCATGGGTCTCAGTGCTCCCGACCATCGCCTCAACGAATCTCACAATCGGCATTGTTACATCAGGCCGCGCCATTGATTTTGACGGCGCACATCAAGTCATCGGTCCGCTATTTAACACTGTTCCATTCCACATCTCACTTCAACCCGGTGACAAGTCATCCGAGCTAGTGACAAAATGCCATGAGTTTAACATGCAAATGCAGGACTTCCAGCATACACCATTGAAGGATATCCAGAGATGGAGTGGTGCCAGGCCGGGACAAAGTCTTTTTGATACGTTGTTTGTGTTTCAGAGACCGGAGGAGGAGGATGAAGGATTTGCGGAGGGTTTGTGGCGAGAAGTTCAGGATGAGATGGTCGCTGATGTGAGTTCATATTTGTCCTCCAGTTGCTGGAAGTGAAGCTAACCTAGAGCAGTATCCGTTGGCTTTCGAGGCTGTATTGAGCTCAGACAGCAGCAAGCTTTCTTTGACTATCGTGGCTCAAGGCACGGCTATCACAAATTCAACAGCAGTGGACCTTCTTCAGCAATTTGAGAAGGCGATGGTTGACATGCTTGAAAGTTCAGGAGAGAACCTCATTTCAGGCCTGGGTGACAATAATGAAGTACAATGTCGAATCAAAGCCGCGCCTACAGCTAAATTCGGGGTCGGTGATGCACAAAAAGACAGCTTCACATGGACAGAAAAGGCCAAAACCATCAGATCAGAGGTCGCAGCACTTGCCAACCTCGCTGAAGATAGCATCAAAGAAGGTTCCTCAATCTTCGAGCTCGGACTAGACAGCATCGATGTCATCAAACTTGCTTCTCGACTAAAAAAGCGAGGCATAGACATACCCGTCAGTGTTATCGTTAAAAGCCAGACAATTGCCAACATCGCCCTCGATATTTCTGCTAAGATCAGCAGCCCAGAGACTGCGACTGGTCAATCGCTGTTGCAGATGAGTCAAGATCTGACGAGATATCTCAAAAGCAAAGATAAGCTTCCAATTAATGTTGAGGCCGTCTTGCCAGCGACACCATTACAGCAGAGTATGGTGAACGAGATGGTGAAGTCGGGATACAAGAGGTACTTTAACGTCGATGGCTTTGAGCTGAGCGAGGGTGTTGAATTGGAGAGATTGAGAGATGCGATCAGGCGCGTAGTCGAGCAATCGTCTATTCTGAGGACGTCCTTTGTGGAGGTGGATGATCCAAAGGCAGCAGTCAGCTTTGCCCAGATGGTGCACAGTCCTGAACAGCAATCTAGGTGTATCTCTTCAGACATCACTACTCTGGAGGAAGGGCAAAGCTTTGCGGACTCTATGAGGACCTTTGAGACGGAATCGGCCAGACTTGCAGCTGAAGATCAACGGTTGCTGCAAGTTCGCTTTATTCAAGCAGACACTTCAAAGCACCTGGCGATCGCTATATCTCACGCCTTGTATGATGGTACCTCTCTGCGATCAATTCATGAAGATATTCAGAAAGCATACAATGGGCAATTATCGTCGCGGCCAGATTTCATGCCGTTCTTACACGAGGTCTTCCAGTCAACTACAGAAGACGCCAAGAAATTCTGGAGGACCACATTGTCGAACCTACCTCTTGCAAAATTCCCACGGAAAGAGTCGGTTGAAATTGATGATTTGAAATTGAGCACAAGGCTGGACCGTCGATCTCAAGTCCCTCTCAAGGACATTGAGATCCTGTGCAAGACAGCAAGAATCACGCTTCAAACCCTGGGCCAGACGTGCTGGGCTCTCGTTCTTTCGCGGCTCATGGGTCAGCTCGACGTTGTTTTCGGATCTGTCCTCTCGTGTCGTGACTCCGAAGAGGCCAGCACTGTCATGTTTCCACTCATGAACACGGTCGCCGTGCGCTCTGTCATCCACGGTAGCCTGGCAGATATGTTGAGATATATGCAAGACATGAGCGACACCACGCGCCAGTATCAACACTTCCCCCTGGGCACTGCTCAAGCGTATGCACTTGCCAGTAGACAAGACTCAGCAGCGTCTAAGGATGCGACACTATTTGATACACTGTTCATATATCAAGGTCGTCACCAGACAAAGGAGGATGGCAAGCTGTATAATTCCGTCTACAGTTCCTCGGATGTGGAGGTCCCGGTTTGCGTCGAGATGGAGATTATGGATGATAAATATATCTCTTGGACTACGGCATGTAAGGCCATTGCAAGAGACAAAACGGAGACTGAAAGTATTCTCGATTCCTTGGATAAAGTGCTGCAAAGAATCGTATCAGCTCCTGAGACTCAGACGATCAGTTCTGCAAAGAACGGTATTTCCGTGTGTGGACTACCAGCTTTTAAAGCCAAGGAGGATCCTAAGAAAACGACAACAGCTCAAGAAACTAGTGCGATTGATACAGAATGGACAAGTACCGAGCTCAGCATACGAGGTGCACTTCATACTCTCTCTGATGTCCCAGAAGACTCGATCTGCAAAGACTCGACAATATTCCACATTGGTCTTGACTCGATCTCCATTCTCAAATTACCAGCACTACTAAAGACTTCTGGAATCAAGCTAAGCGTCTCAGATATTATGAGAGAGCAGACGATATCCGCAATGGCAAAAGCTGCTCATTCGTCAGTGTCTGAGGCCGAGACTTCTCTCGATGTAGACAAAGTCGTCGCTGAATCCACTTCTGATCTCGACTTGGATGCTCTATTGGCGATTATTGAGCAAGAAGTGGGCAACATCCACTATTTCATGCCTGCCACAGCTGGGGAGCAATATATGATTCGCCAATGGCAGGTCTCGCAGGGTGCGATGTTCTACCAGACATTTACGTATGCGATACAAGGTCCCTTGGAGAAAGTAAAGCTTGAGGAGGCTTGGAAGAATCTATTGGCGAGACACGATATCCTGCGGACGGGCTTCATTGAAGTACAGTCGCGGATTCTGCAGATCGTTTTCAAGGATCCGTCGAACGAGGTGATCTATAAAACTCAAGAAAAGTCAGTAAACACTCGGAAATCAAGGGCAGACCTTTGGCTGCCACCAATAAATCTCGTCGTCGAGAACATTGAGGAGTCAGAAGTGGGGGTAAAGTTGGTTCTCCATCATGCTCTTTATGATGGTGTTAGTCTTCCTATCATCATCGACGAGCTACAAGCTCTCTATCGCGGAATCACAATAGAACGGACACATCCGAATTCGAAAATGTTCGTAGCTCAGTCACTATCAGCTGCGCCATTGACAGTCACTCAAGAGAAATGGACATCTTATCTCGGCACCAGCTTTCCAATCAAGTCTCCCTCGATCATCCCAACAAGCAGAAAACGGACAGAAGTTTACCAGCCATCCACACCCATCAAGTCTCTCGGAGAGCTAGCCCGCGATATAGGCGTCAGCACTGACGCACTCTTCCTCGCAGCAATATCCAAGATCCGTGCCCGCCCTGTCAACCATCGAGCCCCAGTCCCACAAGTTGTCTTTGGAATTTATCTCGCTAATCGGGCACCTTTTGGTCCTGACTTGTCGTCACTTGCAGTGCCTACACTCAATCTCTTACCATTGTGCGTCCAGAAGCCACTGGAGCGTAGTATAGAAGATATTGCGAGACATGTGCAGAGTGATATCCAGAAGATTGGGGACAAGGAGATGGTTTCTGCAAGTCTGGAACAGATCTTCGAGTGGACGGGTGTGAGGATTGACTGTTTCGTCAATATCTTGAGGCCTGGTAATGCCTTTGAACCACGAGGCGAAGTTGTCGAAGACAGAGGAGAGTGGAAGCCGGTGCAAGATCTAGGCACGAGAGCAGAAGTTGTGGATAATGAGCCAAATGAGTCGATGGTGAAGAAGTATGTGATGGATGGAGCGTACTTGGTGAGTTTTGACAGAGAAGATGTTATCTCAGAAGATGAAAGACTAACCTCTCTACAGCCATCAATAGATATCGAACTCCGCTACCACGGCGACAAGATCGACATGGGCGTTTTTGCACCGGAGGAAATGCTTTCGATTGCGGGCGCTGAGAAATTGATTGAGGATTTCATTGCCTTCTGGAAATGATATCAAGGTATTGAATGTTGAAGGTACGAATAAGCAGAGATTGATACACTTTGGTTCCAAGATGCCTGATTGTTTATGTTAAAATGGAAGGCTCAAAGGGGATTCGTGAGATTTTCCTTTGTTTACTTCATTAGTTGTATTTTCTTCTCTTCTTTCATTTATTTGCATAGCATTGGCCTTATACCTATTTACTTCTAGCAATTTGAGATTTCTACCCTTTTATTGCATGTGCCTTCATAACTACACGACTTCTCTTCTCACTTGGTCTGAACAACAAAGCCTTTCTAAAGGCTTACCCTCTCGGCTAACTCCCGTCGGCAAGTGGCTCGGCACCGTTTTGATTGGTCCCGAATCCTTGTCTTCGGCAAACGACCCCAAATCGCGGGGTGCATGCCGCTCTCAACACACACAGCTTGAAGATCAACACTGTGAGGTCGGCGGCGTTGCTTGGCCCTCCCCAACATCGTGTCCCGCGTTCATATCATAGGATGCCACTAGAACTGTCATCTTGGCAGGTTGACATCACGATCTTATCGTCGACTGTTCACTGGTCTGATTATGGGTCGCGGTGGGTGCGAAGCTTTGGATGGAATGTCCCATGAGGGTGGGCGAGGCGGAGGGGATATCTTGATCTCTTCTTGTCTGCTTGTGGAGTAGCTTGTTTATCCTTGTTCACATGCTTCATTGCCATTACTCATCTTGGCTTCTGCATAAAGCAAGGCTTGTATGCCCTCCCTGCACTTCTTTAATTCCTTTCCCGAAAATTCCCCAGCTCTATCGAGTGCCTCATCGACTGCTTCCAGACAAAGGAAAATATGGCACACCCGCGAGCATCTCACGGCAGCGACTCCCCCACCACTCTTACATCAACCGCCTTCGAATCTGAGGAAAAGAAATCCAACAACCTCTTCCAGGACGAAGATCCCTCCCATTCGGCAGCGCACGACAGAAAAGGATCTCATGATCTGAATTGGGATGGGCATGATGTCGATTTCAGCAATGTCGACGAGAAGAAGGTGCTGCGCAAGATGGATATCCGACTCTTGCCCATGCTGGCACTGTTATATCTGTTGAGCTTCTTGGATAGAGGCAATATTGGGAATGCGAAAATTGAGGGTTTAACCGAGACATTAAATATTACTGGCCCGCAGTATAATTGGTGCTTGACAGTCTTCTTCTTTACATACTGTGCGTTCGAAGTACCCAGTAATTTGATGTGAGTACCTACTTTTGTCCTTCGGCCTTCTCCCCATTTACTGAGTTTGAAGACTGGAGTAGTGAATAAGTTTACTGACTTTGAAACAGGCTGAAGAAATTACGTCCTTCGATATGGCTTCCATCAATAATGGTAGCATGGGGTATCGTCATGACTCTCATGGGAATAGTGCAGTCATATCACGGCCTCTTGATCGCGCGTATCTTCCTAGGTGTCACTGAAGCAGGTCTCTTTCCTGGTGTTGCGTATTACATTACAATGTGGTATTGCCGACATGAAGCCCAGCTACGACAAGCGCTGTTCTTCAGTGCTGCCAGTATTGCAGGTGCCTTTTCGGGTTTACTCGCGTTTGGAATTGCGAAGATGGACGGTACTGGAGGTTTGGAAGGTTGGCGGTGGATGTGAGTCATTTTCTCCATTTTGAGAGCAGCGAAGTTGACAATCGGTCTAGTTTCATTCTTGAGGGTATTGCTACCGTCTTAATTGCTATCCTAGCATATTTCACGCTTTACGATTTTCCAGATACAGCATCTTTCCTCACGATCGAAGAAAGAGCCTGGGTTGTGCACAGACTTAAATACCAGGGCTCGAAGGGTTCGGGACAGATGGTTGCTGAGACTGAAGGTTTCAAGTGGAAGCATGTCAAAGCTGCTTTCACTGACTGGCAAATCTATGTTGCATTGTGGGTATGTTAAACTCTGTGTCATATCACCTCCAAGCATTTACTGATTCTGCAATAGATGTACTGGGGAATCGTCTGCCCATTATACGGAATCTCACTTTTCCTCCCATCCATCATCCGAGAACTCGGCTACACCTCCAGCACCGCCCAACTTCTCACCGTACCGATCTATATTACAGCAGCATGCATTACGATCGTGGTAGCATACTACTCTGACAAATCTAAATCTGGTCGCGCTCCCTACATCTTCTTGCCGATGTGCGCAATCTTGATCGGCTTCATAATCGCCATCTCGGCTTCCGCTGTCGGTGGACTTCCTGGGCTCGTGTACGCGGGCGTGTTTATCGCAACATGTGGAATCTACCCAGCCTTTCCCGGTAATATCACATGGATGTCTAATAATCTCGCGGGGAGTTACAAGCGTTCTGCGGGCATGGCGATTCATATCGGCGCCGGCAATCTCGCTGGTGCTATGGCGAGTAATTTCTATCGCTCGAATGATGCGCCAAAGTATTTGCTCGGACATGGATTGGAGATTGGGTTTGTGACTATAGGTTTGGTGGCGGTCGTTGTGCTCAGGACGGGGTATAAGAGGATTAACGATAAGCGTGATAGGGAGGGGAATGAGGCTGGGCATAGTCTCAAAGAAATGAGTGAGATGGGTGACAGAGCTCCTACATTTAGGTATATGCTCTGAGAATGAATGTATGAGAGTTACAGCAAGCTTCTAGATTTTTACATACAAAGTTTTTGACCAAATACTTAGGTTTTCGAAAGAAGACGACCTTACTTGACATATTTCCTCCAATCATGTACATCCTTGTACCCCAAGACCTCTCTGATCTTCCGGTTACTTAGAGGAGCCTCGAACTCACCTAATTCCCTCGTGATCTTGACATCAGGACACTCCTTAGCCAAAAATTCATTCGTCGTCAAATCTCTGACAGTAATCGTATCATTAGTGGCGTTGAAAACTTGGAACCCCAACCCGCTTTTCTTGATTGCCAGGTCGCAAATCTGACCGAGATCTCGAGCATCGATATAACTCCATGCATTCCGTTTTCTTGACGAGGGATTGCCCAGGTAAGTAGGGAAGTCCTTCTCGTACTCATGAGGCTCGATCACGTTGCCGATTCGGAAGGCATAGATGTCGGCTTTGAAGCGGCGTGCAAATGTTCGGGCAGTTTTCTCGCCGCAGATTTTGGAGAGTGCATAACTGAGATATCGTTAACATCAATTCGTCTTGAGATTACCGAAATTATACTAACGAGTCTTCTGGATCAACATCGTAGTCTTCCTCGAGTGGGAACGAATGGTAATCTGCATCTCCTTGGGCGAAACAGACACCGTACGTAGTCTCCGAAGACGCAATGAGTATCTTCTTGACTCCAAGTTTGCAGGCTGCTTCAATGACGTTGTATGTACTCCGGACATTTGCCTGGAAGAGCTCCGAATCAGGTACGAGCATGTTTCTCGCATAAGCTGGGACTTTGTCAACATCACTCAGCTGAACGTTCGTGCCAGATCACTCACCAGCAAAATGTATAACGACATCGGGAGCACTTGGGACTGGACCTTCGCTATATCCAGTCATATTAAAATGAGAAGTCAGTGCATTGAAGACTTGTCCCGAATCTGTCAGATCTGTCTTGAGAGTGTAGACATCAACTGATGGGTCCGGGAAAGGGACGAGATCCAAGTTCAGGACTTTGTGGCCTTTGCTGATGAGGTACGGGATGACATGACGACCTGCTTTGCCAGATCCGCCTGTAAAGACCTTAAGCACCAGTTAACATGACATTGATCAACCGTATGGGATGGGATAAGTTACGATTTTCTTCCCGCCAGCAGCTGTGGGCACAGTGTTGTTTGACATCCTCGGTAAATAAAGGGGTTGTTTGTTTACGTTTGGTCAATTGAATAAATTGACACTGAAATTTGTTCTTCTCCAAAGAGTAAGAAATCACCAAGAACTGTGTTTCTTATTTGAAATCAGGAGAGATCGCCGCTGTCAAACAAACGCCAGTGACATCTCTTACGTCAGTGATTCTATCGGGCAGGACCCCTGAAGAGCAAGGCGGTGAGTAATTTTGGGCTGACCTGAATTCTGCCGCTACAGTAGCTTGCTTCTTTTCACGTGTGGTTCATGAGCTTCTTCTATCACATCAAAAATGTATTCATTCTTCAGAATGTCGAGCGTTAATCTCTATTCTGTATGTTGCATAGCGGTGTCTTTTCAAACCCTTGCCTGTTCAAGCAAGCTCATTCGCCCACGATGGTCACACAGCATCAGCTGAGAACGGCCAGTGCCGAACCCCGCAGGGTGCAGGTTGACCAAATGTTAAACAGTACAGCAACAGAACGCCCACACTCTTCTTATTGTCTATGTCCTTGCTGACTATATGATTCTCGTTCATCATCGCTTTTGAACCATGGAACTGAATTTGATTACTCCCGTCCCCAAAGGCGCCGCATGGCAGCCAGGGGATGAAAGAATTCACAATCGACTCTGGAGAGTCACAGGACCTTACGATTCCAATTCCAAGGACCTCAAGTTTCATTGCGTCTCATATGTCTGGGGGCTGGGTGTCGAGAAGAAGGGAGCTTTCTTCAACTGCCAAAGAGACATATCGGATCAAACAAGACCGGTCCTTGAGGCTGTTATCCGAGCTGCCGAGGTGTTGCACCGCGATCTAGGAGGTGAGAAAATTGAAGGATTCTGGATCGATGCACTTTGTATTCCTCATTCAGAGGGGTCGCCAAGATTGAAGACACTTGAAAGCATGGGCTTCATATACAACGCAGCCATGTCAGTGATCATTGCCCTGAAACCTTCCGTCTGGAAAATTGTGCAGCATGCCTCAGCTACAGTCTCGCCAGAACCTTTGTCACTTTCAGACATGCAAGTTCTCGAGGAAGACGCCTGGATCTCTCGAGTCTGGACGTACCAAGAGCTTGTCAACAGTCGCGCAACGTACTTCACAACCCCAGTTTCTGCGGAGAATGCCAGCGTTCAAGTCGTAGTCGAAGCCACCCAATTCTTCAACTGCGTCGGACACTCACTCTCTTGCTACAAGCGAAACAATCACATCTCCGACAGCACTGCTGTGGCAATCTTCCCTAATCTGAACGTTCTCGAAGATACTCTGCTCGACAGCACCTTGAGCGGCTATCTCGAGCGTCCCGCTCTGGCAATATTGTCAAATATCTCGATGCGGACTTTCGACGTAAACTTTCCTCAGAACAGACTACTTGCTTGTATCGGAGCGCTGACGAAAGAAGCCAGTTGGGGTCCGCCATCTTCCAGCTTGGACGATTTAGCAGAGAGGATCATGGGAATCTGTGAGTCGAAAGGAGACTACTCTTTCATCTTTACCTCAGATCGACGGAGTGAAATGGGTGGTAAGGCTTGGCGGCCAAATATGGCAGCGGGTAAAGTTAGTGATGGTCCTACTCATCTTGTCCCTATCATCAACTGGTACATCCATAGTGATCCATTTGGTGAGACTCAACGGGCGCGGAAAGATGCAGATGGTTTCTGGCTACAGGATATGGTCCCTCTCAAGCTGGCACGGAGTATGTCTGCGGAAGCAGTAGTAGGGCTTGACAAATTGCTCTGGGGGTATACAGATCCAAAGGACCTCAAAATTCGTAGCAAAGGCATGTTTGGCCAGGAAGACAAGAAAGAGGAGGGCAATGCCGCTTTGGTGAGATTTCTAAAGCAGGTTGGTTTCGACGGCTGCTGCGAACCACTAGTTTGCGAAACCGGTTTGTTCTTTGCCCAGAATGACCTTGGGAACTTGGAAGATATTGAAATATTTGCCGCCACAAACATAGGGTACTATTTTGGTGCTCCCGGGTTGGCTCGGTGGAAAGAAGGTCCTGGACGGGATGCGAGATATTGCGCTGGTGTATTTGTGGGGCTTGTGAAGAAGGAGCTTTCTCAATCGCTGCTGATGATCTAGAATGGAAAGGCATCCTTCACTTCCTAGTATCTATCAAATTATCCTCTGTGCTATATCGTGTCTCTCTTTATCCCCTCAGCTGCCGAAAACACACTTTTCCAGGGCACGGCGCTGAAGCGAGGCGCTAAGGCTGCCTGGACGACAACGCAGTATTCAAATTTCAGCGTTCTTCGCTTAAATACAGGGTCTCGCTACAGGTGTGTTTGATGCGGCAGTTGAGGGGATAAGGTGTATGTGCCCAGAAGACCCCGGTCGAAGTGGTGAACATCCAGCCCAGCCTATCTTGGGACTTTGACGGCGCACCGAACACAATCTAACGGGGTAGAGGTTCTTCTTTGCCTACGGGACCGGTTCGAGCCTTCCCATACTTCTGACGTGTAGCGGAGGAGTAGTCGAGCCAGTTTTTAGACAGTGACCGGCGGAAGTGCCAAAAAGCTGGTCTCCCACAAGCCAGCTCAGATGTCAATTTCGCTTTTTATTTCTCGAACCACTTTCTGTATAAAAGAACATAATAATTGCTCTGAAGTTCCTTATTCAAATAAGAAATCTACACACTCGTAGTTCTCGAAGGCAATAACCCAAAAATGCGACACGTAAATACCGTAAATCGACGAACTCAGCCTGTGTACGACCCGCTGCCCGTACGGTATGCTAACACACCTCCACACATAGAATCAGCAAAATAGATTTTACTGACACCGGAACGCAGATACCCCAACCCCGCCACAGAGCGGCTATTCGAATTTTGGAGAAACAATAACCCTCGCAATGTGATGGTTCCTTACCCACTAGAGTACGAAGAGGAGGTTTATTATCAATGTGACCGATGGCAAAGTGTAAATTAGTAAGTGAAGCTGGCACTAACAGCCTTATCATGTATATGTATATGTATGCTTACCTCTTATAAAGCCCTTGTCTTGACTACGTACTTTCCATCAACTTTGGCCAACCCATAACAGATGAATTTGATCGATTCGTAATCCTCAATGGCATGGGTATCAAGGCAATGAAGTTAGCCACTAGTGTTCTTGGGTTCCTGGAATCAAGATTAGGAATTGAAAAGGAAGTCGCGTGGCAGCCGTGGGATGACGAGCAGAAGAAGTGTACTGGGTGTAGGACTTGCTCTAGGGCAGATCATGTAGCAGCTGTGGACAATGTGGTGCGTTCTTTGAAGCGCGTGTGGAGGACAATTTGGTGGGATATTATGTCGTCGTGATTTTGGAGAAAATGAAATGAATATCTAGAGAGCCTTTCTCTGCGAGGGGCTGACGATCATAAATAGCAACTCGTCGTCTATTGTGTTCAGGATATCTGCAAATTTGATCAAACACTGGTTTCCCGTACCTGCTAGAAATGATCACCGAGACTGAACTGTCACAAGATGAAGCATGCGTTCCCATATTCGCGCGTTGCCATAATCATAATCGGACAAGCTTTCTATATAATGGGACTGGTAATTCCATAACCCTCTAACATCCGTATCGCCACCGCCTCTCCGCTCAAATATGCACCCGTAGCTGTTCCGCACTATTTGCATGTCAGCACTGCAGGCAATCCCCCCAAATGATGGAATCGCTTCCCGGACTACTAGAAACATTGAGTGGAATGTTTAAGAGTGGTAACATACCTCATCGAATGGTGCACAATGCTCACCCGCAAACCACAATCTCCTTTCCGGGACACCCCTCCTCATCGCCTCCACATCACCACTCGCATCCTTCGCTCCCACCTGGAAATTACAATAGCTTCCAAAGCCACTCAACTCATCTTTCTGCCACTCCGTCGACAAAATAGCCTTGATCACACAATCGGGATTCGAAGCGGAGTAGTTTGGCAGCAGAGAGATGTACGGCATGAAGAAATCGGAGAGGAGAGCGTGATGTTCGGAGTCTGGGAGGCCGTGGACGAGGCTTGTGATGTAGGCTGAGCAAGGGCCGTAGAGGTAGGAGATAAGGGTCGGATGAGCATTAGGTGGTGTGAAAGAGGCAAGGTTCCAGCATTCGATTGGGAATCGTTCTGGGTTTGTTCTGAGTGAATAGGTGGGAGACAGCCAGTTCGTGTAACCTGGGAAAGTGTCGTTCACTTTCGCAAGTTCGGAAGGGGAAAGGGTAGGATCAGGTTCAGTGGTGGGTGGGTCAATCCAGAAGGCTGATGGGAAAGTGATGTAGACCTGTATTGTCAACTTATCTCATTCTTCGAGGGTTAAGAAGTTCGGCTTACCTTCTCCAAGTGCCCAACTGACACTCCATCAATACCTGTGAGAATTCTTTCCGGGAGACTGGGCTGGAACACATCTTTGTTTCGCTTCAACCAACCAAGAGGAGTTGTCATCAAAACTTCATCGAACGCTAGACGTTCTCCTTTCTCTGTATGGATAACAACATGACTCCCCTCAGCTTCTCTCTCCAGAGTTTTAACAGCTACAACCTTTTCTCCAAGGCGAACTTTGGCTTTATCCAGTGGCAGTCTTGCAATCTCCCCAAGAATTGCCTCCCATGTTGTCTCAACAAACATTTCGCCACCTGAGAATGATGAGCGATCATCTACTTTCAAGATCTCTGTAAACTTACTACCACCGCAACACTCTTCCATCCAAGAGAACTTCAAACTCTGTGTATGGACAGGATCACCAATATAAGCTCCCCACATTTCAGCCATTTGCATCAACAATTCCCTTTCCTCATTTCGATCTGAAAATCTTTCTCTGGCTTTCTTTTCAAGGTAGTCACGCAAGCTCTCTGTCTCTGAGATATCTTTGCAATTCTTGGCACTGTGAGCCATAGCGCTTTCAATATCCTCCCAGAGGATGGTAGAAAGTTCGTCGGTTTTTGCGGCTGGCAAGAGTTTTCCCGATGAAGAGTATATGTTTTGTTTGTCGTTCCAGCTGTGCAGTGGAGTGTTGGTTTTCCTTGCGAGATCAAGGATCGGAAAGCGGCCTTCTGCGTCGGACTGTTTTTACATTAGAACATCACTCTAATACTCGGGGAACAAAACTTGCTGAGTGTATCCAGTTTGGCCCACTCGTGAAGATATTAGCTTCTCTCGATAAAGGAGTTTGTTGAGGACCTACATGTCTACTCTGTAACCAAGCTTGTCACTTTGACATACCTAATACATGATATTCAGCCTCAATTTGAAGATTGACTGTCAATAGAGGCATACTCTCCCACCAATTCTATCTCTTGCTTCTAAAATAGTTACTTGACATCCGTTCTGGAGCAAGACCTCTGCACATCTCAACCCAGACACCCCAGCGCCGACAACACAGATGTGCGGCTCTAAAGGTGACATTGTAGCTCAACTAATCATATCAGGTTCACAAAGGTTCTTTATGAACTGCTTTATATCCAGATAGCAACAGAAACAGATCGAGAGGAAAATGCTCTTGGTCTTAAATGCAGCCGGATATCACTCTCGGGGTTCTGATAGAACAGAGCAGAGAACGAAAGCAAAAACTCAAAATCAAGGTGAGAGTACCCAGCAGCGCTTCGAGAGAAAGCCAAGTGTATCTTGCCTCCAAGACTTCAACAGATTGCCGGAAAAGAGAAGAAAATAGTGGGTCAAGTTGTCAATGGAGCCGTCTTCCCGATCCGGCAGGTCTATGCGGACCAGTTGCATTCAAGTGTAGATTTTTGGACCTTTCAGCTGCCATCTTAGGTAGAGTAAGCGTCTCGAAACTCGTGAGGTGGGAACTTTTGTACCCATGGATAAGTTACTGTAAGCTCGATGGGTCACTCTGGAATATTGCAGTGCAAGGTCTAGGAAATAGCAAGTCTTCCAAGATCCAGATGCCTAACTCTAGGTTGTGGCAATGATGTGACAAAACTGCCTCGGAGGCAATAGAGATGGATGTTAATATCCCGAATGCCTGAGAAAGTGAAAGCAGTGGTGGACAACGAAATACTGATCACAGACTGTGATCAAGAAGTCCCTACATAATGCCAAGACATGGACGGCGGGGTTGAAATTTACCCCACTATGAGGCACATCACGCCCTCCTCTTGATGACTTGACGATAAGATTGATCCATAACTCCGTACACTACACTGAGGAATCTATGTAATATTGATACTGCCCTCAAAATCTCATCACAGAATTTCCCAGCATCCAGTCGCAATGCCAGCTTCCAAAGAAGAAATCATAATCCGGCACGCACGCCGTGAAGGTCAGTTCCCCGTCGCCGTCGCGAGGACATGGTGAAGAGAAGTTCAAGAGCAATTGCTGACATTGAAACATATAGATGTTCCAACAATCCTTCAGCTCATCCAGGAACTAGCCGACTACGAGAAAGAGCCCAATGCAGTAGAAGCCACACCCGAACTTCTCGCCTCAACAATAGCATTCGCACCTTCTCCCTCTTCTTCCACCGGTACGTCTGCACCCGTTGACGAAATCGAAACCGAAAGCATCTCCTCCTCCCGTCCCGCCCGCTGTCTCCTCCTCTTCACACCCAGCGGCGAAGCCGCCGGAATGGCTCTCTACTTCTACAACTACAGCACTTGGAAGGCACGACCGGGGATCTACCTTGAGGATCTGTTCGTCAGGGAGAGGCATAGAGGAAAGGGGTTTGGTCAAAAACTGATCAAGGAGTTGGCGAAGGAAGTAGTAGACATGAAGGGTGGACGCTTAGAATGGTGTGTGCTGAAGTGGAATACACCTAGCATTGGATTTTATGAGAGCGATAGGATTGGTGCGAGAGCAATGAGCGAATGGCAGACCATGAGGGTCGATGGGGAGGGTTTAAAAAGATTAGCTGAGGGGGCAGACTGAGTAATTGAATATCGTGCTACGGTATGAAAGTGGGAATTGGCTGGATGTATAGTACAAAAGTCTACATGATATATACATAGATCATTCATTCTCTTCGGATATTGATCTCTATTTGCTAAGCGAAATGCCCAGATGCTTCTTCTTTCAAAGTACGCTTTACGTCTCTGTTCCGCAATTTGTCCTTCCCAGCTTGACTGAGACTCTGCGGTAGTGTGTCGAGCCCTTCGAATAATTCCTCTTCAGCACGGGTAGGCTTCGCAACAACTCCTTCTAAGGCGCGCGATTTCTGCCCACCCCAGATGATCTCCCACTTCCTGTTGACATCGTCATATGTCATTGTCGGTGTCAAGCTCCAGATAGATGCATAAAGCCTACGAAGTGATCGATTGCGGATCTCGATCTTTTCAACTTCAGAATGTTCGATTGGAGGATTCAGCTCATCCAGCTGTGCCAACCTATTTGCTTCTCTTCCAATTTCCACCTGCTTTCGTTTCTCCTTCCTAGCACGAAGTTCCGCTTTTTTCGCCTTCGAAGCTTCTAAACCATCATCCATGATTATTTGTACTCCATTTTCAGTCTGAAATTCATAGGACTTGGACGTTTTGGGTCTTGCGGGCGCTTGGAAATACTGCAGTAGTTCCTTATTTTTCTCGTCTGCCGAAAGTTCCTCCGTATCTATTGATATGGGTTTCCGTCGGACTGGCTGTGCTTCCAAAGGGGCAGCACCTGTCGCAAGATCCCGCAGCCTCTCCCATTCGATTCGAGGTATCGGGGGCAGTATCTTGTCGAGGGTAGCTATCCACCATTTCCTTTGAATAGACTTCTTTGACTTCGCTGGCAATGGTCGACCCCATATATTCTCCTTTGGTATCTTTGGTTTCAATTGCCGTAGCTTTCCTTTGTGCGCTTCCACCGGTTGATTTTCTTGCTGGGTCTTGATGAAATGGTACAACTTCTGGCTCGGCATGCCTTCTGGCTTGCTTGTTTCCTTTGGTCTGTTGATCAGATCCTGGAGCGCTGATGCATCTTTCGGGAGAGTATCCTCGTCAGGTTGGAGGAGTTGGTTCAGAAGAATTCGTTTTCTCTCGCCCTCGCGACCATGTACAGCCAGTAAGATCTTCTTCAACGCATCCATATCCCCATTGCCAGCATTCTCTAACACCTTCCTCGATCGTTTTGCCTTCTGCAGACGCTGCTTTGTAAAATCACTTGTTGGATCTCCCTTGAGAGCGAGTTTTGATGATTTTGCGCGAGAAGTCCGGAATCGACTTTTGATGCGTTCGTATGTATACCTTCTGGCAAATGAGTCTGGAAGGTATCCTGCTGCTCGTAGAAGAGCTCTGTAAGTCGAGATAATAATGTCTTCTGAAGCGTCGAGCCGGCGTTCTGGCGGAACCCATGGCCGCGCAATTGATGACCATCTTTGAAAACGTTGTGATCTGTGCATTGGAAGTGCTGTGAATGGGAACTCAGGTTGAGCTGGTAACCACAGACCAAGCTAGAAATGAAGCTTATTGGAGGCGGTTGATGCCGCGAATCCGAGGCTTCAAGACTCGTCAAGCTTGATGAAACAACTGGATGTAAACAGTGAAGGACCAATGAAAGCGAGAGGAAAACCAAGGAATTGTCACTCGGGACTAAATGGCCCACTGCAAGTCAGATATGCTGCAAACCAGTGACATCCCATTGTTTTGTGAATAGCATTATTTATTCACGGCCGGGTGCATGTGCGTGCGTGCATCCATCACTTTGTGAAGGGTCGAGGCGGACGCGAGGGTGCGCGTAGCCCCGACGCTACGATTGGCTGCTTCCCACTCCGACCCCTCGAAAACCACTTTAAACCATTCTCCCCAACGCGTGCCAGAACACGTCCACGTCGAGAAGAGACGAGCGCGTTCCCCTGGACAGGTATCGCATCACATCGCATACCATTTCCAGATCCACAGCTCGACGGCGACATTGTCAGAGTTGCGCATTCACGGATCCTCTTCTGTTCTTGGATGCCGAGCGTGACGCGACTTCACTAAAGCCAAAGCCAAAGCCATCTTCTCCCTCACCCACAACCATTCTCCGAATTAACCATATGGCCGCTGCGACAGTCACCACAAACCCTCAACCGCTTGCGACCACGTCCGAATCTCGCCAAAATCATCTTAACAGAACATCGTTCACTACTGCTGGCGGCGCATACGACGAGGACTCGGTGCTGACTCGACCTACTTCACACATGTCGTTCAGTATGAGCCAGGGCTCTCAGGGGAGTGGGCTCATGATGCAGCCCGGAGGAAGTTTTCGACAGTATGAAAGTAGCAATGGGATCAACCGAAGGAATTCTGCACCGCAGATATACTCGGTGAGGATACATGTCTCTTCGGAAGATTCCCACTAATTTGCATAGGCCATATATTCAGGGGTAGATGTGTACGAAATGGAAGTCAATGGCATCGCAGTGATGCGTCGTCGCAAAGACAGCTGGTTGAATGCAACGCAGATATTGAAGGTGGCCGGTATTGAGAAGGGAAAGCGCACAAAGGTTCTAGAGAAAGAGATCCTGATAGGAGAACATGAGAAGGTCCAGGGCGGGTATGGCAAATATCAAGGAACATGGATCAAATTTGAGCGAGGTCTGGAGTTTTGCAGACAATATGGCGTAGAAGAGCTACTTCGTCCGCTGTTGACATATGATATGGGCCAAGATGGAGGAATCGCGGGACGCGGTGGGATTGACACTCCTACCAAAGAGCAAGCAATGGCCGCCCAGCGGAAAAGGCTGTACAATTCAGGTGTTGAAAGCCGGGAGCGTGGGCAGTCAGGAACGTTCTTCAAGAACATCTCGAGTACTGCTTCGCATGCAGTTGCAGCAATCAGTAAAGCCCGCTTCGATTCTCCAGTACCGCGAATAAGAAACGGCAACTCTGCCAGTCGCCCAGCAAGCTTTAGTAGACAGTCTTCACAACAACATCTTGGGTCTCAAGAGAACGCATACCCAGGTGGATCACAGCAAAGCATGCAAAGCTTTGCTTCAGCTGACAGCTTCGCCATGAGTGGACAGCCAGATTCCGCGTACGCAACGCAGTTCTCACATCCTGGTCGCGATGATTTACGTCACGGAGACTTTGAAGAGCCACCTAGAAAGAGAATTCGGCATTCGCCAAGTATGAACGGTCAATACCTGGATGATAACTGCCTCAACATGTCGATGCGGGAGGTTTCACCAACTGAGCCTAACGAGTCTTTTGTTTACCACAACCAGCACATGCATGCCGAAGGTGGCAACTTCCCACTTGCGCCTCTTCCAATGCCTTCCAATCTCCAGGGCAGTGCAAAGAAAGACCTCCTGATGTCTCTGTTCACTACTCAGGAAGACTTCACTAATCATAAAGCATTCCAGATATTGAGTGCTGAGGACCTTGATACACCCATCGATGCCAGCTGCAACACAGCGTTGATCTGGGCTGCTACGCTTGCTCGAGTCGGTCTCCTCAAGGCATTGATTTCACATGGTGCTAGCATATTCAGGGTGAATTCGTTAGGTGAAACGGCCTTGATGCGATCATCTTTGGTTACCAACAATCTTGAAGCGGGCAGCTTCGCAGATATACTGGAACTTCTCGGGCCAAGTATTGAGATCCGAGACTCGCGAGGTCGAACTGTACTTCATCATATTGCGGTCACTTCAGCTGTCAAGGGAAGAAGTCAGGCGAGCAAGTATCACCTAGAAACTCTCCTCGAGTTTGTTGTTCGACAAGGAAGTGCGCCAAATAGTCAACAATCCTTCTCCAACGCTCCCCCACCGCTGAAGACTCTTGGGATCGGCCGCTTCATGTCCGAAGTTGTCAACATTCAAGATAGGTCCGGTGACACAGCATTGAATATTGCGTCCAGAATCGGCAACCGAAGTATCATTTCTCAGCTAATTGAGGTCGGTGCGGACGCATCCATTGCCAATCGGTCAAATTTGAGCCCCATGGATTTCGGTGTTGGTGACCCATCTGAATTTGAACGCCGTCCAGGTGAGGAGCGTGTCCAAAACAAGTCGATGAGCAATGAGAGGAAGGAGAGCAGTAGTGAGATCATAAATTGTGAGTACTGTTTTGGCGTGAATATTCACTAAGCTAACTTTCGCAGCCATCACGACACTTCTGAATCAAACAGAGAGCGAGTTCAGCAAGGAGATTGATAAAAAGCAGGCCGTCATCGATGATCTACATGCTCAACTTCGGGATGCATCGGGAGAGCTGGGCGATCAACGAAGACGGGTCGAGGTTCTTCAGACAGAGGCCAAGGAGCGAGACGCTCGCAAAACCAAGACTGCCAACCTTCGGAGAGCATACGATGAGGAGCGAGCACGATTGTCACAAATGCAATTGCAGTTCGGTCAGATGAATGGTGAGGCCGAGATGCAATTAGGAGATGCAGATAAAGGTCTCACTATCAGCGACCAAGCGTCCTCCATTCTCGCCAGAATCAGCGTCAGCCCTCACCAGCCTTTGGTGATTGATCGAGCAGACCGGCAAGCCCTCTCGTCTTCACTTCCACCTGCCCACGTCCTTCGAGCTCGACTCAATGCCTACAGAGCAATTAATCAAGAACTGGACGGAAATGTCCGAGATCTTCAAAGCAAGAGTTCCGAACTTGCGAGAAAGTACCGCCAGATAATAAGCTTGTGTACCAGCACGCCTGAATCAAATGTCGACAATGTCATAGACAACCTGACAAGAGCGGTTGAGAGCGAGCACCACGATGTCGAGCTGACGAGAGTAAGGGAGTTCTTACAGAGGGTAGAAGGTGTCTAGATGCTGCAGGGACAAGAATGACGATGATCTGCATTGTGAGGCGCAAGGGGCGTTGAACATATGGGTACCCAAGGAGGGCATTTTGTGGTGTATATTCTACGGTTTTCGGGCATTCGGTGCATTGGTTTACGGTTTATGTATGTTAAAGCGGTTTGGGTACACTTTCGCCCTGTGAGCAGTATCTTACGTTGGCTGAATGGCAACAATAAGAAATTATCACACGATGAACGGTTCGAGAAGATGTGACGCCCCATGTATAGATGTATAGAGGCGAGCAGTGCAGTTGCCTGCAGAATGATTGAGCTGGCCGTGGTAGACCAACCCCTCAAGTGAGGCTTGTTTGCCCTTGTTGTTCCGCACTTTCTTCCCGGTCACCATGGATACACTCGCAGCGTTCAGAGCCTATCAAGCCACAGTCTACATCCACGACACCAGGCACACACTCAGGGAGAGACATAGTATCCAACAGTTCCTACTCAATATTCTACCTAAATGTCATATGGGGTAACAAGAGAGAGTGAAACCAAATCCCCAATCGTCACTGCTCCTTACCTGAGCCCCCCTTCTTCACCCCTTGCTGCCCCCTTTCATCCTCCTCGCTTCAAGAGTACTGAGCTTGATGTCCGCCCGGTAATTCTTTGAGCCCTACGTTACGAACCATTGGTTAGCCATCCCGGCATATCAACACGTACGACCTCAATTGAGGAGTAGGATTAAGACGGGGACTTACATCCATCAACCGGCTCATCAACCACCGACTTCTGCGTGCACTTATTCATCGCCGCGTTGTTCTGAGTTTTTGGATTCGCCTTTGGGCAATTGACCACACATGGCGTATCCATTAATCTCTGAAGCGAATCGCCTTTCCATCCAAACACGTAATCAGCGTGGTTGGCGTAACCTGTTGCGTCGCCGAAGCTCCAGGTGAAGGGCTGGCTGCCGTCGGCGGGCCAGTCAGCTTTGTTGTTGAATTTCGATGTGTCCCAGACGACTTCGAAGAGCACTTGGGGCATTCGGACTGGGTGAGAAGCTGGGCAGGGACCTTGAGATTCAAATGTTCCGGACTCAGGGTAGGACATGTGTGACTGTTTTAAGAGTCAGCACCCGGAGAGATTCAGAGGTGCTTGTTGACAGGTATGTTACCTACCATGTGATCTGGACTGTCGAGATTGACACCATCCCAGCATGTAGGGAATCGTTGGTTCACCATGATGCCATAAGCACATGGCTTTGATGGGAACTCGAGCGTTTCGGGTTCGCGGGTGCCAGTGTTGGCCATACAAGTGTATGTTAGCTGGCGGAAGTTTTCCACGGCTTTCTTAGTGCGGGCATTGACGTCGCCGATGAACATGCGGAATCCCTGGCTGCATGTCAGTCTTCTCCGAGATATGGTTGAGTCTGTTGAGAGAGGAGAGTTGTTAGGGAGCGACCTACTGGCTTGAAAGCGGTCACTTTGGACTTCTGCTCTTGGTCATAAAGTGCATCTTGCATGTAGTAAACAGTGATTCCCGCAGTAGCACCACTGATCTGGGAAATCTGAGGGACACGCTTATAAGTGCCATTTCTTGCACGGAAATACAAGACTGCTGTCCAGTAGTTGGAGAAATCCTCGGAGAAGCTGCAAGTTGTGCATGTTGACTCGCCAGGCATGTCCTTGCTTGGAGCCATGGAGGCGTTAAAGGAGTTCTGCGCCTGTCAGCTTGGCATATCTCGAGCATGATGATTTCATCGGGATAGGAGCTTGGTACGTACTCCGCCAACGATCTGATGAAGATGAGGAGATGGTATGGACCCAGGAGCAACAAGCGGGTCAAGTCTTTCAACGACTAATTGCGAGCATTGGAAGCGAAGGAGGGCATTACTCAAATGAGTCACTGCCGCGAGAGCAAGAAATGTAAACCACTTCATCCTGGCGTTCAAGTCTCCGTTCTCCTTTGTCAAAATCTTGATTCGTCGCAGTCGACTATGTCAATAGAAACGATGGAATCGCAAGTGGCAAGAGGAAATGATACTGGCAGTCTTAGATGTAATTGATTTTATCGGGGAGGAAGTGCATGGCCTTTTAATCGTCGAGGATGGAATTTGAATGATGGGCTCCTGGCCCGAGAGGTGCGATGGGGGAAGGATGTGAGGTCTCGGCTGATGTATAAACATGAACAGTGACCAGGGTTTGTCTAATATAATGTTTGCGAATATACCATAGTGTGGCAGATGAGCTGCCGGTTTCATTATTGGCATGTCTTTTCCTCTCTCAGGATGCACCGATATATTTTGCGGCAGTACGGGTATCACAATTTCGGCTCCCATGGCAGCTGTCTGGTTGGTAAACGTCTGAGATCGTCACTTCTGGGATCGAGAAATAAGCCGACTCTTTGACTTTGGCAGTCTATTGAATTTAACGGGTGTCAAGAAATGTAAAACTACGCCGATGGAGAGTAAATACTTCGAGTACAAGCTTCTGTCCAACAAATGCCGACGCAAGTTCAGACTCAGATATTGGTACCAGCACAAGTCAATTAGCGAGGACCGCGGGAACAAATGGGGAACGTACAATACCAATTGCCGACAACACTTATAAACCCATTAATGAACAATAGCACTGTGGGGTAGCATTGGGTAAATGTGGCTAAACAGCTGATAAGGCTCTCGCGGTACTTGTGTACCCTTGAATGTCAACCCAAATAAGCGAGCTTTTGTGTACTTCTAGTCAAAGCAGAGTCTAGCTTCTCGGCTTATCCAGATTTTATTGCAGGATTTGAACCGTCGGCTATATCTATCTAATACCAAGTCATGTGGCCATCCGAATTCAGACATGGGATGGCAGTTGCTTGTGCGCTAGGCGGAGGAATACGCTGTGCTATTGAGAAACGAACGCCATAAGACTGCAGGCATCCCATGTGCGTTCGGGGAACCTCCTCCCACCAAAATTCCAATCCATCCATCTCAACGCAGAGTTTCACTTCAACTTGTAACTCTTCACGTATATCCACGGATCCATCATGCGCATTCCATTGTCGCTCACGCTTTTCACGCTTGTCACATCCTCCACTTTTGCAGCCGTCTGCGAAGTCAAAAGCGATAATTGTAGAGCTGTTATCAATGCCAGCGCGTGCTTCAACAAGGTGAGTAGTTTGTCTGTCAATACATCACCCCAATTCACTTTTAAGGGAGTTCTCCACTCCTCAATGTTGGCCAAGATGCTCTCACATAAGCAGCTGCTGATCTTCCGACCATCGCAGTACATGACTGGAACGAATGTCAACAATATCTTAAGCTGTCTCACAGGAACTGAGGGGACCGCGACGAACAAGGAGAAGGTAGGCGTAGGAAATGAGTGAGGGGATGTATGAAGTGCTGGTACTGACTTAATGGGCTAGATGTGTTCTTGTACAGGATGTGTGGCGCCTGTCATGGTGAACTTCTTGACCAAGAATAAAGTGTGTTAAGACTCATGTTGGAATGAGAAGAGGGTGGAGTATTGAGCAGAGTTTAGCAGGGGAACGTCGATGAGAGAGGATAAGTGAAGCATTGAGCGAATTTTCCGGACCCGGTGTGATAATTTAATTCAAGTATCATAGATTACAAGTGCTTTTGCTTACATTCAAAGTCATGATCAATAGTGAGTCTTGGGTCGAACAAATTTGAACAAGGTGTGGCGACTTGGGAATCATTGGCCCTAGTTTCACTTGATTCTTCACCATTTTTCGTTCTTTTCCAGCTTTCAATTAGCTATATATGAAACAATTGCGTCGATCTTGACCTCAACAACTTCTATTTTTCACGCAAACGCTTCGAGTTTAAAAATGCCGCTCGCAGACCTTCCAATCTCTCAAGCAGCAGAGCCCCTACCGAAACTGCCAACCTTGAAAGTATGTATCGTTGGAGCTGGAATTTCTGGACTTTATACAGCCATGCTTCTTAGATTTCTCAAAATTCCTGGACTTGAATATGAAATACTCGAGTCTTCAAACCGTGTTGGGGGTCGCATTTATACCTATCACTTCACCAAAGAGAAGCATCAGTATTACGACGTCGGAGCTATGCGATATCCGAGAATTCAACTTATGAAGCCGTATGCTAGATTTAACGACTCAAATCCTCAACCTCAGAGTTTGCTGATGCTCAATCCAGACTTTTCGATCTTTTCCACCGAATCGGAGTGGAAGACCGCCTGATAAAATAGTACGTCGCTATGTCCCAGCTAGACTGAGCCAGTATATGATGCTTTGCATCCCATACGCCTACGTTCATCAGTGAGTTTTAGGATCAAGTGACTTACTTTGGCACAGTTACCATGATGGTATAGACAGCGCTAAGAACACGCCAGAGCTCTACAACAACATCCTTCATGTCACCAATAGTAGCAAATCACATCGGATCAAAGCTGATTCATCTTTTGCCGATAAATTTCAGAATGCTGATATTTACAACGTCGGTAGTGCTACTGGTGGAACAGTGCCAGAGCAGAATGTCATCAAAGGTGCAACAAATATCATGGATGAGATTTATGGTCCATTCAGGGATACCCTTGATGCGGGTTTCGGAGAGGGTTGGAATAAGTTGATGAACGAAGATTTCCTTTCTGCACGTCAAGTTCTTCGTCGAAGCTCGTTGGTGATCATCACTCATCTTGATGCTGCTAATTTCTGCCAGTCAATACGGAGACAACGATACTATCCAATGGCTTGACACCATGATGTGGTGAGTTTCTCCTATTGCTCACCACACTCTAGCTAAATGTCCCGGAGTGCTTCTAACACCTTAGATCAAGGCTTTAGTGATAACTTGATGGACAACTACATCTCTTCTGTCCCGGACATTGTGGCTGATGGTGATCGCTGGGTCTGCATCGAAGGCGGTTCGGAAGTTATCATCCAAGCCATGGAGGCTCATCTGAATGTCAAACCACAGCTCAAGACACGAGTCACGACAATCTCGATCGATCATACAACGGACGCGTCGAATCTTGGTATGCTTGTCCAAGTCGCAAGGGAAGACAACCCGCGCCGATATTCCACAGTTTTCAACACCACCACCCTTGCTTGCGCTCAACGCATGGATCTGCGCGGTGCTGACCTTTCTTTCGCTCAAAATGAAGCTATTCGCTCTCTAAAATACGATACTTCGTGTAAGATTGCAATTCGATTCAAGACAAACTGGTGGAAGAAGGCAGGAATTGTTGGCGGCGAGGCACCTACGGACCTTCCGATTCGGCTATGTGTTTATCCTTCATACAACATCTATGATGATCCTAATCAGCCTGCTGTCATGCTCTGCTCATATACCTGGTCTCAGGATGCTCCGAGAATGGGGTCACTTATTGGGGAAGGGGGAGAAGGGAAAAGTAACGAACTTTTGGATCTGTGCATAAACAACCTTGCTCAACTTCATGCAAATATCATCACAGAATCCGAAATACGAGATCAGTTCCTGGAATAACATGCATATGATTGGGGCGCTGACCCAAACATGTCAGGTGGCGTTGCGATGTTTGCTCCTGGACAGTTTCAACGCATGATCCAACATCTCAGTCGTCCTTGTGCGAACGGAAATCTACATTTTATTGGCGAAGGTATGCGCTCCATTCCTTAGAAAATAGAACACCATCTGATATTCTGACTCTCTCGTGTAGCTACTAGCACTACTCATGCATGGGTGCTAGGAGCTCTGAACTCAGCGTGGAGGGGAGTTTACCAATTCCTGCAAAAGCAAGAAAGTGAAGGAGAGGAATACCAAGAGTTCTGGCAAAGGAAAATGGAGGCCTTAATTCTGGAATTTGGCGAGCCTGATGAGCTTGAAGTCTTGACGCCACGAGGCGAACTAATGTCTTGACTGAGGGATAATTAGTGTTGTAGCTCGTCCTGGATCTTATTGGAGGTCATATGCGAAGAGATTCTAAATATAGAATATATTGAAATGAGCACAGTGGAAACAATTTCTTGCATCACTTATGTATTCTGGAGGAATATCGAGTGAGGCTAGCTTGTCTTTTACTGCAATGGCGGGGTTATAATGGCGAATCGCACCATATGACTTAGTGAAATGTGGCACCCCATAAAGTACAGTGTCGATTTTAATAAAAATTATGGTAGATTTATCTTCAATTTAAAAGAGTGCTTTATCAATTACACCACTGAGAATGCGACCTACTCGTCGACACACGCCTCCAACATGCTGCCCTACGCTCTGATCATATTTACTGTTGGCCGTTAAGTCGCAACTGGGCTTGCAAATATCTTCCAGGCAGACTTTCTCTCGATGGTATACGCAACTATTGCGATTGCGATGAACGGGGTTATCTGTGCTCTCGAAGGCGATGCTTGAGCTGGTATCTTGATCGCTTCCTTGAGGCCTGAATATATCCTACTCTCTTCACCCCCGATACTGACAACCTTGGACCCACATTCGTCGTGGTGCTGATATCCTGGTGAGGGTATCTCTGGAGGTACAGGTAAGTTTAATTCCCTTGAAGCTTTGTCTATATCAATTTAATATCTAACTAGTCTTCCCACCGAGTCAAGGAGCAATCGCCGACGCTCTGAACACTCGTATCTCCTACCTTACGCCTTTTGTCGAACTCGTCACCGTCCTAGGTTATGTTGTTGCTCATTGACAGCGAACTGGCAAGCACATCACGCACGTCAAGAACGTTGCAGAAGCTGCCACTGCACCAGCGATCGCTGGTGGCAGTTTCACTGAGATCTACTACAATGGGGAGATTAACCACAGAATTGAGTAGATAGAGCTTTCACGATCCTCCTATTGGGAGTAATCGCCACAAAGTGACCATTACGAATACTAAGGTATCGAGAAGGAGTTGAGGACTTATACATACTCCAGTGAGGGATTGGTTCCGTTTCCTTTATTAATCTCCTATGATAGAGGTCAATGGTAAATAGAGATATGGGATTACAGGATAACATGAATATATATACATAGATTAAGGAAAGACTTTGCGGCTTGCCTTTTCCACTTTTCCTGCTCAGATTCGCTTGGCAGTCCGATAATAAACAACCCTTTTTAAGCGAGTAGTCGATCACATGACCTTATCCCTCAGGTTGCGGAAGTGCATCGATGCTCACCTGTGCACGGCTAATTCACACGTTTATGCTGTCATCGGTTGAGAAAGCGATCTCGTCACAAATCATACTTTGACTGGCCCTATTATATAGAGGAAGCGAAGTTTCAAGTGCCAAGATATTGTGATGTTATGGGAAGTACCTAGGTATAAATTGAAGCTATTCGGTATCATTTACGACAAATGCGGTCATGCGCTGAGATTCACAACACTATTATCCCGCATTTGTGCAGCTCACTTGTGTTTCACACTTTTTTTGATGTTATATCCTTATTTTTGGAACTTGGATGTGATGTTACTTACCATGGAACTTCTCACTGCCAACTCTGATCTTCTCTTCCTCCTCAGTCTGCATCTTACCTCCTCCTTAATTCTAACTTCGTACCTTTCCTTGGCCTCCAGCTGGGCCGATTCCGGATTCGTCCAGAGCTCCGGGCGGTTTTCGAAGCCCCTCCCATGTAGTGGATGACCATAAATGCTAACACCATCGGGAGTAGTCCACTGACAAGCTCTCTCTTCCCTGTGTGTTTGCACTGGGTTTTGAAAAGTACGTTAGTCGTAGACATTTTTGTAGGTGCTCCTCCAACGTGATGCTATCACAGAGGGAAAACGTTGGAATCCATGCCTGTGAAGGAAGCACCTGGTTTAACGATCGATAAGTTGATGGTAGCGGGGTTGGAGAAGGAGAAAAAGACCGCGTGTATTGCCTGCGGTAGCTTTGGAAGCGGATTGACCTTGTATGGTACCACCTCTAGAAGTCAAATATCATTTTTTATGTCGTGAGAGACTTATTGATATTTGGGGAGCTTGGGCACGAAGTTAGACAGCAACACCTAAAAAAGTGAAAATACTCGAGGAAGGTGAAGAATTCTGGCTTAGCCAACGACTAACTCCCTTGTTTGGAATTTCGTTGAAACTCAGGCACCGAGTATCTACTGAGGTCGGTGGCCCAACGTTTGTTCAGCCAAATAAACAATTTCCAGTTCTTTGTATGTTGCCAGCCTGTTGTATAATTACTCATAATATCAGCAAATGACTGGAAGATATCGCCAAACGGAAGCTGGGAATGTCTGTGTGGGAAGCAATGTCATGGCAAGACTTGGTGCCAACAGTTCTCTTCCCACCAAGGAAAGGACATGATGCGGCCGTCTGAACACTGCTGAATAGGGAAGCAACGAGCAGGACGAGCTCCAGGTCAAAGCTGACGTCAAGTTCCACCTTTTCGCACTCGAATATCGCACTCTCCAGGATTATGTGACAGCTTTCAGGTTCCTTCAGTTATCTTTTCATAAGCTCTTGCTCCCCAGTGCATGTTTCTCGACCAGCACGGCGATCGTACCGCGACGACCATACAGCGACTGCTCCCTGATACTTGCCAATTTCTCAGCTTGCGAATTAATATAATCCCGAGCCTTCCTCCACCGTAGCTAAAAAGGTCGATATTTGCTGTAGTTTAGGCTACGGACATTCACTGCTTTGGGAAAGAACAAAAGTAGATACAGAGTAATGGGATTTTTGTGACGTTCGGTTTCAATTCGCTCCTTTCACAAGACGCTAATCCGATACCATGGCACCGCCGGACCAGCTTTCAGAACGAGGTAGGTCATTATGACCTATCCACTAATATCGCGCTCACAATTAGTCCAGATCGCAACAAAAAAAATAAAAGAACAGGACACTGATACCAGGAGACTCTTTGCCACTCCTCCAATAAACTATGTGACCATGGCCTGTACGCTGCAACAATCTACACAACAACCACGTTCTTGGTTGGTGGACACCCAACAAGCTGATCTAGACAAAGACAGGTTAGCAGTGATGGCAGAACGGAAGCTGCGTGATCTTCGTGGGCCAGACAGCATCAGCTTACTTCAGCGAGTTCTGCTAGAAGAAGCTACTGATGTTACAATATTGGCTCTCGATTTTGGATAGATTGCACATCAAGGGAACAAGGTCACCCAAACAGGCATCTGCACCTTGTCTACGAGCAAGTGGCGAGAACTTTCTCCTCATGTGAATGCAAGCATCATTCATTCACGATGTGTCAGAACACCCATCAAGTCTCTCATCAAGTCCAACTTTCTGTTTGGGGAGTCGGAAATCATCTATCGCCGGAATCTCGTAGACTTCCTTCGGGACGGGCTAGCAAACAAAGCATCAGACAGCAAACCTCAAAAGGTGGTCTTAGTGGGCTGCGCAATTCTCAACGAATTGCGGATTCTCAAGGATCTTGGGATCGACTTGCGAGATAAGGGTTTATTTGCAATTGAAGGGATACTTGACCTCAACACGATCACCCAGACACTTGACTTGCCCTTCAAAACTCGACCATCTCTTATGCGAATCTTGCAGCAAATCAACATCCCATTTCGAGAGGAGTGCTTACACGACGCTGGCAACGATGCCCATTTCACACTCAGAGCACTGCTCATGCTTGCTGCCATCGTCTTCGAGCAAAGAGAGGCGGATGGCATCACCCAACAAAGAATCGATGGTCTAAAGGCTATTGCACTGGATCCAATTGACTTCAGCTTGACTACACCAGACGAATTAAAGCGGTTGAAGCGAGACAAGGATGCCAAAAGAGCTGCTGACTGTCGAGCCCGTCCTCAGACCAAGAGAGCCAGCGACTGTCTGGCAGATGAGGGCGTGGATGTATGCCTGGGCACGATACTTCTTAATATGGAAGATGAGACATGAGTGCCAGGTAGGGATATTGGTCTAGAATTGCTTGCAATATCAAGAGATGTAGGCGGTCTTATGAGGAGATAGAAGAACAAGAGAATCTCAAGGCTTGCACACAATGATATACAGAAAGGCTTACAGGGAGGGATACTTGCGAAAGAAAGATCCATGATGGGACCAACAGGTTGTAATTTTGCCATTTCAGGCGAGCCCTACTTAGGATCCGACTATTCTACACAATTTTGTTGGGCGAAGAGGAAACTTAGAAACAATAGGCGGGGGATGAATCTCAACTCTGGGAGCTCTACATAGCTACTTAACTTCGTAAAGAAGGAGGATTATATGTAATGCAAGGATTTGATGGATCACTATCTGTACATGAGACGTGAAGTGTTGCTAGGACACGGCACTATGTACAACATGATTTCGAGCTTCCCAATTGTACATATCTAGGTAACTATCTCTCATTTTGTTCGGCCTTCTTTAAGAGACGGTTCTGGCAATGAATCTACCAAGATGTTCTGAGCGTGGAAAAGCCCCTCAAAGGATACGTTCTGCAATTTCCTAAATGCATTTTGTGAGGTACCAGTGATAGAGCTAAGGTAGACAAAGAGGACGAAAAGTAAAAGGCGCTCGCTAGAGAGAGACCTTCCAATTCACTTGGCGGAGTGAACTGGAATACCACAAGAGCGGCATTCACGTGGCATGCTGCAGGGGTACTGTAGGTAACGCATGAGAATAAAGCCTAGCGGCCGTATCCGATTGAGCATCGACAAAATTCCAAACGAACATTAAATACTTCTTTCCTGCTTGACGAGCGCAATAATCTCGAGGTACTTCACGCTTTGGCACTATCATCGATTGTAAGTCACATATATCGAAGCATATGCGCCTCCCTCGCCAGCTGCTAATCCTCCCCAGGACAGAAAAACTCTACCCCGCCATGGCCCCCTCAGCGACATCTCCCCCTCCAACGAGCGACCCCACCATCCTCGCCCTTCGCAAAACCCTCTGCTCAGAAACCGAACCTCTCGCACGTCGATTCCGAGCCCTCTTCTCCCTCAAGCATCTAGCATGCCAAGCCTCGCTCCCCGCCATTCAGGCTATCGCTGCAGCTTTCGCCTCGCCTTCTGCTCTCCTCAAGCATGAACTAGCTTACTGTCTAGGCCAGACGAAGGACGTGGCTGCTGTACCGTTCTTGAGAGATGTGTTGGAAAATAAGGATGAGGACCCGATGTGTAGACATGAGGCTGCGGAGGCACTAGGTGCTATTGGTGATATGGGAAGTTTGGATTTACTAAAGGAGTTGAGGGACACACCTGAGGAACTCGTGGTTGTTAAGGAGACATGTGAGATCGCTGTTGCGAGAATTGAGTGGGAGAACAGTGAAGAAAGAAAGAAGGAAAAGTTACAGAAGAGGTATGTTCACTTTACGGGCTCGCAAACTGCAGTTTGGCTAATATTGGCAGCGACTTCGCGTCCATCGATCCCGCGCCAACTTCAGAACAGACCGAGTCGATCGAGGATTTGGAGAAGAGCTTGTTGGATACTACCAAGCCTCTATTCCTACGCTACAGAGCTATGTTCGGCCTGCGAGATCTCGCTTCGCCACCAGACCTCCCAACTGCCGTCCCTGCTGTTCTTGCCCTCGCCAAGGGATTCGCAGATCCATCCGCCCTCTTCAGACACGAGATCGCTTTTGTCTTTGGCCAATTGTCACATCCTGCTTCCATCCCGGCCCTGACTGCTGCTCTTGGTGATTTGCAGGAGGAGAGTATGGTCCGACACGAGGCTGCTGAGGCTCTGGGTAGTCTGGGCGAGGAGGATGGTGTTGAGGAAACACTGAAGCGGTTCTTGAACGACAAGGAGCAAGTTGTTCGGGAGAGTGTGATTGTGGCTCTGGATATGGCGGAGTTCGAGAAGACTGGTGAGGTCGAATATGCATTGATTCCAGAGACTGCGAATGCATAGATAGTTCCTTTAATAATTCGTAGAATGCTAGGCACCAAAGTGCTTGGGCCTTGAATAGCAACTCAACTCAACTTAGACGACGGCCCTTTATGTGGTGTTTTTGCAATGCAATGGTTTCGCAAGTAACTTGGGGGTATGATTTGGTGCACCGCTTCAATTGTTTGTGTTCCATCTGGTGGGGGTTAGCAGGTGCTGGCCATTCATTCCTCTCAATACTTGCTTGTGCCCACAGTCGCACGTATAGAAGATAGTGCTGCCTTCATCTGCACTTCTCAGCTGAACTGCGGTGTATCTGACCTCCTGCCTTCCACACTCCGGACATGTTTGCGCAATGACAGCCTCACTCTGCATATCCGAAAGTTCCACCTGTTGAATGTCCGATCGTTTTTGCCTGAGAAGAGACGGGAAAGAAGCAGCTTTGGTGTGAGTCGTAATTGTTTTTGATGCCGTATCTGTATCCGTATGAGATTTGCCCATTGTGAAGGAAGAAAATGCGCAAACCTTTATTCTCCGCACCGCAGCACTCGCAAACAAGGATTGAATTCTTGTTGCCAGTGGAACTGTCCAGCAGATTGCCGCAATCTGTGCAGAAGACGAGAGATCCAACGGCAGACATTTTGACTTGGATTGTGAAGAAAGTTGATTATTGGACGCCCTGCTCAGAATAATTTTAAGTGATCAAGGCCGCCTTGCTTAGTCATCACGCTTTTCCAGGATTGTTCAGGCAAGGCTGCGCTTCTTGAGCTTCTATCGACCGCATTCATTGCGACAAGCATAACATCTAAATCTAACGCGCGCATTCTACGTATCGCCGCAGTATTCGGTCTTGCAATGTGCTATCCAAAGCGGCCTGCTCTTGATACTTCTTGATGACTGCGCCCGAGAATTGTTCTTCGCGCATCGCCCTCCTCAATATTCAACATGGATCAGAACGGCTACGCCATCCAGTATGGTGGTGTCAATGGGTCAAACGGCGCATTATCGACGAATGGCCCCAGAAGGAAACAAGCCAGGGTTCTCACTGTTGATGAGGCGTTACCATATTCACCTTTTTCTTCTGTGGTTCCGTTCAATTCAGGTACCAACAACACTCCACCTCCTTTAAAGTCAACAACCACTAACATATTCACCTCCTCAAGATATAATCCCACCCCCCTCAATAGGTCTTCGATCCTCAACCTCATTATTCTCAACCCCCACCGACCGCGAAGAAGGGCGACAGCTTTTAGAAGCTCTCAATCGCGATGCGCAAGATCCTAACAACACATCCGAAAGATTACAGAAATCATTGAATGATCTGAAGGAGCTTCTTAAGCCAGGCAACATTGCACAATAGTGAGACCTTTTGGAGCCATGTTTTTGGACTTGACTAACATTTTTTAGTTCATTCAAGACCTCGCCAAGTATTACCTCCGAGCATACTTCAAATTCTGTTCAGCCTCAGACATCGCTCTCCGCGTTTGCACAGATGGTTTACGATAGAACTTCAGTCGAATTTAGATACCCTTCTCCAGAGAGACCAAGTCCACCCATCATGACAAGTAGACCTCCACAGAAGCAGAAAGGAACTCCGAAGCTGAAGTCACATCCAAAACCACAGCAGCCACCACAACCTATTTCTATTCAACGGGCAGTTTCCAACCAACAAGCATACGACGAGAACTCCACGATCAAAGTTGAAGCACCCACTATTAAGGAGCCTCCTAGGTCAAATGGACATATCAGTACTCCCACAAAGCTTGAACCAGAAACCCCGGCCAAGCCGAGCTCAAGCTTCTCTGTGATAATCCCAGGACTACCAAAGAACTTCAGTCGTACAGAATATACCCCTTCTAAGAGTGAGACCAAAGTCAAACCTGTGTCGCAAACCCCAAAGCAGGACCAGCCGCAAGTGCTAATCCAGCCCAATACACCATCCCAGCAGCAGAGCCATACCCCGCTAGAGCCCACACCGAAGGTTACTCCACAGCACGGATCGCAGCTTGCACCATCAAGTTCGATTCCAGGACTAGCTGTGGTAATTCCGAATCTTCCATCGACTTTCCGACCCGAGGACTATGAAGTTCTACCGTCCTCTCCCGACACGCCTCAGAACTTATCTAGGAAGCGGCGCCGTTCGGAGGTTGACGACGAAGATGACCTCTCCCGAAGTGTTGATCAACGACAGAAGAATGATGCGGCGTTCAAGAACCTTCGAGAGTATCTCCAAGAGGTTTTCGAAGCCGAGGACCAAGTTCAACCAGACCATGCTCCTTCGAGTGTCATTCTCACATCGTCCAGCGAAGGTATCACCTTGAGCCTTGCCGCCCAGGCAAAGGTGGAGATTCTTCTACAGCGTGTGATTGATGCCAGCCGCTTTTCTCAAATCCCCCTGGACGATTTGTTGAGAGTACAAAAACTCTGTGAAGGCGCACTGAAGGTTGCAGAGACGGTTGATGTCAAGGTTGACGACAGTATGGGAGAGTCAGAAGTCGAAACATGGCTCCAGCAAATCTCTACCGCAGAGCTTGGAATCAAAGCAGCTCGGGTATCATTGAAGTTGATGGCTGGTGGCCGTGAGGAGAAGCAACTCTATTCGGAAGATGTCATACAGGCTGCCCTTAATGCATTCAAGAATGCCACAGAAACCTGCTTGATCCCGATTGTAGAGATGCGCAACTCTGGTCCCTCGGCAGCGGTGTTCAAGCTTTTATCTGTTCAGAAGGCGCATATAAGCAGCCTCCTCTCGCATTGCCGAAAACTCTTATCCCTTGTTGCAAGCCTGGTGTCCACCATCGAACTTTCCGAGACCGTCATCAACACTCTCGAGTTCACAGCGTCGCGCTTGATCTTTGTGGAAAACGCTCCAAGCGAGCGTGACTCGATTGTCAAGATTTCGAAATTTGACAGTTTGCGAGTCGTCGCTATGGATGTACTCGCTCAGATCTTCCTATGTAATCCGGCCCAGCGTCAAGGCATCTTCGACGAGATCCTGACATCTCTGGAAAAGCTACCAGTAACAAGACAAAGCGCACGTCAATTCAAACTCGCCGAAGGAGGAAGCATACAACTTGTTTCTGCTCTAATTATGAGACTTATCCAGACAAGTGCCTGTAAAGTCGATGACGACAAGTCAAATCGACGTCACAGGGCTTTGGAAGCACTGAACGGTGATGATAGTACGGATGAATTAAAGGAACCTAGTACCAGCAAATACACTATCACTGCAGAGCATGATGCGGAGAGACAGCCCGTAACCGCGATTCAAGAACTCGCAGACGATATTGGCCAATTGCTTGATACAGCAAAGGCGAACGCAACTTACGTTGTCGCATTTATAGTCAACAGAGCCATGAAGTCTACCAAAAGTGGAGATGCTCCCTACCGTAACTTGCTCGATCTTTTCGTGGAGGATTTTATTACGTGCTTGAACTCTACAGACTGGCCTGCGGCAGAGCTCATGCTTCGATTGTTCCTATTCAAGATGGTTCAGTTGGCAGAGGGCGATAAGACTGCAGCACCCGCTAAAAATATGGCCCTTGATCTTCTCGGCTTGATGGGGGCAGCGATTTCTGAGCTGAACTCCCATGTCAGGAAAACTGCTAACTCACTCGAGAATGGAGACACGGATCTTGGTAGATACTTAGCGAAATTGGCCGAAGCTTCACTCGAAAAGAAGGCATCCGGTGCGGAGCTTGTGTCCTGGGGAGCAGGCCCATACCGTGCGTGCTTGGAGTCTCTGCAGCATCGTTGTCGTCCTGTTAAGGATGATGACCCCCAGCTTCGAAGCGCGATTGGATTCTTCAAGGCTGAGTGGGCCTCCAAAGTCTGCATCACATTTGATGCAATCAGCGACGATGACTACAATCATGAGCAAACCGAACAAGAGTACGGGCGTTTAGCTTACAGACTTCGAATGATGATTTCGGACCGCAGATGGTTATCGACGGAATATAGTTTCGAAGCAGTCAGCCCGCCTCATGCCCGCCTTGCATACTCGATCACCCTGCTAAACTCACAGTTCTGTGAGTCCTTCAGCAGGGTTTTCTCAATTCTCTTAGGCTCAATGACCAGCGAACAAGCAACAGTACGAAGTAAAAGTTTGAAGAGTGTCAATCAGGTCCTAGATACCGACCCGGCAATCATCGACAGAGAACCCGCCGTGAAGCAACGCATTCTGAGATGTGCAAATGATACGTCAGTTCAAGTTCGCGACTCTGCATTGGGTCTCATCGGCAAGTGTATCAACATTCGTCCGGCGCTTGAGGAGGAAATGATTACGCATATTCTCAGTCGAGTCAACGACAGCGGGGTGGGAGTCCGAAAGCGTGCTATGAGACTCTCTAAAGACATTTATCTCAGAAACAACAAGCGTGAGGTTCGGAGTCTCATTGCCGATGCTCTTCTTCATCGAGTTCAGGATTTAGATGAAGGGGTGCAGGATCTTGCACGCCAGATGATCGAAGAAGTGTGGATGTCACCCTTCTACCAATCGACCACATCGGAGAATACAACGGCACAATACAAGCTAGCCATGTCTGATCATGTTGCACTCATGGTAAAGACCGTCCAACGAGGAGGTGGTGTTGGAGTCGTCTTGGACAAAGTCCTTCAAAATATATTGTCTGCCGACGCTAAGCTATCAGGCGCCAACTTTCGAGTCTGTAAAGCACTCGTTGCCACCATGTTTGAGACGATAATCGATAACTCTGCGAGCGAGAGCAACGACGCACCTTCTGCCAGAGATGCCATGCATATTTTGACAATTTTTGCCAAGTCCAATGCCGACCTCTTCACAGCAGAGCAAGTTCAACTACTGCAGCCCTATGTTGCCAATGTTCGAGGTAATGACGATCCCCAGATTTATCGATCTGTTATAGTTATATTTCGCCACGTTCTTTCGCATCTATCCAAGGCTCACAACAACTTCCTTGCGTCTATCAGAAAAGAACTTCTCCCCGCTGTGGCTCGTGTTGGTAAATCAATCCTGGACGACATCATTGCATGTCTATGGATTATCTCTGGAGTTCTAGGCGACTATCGACAGCTTACAGCACTGGTAATTTCAAGTCTTGACGGCATATCAAGGATGAAGAATACTCAATTGGCCGACGATCAGATTCGAAAGCTCACCAAGCTCCTCCTGATCACTGGCATGTGCGGCAAGCATTGTGACTTTGATCCCCAGACTGCAGACTTTCGGAAGAAATTTCCTTCCTGGAAAGATGACTCTGTTGCCAAGTTAATGGCAGACACCTTTGCACCTTTTGCATCGCCATCTCAGCCTCTAGAAGTTAGGAAGGCAGCACTTGAAGCAATTGGGATGGTCTGCCAATCATGGCCCAAGAACTTTTCTTCCGCAAATATATACACCTCATTTCTGACGGTATTTGACGAAAAGGAAGCAGCTCTCGAAACAATTGTCCTGAAATCGTTCAAGGACTTTTTACTTCTCGAAGAGAAGCGCTCCGAGGCGGGCAAGGACGGCGTACCAGGAGCCGGCATCGACTCAACAGCCAAGTTGGGTGTTATGGGAGGTGGCCAGGGCGATGGTATTGCGATTGGTATTGCGCAACGATTCTTACCACATATTGTTCGCATTGCACTGTCCCGGCAGGATGACCAGGGACTTCTTGCTGCTGAGGTCGTTGCCAGCATCGCTCGACAAGGACTGGTCCACCCAAAGGAGACTGGTTCGTGTTTGATTGCACTAGAAACTTCTCAAAACCTGAAAATCGCCGAAATCGCAGCCAAGGAGCATCGTGCTCTTCATGAGAAGCACGAGACGATCCTGGAGAAGGAATACATGCGAGCGGTTCAGCTCGCATATGCCTACCAACGCGACATCGTCCGGAACACTCACGGTGCAAATATTGATCCCTATGCTTCGAAACTCCACTTGATGATGGATGTTCTCAAGATCAGCAAAGTCAAGAATCGAAAAAGGTTTTACGAAAATCTTTGTGCGCGTATCGAATTCGATCCAGCAAAGATGGATATCGTAACCGAATTACCTCAGCATCTCGAATTTTCCCAGTTTATCATCGAGAACCTCGCTTTCTTCGAGTACCAAACAGTTGATGAACTTTTGTCTACCATTACAGCTATGGAAAAGGTGGTTGCAGCCCTCGGTACTGGCATTGCGCATTCAATTGAGACGGAGATCTTCCATGTCAGCCTTGATCAGCCTTCACAAGTGGATGAACATGGACAATCTCAACCTGTACAGCCCACTGTTGATCAGCTGCGACTGCAGCAACTGACCGCTTCGTCTATGATGCTCTCAAGTCTATGGGAAGCGCGTAGCTACCTCAGACGCCAGTATGGCCTGAAAACAAATTTGCGCGATGGAAAGAACAAAGCGGCCATAAAGGATTTGAATCGGGCGCCAGTTAGAGCACAAGGTGTTAACGGCGATAAGTTTTGGGAGCTTTCCGAGTCCACCATGTCCTCTCTCGACTCTGAAGAGAGCATGATGAAGCAGTGCCGCGCATTTGTGGAGTTGTTGAACGTCGACCAAGAGTTCAAGGTTGCCGCTGAGGATGATGAAGAGGCTGATCAGGCTAGGGCCAGCACTCCAAGCGAGGATGAAGGCGCGTCCGGAACTCCAGGCCCTCCAGGCAGTGGAAGAGGCAGAAAGCGAAAGGGTTCCATCAGTACCCCCGGAAACCGCAAGAAGAGAGCACGGTCATCGTCTGTACCAAGGGGACGTGGCAGACCAAAAGGACCTGGGAAGAAGCAAAGTGTGGAGAGAAGTGACGACGAAGGAGATGGCTGGAACTAAGGGGGGCGGAATGGGATCTTTACATTGGCGTTTTACATTATTCAAGACCCCTGTATAATACCCAATGGCGTTGGGGGTGCTTTATCATATGTTGCATCTCCTGGGCGTGGGAGCTTTAAATTGTGGTAATGGTCAAAGAACCAACCAGTGCGGAAGACATAGCATGGCAATGGCTGATCTAAAATCGCTATAGCATCAATAGAATCTATTTGCACATGAGCCAAGAAGTTTCTTGAGCACTAAGATCATCCGACTTCTTGATTCGCTTCTGGTATTTGTGTTGTCCGCTTCGCTCACTCGAATGGCTGGAATGCATGCTGCAATTATTCGGGGCGTGATATCTGGTGTAATCATGCTGCTGCGAAATGCCAGCACATGAGAAACACTCCGCGGGCGACAGCTGTAACTCAAGTGGTAAATTACTTCTGGCCAACACTACTAAGCTTCCCGCAATATGCCAGGTGATGATAAGTTAAGTTGCTTACGAGGATTTGGAAGCAGGGGTCCAAGTATCTCTCAAGACATGGTCGCCGACATCTGCTGCCAGTGGCTTGTTGTTTTCTCATTTGAGGTAGACTGTTGTCGTGTTGGTGCCAAACTTTCTTGAAAGAATGCTCACTTGATCAGGAACATATTGATGGTGTTTGCCATGTTAGCTTACCAAAATCGAAGGTCAGCTTCTTCAAACTGGATGCAGCACCATCTTGTGGTAGTCACTTGGTGTAAGTTTCGGTTGCTCTGCGCGATTTGTTATTTGCTCACGAATGGTATCTCCGTAACATCATGTTGTTCTTGAGTCTGCCTTGCCGAAACAGCTGGAGATATCCGGAACGCTTGTTTATTCTGAGCCATACTTGCTCACTTGGCATGGTACAAAGCTTTTTTAAGTTTCTTGGTATGACTGTTATTATTCAATGGACTTGCTGCACTGTATCCGTGCTCAATCCTGGCTGGCAGCACAGCTATCATCATGTTGTCGAGGCTGGAATTGAAGCCTTGGCAGCATCGTGCCACTGGACGCCTCTCATAGCTCAGCCTTGCCCACTACCCGGATACTACTTTCACCGCTGCTAGAGCGCACCCTACCCCTCACCCTCTCGACTCGACTCGACTCGACACTGCCCGTCGATACAAGTATACTGAGCCAGAGATGCATGGCGTCGGCGTTCAAGCTGCCCCCCCTATTGGCAGCCGCTCTCATCTCATCAAAGCACACCACTTCACCTTGGAGCCCAGCCAATGCCAGTGTAAGCAGACAGCCGTCAGCACCTTCAACAGCCTCCACTTAACTCATTTGCTTTCTCGCTTCGTCGCTAAGCTCGCCAAAACCTGGGCGAGCATCCCGAGCCACACCAACAATAGTTCTCTAGTTGTCCAATTATGAGATGCTGTGGTTCTTGAGGCGTCGCAGGGCTGAGGTGCAGCCCGGAGGCCTTCAGGATACTGCTGTGCTCTAGATCTCTATATAAGTAGAGAGAATTCTCTCATCAACCTTTCTTCATCATTCACATCCAACACATCTACACTTCAATTTCTTTCCTAGGTCATTTCCTTTGTCATTTCCTATCTCATTTCATCTATTCCATCTCAGCAACTTCATTTCGAATCAACTATCCCAACTAAACTTCCATCACTACCGCGATCTTTCTCAAATCAAACACAGCCAAAAACCAATTCCAAAATGTTTTACAACACCGCCATTCTTTCCGTGCTCGTCGCTAGCACTTCCATGGTTTCAGTCTCACTCGCTGCTCCTGTCAACGCACGTCAATCTCCTTCTTGTCCCGCAGGAACTTCCTACTTTGACTACGAGTCCACCAGCGGCTTCAAGGGATGTACCGCCACACCTGCTGAATATCAAAATGGACCTCGCAAATACTGGGGCATCTGTCCAACTGGACACGGAAACTGGTATGTCTGCGCAAACGGGTTCAAGGGTTGCACCACCGACAGCACAATCTGCGACACAAAGCCTTCCGGCTGGGTCCCACCTGTCCTCCCACCTGTCGCTCCAAAGGACTCTTGCCCATCTGGCCAGGCCTACTATGTCTGTGCTACTGGATTCAAGGGGTGTAGTTCCGATACCAGCGTCTGCGATCCCAAGCCACCAGTCGAACCATCCACTTGCCCATCTGGTCAGAGCTACTATGTCTGCGCCAATGGGTTCAAAGGATGCAGTGCCGATACTTCAGTCTGTGATCCTAAGAAGCCCGAATCCGAGCCAGTCGAGCCAGGCTCATGCCCATCTGGTGAAAACTACTATGTTTGCGCCAATGGATTCAAGGGATGCAGTGCCGATACCACTGTCTGCGATTCCAAGCCAAAGGGATCCGAGAAAGTCGAGCCTGAGGTAGTCAACCCATCAACCGGCAACAGCAAGTTTTGCCCATCCGGAACATCCTACTACGATTACGAGTCTACCTCCGGCTTCAAGGGTTGCACTTCAGCACCAGCTGCTTACCAGAACGCGCCTCGTGTCTACTGGGGCAGCTGCCCAACTGGCCACGGTAACTGGTATGTCTGCGCCAACGGCTTCAAGGGTTGCAACACCAACTCCGCTGTTTGCGACTTGAAGGTTTAAGCGATGGCTTCTGGATGAAAAAGAGACATTAGGTAGTGGGCAGGGCATTGGGTGGCGTGTTGGAATTTGTTTAGATTTTGGGATTGTATTGCATAGCGTTAGAGGTATAGACTGGATTTAGCATTACACTACGATAATTTGGCGTTGATTTTGGACTTTGGTATGGCTCCGGGGCCAAGACGATCGTTTATGCTCGAGTCTGCTTTCTGGAATTTAAGAAAACAAATACACACTCATTTACCACTGTCACGTTGCTTTTTGATTTTCGGACTTCTTGTGAAGCAGAGAACATGTCACTACAAAGGTTAGAATAATCCTATTTGTTGAATTCAGTAGATCTTGGATGAGGCACTGACCCATAAATGAGAAGTAATGGACTTCAAGTTGCCCGCGTCCTGCTCACTTCTCAGTGATTGAGCAAATCGATTACCAGTCTCAACATCTGTTAACATCTCTTGAAAATCAGAGTTCGCACAGATGAAAAGTAGCAGAAGCGTAACACTTCCGTCCATATGGCTCAGGATGTGCCTCTTTTGCGTCAAAAGAGGGCAGGTCGCATTTTATCGGAAGACATGCAAAGGTTTGATGGAGCCTGAAAATTTCCTCATTAAATGCAACAGTTTAATAACTTTCTACTGTTGTTTATCTTTCTTTAAAAAAGAAACAGTGCCCTCCACTGTATGTACTCGGTTAAATTCGTTGGCGATGAAGGTTGCGAGACATGCTCTGAAATGTGCGAAGCTTGCTGGGACGAGTTTCGGGTTTAGTGAACTTGTATGAGGAATATGGAGGTTAATAGTAAATTTAAAGATGTGACGAAACTTGGTGAAAAGCTCTTGGATAATAGCAGTATATATTGGACTTTCGGTAGAGAGGCTCGAGAGGCTGGCTTGGACTTCTATATAGCTTTGTGGAAGGAGAAAGATGCTAAGACATGAACATTTGTTTTGTTTCGATCTCGCTTCCAGAGCGGTGATGATATTGTACCTGCAGCCCCAGAAATTGGTAGCGAAGTAACGAAACAATCAAACAGATACTACCTAAAGACTCAAACACTCTCTCACACCTCGCTCAATTCGATCTCATATTAAGCACACGAGAATGACTTCTGGGGCATTTGCAAGCAATCCTCCTCTTGAATTCACCGCCTCCGAATTCGGCCAATCACATGACTGCCCCTCCAGAAGTGAACGCCACTTGAAATGCTTTGTAAACATCAAGCTCGACATTTGCGGCTCAAGTTTTCTTTGCCCATCTCCCTCAACACCAATTATTCGAGAACCACGAGAATACAATGGCGCCCTCGCTCGAAGCCCCCGAAAACGTACAAGACGTCCTCTCCAACCCTCTCAAAGTAGCACCTAAACTCGTCGCCCCCGAACCAGAACATTGCCCTGGCCCAGAATCCGAAGCAGCAGGTAAAGCAGACTCATGCGCCGGCTGCCCGAACCAAGCAATATGCGCCTCCGCACCGAAAGGACCAGATCCTGATATCCCAGTGATCACTGCGCGGTTGTCGGGTATCAAACACAAGGTCCTGATCTTGTCTGGCAAAGGAGGGGTAGGAAAGAGTACATTTACGAGTTTACTTGCACATGCCTTTGCGACGAATCCGGATAACACGGTGGGAATCATGGATACAGATATCTGTGGACCGAGCATACCGAAGATGATGGGTGTAGAGGACGAGACAATACATGTCAGTGGAGGAGGATGGAGTCCGGTCTGGGTGCTGGAGAATCTGGGTGTTATGAGCGTGCAGTTTATGTTACCAAATCGGGACGATGCGGTCATTTGGAGAGGACCGAAGAAGAATGGATTGATAAAGCAATTCTTGAAGGATGTGGAGTGGGGTGACATGGACTTCTTGCTTGTGGATACACCCCCTGGAACGAGTGATGAGCACTTGAGTGTCAACTCTTTCTTAAAGGAGAGTGGGGTTGATGGTGCAGTTATGGTCACGACTCCGCAGGAAGTTGCCCTACTCGACGTCCGGAAAGAGATTGATTTCTGTCGAAAGGCTGGCATAAAGGTCTTGGGGCTCGTCGAGAATATGTCGGGCTTTGTGTGTCCGAAGTGTACGCATCAGAGCGAAATCTTCCAGGCTACGACTGGTGGAGCGAGAGCTTTGGCAAAGGAGATGAACATACCATTCCTTGGAGCTGTGCCTCTGGATCCAAGAATTGGTATGGCTTGCGATTATGGAGAGAGTTTCTTCGACTCTTGGCCAGATAGTCCAGCCTGCAAAGCTTTGAGGGAGGTAGTGAGGAGGGTTGGGGAAGAGATGGGCTTGAAGCCTGAGCAAGTCCTGCCAGAGGAGTGAGGAAACATGGAGGAACTAAGAAACCTGAGAACTACACAGACTCACAGCGTCAAGAACGGTTAGCACAAGAAGGAGTGATGCGTTGCAACGGTTTATCGACCTTGTCACCTGCAACAGACGAACGGCATGTCGGTATCAGCTCTATCTCAAGAAGGGGATCACCTTGAAGGTCCTGCTACCTAGTTCGTTTTCGGGGTTCTAGGTATATTTAATATACCTCAATGCCACCATTGACAGAGCAATGAATGTCACTGCGTTGCCAAGTGACATACGAGCCGCGGTATGGATGATGAGATATTTATTTCGTGCGGTCTGTGTCCTGTAGTCTGTGTGGTCATCGATCATGTCATAAAGCGCTCCTTGAGTCTTGCTGGATCCCAAGATTGTCCTTATTCCCAATGCTTGTGGGATATGTTAATTCACGAAATGCTCGCTTCGGTGGCCAGGAATTACTCCGCCAATACTAGACCCACGGTCGACTCTCTGTTCACTCGGGGCAGGCTCAGTTAGCAGACCAGAGAGTCACGATTGAATGGTTAGCATCCACAAGGCATGTGTGTTCACTGGTTGACTGGGGTGTGTTCCACAGGCGGACAGTGTTCAGTCGATGAGATATCAAACGTACGCCTTGCGAGGTCTGGACTTGAAGGACGTAATGAGTAAGTTTTTAAGGTAACACCTGTAAATTAATCAGGATCTATTCAGGCATTAAATGTTGATGGATATCCTCGCCTAATAGGATGTCCAAGCAGAATTCCAAGTTTCTGTCAAAGGATGGTTCAGAGGCCGCATTGCTATCCAGCTTACAAAAACATACGGTACAGAAAAAGAAAAGATACACACATATGACGAAGAGTTTCACTTCATTATTTCATAAAATATTTTGATTTCTTGCTTCCGTGTTCTATGCTAGGCTCTGTACATCTTTTGCGTAGTATGTTGAATACGTTTTGCTGTAAGTCAGATTTTGCTGAAGATATGAGTCGTGTCTGCATGTGAACGCCAGGGAAGAGCTTCTTTTAGTGATAAAAAGCAAGTGCTTGGTGCTGTTTTGATCTGTTGAATGTTGAGAATGTACTGGGCAAAGCAAGTGTAATATGTGAATGGATTGGGCGATGTGCTGGAGTAAAGCTCAGAGATATAGTGATAAGATAATGCTGCGCCGATAAGGAGAATGAATATGTCAACGTAAAGTCTCTCGAGTGGTTGTTACGAAGACCTGAAGGCGTTCACAAGGGCTGAACAACCACCGCGAAGATCCCTTGCAATGCTGGTATGAATTCTGATATTTCTATCTGCCAAACGATGTTTACGTCCAGCAAAATAATCGAGATCAAAGATGGACGCTAGGTTGTCGGGAAGATGTTATGCATCGTAGTCCTGCAACATGAAGTCAGCATTCTGCTGATAGCCCCTGCACTTATGACTCATTGTGAATTCGGCCTTGACGCCCACAGGAGTACTCTTGTACTCCAGGATCTCGATATCTGAATCATCGTCGGCAAAGGCCATACTATGAATAGTCGGGTTTGAAGACTTTGCAAAACCAGAGCGAGCAGGAGGCTCTCCAACTGCAGCTTGCATTTGCTCTTCGTCTTCTTCTTGATCGTCTTCTTCATCGCTACTGACCTTTTGTATACATCAGTATCTACTACTGAGTGTATTCTGGGCCTTTTGAAAATACTGGAAAAGATTGACACCAAAGAAAACGCTTACCTCTGCGATTTGTTTCCGCGGCCTCTTCACCTTCCTAATAGCTCTACCTTTACCCTTTTCCTTGGAGTTTTCTGGGAGGAAGCCTAACTCCTCATCCGTCTTTTTTACACTGTAAGTGAACAGCCAATAGCTGAAATTTTCAATTAGTACTCACAGAGTCTTTGTCTTCTCCCTTTTCGATGCTTTTCCACAACCTCTTCTGGCCATTCTTCGCAGTAGCGACTCGGCTCGACTTGGACCACTTTCTGGAGACTTTACTTGGCCCAGCTGCAGTGTGAGCGATCACATATCTGTCTTGTTCATTCTCGGCATTTGAATCGGCGGTTGTCTCGGGAGTTGTCGAGCTGGGGTCATCAGAGCCAGAACTCTCCCCAGAATCTGCGTGCTCGCCCATGTCGTCTCTCATTTGCGTTATCATTATGTTCAGCTTGTCTCCTTTGAATCGGTCCACCCAAAGCGGCGGTTCTCGGCGCCATGATTTTGACTGAAATGCGTTCTCGACCTTGCCTAAGAGTATGCTGTCATTTGTTTTTTCAAGCGCTCTTCGGTTTATTCTCCAACCACAACTGTGATAATAGAATCAGTATATGATTGCTACTGTGTGGACAACGTACTCGTAGAACGCAGACTCAATTTGATCATTCCGACCTGTCTTTTGATGTCTGAATTTGACGTGTCGCGCCAATTGACCTGTAAGGAAGTCGGCGATGACTGTCAAGGGGTTTTTATCATACTCTCTGAATGCCCCAACTGCGATTCTGATTGTCGATAAGGGTATGGTAGTAGCAGGATAGCATTCTTCTGGACCTGTTTCAACTTCCACAACTGGTATCGGTACAGATCCTTTGGATGAATAGTCATCTGTAGTATGGATAACATTAAGAGGAGGACCGAGGTTTCTGTCCTTTTCCTTTCCGTGCCGATAGTGATTCGGACTGTTAGGATCGAGCCAAGTCTGCAAGAGAGTGTCTCTTTGAACTGCTCTGCCTACCATCGCACGTTTGCGAACCCAGGTTCCTCTGGAAGTTATGAACCGGGACCATTTATCAAAGTGGTGCTTATCCCATGTGATGAGGTCGCTCTTTCTCCGGCCGACATTGAGATTCTTGAAAGAAGTTCCCATCCACTATTTCATCGATGTCAGACTATGGCTTGTGTCGTCGTTTGAGCAGGTAGTTATTCGTGGGAGTAGATTACAATGTAAGGACGGGGAATGCCATGAAGAGTAACTGTATCAGAATCAACTTACGTCTGAGGCGTAAATTATTTGGTATCGTCCCCACTTGTTCTTTTTGAACGCGTACCACACATCTTTGGTTGCTCCCTTGGCATCTTTAAATAATCCGGCATGTAGCCATCTTTTTAAGCGAGTCAGCCCCATCTGTATTTATAGAGTGATGAGGATACAAGGATTGGGATACGAACCGCAAATCTTTTCGTCTTTGGTAACGTGGCTCGGGCTCAGCTTCTGAACTGTCGTTCGAGTCAGAATCCGAATTCGAATTTGAGTCTGAGCTGGATTCATTATCGCTTTCGGAGTTAGGAGATGAATCTCTTCTGAGCCGAGTTCTCTTTGCCATGATGCTTCATAGGTGAGATCGTGAGGATGTGGTAGCGTCAATGGTCACCGCCTCGATCAATGCAAAAGGAGAGTTTGTAAAGTCGAGTCGAGTTGTCGATTTTATTGTGCTTTTGTTGTTTCGTCCTTTCAAGAATTTATAGATTGAGTTCTCGTTGTTGCTTGTGTGCTCTAAGTTCTGGCTGGAATTTGAGGCAAATAGCTTCGTAATCAGTAACCTGTAATGGAAGTTGACGACGGCCAATGAGCGGGGATGAGAAGAACGGTATTGGCGGCAAAGAAAGTATTCGCATGTACCCTTCAGATAATTGTGGTGAGTGAGATTGAGTAGAAGGGAGAAACGTTGATGTGGAGAATGGAATCAGTCAGTTTACTTCAGGTTTGTAAGAAGTATTTCAGCCAGAAGCACAATGCCCTAATTCGTTCTGTAGTTCAATCTTAATTAGGAAGGAAAGGTCTGGGGGCCCTTCGGGACTTCATTTGAAGGAAATAATTAACATGGATTGAGACACTTCATGAAAGAACGTCAATTGAGTCTCTCCACATATCATTTGAGAGGAAGCGTTTCGTATCTCACAGCACAGTGTCAGTTTGATCTCCAGTCAAGTGACTTGTGCTGTGCTATTTTCCATACATAGAAGGTCGTCACTTTATGTCTAGAAGGTGAGTAGACTGAAACGCTTGCAAAGGCCAAGGAATAGAACATGAACATGCATGGGAATCTATGTTCGTTTGCTCAGTACGACTTTGGTGCTATCCTAACTCAACATCGTTGCTATCCGTCTTTTTTCAACAGCCCTGTGAGCTAGACTCCAAGGACATCATCATTGTATTGGCTCGCCTCACTTTCAATCGGCAATTCTTGTAGTTGGTGCTGTCATGTTTGTTTACACGAATGATTAGCCGAGACTTGCAACACGTTTGTTGACTCCATGCCATCAATTCTCGGACCACATTCCCCATTTTAGGTCTTACTCCGACTAGTCTCGGAATCATAAAAACCATATTGGCGGGCTCCAAAGGGAAAGTGAAGATCTAATGGGTCTGTTCTTAGGTCACCAATCCTGATTTGAAATCACTCCAGAGTTCTGAGAGAGGAACCCTTCAAATTGATCATGTGACGTCGCACGTGAGGTATGTGCATCAACTCGATCAACAAACCCGGTCGACTCTCTTCCACTAATGATCAAAAATGCCACAAATCCAACGCATACTGATCAAAACCCATCATATGACCTCGCGCAAGAAGATCCTCACCATCACGAAAGCTGCAAAACGACTCTCATGTTCCGTTCTCTTGAAAACCGGAGGTCCACCTGGGGTTATGGTTGCAGAAGGCGAACTTGCTGGTGACTGGTTAGAGGTCGTTCGAGTAAGGCATTCTATACTCACAAGCCATTTGAAGACGATTCATTGATGCAAATGCCTGTAGAAGCTACGGTACAAAGATTATCAACTCATGAAGAGAGAGGATGTGGGGGAAAAGGGGCTAGATGTTGGCCCCGGAGATGTAAAGGAATTGACGGGTATGAAAGAGCTGGGCGCGTTCTTGGAAAGGAACAGGGAGATCTATGAATGGTGGAGGGTGGGAATGGGGTATAAGAAAGGTGAAGATGCGCCTTGAAATCGACCATAGGTGGAGATGTGGGGTTCAGTTGCTGGAATTGACTACGGGAAGCGGACTTGGCCACTGGCATTTTGAAATTGGCCAACAGTCCTAAGACATGGGCGTGAGGCCTGATGCCAGGTACCATGAGTGCAACTATGGTTGCAGGTAGGACAAATGCGTCCACGTCTTGGGGCAGGTCGCATGCTGAAACTGCTTCGAGGGTTGAGCCACATGCCTTTCTCTGAGCATGATTCGCATCTCAGATTTCTAGCTGGTTTTGAAAGATTGGTAGGTCACAGAAGCACTGATGCCTTCTTTGATGACTCCAGAGAATGTTCCTGGGACAAAGGGATCAGCAAGTTGTCAGCCATGCAACCAATATCCTAGATACAGGGCAAAAGGGACTCAATGGCGTTGTGCCTAATTTTAAGCGCGGCGCTTCATTGCACAAGTTTTATATCAATCTTGAACCATATGCCTTATAAATTTGTGAAGGTCATTAAATGTTCCATCTTCCTCGATCCTCTACCAGGCCATAATATAGCCCACACGTGTCTTTACGCAGCACCCAATTTCGAGGGTAGATCTTCCAGGTCATCCACAGAGTCAATCTCAATAACCTTACCTACCTCAGCAGTGTTCCTCATCAATTCCTTCGCCCCAGCATATACCATCCTCAATTCCGCATTGCATGTTACTGGGAGGTAGTATAGCAGCACATAAGGTACCGATAATCGTCCAGAGGGCTACTGCACATTAGCATCTCTACTTTACTTCCAAGCGTATCACTCACCAATGTCAATGGGTAGCTCAGCAGTACGAATCGTGGGGAATGGTCTGGCAGATCCTCTCCTATGTCCTCTAATTTTGTGTATACTGTCTTGTCCTCATCCTGCTTGATTTCCAGCGTCTGTTTGTCGATCATATCTATCGCGAGTCAGAGTCGGTTTCGCATGTTGGAAAGAAGGTCTGCGGAGACAGTGAGACGGACGTACAGATCACAGCTTGGGGGTCGCTGGCGCGGGAAGTCCCCAGACGGAACTTGCGAAGGTGTTCTTTGCTCTCCTGGCTAAAAGTGTAGAGTCTGCTTTCGGAGGCCTGGAGACATGTTAGCTGAATTATATGGATGAGATGTCTGGCATACCATGATCGGGGAGAGGCACAGCGACACTGCGGTGTTTGTGTTGCTGATGGTCGAAGCGCAGCCTTGATGTTGATGAGGGGCACTTCTGCCCCTCATTTCGGTCGAGCCGTCGCTTACTAAGCGAGAATTTGATTTCCATCGTCAGGTTCTACTGATGTGTAAGGTAATCCGCCACTGTGAAAGGCAAAAGCAACTGATCTGTATTCTGTTCTTGATGGTTGACATAGCCTAGGCTCGCATAGTCCGGAATCCTTGACTTTCTCAACTGCAGTAGGTCTGTGCCAGAGTACGCGAGGGCTTTAAAAACCTTTGACATCCGTCCCAGATCATGCTTTGAATGTCTACAGAAGTGCAGTATGAGAGTTATTTAGTAACAGGAATAAACTGGGGTATTTGCTTCTCGCACCCCAGTATCTGTAGCTTCCCCAGGAAAGGAGGGAAATCTATTCTGCACTGTTTTCAGAAAACATGTGGTAGAGCCGAGCTGGTACAGGAGGACGCAGCCTTCATGCCTCCGCGACGTCATTTGAACGCGAAAACTAGGAAGGATGATCAACGAGCGAGTCTTGATGGCCTTCAAGAAACCATTGGTGGGAGTTGTCGATACCTCTCTTGGGGGTCTTGGTGCTGCGAGTATGGCTTGGTATAAAACAGGTTCCAAGTCTGGAACCCGTCGTATCCAGAGTGAAGGAAAGGCAATCAGATCAGTCCACTCCGCGTCAATTCTTTATTTGGAGGTTTCCAAACTATGGAACCCCGGGACGGATCCATCTAACCTGATGATATAAGCCAATTACGCAACTCTCAGCTGCCCTACGGCATCAATCCTTGAAGCTATTCGACGTTATCCGTCCCCTGCCAGGCCAATGCCCCCAAATGAACCGGCTCTCTTGGCAAAGCTTGTTTTTGGCCCCTGCTCATCAACCGTCATCGAGCTAAGGAACCCCGGCCCAGCTCGCAGAACCAGGACGCAGCCGGGCATCGTCCCCCATTCGATGCAAAATGGACGCGTTGCTCTCGACCCCGCTGCTCACTGACAGAGCTGGGCCTACAAAGGCTTCGGCGTGTCCGTTGCGTCCGCCATGATTGCAACAGACTTGCAACACTTTTGAGCATTGCATCCAAGTATCTGACAGTAGCAATTATCTCTCACTTTATATATATTTCATTTGCAGTAGTCGACCCCAGCAATTGACGACCATGATCTCGGAAAAGGTATATAAGCTCTGTACGAGCAAAGAGAGCGTCTCTGCTCTGCTTGCGAAGAACCCCGCTCTTTCTCCCGAAGAAGCTTGGAAACAGTTATTCGAAGGAGAAGAAGCTGGAGACAATGAAAGTATATCGACTGCAAAGACGAACCGGGACAACCATACACCAGAGGATTTAAAAAGGGCTCGGGAATGTGGAAATTGGGGCTCAACAGAGCCAAGCGAACTGTTTTTGCGAGTAAGTACAATCACCCCATTCATTGGGCAGCGCTGAGTTTGCAGCTGTACCATGATGCACTCTGCACACTTGACAGAAGCCTATCGGGTTGCATGGTCAGTCCTTCATTGATGGGGAGTTGTGGTGTTATTCCGTTGACGGTCATATCTGTGTACGATCCCCCTTTATACAACCGAGATATTCGCTAACAACTCGTCAACAGTGTGCCTGACATCATGCGACACATGTCGAACTTAATTGTACGCGCAGAAAAAGAAGTTATACTCGCTACCAACTACTGGCAGAATTCGGTCGCTTCCAAATATATAACAAATGCGATGAGGGAGCTATCGAGAAGAGCTGGCAAGCGAGGAGAAAGGATTGTGTTCAAGCTAGAATATGACCGAGGAAGTGCGAAACAGGCTTTGAACAACCACATGTCTGTGACACCGAAGGAATATATGGGCGCTGCGGTGAATATCCCAGCGCCGGAGGATATCCCATTCATCGACTTACAAGTGGTCAACTACCACCGACCAATGGTTGGAACCTTCCATTGCAAGTACATGGTTGTGGACAGGAAGTATGCGGTGCTTCAAAGCAACAACATCCAGGACAATGACAACATGGAAATGATGACACTTCTGGAAGGGCCAATTGTTGACTCGCTGTACGATATGGCTCTGATTTCGTGGAACAACAAGCTGGACCCACCCCTACCAAGCGCAAACTCCCCAGCTGCGCAAGGAGGTGCGACCTCGTTCAATAATAATCACAACGCGATGTTTGGCCAGAATGGAGCTATCAAAGGCCACTCAGCCATTGTACACCCAGAGCGTATGAAGCAACGGAAGGCATATGAGTATCACCCAGGAACTGTCAACCAACCTGGCGTAGCGCAGCCATCTGTTGCTGTTGACAAATCAGAGTCGAGCCAGAATGATCTGAATGGGCCTGTGAATGCAGAAGACGCTACTCGGCCTACGGGAGATGAAAATGGTGTCAGCGAAATAACCAATGGCATGGAGCAAGCGAAACTGAGAGGAGAAACTCGGTCGATCGAACACCAGGGCCAGGATTTGGGCATGATTGGAAGGCTCCAGGAAAATGCGAAAGCAGTTGCAGTGACAGGTGATGTGGACCACATCCCACAGCCCGAGAAAGAGCACCATGGAGCAGTGAGCAATCTTGTCGGCAACAAGGAGAAGCGTGGTAACAACAAAGAGTTGAATGCGCCAGGTGTGATTGGTCCTGATGCTGAGACCAAGGAATTCTTGAATGAGGGCAGTCAGCAACTCCCTCAATCAAAAATCGAGAATCCGTCGGCTGAGGATGCTCTGTTGCCTGAGCACACCACCGATGACCCTCACTACGATGTCGATATTGCAGGAGAAGTGGCACGTGTCCAAACAGCAGTATCTCCAAAGAATGGTGAGACTAGAATTGAAGCAGTGACACGGCATCTCAACCACACCAAGAATGCCGGCTTCAAAGGAAATGCGCCCGAGTGTGAGCCAGAAGACGAAATGACGCCCTACATCCCCCATCCAGTTCATGAGCCATTCCCAATTGCGATGGTGTGTCGTGAGCCATACGGATCGCCAAATCACCGCTCTGTGTACAATCCACAGAACGAGGTGTGGCTTTCAGCTCTCCGCAACGCCAAAAAGAATGTCTTCATTCAATCACCGACTCTGAACGCTGAGCCGCTCGTCCCAGCGATCATTGAAGCTTGCGAACGGGGCATCGATGTATATTGCTATATTTGTCTGGGCTACAACGACACTGTGAGCCCCTCTTCTCAGAAGACTTCGAGATCATGCTGACAAACAAAGGGTGAACTTCTTCCAAAGCAAGGTGGCACGAACGAAATGATTGCTCATAAGATGTACACCTCTCTCTCGCCTCAGGGGAAGCAGAAGCTTCACTACTTCTTCTACATCGGCAAAGACCAAACCATACCCATAGTTGCCAAAAAGAAGAAGCGCGATTGCCACATCAAAGTCATGATCGTTGACGAGCACATCGGTATCCAAGGCAACGGGAATCAAGATACGCAGTCGTGGTATCATAGCCAGGAAATCAATGTTATGTTCGATAGTGCCTTGGTGTGTAAAGCTTGGATTGATGGGCTGAGGAGGAATCAGAACACGCATCTGTATGGCGAGCTTGGGAAGATGGATGGTGTATGGAGAGATCAGAATGGAAAGGAAGCGAGTGATGTTATTGGTGTCGATCCAGGGAGGTTTGCGTGGGCGAAGGGATTCATGGGTGCAATTCGGAGAGTGAGAGGTGCTGGTGATTTTTAGGAGATGGAATCATGTTTTCTGGTTTTGAGACTTTGGATTAAGTTCATATATAGATTGGACACAAATGGTGTTTTGGTGTATGACTTGAGAAATCTACAGTTGAATATACTAAAATTGTTTCAAAGGGGTATGTACCGACTGTATCGGGCCAAGACCATAGACTTTTCGAATTGTAATACTTCCCGGAATGGAAAGAATGACCCTTGACATGGTCACGTGCTAGTGGTAGTTGCTGCAACTGGAACCCGAATGTCTTCAGCATCTTCGTCCCACAAATCTCTTGCAACGTTAAAAAGCTCACATGCTGGCAGTGATACAATCGCCGTATATCTTACCTAGGTATCTTCACGTATACTTGAATGATAACCCCACTTACCAGCATTTGCCCGACTTCAGTACCGCACCCAGTTCCCAGACAATTGACCATTCGAGATGTCACAGTCATCACAAGCCGAGGAGGACGAAATATCTCCTCTACAATATGCCCGCCAGAATGGATTATCCCAAGACTATCTTTCTAGTAATCTAGGATTCCCAGAACTCAAGCAATTCCAGCACGAACTACTTGACGATTTTGATGATGATGCCAACCTGCCCAGACTTAACTTCGGGGCCGGGGTGAAGGTTGAAGAACGTCTTTCATGCTCGAAGGACGCAGCAGCTGTGCTAGCATGGGTGATGCAAGAACAGCAACCTGATGAGATCAATGCTCTCACCACGCCCTTTTTCAGGACTACCCACAAGAGGGACAAGAAGTTGGAACTACCTCTTCTGAGAACTGACGTTGATGCAGACTGCCGGAGCTTCGCGAGTAGAGAAGGTCTCGAGATCAAGCTCCGAGATGTTAAGCTTCCACTGGAAGCGGTTGGAGAAGGAGAGGGATTCGATTGGACTGGACAGTACGAGAATTTTGCAACAGTCGTCTTGCAAGACCTGAAGGCGGAGAAAATTACCGTTACGAGAGAAGCAATGGCATTTCTCCAAGCTTGTGCAAATGCTGCTTGGACGGAAGAAGACGAAGCCGAGCTTTATGAAAGAGAACAGAAGTACAAACGAGTAGGTTGTCCTACTTCCACTGAGGCGCTGCTGACGGTATTGCAGAAAACTGCGTTGGACCCTGTCACACCTCCTCTATCTCCGCTTCCTGAACCACTACAGCCCTTTGAGCCATCCTCTTCCGATTGTGCGTTAAACATACCTATCTTCTCTGATACCTTTTCGCCTACAAGGCAAGATCTTGAAGCACTTGAAAAAGAAATATTCGAACAGGATCTGCCAACACCGCTGCGGGCGTTACCAGCTGGCGACTTCACCATTGAAGGGTATTGCCAGGAACAGGTTGCAGACATCGGACATACTCCATCTTCGGAGCTGAGGCCAATCAAATGGAGTAATTTCAAAGTTGAAGTGCCATTGATGCCCGATGAGTCTGTATCGTTTCCAAAGACCGTCCGATTCGACGAGCATATTGACGAGCATCTGATCGAGCGGTTCAGCAACAGTCCAATGGCTCTTGAAGATGAAAGAAAGTTCTTTCAGTCCTTCGAAGAGGCGTACAGGGCTGTAAATCTGGAGGCCGAGCAAGAAAAATTAAGCAAAGAAGACACCACCGCACGAGTCGATGTACCCGACCTCAAATTCGAGAAACCTGATGCGCCATGGAAACCTTTTGAGAATCTGCAAGGCCAGGCTGGGCTGTCAGGTTTACAGAAATCATTTATTCTTGAGACCATTGCAACGAGCATACCAGAGTGGCCTGGAGCAAGAGGCCAAGAAAGCAAATTGCCATGGGCGCCTTTTACACAAAATTTTGCGAAGCTGGCTTTGGAAGATGACATTCCGGCAGATGACAACATATGGCAAGCTTTCGTAGAAGCCGAAGGTGATGTCATTGACAGTTCTAGCTTGACATGGGACAGAGCTGGATTGAAAGTTCTAAGGGATGAGGATGACGAGGAGGAAATTGACTTTGGCATGTTCCGAAAGGACACTCCGCCAAACATGTCAACCATCATCAAGAAGAGAAAGAAGGAATTCCAGGAAAGAGGAGGATCAAGGAACAGCGACCCAGCTGCTGCTACAGGTTCAAAGCCAGGAACGTCACTTCTGAGAGGGACGCCTAAGCCTATAGTAGCTGCAACAGGAATGGGAGCATTTGGATTCTTTGATGGGGAATTTTCTGTGCAAAATTCACTCAATAATTATCTCGAGCACCGAGGTTTGAAGAGAACCAAGATAGCAGAAAGCTCATACTTTACCAAATCTGCCGAAACAACATCCACCAGAGAAATCGCTCGGGACAAGACACCGAAAGTAACCGGCATGCCCATCCGGATCTCTCCAGCCAACAAGGAGAATTTGCCGGTACCTGAGATTCAACCAGTCAATGCCTACACATGGATTGTTGTTTCCACGACCCTCCTCAGAAACAGAAGCTTGATCGGCAGCATCGAGGCTCAATTGCCGTCGGTCAAACTGGTTGAACGAGATTTCAAGGCTCATAATACCAGTGCATGGATGCCAGGATCTGTTACTAGATCACCAGTCAAATCAAGCCTTGACACCGAGGCTGACATGATCATCTCACCATCCGTTGGTATCATCCTTACCACTTTGCTGACTATCCGGCAGAAGCCGCTCCCAGGTCAGAAGAAGCTCAAGCCAGAGATCTACCAACGTGTTGAAAAAGTCAGTCCTCGTTATGAGAAGCTCGTGGTGCTGGTCAGTGAAGGAACGGAGAATGAAGTCACCGCTAGGATGACTGATAGTGACTGTCTTGCATTTGCTGAGTTCGCAGGCTATCTTTCAGGCTTCGAGACGTCGATCAGTATGCAGTATGTAGGCGGCGGCAACAGGAGTTTGTCGAAATGGATCGTTAGCAATATCATTCAGTATCGTGTGGACAATGAACTTATTGCCGACGAGACATTCTGGGAGCTGTTTCTACGACGAGCAGGCCTTAACGCCTTTGCAGCTCAAGCAGTCATTGGAGAGCTCAAAGCTCCAGATGGTATTGATCCAGGAACTCCTAGCAAAGCTGGTCTTTTCGGTTTAACATCCTTTGTAGAGATGGGCAGGGAGGATAGACTTGCTCGGTTTGGTGGAATTTGTGGACATAGCGTGCTAGCCAGAGTCAGTGCTGTCCTAGATGCGAGATGGGACTGATCTTGTTTGAGGATCTGAGGGGTGCGAATATCGCATTCATCTGGCTGATTTGCTATCTTGGCGTTTTGTTGCCGGTTGAGATTTGCTGTTTTCTTTGCTATGTCAGGAACATTTCCAGATCGATTTAGCATAGCTGATATCGAGCTCACAAACTCCATACTTTGATGCTATTGTCTGGTGTGTGAAGGTCTCTGGGGGACGAATGGACCGAACTTGATCCGTGATCGTCTGAATCGTCATCGGAGCTGCCATCATTTTCTTCGACTTCTTCGCTAATGCTGAGACCTGGAGATGACCTCTGACCTGAACAGGTTGCCACTACCGTCCCAGATGAATGAACAGCTGTTGATGTTACAGGATCTATCCAGCATTAGTAAGGCCCTAAAAACTACTCCTCAGCAACATACCATCATGAGCCTTGAATTCCCAACTCCTCTCCAACGGTCCTTCTGTCATTCCGACTCCTTCCCAAACTCGCACAACACCATCCACACCTCCAGCCCATACTTCTGTCCCACTATCGCTCGGAAATAAGTCCACGCCAATCCTCTGGTTAGTACCTGCATCTCTGCCTACCAACCAACTGACTAGCTTCCCCGTAACCCTAACATCGTACACCAACACACCCTTGCTTTTCCTCTCCACCACGAACAGATACCTCCCGCAAGCACTCCACTTTATGTCCGTTATACCTGTCCCTCCAATCCCCACATCAATATCCGCAGCTTCAGCAACACTCCACGTTGCAACCGTACCTCCCAATCCCCCCAAATCATACAGCCCTACCCACCTCGTCCAGGTTCCAGCAGCCAGCATCCCCACGTCAGCATTCTCCGGGCTCGGCTGCTGTGACATCGCAGAAACGATACCGCGCATACCTACGCCGCCGCCTTTCATCTTGTGCCGCTTAGATGGGATAGTAGGTAGGCGTGTGACAGGTCCTTCACCCGAGCGGGAGACGTCGAATAAGGCAATTAGACAGTCAGTGCCGGCTAGGAAGTGGTTCTGCGAGGACCAGAGGAGCGAGGAGGGTGTGTAGTAGGCTTCTGTTGTGGGCGAGATGAGGTTGTATGTTGCGGCGGGGGTTGAGAGAGGATTCAAGGCGTTGAGGAGACGGATGGGAAGAGCAGAGGGGGTGGAAAGATAGAGAGTTGTGGAGGGGTCAGAGAGAGTGAAGTAGGGGTATGGTGTGAGGCAATTGATCGGTGTAGGGAGGGTGTGCGTTGTATAGGGCGTGAGTGTCTGTGGGGAGGATGATTCGAGGAGGGTTGGTGGGAGGATGAATGTTCGGATTGTGTTGTCGGCGCTGGATGTTAAGAGAGTGGTTCCGTCTGGTGTCCTGATAATGTTAGATTTCTGACTTCAGTGGCGGCAGCAAATCTCACCATTGGGCACTCTTGAAGTAATTGGCCTCTGAGTCTATTTCATCATCAAGGCTTGTTCCCGTAGTGTCGAGCTCCGGAGTGCCAATTCTCAGATCGCGCTCCCGCATCCCGGATTCTGCTATTGTACAGCTGTAGGTATCGCCAGTGGATGCTAGGAGTCGTGGGGTCTTGGAGTGGTTCTCCATAGCTGCAACTTGTATCTCATCTCTGTGGGTGTCAACCTGTAGCATCCACATACACACTAAAAGCCTTACGAAGTTGCAGGTGGACGATACCTAGGTATTCAAGGTATCCAGCTAGCTCACCTTACGAACTGGGCTGCAAAAGTCCGTGCGGTTCAGGCTATCTCGCTTGAATAGGAGACTCGCTTTTTTGATGATATAGCCTAGTTGTAAAGCTTTGTATTACTATGAAAATATATTTAAACTGAAATACCTTCTAGGATATAATATTAAGGTATATAAAGAACAATTCTCTTAACTACGAATATCTGATTTCACCTTCTAAGTTCTTGAAAAAATAGATTTTAGTAATTTTAAGCCTGTACCGCACGGACTTTTGCAGCCTAGTTCGTTAGTGGACCCTCGCAGCCTCGTCACGCTACCCGATATTGTATAATGTAGCACCAGTGCATGAAACTCGTTGAGCGCGTCCCCCCAACCTTACCTACTGAGGTAAATTTACTTTGGGACACTTCCATTTCTCATGATAACAACGACACCTCCAGCTGTATATCAAATTCCCCTTTAATGCCCTTCTGAATTATCATGTGAGAATTGAGCTGTTGAAAGTGGAGAGTGGAGAGTTCTGATCCAATCAAACAATTCAAAATACCAAGTAATGTGCTAGAAGTTCTATTTCCAAATTACTTCTAAATCAATTCCAACCGCAGGCTCCATCACGAAACACTGAGTAAGTTTTAGGATATCACTGTTGAAAAGAGATTGCGCTAAACAACCCTTACAGACAGTACAATCAAGACCGAAATGCCTCCAAGATCGAACAAGAGGCGCAAGATAGCACACAGTGCTCCTGAACTACCTGTACACTGGCCTCCACATGGAGATCCAACAGTCTTCAAGTCTCCGGGCTTACAACCAGACACGCGGTTAAGAGTTTTTGCTACGGAATTTCATGTTCATTCGAGCGTTCTCCGGCTCCATTCCAATTATTTTCGCACATTCTTAGACTCGCCAGATAAATTGGGCCGTCTTGCAGGAGCTGTGTGGCGTTACGACTACATTACTGTAATCGACGAAGATGGAACTTGGGCGCTGGAAGCTTCAGCAACTGGAATTCAGGCAGATCTTTGGGTCCGTATGATGAAAAGTAGCTCTCTCCGTTTCTCTATATTCAAGAATACGAACTTTGCATACTGTTTTCTTCTACTTTACTGACTCTACGACCTCAGTTGGCTTCGGCGGAAAACGCGCATATGACGAACTGTATGTGCTACTCACTGCGGAAAACAGAGGCTTTTGAGTGTCTTTTATCTGCTATGTACAACAGACCGTACTCTCCTTCAACCGTCGCCGACCTAAACACGATCATTCAGCTTGCTGAATTCTACCGCGCTCTCCCAATACTGTCCGCAACCATGACACCGGCTCTTTTGAAGAGTGCAATGTTCAATTCACGCAACGCTATGTGTAGATTCCTCAATCTCAGCAGAGAGGTGATACAAGTTGCCAAACAGCTTCGCAATACGGACTTGTTCCGAGAATGTTTTGTTCACGAGGTTGGAAAGTACGATGCTGGAGATGAGACGAACCATCTGCTCGATGATGACATCCATCAGCTTATCCGGAGAGAGCACAGTGTCATATGCAAGAGAATCATGAGGACGCAGAGCAGGCTTCTGCTTCGGTACCAGAGGTTTCCCATATGGATAAGCCCCGACATGGCGATGGTCATTGACCTGGAAGATAATCCCACTCGAACTGCAGATTTCTTCAGAGCAGTGAAGTGTCAAGTGGATAGCCTCAGCGTCACAACAAGATGGGCCGGAGGCCACCTGGATCCGTATATGAAAATGGCAAAGTCTGAATTGGACGGCTTGATGCGGAACAACTTGCGACTGGATCGCACCAATTTTGGGTCCGCGTCAGATCACAACGATGATTATTTTTTGTGTGCAGATATCAAGGATGATGAAATGCCGTGGGACTCTGGTGTGATCGACTGGTGAGGAAAAATAAATTGGGCTTTAGTAGGCGCGAGACCTGTGGTTCATGGAATGAGAAAGAGGAGTTTCTGCACGTATGTAATAATTGTATTTGTATTGATATGAGTCAGCTTCAGCTTTAGGGTCAATCTCACAGGCAAGCAAATCCTTCCATTCATATCGGCGTCACCTTCTTCTATCATTCCACTACTATCGACTCCGACGAGATCCTTACTGGCAAAGTCCATGGCTGCCTATTGAAGCCAGCCCTCCATAGTCGGTTGGCGGGTGCTCAGATTGATTACGAACCTCATCTACGGACAACAGAGGATTTGAAGTACTTCTGATACCGTGACAAATCAAATGTTCCCTCCTCCAGCTCCTTGCTATTCACATCTCCGGCCCAACAGAAGGTCCTACATTCCTTCAGCGCCCGACCGTCTTCAAGCACAACATCACAGTGCCACCAAGTATAAACACTGGTTTCGTACTCCTCCAAGCGCTGGAAATGAGGTTCGGAGTCAACCTTCCACACCGTGCCAGATATCGTTCCTTCTGGAGTCCTGATGATGGTGGGGTAAATTCCCCACATCTTCATGGAGAATCCCTTGATTTCCCCTTGCGTCACGGATGGGGTTTCGGGGAGATCAAGCACAGATTGGAGGACTTCAGCGTCCATCAAGGATCCATAGAAAAACATGTAGCATGGTCGGAATGGATCGGTCTTTTTTCTCAAGTCAACATCCGTTGCTGTTGCATAAGTCTCTTCTGATATTGTAGGTCCCGGTGACGGGGTTGGTGGAGGAGCTACCACTGCTACAGGCCTCGAAGATCGAGGAAAGCTCGGGGGAGGAGGGAGTGGTGGTGGTGGAGGTGGAGGTGGTAATGGAGGGGACGGTATGCTCTCCATGAGTATGGCTCCCTTGCTGCTTAATCCCAGAAGCTCAGTCAACAAAGGCTGATCTGAATGGATACAAGTGCTGTCGGCTGTCGTGCGCGGCTAATGGTGCGCAGCTTGTGAGTACAAGTAGCTAGGTTGTAAACAGTGCTAATACGAGTAGAATTCGCTATTTTCCGTGCGCTGATAGTTCAAGAGCAAGAAAGAGCGTCTCATTGAATTCTCGGAACCTTTTCTGCCCACCGTTTAGGCAACCATCCAAGAACATTGGGGAAAGGCTGCTAAGTCCTATCAAAGCCTTCCCAGTTCAATCCTCCTGGTTCCTCTCCTGGAATCTGAGATCTGATGCAGATGCAGATTTGGCGATGCAAAGGGTGATATTTCTGTCTTGACTACAGTTATTGATAAATGACCTTGACGACCTGGCCTTTGGACTTTTGCGCTTGCCATCAAATTTAGGATCCCCCAGACATGCTACCAGCCAGCCTACCACGGAACTACGGCAGCAGAATCTTCGTTTGGTTGGATGAATGACTGGTGCCAAGGTATGCCCCCTTTTTATATTGCTGTGCCACAGGAGCCGAGATTCTTGAGGCGCAGTGCCGCAAACCTGTATTCGTTCCTACGAATCAGGCGGGATTTGCCCCGTAACTAATATCATATTTGTTTTGAAAGCCCACAAATAAACCGAGTCTCAGTGGAGTGATACGCGCCTGAGATCCAGGAACAGGATACTTCAGGCATTGCCTATGGCTTTAATTGCACGACACCTCCATTTCTGTTTCTTCGGAACATCACAGAATGTTGCCTTTTTTATTCCTGACTTTTATATCGGCATGGAGTCTATGCTTACAAGGTATTTGAATCTAATCCGGGATCCGTGGATAAGCTAACTCTTTCCACAAAGAAGTCCTCGCGAGAGAGTGCGGTAACGAGACTGGCTTCATCTCAGGCATCATAGTATGGAGCCAAGAAGATGCAGACATCAAGCTCGATAGCTGCACCAAATTGATCTCCACTCTCACCATTGGGCACAATTACACGGGCGATTTTGTTCTGCGCGGTGTCACAAATTTGACAAGCCAATTCAGTAATTCCAACCCCTCAAGAATGATCTAGGCAACTTGCAACTGAAATCGATGTGCTCTGGTTTTTAGCAACTTCAATCGGGTACACATGGACTAGTCCTTACGAAACTGAGGAAGGCGTACCCGGTCTCACCTCCGTCACGGCACCCGACTTGCTTGAAATAGGCAGCTATAGTCTAGATCTGCAAAATGCCACTGCTCTCAAGTCTGTATCATTTGAAAAGCTTCGAAAAGCTTACAATCTTGACATCGAACTCGGCACTTTAGACTCTTCGCTGAGTTTCCCAGCCCTGGAGACTGTCGTAGGTCGCTTGCAAATTCTGGGAAACTTCTCCAGGTATGTTGGATTAACGCAAGTTCACTGTTCGTCTTGGCTAACCAACTTGTAGTATGAACTTTAAGAGCCTTACCAGTGTCGGTAGCTCTGTGACGATCAGAAGTCGGCGTGAGAGCTCAGACAACGACTACATGTATTCGCTTGAAGCTGGGACAAACTCTCCCCTCGATATCGAGTTTCCATTACTCGTCAATTGTTCGACTCTGAAGATTATAGGAAACATATCTCGGTTTGATCTTTCCCTTATCCGTCCTTGGGTTGTAAAACTTGAAAATATAGTAATACTGTGGCAGTATTTCAATGCCGAAGCTGGAGACTATAGCCGATTTTACTGGGAACAGCATGTTCTATGATTATGGCCATGACCTCTCAGTCTATACTCAAGGACAACCGCTCAATTTGAGTTTTCCTATTCTATGGAATATATCAGATATAGCCCTAGCAGGAACATTTGGGAAGTATGAGTTCAGCTTCGGTTGTCATCACTGGTAGCTGACTTTTCTAGCATTTCACTCCCGGCACTCAAGGATGTCGAAGAGTATACAGTCAGAAGCAAGCTCCCGATAAGTGTCAACCTCACACCACTAGAAACTGCAGAATCTATTTATTTTTATGGCAATGTGACAGAGTAGGTCTCATCCTGATTGCTTTCTACGATTTGTATTGATGACGGATGACAGCTACAACATCACAAGTCTCACGAGTATATCCGAGGATCTGTACATAAGTAGCGAGCTCTCGCCTGATTGTGGTCCCGGAAAAGAAAAATGTAAGATTTTGAAGGTAGCCATGGGCCAAGTTTTGAGCTTTGGAAGAGCGTTGCTGCGTCTAAGTCGTATTGCCAAGAGAAAGGAGTTATTACTTACGATTTGAGCAGGGCTGGAATTACACCCAGAATATTCCGATCGTAAGACATATATTCCTGGCTTTAGTTGCAAAGCGAAAACAAAGAAGCATTTCCCAGGGAAGCAAGTCGCTTTAGGACTTGGCATTGGAATTCCGCTTCTCGTCATTTTCGCCGCCGTCATTTGGCGCTGCAAAAGAAACAGCAGCAACAAGAAATTGGCTTCAAAGGACAGACTTCCCGACTATGAGACTGAGATGGAAACTAGAAGAATCGGTGGTGGAGAGATCTTGCCCGAGTACGCCCCACCAGCAGAATGGAGCAGCTCGGACAGAGTGAGTCCTGTCAGCAGTGTGGGTAATGTGTCGAGGCCAACGGGTAGACCTCCTGGCTATGAAGCTGCAAATACTCAGGAGTCACATGTGGCGCAAGTCCAAAGGAGTCGCGATCCTCTTGTTTGATTGATGAAGCAGAGAGTCATGGAAAGAGGAATCAGAATTTTAGCAATGCCAAGTATCTATGACAATGGGCTTGCAGCTGTCTGACTGATCTGCATCATCTGGTCACAGACACCGCCTGAAATGTAGATGACCGAATTTCACTGGCCAATCTCCAATGGAAGCTACTAGCAAATGGCAATCTGAATTGTGGATTAGATGCAACGTCCAATTGTTGGATCGAATACTCGAAGCTTCACTCGCTTCGAAGGCTTGAAGCAAATAAACAAGTAATGCGGGCCAAGGGCCGCATTTTAGCTCGATCGCGGGTCAACCTCGGCCACCGCCACCCAAGCTGTCTGTTTACTTACAGACATCATCGAAGCATCAGCTTCGACTTCCATGATCAACCCCTGATCTTACACAACAGAGAATTCTTCAACAGAATAAGTCAAAGTCAAGCCGCTATCAGCATGGGCTTCTATTCTGGATTAACAGTGGGTCATATTGCTAGCCGCTGCGAGAAGCTCCAGGAGCCTGACTACTTTAACTTGACGCTGTCCATGTGAGTGTGTGCCATCGGTGACGAAGGTACAAGACTGACATGTATTTTAGCTTCATACTTCTTGGTATTCTGGTCTCTTACCTCCCTCAGCATTATCGAATCATTGCGCGAGGCACGTCCGAAGGAATATCCCCATACTTCATCCTCCTTGGAACGACGTCCGGAACATGCGCGTTCGCCAACATACTTGTTTTGCCAGCTTCGAGAGCGGATGTAGCATGCTGCAAGACCATAAGCACATTTGAGTGTGCTGCTGGTCTGCTCGGGATAGCACAAGTTGGCGTACAATGGTTTTGCTTCAGTGTCATGTAAGCTTTGAGCTTGACCAGATGGGAACGGCGCTGACAGATGAAAGTTTACTTCTCTTTCTCGTTTTCTTCCCTCGAGGGCCAACTCTTCCAAATAACGATGCCGAGAAACAATATACATGGCGGACAGCAGTCACAGTTGCGTTTCTATGTTTACTTCATGGCCTGCTCGTCATAATAGTCAGCGCGGCTCTCATAATATCACGACCCAACCATTTGGGCAAGTGGGCGAACACCCTTGGAATAATGGCTACAATCTTGGCAGGTATACAATACCTGCCGCAGATTTGGATGACGTGGCATTTGGGGCATGTCGGAAGTTTGAGCATTCCCATGATGCTTATCCAGACGCCGGGCAGCTTTGTCTGGTCTGCGAGCTTGGCTGCGAGGCTTGGTGTTGAAGGATGGAGTACGTGGGGTGTTTTCTTGGTGACAGGATGTCTACAAGGTTGCTTATTAGTGATGGGAATTTGTTTCGAGATCAAGGCTCGGAGGGAAAGAGGCGCTGGGACAGAAGTCGTATGTTTATCCTGCGCATTGCCTCTCTATAAAGACAGCCACTAACGTCTTACAGGCTAACGGTATCGGAAGTACGGAGACAGACGATGAGGGAGGTACCGTTGTTGAAGATGGGTTGAGTGAAAATACCCCATTGTTGAATGGGTCGAGGAAGTCATCTCGCACCCCAATGCCAAAGTAAATGAGAGTATGCTTGGCTACAGTACCTATCGGAGTCCTACACTTATCTAGACCTGAATCCTATCTCCCTTTGTTCATCCTTGTCGCTCCCTGGGATACGAAATTAGCATGTCACGACATAGTCACGATGGCTGCAAACTGATAGCTTTGAACATCTCCATGCATGCTATTCAAATCGCTGATTCTATATCATGCGGTGGCAAGCCGCTACGAGGAGTATACTAAATCTCAAGTTGGCCTTGCAAATCGAAACTCATGAAAAGCACCATGCAATGTGGACTTTCGTTCATACATCTAAATAATCGGTATGTACACCTTCTAAGGATTTGTCTGTTAGCGCATACTGGAGACCGGAAGGTGCTAACTTACTATCCTAGATCACATCGCCAATTCCAGCTGCCAAAGCAGCGAGTGTAACTGCACTTGTTAATTTGCATAACATTTTGGCCCCTGCCTTCATTGAAGAGGAACCGCTGACAGCTCATGCGATCGGAGGATATTGATGAGCAGTCGCAGTAGGAACAACTGTGATGATGGATGTGATATGGATAGTGCTTTTCAAGTAAGTCGTCATATCGGGGCTCGAAGACGGGGGTTTGGCCGCAAATGGGGAGGTATGCTGGGTGATACTGCTGGTCTGAATGGCGCCATTCGATGCTGAGGTAAATCTGGATGACAACAAGACCGGAGTTATCATGCACTTCGGCTTTGGGGGTGTGGAAAAGTTCGAAGAACTTGCAGTGTGCGGCGTCTTTGATGAGTGTGTATGGCTTGCCGATCGGGGGGCCACGCCCGCATCAGTGGTTGTTGTTGATGGCCGTTATAAGGCTGCGATGAAGGCTGGTACGTTACGGCATGAGTAACATAGATCGTGTGGATTGAATTGGTGGTGTGAGCAGTGTGACTGCTGTGGGTCGAGTGGACGCTGTGGGATCTGTGCGATGTGAAGCCTTGTCTCTTGATTGCGTGGATGGGGTCAAGTGAGGAGCATGGCGCATGCAAATCTTCGTCAACGCCGCGCCATCTAGAGTAATGAGAGAAGAGCTGACATATCCAAGGATATCAAGTGTGGTTGACTTGAGCTTCATGCTTCCAACATTACTCGACTTTTCGTGCGACTTGCATGCGTGGTGAATAACCAAGGTTGACTGGGATGCTTGAGCGCCACTGAGAATGGTTGTGAATAAGGAAAGAGGTGAAATGGGAGTGGAGTGCTCCATATCTCGAGAAGCACGAGCGATTGGACTTCCTTTGCACAGCATAACCCTGGCAATGAAGTAGATGATGATGGCGAGGCAAGTCATTTGTACTGCGTCTGATTCGAGCTAATGGATAATATTTTACATGCGCGACTGAAGTTATGCCAGGGTTGGAGAAGAAAGACGGTTTGCAATTCGGAGCAAAAGAATGAGATGTTGATTTTAATAGACAAGCTTAGGAGAGCTCGGTCTGTGGATGCCAGGTACTGTTATTCACGGAGATTAGCAGCCAACTATACCTCTCAGAGACCAAGAGGGTGAATTAGCAAATGTTGAAGTGGGTGAGGCAGCTTATGTATCCGGTATGTCCTTCAGGTGTTCATGTCTCGTGTAAAAGCGCTGGGTGAGTTTCTACCCGCTTTTGTCATTAGTGTCATGTTTCAATCACTGTTTTATTTGTCAGCCTGTCTTTTCCATCCAATACAAGAAGCTGTTTCTGGGACCAGTGGCACGAGTCTCAAGTCGCGGAATTCAGCAACGTTTCTTAATCCAGTGATGCATGGCAGGTTTTGTGTAACAGCATGGTCATTGACCATTTTGAAGTCTTGCATTGATCCATATATATGCCAATTCAACTCTTGCAGTTTTAGACTGGCATTGCTGCGCTGCCGAACTTAGATACCGCCGTCATACCTAGTTATCAATTGTCGTTAGATCAATCCCCGCTCCACTATGCCGTTCCGCTTCCAAAGTTGGGGCCGGAGTCATAGTAGGTAGTGATAGCAGCCTAATTTCTCGACCCACACCTTCTGTCTTTAAATTCAGATCTGCAATATTATTCCTGAAGCACCTGTGAAAGGAATTTGAACTCCCCAACTTTCTTCCGTCTTGCGTCGCAATCATGAAATATGTCCTGGTCTCTGGGGGTGAGCTCTTACTACTCTGAAAGTCAGTCCTTTGGTTAATATATGACAGGCGTCATCAGTGGTGTAGGAAAGGGCATTATTGGTATACCACATTGTCCTGCAACCTTGAACAGTTCTCACAAATGATAGCATCCAGTACCGGCCTCCTTCTGAAAACCAGAGGATTGAAGGTGACGATGATAAAAACTGATCCATATATGAATATCGATGCGGGAACCATGGCTCCGACAGAACATGGAGAATGCTTCGTGTTGGATGATGGAAGCGAAACGGACCTTGATCTCGGGAATTATGAGCGGTATCTGAACATCACACTCGGTCGTGACCACAATATCACGACAGGAAAGATATACCAGCATGTGATCGATAGGGAGAGAAAAGGCGACTACTTGGGCAAGACAGTTCAGATTGTTCCGCATCTTACTGATGCACTCCAGGAATGGTTTATGAGGGTGGCAAAGCCTCCTGTCGATGAAACCAAAGAACAACCAGAGGTTTGTGTTATTGAACTGTGAGCATTTCCGCTTTTCCTCTGCACTTAATGCGGCCTGGCTGATATGTACAAGAGGTGGTACGGTTGGTGCTATCGAAAATGCTCCATTTGTTGAGGCCCTGCGACAACTTCGAAGAAAAGCTGGAACCGGTAACTTCTTGCATATTCATGTTTCGATGATTCCTGTCATCAATGAGGAACAAAAGACCAAGCCTACGCAGCAAACAATCAAGGATGTTCGGAGTGCGGGTCTTAATCCTGATCTGGTAGACTCTGATTCTCACCCAAATGTACCCAGAAATGTTGCTGACGTCCAGTAGATTGCCTGCCGCTGTAAAGATAGGCTCATGACTTCTACCATCGAGAAAGTTGCGATGTTTTGTCAAGTCGACACGCCGCAAGTCATCGCGGTCCATGACGTCCCATCGACTTATCATGTACCCATGGTTCTGGAGAAGCAAGGACTTATCACATCTCTCACGAAGATCCTTAGTCTCGATGACCTGAAAGTTCCTTCGAAACTCAAACTCAGAGGAGCTACAACTTGGGAGATGTGGAAAAGCAGTACTTCTATCCAAAAAAAATTGTGACATGGTTACAATAGCTCTGGTAGGGAAGTACACCAGTTTCGCCGACTCTTATATCTCCGTTATCAAGTCTTTGGAACATTCTGCCATGTTTTGCAGAAGAAATTTGGATTTGGTTATGGTAGACTCGTCACATCTCGAGGAAGACGGCGGCCAAGACTCATCTATTGAAAGCCAAAAAGCATGGGATACTCTCCGAAAAGCAGATGGTATTCTCGTGCCAGGAGGGTTTGGTACCAGAGGGACAGAAGGAATGATTGCAGCTACGAATTGGGCTCGAATTAATAGAGTCCCATTCCTCGGTGTATGTCTTGGTATGCAGATAGCTGTCATCGAGTATGCCCGGACTGTTTGTAAACTTTCAGGAGCCAGCTCCAGAGAGTGTAAGTTCGTCGCTGAATGTTCGGTAAAATTATGACTAACAAGAAGTATTTAGTCGATGCCCAAGCTGTCGATCCAGTCATTATTTTCATGCCTGAAATCGACAGCAGGTCCATGGGAGCCACCATGCGTCTTGGGATGCGACCAACACATTTCCAGCCAGGTACAGAGTGGAGTAAGATGCGTAGACTGTACCGAAACTCTCTTACTGCGGCATCCAAAGACAGCAATGATGGTCTTATGATTCATGAACGTCATCGCCATCGCTACGAAGTCAATCCCGTGTATGTGCCAAAGCTTGCTTCACGTGGACTCACTTTTGTCGGAAAAGACGACCAAGAAGAAAGGATGGAAATTTTAGAGTTGAAAGACCATCCCTGGTTCGTGGGCGTCCAGTTCCATCCTGAATACTTGAGTAAGGTCTTGGAACCAAGCAGACCATATCTCGGATTCTTTGCTGCGAGCGCTGGTTGTCTGAAGGAGGTGATGGAGAAGCTGGAGACTGGGAAGAGAGGTGCGGAGAAATTAAGCGAGACTTTGACGGAGGTAGACATCTAGTTTGCGAAGAGCGCTCTGCCTTGGATTTATAGCCTCCCTTTCATATTTTTCCAATCTCTCGAGCAGCAGCATCGCTGTCCCATCAACCAATCTTTGATCACGAGTCGGCGCCGGTCCTTGAGGTTGACTTCTCCAGCAAATGTCAGGCGCACCTCCACAGTTACTGTGATCTGTGAAAGTGTAAGCCAGAATTTCATGTGCAACCACTCGTCACAAGATGCTTGAAGTGGATCCGGCAGTACGGACAGTCGGGGTTAATGCAGGCAGCGATGTGTAAGCAGAAGCCTCGCATCATTTGCAACCCCACACTCAACCCAGTGTTCATAGACTCACAGCTGATGTATCCATTGATTACTACACTTGCTGCAAGTATAATGCAAGCCCGCTAATGTAGCAGGTGAGCAGAATCATGGTTACTTCCTGAAATTGGCAATCATGAGGACTTGGCTCCCACCATGAAGCTGGACCAGATACACTGCATTAAGTCCTAGATACTGGAAGCTTGGTCGTCCAACTGAACAACTGCTCTTAAAGCACCCGTTTCCCACATCTTTGCATGTATTTGACATCCATTCCAAATACTTCTAACAGTTTGCTGTCACATATCAACATTGTCGTCATGCCAGGAAATACTGCCGTCATAATCATTGACCCCTACAATGACTTCCTCCATCCGAAAGGGAAGCTCAATGGCCTTCTAGCCGACAGTCTCAACAAAACAGAGACGATTACCCACTTAAAAGAGATGGTAGGCGCGGCTCGTGCCAATAAAATACCAATCTATTACGGCCTGCACCAGCAAGCTAGACCCGGATTTCTTGCTGGGTGGAATCATGCTACCCCAGTGCAAAAGAGCCAAAAGGAGAATGTAGCCTTCGAAGAGGGTTCATGGGGTGTTGACATTTATGATGGCTTGGAGCCAAGTTTAGAAAATGGTGATGTTGTGGTTTCCAAGCACTGGTCAAGCAGGTACGTCTCTGGCGATATCGTTGAGGATTCAGGGAGTTAACTAGCTACAGTTCGTTCCAGAACACTGATCTCGACTACCAGCTAAGGCAACGAGATATCCAGAATCTGGTCATGGGAGGATTGACCTCGAACACCTGCCTAGAATCTTCTGCTCGCTATGCTTACGAGCTGTAAGTTATCATCAGATTCAACACATCAACATACACTAACAACAGCAGCGGGTATCATGTTACCTTATTGAAGGATGCTACAGCAGGTTTCACTATTGAGCAGAAGAATGCCGCAACCGAGTTGATCTGGCCATTATTCGCTCATGAAGTGAAGACGGTGGGAGAATGGATCGAGACTTTGTAGTTATCTGAAGCTTGAAAATGTGCTGTGTAACTCTCAAGTGCTTGGAAATTGTCATTATCACTTGAATTGTCCATATTCCCAGCCTTCTCTCCAAGGTCCCCAACAGATTGCAAGCCAGTTCTTCGCCATTCCTCTCATACCCAGGCTCTCCGCGCCACCTCTAACTTTTAGCATCTGGTGGATTCCCTTGAGATGAATCTCATACTCTTCAACATCTGCCCCACCAATCTGGGAAATTCTGTCAGCAGAGTTTATGTAGGACTAGATTAAGCATATGCTCACATTGAAGTATAGCAGAATCAAAGCAACCATAACCATCTCATCCGTAGCCGCTGTCTCGGGAATCTTCATATTTTCATTGGCATGCTTGATCGTCTGTACCTTGAACCAATACAGTGCCGAGGGATCTCGAATTTTGCGCCGGCGGTTTAGGTGGACAGCTGCAGTGAGAAGGGTGGCATAGAAAAAGGCTGTATGTTCGAGAGCATACGGTAGCCATGCGATCCGTGGTCCGTCCTTTGAGAGGCCATCGTCGAGGTAACATAGCCAAGGAGCGAGTCGTTCAATATCTGTGATTAGTGAGCAAATCACCCTTCTAAGGGAAAGATGCATACAATAGCGTATCAGCAGCTGCTTAGGCACAGGCTCCCCTGAAGTTTCTGGTAGTACCAAGAACGGATCTAACCCGCCAATGGACACTGACGGGGAGTTGTACTTAAGTCCGCTCGCCACGTTAGGTGACTTTGGCCTGAATGGGAGGGATTGAAGCTTTCCGGATCCAACACTTGACTCAAGCAAGCCATCGCAAGATTCAACACCAGTTAGAGATTGGGGAACACCGCCAGCTTCAGGAAGTGTATCGATTGTTCCGGACGTCGAGCTCAAGATGGCCAGTGCATTCACAGACTCGGAAGACAAAACGACTTCCTCCCCTGTCATAATTCTCCGCATGCGTGAGATTGCGGCTTTACCAGTCTCGGCTGCATCTGAGCGTACGTTCTCATTGGCTTTTCTGGTGAGAAAGTGAGTTTTTTGCGAGGGGCTATCGAAATCTAGGGGCTTACACTGGCGTTAGATATCTGCATTGATGCGGTAATCCACGTTCCTTGCAGTCACCGCATGGCTGAGAACGATCACATTTCTGTTTTCTTCTGTGACACTCAGTACAGGAGAGCAAACCTCGGTTTCGTTTCTTCGTCTGGCCGTTCTTCACTTGTTTCTCCATCATACAATATTTTTGGGAACTGGGCAACTGTAACTTATGTGAGTCAAAAACTTCTCTTCTCGAAGACATCTGAGTCTTAAATAAGACCTGGAAACTGGATATATGCCTGCTTGTCAATCGATTTTTCGGTGATGTAGACAATTGTAACTTTTGAACTGCTGACAAATATCAGCTGGGAACCTTTCATAAGGCTGTGTACCACGCTAAAACCGGCGATTATGCAGGTACGCTTCGAACCAGGGGGGTACTTACTGGACGGTAATCAAGCTGAGCAGCGACATCAACTAAACGCTTGAAAGACCCCAATTTCCAATGTGGGCGTATGTTGATGATTAAGAAGTCATCGCGAAAGTTTGCTGATGCAGTCAAAGCAGTTCCAATATTTACTCGAATCTTGGAGAATGTCGGCATCAATGATGACGCACCAATAAATTTAGGCGTATTTCTTGCTGGACAGATTGGGACATTGATATTCTCGCTTATCTTGTGCTCTGAGTTGCCCAAAAATAGCATATTGTTAAATAATGCTGACAAACAAGGCTGTCACTTCCACCTCGGATTTCGTGGGCACCTATGGTGTGATCTCATTTCCCAATAATCGACCAATCTCCTCAGCGATAGCCATAACTCTCTCCTCAGTCAAGCGTCTTCCAACAATTTGTACCGCTACAGGAGCGCCATGATACGCTTCTGGATCATCTAAGGACTGTCAGTCATGTCTCTTGTCTCCGGATGTGCCTCGCCAAACTTACATTCTGCTTGCACCGTCTTGTCCATATCATTCAGCGGAGTGAACCCCGAGTTCTTCTTGTCAATACTCTTGTCCGCGAAAGTGACTGGAACCACAACACTCGCGAAATCCAACAAATTGATTGCGCTGGCATAACCATAATACTTGAACTGGTTGTGCCGAATCGCGGCAGTTGGAGTGATTGGTGCAATAATTGCATCGATCTCCTTACCCAATTCTACCTCAATGGAACGGAATTGATCAAGATATTCGGATTGGAAAGCCCACTTCTTGAGATGCACGTCCCAGAGCTGATTCATGTCGATCTTTGGCAGCGAGGGGTTAATCAGATTTGCGAAATTGGGTATGGCAGGCTCGCCGGATTCTTTCAAAGTGCCGTAAATATCTGTTCCGCCATCGGAGGCGTATATGCCATTAATTAGATTGACAGCAAAGTCATGCTTGTACGGCTTCCATGGGATAACAGTGTGACCTTTCTTCTTCATCGTGTCGACCACTGTTTGGACACCACGGAGGATTGGTGGATGAGGAAGGACCTGATTCAATTAGCATATGACTGCTTTTGAGGAGATTGGGGAACTCACGACGCCGTCACAGTTGTAGAAGCCGAGCGTCAAACCACCCGAGCCAATTTTTGACTTGATGGCATCTGCTTCGGTTTGTCTCCATGGCATTGGAATCACCTTAGAATCGTACTGCCAAGGTTTCTCAGCCAGGACTGCCTGCACAAACAGGCGCATGTCTAGGTAATGAGATTAGTTGTAGACGTCACGTAAGTGAACCAGAGACTTACCTGCAACTGAGTGTGTCAGAGGACCGCACACGGAGTGGACAGTCTCCTGTCCTTCCATCGAATTCGCCATTTTTGCATACGGCAATCTTCCATGAGATGGTCTTAATCCGTACAAGAAATTGAAGGCGGAAGGTACACGAATCGATCCGCCTGCACGTTACAGTTAGTCTTAGCCTTCTCAAGACATATCAAGCACATACCGATATCAGTTCCTACTCCAATGATACCACCTCTGAACCCAACCATTGCACCTTCTCCTCCCGAAGACCCACCGCAAGACCAGTTTTTGTTTCCTATACAAAGTTTAGCGAGGTCCCGTGTTTCCAAACAAAACACTTACGAGGATTGACCGTTCTTCCTGACACATTATTGACAGTCTCGCAAACCATCAAAGATTGAGGCACACTCGTTTTGACGTAAAATACTGCACCTGCCTTCAAGAGAAGATCTACCAAGACCGAATTGTAGGTATCATACTTTCCAACCCATGCAGCGTATCCCATGCTGGTTTCGAGACCCTGTCAGGTTAGTCTAGGTTGTGTGTACACGTACAGGTGTTGACTACCTTGATTCTAAATTGGTCTTTGAGTGAAATGGGAAGACCGTGAAGTGGTCCGACTGGTTTGCCTGTCTTTTTAAAGGTATTATCGAGCTCCTTGGCACGTGCCAGAGCCATGCCAGGGAAGAACTCAAGAGCACAGTTTGTCTGCAATCATGATTAACACTTTACAACTACCCTCATATTACGGAGACTTGTACCAATTGATGTGCCAAAGCAGCTCTTTTGCAGAATGCAGTCGTCACGGCTACTGATGTGAGTTTCCCAGTTGCAAGCTGGGCCACAAGATCAACAGCAGATGATTCGGTGATAGCCAGCTCCTCAGCAGTCATTATCCCACTTTGCTTTGGGTAAGCCATTACAGAATCATCTGCTGGTTTCGACTTGATCCGCCATTCTGTGGGAATTGACGCCGCAAGACGGGCTCGCTTATCTTCTACAGCTTGTTCCCACGTCATGGCGTCTGTCTTGGAAGTTGGAAGCAGGTGAAGAAGAGCTTAGGTTTGAGATCAAAAGGTGAGCGGAAAAGATATTTTCGAATGGGTTGATTTGAAGATATCATAACAGAAAGATCGGATCTTATGGAGTAATTTATATTCAAGTGTTGGGCAAGTCTGATATCATGACATACCATCGACGCTGGATTGGCGGGGTACTGGGCGGGATCAACAAGGCGGGGTCGACATGGGATAAGAGGTCGAGCTTATCTGTTCCTAGGGTCACCATTACAAATCGAATTCGGGTCCAACTCTGGGCACCCCAGAAGCAAGCTCTCCGTGAACCTGAACAGTATGGAATTATGTAAAGTTTACTTTATTGGCGAGTGTTTTGTTTTGGTTTGCGAAGTGTCGTTGAGTGATGGATGTGACCGCATTGACCAGCTCGAGATCCAAGCGCGATTTTGAGATAACAAGATTCACCTCCTCTTAATCAAACCTAACAGCCTCGGGGTGTCGCTTCCAACAGGTGATAGCACATACAAAGGGCGCTCAGGTTCTACGCATGGTAGGAATGCTATGTAGCATCACTTTTCCTCAATATGGAATGCTCAATTGCCATTTCAGAGCCCTTTTTCGAACTCCCAAGCCGTACTTCTGCTAGATCTGGATCTTGAAGTTCTGGACGTTCGATATTGTCAGACCGCGCCACCTGGCAAATAGTGTATATGAAGTCTTTACGAGGTCAAAATTGGTCCCTCTGTGGTAGAAGAACTCAAAATATGCAGCTTCATACCCAGAGACGGAAATTATATTGATGCTAGATGAAGCACACAGCTTACACATCATTGCAGCATTCCGCTCAGAGGACATTTTTGTCCAGTATCGTGGTACGTTGCCCTCTAGTATCTCTGTTCGTAAGGCTGAAGTTGTACGTCAAACCAGGTTATCATTTCCCAGCTTAGGTGGAAGCATGGGATATCCACTTGCTTAGTGTAGGAGCCAACCAAAACAGGAAACCCGAGGCAAAACTTCACTTCAACAACCACAGACGATGCAGTAAGACGAGTATCAGACTCTCTGTTCAACAACGGAGCAGCTTTTGTCTCACATCCCATCCTGCAGATTTCCAACACTCAATGATTAAGCTTAATTTGAGCTGTTCCAGGTCTCTGTCGATATAATGGTTGGCATTGGTGGTCGAGCACATGTCAAGCGCTGCCACCAATGCCGAAGGAGGAAAATCAAGGCAAGGACATCATTACTTCATTAAAGCCACTAGAATGCTAATCTTGAGATAGTGTGATGGTGGAGTACCAGCATGTCGTCGTTGTACAGACTCTGGCCGGGTTTGTCCAGGCTACAAACAGAAGCTGGAGTTTGTGTTTTTCGGCAGTGAGCCAACGACTAAAACTGGGAGTCGGAAAGAATCACTGAGCAAATCATCAACAAAATCTCTTCTTCCGGAGCAGAGAATTGGCGTGGAAAGTCGTGAGTTGATCAAAGACCGAGCTGCGTGTCTTACAAAGCCCCACAGGAACCAAACGCTGAATCCAGTGCTTGATCACTCCTTGAGCGCACCTCAGAACAAGTTGGCATTCACAACAATACTCCACGATCGATATGTACCCGATCTGTACTTCCCTGAGACTTATGGGGCTCAGAAGTATGGGATTTGCTCTAGTTGGATTGCCATGACATGTAGTTTGGCGTCAAGTACGAAATATTCAGATATGCTCGGGGACGCGTTGTTGGCCATGTCTATGGCTTTGGCAGCTGCAGAGGGGCAACCTGCTCATATCACAACGACAGGGCTGAAGTACTACTCACAAGCTTTGACAAGGCTTCGTCGTAGTCTCATTCGTGGACCGCTTGATCTTGATGATCATCAGGCGGATGTCAGTCTCGTCACGTGCTTAAGCTGTGGAATGTATGAGGTGGGTCTTCCCTAAAATGCATATTGGTATTAGGCTAATTCATCAGACGATGGCTAATCGCTCTTTATCATCACTGATGCAACATCTAGGTGGCGTTGCGGCGATACTGAGAGGCCGAGGCGTTGGAAGGCTGCAAACACCGACAAGTCGGAGGACATTCTACGAATACAGAGCTATTCAATTACCTGTAGATCTTGTCTTACGCCAAGCCAGTTTCCTAAGCTCACAAGAATGGATCAATCCTCCATGGAAACAGTCAGAGCCACAAAGTATCACCCACCTACAAACCGTCATTGACATTGCTTTCACCATTCCGGTTCTGATGCAGAAGTTTGATTTGGTACAACAACGGACGGCACAGGTTCCCGAGGAGACCTCGCATCTTGAAAGCTTATATCAACTCATGATAAAAGCTTTGGCTGTCCAAAGAGCCTTCGATAACTGGGAGTTGCGCCTTCGGGGTGGGGATGAGATCTCACAGTTGTACATTGCTCGACTTGCAACGAGCATTAAGCAGTCAGCAGTCGACAACCTTGAAAGCATATATCCTGTCTCATTTGCGTTTCCCACATGGGATGCGGCATCTGCTGCCATATACTATGACATGAGTAGGATATATTTGAACGGCCTGCTGATTGCAATGCAAAATGCCATTTATAGTTCCAATACCTCCTCAGACATGGTCAATACGCAGCACGTAACAATAAAATCCATTGCATGCGCAGACCGGATTTGTCAGTCTATCGACTGGTTTTTCGAGGATAATAAGAGGATGATTGGAAGGATGGTTGTTCTCGCTCCGTTTGAAGCTGCGAAAAGCTTATTCGCTTAACTATGCGAAGTCGGGACGGGCGACCAAAAACTGGACGCGAGCCTGAAGCAGAAAGCAAGATTTTGTGAGACAATTACACGGAGGATCAAAGATGATGGCCTTCCTATTTGGGGACAATGAGAACTGTCTTCACCCTCGCTGCTTCCTCGTGAACGAAGCATAAGTGCCGGAGTCGTGTGCTGTCATGGTCTGCACAATCTATTTTGATCTAAATGTCTATTTCAGGCAGCTTGTTGGTCTTGGTTTCCTTTTGTCTGTTGTTCTATTCTGAACTCGTCGGAGCTGTGTTTTAACTCTCTTGGATATAAATGGGACACTAGATGAGAACTCTGAGCTCTCAAATTTGCACACAACAGATACAACGTTGGGCTCTTAATTGGCTTCTCTTCGTTGGTGTTATATGGCTCAGATCCGACGTCTGACATTGCATACGTTTGGCGCTTCGATATCCAATGGCGTTGATGGCTGCGTATACCGCATCCTTTCCGTCGCGAGTACCATGAATGCGAATCCGACAAGAGGCGCAGCATCCCCAAATGAGAGCACTCTTTCGTCCAAAACATATGAGCTCTCATGAACAACTGCAGCCGGCATCGCAACAGTCCGTTTTGGACTTCCCATTTGCTACTTCCTAGGTCTTGAAAATCACTCTTCAGCAACCCACTTTCGACATCATTGGACTCTTTCAAGTCCAACAATGGACGGGACCTTCCCGAGGCCTTCACCAACTGTTGGTTTGTCTCCGACCACGATTGCCGCATCTATCATTTGCTCGTGCTCGACATGATCCCGGACTTTGCAGGAGGCAATGAGAACTGGACAGATCAAGAAGTTGGATTTTTTTTTCGCGATGTGTCCGCCTATATCCCATCTGCAGCAACCACTCTCCTTCATGTCTGATTTCCTTCTCAACACTTGAAAACTCTTGATCATTTAGGCATTTCACAGTATGGTAGTCAATATGTATACATTTACAAAAGCCTTCTCTATTCTGCTTCATTGCGTCAAAACATACCCTCTTCAAATCCTCCTCGTCTTGATCTCCATCAATCTCCTATACAACAAGTATGGCCACGGCCTTAATCACATTCCTGGTCCTTCTATAGCAGCTTGGACAAAACTCTGGCGTCTTCAAGATGTTAGCAAAGGTCAAGCTCATAGATCGATCGATCATCGATCTACACAAAATGTATGGAAAGCTCGTCCGTACAGCTCCCAATGTTGTCGATGTATCTGATCCAGCGATGATCCCGGTCATCTATAACGCGAAGGGAAACTTCAAGAAGGCAAACTGTCACCTATGTACAATGAGAGAGTCATGAGTGCTAATAGTGCCATGTAGACAGCATTCTATACCATGGCAGTGTTTTACTGGAACAAGAAGCCTCAAATGAATTCTTTCTCGATGACAGATGAAGTAGCGCATAAAGAAGAACTCAAGAAAATCGCCAATGCATTCAGTATGACCAGCCTCCTGGAGCTCGAGTCAGGTATCGATTCCTGCTCCAAGTTTTTCATGGAAAAACTGCACCAAGTTGCTGGGGGAGGCGAGCCTGTGGATCTTGGCGTCTGGTTGTGAGTTTGCTTGATATTGAGGCTTACTGAATACATTGATAAGCGCTGGTTCTGATACATGAACAGACAATACTATACATTCGATACAATGGGCGAGATAACATTCGGCAAGAAATTCGGCTTCTTGGAACAAGGCAAGGATGTCGACCGCACCATGAAGGCTATCGATATTACATTGACATACAATGCAATCATTGGTCAAATACCTCTTGCACATAAATTCCTGCTCGGTATACCAGGTCTGGCATACATCATTCCAGTTAGTTATTTTCCTTCTCCAATCTGTCCTGCACACTTGTATCTGACATACCTCCAGCAAGTCGAAACCATGAACACAATCCTAAACTTCACACTCAAGGCCATTGCATCGCGACCATCGCCCTCCCCAATGTTCCACAACGCCTACAGTGATGCCAAGTTCCCATCAGCCCCAGCTGGCAAAGACATGCTCTCACGGTGGACATCCGTCCCCACCACCTCGCCGATCAAAATGACCAAACGAGACCTCATCGCACATCTCTCCTCCAACGTCTTCGCCGGCTCGGACACAACCGCCATCGCACTCCGCGCAGCAATCTACTACCTCTGCAAAGACCCTACCCACATGGCAAAACTGGTAAGCGAAATCGACACTGCAGCATCTATAGGCCAACTCAGCGATCCGCCTTCATACAGAGAAGCTTCCAGACTCCCTTATCTGAATGCCGTAATCAAAGAATCCCTCCGTATCCACCCCTCTGTCGGCCTCCTCCTGGAGCGGCACGTCCCAGCCGGAGGAATCACAATATCCGGACACTTCATCCCCGCAGACACGATCATCGGGATCAACGCCTGGGCGTTACACTACGACGAGAACGTCTTCCCATCACCTGAGAAATTCCTGCCAGAACGGTGGATTGAGAGTAGTGAAGTGAGGTTGAAGGAGATGGAGAGGAGTTTCTTTGCGTTTGGGGCGGGGAGTAGGACTTGTACGGGGAGGAATCTGAGTTTGCTGGAAATGGTGAAGGTATTGCCGTGTTTGGTGAGAGAGTTTGATGTTAGGCTTGCCGACGAAGGGAAGGAGTGGAAGGTAAGAAATATGTGGTTTGTGCAGCAGGGTGGATTAGAGTGTGTTCTGACGCCGAGGAAGAGGTCTTGAGGTGCTGTTGAGCTTGGCTTTCTGAGTGTACTTTCTGGCATTGGGTTTGTTGCTTTTTTCGCGAGGTAAGGGGCTGCTCGCTTAAGGTTAAAAACACAGGACAAGTCATTCAATCTGCACAACACCCATTTCAATCAGATATTGCACAATTCATACTTCTTGGCCATGCAATCGGAAGAGGAAGATTATTGACCTCGGGATCTAAGACTCGGAAGTAAAGCTTTAAATTGGGTGAGCCAAGCGACGAGGTTGTCAGGAAACTGCCAGAATAGTTGACCCCAAGAACATACGGAAAACCAAAGTAGCCCTCATCAGACTATTCATCTATGGCCTCTGGCTTCTCAGTCTCAACAGCAGGGATTGTCTTCAAGTCAAAGGCCTCCCTTATCTTATATGCATTCTCTTTCCACGCCTTGAAAACAGCAGGGCGTTCTTCGCGAGGAGAGTTCCCGAAAGAGTCATGGAACTGGAGGTTCGCAAGTCTACAGCGCATAGTCAGTAACTTGCCTCCGTGACCATAGATGGTTGTAAATTAATGACATACTCTTCGGCGAGGTCATATTCCTTGTAGAGCTCTCCATCAACTGTGAATCTTATGCTGCCTATCCTCTCATAGACAATACCTCCATATGATGCTGTGTGATATGCCATACCGAGAAGGTTCCACATATGGCGGCTCAGGAACTCGACCAGCATCGTCGGATTCTACGTAGAATAAACATGAGTTCTCGCGGCATTTTGAAAGAACGGGCGGTCCGTTAGCTTCGACGTAGGAGGAATCATGTTCGAAATAACTCACCATCACATACGGAGTTCCAGTGTCTTCACGCAATCTCTGCAGCCCTTTATATACGTAAGAATAGTATCCTAGGTAAGGTTCGCCTTCAATCTTGACTTCAATAGGTGCAATCATCTCTATAGGCACATCTGGAGTCCTGATATCGATAACTAGGCTCTTGATACTGGCTTCAACATCATGCTTGATCTCGCGCGCACGAGGTCCTCCATTCAGAAAAGAAGTAAGGAGATTCCAGAACGCCCATATTATGCGAGGCGGCCCACCATCGGCCTGACAAAATCCATACCGATAGTTTTCTCCAGGCAGGCCACAGATGCGAATCGTTGCGACCAATTCATTGACTCTTGTTGTCACAGCTGGGACATAAAGCCAAGTTGGCCTATTTTTTTCACAGTCAGCTTTGCTCTGCGAGCCCATCTCTAAAAACTTTTCAAATACATCTCATTCTGAAACTCACCATAGCTCGTCCTCCTTAACAACCATAATATCTAAATGATAGTTTCTCCTCTCAGGCAACCCCAAATGCTTCATGAGTCTCAAAGTTTCATGTCTCAATTGTCGATTGACATCCAGTGTAGGGATACCACTTGGCGAGGAAATGGCTCCTTCGTATTTGCATCTGTTGGAATGGAAGGACTGGTTGCAGTGTTCTTCTTGGCGGTGGTCATCACTATTATCCCAGGTTGTTCTGTAAGAGAGTGAGATTCGGATACTGGAAGCGATGAGGGAGAGATGATGCAAGCATGATAACTTCCGGTGCTGTTGCCACAGTAGGTAAGACGAGGCCCAAGATTTTATCTCGTAGTCCTTGTGGGATGCGAAGCAGGTGTCCTGGATTGTCCATGATGATTTCCATTTATATTTGAATCAGATGGAGCGGAAGCTCGAAGCGTTGAGACTCGAGATGTGGAATACCTGGCGCTGATCTGTCCTGGCGGGTGTTGGGATGCCGAGACGTTTGTTGGTTTGGATGACGGCTGCCTGGAGCTGGAATCAGAGATGAGTAAATGGATTGGGGCAGCCGAATATGCAGCTGCGTTGATCCAGTCTCAGAGCAGGAACAAGCGATAAAATTGTCAGCCGCTCTGTACGTTAGCAGACTTATTATTGCTCTCGGTGCAGCCAGTGCTTTGTTGTCTCCTCGAGTTCGCTGTAGCCATGAGAAGAACTTCGTCGCTGAAGATTTAATGCCAGTCTCCAATACAGTAGCTACCTGTGTAGTATACGAAGATTTGCCAGAAGTTGAAGAAAGAGCCTCTTAATTCACGAGCTCAAACTAAGAACGTATATATGCAATTTGCAATGCAATGAATGCCTTTGGTGCCACCAACCACCCAACCCACCGAATGCAATGTTCACACCAGGCCTCTAATGCATACCTACTCGACGCGTGTGAAAACCAACAAAATGCCTTGCAGCATGCTCAAAGGGTATCTCCATCACGATTTTCAAACCCGTCTTTATGCTAATCCATCTCCCCGGCCCTCCGATCCGTAGCAACGCCTTACTTCTCCTCAACAGGTGTCGAAGTTCCTTTCGAATGAGACATACTATACGGTGCCTAATGGGTATCAATAGTCAGTAAGGATCCTTTCAAAACTGATAAATAAATGTCATCAAAGATAGCAATCAAATGTTGTCCTCACCAAAGCCTGTTTCGCAACACAGATTCTCCACGCCAACTTCTTGACGTTCCCATCAGCAGCAACCACACCGGGCGCCAGTTCAAGTACGAACATCTGGTGGATAGCGTATACTACCCTCTTAGCGTACTTGCCGTCTCTCTCAACCAGACTGCCAAAACTCTCCTCAATGGTATTGGGTGCAATTTCCGGGTCGCGGTCGAAGCAGTTTCTGACGACTGGGAGGAGAGCATCTTCAACTGCTGATCGAAGGAGACCATTTGAGTCCATGACTGTGTCGTCTTCGTCGAATCGGCCAATGCGGACTTCGAAAGGCAGTGAAATGGCCATGACATTGTGTTTTCCACCATGGTGATACCGCATTTCGAAGACACCCTGAGTCCACCAGAGTTTGTCGCCCTCGAAGACCATCTCTCCCTGAACGCAGTCATAGGTAGTACCATCAGCGCGTTGGGCTCCAAGCACCGGTTGATTAGCAACCAGAATACCACGGTCGGCGGGTGATTCTTCGTACTCATTTGGTACTGTGGCAACCCATCGACCAGCAGATGAAACTCGCGTGACTTCTCGAGAGGCGTTGTCTGCGACCATGTAAAGACCAACCCAATCACTCTTACTGTGGTGCTTTGGAGCCCTCCATTTCACTTTGATTGGTGCACCATACTCAAACATCAAGGGCTGATATTCATCCGTCCGCTCGCTAGGGAATCTCCCAGTCACACCTTCTTTGCCAGTAGAGCGTTCATTCAGAGCTAGGGAAGATGACGCCGTGCCTTCGATCTCGATGGAGTAATCCCTAGGACTGAATCCAGCAAGATCAGGTGCCAGCCGTGTAACCGTAATTCGTGCTGGATATTGACTGAACAAGGCAGTTGTATCTCTCATGATCGTGGATACACCGGCAGCAAGTTTTGGCCTGGCTGCATCCAGAAACTCTTCGACGAAATGGCTGGTCTCACTCAAGACTTTGTCTACACTGCCTTGGAACTTCTTCAGAGGTGGTGGAAGAGATCTTCGAAGACTCTTGGTAAGTCCAGCTTCGGGTCTCAGATGTCTTCCATACAGCTTCTGCATGTGTGGCTTCTCAACGAGCTGAATAAAGCATAGACTGAGAACGTGGCTCATAAGAGCAAGGAAGAAGATTGATAAGCTTCCAGTAAGGAACACGGCTCCCCAGAGACCCATAAGTCCGATGATACGTTCGGGGTTGTTCAAGTAGCGGTAGATTCCACTGTAGGTGAGCTTTCGGTCTTGGTCGAAGAAGAAATCCCCAAAGAACCAACCAAATTCTCCAAGTGACTCATAGATGCTCACCGCGGTCCACACCTGAAGAGCAACAAGAGTAATCCCGATGATGTGCATCAGCAAAGCATTGTCGGCACTCCAATCTGATGGGAAGTTATACATCTTCCAGGTCGCAGCGACGAAGCTAGCCCAGCACATATTCATGCTCAAGTGGTAAATGCCCTTCCACTGTCTCCACGCCTCCTCAGTGCCCTCGCCAAATTTGAGGAAATGTCTCGTCCATATTTTGTCATTTGACTGCCGATCAAGAACGATACCGAGTCCAACAGTATACCATAGACGCCAGAGCGCCGCGTTTAACACGAACAGGGCTCGGTAAATCGGCGTGGATGGTGACACAACAGCGATGATCGTTACACAGACTTGGAGAAGAAGAACCGAAACATCTGTGATTCTGAACAAGTCAATGTTTCCAAGACCAAGCATGTTGTGTACAGAAGGTGGTGATGTCGCGAGGGCAGGGAAGTTCTCCAAGATGTCTGTTTGCTCAGGAATTTCAATTCCCTCCTTACGTGCCGCTGTCGCATTCGCAAGTTGGATGTCGCTGTGGCTTGGTTGGACAATTTGCTTTCGGGGTGGTGGTGGATTATAGGTCTTCTCAATATGAGGATTCTCGATGTAAACCAGGAAAGCGAACTGGGCAGCATGTGCAACAATGGAAATGAACAGTACGTTGTAGCTCGCGGCCATGGCTGAGATGCCGTAGTACCCAGCGTATCCCACAGAATACATGGGATGAGGAGCCATCTCGAAGACACCATCAAAGGTTAAAGCCTGATCAATGAGATAGAAGAAATCACCCCAATACCAAGCGTAATCCTTCACGACGCGATGGGCATCAAGTTTGACCCAGAGGTTGAAGCCAACCAGAATCAGTCCACCTATCCAACGAACCAAGAGCATCATTACACCCTCTCCGACTGGGCGACCACCACACGCAATGGCGAAGAGACAATACGACGTAAAATCACACATCAAAATCAAATCCACGACTCGGCGGAAAACTAGCCAGGTGTTGTACTCGATTGGCGCTTCTTCGAAGTTATAATCCTCTGGGATCTTGGTCTCTAATTCGCTCTTTATCAGTTTGTATAGCCATGGACGAGGATTCTTTCCGGTGCTTGGGTGTTCAAATAGGTTTGTCTTCTTAGCCCATGCCACGAGTCGTCGGTGGTTCGACTGTATTCGAAGAAGATACCCAATTCCGACATTATAACAGCCTCTCCAGAATAGAAATATGATGGCAAATACTGGTCGCTTTAGGGAGGCAGGTAGAAAGCAGAGAGCGATGACATGGAGAGCGAGGACAGCAAGGACAATGGCATCAGAGAGATTCTTGGGTTGTCGAGGATCCAGTAACTGTGATACCATATCATGGGTCTGAGGAACCGTGAAGACTGGATGCTCGTCAGCGAACTCGAGGGCACATCACATCTGGAGCTTCAAGTAACCCTTTCCCCCATAAGTGGATACGTACGAGTTCCATCCGGAGTTCTGCCAATTGTCTTATTACTCGCAGTGTGTCCCTTTGCTTCCTCGTCATCTTGTGGTGTATTTATTCCACTGCCGCCGCTCGAGGATCCATTTTCTTGCCCATGGGCTGCCTTTCGCTCCCGCAGGCCTTCTTGGGCAATAGCACTGCTTTTTGCACTCATTCTGAAGAGCGACGGAGTTGAGGCCCGCGCGGCAAAGCTTCTGACCGTGATGATTCGGAGGCTCGTGAGCTCTCTTGTCTGATCGATGGAGGTTTGGGAGAGGTGTGGTACGCAGGGCGGGGTCGGGGTTTCAATGGTCTTTTAGAGTTTGCTGGACCTGCTGCCATGTGTGCGATCTTTTGTGATGTGAGGTTGTGGGAATTGGTGAGGGAAGCCCTGCTTTTGCTTTGGTGAGGGATGTGCGCCGAGAGAAGTGGAGTGGAGTCTGTGAGGAGCTGCCCGTGGTGAAGGGGTCCACGGTCCACGGTCCACAGTCCACGGTCCACAGGTCACGCACAAATTGCAGACAGCCTCGATCCGCGTACAGTACCTAACTTACCCAGAGAAAGCATGGAGTTCCACTGGCCCAATCGAACCACCAACCCTACGACACACTTGCTATTCTGCCGGAAAGCCCTGCAGATGCAAGCCCTGCAGATGCAGTCAAAAAAACACGGCATTTGGTATCCTGACTTTCGTCATACCAAGATCCCTCAGTTGAGCCATCAGGAAGTCCCTTCTGTGCAACTCGAGATACTATACCTTAGGTAGACTTCGCTCAGTGGAGCAACCTCAAAAGACCACAAATGCCATGGCTGCTAACTTGCGAGGCAAGGCAATGTAACCAAAAGCCTTCTCATCACCGGATCATCAGAAACAGGAATTGTGCATTCATTCCAGCACATGCTTGATTACTTGATGGTTTTGTTCTGCATGGGATTCTCAACAAGTCCTGAAGAGACTGGAATCTCTTGCTTGTGATAAACGGCGGGGTAATCACATGATGGGAAGGAACATCCAGTTGACAATTTCCTGACCCCAATGGTAAGTGTAGGTACTGCGTACCCACCAGGATGAGCCATTTCATTTCATTGCATTGCGTTCCGATTATTTATTCTGAATAAATGAAGCAAGCGACTGACAGGAAGCAGATGAAAATGCCATGTGACATTTGTTGACTTTCAGCGCCGTTCTGGCTCGCCTGGCCTAGCCTACCTACCTAGGCTGCTGGTACCGAGCTGCTGGTCAAAAGGCTCAAGAAATCTTACCCAAGGGGCCGCGGAACTGTCACTTGCCAATGCGTACCTGAGCACTCCAAAACAACGGGACTCTGTGTCAGACATTTTTGGCTCAGCCTAGCCTCTCAGCCGTAGCCCGATTAGGATCGGCGAGGAGCTCCCCAAAATGAACTTGGCCTCTGTGCCCCAGGATGAAGATTAGAACGAAGCTGTCAATGAAGCTTTCCCGAGAGGCCCCTCGTTTGCCCTCTCGCTAACGAGTCAATGTTATTGCACGACCCACTTCTATGGAAATTCCAAGTGCTTTTGAGACGTGCGGAGCTACGAAAGCAGACTGCAGACCCATTGGAGCGCAGTTAGAAGTCTCTCAATGGCCATTAACTCCCTGGGTTCAGGGCTGTCTTTGATTTAGTCAGTGAGAGAGGAGAGGCTCTCTGACGATTTTCCAATGGCCTCAGCCTCATGCCTGTCTGCCTAGCAGCCTGCACTTTCCCTAACTGGCCAATATTTTCTGGCTGAATAGCATTTCTTTGTTTTCATATTCACCTCCAATAAAAGTCAACTTCTCTGTGAGTCATTGGCCGCATAACTGTTTTCTCCTGTTTTCTCCTCCTTGAATATAAAAAGGTTACTTCTCGTTCATCTCACTCGCTCAGTTCAACAACCAACCAAGCGGCTTCAGCCTCACCAAATCAAGTTGCTACTCTGCAACAAGAAATCCAAAGATATTCGCAATCACGTCACTTCCACTCATTAGTCAACTCCATATTTCCCGGCTGGTCCATCAATTCTGCAGTTCTTCATAGCCGCATCATGGCGTCTTATTCAGCCAATGCAAACGCCCGAGCTCTTGCCAGCGCCAACAGTCTGAAGCAACGCCTCTTGCAAGATATTGCAGAGCTTCAGGCCAAACCTTACCCTAACATCGCATTACACGTCCAGGAAGATGATCTTGAACATGCATGCTTGATCCTGACGGTCGAGGAGTACGGAAACATGCACTTGACCATCGACTTCCCAACAAGCTTCCCACTCGCACCGCCGCGTATCCGCATGGATTCTGATGTTCATCATCCAAACATCTTCGGAAGCTACATTTGTGCTTCGATCCTCAATACTGAAGAAGGTTACACCCCTGCCTACACCCTCAAAGGCATCGCGATTCAGCTGCTCAGCTTCTTCAGTAGCGATAAGATCGAGCAAAGTGGTGGCGGATACTCTGTTGATATCAAAAAGTATCGTAGCACGCAAGGTTACATCCGTTCAAGTCATATGTGCAACAAATGCAGGTTTGGTCTGTCGGATAAGGGAGCTGGTAGAGCACTGTCCATCGGGTCGGCTTCTTCCTCCACCACTTCCGGTCCTTCGACACCGCCACCTCCCGTCGCGGCCTTCATTGGTGAGGATGTTGAGATGCTTGATATACACTGGCCAAGCCCTCAGAAGAGCGCTTCGATTGGACGACGTCGCCGATCGAAGGACAAGAAAACTCCTGAAAAGGCTCCTACGTCGGCTGCACAGACTGAGCTTGTAGCCACCAAAGGTTTCAAAGGCATTCAACACATGAAGCTACCAGACGAAATTCTACTTCTGTTTTGTGACAACTTAGAGTACGAGGATCTGATGATTTTCGCCGAGGCTTGGGATGAGATTGGCACAATCATGACCAAGTACGACATCATCAGAACCCGGGAATTGCAATGCTTCTGTTTCAAGTCCAACTACATGACAAGTAGACTCGGTGTTGGAGTCAGCATCGAGAAGCGAGGTAGAATTGGCTCTTTCGAGTCCGAGTTTGACCTCTTGTCAATGGAAGGATTCACGGACCATCGGATTCGCCGCTCCGTACAGGGTGTCAAATTCCAGCACTGGTTGGGACTGCCGATCTCAAACGGCCACTGGCGAAAGGTGAAAGACGGCGTTGCTACTGCACTATCAACCTTGGGAATGGAAGCAGGTCTAGTATCTGGTGACGTCAGCCAGGTCATTTACGCCTTCATGAATGACATTGTCGTCAAGCTCAATAAGCAGACTGAACAAGCTACCATCCGAGCTCCGTACTATCCATACGAAGAGACGCCGAAGAGTACTCTTACTCACGCCTCTGAGAAGGCCATCGAGTCGTACTTCCACCTCTTCCACCTCTTGCTGTGTCTTGCAACCGAAAATCCATCCATCGTCCGAGCGGCCAACGCCAAACTCAACGCATTCGCCAGAGGTGAAAACTCGAAGACGGACTGTCCTAATCTCGGGCATCTGCTGGTTGCCGCCCTAATTAGCGATGTGGAGATGACAGAGAAGATGATCAAGTCCATCGTGCGCGAGACAATGACTAGAAACGTTGTCTGGATGCTCGATACAAAAGGCACTGGCATGGCCGAATTGTCATACCTTGAACCCTCTCTCATCTCCGATTACCGTCTCCAGAAGAGTTTCGAAGCCAGCAAGACCTCTTACCGTCTCCTGATGTTCCTGAATCTCTTCCGCAGAGTCGCCGTCGGCAATCCTCGCAAGCCACTTGCTGTTCTCCGAGATGAAGCTTTCGAGCGACATGGTGCACCACCTCTGGGATCAGCCAAGGGCCTTGCAGATTCCATCAAGCGCATCCATCAGGTTTCATCTTTCCCCCATTTCCTCACTCATATGGGCATTGAGAAGGTATCGAAAGAATGGTTTAACACATTCCTCAAGGACTGTATCAAAGATAGTATCAGCAAGGGCTATTCTTGCATGCCAATCAGTCAAGGTCAGGCATTGACCCTTCGTCAGCTGAGGGAGCCGGATGTTGAGGTTACTGCTGGCGTGGTCCCTCAACAGGTCAATATGTTCGCTCATTCGTTCTTCCCAGGCCATGGTAATAGTGGCTTCGGAGGAAGTAGAGGAAGGGGTGGTCGTGATGGATATCGTGGACGTAGTGGTAATGGTGGAAACAATGGACACGATGGTTATGGTGGCAGAGGTGGACGAGGTGGCCTGGGAACATATCGTGGGCGAGGCAGATGATGCAGGTTTCTAACATATAAGTTCAACAGTTTCCGACTTCATCATGACACCTGGGGACTCGTTGAGTTGGTTTGCTTTGTTCATGCGAAATAATTCTTTAGGCAGATTGGATGGATAGAACGTCAAGCTGAAACTAGTTAGTTGCATGGCTACATTTGGAGTTAATGATACCAAATAGACGAGATACGTATATGCAATAGATGAAGATACCCATACAGATACACAGATCATTCTAGATAATGTAGTTTGTAATATTTGTCCAAAGTTCAGGAGTCATGGCAACCTCACGTTCATTATTCGCCCTACTCAATATCAAGGAGAACCGGCATCTGCTACTGAAGATGGCCTGAGCAGAAGGTAAACAATCTTACATATCTTTTTCTTCTTAGTTATCCCTCCTGGAAAAAGGATAAGCTTCTCCAATACTTATATCCAGATATATTTGTTCACTTCCCAGACAGTACAAAGAGATGGGTGATTCTGCGTAGTCCAATTGGGTGCCTAGGTACCTATCTACCTGCCGACCTAGTAGGTACACATTCCGTGCCCCAGCACGTGAGCCTCGCTTAAGGATGACGACAACTCATATCCGTCAACTTACATACGACTCTCACTCATTCAAAGCACTTCTGTATAATTAACATTGAAATAAAAACAATCTGACGACAAAAGTCATGAACGTTGAACCGCAATCCAGCACTCCTCTCCCCTCTATCTCAAACCCTTCCACCCATCAACTCACAGCCCCTCCTCCCTCAACCTTCCCCTTCTTCCCCCTCCTCCCCCTGAACTCCGCCTCCAAATCCTCACCCATGCTTCCCTCTCCTCAACCTCACCTCCGATAATCCACCAAATCGACACTCGCAATACCCACCACATCTCCAACCAACCGCCCCACCCCCTCCTCCACACCAGCCGCCTCGCCCGCACCGCCTACTTACACGCCACATCCGCCGTCTGGGCCTTCGGTACATATGTCTCTTTCTCCCGCGACATAATTTATTTCACGCACTTCACGCGGACGGATAGTTACAGTCTGGCTAAATTGAAAGATTTCCTTGATGACGAGAAATGTCCCGAGGTGAAGATGATTCAGAGGTTGGCGGTTAAGAAGGAGTTGTTCGATAGGACGTATCCGTTGATTTTCAACATGATGGCAAGGGGCTCGGAGGAGTTGCAGGAGATGTGTATTGTGTGGAGGGATTGGAGGACTGTGAGGGAGGGGTGGGGGCTGAAGGGGTTGGTTTTTAGAGAGGTTAGGGAGCGGGAGCTGTTGGGGAGCGGGAGGGACAATGAGTACATGGAGTTTATGCTTAGGAGGTGGAGGAAGACTTTTGGTGACGGGGTCAAGAGCGAAGGTGGTCATTTGCAGGGGGAAAGGAAGCGGAAGGGGGTGCGGATTCGAATGGGTGTTGTGGAAGAGGTCTCGACATGACTACGACATCCTGGCAATGTCTCCACCTTGGAAACAGCATTGTGTAATTTTGGTTTTCATCTTTAGCAAAATTAAGCTACCGGCTCTAACGTTCTGTCAGTGGCTACCAGCTCTACATCTCAACAACAAGTTCAGTAAGAAGCCCACAACTCCGCCCTTATGCGCAAGAAAGGGATGCCTTCCTTCAACGCCAACGCTTCATCAAGCAAATTATAGCAAATAAATGATAGAATCATCTGGTCTCTTAATACATTCAGCCATCATCTTCCTCATCATCATCATGCTCAAAGTAATGCGACCTCAAAGCCGTCTCACTCTTCCTAGCGGCTTGCCTCCTCGGTGTCTTCCTCGGGGTCACAACTGTCTTTGGAGGCAAAGTTGCTCTCCTGCCTCGCTTATTCACTGCTACCTTCTTAGGCTGTTCCACAACTCCCGAGTCTGAATCGTCCGACGATAGAGACGAGAGTGGTGATGTCTCATCATCATCGTCTTTCTCTGAGTCTTGAGCTTGCCATCTTTGTTTTCCGTTACGTTTGGCTGCTACTTTCTTTGATGGAGCAGCTCGCTTAGCCGGTATTTTGGCGGCTGGCTGGCTGGTCTTGTTAACAGGGCCTGGTGGTCGTCCTCGCTTCCTTTGAGCCGGTTCCGGTGCTTCTAGTGCATCTCCCATCTCGATGTCCTCGTCTGACGCTGTGGCAGTCCCGCTCTTTGCAGTAAACTCAAGCGATTGCGGTGTGGCGTAGGCTTGCCCGATTTTGGGCTCGGCAGGCACAACATCATGACCTTCCACTACGAAGCCACCTCCTCCATCATCTCCATCCTCTTCATGAGCAACTGGAAAGAAAGCTCCTCTGTGGTGATCATCAGGCTCCTCGGCATCAAAGCCTTCTGGCAAGAACCCGCCTGCCATATCCTCGTCATTCCGGTCCATGATGCGCTTCTGTGCTTCTGCATCCATATCGTCCGCAGCCTTTTTCTTCTTGCTAATCCAAGGGTTCAGAACATCAGCGCTTGCATCAGCGGCACCAAATTCCTCATTGACCCTCTCCACGATCCGCAACCCCATGAGCATCTTGCGCCAAGTGTGTAGCACGAGCTTACGAGATTTCTCATCCTCCTTCCGAACTCGCTCAGCCTCATCTTTATGCCATTCCTCCATCATTGTATCGTAATGCTCTTCAGCCACAACTACGCCATTAATAATGGGGACAGCCATTCGATGGCCAAACTCGAACCCTACAACAGCTTCCGCATAGTCAATGCCCAATCGCTTGCAGATTTTGACAGTTCCACGAGCGGGAATGTGGACGGCTCCTTCCGGAAGCATCGAGTCAACATACAAATCGATGTTCCCGAACGCGTTTTTGGGAATAATTCCGTTCTCGATGGGTGGCGGAATGATCCAATCTGTCTGATCACGGCTGTAGAGTCCTTGGAGAACCTTTTCACCGGTGGCATTTTCTGCTTCAGCAAGTTCGCGACGGCGGTTGGTAGTTGCTGCTCTGTATGGGACTCGTTTCAATGGCTCTTCACCCGGTTTTGGAGCCCGACCTTCTTTGTGCCAGGTTTCCATCGTTTTGCAGTTGACCACATCCTTCCGACGAAATACCTTCTCTTCGGTGCTTGTGTCTCCTTTACCTTTAACTGTGAACATTTTGACATGCTTGGCATTTGGGAGTAATGCCTCTTCTCTTTTGAAATGTCGTTCAAGCACAAAGTCTGGAGAGGTTTTGTAGTACTGAAGTGTCTCCTTGCCCTCCTCAATCTCCTTCTTTTCGGGTTTGACGGGCTTGAGGTCGGTTGCTTCTTCGTGATCATCGATGTCTGTTCTTGGGCAGCTCTTGGTTCCGCGGACATAGCCACTCATCACTTGCTTAAACCAGTCTTTCTGCTCGTACCGCTTGACCTTCCCATGCCGATTGTAGATTGGGACTTTCTCGATTGGAAAACGATTGCCCTTTGTTCTACCTGGCCAAACATGGCGCTTGAGATACCGTGTTGTAACGTCTTTTGCAGTGCCGTCCTCTGAATGGCCGACAATATACGCTGTAACCTGTTTAGCTTTCTCGGATTTTGCTCCTCGAGTTTCAAATCTCTCGAGCATCTTATCATTCGTGGCAGCAATCTGAAGAACTATGGGATCCACTGGGATATATGTGTTGGTGGCTGGTGAGAGCACCTCGGTCCAGTAATGAGGATGAATGAGATCTTTGTCGTAAGGCAATGAAGGCCGTCCTGCACGTTTTGCAGGTGTGACATCAATAACGGACTCCTCATCGCTCTCTGAATCAGACAATGATATAGGGGCATCTTGACGGCCGCTTGCTCTTGGACCTCTTCTGCTAGTGTTTTGGACCTGCTTTGGAGTTTTCGCAGCCGTGACTGGAGCTTTACCTTTATTTTGGGCTTTCGACGTGTCCTCCTCCTCACTGGAGCTGCTATCATCGGATGAATCCTCAGAAGGCTTGGCTATCTTCGACTTTTTCAAAACTCGAGGGTTCTTCTCGACAGCTTCCTCGACTTGAGACCATCCAAACCCCACCGGCTGCAAGTTTGCAACAAGCCGAGCTTCGATGCCGAGTCCTCGCAAGAGGGCAGTAAAAAGCTGGGATCCAACATCTCGGCTCCCCTCCATGGATCTCGCACATTCTCGGAACTCATTGACATTCCTAATTCGCTCTCCGTGACGCTCAGGATCATGTTCTTCTTCTCTAAAACACTTTATTTCCTCGTCCAGCTTTTGCAAAGACATATATCCCAGTTTTCTTAACCCTGGTGCGGAGATTCTGAATCTTTGTTTCCAAAAACTGATGAGAACCCTCAGCAGTCTGAAAATAGGATCTCCGCTGCTCATGTTGACCTGGCCTTCAGCAAGTCTTTGGGCAGGTTCTCCCCAGTCCCTCTGGTTCCTTGGCTCTATGCTCTTAGCCTTGGTAGCTTTCGCTTTGCCCTTTCCCTTGCCCTTTAGTATCTCCTCCTTCTTGTCGCTCTTCAAAGCAAGCCCGCTACTCCGCTTCCATTTCTCGACTTCCTGGACCACGATCGGACTCAAATGCCCCACCAGAATCTCCTGTAGCTCCTTATCACAACACCAAGCATTCCGGACGGCATTATGAAACATCAGCAACTGGACATGTGCTTGATGTGTTGCGACCCTTATTCCCCTCTCAATCTTGCTCGGTCCTTTCTTTGTCCCAAATGGATTTGTGATTGATACGCGGGTATCTTTTGTCAAAGTTAATTCGAGATCACCTGAAGGCTCGGGTCCGGCAGGTCTTGGGACAGGATTCGTCTCGACATCTTCGAACTCGATATCTTCGTCCTCATCCTCCGAGTCTTCATTCGTCTTTTGTCGTTTCGCAGGGGGCACGTCTTCGAATTCCTCGTCAGAAAGGGAAGAGAGTGAGCTTTCAACATCGTCACTAGCAGCCAGCTTCTCAAGTATTGCTTTCTTGTGTTCGGCGCTACGTTTCGAGCCAGTTCCAGCATCTAGGTCGTCGAAGAGGGTTGGTTTTCGAGGAGTGGTTGAAGCGGAAACGTTAGCCTTGCCACTGTTTCTGGAAATTGGGTTCGAGGGACCAGCCTCTGGAGAAACTGATCGCAGACGTTTGCGGGGGAGAAATGGAGGCATTCTCGATGCATTACCAGCTCTGGTGATTGCTTATCACATCGAACCTGTGGAGTTCTTGTGTTTGCTGTGTTACGCCTGGGAAATAAATTCCCAAGTCGTAGCCTCGCTTCATGAGGTCACTATTCGTCTATGGTGGGCTAGGCTAGCTCCAGGCACGGACAGGGGTGGGCATTTCCCCAGACCAGAGGCATATTTTGGACGACGAGTATGCTTTACACAGAATTTGATCTTGGAATAGGAAGAGTGAAGGAGATTATTTCTTCCATTCATACCTAACCAATCAAGATCATGTTCGTAATGCCGCAAAAATTATTTTTATGTAAAAATGACCTCACTCTCCAGTTAAGTTAGATATTGCATGACTCCCGAGAAATCTTCTATCTATCGCAGGTATCGCTTCGATCATCTCCAAATCAAACTGAACCGCAACGCCATGTATATCCCAAGTGTATAGCCGTGGCAGCCTCTCAGATATTTGTATCAACAGCCCTCGCAACATCATGACCATGTCTCTTCCTCCAATCCTTAATCCCATTCTCCAACTCCGCCCTCGAGACACCATCTCTCACCAAATACATCGTCACTCCCAGACTTTCCACATTCCTATTTCTTGCCTCGTCGTCAAAGAATAGCATATCTTCGTACCGCAGTCCCGTCGCTTTCTGCAGCTTATTGAAATGTGTGATCTTACTCCCAGGGTAAATCTCCAAGTGGTCAAAGAATTCAATCGCCTTCCTCTTCTTCCCATCCACGTCTGCGACATGTAATAATCGTAGCATTTCGCGACCAAGGTCTGGCGCAGATGTCCTGGATGCAGCGCCCACCTTTATACCACTTGATTGCAGGGAGGAGAGGATCGATGGGACTTCATTGTAAAAGGAGAAGGATTCGCCGAAGCGGTCTTTGACTGAATCGTGGGTCGGTGCTGCTTTCAGAGGAGCTGTAACATGTGTCTGGGGAAATTAGTAGCTCTTCATTTACCAGGAGCAGTCGAGAAAGCCTAAGATTCAGACATCCGCGAGTACTTACATCCACCCAGAACGGCCATAGGGTATAATCAAGGTCAAAGACGATGAGCTTTGGAAGAGCTCCCTCGGAGAATCTGGATGGAGGGGTTGACCCTGCACTCTCTGCGGGCACGCCGGAAGATTTGCTGAGTTTCTTCACCATCGTAAAGAGAATCAACAGGAGAAACAGGAATGAAGACTTCGTAGTGACAGTCAATGCAATGCACCTCTGTGAAGTCAAGATATTGCAGGCGTATGAAGAGAGGAAGTGAAGAGTGGCGGCGGGGCAAAAACAGTCTGTAACCAACTCATATGTATAATACCAGGATCAACGTCACTGAGGATAACATTTTAAGGTTTGCGTGCAGGCGGTCTGCTCTGGTCCAGGGCAGATGTGGGTGCTTGTGGGTTCCTACAGTAGGCGCCTGTGGTCGTCTAAGGTACAATAACGGTCTAAGTAAGGCAGGGCGGCCAGGCCCCCCCTCCCATCGAATTTTTGGGATCCACTCGGAAAGAGTTTCTTACCAACCAACTGGCATCTTCATCCCTCATCCCTCTCTCCCTCCCTCCTCTGTTACACTTGTCTACACTTTTCTTTCGTCTCACTCTTCGATCTATCTACATCTACAAAATATCTACGTCTATTCACCTGCATCGAGCTTCCCTGCTGTTCAACATGCTCGACTCCCTTACCATCCTCGCCATGGCCGCAGAAGCCGTACAGCGGTCTGAGTCACTTGAGCTTGAACGAGAATTTACCATCAGACGACCTCGAACCACCGATATTCCCCTCCTCGCGCAAGTCGAGCGTTCTGCTGCCCAGATATACCGAACTGTCGACCTAGATTCTCTCGCAGACGGCGCCACCCTCGATCCGTATATCCTCATCACCATTGCAAACGCTGGATACCTCTGGGTAGCTGTAAATCGATTCGACCAGCCAATAGGCTTTTTGGGAGGGAACTATCTGTCTGGCAACTTCCACATCATCGAGCTGTCAGTAGCCCAAGAGTATCAGGGTCGTGGCATTGGAAGCGCGCTGGTGGCAACCATGTCGCAGCAGGTCAGACAGGAAGGATACAGATCTATTACCCTGACAACATTCAAAGACCTGCCATGGAACGCCCCATGGTACGCCAAGTTGGGATTTGCTGAAGTCAAGGTACACGAAATGGGGAAGGAGTTTGAGAAACTTGTGGAGAGTGAAGCACGACATGGTCTTGATCCAAAGCGGCGCTGTGTGATGAGGATGGTATTCTGATTCGAGATCTTGCACCACTTGGAACCGCGAGGTCCCATGGAAGAAGAACAATTTCCGACCTACGCAGGTGAACCACGCGACTGCGAGTACCACCGGGGCAAACAGCCAGGTACGACGGTATCTTATGGAAGCAAACATTGACCATCTCCGCTTTGTGATTGATTGCGAAGAAGGGTTCGTAAAAGCCGCGATCTGCGGACCAAAATGGCGTTTCTATCGTGGAACTCGATCGCATTTCGACAGATGCATGGACGATGCGTTGATTTGAAGTCGCCAACTTCGGAAAACTCTCCGCCCAAACGAGTTAGGCTATTTGGAGAAGTAACAATTCTCGAGCAGCGGGATAGAGAAAATTATAGGCCTTTAAAGTGTCGTGGAACCAGACCATCAGTCACACAGCAACGGCGGTTGTCGAATTGCAAGCTGTAAAATAGAGATTGGATGGAAGTTTGAGAGTTGGAAGTTGTTTCGAGATGGAAAGGAAGAGCAATGGAATGTTGCAAAACCGTCTATTATGTAAGGAGTTGGACAGAAAATAACCTCAGCGATGGACCTTATCTTTTCTGGGGCGTCATTTTATCCCTGCTCGAGCCCTGCAGTTCTTTACTTCTTCCCCGCCCTCCGACGTCCTCATTCGTCACATAGAAGTTTGATAATGAAGCTGCCGGCGCGGCACTCCGTTTAGATTTCCCTGCAGACCTGATTGATCAATTGAATCTAGTCCCGCAATCTAGGAGAGCACGGGAAGTACCCTATCTCTCGGGATATCCACATCCATTCGTCTATTGAGCAAAAGGAGACTACGTAAACCTCAGATCGATCTTCTGGGTCATCTTTAGACTACATGTTGGACTGCACAGCTTCCACTGGCACTGGCATGGATACGCATGGATACTGAGGGGGCAAGGGCGACACATGGCGTGGCTGCTCCCGTGCTGTGCTGCGTAGAAGCACTGCTCCGTGGTCCTCCCTGAATCTCTTATCGGCCAGCTGCAGGATCTTGTCACAGCTTCTCATGCTTTGTGTAATGATTGCAGCATGCACTTTATTAGCACTTAGACCTCGAAGCTTGGCGAATTACCTCCGGACCTATGGCGATGAACGAGACAATCAGTTCCAAGACCTGGAAAAGTCGTTGCATGCAGCAGCTCTATCTTCTAAGTAGTCTATCCTTGCTAGAAATCCCACCTGGCGAGGCGCCGATTATCTTACACTCCAAGCTAGATCCATGAGCATCTTTAAATAAGTATGGGGATCTGGGGCGTCATTTCGCATTTCGGTTTTTTCGTGTTTGCTGTGCCCGATCTTCGTTCTTCACCTTATTTACATCTCGAGTGAATCCCTTCTAGGCGAGGGAATCTTCTCTTTCGTTCTCAAAGACACTCGCGGTTTCCCTTATCTTTTCTGGCATCGGTACAGACTTTTAAAGTAATAGGATCCGCAGACATGGCGACAACTACGGAAAAACCTACGATGCCTTCCTCAGACTCTGAGAAGACAGCAAACATGGCAGAGAAACAGAAGGCACCTCAATTAATGGAGATCAATGAAACCGGCCATGTTCAGGAACTGGAACGAAACTTCTCTCTCTTTTCAATCTGCTCTGTTGGTATCGTCACCGGCAACACCTGGGCAGCTCTTGGAGGATCAATTGTCATTGCCATCTACAATGGAGGACCACCTGGTGTGTTATATGAGTTTATCGCGGTCTCTATATTCTATTGGTTGATTGCGGCTTCACTCGCAGTAAGTGCTTTGTCGGCCAACGGGAAATACCCATTTCTGACGAGCCCCACAGGAACTTGCGTCCTCGATGCCATCGAGTGCAGGAGTATATCATTGGGCTTCTATCACACCAGGTCCTAAATATGGTCGTCTGATTGGGTGGTTTGCTGGGTGGTGGAATACGTTCGCTTGGATGTGTGGAACAGGTATGACCAGAACCTCTTGTCCTTCGATGCCATATCTGACAAAATTCCAGCCACAATGGCAAGCATCAGTGGACAGATTTGTGTTGCGATGTATGGATTATATCACCCGAATTACTCTCCGGAGAGATGGCACGTCTTCATTGCATACCTGATCATCACCTGGACATGTTGTTCGATTGTGTTATTCGCCAACCGAGCTTTGCCGACTATCAATAACATCGGGTTATTCTTTATTCTGGCGGGCGTCTTCATCACAATCGTGTGCTTCTCGACTCTGCCACATACTGCTGGGACTGGATACGCGACTTCCTCCTTCGTTTGGGCCGAATGGTCAAACCAGACCGGGTACACCAGCAACGGCTTCGTCTTTTGTGCGGGCATGCTCAACGGTGCATATGCAGTTGGAACCCCAGATTGTGTATCTCACCTCGCAGAAGAGATTCCAAATCCCAAACGAAATGTTCCATTTGCCATCGCAGCACAAATGGTCACGGGTTTCGTCACAGCATTCTGCTATGCGATCACCATTTTCTATGCGATATCTGACCTCGACGAAGTCCTTGCCGCGCCATACTTCCCATTGGCATTCATCTACGCTCAGGCCACTTCGAGCAGAGCAGGAACAACGGGTCTGTTGTTTCTAATCCTGGTTCCTATTCTCTGCTGCTGCACCGGTACCTTCATCACATGTGGCCGTTGTCTTTGGACCATCGCCCGTGATGAAGCCGTACCATTCTCAGGCACATTCAGCAAGATCGACCCCAAGCATAAGAACCCTTTCAATGCCACTGTATTCTGCGGTGTGTTCTGTACCATCCTTGGTTCGATATACGTCGGGTCCTCCACAGCGTTTAACGCCTTCGTTGGCTCATTCGTCGTCCTAACCACGCTCTCATATGTCGCAGCCATCCTCCCGTTCGTCTTTACGCGCCGCTTTTCCCCTATTTCAGCTGACCCTGGTCCATTTACAAACAATATGAGGCCTGGGCCCTACCAGATGGGACATTACCTTGGCTATGCGGTCAACATCATCGCGTGCTCATACATCCTTGTTTTCGTAGTCATTTACTGCTTTCCATACGCGATGCCTTTCGATGCAGTCAGTATGAACTACGCTTCTCTGATTACTGGCTCGATGACCATCTTTGCAGCTATCTGGTGGTTTGTCAAGGGTGGGAGTTATGTTGGTCCTAGAGCTCTCATCCATGAGGACGATATTACTCATGGAGTTATGCTGTCAGAAGCTTGATCCCCCGTAACGTAATGTTTGACATATTGTAAATACTGGATTGGACTTGCTCACTGTCACTTGCAAACACAAAGTTAGGTTCTTGTTCAGATGGTTCAATCATTCCAGTAAATGGACAAAGCAAGTAGTAGAAAGCAAAACCAAACTATCGCATCCTACGCTCCATTCTCTGTTTCACATCCTTCGTTCTTGCCGGCTCCTCGCAAGCTCTCTCTGTGCCTATTACCAAGGAAGGACAGTTCCATCATAAGACAAGAAAGTTCCTGAACTCGTGGCCTTGGTGGCATTGTCAATCTACTTTGGGTTATTATGAACTCTGCATGGGAGAGACTGAGCAGTGGCATACCTGTTCCAGGACACCCTGCGCACTCGCCTCCACAGTCATAGGCGGCTCAGACACGCCCATACTATCCGCAAATGCCTGTCCATTGGCAGTCTTGACCCATCTGTTCTCACAATCTTTCATCAGCACCGTACTAATACAGGCCAAGACTTTGTATTCATCGCCGCGAGGCAGAAACAGGAAGTGACAGCAGGAGGGGAAATAGGAAGGTTTTAGATTCTCACCCCGGATGCACAGCAATCGCCACAACCCCCTTCTCCTCAAAATGTACCTTCCTGATAAAATAATTCGCTGCAGCTTTGCTAACACCATACGCAAGACTCGGCATTGCACCTTCCATTGCATCGATGCTTCCTAGGGAGCTAGAAATAAGAACAAACTTCCTCTCGTCATCTTCTCTCTCCTCATTCTTAGCAGTGAGTAAAGAATAAAGTGTCTGGTATAGCAAGATGGGCCCGAGAGCGTTGGTCTCGTAGTGCTCGGTCAGCGAGGAGAGAGGTGTGTCTTTGGCGGAGAGGAATGAGGATCCGATTCCGGCGTTGGCGATTATCGTGTCGATGTGATCGATGCCGTGTGTGAGATTTAGCGTTGTGAGGAAATTTTTGAAAGAGTCCTGGGACTGAGAAGGATTGCTGAAGTCTAGCGGGACAATGAGGAGTTTGCTGGTTTGGGCGACAGACAGCGAGTTCAGGGAGCTGGAGGGCGTGGTGGGTGTGCGGATTGTGGCTATGACTGTTGTATCTGTTCGGTGGAGAAGAATGGCTGTAATTGCGAGACCGATGCCTGGTATGGGTTATGGTGGTTAGCTGTGAAGACAGGTAGGGGAAGTATTTCTAAACTCCAACCCCGCTCGCTAAGCGAGTAAGTAAACAATCCTGCCATGCGAGAAATAGGGGTAATAGGGGTACCACCTCTGTTCGCTCCAGTAATCAAGTATGTGTTATTTTTTGCCATATTTAGTGTGTTACTGGAGTTTTAAGTGCAAAGTCTTTGTGGTCTTGATGTCGCGTGAAGTGAAAGTTTGGGGAGGAAGGAAAGTTGGTGGGGAGAGAAGCGAGAAGGGGGGTTCTTTTTAGCTGAATTTGGAGCTCGGCGGAACATGAGATTTGTAAGCTGCGAGCTTATTGGTGCATTCGCATGATATTACGTATTTGGATGTGCTCCTTGTCCTGTGCTTTGTGCTTGGGTGCACATCTGCTGCTTGACCGTATTGTAATCAAGTTTTCTATGAGGATTGACTTCGGTATGGAAATGCGGGGCAAGTGGAACCAACAGGCAGCCATCTTTAGACAAAGATTGGTACATAAGCCACTGCGATTTGGATCCAATCCTAATCCATGAGATTTTGGCGACTACGAGCAACAGCAAATGCTGACGATCAGTCAGACTAAACGCCCATAATTAAGAATTTGGATCTCTCAAGAACCTGAACTACCAGCAGGGTCGTCGTAGTCTCTCGGGTATGCACAAAGTGAGCAGATTTCGTGCCATTAAATGCACTCCCGGCCTTCTCAGTGGTATTGGATCTTTCATGAATCAATCATAACAGTCGAAATGAGAGCTTATGCAAGCAGTTTTTTCTTTTTGATGTGAGGCATGAAGATGAGGCTTGAACTAAGCGTGCAAAGATTTTAGAGAAGAAATCATGTATGCCATACGTGTATTGTGCACTAAAGGTAAACTGCTTCACGGAAGCATGATCTTGTAATCTTCACTCCACACCTGTAGAAATTCTACGCGAGTCCAAGAACAGGATGTTCAAACCCATAACAATACCGTCAGCAGCCTTTTGGGAAATGTTGCTTTTTATCATGAACCAATACAACTCCTTCGTCAATCTTTGGCCCAAGCTGACTAGGTATCCCTGAGACCATTAAACGGGATTCCTCATCGTCTTGCTTTTCCTCGCCGTCTTCCTCGCTCACCGCTCGATTGAACTTGGGACCAATCAAAAATTTCGGATCCTTGATCTGGCATGGTACAATTTTCCCGTCTCTCCGCTCGAGAAGAAGCATATTCTGATTCTCGGCCCACCATTTATCTTCATCCATTTCGGCCTCGATTTCTTTATTGACCAACACGTAGGTCCTTCCATCCTTCGTAAGCCCAGTCTCAACAAGCTTTTCCGATCCCTGTCTGTTTCGAAACTGTAAGAAGTCAGTATTGTGCTATCATGAGCCATTTCAAGCACCCATTGAGACTTAGAATATAATCTTGCAGACCGGACTAGCCATTAGAAGATCACCTCCGGACCCAGACTCTTCTTTCGAAGCTGACTCCATAGTTCTGTGACCGAATGGAGCTTCGGAGCAAATCCGGGGACCTACTGTTTGGACAAATTTGTATGGCCTGTTCCCCAAGTTGACATCCGCTGGGATATCATACCAGCTTATCCGTTTGATGAAGCCGTCTTTATCGAGGACATGTGGAAGGTCGCGATCTCGAAGATTGTAACTGAGCTTGACGTGCTTACCACAACGCATAATTGCCCCAGTCTCGACATTGATATCTCGTCCAATGAAGTAGACATCGAACTGAAATCGAAATTCGAAAAAATGAGTGGGTTCTTCTGTAGGCCAGTCACGGACTGTCGGATATTGGACTCGGGGAAATCGTTTCTTGCTGTACCAGAAGCCTTCGGCCGTGAAGAGAAAGATTTCGGCTAGAAGATAAATCTGTCAACTCGGCACACAGCTTCGATGTTGGAGACTCACTTGAACCTGATGGTACGAAGTACAGGCCTTTATTTTTTAGCTGCGAACTGTCAGCGAGTCTAGAAAGAAACGAGCCATGTCTGATATACAGTCCATTTACCACTGGGATACATGTCCCAGTCGAATTCCGGATACAGGGATTTGATGTCGAAGCGTGGGCGCCAGCCAGCAACTGTGCAAGCATCTGATAATTTTGGTGTATTCATGTTTGTGATCCGCAAGTGCTCTTAGGACAGTTGTGAGGCCTGGGAGATTGAAATGATGAGGTTTGCAGAAAAACGCTCCGTGGCTGCTGCACCCAACCTCAACTCGTGCCTTCCTTACAAATGCAATTTATACCTACTTATCATAAAATTTCACACCATCGGTCTGTGGCATTAAGCAGGCATCACTGATATGACTGATAATTCACGATCGCAAAATCTCTAAAATGGTGCAGCTCGAGGCCAGCATCAGCCACTCGGGTCTGGCACATTTAGGAGAGAATGGATTTAAAAGACAGAAACGGACAATAAAGCTCACTCAGAAGCCGGCCCGAAATCAAAGCTGTGAATCTCAAAGCATCCCAGTTCAAAAGCTAAACGCAAAGCTCGCAACCCTATCAAAACTCACACTCCAAGAGGTTCTCCCAGATGCAACTAAGTCATTGGAGCTCCGAACATCTGTTACCGCCCCGTTCTACTTCTTATAGACATTGCCATTGGGAGCAGTGTAGGTTGAACCGCTGCCAGAGTTGTGGTACGTGGATCCGTTGCCATTGGCGTAGTAGTAAGATCCGTCTGCCGTGCGTTAGCTTCCTAGCCCGACATATACAGATAAATGGATACTTGCCAGAGTTCGAGTAGTGGTATGCAGGACCACTGGGTTGAGATCGGGTATCGTAGTTGTTGCCCTTTGCCCATGTTTGTTAGGATTCTAGAAGATTGGGAGGAAGCAGTAGGTGCTTACCTGGCTGTTGGTACCAGTGCTGGTGATCGTGTAGGGTGTGTATGGGGAGCCAGAAGACCCGGTGTTGCCAGAGGAGGACTTGCCAGACATGATGAGATTCGTTCAGGGCTGTGAGTTTTGTGAAATGTTGCTTTTGGTTGTTATTTTGGAGGTTCAAGAATTTTGTTTGTTCGAAGGGAGGTTTGATCTGGAGGAGAGAGGGAAAGTATTTGTATTTAAGATTGAGGGGTAGCGGGAGAAGAAAGAACCGAGAAGGCAGGAGCATATGCGTGGTGGATCCGGGTACCTGTCCTTTATTAACTTATGCAGCTGTTTTCATATTTGTTCATTCACACCCGAGCTTGTCAAGTTTGGTAAGCAATGTGGAGTCCTGGTGATACAGTAACCGGACATCGAAGAAAGGCAAATTCAGTGAAGCCATTCCCGAAATGCGCAGGCGTGTTTGTTGCGTTCTCTACTTACCAGCATATATATTGCCTGTTCAAATATAGCTCTGCTCCTGCAGCAAGCACTCGAATTGGCCGGATTATTGATGCTGCGCGGGGTCCCGTTCACCGCTTGAGCACTCTTGCAGGGAGGCGCCAAGATTCCACGATGTCACGAAGATTTGCACATGGATGAAGCTCGGCGGGGTTTCAAGGGACTTGTTCATTTTATGATAACTTGTTGGGAATTCTGATGGACTATCACGAGCAGTGAAGTAGCCAGTGTGATATGAAAAGCACTCTCAATTACTGCAGAGACTCGTGAAGCCACAACGGCTTTGCTGATCGCTGTTGTTTGCAAACGCACGGGAAGCGAGGAGATCGATCTAACCCAGTCGCTTCAGGCTATTATGAATTTATGTGCTGACTGTACTACGACCACTTCCTGGACTTGAACTTTTTAGTTTTCGGTTCTTCTTTTTGAATTACTCTCACTCTCGTACGGTTTATGTCGCATCTTCGGCAACTTTCGCGCAGTGAGCCCAAGTCTCAGGATGAAGTCCCAAGGAACGGAGCGCTCCAGGATGTCTACTTCTCTCTTGGTATATTTGCCATATCTTTTAAAGACATGATCTTAATTCTTAAGGACATCTGAAAAGATCCTCCAGAAGGTTACTTCTCAAGCAAGTCTGTCAATGAAGCTCCTTGATTCTTGGTCGAGGATGCTTATGTGTCTTTTGAAGTCAACGACTGAGAATTCACACGCCTTCTAGTCATCATTCCACCGTTGTGAATTTTGATGCTCTATATCAAAAAGCTTTACAGAATTGTGTCTCGGTTGTTACTACTGCAAGAAGATCCCGGGGGTTTATCGCGGCGCGCAGTATGTCATGTCACATACAGTGTTCTGCGTGAGCTTCCAAGCTTGATGGCTGTGCAACTTTCGTTTCGGAGTAACCATTGAGTGACAATTCTGTTACGTGGACCTCCAAGCCCGATTCCTCAGCTGACAATCATCCTTGCACGTCAGCCTTCTGTTTATTAAATGCAGCCGAAGGCCACGACAAGTTCAGCCAGTCCTTCGTGCCATCTTACATCTCTCCATCGTATCCTTCCATGCGCTTTACCATAATTGCCTGTGATCAAAGGTCTCCAAGACCGAGTACAGTTGCGCAGACGCACCGAGGAGGCGGGGTCGTGAAGATGCGAATCAACTCCCATGCTCAGTTCTTACCAGCAATCGGGTTTCGGTCACATTCAACCATAATTCTCCCTTTAATATACAGAAGCGGCCCGATTTTAAGCTAAGTAGTCAAGACAGATGCTTGCCTTCAGCTTTACACGATGATTTTGAAACTTGGCATAAACAATCTTCCAGAGAGGAAAGAGCTTTCGTCGTAGAGTTGTACCTGGCAAGCTGGGCAGTCAGCATCGCATTGAGCCTGTTCTCTCACAATGCGACTCATAAGAAAACGCTGCCTCGGCCACATGCTGCTACTTGCTTTAATGCTCATATGGTAGAATTGGTTCCACGATCCCGTGAAGATATAATTGATACGGTATCGAGGTGGTGGGGTCGTTTTACCGGAAAGATTAAGAGATCCCAAGATCGGTCAAGAACAATCGCTATGTTCGAACTCCTTGGCCGATGTATTTGCCTGGGTTTGTCTTTCGCAGTTTTGGGATTGTCCATTATGATGACAATTGTACCGAGTGACTATGGCAGTCCCGGTGACTTTCGAGGTGGTGATGGGATGAAAGCTCCGCTGTTCACTTACGTCTTTGTACGTATTACAACTGCTTGTGTAGTTCATATCAGGTCCTAACCCTAGATTCAAGGTCACGGCTTCTCTCACCCTCAACACAGAGGAGGCACTCTCTCAACTTTCATGCTATAAAAATCACATCCGTCGCCTGCATCCCGGACTCGTCCTCGTGTTCGACTTGATCATCATTCTCGGACTTTTTCTTTCATCATATCTTGTAATGTTCCCAACCATGTTCCAGTTTGCACTGGCGAGGGACTTGATTTGGATTTCAACTGCTTTGGCGTAAGTTCGATTTCCACATATAGCGATAAATGTGGAACGAAGGCTGATAATCTTAGCATTATACATTCTTTCCTGTTTGTGTTTGCTTGTATTGCTTGTGACAAATGGAGGAAAGATTATATTCATCGAAATCAGCAGGAAGCTATTCGGAGGGGACGGGAGAGAGCTCTGAGGATGCAGCAGTTTCACGATGTTTACGTGTAAAGGAGTAAGAGGTTGGAGCGGATGGTAAATCGAGTATCCTGGAGCAAATAAGCAAATAGAAAACATCGCTACTGAATAACATACGATAAAAATGCCATGTTTTACATTTTTTGATCCTCACTTGAGCATTTGTATGGGCCCATGAAGGACATGGCAAAAATCGTGTCCGAGTAAGACGAGAACTAAGAACTGAGCATGCCGATTGATAGTTGCAACAAGGGACCCAAGCGAAAAGCATTGTGCCCTCAATTGAATCTCAAACGCATCCTCGAATCTTCAACCCATACTCAGGATGTGCAGTATATCAGACGAGTTGAGGTAGTGATGTTGGGGGGTGGTTAAAAGAATCAAATTTCGCAACTGGCACTTGCATCGAATCGTTCCCACCGAGTCCTTTGGTCTATTTTGGCGCCGTTCTTCTTGGTATAAAGCGAACCTCAAAATTGTCCGAATCAGTCTAACATAGCACAGTCTGAGCCCCAAAGTCCGGGGGATCGACGCAAGGAGGAAGAAGATAAGGTACCCGCCCGCAAAAAGCAACCAAAGGAGCCTCGTGACCACGAGTCACAGTCGTGCTGTGATTTGCCTTGCCAGCCTGAGGCCAGCCACTAACAGATGAGGTTATCCACCCCACTTGACTTCATGAGAACACCACACGACACGCAGACATATCACAACAATTCGGACTGTCAAAAGCCTCGTCCTCGTCGCCGCCGTGCTTGTGCAATTGCTGCGAATTAAAGAGGAACAATCAGAGGCTGCTGACACGTCTACCTAGCTGTACGCGTGGCACCCACTGTCGCGCTCGGCATCACCAGCCACCGTCTCACGCGCATAAGGTTATCAGATATCGCAGATAGGACTACACGTCGCCCGAGCACGAGCAGAGACGTCGCCGCCATAGCTCACGATATCGCAGTTTTGCAGGCGCAATTATTTGATGGAGCCTCACCAGCTGGCTCTCGCCGCCCTCGACGAGGTGGCACATTCGATCAGCACGGCCGCGAGTCATCGTGATGCGGGTAATGTCTTACGGGCGGCTGGCGACATCCAACCTTCGATCAAGAACAAAGAGATCACGAAGAATAGAGCTGCATATACCCACGAACCAAGTCATTCTTCAGCAGCAGCCTGGGAAAACATGTCTCTATCCGGGAAGGGACACAATAGCACCAGCAATACATCATTGGCCTTGAAGACGACGACATCCAGTAACAATTCCCAATCGACGACCGATGGCCATGATACGGTCTCCACACCGCCGACTTCTACCTCCGATGAGTTCTCATCACAAAGCACGAATGCCGATGGGCCCCTGTCTCAATTATCGCAACTCTCGCAGCTGGCCGCTGCAGCAGAACCTCTCTTGAGCACGTCTTCGACGCGACCTGCCCTCACAATAGCCCCAACAGCAGGCCAGAAAAGAACAGCAGACGGACAGGTGAAGCCACTATCTGCCTCTCCTAACAGTCCAAAGGCGCGTGGACATTCCAGGAATACTAGCGCAGTAAGTAATGTATCTTCTGTTGGGAGTAGCAGGATTGGAGAAGTAAGACAGCACCAGAAGTCTCCGGAATTACCTACTGACAATATGCAGCTTTCGTCCGAGCTTCGGACGCGTCTTTCTTATGCGATGGTAAAAGTAAACAATGGGTGGCAATCAAATTCAATCGACGAAGTTGAATCACTGGCATCCCAGGCCGCGTCTCCAACCTCATCCACATCCACTTTGCATGGCCGTCGCAATCTTATATCGTCTCCGCGCACTGCCATGGCAACTCTACAAAGTCATTCCAGCAGTGCTAGCCAAACTATCCAAACGCTAACGCCTGATTTCGACTTGTATCCCAGAGGAGACCAGCCATCCCGAACGTATGAATCATTCTGGCGAGACCATTCAACACCAAACTTTCCCCCCCAACGTCAGTCGACGCAAACACCGATCATTTCACCTCCAGTCTCGAAATCCCTTGGCCCCCCAGCTGACATTCGTCCCACTGCATCCTCACGCCGATCAGGAACTCCAAAGTTCAGCAAACCACCGGCCATGCCTAATAACGGTTCGAATTCGCCTTACAACACGTCAGCTCCTCGAACACCACTCAGAACAGACTTCAGGGATAACCCTGTTATTCAAACGCCGGTCCAAAAGACGATTCAAGAACAGGATGCCATTGAGACTTTACTATTTATGAGCAGTCCTGGGAACTCTGGAAACATGGGTCACACGTTCCCTCCGCCCAGGACCCAAGGGTCGCCACAGCTGAGCCCTCTAAGAACAGAATTCGATTCTCGTGCGAGAGCAAACCAAATAAGAAGAGTTGAATTCGACACTTCGGCAGTAAGTGTTAGCGCAGACAGCAGTGAAGGTGGTGCCGAGTACAGGAGCAAGATGAGAAGCAAGGGACTCAGCCAAAGTAAAGCAAAGAGCGAGGAAATGAACCGCTTCTTGGATGAGATGCGGGATGATTCCAGCAGTGATGAAGAGGAAATAATGATCAAGTATTCGAGTCCGAGGCGTATTCCAGCTGGGAGAGTCTAGCAGTCGCCGACTTCTTTCTCAAGTACATACATAGAGACGATTTCATGGCATATACGGAGTTCTTGCTTGCATCTCTAACGACGCAGAGCTTTCTGGGCGTCAGGGTGATACCCTTCTTCCAATTCGGACGGAATTATGATCAACGGTCTCTTTTGTTCATTCGGGGGCTGCATGCGAATGTTGGAGTTTCTTCGGATGGGTACATCTAATTTTAGGGGTTTCTGAGATGGGATTACCTCGATGTCTTGGGTGCATTTTATGGATATTTAGTTGTATATTCTTTGGCATTTTAGATGCACATATCACGCCTTGCTTTTGTTGTTTCATGGCCGGCACAGGTCTCGAATTTTTTACCATCACCAACCGAATCATATTTTTGTTGGAGTATTATATGACTGCAACTTGCTCTCGAACCCCAGCTCCACGCATGGTAGCAATTAACAGGAGCCTATTCCTAGAACGGCGCAACCACGAGTACTGTAGACTGTGACTGATGTAACCAAATTCAGCGAAGCTCGAATACTCGCACAGGGCATTGCTTGTTTTCATCGGAACGCCACACTCCGGGGATGTTTCAACTACTCGCATCGACAAGATGGGCATGCGAGAGATCAATGTATTTCAAACCTGGAGCACAATTGGTAAAACGACCCATTTACCCGACACGGGAGCATCTAATCCATGCCATCTGTGCATATCAATCTGAGAGACAAGATGGAGTGCTAGTTATACACCAGGAATCACCGAGGACTTACACCCACGTGATATGAGTTCTCGGAAGAAATATGACATGGATGATCCTCTGCACATCGGTTTGATCTCCACGACAAGAAAAACAAGTGTGTGATTCGTCTGATGTTTGTCTGTCTTACGATCTCCCCGTACGATGATCCTAAGATACCTTCTCGGCAGCAGATGAGCGGAAAATGGAGAACATGCTTCAACAATATCAGGAAAGCAATGACCGATGTTGTATTTGACCGGCTATTTTAGGAATGTCATCCAAAATGTCGCACTTGATCTCCTCGAAAGCTTACTTGCAATAAGACGGATGATGCAGCCGCGGGAAAATAAGCTTTGTGACGTTCAGGTTGCATCGTGGTGTCCAACACAAGGGAGAAACAAAAGTATGTTTTGAGAACACGGAAGGCTGAAGTGAAGACAACAAAGTCCACCAACTAGGTTTCTCTTCTTCTAGACCCAACCGTCGGAACAGATCATCCATTCTCTCCTCGTCAACCTAACACATCGCACCCGCACCAACCCTGTACCATATCTCTTCACGCGCTTTCAATTGGTTGTCACCAAGGTCGTTTCAGACCGTTTCACGGATTCCAGCAACTCGCAATTCGTGGACACGCAAGCCAAGCTTCAGGATGGCAGGGGTCTGCGCAACAACAAGAAGACAAGTTCTGTTAGAGATGCCAAAGACTACGACTCGGATTCACTTCGCCTAGTAAAGATCTGGTAGGTATGTCCTTGTGGAGGGGAAGATCGCTTGTACCGGGGTGTCGCGAAATTTGAACAGACACACCCAGGCGTTGAGACATCAGCTTTGAGTGGTCTCTGATCCTGAGTCTGAGCCTGAATATGGAATTCCGAGTTGTCATCTCAAATCTTACGACCTGGTTTAATTGCTCGTTATAATGCTAGAAGAAAGTGCGTCGAAGAAAGTGCGTCGAAGAAAGTGCGTCGACACCTCTTGTGGTGGCGCTATCATTCATTGGTCCCGGGCGCTACAGTATGGGATCGCGGGTGTGGCGCACATAGTGTGGAGCAAGGCGAGTTTCAGCGCACTTCAAAAGGACAACCGAAACGCCGGGCTGACAGGGTTCATGCTCCAAATGTTCTCTCCCACAAACATTCCATTATTGTTTGCCTGCTCGGCTGTCGACAAAAGTTGCTCTAAAAGAAACAGGCTTGGTAACCGCTCTCGCATTTTCCCATTTGTTTCGTTTGTGATCGTCGATGCTTAATGCTTCGGAAGCCTGCGGGATCGGTTGCGAAGAAGTCAAGCTTCACTTGGACATCTTGGAAGCCTTGGGGTCTCACTCAGACATATTGGAGATTTACATTGGGAAACCCTGAGGGGAGATTGGGTTTGGGAAAGAAACACCATCCAAGAACCACAAACCGGTTGTTGAGTCTACCGGTACACATTGGATGGCAATGGTTTGAGGCGAGGTTTAGGATTGCCCTCTGTGAGAAGATTATTGGGATTCAGAGCTCGAACGATCCTATCGCGGCTGACCTCAATTGGTAGAGTAAAGTCACGAGTTTCTAGGTCAAGGTGGTGAGTAGTAGTCGCAACGCAGCGAGGCGTGGGTTTCAGAATGTCGGGTCCAGCAGATCATTGATGATGTGCTTCGAAGAACGCCACCCACTCAATTTGCCCCTCAGACACTCTGGACCAAACACCGCTCTGAACATCGAAATCTTGATCAATTAACTCTATGCTTGGTTGGCCGGTGTCACAGCCTTTCTTCATCCTGGTGGAACATGTCGGAAGGCAATCTGGTGAGTGGTGCTTTGCTAAAAAGGATATATTCTTGGCAGTGGTCTAACGAAAATACTACAACGACACTCTCCCAGACTCTTTGGAATCACCTCGTCGGTTTTGTCGTATGGAAAATCAACATGGCTCGTTCTACTGTGAACAACGATTGGTCACGGTGCGAAAGGGTCTAAATCGGGCAACATCAGCCTCACTCACTCCACTATCTTGGCACACCAGTGAAGCCACGGAGCCACTTTAGGGTCAGGACTGCCCCTGGAGACGCGGCTATCCACCAACCCCTGGCCCCTATTCCCAAGCCCGGTCCAGTGCTTGTTCTCGCTGTCCAGCATCACTACTGGCTTGCCCTCTCTCCATTGCAGCCTCTGGTGGCCCCTGGCCCAGTTCCGTGCAGCTCTCGCCTACCTCCCTGCCCTACCTCCGTACCGTACCAACTTTCTCAACCACTCCCTACCGAGCCCATCCTTCGGAGCCTCTCCAACCCACTCTCACTCAAACACCCAGTTGTGTTGCGTAGATACCTCGCACTGACGACGCCATGGGCTTCTCAAACCCGCTGCAGGGCTCCATACAATGGAATTGCCGTATGGAGCTTGCCTGCATTGAGCATGGGTCTCCACTGTCATGCCACACCCTGTGTCTGGGCTCTGCACCTCCCATGTTTTACCCAGCTCGAGGCGATCCTATAGAAGCCTTCCAAGACTTCATGCGAAAAACATCCACTTCTCTTGTTCATGTTCGGTTTCTCTTAAACTATCTTCTCTTTCCTATTCCTATTCCGCTTGTGTATCCTGTTTTGCTCCTCCTTCCATTTATCTTTGTTTTCTTTGCATCTTTCCTGGGGCGGGCTTCCAATTTCACTCTCGAATACTCGTGCTGAGCATCTTTCTTTTGATTGCCATATTTCGAGACTCCGCGACCATTCTTTGACGCCGAGATCTCGATCTTCTTACCACTCCTTACATTCGAAAGTACCACCTGGTGTGGATTTAGAAATAACCTCACGATGCCTTCCATAATACAGCTTCAGGCTCTCCTCCTCCTCGCCCTCGTCGGCTTCGCCCTCGCCGTTCCAACGAGAAATGCACCAATTCAGAAACGCAGCTTCAAGGTTGAGCGAGTGCCAAACCCTCACTTCAAGGGCCGATCAGTAGGAGCTGGAACAAGGGCGCTCGTCAAGGCGCACAGAAAGTATGGTGTTGCACTTCCTCAAGGACTCGTCGATGCTATGAATGCCGCCGCTGCAGCGAACGCAGCTCCAGTCGGATCCATTGCCGATGCTTTATCGAACTCAGCCAGCATCCAAATTGGTGCTGCTCCTGTCGAGGAGAAGAAGAAGGCACAAGGTTCCGCCACGAGATCAGTTCCTGGTTCATTGTCGACGGGTGGAGCTACTGCTGGTGCCAGAGCCAACGGTACTGCTGGAAAGGCTACAGGGATTGTGACGGCTACCCCCGAGCAAGGCGATGTCGAGTACCTCTCTCCAGTCACCATCGGTGGACAGACTATAAACATGGATTTCGACAGCGGTTCCTCCGATCTCTGGGTTTTTAGCACAGGACTAAACGCCGCTGCTCAAGCAGGCCACACCAACTACGATGCCACCAAGTCCACTACTTCAAAAGCGCTGGCCGGGGCCTCCTGGTCCATTTCCTATGGTGACGGATCTGGAGCAAAAGGAACTGTCGTAATGGACACCGTAAACATTGGAGGAGCAGAGGTCAAAAACCAAGCTGTTGAGATGGCCACGGCAGTCTCACAATCATTCGTTGCCGATGCTAACTCCAATGGACTTGTCGGCCTCGCCTACTCCAAACTCAACACTGTCAAGCCAACACAGCAAAAGACTTTCTTTGATAACGCGATGCCCAACCTGGCCATGCCTGTTTTCACTGCAGATCTCCGTAAGGCCGCCGTCGGCTCCTACGAGTTCGGCAATATCGACTCCACCAAGTTCAACGGAACCCTCGCCTGGGCCCCCGTCAACACCACCCAGGGCTTCTGGCAATTCTCCTCCAACAAGTTCCAAGTCGGTACCGGTGCCCCAATGACCATCCAAGGTGGCCAGGCCATCGCTGATACCGGAACTACTCTCATGTTGGCCAACGCTGCTATCGTCAACGCCTACTACAGCCAAGTCAACGGTGCCGTCAACAACGCTACCGTCGGAGGTGTCACCTTTCCCTGCAACTCTCAGCTACCCGATCTTGCTGTCGATGTTGGTGGATCTTACATGGCTACTGTCCGTGGAAGCGACATCAACTTCGCTCCAGTTGACCGTGCTGGTACCAGTAAGTCACACTATCCAATGCTGAACTCTTTCTAGAACTCTTACTAACACCTCCTCTAGCTTGCTTTGGAGGCCTCCAAGCCATCGCTGGTAACCTCCAGATCTACGGAGACATCATGTTCAAGTCACAATTCGTGGCCTTCAACGGTGGCAACAACACTCTTGGCATGGCTCCTCATCAGTAGATGCAGAATCTACGTCACGTCAACTCAAGTCACAGCATTGCATTGCAGCAGATAGTAATAGAAAATTTCTTTTTTTCGTGGCATCTTGAATCTTGCCAAAATGGGAATGTTTCAGGTATATTGTGTAGTATAGGTATATGATGATCCGATAGGGTCAGCATGGGATAATGGGTTTTGTACAAAGTTTTTCACGCCTAGACAGGAACAGAAATGAGACGGGATGAGAGGCATCGCGTGGATAGCATTTGTTGTACATAATTTCAACGACTTTGATTTCGTCCTTCGTCTCGGCTTTTTGTTAGCCGTGTTCCCTTGTACAGCGTTGCTGCTTTGCGATGCGTGAACCTTGTTTCAAGAGGGAAAAGTATCACAAGTGCTCGTGTCATTCATCTCATCTGATTTGCGAAACCAGTACCCAAACGCCAACCAAACAAGCCAATACCAAATAGAACATTAAGCAAGTGCTAGGATGCTGTTCGTCCTAATTATGCTTCCGCATCCCAACGAAGGCAAGTTCCAAAGCTTGATGGCCCAGCTCCGTTAATTGCTGCGACGGCCTTCCCGAGATAGTGTAAAAGTGGAAAAGCCCAAGACACCGGAGTCAACTCAATCCGATGTAAAAAAAAACTTGAGTGTGCGTTATCATTTAATCACAGCTGTACATCATATGTTGGGCGTCATGGACGGGGTATGCCATGGAGACGCCCCTCTCGCCATTCAAGACATGGCGTTTCTTGAAGTGTCGCTCTTCGGAACAGGGGCTACCCATTCTTTTGCCATGTAGGAGCGGATTGGCTGACGACATGAATCTTTCACCCCGCAAAGGATTTTCGATATGTCGCTTTTTGAAGTTGGGCTCGTCCAGATCAGAATAACTCGCTTTTCTCTTTCCGTCTGCTGTCAAGCCAAAGGACTTTGAGCTGCCGATTCCAGGAGAACAACTAGGGCCAAAGAGCATTCTGGAAAGGTGGGATACATCTTCAGTCTGTTCATTGTCGGTGTCTGAGTAGACCTCCATGTCTTTCATCAATTCCTCGATAGCCATTTTGTCATAGTTGTAGTCTGAGCTGGAAGTACCCTCTCTTCCACGGACCCAAGTAGGCGAGCTCCTTGGTCCAACATAATCTTGGGATGGGGACGAGAGAAACATATCGTCATCCCGAGTCTTGGCTCTTCTGTACTCGTCTGTGTAGTTCATATCGAAGTCCCGGTCATCATAGTTATTCTTGCACGTGTCTAGGCATCTCGCTTGCATCTCATTGTTCTTCCACAATCCTTCCCAATCTTCAGGATAGCATTTCGCGAAGTCAGAGCCTTCCAACATACTGATGTCCTTTGCCTTCTCTTTACCTTTCACATCTCGCTGCACCCACTTGAGCGATCCGCAACCATCGGACTGCACGTTACATTTATTGTATCCTTCCTCGACTGTCGAATTGCTTGTGCTTCGATATAAACCAACCAGATCTGAGCTTCTTGGCGATCTTACAAGGCTTGGGATAGTTTTGTCTGTTGGGTTTGAAGTCGTGGCATTGTACCCTGGCGACGTCGTAGTTGATCGTGTAGGTGTTGGAGAGGACAGCAAGTTGGTAACTCTGATTCGACGAGAGGATAGACTATCGTCTGTATGAAGATAGGTGGATGCATCGGGGGATGATTTGATCCAATCATTGAAGCAGGAGTCGTCCCAAGTGTAGGACTCTCGAGGTTCTTGTGGTAACATGGTAGAGGGTGTTTAGCTCCTTCGATTGGAGATATATATTCCTATTGCTTTGGTGATGTATAGCAATGCTGCTGGGAAGATACAGTGAGGCTATTCTTCTTGATGAGAGATGGAATTCTGATGTTATGCACTATTAAAAGGCAAAGGAACTGCAGCGAGCGCTGTCTGTTTTCTTACTGGATTGAATGCGGAAAGAGCCATCAGAGGGGTGGGTGATAATATGCTTTGCAATTCATGCGATCACACTTACAGTAAGAGCAACTCACAAACAATATGAATTCTCCTGGAACTCATAATCTGGCCTGAATGTATGTTGCTTTGCTAAAGACCGTCTTCTTAATTGTACAACATTAAATGCTCGAAAGACAAAGCCCGGCACAATAATATCCAGAACGTTGTAATAAATCTCCATGATAGTTCTGACTGCTTTGATAGCAAGATCCAGAATCTCGGGGCCTCTAGTCAACTAAATCTGTTATTCTGTGACTTTAGCATGATTGCGGTGTAGAGGATCGACCCAGCCCTCTCTTGGTACTCTTTGATTTGCTTTAATGACGCGGTTCTAGGGTTTTTGATCAAGTCGTCGTATGGCATCAAATCGCAAGCTGATAGAGAATTTGGGAATCAACAGTATTTGAGTGTAAACTGTGAGAGGCCAAGATTTTGTGTGAATTTTCTTCGATGAAGTCTTAGCGCTCAACCAACGTGCTTTGCTTCGACAGCGTAGGAGACCTTTTCCTATTAGCAGCTTCTCAATGTTATGTCCACTGTCCGGGGCGCCGATGCTGCACCAGTTGATTTCATGTGAGCGCAGCGATCTGGTGTCCACGCACAAGAGTAAGATCTATTCATTGCGCCCCATTCTTGATTTGATCCAACTTATGGTTTCATGCAAACCTGTCTGAACTTTTTCCTCCTGTCCCGCTCGCGTGTGATAATCTTACATTGAATCGAGAAAGATCTGTGAACTGCGAAGTCTCAATCAAACTTCAATCCCCCGCATTTATCTTCCTGCGGTCCGCGCCGCAATCTTTCGCCACCTTCTTGAATAGGTTACTCTCCCGGGATAGCAATCCTATCATATCATATCATAAGTTATCACCTGTCAAATCAAGATTTGCAATCACAGCGGCGTAGTCAGTCGCCTGGCTGCTTTACAGTACTGGACTTCTCGCCACCGACCGTACAGCTGCAGCACAGTACTCCTACTCCTACTCCTACTCTGACTGACATCCTTCACGTTCGAGAAAGCACCACACGCCTATGTCGTGTCCGAGGTCAACACAGCAACACAACACAGCACAGCCACTGTCAACTAGTCCCGTCTCTATGCCATGGACGCCGAGTGGGGGAGCAACTGTATTGACACCAACGATGTAGCTTTTGGCAAGCCGAGTCCCTGCACAGCGGAGGACTTCTCTTCTTTCGAACGCGAATGGCTCTTCTGGCTCTCAGTCGCGACAGCCGCCTCCTTTGTGGCACTTGCTGTCCCGCGGCTAGCTGTTCTGATATTCCGCCGCGGTCATGTCATAATCCGGGCGCCACTTCTGATATTGTCTGCCAGGTTGATAACAAGCCTTACGTTTGCTTGTCTCCGCCTTGGCCTTCTTATTCTCGCTCTCCGAAGCAAGCGTCAATCTCAAAACGGTCGACTTGTGGTCTCTTCAGCCTTGGATCTCGCCGCGGCATGTCTGCTTGTCCTTCTCTCCCCTTTCGAGCACTTCAAATCCATTCGTCCTTCTGTTCTCGCTTGTGTCTTCTTGTTACTCGCATTCATTTATGATCTCACTCGTTGCCCATTGCTTTGGCCAGCCTCTCGCCATGTTGATCAAAACTCGTTCATCTTTGCTGTTTTGTTTACGGCAATAGTCCCGGTAGAATTTTTGTTCCTCATCCTAGAAAGCATACGTCGGCGTACGTGGGTCGTGTGGGATGCCGTTGATCACAGCCCTGAGGAGACAGGAAGTGTCGTGAGTCTTGCACTGTAAGTGATATCCATTCAGCCGATTACAAAGTTTGGCCTGTTTTCCTCTGTTCAAGTCTTCTTTCAAGTTCTTCCATTCGAATTGACAGTATGCTAACTTTGCGATCTTGAGGTATGCATGGCTTAACCCACTTCTGTGGCGTGGCTACCGTAAGCCTTTGACCATGAGTCTTCTGTATCCACTAGACCCCGCTCTTTCTGTTCGCACGCTCGATCGAAGACCATCTAATTGCTCAGAAGAAACATCCGGAACTTCAGCATGGCAACTTGGAATTTGGCTTGCAAGGTCGCTGGGAGGGTCACTGGTGCTAGCGGTCTTTCCACGACTGTGTCTTCTCGCCTTTACCTTCTGTCAACCATTCTTTATACAGCGCCTGTTGAGGTTTCTTTCATCTCCCGATGATGACTTTGCTACTGCTACCGGACTCGTATCTGTCGCTATTTTCATTTACTTAGGCATCGCCATTTCAACTGCGTTGTATTGGTACTACCAAGAACGATTCCAGACTATCCTACGTGCTTTTCTCATTTCCGCCATCTATGGCAAGACAGCCAACATGACTCATGACGGTGATGGAAATCCTGCTGCCGTGACACTCATGGGTGCTGATGTCGAGGTATGTTTACATTCCTTGAAATGCAACTCCTGGTTCTTCAGTCACAGACATCTCTAGGCACAAACACTTTGAGAGCATTGTCTTGTTTATGATTGCTACACCGGACAGGCTGACTGAAATGTTTCGTTCAGCGTGTGTATACAGGTCTACGAATGATGCACGAGGTGTGGGCAAACGCTATCCAAATTCCGGTTGGCTTATGGCTCTTACAACGACAACTTGGGCTTGCCTTTCTCGCACCATTGGTCCTCGTTTTGTTTGGGTTTTCAATATCGTTTATTATTGCTCGGTATGCAGTCCGCTATCAGACTGCTTGGATGGAAAGTGTGCAAGGACGTACAGGCCTTACCTCAGCAGTGCTTGGGCATATTAAAGACCTTCGCGTCTCTGGATTAACCAATCTTGCATCAAAACTTGTAAAGAAATCCCGCGAGGACGAAATAAAAGTAGGCGGGCGGTCACGTACCATTATTGGTATCAGCGCAAGCTTCAGTCAGCTTCCACAAGCATTAGCGCCCGCTCTGGCGTTTGCTTTTGGTCCACACTCGATAAACCAGACGCAGGCATTTACATCTCTTTCACTCCTAGCATTGCTTACATCGCCACTCCTAATGGTCCTGCAGATTCTGCCCATTATCTCTGCATCCTTTGCGTGTCTGAGAAGAATCAAAGTCTTCCTCGACAAACAAGACCGTGTTGACATGAGACAGATACGGTTAACAGAGAAAGTTTACGACAAGACTGAAAATTCTGAAAAAGAAACCGGGGCAATGGTTACTATCGATGGTGGGAGCTTTGGATGGACAGATGGCAATATGGTGCAAAATAATATCAACCTTCAATTCCCCAAATCCTCTATTAACTTTGTAGTTGGGCCCGTGGCCTCTGGAAAGTCAACACTCTGCCGAGCACTTTTAGGCGAGGTGCCTCACAGCCGGGGCAGCGTGACCTTGAAGTCAAACAAGTTGGCTTACTCCGATCAGAAGTTGTTCTTGTTTAACGCCTCCATAATTGAAAATATCGTCGGCTTTTCGTCTTTCGATATGGTTCGCTATGCCGATGTCCTTCGGGCAACAATGTTGATTCAGGACCTTGATGCTCTTCCATTGGGCGACAAAACAATAATCGGGACCAAAGGTATCATGTTAAGTGGTGGGCAACGACAGCGCGTTTCGTTGGCACGCGCTCTCTATCACCATGCTGATATTCTTATCCTGGATGATGTGCTCAGCGGCCTCGACGTGAGTCACCGGGTAGCCCGTTGTCTCTTTTACCACTCCTTTTGTTGATATGTGACTCCTTACATTTTTCAAGGACCGAGACGAGTCTAATTTTCCACCAGGGCTCAACACAGGACCATGTTTGCCGGTCCCTTTTTGGACCGGCCGGCCTTCTGCGAGAACGCGGGACAACCACGGTTGTTTGCACACACGCAATTAGATTTTCATCCTTCGCCGATCAAATCATTGCGTTGGCCACGGATGGCACAATTGTCGAAAAGGGTGCCTTTTCAGAGATTGTTCAGGATAAGGATCGTGCCGGCCGCGTTGGTATCACTGATTTCTCCACCCTGGCTCGACCGATCGATCAAAATATCGGACCTGACACAATTTCATTCGAGATCCAAGAGTCAGCGTCAGCAGCAGAGACTCGTCCTGGGAACCAAACGCCAATACACTTGATCCAGCCTGCATCCGCACCTGGTATACTTATTGACAAGGACGTGTGGCGTCATTGGCTCTCCACAATTGGCGTTTTACCACTGGCGGTGTACTCTGTTCTCATTGTTGGAAATGGTTTCTTCTCCAATTTTCCTACCATCTGGCTCAAGATGTGGTCTGCGGATTCAACTTCGTCGATCCCTGAACATTCCTTTGCTTACTGGATCGGTCTTTACGCACTACTCGGGGCATCGGCAGTTTTTTGTGTTCTCCCAGCCGGGCTTATTATGCTACGTACTGGAGTACGGCTTTCAGGGACCAAGCTCCATCATATCACTATCGACACCGCGATGCACAGCAGCTTGCGCTTTCTCGGAAGTAATGAAGTAGGCAAGATATTGAATTTATTCAGCCAGGATATGAATATTCTCGACACTCAGCTGCCTCGTATGGTAAGTAACATGTGCTTTACATTGTCCAACGCTATTGGTCAATCCATTGTCATCGCATTGTCTTCAGGATGGTTAGCCGTAAGCTACCCGATATTTGTTGCATTACTCTGGGGAGTGCAACGCATCTATTTACCGAGTTCGAAGAGGCTTCGTATTCTCGATCTGGAATCAAAGACGCCTTTATAGTATGTTACATTTCATCGCTTCGAAATTTCTTGGGCAATTGCATTGAAACATTCTGACGATATTCTACTTGTTAGCACAAATTTTCTGGACACGCTCGCTGGGCTGCCTACAATTCGAGCTTTTGGTTGGTTTCCACAGCAGATTGCTCGCAATAATGCCCTTCTCGACAATTCACAGCGCCCGTCATATCTACTTGCCATGGCACAACAGTGGTTAATGCTTGCTATGAACTTGATAGTCTCTATTGTGGCTGTTATCCTCGTTGCCTTAGCTACTCAGCTACGCCTTAACGCAGGCAGTGTTGGTGCTGGCTTGGTTACTTTAATTACGCTCAGCTCCACACTAACAACTGCTGTCATTGCTTATACTGGTTTGGAGACTTCGCTTGGGGCTATCAGTAGACTTAAAAGCTTTGAGGAAGACACGGAACTCGAAGATCGCAAGAACGATGATGTTAAACCCGATAAGTCGTGGCCAATGACGGGTTTAATTGAGATTGAAAACGTTGATGCGAGTTATACGGGTACGGATAAGGTATTGAAGGGGCTGACTCTTTCGCTTCAAGCCGGAGCCAAGGTTGCGATATGTGGAAGAACCGGAAGGTATTCCATCTCTGCAATACGTTTACATCCCTTTCCCAACTGAAAAATTCATCTAGTGGTAAATCCTCCATCATCGCACTCCTACTTCGACTCATCGAACCAATGTCATCACTCGACACAAGATCCCTAATCACTATCGACGGCATCCCTCTCAACACGATCAACCATACCGTTCTCCGCGAGCGTATAATATCCGCATCCCAAGACGCCGTTTTCCTCCCCGAGGGCAGCTCTTTCCGAGCTAATGTCGACCCATGGAATGCAGCTTCTGATGTGGAGGTTAATTCCGTCCTCCATGATCTTCATCTTTCCCACGTCGTCGAAGGGAAAGGTGGATTGAACTCTTTAGCTAATGGAGCTGAGCTCAGCGCCGGGCAAAAACAACTCTTCACTCTTGCGCGGGCGGTACTTAGGAAGGAAGTCAAGCTGCGAGAGACGGGTGTTAGTGGTGGCCTGCTGCTTTTAGATGAGATTACCGCGAGTGTAGATGCGGAGACAGAGCAGAGCATGAAAAGGTTGTTAGAGGTTGGCTTCAAGGATTGCACAGTGGTTATGGTTACGCACCGGAAGGAAATGGCAATGAGTTGTGATAGGGTGATTATGATGGATGCGGGGACGATAGTAGAGGATGGAACGCCTGAGAAGCTGTTGATGAAGGAGGGTGGGTGGTTCAGGGGGCTCTGGGAGAACGATGGTATTTCTGGATAATATCTTCATTGGAGGATGTGAAGGTGGCAGAGGTGCAGGCTTGTAAAGAATTTCTTGATAATGTATGTCTTCAATGAGAAGATATTTCAACAATTTTCTCCTTCATGTTGAAGTCACCCCAGAAGTTTCAGAATCGAGTGCCTCTTTTCCGATGGGTAATGACGGAGTATCCAAAGCTCTATACAGTTGGCGTGGGTGAGAAGAAGTCCCTTGAACTTGGCTGCCCACCAGTGCCAAATCTCGCCCAATTGAGAGTAACTGAGCTGCCTCATTAGAATGCATCTCTCCCAGTTCGCTGATCTTCTTACCAATGCGCCAGACCAGGGACTGCTCCTTTGCCGGATCATCCCATATATTTGATTCGAGAGATGGTGCTGATCATTGAAGATGTATCAGATTGCGGAACTGATATGGCAGGTCTGCACAGTAATGTTAGTGATCCTTGTACTCTGCGAAGATAGCCTCAACTAAATCTGTGATTCTGTGACCTTTGCAGGTGCAAGGTTTGTTTACCTATTACCTAACCCCTCCCCCTTTTTTAAGCTCGCTTAAAATGCGCTAGTATATACCTGCACTAGCTTCACTTTTTGCCTTTTCACGCTTGAAAGTACTTACTTCCAACTTCAATCTTTATAAAAATGAAGCTAGAATAGTAATGAAAACACTAATCTTACACTAATATAGAATCTTACAAAGAGTTCAAGATATTTACAAACAGTGTCAAGAGCCTCAGAGAGACGCAAAGATAAAATAAACATAGAATATTGTAGGATATACTCAGATTCATCCAATTCATAAATTCCATCTGCTCCTTCGTACCGCATATTCTGATGACAGTGAATGACTCTCGGGCACAGAGCTGCTGACATGTGGTTCTTAGTGACCAAGCTTTGTCTGAACTTGGTCTCCAAACTTTCGATACCCTGCGGCGATCAGACGATCATGTGGTTGTATTGGTGTAGCGCTTTGTACTAGTTGTATACCTTTGTGTTGGAATACCTGAACAAATGTGATGCGGCAGCACCAAAAGCCGAAGTGCTTCCGTGGAAGTAAACAAATCTTCGCGACATGAACAACGTACATGAACAATGTCCTAGTGGTATTCACCAAATAATGCTTTTGGAACCCTGATCAACAAATATTCATCCCCCATAGTCCAAATTCAGAGGTACAAACTATTCACGCGTTGCCTCTCGCCACTTGAGAGAGAAGTGTATCGTCCATTTATCAGCTTTCAACCTCCTTAAAATTTCAGTAACGTGAAGAACTTAAGGTATCATTTTGGGCGTGGATTACACTCCAATAACAAGGTTTTCCATCTTCATTTGCCTTACTCTTCTTCGGTCACCTACAGCAAGATACCATTTCATTCCTCCCTAGCTATCCCAACCTCGAATTCACTTCTCTAAGTGCTGGTGACCTCAAGCGCTATAACTCAAAAATCCATTATCAATCAACTTCATATCTTGAACAACATCGCACCTTACTTCTCGTCATATACAAACAATATTCGACAGCTTTGCACAGACTTGACATCCTAGCACCACCGAATACATGGCCCCTAAGAATTCCAGCTGGTCTGCAGAGCAGATTACCTTTATCATGGAGCAAAGTACTGCAGGTACCAAGCCTGCAAAGATTGGAGAAGCAGTGAAGGAGAGATGGCCAGACAAGGAGATTGCCAAAGGTGCTATATCTGGTCTGATTGCTAGACAAAACAAAAAGAAGACGACCACGCAAGGCAAGGGCAAATCTTTGAGAGAGACTTCATCTGGAACTTTTGTCTCTGCTCGTTTTGAAATTGGCGAGCCTTCCTTGGCTCTATCGGCCTCGATTAGTTCGGAGAGTAAGGAGTCTTCCAAAATTGTTCCTGGTTCACCATCTGTTTCTGAGACATCGCAGCCACAACTGCGTCCAACAACTTCAATTCAGAAGTCAGGAACACCAAGCGCTTCTCCCCAGATTACCCCCTTCTCAGCATTCAAGTAAGTTAAGACTTCAAGTGGTGCCTCTTTTTAAGAGAACACATAATTCGAGATTGGATTGATACAGACTCTAAACCTTATTCTGTACTGGATATCAGACGATTCATGACTAATTTTAATTGACAGGACTCCCCCACATCGCTATTCATCTCCCACAGCCTCAGATCTCAACGAAGACAATGCGACCAAGTCAGAATGCGGTCTTAGATCCCAGAAAAAGAACCACTCTAATGTATCAGCTCCACGTGAACTTCCAAGCCCTGGAGATGAATCTCAGAACCAGGAAAGACGCTCGTCTGCTGCCCAGTTCTTGGAGAGAATCATTTCCCTCTCTCCAGGAGATGGTTGTTCCGGCTCGAATTTCCTGCGCGCCAGTGAGTCTCCAGACAAGTCAAATCCATCTCCTGAGCCTCCGGTTCTGTCGTTGGATTCTATAGCAGCCAGAGGTCTTATCAAGGGCTCCAACCTCTCGTTCTTCTGTGACGGTTCTGGTTCAGACTCAGCTGTTCCGGCACTCAATACTCCCAACTTTCCGTCCGAAGTCAACCCCAATCAAATCGGGGGCTCCAGCGGCTCTTACTCTCCTGCTGTTGGTGAAAAATTGTATTCACCTCAACCTCGTCCCGCCACTACAGAGCCTTTCCCTGCTTTTGACAACGAGACTGCAGATCATCTTCTCAATAAAGTCACACCAGCGCCATCAACAACTTACTTCGACCCCGATCTTGCAGCTTCGTCTTTCCAAGCCGACGACGCTGCCCCTCAGGCAAACACGAACCTTCGGCTCGATAAGGACGAACTTGAGACTGTCATGACAAATGCCTCAGCTGAAGCTAAGGAGGAGGTAATTGCCTGCGAAAAGATCGAAACTGAAGTTCAAATCACGGCACCTGCTCAAGAGACCGAGACTGAATTTGTTGAACCTGTTCACGCCGATCAAAATCTTGACTCAACTCCTGTTCAGTCTCCACAAATCGCCATTTCTAATCTCGACATCACGCCTCGTGCTCCGCAGCTCAACCTCCCTGCATCAAAAGACCTGTCTTCAGTCCGTCCTCCTAAGACCTTCCAACCAAGAATCTGGTCTACTCCAAAACCCGTCAAGATGTCGACCTTGTCCAGGCAAGTTCCTTTTCCTTCCCACTAATTACGGTATAAGCTAGTTTGAGACTCTAACAAATTCATTAGTACCCTTGGCTCAGAGATCGTTCACTTCTACGTCGGTCCCAAGCGCAAGGAGTTCATTATCCACGGCAATCCACTCCGTCTCAAGTCCAGTTATTTCAAGGACTTCAAGTTCACCGTCCACGCTGACACTGGTGAGACCGAGCACTATCTCCCAGATGCCGATTCCACTGCCCTCGAAATCATCATCGACTGGGTGTATCGTCAAGCTGTGGAGGTCATCCCCAGCACTCTCCCTAGCGGCTCACTCGATCACGGTACCGACGAGCACGCTGCCTTTACCAAAGCCATCAGCCGTGGTATCGAAGTCTACATGCTCGCCGCCAAGTTCGGTGTGGTAGATCTCCAAGACCTTGTCATGACCGAGCTTGGTAAGGCATACTATAGTCACCAAACCTTTCCTTCATCTGCCAACATCGCCGCTGTGTACGCCCAAAATGACTGCAGTTCTCCCTTGCGCAGATACATGGCTCGCTCCTATCAGATTCTTGCCGATCTCGATGATGGCCAGGTCGAGACAGTGGGCTGGACTGCTCAGGCGATTGATAGCATCATCTCGGAGGTTCCAGCTATGTTCAAGGATTTCCGAGCTCTCATACGAAAGAGTAAGGGTGAGGAGTCGAAGGAGGTTAGCTTGGACCTGGTTTGCTCCTACCACGCACACGGTGTTGATGAGGAGTGTTTTTCTAATGGTCTGAACTTTCGTGGTAAGCCTTCTTTCGTGAACACATGTCTGGAGAAGCCTTTGGCTGATGACTCGTAGGTTTGATCTGTTAGATTGGTTTTCAGAAGAGTTATGCGGAAGCCCAGTGACTTCGCAAAGGATTGGATGCCTGGGTACCAATTACTTGGATTTCCTATGTCTGATGCGAGGCTTTCCCCCTTGAAATCCATTCGCGTTTCTCGAGACTTCTGTCACTTGACAATACACTGCACGTCGACAGAACTTTCTTTCCTCATGTTCCCACTCGTTCATCACTAGGCTCTGTTGCAATTCAGCAAACAGTCCAGACCGACCAAAGGCCCATCCATATGAATGGGAGGATCCAACACGAGATCAAATATACTTAGGAGGCAATTCATGGGTTTGATGTTTTCTTTCTCCATTAGGATCTTCACCTACAAGTTAGATCTTAGACCGAATATGAATTCCATGCACGTATCCATCCATCTACTCCTCACCTATCAACCCCTCGCTTATGAAATATATGCTGTGCTGGAAACCAAGAGCTGAGAAGTTTCGTGCCGTAACTAACATAAACGCGAGAAAAGTGACCAATCCGAAGAATCATACCGCCGAACGAGAGCGCCAAAGGGAAACATGGTATCGCCAACTACTCGAGTGACACTTTACTTCTTCGGGGGGTACTTGTTCTTGAAGAGATATCTGTGATTTATTAGTATAACTCTCCTCAAAATTCGGTCTAGGAGTCAATCGAGTTCAGGTACTTACTGGCTCAAGTAGTAATCTCCAGCAGCGAACAATCCAACAATACCAGTCCAAGCACCAACAACCTTCCAGGTAAGATCACCAGCGGCATACTTTCTGTACGCACCGAAACCCAAGCCAGCACTCAGTGCAACAACAGCGACGGCATTGCCGATGTACACTGGGTTGTCCTTGTTGGCTTCCAAATTGCTCTTAGCCTTCTTTGCCTTAGCCTTGGCCTCCTTCTCCGCCTTCTCAGCTTTTGCTTTGGACTCGGCGTAAGCCTTCTTCGCACGCTCTTCGATAATCTCGGCCTCGTGCTCGAGTCTATCGCGTTGCGTCTCGGTTTTAATGGGTTGCGAGGGAAAGTCGGAGGGGACGGTGTGCACTGATTCGGTGTCGACGTCGATTAGGGAGCTGGTGGAGGGGGAATCGGTATGTTCAAGCTCTGGAATAACAGGAGCGCGCTTCTATTAAATCGTATTAGCTTGGAGTATCATGGATGGGTATTTTCCGAGAGGTTCTAGATGTATTTCCAGCTATCTACCAGCATTTTTTGATTGTGCCATAATACTCCTCTCGAAGAGACCAGCACTTGTAAGTTGCAGACGCTTCTGTAGACTTGTACTACAGCTGCAGCTCAAGAGATATCTTCTATAGAGTTTCACAGACAAGGAGCCGAATAACAATGGGATGAGCTCTACATACCTCCTCGGGTGATTGCTCTGGCCCGCTGGCTGCGACTGCTGCGTACGACATGTTTGCGTGGGTATGTGGAGCGACGGGTTGCTATTCAACATCAATATATGTCGAGATATCGTGGAAATGTGGCAGCTTACGGAGGAGGACAGTGGTGAGCGAAAGTCGTGGTTTGGTTGATGAAGAGAATCTCGTGAGGTTTGCACTTGGCGGGAGAAGTCGTGTGCTTGGGTCGCATGTGAACGAAACCTGGCAAAGGAAGCTTGCACCAAAACAGAAGCTGGGCAGCTGACGTAGGCGGCTCCCGATGGGGGGATGGGAACAGTGGATCATGACTAAGGTATGCTTCCTCGTGCATCGCAAGTGGAGACAAATATACTTTTTTTTAATTTAAGCTCAGGTCTGGGCACATTGACGTGACAGTTGAGATTTTAATATGGAAAAACGTCCATTAGGAAAACGTTGTTTTGATTCGGGTAACTGGGTCTGGAGGATCAACAAGATTCACGGCTGCAAGTCAGACTCGGGTCAGGGATCACGAAAGACACTCGAAAGCTCAGGGATTGTGATCATCAGGTACCAGAACCATGTCGTGGAGATCTTTGTTCTTCCTATTATACACATTTGCGCCCCCATATGCATTTTTGTGTATTCTACACTCTTGTACAAGTCAACAGACCATCCTTGGTATTTCAGTTGGCCTTAGTAGCATCATGAGAAGCCTTTGGCACAAACTCTCCTCCCTCATCACCTTGTCGTTTTGATACAATGTCGGCAGATGTCTTGCTAGTATCACGATGTAGTTCCTCGGCCACCTTCTTCTCCTCCGATACCTGGGCTGGCTGCTTCTCCTCGGTCGCTTGTGCTGGTTTCTTTTCCTCAATTTGAGTGGCTGGCTTTTCAGAAACTTGCTGTGTTCGTTCAGAGGTATCATTTTCATCCCCAGATGCAGCAGCACTCTCTCTTGCACGAAGTTCCTCCTCGACTTCATCCTCGTCGTCCTCTAGTTCAGATCCATACATCTCCGGGTGCAGTCGGAAACAGTCTTGCATGCCCCTATGCCACGTTAGTGAATCCACCATCGTCCATCCCCCAGTACACTTACTTGAACTTTTCTATACACTCCACGCCCTTTGGTTCCTCGGTCGAATATACAAAACAGCTGAAAGCCGCCTTAAACTCCTCGCCGCAAGGTCCATGAGCCATTCCTCCCAGACAAGGACAATCCCAATTGATCTCTCCGGTCTCCGGATTGAAAGCACCTTGCTGACCAGCCTCGTCCTCTAATCCCTCCAATCCTCCTTCTCCTCCATCATCCTCCTCCCCTTCAAGGCCTCCTTCAGCGAACCGTTGTTTCTGCTGCACTTCTGCGGCAGCTTGTGCCTGTCTCCGCCTCTTCTCCTCCACTATCGCATCGACCGTAGGTTCTCTCGACTCCTGGATAATATGTAACGAATCATCGAGCCTCTGAATAGCAGCTATATCCTTCATTAGCACTTGCCCAATGGACACACAGAGACTACCTCAACCCACCTTCTGGCTCCTCCGCGAATACATTGCTCGTATTATAATAGTACACGCCTGCACCAGCCAATCCCCATCTTACAGCACTGTTCTTCCAACTCCGCGATTTCTGCGAAGGTGGTGCCGTGCTTAAGGGTCGTCTTGCAGAGCTCCGACGTAGTGCATTTCGAGAAGACGCAATGCGCCGTGGCGTAGCTCGGAGAGCTGACTTGAACATGCTGGATGAAACTGCAGCCAAAATTGACGCTTCAGCGAGTGTAATATGGGACAAAGGAAAGGTTCGTGGTGGACATGGGAGCTTTGCAAAAGAACTTGTTGTTTTGTAAGCATCATGGTTTTCTCGGCCAGGCGCGAAACCTGACGATGCCACGTGATCACTAACTACAACTCCCATTTACCTAGCACTCCAGCTGTGACAGGCAAGTTTGGCAATTTTCTTATCATCCTTCAAAAAAGAATTCGTGGTTTTCACCTACTAGACAGTTTTAATATATATATTCTGGCTTGTTTCTTCCTGAAAATGACTTCACACTCACCATAAATCCACCCCATCTTTGATCCGCCGAATCTGGATAATGCAAGAACCTCCAGTACGAACGTATCAAAACGGAATATCTCATCCGATGACAGAAGTCCAGGATTCAGTGACCGAATGGCAACCAGCAGATATCTTCTCAGCCACGCCCAAGAATCATAAACCTTTCGCCATCCTCATCTTGAACCAAGCCCTCCGTCTACCAGCAGCAGTGTACTCCAGACTGTGGGCCAGTTCAATATTCAAAGTGGCCGCTGACGGAGGCGCTAACCGTCTTCATGATCTTAACACCGAAAATGGAATCAATTTGAGCGTCGATGCCGTGATAGGCGACTTGGACTCTCTGCTCTCCGAGACACGGAAGTACTGGGAATCGAAAGATGTCCCCGTGATCCATGATCCGGATCAGTATTCCACAGATTTCGGGAAAGCTGTCAAGTACATACGGTCTTCTCCCTCCAGGGAGACGATAGATATCGTGGTGATCGGTGGTCTTGGAGGGCGAGTCGATCAGGGCATGGCAACGTTGTCTCATCTATACACTTTCCAGCCTGATCCAAGTTATGGCTCTGGGCGGATGTATCTACTCTCCAGCGAATCTATCACGTTTGTCCTGAAAATGGGGACGCATAAGATTCAAGCTAAGGAGGGGTTTGATGGCATCAAGTTGGGGATGCATGTGGGCATAATTCCTCTGAAGGAGCCGGCTGTTATCTCGACGAAGGGCTTGGAATGGGATGTGCAGAATTGGGCAACTGAGGTTGGAGGTCAGATGAGTACGAGTAACCATGTGAAAGAAGATCTGGTCATTGTAGAAACGTCGAAGGACGTCCTATTTACAATTGATCTGGATACTCCTGGGAGTGTTTGATTCATTAGGTATAGTGAGTGCGGCTCTATCGGTATATCTCAAAAAATACAATATTAACAGGTTATTCTAGTACTTAGAGATATAGCTCGGAATCTCATGGCGAATATTATTCAGACTCTTCATCTACAACAACTTCTCCACAATTCCGACAAAAAGCCGTATCTTCTTTCCCTGGTTCACAGTCAACCATCCACCATTCTGCAGTCGGCGATGAGCTATCCCTTGAATCATGGTCTTCACATCCGATCTAACCTCATCTCCATCATGCATTGGCTTTTTCTTCTTGCCGTTTCCACTTCTCACAAATTTAACCTCCCCACCATCCCATTTCTCCTCCCACCCATTCCACTCCTCAAACACAATCATCACTTCCTCCACCTCATTCATACTCTCTGGTATCAAATGGCTGACATGCTGGAACAGCGCTTGTCTCAATGCCACCTTCTGAATCAGCTTCGCCTCCTCATGGTTAAAGAACATTGCTAAACGCTGAAAGTCGCCAGGGCCATTTGTATCCATGAAGTAGAATATGTCGCGGGAATGGTTGACATATGTCTCGAAAGCGAAAACGGACTCGCTTCGCTTAAGATATTCATTCCGTGACTCGCAGCAAATGTGTAAGAGTGGCGACATATCTTGGTTTGATATAAATTCTAGAGGTGTGTCAGGGCGATTATTGATCCGATGGACCCGAGGCCTTTGGTAGCCACCTGAAATGAACGAGAATATTTTGAGGCGTATCTCTGTGGGTAGTGCACTGAAAAGGTGGAATATTGCGGTTGTTTGTTCCGTGGTGGCAGAGTGGCTGGTTGGTGTACCTTGGGTTGCAGTTACATTGGTCTTCTCCTTTCTAGATTCCTTGAGATGATGGAACTGCCAATACAGTCTCTCTTTCTCATCTTGGAGCCAGTAATCGTAATCGACAGGTTTCAGATCTTTTATTGTCAGGTCCTCTTGGTGCGTACGTCCCTCCAAACAGTAACACTGGTCAGGGAAGCTACGGAATGGAAAACAGAATGGAGACATGGTGAAAGGTAATTTTGATATTGGTGCGATATTTGCGATAAGATTGAGTGAGAAATGCTGAAGAGCCCAGCAATACATGTGAAGAATTTCATCGTGGCACAAAGCTATGATCTGGACTGGTGGAAGTTTGGGCCCTAAGTGACGCATGGCGCCAGAAGCCAGCGAATATTCAGTCATCATGATTCCGAGACTAGGAAGAGCAATTTTTCAGCTGCAAAATCTGGATTCACATTTAATTATAACGATTTTATGATGTTGCTAGACTCCGGTGTAGGTATGGAGGCATAAATACTATTTGCTAAGCTTGCGCAATAATTTCATTCCGGCCCAATTTACCTCATTCTAAACAATGGACTCGCTAATGGTTGTAGCTGCAACTTCAAACTTGTGGCTGATATGTTCACAACTTGGTCCAATATCCATCTCACAGTGTTTCTATTGACTACGTGTGTCAGTTTTGTAGTTGCAGTAGCTGAAACACTAATCAACCACATTTAACCACTGCTGGACAGAAGCAGGGCGTCATTTGCCACGAAGACTCTGTCGGTCCAAGTGGTCCTGATATCGTTGTCAAGCAGTACACAGATAGAGGACAGCCAAAGGATCGAATTACTCCAGGTCTTATCATAACGGTCAAGCGAAACATAAATTTCAATTATTCAAAAAGTCGAATATCTGTTGACTAGGTGCCAAATTGATTAAAAAGCACTCCTCTAGCTGACGGTAGCTGATATTGCCGTTTCCCTTACTCCAGCTTTGATGATGTTGGGCAAATTGCCTGATACATTCTCGAGCGAGATTTCAGCTCCAGTATTTAGTGAAACCAATCGACCTGTTACTTGCTTGGTTCAATTTTTGCACATATGACGTGGGTTGAGATCAATTGTCAGTGCCCTGACGGACGTTCAAGGATCAGGTCCAACACTAGATTTCTCGATGAAAAGGTCTACCTTCGGAGAATTCGTGGACTTCACAAACCTATTTCAATCTCATGGTTGAGGTAGAAGTCGATGAGGTACTGTTGGCTGAAATACGTGCTCATTTGTGCTGTGCTAGACCGTCTAGAACCCCAGCACAGGGGAGAAGCTCTTGCATCAAAGCCAAGGTTTTTGGTCAGATTCCAGGTTGTCTTCAGTTTCGCTCCCATCTAGAAAATTGCCATGGAAAATTGTACGTACATCGGAGTGAAGGCAGTCTGACATGCAAGATGACCGCGAGCTGTCAGAAAGTGGAAACGCTTGTCTTCATCTGGTTAGCCCCTTTCGAACACCATAGGCATGAAGTTACGAACAACACTGATTCGAACTCCAAAGCAACAATTTTGGGTATGGTTAAAATAAAATCAGGCATGGACTCAGCGTGGAAGCCGTTCTTGAAATCTTCAGAGGATGATTGGACCAACATTGCAGATCCATCAGAACGCAAAAAGGTTCAGAACAGGTTGTCACAGCGAGCAAGACGTATGAGCAAGCGCCTCTTCAGAGAAACCGCTGACCAAAGATGCCAGGATCCAAACTCACGCGCAAGCAAAAAAGAAGCTTGACAAGGATATCTCACCAAGTCCAAGATCTGAATGAAGGAACGAATGAGACAAGTGGCTTGGGTTCTGAGATTCCACCTGATTCCTCCGTATCGATGGATTTAAGCATGCTCGGCGTTCCCTTGGGTACCGAGATTGATTTATCCCTTGACCCCATGAGAGAGAACCGATTCATGGTTATGCAGCAGATCGATGTGTGGGATGCATTTCTGAATATTGCAAGCAAACTGGAGCTGGCATGTGCTCAAGATAGTGGTTTCAATATCGTTGCCCCTGTAAATTCGTTACCACCATCTCTGGCTCCTACGTTGCAGCAACGATTCGTTCCACATAAGCCATACGTCGATATGCTGCCCGTAAGTAACACACGCGCTTATACTTTGTATCAAATTTGAGGATATTTACTGACGTCCCGATTATTTAGTGGCCCTCAATGCGAGATCGAATCTTGAATTCTCCGTCATCTATCAACGAAAGCGAATTTACGGCAGATATGGCATCAAATGAAATGAAAGTCTGGGGGGCAACTTCATGGTATGTTCTAGGCCGGCCGCTTTATTCTATTTTGCACTGTCACAGGACCTGGGATGCTTTTCTTAGATGTTACAGAATATTCCTGACAGGCAACTAATGATTAACTATCGTATAGGGATCCAATAGGATGGGAGATCTCACCAAATTTCGCCAAGAAATGGTGGTTCCTGGTCGACGACGGGATTTTGCAGGCTGCGAATTTCTGGAGAAGTCAAAGAGGGGAGGAACCTCTTCCACTGGACCCCACTTTGCTGGCCAGCTTGGTACAGCCCCATGCGAGCTGTCACCTAGTCCAGCTTTGATGGACATACGTGAACCGGCATGATAAGCATCCCAATCTATGGAGCCGTTCTGACTGTCATCTTCTGTGGCTTACCATAGTTCCGACTTGTCGTTACTTCTTGGCAAATATCACATAATGAACTTCCTATATGGGTCGTTCTGTATAAGACAACTTGTGTATCACTCTCTCCCTTTGACTGGCATTCATCATCCTTCAACACCCCCCGCCGAGCACCTTTCGTCACCCTAGGTATGGGAGAACTTCTATCCCAGTTTTTTCCACCGAGTCCAGCATTCATAGAGAAGGATATCCCTTCTTTAGCAGGCAAAGTCTTCATTGTTACCGGTGGGAACTCAGGTATCGGTTTCGAACTTGTCAAGATCCTCTACGCCAAAGGTGGAACAGTCTATATCGCCAGCCGTTCTCCTGACAAAGTTGCCAGTGCCATCAACGTCATCAAAACACTTCACCTAAAGACAGTAGGAAAACTAAATAGTTTACATCTCGACCTCAGCGATCTCGATACCATTTCGACTTGCGTATCATCCTTCCTCGCCCAGGAATCTCGTCTCGACGTCCTCTTCAATAATGCTGGCATCAGCCAGGAACAATACGGCACCGTTAGCAAACAAGGTCACGAAATGCACATTGCAACCAATTGTCTTGGTCACTTCCTCCTTACCAATATGCTGCTTCCGGTCCTTCTAAGCACAGTCAAGTCATCGCCTGATGCCAGCGTGCGTGTCGTATACACATCCTCTGGTATCATGGATATAGCCGCTCCTCCAGGCGGGTTGTCTCTTACTGAGCTTGTCCCTGGCAGCTTTTCCAAGTCCCTCGACCGCAATTACGCAGCGTCAAAAGCTGGATGCTGGATGCTTGCAGTCGAACTTGACAAACGGGCACGTAAAGAAGGGCTTCTTTGCGTCTGTCAGAGCCCAGGGACCTTGAACACAAAGGGATGGGATCGAGCCCCTTGGATGGTTAAGCTCATAATGAAGCCTTTCATGCACGAACCTAAGATGGGTGCGTATACTGGACTTTGGGCTGGGTTGAGCCCAGAAGTCAGGCTTGAAGATGGTGGTAGGATTGGGTTACCATGGGGTAGATGGGACACGGATCCGAAGAAAGAGATCTTGGAAAGTATGAAGGCGAAAGAGGAGGGAGGGTCGGGTCTTTCAGCACAGTTTTGGGCTTGGTGCGAGGAGAACACGAAAGGCTTCGCTTGACCTGACAAACATCGCGTCACATCTTGATTTTATTCCATTTTTTGTTGAATTCGCTGCTTCGACTGTCTGATGTGCCCGAGTGCTCGAGGTTGTGATTCTGAGGAATCTTCAGCCAAGACTTGAGCCCCTAGCAGGCCATGCCTACCTAATCGTCAGCTCGTCTATGGTGGGCTTCCTAGAATCGCTGTCGCTCTTAAAAGGGACGTACAGGAAGCCCACCGTAGGCGAGCTGACGATTACCCAGCTACCTTACCCAAGTCGTACCTAGTATCTACCTTATCGGAAAGCTGAACGAAACGTGACAATAGGTAAGAACAATCCAGCGCAACAACTTCCCAACCCCTGGTAGCAATTCGCTCGCATGGCACATAACTCTACATGACAATAATTACAGCTCATATAAATGCATCATCTGTCAGAATATAAACGATTCAGGTACCGATTTACTTCACGGTATCACGTGGAGATAGTGATTGTGTGTTCCTGCGCTAAGCTTTTGCGAGCTTCAAAAAGAAAAATTCGCTCCTCAAAGTTCCCTTCTCCAACACAACTTCCACTCGACCTTCGCACCTCATGTTGCACCCAACATAAGCCTGCTACATTATGTAGGCATCTTGATTTGGTCAACAGCTCTTTCCAATGGCGTATATGGCCTCTGAAACGGTGCCCCATCTCGGAAATTCTGTAGAGATGGGCTTCTTGATCTAGATCAAACCTTCGAGTGTGCTAACACGCAGTTCTTCCTTTTCTACTGCCTGGTATGACGCCTATGTCTCCCACTATGAGCCTTGAGGTTCGGTCACACGCGACAAAGTACTTTACCGCAGAATGGCCTTGCCTCCGACATATACCCTTTGAGTCTGCGAATAACATATCGAAGGGCCTGGATCGAGCTTCTGTGGGGGCTGCAGTCGACGTACACAGAAGCTACAAGATGTTCTGTAAGTTACCACACACATTTCTTACCTTTCCATCGCCCTGTTAAGTGATGAGTTTGTTCTATCCATGATCTAAGTTGGGCCTCCCGTCTTGGGAGGTTTACTCATGATTTCACTATATTTACAACAGCCAATCCTCTGATATCCTTTCTCCCCATGCTGTCTTATTTCGAAGTGTAGAAGCTAGCAGAGACTAACAGGCTTTCGTTCATAGACAGCGACTGATTAAAATCTTCGAAATAATTTTGCTTGCTGCCATATACCCGTCAGTAATACCTATATCTCTAACTGGTTCAGCGTGGAATTGGATATTTTATGATTTCAAGTGTGAGCTTTGTGGAGCCAGTATTTTAGCGTGAGGGCTACCTGTTACGTGAGATGCTTTACCATTAGTCAACCACGTATTACCATTCCCTTGCTCCCAGAGCCAGTTTTACCCTCTTTAGCTCTTTTTTCATTGCCATGTGAGAGCTGAAAAGCTTGCACTAGGTAGTAATCTGCTTTATCTGCATCAACATAAGTTAAGCTCTTGAAACTGCGTCCTGGAAAGCTTACCTAGGCGTTACACTCCAGCGTCAGGTACGAATAGGGGAAAAAATTGCATTATATTTCTTTATATCAACCATATTTCATTACGATTAGTCGCTGTCTATCCGCATTTCTTGTGAGACTAATTTGATGAGCAACCTGATGATGATTTGCGGAACAGATACAAAAAACAAGCGAGCTCGAACGGATTCTCCGCAAACTGAAGTGATAATTGGATCGATTTGAGTACCTTTGCAGGGAACATGGAAAACAAACTCATGCATAAACATAGTGTCGAATTCTTGAGCAACACTGTATTCCGTGCTACGGGTTTACAGCTACTAAAGCCCTGGCGCTCATCATGTAGATTCGTGCTAAAGCGGGAAGATGCTTGCGGTCAATACAAGTTGAGTTGTCATGAGCAACATGTCAATTTGACAACGGGACGAAAGTTTGCAGTGTTCGTTTCCCAGACGTTGTGCAGTACCGGTACACTATTTTAGGTACCTTAAGTCGTGGAACCATATACGTCACAATTCATAATGATGGATTGCAGCAGGAAATCATGGGTCGATAGTTTAATCTGCATCTCTCGCCCCTTTTTGTCTTTCTGATCCCTTTCGATGAACATCCGTAAATATCTTTTGGTACTTTGAGATAGACAAAAGCAGTATCTTCAGTATCGTATCGTTGATGGCATCTAGTGGTGATGAGCTCCGAATGAGAAATGCGTGGAACTTGGTCTGGGTTTGCGAATAGTCCAATGACAGTGTCCACCAAGTGCCAGCCAATGTCATTTAGCGCACCTCCGCCCGCTTTGGCGTTCTGTGCTCGCCAGCCTTCTCCAAGATCTGTGCAGTCAATCGCTCTGGTGCCTTCGACGAAACGAGGCTCCCCTACAAATGGTAACCATTCTCTCAGGCGGCACAACCTCTGACTATAGCGACACTGACTTGCTGTCATAAGTCGTACATTTCCGACGTTCGCTTGCCCTTGGAAGCTGCAAAGTTCCTCCTCGGAGAGAGCGGCAGGTTTTTCTTTCAGGATGTGTACTTTCATCCCAATCAGTACCTCGATGACGCCAGCATACTCTGAATGAGGGATGGCAATGTAGGCACATTGCACAGAATACGTGCTCTGCTTCCAAAGCGCAAGTTCTTGCACCGTCTCAAAACAAGGCACTGTGGGTAGACGGTCGCTGAAACTTTGCCTTGCAACGGCGTCGCTATCGCAAGCAGCCACAATTTTGAACATCGAAGACAATTTGCTGATTTTCGGAATGGCGTGCCTGAGAGAACGGCGGCCGAGTCCAATGATGGCAACACTTATGATAGTTGTGCTTGGATCCATTCCGGAGCCGGTGGCAAGACACGTAAGTTGTAATAGAAGAAATGTTCTGAAAATTAACAGCCGTACCTGCATTGCCGGACACCTCCTTTAATTCACTTCAACTTCGTTGGTTGTGAAACACCGCACACTGTGTCTCGACTGCTTCAGATACTGAGAGCTGTGCCATACGACCGGTAGAGCTTCCGGTACAATTCTTGATGATCGAAGAAGTAGAGTGCTTGGGAGTTTCGTTTTGAGGTAACCACAAGGGCAGATGATATTGTACTTGTAATACCGCTGAAAGACATACGGTCAACCAAGAGTCGAGAATGATTGAGTAAACTTTGATCATTTGAACGAAGCGCACAAGCTTGGTGCTGTGAATACTTGTATACAGGCCAGTGATCTGCCTTCATGAAATACAGTATAGTACCACTCTTTGAAAAATAAAATGTCGATATAACAGTTTAGAGACAAGGTTATAGGCTGCCCATTTATCCAATTCCGGAACAGGTCACAAATCATTTGTGTTGAAAAGCAAGACAGATCTAGTTTTTCTAAACCAAGGTATCAAGGAATCCCAGTAGTGTCGTGCTTGAGATATGATGGTCTTGAGATAGACAGAATATCAGGCAGCTGTGCCAGGTAAATGACTTGCGAAGCCTGGCGGTGTTCAAGCAGAATCAACGTGGCCACACAGAGGATCAATTAAAATGAAGATGTCAATGACTGTTGGACAAAACATTGGGCTTATTGGGAGCACCCGTGTATCATCAAAGCCCTTGCAAACAACGCCTGTCAGGAGTACAAAGTTTGCACGTTTCTCCAAAGGAATGGAGCAGCCCATTGAATGTTCAAACGACGTGTACAGCTAGCAGTACAACGGGACGTGATGCCATTCTTTGTTGGTCACAGGTCGCCGACCATAGCTTAATTGTACCCAACAGAGGAGCGACAGAGAAGGAATAGCTGGTATCCGCAGCAGAAAACAGTTCCTGTGAACAAGCACGGCCAACTTAGCGGAGACGACCGGAGGAAATACAATACCCTGATAGCATGATGCAGAAGCCTCTATATCTCGAAATTGATCTTCTGCCTTTATATGGTATGAAATACCTAATGCCGTGCCACTCTTCCCACTGTCCCCTCAACTGCTGAAAACACATTTCCACCAGTACTGTAGCGCTGAAGCGGCTCACTAGGTAGGTAACGCTGCCCAGCACGTCCTTCAGGCGTTCCTCGCTTAATTATGGGATAGCAGACTAGATAGATACCTAGTTTCGTGCCTCTAGTACTAAACCTAGCTTAAACACCACCTAGCCTACCTACCTAGGTGAGGTACCTAGTTTGACATGAAATGGTACTGCTGTTGGTAGCGTACCGTACGAATTCAAGTGACAGCCTTTCAGTCGACTTTTTTATTTTTGGATTATAAAAATCACAGGTTCCCACACCCACACTCGCAATCGATCCCAATACCCAAAACTGGAGTTTCTCAAAGCATCTACAATATTTTAATACTTTGGATTATATCAATGTCACAGAAAAATCTCGTCAAGGATGTCCGCATCGCCGGGGACGATAGGGCTTCATATATGACGGCCGATGTCCACGGTCTTCCAGCCCTCACCAATGAACAGCAGTCAATACTCTCCAGCTCCAAAGAACAATATCTTCAGCATCAAGAATTGGATAAACTCGTCGTTGGCGCAGCTATATTACAGCTAGGCGGTACGTCCTCAGGCCCACGAATGCTGCTTCTCAAGCGTAGTGCCTTAGAGACCTACTATCCGAATGTTTTCGAAATGCCCGGTGGCAAGGTTGATGATACGGATCTCACTATCCTAGCTGCAATTGTCCGGGAAGTCAAAGAGGAGACAGGGCTGGATGTCACCCGTGTCTTTGCACAACTGCCTGACTTCAGCTATTCGACGTCGAAGGTGACACGTGCGGAGGATGGACAGGAAAAGACGGTATCCAAGACGTGTCTGCAGTTGAGCTTTGCTGTCACCGTGGGATCAGAGGAATTTCGTGTCAATGCCAAGGAGCACTCGTTAGGAGTATGGGCGGACAGAGAGATGGTAAAGGACTTGGAAATGACTGATGAGATGAGGGCATTGGTGGAGGGTGCGCTGGGGAAAGCAGTTGGTGATTGGGCTGAGATTGGGGGAGAGAAGTGATATGGCAAAGTATCGATACAATTTCAGGAGTTTAGGTGATATTTGGATGAGAAAAGTGATTTCGAATGGTCGAATTTGGGGCATGGAATCTGTGCGAGCAGCGAAGGAGACGAATGACACGAGGGCGAGAAATCTAGTCATTGGAGTTTGGATAAGTGTTTTTAAGCGATACTACGAAGGGTTACCATCTCTTTACTATTCTACAGTGGCAGCGTTTGAACTCCTCGATATGCATTATAACATTCGTCTACACCTCCAACGCCTTTATGCTCCAGAAAGTCACCCACCGATCATGCCTCATCTCTATCATCTGTCTTCATCAACCAGTATTTGTGCCTACTGCGATTTCTTCAACTCTTCAACCATAGTACGGACATCCTCTATACTAGGTCCCAGTCCTGTGCAGATACTCGTCTGCACGTCTATGTCTAGATCTAGGAAGCGCTCGATCAACTCTCCGTCAACGAATCGGAATGGTTCGAGGGTGTCGCGTTCAGCGTTCTTGAATGAACGATATATTTTGAAGTCGAGATCGCCGACTGTTGAGATGTGATTGGCCATTTGTTCTTGGAGGCGCATGAGGATGTCTTGAGATGCTGGGAGGATGGTTGAATACAAGTAGATAGAACCTTCGGTCTGTGAAAACTGTTAGCTTGGCATCGAGCCTGGTTGATGGAAGACTTACCGTTCCTAGGAATGCCCTAGGAACAATCATGGCATTTGGCGATGGTTCAATATTGATCCTTCGGATAACATTCACCTGTTCTCCTAGGTTCAATTCGCTTGTGACACGCATCCTCCTCTTATCCTCAAGTGTTACACCGTCAATGTTGCGGCTCAGCACTAAAAGATTGCCATCATGATCAGCTTCTAACCAGGAATTTTCTTCGACTTCTGCCACGGCTGTGGCCCAGCATGCTTGGTAGTCCTTCGCAACTTGTTCCAACTTGTCGGGCAAGCCTCCCTTGCCAGGAATATATTCTACTATCGAAACAGATTGCATCATATCAGCCACAGCGATGATGTTGCCAGTGACGCAGAGGTCGATAGGAACAGTTGTACTGCGAAAAGTCGCCAGTTTTGTGAAGTCGCCAGACTTTTCAGATGTTTCCTCATACTTATAAATAACAACAGTCTTGGTGAGAGCTGCAACGATCTTTCCATCCAGAATGGCAACTCGCCGACATGCACATTTAAGATTCAACGACGAGATGAGGTATGGACTTCTCTCATCATCAATTCCGAACACGAGGATGCGACCCTTAATATTTTGATCTGTGGCTTCATCGAGAAAGCTAGTGCCCAGAATGAACCGTTCTACCGGTTCTCGTGTCCCGTTCTCTCCCAAGCGGGAGCTAGGCAACTCGGTACGCATAATACACTCGATGAGCTCGGGTCCATTGGCATCTTCAAGTACGTATGGCTCGCCGACTTGATTGAAGAGCATATCCTCGACAAGGGTAAATGTGCTGGTGATCTCTTCCTCGCCGTCGCGCAGTTCACGCTTTATGCAACCAATGCCAAAAGCTCTTTCAGCGGCAGAGTAAGCAATCCTCCTGACAGTCCTGCCCATAGGTAATGTTCTGACATGTGTCCGTCTCTCCGTATCAATTTCGGATATTTTCAAGTTCGTCGACGTAGCCACTACTACAGAAGCAGGGAAAGCTTCACTATCAAATGGGCATGCCGATGTAGCGTCGTCTGCAGTAACAGCTGAGTAGTTGATGCGACCTTCGGATCCGTAAATCAGGCTGGGATGCTCACAGGTGGCGAGGACATTATTGAGGCCGCCTTTCCGAGGTAATATGTGGAATTGAGCATGCTGAGTACCCAAGACTATGCTTTTCCTGCCGAAGAGATGATAGCTTGACTTGTCGACACTAAATGTCAGCACAACTCCATCTTCCATTGCAACAAAGAGAGTTGGTCCAGAAGTCGCTTCAGGAAGTATCTGTGCCATGACGATATGTCTAGGAATCGAAGCATTATTTCGGCGGCTCAAGTTCTCTGAGAAAATGACTTCCAAGTTCGACAGGTCCAATACAGAGATTGTGCCTGATTTCCAGAAACCCACAAATCCAATATTAGGATATTGACTTGGCACATGGACACAGGCAATCTCATTTCCTTGATCCAGAGTCCAAGACGCCATCTCTTTCAGGCCTTGTGTAATGTCTAGCGACACGAGGGTTATTCCATTTGCTGACAGTAGGATATGGCCAGCATTTGCAGAGACAGTAGTGATAGATTTTCCTTGTGGAGGTCTCCATTCCCCTGCTTCATACGACGGACCAGGACCCAGTATCTTGATTGATGTCTCTGTGACTTGTAAGATCATGCCGCTCGGAAGATTCATCGCCAGCAATGTCGGACCGCCTACTTCCAAGCCTCTAAAGCTGTCGACCTCTTCGATCTCTTGCCCATCGAAAGTGAAAATGCGAGTTTCTGTAGGTAAGGAAACAACCAGGACGTCGTCAAATTGTGATCGTGGGCTGGAACGTAGAGCGAAGACTCCACGTATATCTTCCAAGTCATCGATCAGTATACCGAGATCGTTGAGCCCAACACCACTCCTGACGCTCCTTAAACTTCCACTTTCAAAGGCACCACTGCCAGTGACTAATCGAGCTTGACCAGTAGAGTACTCGTTTGACTGTGTTTCGCCATCTCGATTCCCTAGATCCATGACCTCAAAGTCGAGAACAGGTGCTACATTGTCCATAGTCTGCAGTACGCTCAGACTCCATTCTATCTCGTCGAGGTCGATTTTGACAACTTGAGAATTGCCCTCGTGAGACCCAATGAAGAAAATTCCATCTCCAATGTTGACCATGACTGTAGGTTTCGAAACGTGACCTAGCAACTTCAAATTCATACCAATCACTTCCGCATCTTGGGTCAGAATGGTCAAAACATGGATATTGCCGTACATGTCTCCCACTAGATAGCGCAAATCATCGTATGCCACCCACGCCACAAAGATCGAAGGTGTAGGCAATGAATATTCAATAACTGCCCGACTCTCATCGTCGAGATATGTGAACTTCGCTTCGCCCACAACAACCACGCCACCTAAGTGTGCCTTTGATACTTGCGCATTCCTTACGATGTATCTCTTCTGTCCAGGATTCTTCGGAATGGGTATCAGATGGCTGGCATCCTCGTCCAGATTGTCAACTTCATTTTCCCGATTCCTGTTTACATCGAACTTTGACCAAGATAGCTTCTCATCCACCAACCTGTATGTTGCTAATCGCACGTCGCCACCGGTTCCAACTTCGTACAGGAATGCAATCTTCGGTTGCTTCGTTTCAGTGTATAAGAAAGTCGTAGCCCGTAATTTCAGCTCGGTGATTCGCAATGGGTCGAACTTTTCTTCTAGAGGGTATATTTTGCCTTTCCGAGGCTTGAGAATCTTGTTGCAGGTCAAGACCCCCTCAAACAGCTCCAGCACCAGATATTTCCCAGTCGGGTCAACAAGACACAAGTCCCTACTTTGCGAGTCGCGCATGTGCTTTTCGAGAACGTCTTGAAAACTCTGTCGTGTTTCGAGCTCATTTGTTTCACTATTATATGCCAGAACGACGTACTGGAATCGGGAGGTTCCTACGAAGAGGAGATCGGTGGGCATTCCTTCGGGGCGGATCTTTGCGAGCATAGAAATTCGACCGTAGATAGGCCTCGAGCTTTCCATCACCAGGCCATCTTCTGTAGGTATCCATATTTCTATCCTGTTTCCTTTCCTATGGAGGTGTTAGAGAGGACTAAAGCTTGGAGTTCGAGCTTGGTGGGTACAAGGGAGGGAGGGGCTTACCCAAGCACAAGACACTCCTGCTCCGGGTCTAATAGACACAGCTTCACTGCATATCGAACACTGCTAGGTCTGTGTATGGGAGCAATGTATGACATTCTGGGCTGAATAGACTGTACCAAATGTGGCGCTGGTGGATTGACTTGTGAGCTCCGTATTTACCAAGGTAAGCTCTTGACTTTTGGAAGTGGTGACGCCCAAAACTTATCGCAATCCTTATCGTGTCGGACTTAACGAGCCGATCTCCGACACCAGTATTAACAGCTCGCCCAAACCAGAATAGCTTGAGAAATTGAGTCTCATGCTCTGGAATCGGTTTCCAGAAGAAAGGGGATCAAGTAACCTATGATATTCATACATATGTTTATCATATGAAGTCTATCTGCAAAATGCTCCAAGCTCCATGTCATGCGGGGTATCTTTTTCCAGGCCAGAAAATGCAGAAAGGAAATACGACGCAAACATCTCATACTTTTGGTGCTGGAGCAACGTCCTCGTCTTCAGTATCTGACATAGATGGATCTGATATCGCATCCAGAGTGTCGCTTTCAGCTCCGTCACCTTCTCCTTCAACGACTTTCTCTTTTCCTTTCCCCTTTCCCTTCTTGACCTTCTGACTTCTCGACAACTTTGCTGCGTCCATTGGTGCACTGATCTCATTCAGATACTCCGCATTATTCAAGCAACTCAACAATTTCGGCTTTCCCATCATTTCTTCATCACGGCTCTCGGCGGCCTTGGAGCCCACGAACAGGTGCTGGTCAAACCCCTCCCAGCACTCTCCCTCTTCTTCGTCAACATAGCGGTGGCTCTTCCAGGCTTCTGATTGAGCGAGCGTAATTCGTGCAGCCATGGTGTCAGTCGTATCTTCTTCCCCATCGACATTGGATTTGACAGTCATGTGTATAGCACGGGCATCTGGGGGAGCTCTAGGTCCAGCTGCAGGGTCTCGAGCCCGACCTGCTCGATCTTGCTCCGATTGCGCATCGATATGGTGGAATTGAGGGCGCATTTGTACAACATTGTCGACTGGAGTAAGATGAAGTTCGTCTGAATGTCGTTAACATGTGCCTTTGTAAGAAACTTGGGTTCACCAACTTGAAGAGAAAGTTCCGATCATATACTGTGGTGTAGTGTCATCCTTTGCCATTGCCTGTCCTCCCAAAGTCTGCTTGACCAGCACCCTCTCGTTCCGAACGGCGTTTTGGTAATCAGCCAAAATCTGGCTCTGTATTGCTTCCTGGTCTACGATACCGCCTCGTCCTCGCCCTCTGCCACTTGGTGGTGCTGCTCCAATTCCAAATCCTCCTGGCAAACCATGACTCCCGGTTCCCTTGGACTCCATACTCTTCTTCATTGCACCACCCCATGCCAGGCCTTTCTTCTTGTCATAATTTATATGAGCATCCATCGGCACATCCAGCTCTACCATTCCCGCATTTGGCTTGATTCGCATCTTGAGTGGCTCCGAGTTTTTGGCTCTGTTGTACTGCTGTCTTGAATCGCGATTGGGGAATTGCAGGATGTACATCTGGAGATTCCCCGCAAGTTGAGGTTTGATATAGATGTCATATGAGGACACGATTGGGTCTGGATCGTAATCCGTGTTCTCCATTTCGACGTCTGCCATTGTCACGGTTGTAATGTTGTCTGCACCTTGAAGCTTTTTGGTTCCTGGAACTTTTTGTTATCTTGAGACTATCGCTTGTTGGCGGGGTATTCCTAAGCCTATTTTCGACTAGTGGGTGGCTTGTGGCGCAGCACAATGACGACGAACTGGCGCCGACTGTCAGGCAGACGGCGAAGGCTTTCATTCACACGACCGTCAAGTTCTTCCATCCTCTCCCTTAAATCACATTCTGCGATCCTTCCTACTCAACTGAAAACTTCAATCCCAGATACAATAAAATCTAGTACAGACCGGAAAACCTCATCATCAAGCCAACATGTGCTCCGCAGATATCTTTCTCGGTCTCATCGCCATCCTCTTCCCCCCTCTTGCTGGTAAGCACCGTCCTTTTCCTTCAAACATCCAACGACTATCCTCAGAGATCTTTGGCACATTGATCAAGCGTCTCTAGAGTGATGGGGCTCGGCTGCGTAGAAGTACCAAACTAATATGTCACAGTCTGGGTCAAGTGCGGCATCTGCTCGGCCGATTCTCTCATCAACATCTGCCTCTGCATGCTCGGGTTCATTCCAGGACTACTCCATGCGTGGTATATCATCGCGAAGCACCCTGAACACGACTACGACTCGGTTCCCAACGATGCTGAGTCTGGCCGTGTGACATACATCATCGTTGACGGTAACCGCCGAGTTGCGAAGCCTACTAGACCTCAAGCACCAAGTGGCGGATACGGAACCACAGCCCCTATGGCGCCTCCACTCCACCAGAATCAAAACGGCACCTGGAACAACAATGCCGCAGAGGGAAGCAGTGGGGGTGCGGTACCACCTACCTATGCCGAGGCTGTGAAGGGCGACAACAAGATCCAGACCAGGGATTGAAGTAGAGATACAAGATAAATAGACGATTAAGAAGGACTAGTGTGGAAATGGCACCTGGGACGATGCCCGCATGGCCTGTGTTACGATCAGTTGAATGACTAGGGACGGAGTAAGGGAGTTGGGGGATTGTCCTGTGTATTGGATTTGATAGGAAGGCAAGACGGACTCTGTCGAGATGGTCTTTAATTAATCAACAATCATTTGCCCGCGATTGAAGCAATAATCTCCCATCAGATGTACGCACGATCACAAGCCAAAAGAGGCATTCGTATACATGCATATGTCATTAACCTATCAGACTCAGGGAAGGCTCTGGCCAGCTTCCCCAAATCATTGGTCTATCCACAATCTTAGTATTCATCGGAGCCAGCACCTTGATCCTGTTCCTCTTCTCGTCGACATCACTAACGAAAACGAATCCCATAACGCTTGCATCTCGGACTGTCTCCTGCGAATCGGTTATCGATGCATACATGACAGCAAGCATGCAGTGATGCATCATTGAGTCCGGTCTGACCCTTTCATATATATCTTTTTCACCCTCCTCCGCATCTCCAGGCAAGAAAGACATCGTGTCAGCTATGATAAGTTAGCTGAGCATTGATCTAGAGTGTCAAAACTTACCTTCTCTGATCTTGTAGATGAGAACATCGTCAAACCCAAGGTGTTGAGTGTGGGGACTCAATGTAGTCTTCAAATCTCCAAAGAAATACTCCTTCAAGGATGCCTCCCGGGTCTGTTGCATGTATGTCTCATCTCTATCAACACAACCGCCAGATTTATCGAGCTTGACGAGTGTTATTGTCTCACTGTTAGATGGTTTGGACGTAACGAAACGGCGTTGCATCTCACTGTGGAGTCTCTCTGAGCCGATAACCAGAATTACGTTCACTGCCATAATTAGCGGGTATAAATTTTGTAATAATGAAAGACTCACCTGCAAACTCAGAGACGATATGTGATATGATCTCATAGCCACCCTTTCCCTGACTTATGACTCCTGGACTGTCAATAATCATACCGGTCGACTTAATTAGCGGATCCTCAGAGAGCCTACTTATAGCCGCTAGCGCCAATCTCGAAACTATCGGCTTATATATTTTCGTACTATCTTCAGGATTTGGCAAGCCATAGTAGTAGCATAGTGGCAGCTTCACGGGCACTGGGTTGGAAGTACTTGTAGGACTACTACCCCAACCCTGCTCCACATCAATGATCGAAGCAAATGGCGTAGCCGTCAAAGTGCCAGGAACGGAGAGTAATCCTTCCTTCGGATCTGTATTTATGACCATAGGCTGCCGTCCCATCCGTATCGCATATGCCGTCAACAGCTTCACAAGACTCGTCTTCCCAGCGTCTGTAGGCCCAACAATCAGAACTCTTGGCCCATCCTGCCCATTCTGCTTTGCTTCGTCCCGTAGCTTCTCCAATGCAAAATGAGTGTTCGCGTACTGTATCATAGGTGTTTCCTCGGCCGTATACTCTTCGCATGAGCCCGTCACTTCGATCTGGCAGCCGTGCCATGTGAATATTGCTGCTTTGATGTCCCGGAATGTGTAGATGTGGTTTGAAGCAAGCTCAGTACCGAAGATCTCGGCAGTTCCTGACAATATCTGGGGCTGTAAGCTATTGATCCCGCAGATATCTCCATATCTCCTGACCTTGACATCTATTTTCTGCCCAACTGCGACTTCGAATCGCCATTCTGAATTCTGCTGGAGCTCATGGACTACTGGAGTCGCAGAAGCTGTTGGCGCTGACAACGCAGCCTATGATAATTTAGTATCTTTTGTCTTCAAATATCATAGTCAAATACTTACTGCAGGTACTGCCTGTCCCAAGCCAGGAATAGACATTCTTCGTTGTGGTTGGACGCTTGTTCTCACAATGAAATCAGCCTTCTTGAGGTCCGCAGCTAGCAGGGATCTCTTCTCTGCGGAGCTTCAGCCTTGTGGGCTGCAGCTTGGCGGGCTTTATTTACTTTCTCCACGCGACGCGTCTAAATCCTGGCACCCATCGAATGCTTTAAGTGAATTCGGTTCTCAAAAACCATATTATCACGCGAGAAAGCAGAGTTAGGTATTCTGTCGGGGATGCCGTTGTCAGAATCACCCTGAATAGCTCTTCAACGCAAATCCGCAAACATGTCTAAGAGACCGCTCGATGCGTCGAATATCAAAGGGAAGGATAAATCTCCAACCTTGCCAAAGCGGGAAAGAAACAAAGTCATTCTCGCAAAAGGTTATTGTTCCCCAATCGCCTCCCCTAATTGGTTGCCGGTTTCCCTATGCCGTTCCATATCAGTCTGCTATGTCAATTCCATCCGCTCCTCTTTCGCATGTCTCGATCGTTCATTCAAAGTCTGGTAATGTGGGACCTTGATACTTCTTCACCCTTCTGTTCATCGCTAGCTTCTCATTCCAGCTCACAATTTGCCAGTGATTTCAGAAACTCAGTCTGTGACGTACAGGGCATTTGTAGCATTACATGTGCTTGAACAGAGCCGCGTCTGGACACAAGCGTGAAGCGACTTCACCTCGAAGTTAAGTTACGCCATTGATGTAAATACCAGCCAGCTATTTGCCAGATTCTGTTTTTGATGCACTGGATGGGTTTATGTCCAAAAAATCACAATGTCCAAGCCTGACCAAATACTTTCTCTCGTAGAATTCGAGAAAGACTGCGACCTTCCAAACGATGAGAGATCCGAGTCGGGAGTTGAACGAGAATGGGGTAAATTGGGATTGGTTCTGCAAGACGTTGCTTGCATCTTGTTCAAATAAGAGGCTGTCAGCTTCACCGGCTCGAAAGAAATTTCGGATTGATTGACGATATGAAATTCTTAAACGCCAACTAGAACGATATCGCTGTGTGTGTCAGCAATGAAATTAGATATCTCCAATCATTAGTGACAAGGAAAATGGCTGACAAAGAAACCCTCCGCACACCACTTTTGGATCTCCATCCCTTAAGCGACCATTTATTCTCAGCCTCGAATAGACAAGATCACAAAGAAAAGTCCTTTGAGTAGACTGGATATTACTCTCGAATTTGCAGAGGCAAAGTGGGGGAATGATCTGACAACTTCGTCCGATCTAACTGCTCTTGATAGATATCCAGTCGCAATGCCGGAGCCAGTCCCTGCGCCTTTTACCAGTGTTTTTCGTACTTTGGAAACCCAGAACCAAAAGCTCAGGCGAAATCGTCCGAGTGTATCCTGCACAGCTTGTCAGAAGCGAAAGCTACGCTGCGACAGACGCCAGCCATGCAGTGCATGCGAGAAGAGAGGCCATCAAGCGGCATGCAGCTTTAGACCATCTAGATCTAATGGAGACAGTATCAACAATGATGTTACTAAGCAGGATGTGCTTTCTCGACTTTCTAAACTCGAGGACATGGTGAGAGAGTTTGCCGACGGTTCCGGTGAAGATGGTACTAAAGGGGTGCCTGCTCCTAAGGGTTGGCATGCAAAAGACACGGCAAATGCCTTGCCTCACGACTATGAAGCTGATGATGCCACCGTTTACTATGGCTCAACCTCGTGGGCTGCTCTCGTGGAGAGCATCCACGACATTCAGTCTGTCCTGGAGTCTGATTTCCATCACCAACCTGTTTTCCAAGAGCATGACGTTGTCTTCGGGGATGTAGCTCCCGTAAACATTGGTGTCATTGTTAGCTGTATGCCTCCTCAAACGGAGGCTGACAGGCTTGTCTCCGCCTGTTTTGGCTCTCAGCTCGTGGCAATGCCGTTCCTTCACGAGCATCACTTTCAAAGACAATATGAGGCGTTCTGGGAATCGCCAAGTTCAACAAGTATTCTATGGATCAGCATTCTCTTCTCCGTCTTTAGTATTGGCGCCACGATATCTCTGACCAAAGAAAAGTCTATGGTGCCTCCTACTTCCATGTTTGTTCCCGAGTACCATGGATACACGGAAATGGCGGCACGATGTCTTCTTTCTGGCCAATACAACCAAGCTAAGATATATTCCGTCGAAGCTATACTGGCACACATATGTTCTCGAAGTCTTTCGGCAGACAACTCGCATTCGGACTCCATCTTGTGGTCATTACATGGACTAGCTGTGAGAATCGGTCAAAGGCGAGGCTATCACCGGAACCCACAGATTGCAAAACGGCAGAACACCCCCTTCAACACTGAAATGAGGCGAAGAGCTTGGTTTTCCATCCGTTCCTTCGATCTTGCGTTTTCCTCTCAACACGGATTGCCGCCTATAGTTCATGAAGAGGATTGTGATGTGAACATTCCAAGACATTTGATGGATGGTGATTTTGATGAAAGCTGCGTCGAACTACCACCCGAACGATCCTCGACTGACCCAACTCCTATGCTGTTCTACGTACAGAAAGCAAAGCTATTCCCGACCTTTGATCGGATCAGCCGCCGTGCTTTGGGAGTCAAACCATCGACAGCTGAGCTAGTTATGGAGCTCTCGGCAGCGCTGGATACGTGGCATGAGTCCATTCCACCTTGCCTAGCATACCAGCCGATCATTTCAGCCGCTCCTGCCGATACCAACTGCACCATTATGCACCGGATCTTGCTTGAACTGATGTATCTCAGGTCCAAAGGCTTCCTGCATTGCCCTTACCTCGTTTGCACCAAAGGCCTGTGTCGCGAGCCCGCTAGGTCAATGGACCTTTGCCGTGACGCAGCGATGCAGATCCTACATATCCAGCTCCAGGTCGATCAAGCAACATTACCCGGCGGAAAACTATATGATGATAGGCAGATAATCTTGAAGTTGACGCTAGAAGATTTCTTGAACGCTACCATATTCCTAGGAGTCGATTTGACGCAGACAAAGGACATAAGGTATGTTAAAAGTCGAGGACTGATTTAAGTTCAATGCATTGATAATCAATTTAGTTTTGATGAGCGACAAGCCCGGATTGGTGCCGTACGGACAAGCTATGATATCTGGCTCAAAAGTTCGCATGAATCTAGCGATGCAAAGTTTGCATGTCGAACCCTGCAGGCGATTCTACAACAGATTAATCCCTCCTTCCAGAGCGAGGTGCCTTTGGGCGGTCATTCATCAACAGTTTCTCGCCACAGCGGCACAGATGAATCATCTGGAGCGATCTTCGAGACGAATGGAACAATTGACCACATGGGGGATGAGGATTTCTTCTCGGAGCAGGATAAAGACTTTGAGGACTTCCCGTCCTTTGGTTCTCTTGTTGCTGGCATGGAGCCGTATAGCTGGGTAAGAGTAACATCATGTTCCACTGTTTACTTGGCTTTTCGCTAATTTTAGTGGAGAACTCGATTGCTCAGCTTCACCAGAACGCATGGATGGACGTAGCATTCCCAAGTAACAGGCAATATTAATGCAAACAACATACTATGGATATTAATCAGCCGCTGGAAATTTTATAAGATGATTGCTACCAGGGAACTCATGACAATTCAGATTGGCATCCCACTACGGGACTAACGGAGACAAGCATTACCGGAATAGGAAATGCTGCATCCGCTACGTCCGGCATCAGCACCACCATCATGGGCAACTCATATCTTCGAATATACTCTCCATCTCCATTCGTTTTTTGCCAATGTTCCGTATGCACCGGCGTTGGAACTGGGCTTGTCCATTTTGGGCATCTCATATCTCCGCGTATTCATCAGCATGAAAGTCAAGTACTATGACAGAGCTTAGTTATACAGTGTATTAAGTTCTCCGTAACTATATAAAGTTTGAAAGCGGATTCCACTGGAAAAGTCACAAAGCAAAACTTGACCAGCTCCATTCTCAATAGATTACAATCCCGTCCATCAGCCATGGCAGCTATTCCTCCAACCTCGACAGCACTTGTCTTCAAAGCCTTCAATAAGCCTTTGGTCCTCGAGACATCATCGCCACCGACTTCTGCTCCTGCCGGGTCCGCTCTTGTCAAGATCTTGGCATCTGTTATCCGCCCTCATTATCGGGAACACTTTGCTGGAAGAGGCTTTCTTCAAGTCCCTCCAATGTCCATCCCAGGCCACGCGTGTATTGGTCGCGTGCTAGCAATTGGTCCGGATGCTGTATTACTTCGTCCCGGCCAGCTTGTATTCGCTCACGGATTTGTGGCAGCTCGCGATGATCCCGTAAATACTGGAGTCCTTTTCGGCTTGCACAGGGCTAACGGTCAAGGAACGGAGCAAGCTGGCGTACTTTTTGACCACTGGAAAGGCTTCTGGCAAGAGGTCAACTCTGTACCACTGGAAACTTGCATTGCTCTGGATGAAAACAGGCTCATAGCCGAACTACATTACGGGTTCGATGATCTTATGTACCTTGACCGTCTTTCCGTCGCCTATGGATCCATCAGCTCTGCCAAGCTGATTGCTGGTGAAATCTTTGTTGTCGCTCCAGCCAGTGGTCATTATTCTGGTGCTGTTGCGGAGGTCGCTGCTCAAATCGGATGCCGAGTCATTGCGTTGACTCGCAATGCCGGCAAACTGAAGCCTTTGACTTCTCGTCACTCAAATATCACGGCGGTCGAGCTCACAGGAGACCATGGAGTCGACGTCGCTGCTATCCGTGGTTTTCTCCCATCGACCAACGCTGGAGGTGCCGATGCTTTTATTGACGTTTCGCCTCCTCAGGCGACAGAAAATAGCAATCATTTCGACATCGGGCTTGAGGTGCTCCGTCCCGGAGCTCGGGCTTTGCTCACGGGAGCTCTCCAAACGGTGTCCATACCTTACTTCAACATCATGTGTCGTCATATCACCATCATCGGGAAGTGGATGTTCACCCCTGAAGAGATGACTGTGGTTGCTCGTATGGTGGAAGCTGGAGTCCTAAAGCTGGGAAAGGAAGCAGGGCACGAACACGTTGGTGGAGGTTTCAAGTTTGAAGATTGGGAGCAAGCTTTGATTAAGTCAGAGGAAGCTCTCGAATGGGGCAAAGACGTTATGTTTATGTCATGACTGAGGGCAGTGGATTCATCACGTTTCCTCATAATAGCTCTGCTTTCTCACGTGTACATCTAACAGGAAGGAAGGTTTTAGAAGCACTGCTCCAAGGTTTTATTTCGTATCTTCTACAATCAGTCGATCAATATTATTATCATTTACGAGTTTGAATTGGGCACTTACCTGAAATCCTTGTCTAGAAACCACTTGTGAGAGGTACATGAGAAATTATTGAGCATCTTCAGTCGACCCTGCATTGATTTATCGTTCTTTGGCAGCAAACTTGGGAGAAGTGGTGATGGAGGAGTGTTTGCAGTATCCCTGGTATCGACAGGCACGGATTTTGCCAGGTGAGAGGTTGGTACTGGAAGGCTCATTGGATTCCAAGCTGATTTGGGGCTGTGGGAGGGCGACATTCGCTTTTGGATTTGGAAGGGCGACATTCGCTTCCAGTAGCATTCTACTGACCCCTCAGCAGCTCTTACCCATTCAATGGCGTCCGAATGCTCACCATCATCCAACACCTCGAGGCACTGTGATGCAAGCTGGATCTTATGGCTTAATGTTCTTCTTACTGAAAAAAAAGGCACAGGCTGGCCATGCTCATCTCCTCGAGGCGTGGCATCGAGATTGGCTGGTAGTCGAAAACAGCCTGGCGCCGGTGATTAAAAGTATACAAGGGACTGTGTGCGAGAGAGGAGGAAGTTGGTAATATAGAATGGAGAGATAAAGAGGACATGATACGACTTGGACTGATCACCTTTAGGCGTCGGTGCCACTGAATGCGGCTGGCTCTCTTCCTTACTTCGAAATCCACCTCTATTTCTGCTTCTAATTCTTAATGATGTGAAATTCAACGAATGTTGAGTCTGATGATATTGACTCCAGAGACTGGATTCTTTGAAATTATTGTCCTAAGGGTTGAATTTGGGATGTTGACTACCCGAAGTGCATGTTATCACAGTCAACACCTCTCTTCACCATCCTTACTCCCTTCCGCTCTCAATTCCCACTAATCTCCCTATCTATCTTCCACCACCACCATAATAAACCCTCGGCCAAAGATTCATCGCCGTCTTCTTCCCACCCTTGACCTCCCTTCCCGCATGCACCACCCTCTCATCCCCCGTCCCATTCCCATGCAAATTAACCCAGAAAAGCGCATTGCCCTTCCTAGGAAGGAAATTCGTTCCTCTTCCCTCCTCTGTGTTCTTTTCCCATTTTCTCTTCTCCCCTCCCCCTTCACTATCCTCTCCCTGAGATGAGAGAACAGGTGTACGAGCCTCGATATGCGGAAACCACGTCTCGCCTCCCACAGCTTCTTCATCCAAGTATACAAAAAATGAACCCCAGCGATTGAACGACCAGCGACCTCCGGTGTAGTCCATACTACCGTCTCGTAAGGGTTGTGGGCGATCGTACCAGTCGTGGTGGGTGGAGAAGTGTTCGCCTGGGCCGTATTGGACGATTTGTGGTGTGCCGAAGATGGAGAGAGGATTGGGATTGGAGTTTTGAGACGAGGATGAGGAGTACGGGTGTGATTTTGTTGAAGGAATTGCAGGACCGAGAAAAGTGAGCGCACGAGTGAGGATGCAGGATACGAGTGGTGAGGAGGGAGGGAGACCACCTGATCTGGAAGTGCGGGTTTTTGAGGAGACCTTTTGGCCGTTGACGTATATTTCTGAGGAGGCGAGGGAGGGTGTTCTGCATTGAGCGGAGATGTCGGTCAGCTTGTGCTATTTTTCTTACCTGATGTACCTGCTGTACTACAGTTTAAAGAGAAGATTGAAAACCAGGGGGAAACGAAATCTAGCCGTACCCAAGATCGACAAGCAGATCAGCTTCTTCAGATGACAGAAAATCGTTGATGTATATCAACAGTGGCTCTACAGATACTATTTCTGTGGTATAATTATGCGGTTTGCATTCGTAATTGTGAGGTGTTTGTATGCGGGCTTCACTGTCGACATGTTGCTGATTCGACCAGAAAACAGCTAAGAGTGCAGCTGCTACACATGCTGACCCGAACGCTGTTTTCTTCCCCGGGAGATACATTTGATTCTATGAATAATAGCATTGTTAGACCCCGTCAAAGATAATTAGTAGATGTTCGCATACCATCTTGAAGTTTGCGTTGTACATTAGAACCCTCCATCCACATAGCAAGCTCAGCAAGCCGAAATGTCAAAACAAGCAGCAGGAAAACACGAAGCCCCAAGCTGCAGTCGCAGACATCTTATTCAATCCAAGCACCGTCATATAAATGAACCCCTCATTCCACACTCCAGTCCCTCCTAGCATGCTCACCACAACTAAACAGCCAAGAAATACACTGACTTCGATCGCCCCTCTCATTGGCCAGTAAACATCCGTGACAAACTCGCCTAATTCCGAACGTCTTGTCCTAGAAATTTCCCCTCCCCGAGATAGATTAACTGCCCATCCATCACCTCCCCTCAGCATGGCGGGTATATAGAATTTCAATACTACGCTGTGACGGAGTGAATTTATGCCGGCAGAACGGGCAACGGCGCCGGCAATTAAGCTTTATTTTCCAGGGTGGTTCTCGGTACCAGATGTTGATCAACTCTGGAGGTCGGTTAGCGAGCATTTGAGGAGTGAGCCAAGGGCGATGTGCAGTTTTGATGTTGCATTTAAACGATTTGTGGATTCTTTTGGAGATAGTTCGGCAGCCTAGGACCGAGATCCAGAGGTTGGTCGATGGCACAACTGTTTGCTAGCTTTTCTTGTTTGTGGAGTTGGAGATGAAGACAGATGTAGTTAAAGAATCAATTGCTTTGTTTGCTTGGCCACTGCATGGCTTTTCCGTCCGACGCCATGTCCGACCAACCACATGCTATGCTACGCTAAACCAGATGAACCGCAGTGCAGAATTTGGGGGGTATATGAGCAAGGAGAAAGGAGAATGCAGAAAGCGGAGTAAATGTGCCGGACAAAAGAGTAATGAAGAACCCTAGGTGGAGAAATCAGAAGCGCCAAACCCTAGATCCCATCTCAGTATTTGCATCGATCCAACCATTACTTCTTGCCCTCGAACTCCTTTTGGTCTTGCTTCAGATCATCCTCCATGATGGCCTCGAAAGCCCGCTCTTCAACATCTGGGTCTTCGACTGTTGGTGGTGGACGGGTATTAGGAACTGTTTCCGAGTCAGTAAGGCTGATTGTGTATTCAATTGAAAATGAACAAACCTGGCTCCTTCCAGCCAACCATCTTCTCATTTGAGAGCACGGTATGGAAAGAACAGTATAGACCCTTAATCTCGTCAAAGAACTTGACACCGATGTTGAGCTCACGAACCACAACCTCCATTTTCATACCAACGAAGCAGTATTGCAAGAGTTCATCCTCCAGCCAGAATGACTCAATGGTCTCGCGAGATTTCTCAAATGCCACCTTGGCAGCTTCAGCCTCGGCTTCAGACAGATCTTCCTCATCGTAACCAGGTCCCTCCCATGGCTTGAACATAATCACACCGAGCGCCTTCATGAACCCAGGTTTACCTTCGTGGTCCTTAATGGTTGCGTATTCTTCGATGCTCTGAAGACTGGCTCGTTCGACACCACAGACCTCAAAACACTTCGCCTCGGTTTTTACAATGTGGACATCGGCTTTCATGGTTTCGACGAACAACTCATCAGTGCCAGCAAATGCGATGCCTGTCTTGAAGATCCGCTCAGCTTGAAGAGTGCTGAGTCCGGGATTGACGCCGAAGGTTTCTCCATCACCTAGCCAAGTGGCATTATCGAGGCTGATAGCTTGGAATCTACCACCGTAGAGAGTGGAGGCAGACGCGTTGAAGTCACCGGGGAGATCCAATGCAAGCTGCTTGATGTACCAAAGCTCCTTCTCAGCAAGATCACAGATAAGACGGGCAGCCATGACTTCCTTTGTATATTCTGGGCAGACTGCGTGTTGAAGGATGTAGTTCAGGAAATTTCGGATGACATTAGCGATGGTCTTGATATCGTTTTCTGTGTCAAGAGGGAACATGCGGGGGACTCTATGAGAGCTGGATAAAGTTAGACCGCGAATGTATTATAAAAGACGAGCACTTACAAGAAACCCTTAACAACACCCTCGAAATCAACAACCCAGTTATCGGAACCATCGTAGAACTTGGCATTCTGGGAGTCAACGCGTAGATGATCACTGGCTTGAATGGCAGCAATCTCTGCAGCTGTCGAGTTCTCAACAGTCTCTTTGTCGAGGGGTCCTGTGAATGCTTTGGTCGACGAGTCAATACCTCCCAACATGAAGTACTTAGTCAGGATATTGGAGCGGACTTCATCTAGCTTGCGACGGGCCCGATAACGCTGGATACATGTCTCCATGCGACTACAGAGCTTAGTTAATTGACCGCGGACGGGGAGAAGCGACATACTCAGCGAAAGGGCGGCACCTGCTTCAAGATTAGTCCCTTCTTCAATGAGGGAGTGCAACACACTTACTCATCGTACAGATCGCACTCTTCTTCGTGCTCGTCAGGAGTGGTAGGAGGATCCGCGTAGAATTCTTGCTCACAGTCAGATCTATAGTATCCTTGCCAACATGAAGAGCCACATACCTTCGAATCCAGTTGGGTTGGCTCTTCTGTTCTTGCCACTGCTTTTCTTCTTCTTCTTCTTTGCTTGATCTGCAACGACGACTGGGATTGAACCAATTGTGCTGGGAACACTGGAATCCGTAGCTTCTACACCATTTGCAGGCGGTCCATTGATAGGCGTAGCGGGTGTAGGAGGAGGTGGCTTTGGGTACGCATGATAGGGAGGAGTCATCAGACCTTCTGTATCAGGTGATATCTCTGCGACTCCAACATGTTCGGTATGCTTCTCATCTGTGGTCTTCGGCCGAAGTGCGAGCAAGGTATCCTGAGAATATCGGGGGCCAATCTCACCTTGAGCTTGGACTGCCTTCAATGCTGCATTGAGATCGATCTCACTGATCGCTCGGGAAAGATGACCATGGTTAGGTGGGCTCGACATGCTGCACTCTTGGTGGGTAGCTCTGTTCGATCAGACCTGCATTTGTCAGTCTCGTATCAGATTAGGAGAACACGTCCAGAGAAACGATGTATCAACAGGGTTTGTTGATATCAGTGCTGATTGGATCCGTGGAAACGAAGTTGATCAAGGCTGTGCCGTGCAGTGTAATATACCTGAGTGTGTTGCAGAGTTGAAGGTGCTGAAAGTGGTGGAGATGATGCAGTGGTTCAGAGATCTGATCAGAAGAGAAAGTGGTGATATGCGCAGGAGGAAGAGAAGGGTGGGAAGCGGCAGCTTTCCTTGTAGATTGAATTTGATACTGTTGGTGAGCTGAGAGAGGAATGGAGCAGGCATGTAAACAGAGGTGAATGCCCCTCGTTCTGGAAAGACGGAGGAAAGAAAGGTGAAGCTCTTTTCAAAGTGCCAACTTACGTATCCTCAGGCGGGGCGGGGCGGGGCGGGGAGTCCTTGTTGTTGGTATTTGGTGTTACTTTGTTTGCGATATGATCACTTTAAAAGCAAGCAAACAAAGTCTTTGGTTTTCCTTGTCTTGTTGTTCCTCGGGAACGGAACGTGGAGTTTTTGCGGAGAAGAGCAGGCCTCCGCCTCCTGGGCTGGCGGAAAGTCGGCTCCTTAAGTTACAATATTATACAATACCTCTGACCGCCCCGCCCTTGCTTAACTTAGATACCTAGGTAGGTAGGAGGGGGAAGGGCATCAATGGCCAAGCTTGGCTGCGATTGTTTCGCTTTCTCTTCTTCAAGCCAGCCGTGGTGAAGGTGTATAGGTAGGTAGCCATGATTGAGATTGAGATTGAGATTGAGATTGAGATTGAGATTGAGATTGAGATTGAGATTGAGATTGAGATTGAGTGCGGTTCGAGTTGGAACAATGGAAGTCTTCAAGTCAGCCTCGGACGCTACTTATAACTTCGTAAGGTACAGTAGTGCTGCTGCACTGAACTGCACTGGACTGTCCTGTCCCATACAGTAGCAGCAAAAAAGGTACATGTTTCTCCCTAACCACTTATGTACCACCAGCGCCTAGGTACTACGGTACTACCTACCCTGCCCTGCTCCTACCTACCTGGCCTGCCTGCCTACCTGCCGTACCGTCTCTCTGCGCAGAGAATTGGACTTGCCGTCGCCGTCGCCGTCGCCGTCGCCGTCACTGTGGCTGAGCCCTCCCCTCCCCTCCCCTCCCCTCCCCTCCCCTCCCCTCCCGTCTGCCGCAGTGCGTGCTTTAGCGTGTCCATTATTCCCTGAGACCTGTCCCTGAGTTCCTCAGTCTCTCGAGCCCGTCTAGCATTGGCTCACCGCCTCCCCAGCGTCTCATCCCCCCCGAGTCCTGACGAAACTCAATAGCCGCTTTGATTCAACCCCTCCATCCATCCATCCATCCACCTTCACTGTCAATACCATCCCATCCCATCCCATCCCATCCCATCCCCAAGTGACCCCCCAATCACGGCTGATTCAAGCCTGCTGAGCGCGCTGGCACGAATCTTTGCCCTGGATTGAAGCCACGAAGCCAACACACGCTCTGCTCGCCGCTCATTCACACTCGCACCACGCGCACCACGCGCTCCTTCGCCTCCCCTCTTGACTCAGCCTTGCTTCAGTCTCTCGTTCGCGCTCGGGTGTTGCTTTTGCGCAGAGTCCGCGCAAAATTCTTGCCCGCCCGCGCCCAAGCCCTTTGTTCTTCTAATACTTCGCCGTCCCATCATGATAGAGTCATAGCAGACGCGACTCTATTCTAGTCAATCAGAAAAGATGGCAAAGCCGTTGCCAACCCACGCAGATCTGATCGACTACAATCAAGCCGTTGCGGGACAGTATGTTTGTTGCACGAGAAAAGCAGCCCCCACTATCTATCCCTAGGACTCTGCTGACAAGGGCGCCGCAGTGACGGGACTCTCTCAGATGTCGACGGCGAACTGTTCATCAAGCCTTGTACACCGGCTGAAATCGCATTCTACGACTCCTCGGTGGCTGACCATCCTGACTTCGCCGACTTTATGCCAACTTATATGGGCACCTTGACCCTCGACCACCACCCAAATGGCACAACGATAGAGGAAGCTGGCGCAGTTTTGCTTGCCAAACATGCCCCCGTAGTCGAACACTACGAACATCACAATGGGACAACCGTACAGGCCTCTGGGCTAGCTGTCTTCGAAAGGAACGAGGAAGCGCTGGACAAGGCAGAGGCAGTGATGATAGCCAAGCACTCGATTCCCGAGGTTGTAGTTCCGGTCAAGACCAGCAAGAAGATAATTACGGACCAAGCCGTGGTGCTCGAGAACGCAGCCCATGGTTTCGTCAAACCTAATATTATGGATGTGAAGCTCGGCGTGCGATTGTGGGCTGATGATGCGAAGGAGGAGAAGCGCATCCGCTTTAACAAAGTAACAGCAGAGACTACACACAAGGATCTTGGATTTCGAATAGCTGGAATGAGAGTCTGGCATGGTGAAGGCGCAAAGGGTACAGATATCGACAAGGAAGGATTTAAGATCTACGATAAGAATTATGGAAGGGTCTCAGTACAAACCTCGAATGTCGAGGAGGCGTTTAGGAATTTCATCTTCTCTCCAACTGCGGGTGTAGGCGAGGAGTTGGGCAAGTTAGTATCACAAGCTTTTTTGGCAGATGTGAAACGGATCCAAGCTGTCATGGAAAGTCAAGAGAGTCGTATGTTCTCTGCAAGCCTGCTATTTGTGTTCGAGGGTGATGGAGTTGCTCTCCGAGCTGCCATGGAAGAAGCGAGCCGTTCTCCAGCCACACTAGCGAATGGAGACGGAGAAACCTCCGATTTTGACGAGGATGAGGCTTTGGGACCTAAGATATATGCTGTGAAGGTTATAGATTTCGCCCATGCACAATGGACGCCTGGGCAGGGACCAGATGAGAATTCTCTCACTGGCATCAGAAGTGTGGCTCGCATCCTTGAGACTATCGGGAGTGCTTGAGCCTATCTCGGAGGGCGGGTACGGATCTAGAAAGGTTCGCTGCCAGTGGACGGATGGGTGTTGGCATGGGATTTTTCTGGAGTTCTGGATTCGATGAATGCTACGGATTATGATTGCTATCTGTTAGATACCCATGGAGTATTGGGAACAGCATAGAACGAAAGATTCCACTCGATGATTTGCGTCGTCACTCTCGCTATCTCATCCACTCAACTTTCCAAGTACAGTCCAGTCCGTGAGATTTTCGAAACTGCTTCTACTAAAACTTACAGCTAGATAATTAGGCTCCCCCGGTGAGAGCTCTTGCTCTGACAAGCTGATTTACACTTCGGCGAGCCCCCTTATGATATACATTCTGGTCAGAAACCAAGTTTCCCTTCCAAGACAGGCATTCAGAAACGGACTAGAAATGCAATCAGCTCCAGACAAGGACAGTCAACCAGCGGGACAGACAATGTAGATAAAAGGTAAACCAAAGTGCAGAACCAGCAATTCAGCCTCTGCGGCTGGACGAGATCCATCGACTGGAAGCCTGATTTAACAAGCAGTCGCTCCTCTTTCTCTTCATCGTACCTCCGCCATGCGGAACCAACCGGTGCCTTTGTTCCAATTCGTATACTTCTACTTCTGTTCATTCTCGTCGCGCCAAATACAAATTATGGGTCGCCTTCGTTATCAACGGTATCCTCGGCGATCGCTGACTACCAGCGTGCGGTCTATTTTCATGGTGTAACGTGTGGTGGCGACTTGAGGCATACTAAAGTTGTAGTAATCATGACTCTGCCGGTTTGACAAAGAAAAGCATGGTATCTGATGATTTGGGGTTTACCACTTACTTTGTTGTGTGCACGTCACCATCGAGGCGGATACAGCATCCGCAGCAGCTGAAACGCACCTTTGTTTGTTTCTCGGCCTCTTGCTACTAAGCGAGCTTTCGAGGTGGCTTGGACAATCAGCACAACCAAGACAACGGGCAAAAGAGAAAAATAGAATAGACTTGTGGTAAAGCAGATAATATTTGAAGAACAACTCGGAGTACTTACATCCAATGTGCCCCTCAAGCTCCAATATCTAGAGATTTTCTGGAAAGATCTGAATCTACGTTGCATCCGTAACCCCAAAGTCCGCAATACATCGTTAGGCCGTACATCATCATCGCTCGAGCAGGCTCAACCCACTGGCCTGTACAAGCAGTGTCAGTCGTACGGATCGAATAAATGTTATTCCAGTCACTGACCCGCCTGGGGCTGCGTCCGTTTCGCACACTGTTTCTCTCTTGTTAGGTGGACAATCATCGATACTCAATCTGACTTCCTCGTCAGGCTTAGTCACTTGGGGACCTGATGAGTGTTAGTAAAATGCCACAAGTGAGTTGAACTGCTTGACCATGAGCTATTTTTTTTGCATTGGTTATGCTTATCTGCTTGGATATGATGAATATGTTGGCCACGGAGCGAGACGGGGTCGCCGGTGTGTTGTCCGGGTAGCGAGAGGCAGTGTCCCCGATCTAACAAACGACTTCGGCTTGTAGAAGACGCCTACCACAGGAACAAGGCAAGCAAGATGTGAAAAAAACACTTGGTCAAGCAGTCTAAGGTCTGGGGGTTGTGCGTACTCACAGTCATTTGTCTCTCCTTTTTTGCCTCAAGATCCACAGTACAGCAGTCGTCTCGGACTCTCTGGAAAAATGCTTCTACGGCCTTGCTATGAAACATCTATACGACTCAATACTGAACGCTCTGATGACTCTACTCAATTCCGTTTAAACACACTGCTTCTCCTGGGTTTTCGTTGAAGTTGAGGAACCGCTCTAGTAAACGTCATGGTGTTTGGCTAGAAACCTGATTTCTGTGAGTGACTTGCTAAAGACGTGAACAGACTGCTCGACCATGGGAGTTTGCTTTAATAGTAAAATGCTTATCTATCTCATTACGACTTAAAGCCCTGTAATTTCTCATATAGTTAACAATGGAAACGGGAGGAAGTCGCGAAAGTTGCCTACGCATCCTGAAACGGCATTCATTGTAACAAAGAGACAAAATAACACGTAATAAGATGATGTCTCATGTCTAATAGTCAGATAAGATAGGATAAGAATCAATACATACATTCCCAAGCCCTCATCTCAGGTCCATATCACTACCCTCATCAATACTGATTTCCTTCAACTCCAAATGTCACAATACCGTTGTCGAGAATTTATCGACAGAATAAATAATAATTGTTCATCACTCAAATAATGTCATAATGCGAACATATATTAATCTCATATGAAAGCACGACGTGCGCACGACTTCGGCTTCTATCAATACACCTGATGACATTTTACATCGAAAAGATAGAATATGGATAGGATGCTCAAACATCAGCCTTCGCAGAAACCATGCCAGCTGCATCTGTTTCCCCAGTTGGGTGATCATTAGTAGCCGCTTCCAAAACCGGCACAGCCTCGAGCGAATTCCGAAAGCAAGCATAGAACGAACAGCCGCCAACAAAAGTAATGACAGCCAGGGATGTATACATCCAGAGGATTTCGGGATCCTTTGTAACTGGCGTTCAGAAGCTTCACAAATGCAAATTCCCTCCTGTATTGTTCGGCACACATGGGTGTAACATTGGCTTTGATACCCCCCGTTCCCAGACCCTTCTACCATAATGTAGTCAGCTTGTGGTCGCCTAACATTTAACCGAGAATCGAGGACATGAATAACAAAGGTTGCTTGGTATCAAGCAGCCAAACCTTTCCCGCCCGAGGACCTTGTACTTACAATAATGACCATTGCCGCAATAAGCCCCCCAAAAGCTGTTCCTGAATGTACTGAAGATGGTACTGCAGTTGTGACCAAGATTGTTAGGCCAATAATATAGATGAAGCATGCCAGACAAATGGTCTTAAATCTTCCAAGAAATTGATCTGATGAGGTGTCAGTTGCGACTTGCGAGTACACGTGAATAGCGATTTGGATAAAGCTTACCAGCAACAATCGCCCCAATGATGGTTGAGCCATAAGCCCAAAATTTGAAGAAATTCCCCAGCGCAGATGCAGTGGCCTGTCCACGGCCAAGAGCTCCCGGTAAGCTGGATCCTGGGTCATAAGGGTTGCTGTTGCGCATCGTCAGCATCATCGATCGGTGCGAAATAGATAGAAAGATCCTCACTTGATGTAGTTCTGTAGTGGACCACTCAATCCAAAGTACGTGAAGCGCTCCCCAAGCTCAACAACTAGAATGAGGAAAACCACCCAGGGAATTCGATCAGGGACTCTGCGGAGATGCTGGGTAGATGAGTCTGCGATAGAATAAGTAGATTCTCCTCCAACAGCATTGTGAGAGGTTGTCACTGTGGTCTGCCTGGGCGGCTCGGATTGCTTGGTTGACGGCATGCTGCGGTGGGATAACTGATGCCAACAGAGGGAAGTTGGGGCGGAAGTTCTGCTTGATTACGATTGCGCTCATCGATGGAAGTGCAGCTCCATATTATATAGCAATAATATTATGTTTTGTGTCTCCTTTGGCAGACAAGTACCGTTTCGAACATCCTCACTCGCACGATAACATGACAGCTCGATCGAGCAGAGCCGTAGAGATAGGCATTCTTCCATCCCCCACCCTTCGGCAAGCACCCATCTTCCGTCGCACTGATCCCAGCACACAACACCGGAGGTGAAGAATAGGGGAAGCTAAACGAGATAAGCAATGGCTAGTCAATGCCGAAGAATGCCGCCAATCAGCGTGCTATGACCTGCAAGCGAGGTTTGACCTGTAAGTAGGATTTCGAGAAGCATGGAGATCCTGTTATTTGATGACCGAAGAACATCCTGTGTTCCGTTTCAATTCATGTGCGAAGTCCCTCGAGCATTTTTGGCAGTACCAATCTGAAAGAGATGGCCAAGAGCACCACATGTCAACTCGCTGTGAATGCACCAGTGACGCCGATGTCCCATGATACTGGCAGGAATCCGGATCTTATTCCCGAGAAATTTCGTAGGGGACTTGATCCTGAATGGATCGAGCTGTGGAGTTCGCATGGCTCAAAAGTAATACCTGCCAGTACGGTCACAATCAAGGAGTTTCGAAAGGACCCACAGAAGTACAGCTTCACATATCCAACATGGCGAGGTAGGTTTCATCGTTTTCGGCAATGATACAAGATTGACTTTCAGAACAGGTCCAGAAGTTCATCAAGTCCAAGATATAGCGGTGCCTGTATCATTCCCTCGAGGAGAGATCACATGTAGGATTTACACTCCAGAGGGTGCGGGACCATTTCCTGTTCACGCAAATATGCACGGAGGTATGCACTGTTCCTCAATACGAAGTTACTACGCTGGTACGTAGATCGAACATATGAGCTGATCTACCTCCGCTCGGATCAGGAGGCTGGGTTCTTAGAGGCCTTACTAGCGAGCAGAGCTGGTGTCGTCAGGTCTGCAACAACGTCGGTATGGTGGTCGTTGACAAAGGATATCGACTTGCACCAGAATTACCATTTCCGACAGATATATATGACTGCTGGGACGTCATAAAATGGGTACATATTCTCCTTTCTTCCGTATCCTCAAAATTTCGCTGATATCGTAGATCATCGATCAAGCAAAGACGTTGAATATCAAGCCCAGTAGCATTTCCATTGGAGGTTTATCAGCTGGTGGCCACATGGCGGCCGTGCTGTCGCATTTTGCACGAGACGAGGGGTTACGGCTAAAATTACAGCTTCTAACCGTCCCTGCTACTGACATGCGTTATTGTCCGTTAGAACCTGATGGAGAGGTAACTTCCGACTACCAGAGTGTAGTGGATCTTGCAGACATGCCATGGGGTCCACTGGCACGGGAGTCGTGGTTCCTGAATTACTTCATCGGCGAAGATCCAGGTATGTTCACAGCGGCATTCCCACTTGTGCGATGCATGCTCATGCGCATTAGTTATGCGGACACAGCGCCTCAATGACTGGAGGATGACTCCAGTGTTGGCTCCCAATTTCTCGAACCTGGCCCCAGCCCTGATCATCACAGCTGAATTTGACGTAGAGCGAGACGAGGGTGAATACTATGGCCGCTTGCTTCAGGAGGCGGGTAACCATGTGGTCGTGAGACGTTTCACGGGTGTCCCGCACGCATTCGCCCATTACAACTGCCCAGAGAGAGGACTATCTAAAGCCCGGCAGTATGTCGATTATACCTGCTTGATGCTCCGGCAGGCGCATTTGGACCATCATAGCGGATAGACAGTCGTCGACACCGGCTGCCCATGTTGCCTCCAGTGCATACGAATGTAGATTGTTTAGACATATTTTCCATTTCTCGGTCCGTTCGAATGAAGTGACCACAACTGATGGTGAATAAATCAATCTGGTTTCATTTTAACCGCATTGCAGCATTGGGAATCAAGTATATTCGTTGGCTCTGTTCCTGCTGTCAATCACAGCATCAAATCCAAACCAAAAAATGGCGTCTATCCTGAGCAAGGCAAACCGAATGATAGGGCAGCTCCTTGCTTGGACTCTGAAGATAGCTCGAGCCTGGTTCAAGGAAGACAGGGCTCCCGCGAAGTCTTCGGTCGGGCTCGTGATAGCGAGGAGACAAAGGAGGTTCGTGATCATGGCAAGCTGTGTCTTACACCCTTCGGGAATCAATATGAAGCTATAGTTATCTTTGGTAAAGCACTTACAAGGAGCCCAGAAAGCTTGGTAGTGACATGCTCTGAGCGATGACACATGCTTAATGGCTGCGGTTGCGCACATTTGAGCGCCAAGCCTACTCTTTACGGCCAAGTGGTCAGCTGTTGGATAAATGAGAAGCAGGTCTGTAGCATAGTGCGATAAAGATCGGCACAATACAATCCTTGCTTTACGGATCATTCATCAGAGCAAGGGGTGAGATTGAAAGTCCGGGTTACTACTAACATGATGTCTTGCAGACTCCCATTCTGCACGTTCTGACGAATCGATGGGGGTAGTTGCACCTGTACCATAGAATGGCCGAAGAAGTGCACGTAAAATGGTTATTTTGACCGCATGGTATGAGAGATGAATCGAGAATCTGGGATCCGGTTCACCCGATAGATCTTCAGTTGTTGTACTGTGGAAAAAAGGACTCAGGTTCTGATACCAACTCGTTAGAAGGACGAGAAGTGGCTGGGATACTCTCAAGGTTGCTTTGTAATCTGAAGCGAGTGTCATGGCCGCTCTTATGGAACTTGAAAGGTCAGTAGTCGGTCACACTCCCCATGGACCACCTTCCAAAGTTCCACAAGAACACGGTCTAGGATGCCAGTTAAACGTGACATTTCCAGGCAGATAGACTGCTCGGACCGAGTACATCCATTATCAAGTTCAAGATCTGCAGCTTCGAGTTGGACAATAAGCCCTGCGCAATGTGCCAAATCAGCAAAAAGCCGAAGAAAATGTATCCATGTCATGATTCATGTAGCCAAAGGCCCAAAAGTGAGAGATGGCTGCTATCGAGCAACTTACAGTCAAGTCTATTGATGTGGCATGGGCGTCCAAGGCTAGAGCAAGCCACTTGTCGAATGCAAAGACAACCCATGATATTCGTCGCCGTAGCAGCAACTCTTCTTTTGGGAGTTTCCAGCGACTCGCATCAAGGTGGAGGCCTATGCTCTGGGAGGCAGAGACAACCGTACCCAGAAGCGTCCACTTGAAGCCACTATCAAGAACCAGCTCATTGATAGGAGGTCGAAGTAGTAGAATCAATCCCGATTGTACAGTCGCTATCGTAGATACATGAAGGGCGCGGTTCAGCGATCTCCATGAGATATTGAAGAGAGTTTCAGCTGGGGGCGGCTTGTAGGCGAAGTCGATACAGAGACGGTCGTCATAAATCGCAAATGGTTGTGCGACACAGTATATGGCAGCTAGAAGATGGATTCTAGAGGGGAATCAGTACTTTACTACAACGCTCAGAAATCTGAAACTGTCCGTAAATTCGGTAAATAGTCAACCCTGTGAAAGAAATGGGAAAGGGGACGCAGGGAGAACCAACGGTGCCTTTTCCGGATCTGGAGGCGTAGTACCTGAAATAATGGGGAATTGTGGGCAGACAAATCTGAGAAATAGTTGAATAAGACGATTCCCGATCTCCAGTGGTATCAGTCTGAAGAGCTGATCCCTGTCACCGTCAATACAGCGGAGGCCGCCTCCTTCCAGCTCAGATTCAGCACGAGACGCAGAACTCAGCTATTTGAGGCTTTAGTACTGTATTATTCACAATTGAGAATGCGGTATCTCTGATCCGAAGACACTGATCCTATGGGTGTGGAACCTGAGGCACAGGGAAAACATTGAAACCACCCACCTCAGTTGGGGAAAGTAAGAACTGAACCGGAATAACTTCGTCTTGAGTTGATCTGATTGCAAGCTTGGAGAATTCAAATTCACCGTTGTTGTTGTATCAATATCAGCGCAGTACATACGGGTCCATATCTCCTGTCAGACCACATAGCTCAGCAGCCATTGATGGCAAATTATCCAGCGATCTCTCGCTTCGGCATGCGGGCTCCCGCTGAAAATGCCTTGGAAAGATGCGTCATTGAGGCCTTCCATGGCATTTCCGTATTCCTGATCGGGGAGTTGATCGATGTCCGTAGGTAGATCCATTGATAATGTATTGTCGGTGAGATGGCCGGGGCCACCAGAAAACAATGCGTTCCAGTCCACTTTCTGGAACGTAAAATCACTGGGAGAGTTCCCATTGTGACTCGAAGCACTCCATAGAGCTGGTGAGGCGGGAATGTCAAGTGACGTACCATCTTCACCAGCCAACGGTGGAGTTATCCTTTGACTTTGGTCCGGCTTCGAATGCTTCGGAGGTCGCCTTGCAATCTTGAGACCATTGAGGGTACACGGCTTGGAGTGGGCAATGCAGTGACGACAGGGCGGGCTCTTTTCTATTTGGCAAGCGGATTTCCGAGCGCGGCAAGCATATCACATGCGCTCTGCCTCTTGCTCATGTATTTGCGAGGTCCTGGTCCTGATGTTGAAGCGGGTGGTATGGGTGGTGGCAGTGGAAGAGCCCCAGATCCTGCAGGCATTTCCATCTCGTCTTGGGCTTTTAGGATATCACGAACCGCGAGTCACAACAAAAGAGCCGACTCTAACAGGTGGCCAGCCACCTCAGAAACAGTATGGAGAGTCTACGATTCTAGAACCACCAGGGAAGCTGGGAGCTGGGAGTTCACTTAAAGTTTGGGGCCAAACGAGAGAGCGGCCGCACGTCCGCTTGGGCTGACTGTAAGATCTTCCAACCTGAAGTAAATAAATGCTTCGAAAATCCGGACCACTCTCGTCAGATTACATCGTATTGTTTACTTGCCAAAGTCAATGCCGGTAAAGCAGAGAGACGCCTTGCCTACCTGCTTTTCCTGTTCAGCATCGGGAAGCTATCTTTGAGCTGGCATGTGTTCGTACGGTCTCTGCTTTGCACACATTCCCCACCTGCAATCTCCTCCAGTCGGTAAGGTAGCCGGATGCCGCCAATCAACGCAAAGCTCGGGACTATCACTCCACAACAACACTGACTGCAAATCCCCTAAATCCATACCTATAATTACAGCTACATTTTGAATGCCTTAAAGCCTGCTATCTAAGTGCAAAGGCCACCTAAAATAATTATCTATTATCTGACCGCAACGATCTTCTCTCAAGATGGCACGGGACTCGATCGTAATCCTCGGGTAAAAAGTCTTCTCAAAAACAGCCTACTTTAACAAACTACTGATATTCAGCGCAGTGCAGGAATCATCGGCCTAGATGTTGCTCTTGAGCTTTCTCGCCGAGGCTATGGATCCATGGTCACTATCGTAGCAGAACATCTCCCCGGAGACAAATCGATCAACTACACGTCTCCATGGTATGGCACTGGCCTGACATTCGAACGGTTCTGAATGCAACTTGGTGGCTAACCATGATCTACTAGGGCTGGAGGTAACTTCTCTGCTATATCCGGCAACGATGTCAATGCATTGAAGTGGGATAAAGCTGGTTATCTAGAAATGTGGAAGCTCGTTGAAAACGAGTCACCCGAAGCCAGATTTTTGGCCAAGACAAAATCGACCGAGTATTTTGACAAGTCGCCTGACGCAGACAAAATCAAGAGTATGAGCACGTATCTGAAGGACGTAAGCGTCGTCATTACAATGTATAAGTAGGACAGCGATTTCTAACATGTTTGGTAGCTTGTTATCCTTCCTCAACAAGGTTTACCAGCTCGTGTGGAATTTGGAATCACTTTCACAACCATCACCATAAACTCGCCAGCCCACCTCGAACACTTGTCGAGCTTGTTACAAACGCCAGCTTATGGCTCCATTCCATTTTTGCGACGGCGACTCGATTCTCTCGATGCCGCATTTTTGTCCCCCGGAACCAAGATCGTCTTCAATTGCATCGGCAATGCAGCCAAAACATTGAAAGATGTAGAGGATCCGCGCTCATATCCAACAAGAGGACAAGTGGTTCTTGTCAGGGCGCCGAATGTTCAAGAGAACATCATGAGACACGGGAGCGGCTACGAGACCTATGTGATTCCGAGACCGAATTCTGGAGGCCATGTAATCCTGGGTGGATACATGCAGAAAGGGAACTCGTGAGTAGTGAAAATCAAATGACCGTTGTTGAATATTAATCCCAAGTAGATCAGGTGATGTGTATGACAGTGAAACGCAGTCAATTCTTGCGAGGACAAAGGAGCTTTTCCCAGCGTTGGGTGCCTCGACGACTGAAGTTCTTGCTGTAGCTGCTGGACTGAGACCGTCGAGAGAAGGCGGATGCCGAATTGAGTCAGAGATTTTATCCGAGGGGAGACTTGTTGTGCACAATTATGGTGCTGGTGGAACTGGATATCAAGCGGGGATGGGCATGGCGATGACTGCTGTAGAACTTGCTTCGGAATCCCTCCAGAAACTCAAGACAAGCTCGCTTCTGTAAGCAGGCATGGGCACATCCGGTTATGATAAATGATCACCATATTTGAGTCTCTCAAGCTCCGCAAGGAAGCTTTATCAGAATTTGCTTGTCCCTTGGGCAGAGAGGGAACATATAAGAGCTAGAGACTTGGCATCGTTGCTGTTGTGACGAATGTCGTGAGTGGATAATTGAGTATTGTAGGATATTTAGGACTGGAAGAGACTCTGTGAGACCTGGATCTTCTTCTACTCAAGGTTCCTACAGCAGACTGAACTTCGCTACTCGCTAGCTGGGAAAGCTGCTGGGAGTACCAGTTGACACAATCTTCGAAGTACAGCACTATTTACTTCAAGGATTTTTCTATGTTTCCAACTAGTGCTTGTACATAGTGTCTATAGAATTACTTTAGATCTGGATCATCATCTTCTCTTCGTTCGACACTCTTTTATTCCTTAGCCATGTAGGGACACTTAATATAGAGGTAGTTCCAGTCTTTCCAAGTAGCCTCTATCATGCATTGTGCAACTATTCCCTAGTACTTTTTGGTGTAGGGGATTGAAATTTTGTCTTCAGTTGGTAAATAGAAAAGTTTAGCCTGTCTACAGTTGATCCGGTATCTATATATTGCTAGCCCGACTACTGGCAATTTACTGAGACCTCCACGCCCACCTGTGATGCATTCTGTACCTGACTGTAGCGATTGACTCAAAGAAGGCTCACGATATGGAACCAGCGCTTTTATGAGTATTTTTATTGCTCAGTCTCTTCAAGTAATATAGCTAGGCGCGTTCTTCATGGTTTCAACTTGACATGTGTAGAATTTCTCGCTTCAAGATTGTAAAGTCAACAAACCACACCAAAGCCTCACACTTGAGATTATCGGCTTTCCAAGGTACTCCTGCACCATTTCTCGAATCCCTACATAGTTTCGAGGTATTGTTAAATGTTCAGACCAAGATTAAGGCGTGAAAAAAGAGCGGGGCGCGACTACTAGACAAAACAGCCACGGGGGGCATTGGCCACACCTAAAGCCTTTCCCTCAAGACACAACAAGAGCCTTCCAACGCACAACAAATTTTCTCGCAGACACCAACCATACACCACTGCTCTTTGTACCACAATTTTCCAAGCTCACTCATTTCTCTTCATAAAAGAAACTGCAGTCATTATGGTATCCCTCGCAGCCTTCGTCTGCAAGATCTGGTTGCTGAGCTCCAATTCTAGGCTACAAACGGTGCTCAAGCCCCTCGAAACCCCATCAATCCTCCAAACCACATTCCCACCTGGGCTCAGCTTGCTCAGGTGTGTTTCTGGTCCATTTGTAACTCAACAAGTGCCATGGCTGATAACATCCCTAAGCTGATTCCGGGAGCCCCGGTTGTTAATTTAAGCCTTTCCTCATCCTGACGCCTATTTTCTCCTATGGTAATCTACTCATGAGGTTGCCCCCGGCGTAAGAAAAAAGATACAACATTACTGGCAGAAGTAGCAGACATGCTAGTGGGCTCTAACAGGTCGTTATGAACCAGGGTACATACCTTGGGATGATCTACAGAGGCACGACTTCATACCAACAAGCTGCAGTGCTTGGTACTGGACTAGTCCTTACAAATGCTGATTGGAAGCATGCTCCTAATGCCGTCGTCCTCGCCGGAAATGGTCCCTACAACGATAATCAGGCCAATTACTATCGCGCTGTACAAGGACAAGCCACCAGTGTCTGGCTCCCACTCCATGCGAGCGTTGTAGGAATACTTTGGGAGTCTTCCACACCTGCAAGATTGTCCCTGGCTATTATGGCACTGTTCGGCGTCAGCGACGATTCTTGTGCGGCAAATGTGCGAACTGCACACATGATAGACAGGGCTGCAGCTTTAGTAAGATCTACATGCACAGGTAGCCTGGTTCATATATTTACTGACTATTCATAGCCGATGAGGATGAGGGCGGAGATGGCGGTGATGCTACAAGGAGCCACCAGAAGGCCCTAAGCCGTCCCAGAAGTCCAAGGACACAAAAGCCGCAGGAAGTAAGTAATGTTGAATCTTGAGAAGAGAAGCCACTAACTTCTGTACACAGCCCTGCTTGGTCAAGGTGCTCAAGGCACCGCAGTGCTTGCCTCTCGATGATTGACTACATCTAACTCTCCCCTCTCCGTAGATATCCTACGACCTTTCATATCCACCGATCCAGTTGAGCGGTACAAAGGGATGGGCTGAGGAGATTGGAATACACAAGGGAATGTCTTCGAGGCGACATTTCAGGAATGAATAGTTTCTTCAACACCATGTGAGAGGTCAGAGCATAAGGACGACGTACACCTAGAGATGACCCTTGGCAGCAAATGCAAATACATCACGCACGATACTTAACGGACAAGAAATGATATTCAAAATGACTGTATTGTACCTCAGTACCTATTATGCGAGTGATACGTCCCTCCCGTGTGACTCAGCCAACGACAGATGTACAGCAAACGTCAAAAGATAATAAAAAGCAACACCGAAAACACCGTCAGATCCCCACCAGCCATCACACATATCTTTCAGTACTAGATAGAATTTTCGAGATCAATCAAAACCAAATTCAAAAACGTCCACTAATGCATTTTGTACACCCATCCAACACGTTCTTTCCCCGTAGATCAAGGAATATGATCATTTTACATATTAGCCAACTCAGTATCAATCATGCGGTCCATGAAGGTCCGTCTCTCGCCCACAAGCTCAGTCTGTAATCTCTGCTCGACAAGAGCGCGGACCTGTTTCTTCGTAACGTTGTCGAGGTCAACTTCACGAAGGCAGTTCTGGATAGCCTCCACGATCATCATGTCATCTGGTCCGGCGTTCCCACGCTGGAAATCGAACTGTGAGACTGGCCGCAGCGAAGCTTCGGCCCCCAAGGGAGTGCGCGCCCCGCCTGTGAAGCCAATTTGGCTGCGGGAGGCGTGGAGAGGCGAGGGTTGGCCGGAGAGGAGATCATTGGAGGATGGGGACATGACCATGCTGGGGCGTTGTGAAGGGTAATCCTGGTAGGGGGAAGCGGAACGGTCTTGGAGTCCGCCGCCGAGAGACATCATAGACTGGTGGCGGACAGGAGGGTGTTGATCGTAAGGGTTGGTGGAGTATACGGATTGTCTGGGTCCACCGAAAGCAGGGGATTGAGGCGGCATGTAGCCACCGCGTTGAGGGAAGCCGGTCAAAATAGTGGATGCGGGCTTGACAGAGGAGTACATCGACTTCATGTCGTCCATCTCATATTGATCATCGTATCCTTCGTAAGCCTTCTCAACTTGGACGCCACGACGACCTGGAAGGTTGTTGGCAAGAGCGTAGTCGTCCCAGCGTTGGAGAGGAATGCTGCGTGGGTCGAACCCTTCATCGTCAACCGCAACAATCTGCTTTTTGCCTTTCTCGCCAATGACGATACGGGTGTTGCCCCACGAGAAGTTGTCTTGATTCCAGAAAGAATAGATTGGAAGGACAAACGAGTAGATTGGGAATGCCATCATATAGATGATCATCCACCCGATGTGTTGCCACTGACGCTTCAAGATGAAGATCAGAGCTTGTAGACCATACACGGCTGCTATCATAATGATGGAGATCAAGGGGAATTGGCCTTTGCCAGCTGCGACATTGTAGATTAGGTATGCCAGGTATCCGCAGGTTGCAGGCAAGATGATAGTTCCGAAGAGATCAATAAAGACAACGAATCTCATACTGAAACAACAGAAACCACACAGCTCCTTGAGCCATACCAATTCTGCCAAGTTGTGAATGGTAGAATTGATCCATCTTCTTCGCTGGGACAGCAAGACGCTCCATGTCTCAGGTGCGGCGGTTTGACAGTAGGCATCAGGAATGAATTTGTAAGACATGTATGGGAAGTGCTTCGTCATCAAGGTAGTGAGGTATCGATCTTCTCCGAGAGACAACAGATTCTTCTTGTGCAGAGTATCGACAGAGCAATCACTGTAGTCGCGGACAATTGCATCCGAAATGATCAGCGGCTTGCCCTTGTCGGCGGTTCTGAGACGGTACATGGTGAAACTATACAATTAGCATTGAATAATCAAGGGGGTGGAATTCGTAACTTACCACCCAGGAAGACAAGTAACACTGCCGAAAAGAGACTCGAAAGCTTTTGCCAAGTGATGAGAAATGAAGTACTCGTAAACTTGAATCATAGTCCACCACGATCGCTCTTCGTTCTCCAAACTAGTTTCACCACATATACCAGCGATCTTTGCATTGTTGGCACACGCTGCAACTAGACGGTTAAGAGAGTCTTCGCGGACACTGGTATCGGCATCGACCATGAGGAGGTATTCGTAAAGCTCAGGATCGACACCAATAATGTTGTTGATCTGGTGGAACATTTCCAATTCAAGCGGAGACATGGGTGATCGGTGGTGAACGCGGTTGAGGAAGCTCATGAGCAGGATCTGAGAGTCACGTTTACCACGGTTGCCGGGCTTGCTCTTCGATTGCTCAGACTCTTTTCCGACCTTGACGACGACCAGATATGGGACGACATTTCCTTCGAATTCATACAGACCAGAATAGACCTTGCCGTAGTTCAATTGCTCGCTGCTTTCACCGACTGAGTTGAATGGTAGTGCTGGAGGATCCATCTTTGGGTCCACTCCGAGAATATCAAGGACAATCTTGGGCGTAGGTCTGTCGTTTCCACCTCCAACGATCATACCGTCGCAAATGACGCAGATGAGCTTTCTCTTGTTGTCATATTGAAGAGCTGTCAAGGAGTCCAGGGCTTTTCGCAGTGAATCTTCACCTTCGGTATATGCAGGAACCTGGCAAATGACGAATTTATCCTGCGGACTGGGACGTCTCTTGGAACCAAATTGAAGAGCAGCCAGAAACTTGGCCGAGATAACTGAACACAAGATGATTGTGAAGGCGAGCAAAATATAGTTGTTGATCTGGCACTTGAAAGTATCGCGGAAGTCGGGAATACCAACATAAAATTGGTTATTGAAACAGTTCAAGTTGTTCTTGATGATACTGCTTTGTGTACTGTTGCTTGCAGCAGCAACCACCATCTTGTCCCAATCGCTTGAGATGTCCAGCCCTGGGTTGTTCTTGATCATCGTTTGAATGGTGCTGTCGAGGAACAGGTATCTGGGCGCGTCGTCGTATGTTTTCAAAGTGTAGAAGTAGTCGGTAAGGTCATAGATCTTGCCGTGAAGAACAAACCAGTAATGATTATTGTTCTGGCCGTCGTTCTTGACAGCTTTCTTCTTGATGACCAGCTCGCCATGATAGTACTCTTTCATGCGGGGCAGAAACTTGGTTGCGTACCAGTTGATGCTATGCAAGGCGCTGGTTGTATATGATGATGTTGGACCAGACGTGTGGATGGCACTCGAGTCAGAGATGGTGGTATTTGAAAGTAGAACGACACTGGTATCTGTAACTAGTCCTGGGCACCCAACAGTGAGAGGTGGGACGAACAAGGCATCCACGTTCGTTCCCGCAAATGGTTGCATATTGGACGTTGAGGTTTCAACGTCGATGTCACTGTGTTGCAGTTTCCAGAACTTGGACATGTCATAGACCTTTCCATGGTAGCCGACCCAGTAATCGGAGTCTCCTTGATGAGAAGCGATTTCTTTAGCATCCCAGGCTTTGTCGAAATTTGGGCACAAGAGCTTTCCAAATCCAACAATCCAGAAAATGATGGTCCCGTTGATGAGAAAAATAATGAAGCACAGTACGACCTTTTCTCGCCATGCCATGCGGACATCAGGGCGTTTCATGCGGCCAACAAATCTGAGAACAAACGAAGGAATCCAGAAAGTGAGTGCCCAGACGATACCAACCCAGATACGACGGCTTGGTGTCAGGTCTGAAGTGGTGATACTCTTTGGCTCGGCTAGCTCAGGATCTATGTTTCCAACAAGCTCGCCCATCTCGTTGGTGTAATACACTTGACCCTTCACATCGTCTCCTCTCAGGCCGAGACCATAGTCACCAGCGCTGACATTTCGGTTTGTTGGAGCAATTGATCGGGCACCTCCTAAAGCACCTCGAGGCATGATAGCCCCGCTTTGCTGGCGAATAAGCCCTTCCCGACTTCCGTGAGGAGACAGTTCGTTCATGGGTGCGAAGAAACCGCTGCCGTTGTGAGGTCCACCAGAGTATCCAGTTTCCATACCGTTGTCGTTCGCAAGCATGGAACCTAGCCCAGCAAAACCTTGATCGTCCGAGGGCTTCAGGTCTAGCATTCCCTCAGCTTCCCACCAGGCACTTTCTCGCATCCAAATGCGTTCTGTACCAACCACGACCTCGCCGTTGCTCCATCCACGCTCCATGATCCAGCTTTCAATTCCGTCCTTGCCATCTTTGCATCCGAGAGGAGCGTATCGTTGGCAAAATTCTTCGAGATCGAAATCAGCTGTAAAGTCAAGGTTCTTGTTTCTCCGGTTCGCCCATTCAGGAAGTCTCCATGCGCGAAGTTGTCTCGAGACAGTTCCGGCAGACCAAGCAGAGGTCATCGAAGGGAGAGCAGCCAGACTGGCGGGTGACTCGTCGGTAGGATGAAGTGAGAGGTGATACCACACACGACTGCTTCCCAAAACAGCTGGCAAATCGATACGCCCTTGACGGCCCAGATTAACACCTTGACCTTCCACAGGGAATAGAATCTTCTTCAAGAAACCGTCATCCTCGCCCTCTCGGCCAACTTTTTCCAAAACAGCTTCACGTCTTTCCAATTCGTGCTCACGCTCTCTTCCAGCTGGTCCAGTCATGATTCCAAGATCAGGACCGACTTCAGACACGGCATTCTGCATTTCACGAAGGACCGAAGAGCCCGCTGCTACTACATCGACTCCGTCTTCCTTCATCTCAAAGTTGATACCTTGGGTATCGTCGAAAACGCCTCGCATGGCTGCCGCTTTTCCAAGTGTTGGGTCCGGAATTTCCAAAATTGTGATGCAGACAGTGTCACCGTTGTCTTCCTCGGTGTTTGGCGTTCTTGCTCCGGGGCCACCTTCAGAAGAATCTCCATCTCTAATATGGCTCATTTCAACAGCAATGGCTTCATTGGCCTTGAGAATGACCCAATCCACCAAAGCCTCATAGAGCCCACCGATCAAGGTTTCTCGTTCCGAGGTATTGCACTGCTTGACGAGAACCTCGGGTTCAAGGCCGAGTAAACCTCCGACATCTTCGCAGACTTCTTCCAAAGCATCCTCGTCCAAACTGGAAGTCAGAGTATCACCAAGCTTGAGCAATCCTGCCAAAATAGAGATCAAGTTCCTGTGAGCTGCACCCTTGATGCCAATTTCCTTCAACGAAGCCCGGAAATCGTCAGCAGCTGCGGCGTCATCTCCAGTTGGAAGGTAAGAAGGAGGGTCGTAGGTTCCGGACTTTGCGAGGAGAGCATAGCTGGAAGCACTTTTTAACCCCAGGAATTCTCGCTCTGCAGGTGTCGATGCAGATGTAAGCAGGTAGTAAAATACATCAAATGCTCTAAATCCTGATTCGGCTGGGATGTTTAGAAGACCCTTCGAAGTGTCGATTCCTCCTTCAGACAAAGCGAATGTCGCTGCCGTTAGATTTCCAGCGAGTGTGAGGGTTAGAGTAACACCAAGGGCAGACTGCCGTGGAGCCGAATGGTTTTGTGGCGAGACGGAGTGAATGAATGGCCGGAGTGCATTCAGAGCGGTATATAGAGAGGAAGGAATAGAGAGCGGAAGGGTTTGGAGGAAGGGGACAAGAACGGAAGGTGTTGATTCGTGCAGGGAGCTAAAGTCCTAGTCAGTGAATTCCCAGAAGATGGAAAATGCTAAAACATACCCCAAAACTATGCAACCATCTTCAGCACGGCGTCTAGCATGTTCCCAGGCTCGAGCAGACAAGGCACCGTCAACTGTTCCACCAATTCGCCCCTCTTGATCGGGTTGAGAAGCAGTGAGCCAGCTATTTACTACCAAAGTGCTACTGGCATCCAGCCTGTACGGTTGACCAGAAGTATATATTGTGTGGACAGCATTCAGGAGAGTGGTTGTTGAGACCTGTGTGGATTGCTGGGCAGCTGAGTTGATGTTTCGATGTCCCCCTTGCAGAGAAGAGGTTGTCGAATACATCGACATGCGATTGTTACCCGCCATGGCGTAAGAGTTGAGGTTTCTGTCCCTCCCTCTGGCTTGGGAGCCTTTTGTTGATTTTCGAGAAACACCAAGACCAAGTTTCCCCAGGGGTCCCTGTTACACGTATTTTATGTCGATATGCCTAACAGATACTGGTTCTGTCTTGCAGACGCGTTCCAGTTCGGAGGGGAGAGGTCGGGCACGGTAGGATTGAACGAGTGTTATGAGGCTGGCTGGCTGTGACGGTGGTCGCTGAGCAACAGACTTGCAGGAAGCAAGAGGATTTGGGATGCAGAGGCGTTCCGAACGAGAGTAAAGGTTATTAAAGGTCAGGTAGGTAGGAAATACAACGAGCGTTCGCCGAAACGAATGAGGCGATTCAGAAGACAGCAGAGGAAAGGATGATGCACACGAGTGACGAAATGAAAATCGGCACGTTGGACGGGGTTGTGGAATGTCGGTTCATAGAAGTCAAAATCACGAATAGACAGTCTCTCTCTTCACTAACCTACTCCTGTCTCTCCTGCTCTCGCCTCGCCCCGACGCACAAGGCTCGCTCCATCCGGTTTGGCAGGCTCAGGCTCTGGCAGTCCCTGTCCTGTGCACCCCATTATTACGGCGGACGACAAGAGCGTGTTGACGCCCTGCCTCCCTGCCCTACCCCTGAATGCAACGGATGGACCTCGAGTTTTCTCCCAGTGCGTATGGGAAGTACAGTACTGTAGTGGATCTAAGCCGCACTCTAATGCAGACTGGGACGCCCAATACGAGCATAGAAGGGCCGCTGATTTAACATACCCACCCGATCTGGAATGCTGGGAGGCTTTGCCACAGGCCGCCGGAAGTGCTTTTGCTTGTTCCAGTGCTGGTGGCGAACCGCATCCTCAAAGCAGCGACCGATGGTGGTTATTTTTGGTTGCATTGCTCCATTTCGCGACTCCACATCACCTGTCTGCATGAAAGGGAAGAGATGGAAAAGGAAGAGGCGCCGTCATCACAGCTAAAATAATCCTGACCATCCTCACGCCCGGGCTAGAATCCCTGTGCACCTGGGAATATTCCCAACAGAAGGACATGGTTCAGGTATGGATTGGAAAGTTTGAGGTCAACACAGTTAGCGACTGTTGCCAGATGCAGTATTGTGAAGTAGACGAGGACGAGCTCTCACTTCATAACTGAGATGTCATTCTTCGAGACACAGGCAAGAAAGAGAAGATCAATGGCTTCAGAAGTTCAGACACGGGTGGATAAGGAAATTCGAAATGAAATGCGTGATGACGGGGCATTAACGTTTGAAGATCTGCCACCAAGTGCCACCTTCGGCAGCTGGTCGAAGCACTAGACTGCCCCGAGGCCCCTAAAAACAATCAACCTGGAGATTCCAGCGCGACGACGACCACCTTACAGAGTCGCTAAACAAGTTTGAAGAAGTTCAGGATCGGTCTAAAAACACACAAAGCTATTGGCCCTTCGCTCTGAAGTGTATAATCTACTGCTCGAGATGAGTTTTGCTATTCTGTTGCTGCGTGAGTCGCTTCAATAACACTGTGCTACGAGTTGAAGTTTTATTTACCTACTCGCTCGTGTTCGCGGCCATTCGATGCCAGCCAACCAGCAGTTGCAGAATGAAGAACACTCTGACTGCAATTAGTCCCGAGAGGTCGGAGACCAGCGTCCTGAGTGAGGTCACTGCAGGATTAAGTTATTAGGAGGCAGGCAAGGCAATGCATGCAAACACGAACTGTTGACTGGCATGGAAGCTGTACTGTATTATAAGAGTGGCGCGGTCTACGGCGTGCTCTCCTCTCAGTCCTTTGCCGAGTCTTCGTCAGATATCTCGTGTTTACGAACGAGCCTGCAGCAGTGCAGCAGTTGAGGAGAACAGTGGTAATTTAAATTTCCAATAATATATTCTATTGTAATTTACAGTAAAGCAGATCTCCTTGTACGGAGGTAAATTAAAGCCTGGCTGCCCGTCCCACGCCAAATCGCCCGTCCTCCTTTGTTGACCCCCTGAGCCGCTTAAAAATAGAGGCTTTTCTCGCTTTTCTCTCTCTCTCGCCTCCCCACTATCTACGGTGGCCGGATCAGCTTCCCTGTTCTCGTTCTTCGCGTCGCCAAAACTCGAGACAAGCAGACAGGCATCCCGGTCGGTCTTTTTGGCTTTGATTTGGTTTGCTTCCTCAACTCCAAGCATTTGCGTGAAGATCGAAGCACTGCTCTCATCAACGGCTCCTTTTCCTTCCTCGACTTCTCCGCAACAACCACGACGCTCGCTAATTTCCTAACGTTCGTTCATACATTCGCTATTGTCTGGTGAGAAGAGAAGGATTCTGCTGCACCACACACACTCTGCATATCCCTACTGCCTTCGTTACCTGGGGGATTTAGAAGTATCACCAACACACGACACGCTGCAACCTCAGAAATCCATTGCACACCACAAACAACCCATTATCCAGGCTATCCACCAGCCGCACCGTATATAGAGGATAACGCTTCGCCCAGAGGGTTTCGACCCGAATAATCAACATGGCCTTGAACAACCAAGGCGGCGGAGGCGCCCATTCCCAACCTTCACTTCCTGCCCTCCCTGCACATCTACAATCCGACACCCATCTTACAGCACATCTGGCCAGTCGCTTCCATGTGTCATTACCAACTGCTCAACTATCTTCACACGCGTTAATATGCCTCAATACTTATTCTTCTTCGAGCAAGGGACCGGATGGTGGAAAGGAGGGAAGTGCTATGGGCGGAGCTGAGGATTTGGCTGAGAAGGCATACACCAGACTTGGAGCCCGTTCCGAGAACCAGGCTGTTGTGTTTCTGTAAGTCCTGGAATATTAGAGTAAATATCTGCAGATGGATACTAATCATTTCAAGGGGCGAATCTGGATCGGGTAAAACCACTGTTCGTTCTCACTTGTTGTCTGCTCTCCTCAGCAAGTCATCCACACCTCTCTCCACCAAACTGTCCCTCGCGGCCTATGTATTCGATAGTTTGACGACTACAAAAACTGCAACTACCCCAACAGCATCAAAGTCCGGCCTGTTTTTCGAACTTCAATATGACACCTCCTCGACTGTCAACCCAACACTCATTGGAGGAAAAGTTTTGGATCACAGGTTGGAGCGGAGCCGAGTAGCATCTGTCCCAACCGGAGAGCGAAGTTTCCATGTTTTGTATTATCTTTTGGCCGGAACGAGTGCTGCGGAAAAATCCCATCTTGGATTGGACACCCCTGGAGCCCTTTCTGGTGTGGTTCATCAAAACCAGTCAGGCAATAGACACTCCCTCGGGCCGCAACAGAAGAGATGGAGATATCTAGGACATCCAACACAGTTGAAGGTTGGGATTAATGACGCCGAGGGTTTTCAGTTATTCAAGACCGCGCTCCGAAAGCTGGAATTTCCCCGCAGCGAGATTGCTGAGATCTGCCAGGTCTTGGCCAGCATTCTGCACATCGGACAACTAGAATTCGAAACGACTGAAGATACAGCTGTCACTGGAGATGAGAGTGGTGGTTACTCGCACGAAGGCGGACAATCTGTGACCGGTGTGAAGAATAAGGAGGTGCTTGGAATAGTGGCAGCTTTCCTCGGAGTCAGTGCTCAAGATCTGCAGACCACTCTAGGCTATAAGACCAAGATTCTGCACAGAGAGCGAGTCACTGTTATGCTCGATCCAAAGGGAGCCCGAAGCAACGCAGATGAGCTTGCGAGAACTCTGTACTCCCTCTTGGTAGCATATGTGATTGAAAGCATTAATCAGAGGGTCTGCGCCGTCGAAGATACCGTCGCCAACACTATTTCGATCATCGATTTCCCTGGCTTCTCCCAACAACAGCCAACAGATTCAACTCTTGACCAGCTTCTGAATAATGCTGCTACCGAGTCTCTTTACAACTTCACCCTCCAGAGCTTTTTTGAGGGCAAGGCAGAGATGCTCGAGAGCGAGGAAGTCAGCGTGGCGCCGACCAGCTACTTTGATAATTCAGATGCTGTTAAGGGTCTTCTCAAGCACGGAAACGGTTTGTTGAGCATATTGGATGATCAAACAAAGCGTAACAGAACCGACATGCAGCTACTAGAAAGTCTTCGAAAGCGCTTCGAGGGCAAGAACCCAGCCATCTCTGTCGGAAGTGCAACCGCTAAACTTCCTGGAAGCAACTTTGCAACTCATAATGCTGCTGCGTCTTTTGCCGTAAAGCATTTCGCAGGCGAAGTTGAATATCCAGTTGCCGGCCTGGTAGAGGAGAATGGAGAAGTCATTTCAGGAGATCTGATGAACTTGATTGCCTCAACTAAGAGCGAGTTTGTTGGCCAACTCTTCGGACAAGAAGCTTTGCAAACAGTCGTACACCCTCAAGAGAAGACCACCATCATGCAAGCGCAGGTCAGCTCGAAGCCTTTGCGAAAGCCAAGTGTGATGAGAAAGAAGGGCGACAGACCAGCCAAGTTCGCAGGTCGCGACACTACCAAGGAAATCTTCTCCGAGTCGGTAGAAGAATTGGGAAATGGCGACGACGATGCTAAAAGCCGTAGAGGTCGTAACATCGACCAAGGAGCTGCCGCCCAATTCTTGTCGTCTCTGGATAACGTCACCAAGTCTCTCACCGCGCCAAACACGAATCCCTACTTTGTGTTCTGTCTCAAACCGAACGATCGCCGCATTGCCAACCAGTTTGACAGCAAGTGTGTCCGGACTCAAATCCAGACCTTTGGCATTGCAGAGATCAGTCAACGACTGCGAAATGCAGATTTCAGTCTCTTCTTACCATTTGGTGAATTCCTTGGACTTGCTGACGCAGAGACTATTCTGGTTGGCAGTGAACGAGAGAAGGCTGAGATGGTTGTGGATGAAAAGAGGTGGCCAGCAAATGAAGCCAAAATTGGCAACACTGGTGTCTTCTTGAGTGAACGATGCTGGTCAGAAATTGCCAAACTTTCAGAGCGCGGCTACGTTCAAGGCAGATATCCAACCCAGTCGGATGATGGCGGCGATATGCTGTCTCCAGGTGATATTCATGGCACGTATGGTCAATCAAAAGAGCGTCTTCTTGGCACACCTGGAGGACTGAGCCCAGGCTATGGAGACAAGAAATCGGGCTACTTCGGTAGCAATGACATCGATACTCGCTCAGATGCTGGTGCTTCGGCACTCGGCGGTGGGGATATGTTTCGAAACCTCGATACCCGCGCACAGATGGCTGAGAAGGGTAATGAAAAGGCAATGGTGGAGGTTGAAGAAGTCAAGACCACAGGCACTCGAAAGAGGTGGGTTTTCCTGGTCTACATGATGACCTGGATGATCCCGGACTTTGCAATTCGCTTAATTGGTCGCATGCCTCGCAAAGATGTTCGGATGGCGTGGAGAGAGAAGCTCGCAATCAACATGATGATCTGGATCAGTTGTCTCTTCGTCGTCTTCTTCATCGTCATTTTCCCGCTGCTCATTTGTCCCAAACAACACGTCTACAGTGCTGCTGAGTTGACATCACACAACGGAAAGGGCTCGCATGCATATGTCTCCATCCGCGGGCAGGTTTTCGACCTGTCAGACTTTGCACCTTCGCATTATCCCTTCATCGTTCCTCAGAAGCAAGTATTGAAGTATGCCGGTCTGGATGCTACATCTCTCTTCCCTGTTCAGGTCTCTGCTCTCTGTCAAGGTGTCAATGGAACGATCGACCCTGCCGTGCAGCTCGACTACACAAATGCCAATACCACCGGCTCAGCAAAAGTTATCAGCACTACTGATGACAACTTCAAGTACCATGATTTCCGAGCCTTCACAAATGACAGTCGACCGGACTGGTTCTTCGAGCAGATGATGATGCTCAGAGCTGGTTACAAGAAAGGAAACATCGGTTACACGAGCAGCTACGTCAAGAAACTGGCTGCTAAGAGCAATGCAATCGCTATACTCAATGGTCGCGTCTACGATTTCACCAAATACACTCAAGGAGGTCGCCGAGTTCTAGTGAAAGCCGGCGAAGAGGTCCCAACTGATATCAACACCAATTTCATGGATCCTTTGGTTGTGGACTTGTTCCAACAGAAGGCCGGTGAGGATGTCACAAAATACTGGAATGCTTTGGCCATCGACGAAGGGATGCGTACTCGAATGTCTACTTGTCTTGACAACCTTTTCTACGTTGGAGATGTTGACACCCGAAATTCCGTGAAATGTCAATTTGCTGAGTACCTGATCTTGGCTATTTCTGTCATCCTGCTCGCCGTCATTGGCTTCAAATTCGCTGCAGCCCTGCAGTTTGGAACGAAGAACGTCCCCGAAAACCTTGACAAGTTCATCATATGCCAAGTTCCAGCTTACACCGAGGACGAAGAGTCTCTTCGTCGTGCCATCGACTCTGCTGCGCGGATGAAGTATGATGACAAGCGCAAACTTCTCGTCGTTATCTGTGACGGAATGATTATCGGCCAAGGAAACGACAAGCCAACTCCACGCATCGTGCTCGATATCCTTGGTGTCTCCGAAACCGTTGATCCCGAGCCCCTCAGCTTTGAATCGCTTGGTGAGGGCATGAAGCAGCACAACATGGGAAAAGTCTACTCGGGACTTTACGAAGTCCAAGGCCACATTGTGCCCTTCTTGGTCATCGTTAAGATCGGTAAGCCCTCTGAGGTCTCACGCCCTGGAAACAGAGGAAAGCGTGATTCCCAAATGGTCATGATGCGGTTCTTGAACAGAGTCCACTACAACAGCGCCATGAGTCCAATGGAGCTTGAGATGTACCACCAGATTCGGAATATCATTGGTGTCAATCCCACTTTCTACGAGTACCTGTTACAAATTGATGCCGACACTGCTATTGCTCCAGATTCTGCATCCCGATTCGTTTCTGCGTTCATCGACGACACCAGACTGATCGGATGCTGTGGAGAAACAGCCCTGAGCAACTCAAAATCGTCCTTCGTCACTATGATCCAGGTTTACGAATATTACATTTCCCACAACCTTGCCAAAGCATTCGAAAGTTTGTTTGGAAGTGTTACCTGTTTACCTGGATGTTTTACCATGACCCGCATCCGCGCAGCCGAGTCCGGGAAGCCACTCTTTGTCAGTCGAGAGGTCGTCGAGGCGTATGCCGAAATCCGTGTCGATACTCTCCATATGAAGAATTTGCTTCATTTGGGTGAAGATCGTTACTTGACTACACTCCTGCTCAAGCACCATCCCAAGTACAAGACGAAGTACATCCGAAACGCACACGCCTGGACTGTCGCTCCTGATTCCTGGAAGGTCTTCCTCTCTCAACGTCGTCGCTGGATCAACTCTACTGTGCACAATCTGGCCGAGCTGGTTCCTATGTCACAACTCTGCGGGTTCTGCTGCTTCAGTATGCGCTTCATTGTGTTCATCGATCTGCTCTCTACTATTGTTCAACCTGTCACTGTTGCCTACCTCGTCTACCTGGTTGTACTGGTCATCACGAATCCAAGCACTGTGCCCATCATTGCATTTATTCTTCTGGGTGTTATATATGGTTTACAAGCTATCATTTTCATTCTCCACCGAAAGTGGGAAATGATCGGGTGGATGATTCTGTACATTCTCGCCATTCCAGTCTTCTCCTTCGGTCTGCCACTGTACAGCTTCTGGCACATGGATGATTTCTCCTGGGGTAACACTCGAGTGGTCACCGGAGAGAAGGGTCGCAAGATCGTCATCACCGACGAGGGCAAATTCGACCCAGACTCCATTCCACACAAGAAATGGGAGGAGTACCAGGCTGAGCTCTGGGAAGCCCAGACCATGAAGGACGACCGCTCCGAAGTCTCTGGCTACTCATACGGCACCAAGCACCTCGCTGCAGCTTCTGAGTACAACTACGCACCTTCGCGTCCCATGTCTCAAGTTGGAGGTAACTACCCGTACGATGCCAAGAACGCCAATATGTACAACTCGCGCATGTCTCTGGCACCTTCTGATGCCATGGGCATGGACTACCGCCAGAGCCAGTATGGTGGTTCCCAATTCTTTGGCCAGCAGGAACTCGAGCTATCCAACCTCGCTGGTCTGCCGAGTGACGATGCCATCCTGGCGGAGATCAGAGAGATTCTGAAGACGGCGGATTTGATGACTGTCACGAAGAAGAGTATCAAGGTTGAGTTGGAGAAGAGATTCGGAATTCCACTTGATGCTAGGAGAGCATATATCAACTCGGGTGAGTTCTCTACCTATTTCTTCTACTTGGATAATCTACTAACAATGTATAGCTACCGAAGCATTGCTCTCTGGCCAATTGTGATCGGAGATATGTAAAGAACATGTTTGATGCATATAATTGGAGTATTTATACAACTAAATGTGTTTTGAAAAGCTTTGGGGTGGGGTGTAGCGATAGTGTTGGCTTATTTGTTGTTCTGGGTGGGGCAGTCTTGTTCACTCGCTTGGGTTTTTAGTGCTATCTGTCGATTTGGCTGGCGTTGTTCATCTTTGGGATAAGGTGATGGTGCATGCATTTTGGACAATATGACCAGAGGAAGATAATAATATCAACCAGTTCTTGCTTATGCTCAACTTTGCTCAATCGAATTATTATTCCTGTATCATCACATCATCACTTTGCTTTTGCGGTCACATTGCACTCAAAACCGAGGGTTTCTAAAAGTTCTGGCGTTTGCCTGTCACTGTGTGCGAGAATCTATTCACTCTTTCATCTATCCATGATGACTAAGAGAAGAGCCAAGAAAAGATCAGAACTCCTCTCCGAAGATAAGAGAACCATGCCATCCTCTCCCAGCCCAGAACGAAGACCGCAATTAGTTCAGATAGTGCAAAGTCTGTCCAAGCGGACCACCAGTGTTCAAAAGGACAAGAAAGGAGATCTCATGCATGCTGACGCCCAAAAGTAAGAAAGCAACTATGATTTCCAACCAACCACCGAGTGAACCAAATGAAAGCCTTAGCGTTTCCATATTACACCTGTCTGCAAGGCCAATGCTTGAAGGACTCAGGTGTCAAGGCCGAGTGTTTAGATTCTGTGTGGATGGTGTGGTGTATTTAGTGCTTGACTAAGGCATGTGGCACTGTGAGGGAATGTATGTCAGTCCAGGTACGGTGAGGGGGTGAAGAGGGGAGGAAGACTGATAAAAGGAGAAGGAAGGGAAGACATACACGGCCGTAGGCTGAGCAGCGGTTGCAGATACCTTGGCATTGCAAGTGGTTAGAGCATTGCTCCCAGCAACCCTTGTAAGCGATAGTGTCAACAGCCTCATCACGGGGAAGGGAGACTGGGGCAGCTACAACTTCAGCCTCAGTCTCGACACCCTCATCGCGCTTGTAGGGACGGTGGCACTATTCATATGATCAACGTCAGCTCTCTCACTCTCTCATAGCGAAAACAGAGGGTATATCAAGGAAGGAAGTTGGAAGAGGATGCCATTTAGAGATGGAAGACAGAATGGAAGACATACACGGCCATTGACGGAGCAGCGGTAGCAGAGACCCTGGCATTGAAGGTGGTTAGAGCACTGCTCCCAGCAGCCCTTCTCAGCGGAACGGGCTCCGAGAGGGAGGAGAGCGTTGGTGTTTGGGCTGGAGAGAGTGCCGGCTGGGATAGCAACGACGAAAGAGAGGAGGGTAGAGACGATGGTGAGGATGAAAGTGGTGCGCATCTTGACTGATGTTGCTTGTTTTTTGTGTTTGGAAATGTAGTAGGTGTTGGTGTTTGGAGTTTTGTCTTGGAAGACGAGATGTCGTGTGTATGTGTGTTTGGTGTTGAGCAAGGAAACAGAAATCTGTCTTGAGGTCGAGAAGGGGTTTTTATATAGGTTTGGAGACGAAGAGGCAGGTCGGAACTATAAAAGCTAGGCCAAATTGGGACCGGCGAGGAGGAAAAATGAGTGGCATTCACTCATAGTATATTTCTTTGTTGTCTCGTTGGCGCGGTAGCGTGAATCATCTACGACTTTTGGCAGCTCAAGCCTTGCGACTCGGCTGTTAACTAACTGTTTTGGACCGTCATTTGGGGTTCTTGCAATATTAACTTACGCTTTCTAATTTGATTGACATGCTTCAAATTCGGCTCTAATTATAGCATTTGGTTTGAAAGACTATGTAATATGATGTTGGTTAGGAGCAAGCTTGTCGCTTATTGTTTGTTTACTGACCCCTGATCCTAGATATAAATTGAATGTTGCCACTGCACCCAATCAGACATTGCCTCATAGAATCTCAAGAATGCGATAATTCAATTGAGTGGGAATGCAAGTACATACCAGCATTGACCTTTTCAAGTTTTCATTGTCAGAGCCATTTACCATTTCGGTAGCATGACTTCACCGGATTTTGCTTCGGCTTTGTGGTAGAATTCCCCAGCGCGTGAAAAAATTGGTGTGACTTGAATATTGAACGCAAACCTGCATGCTTTGGCTAGATTCTGCAACTGACTATATCACAGTTATCAACGAAGTTGGTGGGAGAAGAAGGAAAGATTGATATCTTGGATCGGAACTCTCTCATATGTCCCAGCTACCGTAGTATTAAAGTTTGGATCATCACATAATCCATTTGGGCTGAGGTGAAACTGATTTGCGTGAAGTTCGTACGAAGATGTTGAGAATTTGTTTGAGGCGAGTTCTTATAAGGAGATAAAGCCATCGTGATTGATGAGTTGGTCGTTTCGTTTGCGGTGTCTCGACTTGGTTGGGATTTCTGAGTGCTCTATGGATAGGAGCATGACTGAAGGACACAACCAGATCGCAGAAGTATAGAATATGTATCTTCTCATGTCTATGTGGATCTGAAACGAGCTGACCTGTTAATATTTGGTCAGTTTTAGGGCTTAGGACCTCGATCAAGACTCTAATATATGCATTTGACACTTCCAGTAGAAAGTATCCTTAATGTTTAGGAAGACTCCTAAATCGCGCTCTCTCTTGTTCGGAGAGTAATCTAAGTTTCACTTTTCGTAGAGCTAGCTACGCATCATATTCCTTCCTCGGAATCGAATCACGGCAGCTAACAATGGCACAAGGCGATAACGTTGGAGGATGTCGAACGGGCCAGGAGCTCGTATGGAATGCTAATTCCCTGGTAGACTCCTGGCACATTAGTCTCTCCAAAGCATTGCATGCGACAGTTCCCTCTATTTCTGGGCTGAGACGCAGCAGAAGGTCGGATCTGGCTTCGGAGAAGAATACAAGCTCGTAGATGATTTCACGACCACTTGTGGAGTTTTATCACTTTTTACATGAACCCATGTACCGGTCCGTATTGTTGTCATACTGGAGGTTTGAATCAGTTTCAACAGCAATGACATACCCAAAAATGTAGTCTTTATTGAACTTGAAATAGTACTGTGCTAGTAACTCAGCTGTTCGTAAACACGCCAGCCAAAGGCGTGGTCCTGCGACCAAGCTCTTTCAGCATCCTAGGTGGCAGGCAGATGCTGAGGTAGAGAAAGCTCGTGGTTCTTGTCACCATCAGAGACGCTGTTCTAATGATGTTCGAAAGCATCCTCTCTGTTAACGTACGCGCTGATGTTGCAAAACCGTGTTGGGGTTTGACTGCTGACCAAAGTGCCTTGAGATAATCTGACCCAAGAGATCCTTGACCACGATGTTAGGCAGATTCCGAGTATCACAGGTATATTCACTATCCAGTAGCAGGATTGTTGACGGACTCACAACGAAGAAAGATACATGCTCCTTGCTGGCGTTCTCAACCAGTTTACATGATCGTCTCTACCAGAGTGGCTCCAAAATGTTCATTGTTCTGTAAATTCAAAGAAGCCTATCCATCACACACTCTCACAATGGCTTTGCCGATGGTACAATCTGAAGTGCGCTAATTGTCACCCCTTCTCGCCTCCCTATTCATGGATCAACTTGAGCTTCTGTCACCATGGTTCTACAAAAAACCCACAACAATTCAATATCCTCGTGCTGTTGCTGCTGGCAGCTCCAATGCAGCTTCTTTACGTTGTGATCCATATCAAGGTCTGCCGACTCATAGGCATTCATCATAGAGCACGCAAGAACTCATATGTCAATTATCAAAGCAAGCATGTATTCCATGGTTTTAGTTACACGAATGGGTATTTCCCCAGAAACGCCGATCCTTCCCAGATGACCAACCACTCATTGAGAACAAGTTTTTCAGAAACACAAAAATCAAAATATAGAGAGAAACAGTATCCATCTGCTTTCCCTCAGATCAGTCCTGGAGTTGCGACAACCTCGCCGTGTACCCTAACACGATACAAGCAAGTGTAGTCGACGCGCCCCTCGCTCCAATTGTTCTTGCTGCGAACAATGAGCTTGTTGGTATGGGCTCCATAGAGCTTCATTTCCACCTGTACTTGGAAACCCTGAATACTCTCACTGGCTTTAGCATTGTATGTGAATGTGGCGATGCGGACAAATCCGTCGGCACGAAGTGGCTCGACTGTGTCGTCGTTGAAGGTTTTGTCGGATATGTCGGAGACCTTGCGGAAAAGCTCCGGATCGGGGATCCATGCAAGTATTTCTATGTCTTGGGGTGCAGCGCCTGGTTCGAGAGATGCACTTGGCAAGATGTGCTCAATGACAATCTGTTCAGGGTAAATGCTGCTTCCCATGATGACAGCTAAACTGGCGCCAAAGCCGTTGGCATTAGAAGGAGAACACCAGCAATCACCATGTTCTTCCCACTTCATCAGAGCGGTATCAGGTGGGTTTGGGACAGGTATGGAATTGCCAATCAACCAGCGCATGGTCCTCTTGGGAAACCATACATCCATGCTGGGAAAGACGTATTGTGGTGAGGTGAATTGTGGATCGATAACGGCACCAGTTCCTTTCGAGAAGTGATTCAACTGAGTAAGTCCATAATTGAGATTGCTCCGGAGGTTGGCAGCTGCGAGAGCTTCGAGTTGGCCTCTAGGAATGAACTTCTTGAGAACCTCATCAGCGATGGCTCTTGATTCGTCCTTGAAGTCATGTTGAAGTTTAGTGATCTGCTGAGTGGTGTGGGCGAGCTTCCTCTTCATTTCGCTCATTTCCAATCTGACCTCAGACTTGTTGTCTTCCCAGCTTTGACGAATGAGCTGTAAGACCTCGGTTTTTGGAATGATGTGATTTTGCTCTAGTAGATGAGGGAACTGGCGAACAACCTCGTCGTTACTGAGTTCTCCAAGTTGTGCTTGGTTGCTCTTCAGGTATCTGTCCCACAATTTCCGAGCCTCCTTCTCCAGATCCTTGATATGATGTTCACCGGACGAGACTTTGCCGCCGTCAACAGGTGCGTGAGAAAAAGAATCATCTTGGCGAATCTTGTCCCGTAAAGCATACCAAAGGTTGTCAGGGATGACGCTCTTGCCGTGCCTGTCCTTCTTGACGACGAGAAGGACTGGGAGCATGTCTTCGATGGTCTTCAGTGTCTTTGGATCGAGATCCGAGTTGTGAGATGAGAGGCGAGAGACTTTGAGTTCAAGATCCCTGAGACGACCAGTGATTGATTGAACGTCATTGGGACTGAACATGTCTCCGGGATGTCTCCAACTGTACGGAATGAGATTTGGCAAGTTTCCAGAGATAGCAGAAACCACGCCAGAACCAGTCCGGAGAAGTCCATAGCCAACAGCGATTGCGAGAATTAAAGGGAGACCCCAACTTTTCGATCTTGTTAGTACAGGGCTTTGATTCCGAGGAAGAATACTCACGTCAAGAATAACTTCAATGTTGGCTCGAGGAAAGGGTACCAAACAAAATCCAAGAAGAATCCCCATAACACGTCTCGAACCTCTCTCAAAAACTGCAAGATACCAGCAAAAATGTCCAAGTACCACGAGGTATTTGTTGCCCGAACTGGTGCATAACTGTGGTTTCTGGACATCTGCTCCATCGCACGACGCTCCGCCCGGTCATTGAGTTCCTCTAAGCTGGTAGGCGGGGTGTCTGAGTCGTCCTCGTCGGAGTTTGGCTCTGGCAGCTCTGGGATGTTTCCTAGCTCTTCGGCCTCCGAGATAGGTGAAGACTCGATGCCAGCTCTCTGAAAAATGCCGCTTTCGTCCACGAAACTTCTCTCCGAGACAACTGGAGTTGGAGAGTGTGCAGTGCTTCGAGCGCGACTAGCATCTGCGTAGAGCATCAATGATAATTCAGTACAGAGCCGGATTTGACTTACTGCTTGCAGCTCTGCGAGGAGGAAGTGAAACAGGGTTCAACTCGGCTTGCAGGACCTCGTTGAAACCACGAGCCACTGGAGGAGCATCTGCTGCGGGTGGTGGGATTGTGTTTGAACCATAGGCTGTACTTTGTCGAGCACCAACTGCTGGGAGGGCATTGGATGCACGACGATTTGCCGCACGTCTTGGGGTTGCCGGGATATCAGAGGTAGAAATCGCCGGCGAAGCTCCTCGACTGCTTGCCTGCCTGCTTGCACCGCGAGTAGATCTGCGGGTTGACATGGTGTGAGTCGATTGTGCTTGTGCTCGGTTGAATTGGGTATTTCTGTGTTCAGGAAGAGGTTCGTTAATCTGAGAGAACTCGGAAAGTCCGTCGTCTGAAGCTACACTCTGACGAGCGGAACTGATTTCTGATTTGACAAGTCAGCCGGCTGTTCATGTTCAACAATTCTAGGACCAAAAACTGACGAAGATGTGCGAATCGCAATGGCAGATAGTTCTCTCGAACTGACTGGTGCAGGGACATTGGAGGGTTTCAATGAAACTGTGCAAAGGTGCAGGAGCAAAGAAAACGGGAAGATTGCAGAGCAATGGCTCACTATATAGGAATCGTTCGCCATCGTGAGCTTAGCGAGGGCGGACTTACTATTGTTTTTGCAATTATTCGCAAGTTTACCACTGTTGGCAGCTCACCATAGGAGTGCCAGATACACCACGCGTGTAGCCACCACAATCACAATGCTATGGCAGAAAAACGCGGTCGGGTTGATAGGCCGTGCAATTAATTCAACTCTTATAGCATCGAGGAATCGTGGCAGGTCGTGGGTGGTTATAGCTATGGTCTGGCGCAAAGTTGATAAGTAGGGCGTCGAGGACGAGGCGCGACAAAGGACGAACAATGGGATGCCATTTATCACAAGACACAGGCTGCTCCCGGAGTAGCAACCACGGCAAAATCCTCAAAGGACGCAGTAGCACACGACGGGTATAGCAGTAGATTGCGAGCCAGCGACCATGATGGAGGGCAAGGGAAAGCCGATTTGGGGTGTTTTCATTTCAGGTTCATTCTTACGCCGGAAGCAATCAATCAGCCAGCTATGATTTTCTTTCTTTGTCCACGCGGGCGGGCGCGCGACGTGACCGAGGGCAGGGCAGGGGAAGCCATGTTTTCCCGAGGGGCGGAGCGGGGCGGGGAGGGGCGGAGTGAAGCGTCAAGGGTGAAGGGTGAAGGGTGAAGGGTGAAGGGTGAAGGGTGAAGGGTGAAGGGTGAAGGGTGAAGCAGATGGGGCTTCGTAGGTAGGTAGGTAATAGGTACCTTAAAGTACGTTACCGGTAGGAGGTGAGGCACTGGCCTGAAGTATGTATAGGTAGGTAACCTCGCAACCGTCAAAGAATCCTTATTACTGTACTATCAATTCACCATTCGCCGATTGTCCATTGATCCGCTCAAGACTTACCTATAAGGTTAACCTTACAGTGCCCGTGCATTTTGCCCCTCCAGCGATTCCCAGAAGGTATAAGTACCTAGGCTGGAGGGTAAGGTAAGGAAGGTATCGTTCGTCAGGTAGGGTAGAGATGCTTGTGCTGAGTACTGTATGGCTTGTGCTGTGGCTGGCATGAATGCTGCATCAGCACATACTTATACTGTACCAGACTGACTACCTTAAGACTGTCCTTGAAGAAGCTACCTTACCTCCCTGAGTACCCTGAGGTAGCAAGGTAAGGTACCTTACCTTACGAAGCCTTAGGTACACTGGTACGGTACAGCTCCAGTCCAGAGATATGGATATGGATATGGATATGGATATGGATATGGATAGGTACCTTAGGACCGGGCTCATACCTACCTACCTTCCCGAGCTACCTAACCTTTCGGATCCATTCAGTCAGTCCAGAATTAGTCTTGTGACGCCTAGTTTCTCAGATCATAAAGTGCCTCGTACCTACCTACCTTACCTAGAGGTAGGTACCTACCTACCTTACCTTACCTACCTTACCTTACCTTAAAGTACCGTACCGTACCTTAAAGTACCGTACCTGCAGACATTACCTCCGTACCTTATGTCGTACCCTACCACCTCGGCGTAGTTTTCAACGTCTGGTCCAGTCGAGGTATTGGTCGAGGTGCATTTCAATCCCGCTTTTCCGCCTTCCCGCCAGTGATGATCCCATCCCATCCCATCCCATTCCCATAAGTTACCCATCCACTTGTGATGGATGCAACGTCCAGAGCCGTTTGGGTCAGACGTCGCGGCGGGCGGGCGGGCGGCCGGGCGGCATTGAATCTGAATCTGTATCGGAATCTGCAGGTGAACGGCACTGGTGCGCGCTGCTGGTCCCATTTTTGACAGGAAACCCGGACCGTTGCATTGGATTGGATCCTTGGAGGGCGTGTGGTTTACTGTAGGCCTCTCCATCGTGTCTGGAAATTGCTTCCCGCATCCACTTAAATAAAGGAAGGTGTCTGGATACCCCGCGGCTTCAGCAATCACTGCATTTCAACTCACCTTTCTTTACAACTCTCCCCCGATCTTTCCACAAGCATACACACCATGACGGTAGGAACTGTTCTGATCACTGGGTAAGAGCATACCGTTCCTTGTCGCAGTCGAACTTTTTGAACAGAGAGGAGCCTCAAATGGCTACCCCGCCATCAGCCACATCCCACCTCAGATGTAACTTTCTTGTGTGCATGTGCTGATATTCGATTTCCACAGAGGTACAGGTTATATCGGGTCCTTCACTACGCTCGCGCTACTCGAACATGGCTACAAAGTCGTGATTGTCGACAGCCTCTACAACTCTTCCAAAGTCTCACTTGACCGCATCGAACTCCTCTGCGGAAAGAGACCAGACTTCTACCAAGTGGATGTCACCGATGAAGAAGCGCTTGACAAGGTCTTCGCCGCGCACCCAAACATCGACAGCGTCATCCACTTTGCTGCTCTCAAGGTACGCTTGAAGCTACATCTGCGCCGGCGCAAGCTGATTGAAATAGGCTGTTGGTGAATCTTCTGAAATCCCAGTCGAATACTACCGTGTCAATGTTGGCGGAACGATTGCCCTCCTCAGATGCATGATCAAGCACGATGTACCCAATATCGTCTTCTCCTCCTCTGCCACCGTGTACGGCGACAATGCGACCCAAGTACCGAACATGATCCCCATCCCTGAACACTGCCCAATTGGGCCTACAAACCCATACGGAAGAACGAAGAGCATGATTGAGGAGATTATTACAGACCACATAAATTCTCAGCGTACCAAGGCGAAGAAAGAGGGAACGTCGGTCGAGAAATGGAATGGTGCTCTGCTGCGATACTTCAACCCTTGTGGTTCGCACCCAAGTGGAATTATGGGCGAGGATCCCCAAGGAGTGCCATTTAACCTCCTACCATTGCTGGGCCAAGTTGCTACTGGACAAAGAGAGAAGTTGATGGTGTTTGGAAATGGTATGCAGCTTTTCAACTCTGAACACGAGATATCTCGGTGCTAACGATATACAGACTATCCATCAAGAGACGGCACTGCAATCCGCGACTATATCCACGTAGTCGATCTCGCCAAAGGCCATCTCGCAGCCCTCAACCACCTCCGCCAAGCTAATCCCGGCGTGCGAGCCTGGAATCTAGGCTCAGGTCGCGGTTGCACTGTCTTCGAAATGATCAACGCCTTCCAGAAAGTTGTCGGACACCCTCTGAAATACGATGTTGTGGAGCGAAGAGCAGGCGATGTGTTAGACTTGACTGCTAACCCAGAGCGTGCAAATAAGGAGCTGGCCTGGAAGACAGAACTTACGCTTGAGGACGCTTGTGAAGATCTTTGGAGATGGGTCAGCAATAACCCAAAGGGATATCGTCAAGATCCTCCGGAAGTGCTGCTTGCTGCTATAAAGAAGTAGTTGGTGGTCATATATTTGTTGTTCCAGCATTTTCATAAGATAGCATTTAGACTCAAAACATAGACATATGGAAAGCTTGTTCATATTGACAGAGCAGTACCAGGATCATACACATGTGATGCGCTGGTAGCGACCGAATAAAGTTACGGACTCTGTGAGACCTGATTGAGACATGAGGTGGGTTAGCTCTGCATGTTAGTCCCAGATCCATCTCGACTATTTGAACAGTGCACATGACGGCTTCGGCTGGACCAGAGGACAGAGGACCTATGCTTAAAAGTCTTCGGTTCTGGTCATTGTGTTGTGTAGGCCAGCTGAATTTCGCTGTCGCTTGTGTTATATATACCACAAGCATTCTATATGTCCTTCAGCAATCCACCAGCAAATGCCCACACAATTCATTGCAGCTATCACTCTACTCTCCTACGGCTTGAGCAATAATTTCCCCGTTGTTTTCCTCCCCTCCAAATCTGTATGTGCTCTCGCTATATCGGCAAGAGGATATGTCTCATGCACCTGAACGTTCAACTTGTCTTTGATAATGAAATTGAAGAGCTCAGCCGTGTATCTCTCGTACTCCTCCCTTGTGTAGATGTAATTGAAAAGAGTTGGTCGTAGGACTTTAACGTTCTTCCCTCCCAGTTTGGAGATCGCAAAAGGAGGTACGGCGCCGGACTGTTTACCTCGATCAGCACTTTTTTCGAGAAAAGACGGATGGAGAAAGATGGGCAGACATACCGAGTTACCGTAGGAAACTATAGATCCCTTCCTAGCCACAACCTCCAGATCATTCTCGAACTGATCCTTCCCCGTGCTGTCGAAAACGACACTGACACCCGCACCCCCTGTAATCTCCTTCACCTTGCCTACCAAATCTTTCTCCTCCTTATAATTGATCATGAACTCCGCCCCATTCTTCTTGGCCAACTCAATCTTCACACTCGTGCTAGCAGTCCCGATAGTTCTCGCCCCAACCGCCTTCAGCAGCTGGACCAGCCATAGTCCCACACCTCCAGCAGCAGCATGAACCAGCACCCAGTCACCCTTCTTGACTTCGTACGCCTCGCGGATGAGTGTCAAGGCTGTTAGACCTTGCAGAGTCGACGCAGCCGCTACACCTGGAGAGAGTTCCAAGGGAAGAACATGGGCTTTGGCTACGGGTGCGGCGCTGTACTCCGCGTATGCGGTGGTTCCTAGCCATACTACACGGTCGCCCACTTTCAAGTTGAGGACATCGCCGCTACCAACGGCGACAATGGTGCCTTCTGCTTCGCGGCCGAGAATTTCGGGTTTGGGTGCGGGGTAGAGTCCAGAGCGATAATAGCTGTGAAAGATAAGTATGTATATTTATACCTATACATGGATTCGTGGCAATGGCATTTCAGAGCAGAAATCCAAGGAAAGATGAAAGGGGAGAGGATGGAGGCATACGTGTCAATGTAATTGACTCCAATAAAGTCATTCTTGACAAGCACCTCTCCGGCCTTCGGAGTGGGCACAGGCAGATCAGTCCTGTACTGCAAGACCTCCACGCCTCCCGTCTTCTCAATCAGAACACCCTTCATGGTCTTGGGAATTGAGGTTGCCATCGTGCGTGTGAACTGGCTGTTCAATTGTGCAAGTCGAGTCGTAGTTTGGAATCGAGCGGTGCAGAGTCGGGTAGCGTACCTTGCAGACATGCATGCGCTGAAGGTTTGCCGAGTTGGAGGGGCTAATTGAAGCTTTATGGATGCTCATGGAAGTTCACGCGATCTGTCGCACCAAGGGCGCAGTCGGAGAAGCCGGATTGATTGCTCAGCAAGCTTCGGAGATGTGAAAAGTCAAGACTGGACTCGATAGTCGCACTAGCGATACTTAGGACTTCCCGTTTGCCATGATATGATATGATATGATGTGCTCGAACCGAGAATTCGAAGCTCTACAGTACTGTAGGTGGTCATATTTTTGACCCCTCATTGCGACTCCCGAAACTGACCCCGCAGCCGATTGTCAGGGATGACAAGTGAGGAATCCCGGATCCCACTCACGGAGAAGGTACAGTACAGTACCCCGCCCCCTTTTCCTGTCTCGCTTCGTGAGCAGTTTGTCGTGGGTGGATAAACAATAGAATGGCCCGGAAATCTCCCCCCCTGTGTCACTGTTTTCATTTCTTCCCTTTCTTGAAGAGCAACCCCCATTGGGATAAGTGCTGGTTCAGAGGAGTTCCTCTATTCCTGATCCTACTTTGCAGCCAGCCTAGGCTCGACAAATACGCATGTCTTGACGCATTGTGTGCAAGCTTCCAGATACGCCACTTACAACTGATGAGGAATATAACTGATGAAGAATATAACCTTGGAGACAGACGCTGATTTGCAAAGCTCGACCTTATGTCTCGTTGAAATCCTTGAGGTAATTCGCCTTATCAGAACTCGATATCAAGTCGCTGGCAGCAAAGCTTGCGCTTGATCGCTCCGGTTCATGCCGTTATGATGAAAAAAGCTCAAAACTTATCATTCTATAAAAAATCCCCTCCAACGAATACCATGGTCAGATCTGAAGGCCCAAACATATTTTGCAATCACCTACCTCGGTTACCTATCTTTCACCTCGGCGCTGACGTCGAGAGAGCCCGTTCTTTTGGTCTCTTTCCACATAATACTCAAAAGGATAGAAGCACGTGGGATTCTGAGAGCATTGCTTTACCTAGACAGCATTCGTACTTTCCCATGGAGACTGAGCGTACCTCGTTGGAAGACGGTCGATTCCATCCCGACAGATCGCACCCCTCGAAATTTTGCGCCAATTCTTCTTGACAGAAAGCGGCCGATGTCTACTGCGTTTTCCGTGCTGAAGTCTTGACTGAAATCCAATTATTGTCGTATCTGTCTCACGAGTGATGCGTACAGAGTAGTGAGAGCTGCAAAAAACTTGTGCTTGTACTCTATCGCGTACATTATCTACTAAATTTTGCGATGTTGACTATTGCCGAACACTGTGTACCCAATTCTCATGGTGCACAAATCTCATAAACATAAAGATATCATATGCCGCCCACAAGAAGTTTTCTTAGCCCAAGACAATTCCGAGATTGAGCCTTCCGGGGATTTTCACATCTCCTTTATTTTGACTCGTGTTTTGTTCCAGCGAGTGAAGTAGGTATGGAATTTTAGCGAGGCAAGGTCCAGGTCTTGTGACGCTGACCGTAACTTACTTTTTACCTTTTGGTTACCTACGCTAAGGATATAAGTACTTGCCGGATTGGATCAGGTTGGATCAACGACCACCCACAGGCCCCACGCTACACTACACGACACGACACGACACATAAAACCATACCTTGACTCCTGTCTCCATCGGAAAAGAGAACGGTTTCGTAAACGAAAGCACCCACCTCGATCATCGCACCCGACTCCACCGACAAAGGAATTAGAATTGGAATTGGAATTGGAATTGGAATTGTTGACACTGGCGACGATGTCGACTCTCGCAAAGGCCAGCCTTAAGCATGTCAGCCAAAATCATCGGCCCCAGAGCAGGGCCGCCCCTGTTGCTTCAGTAGATCACCAACGAACGTTCACATGCTTTTCGAAGTTGCCTACAGAAATGAGGTTCAAGATATGGAGACTGGCTGCACCTGAGCCACGCAACATCGTTGTCGGAGTCAAGTACCGCCCCGCCTTGTTCGGCGAACAACTGAACACCTACGCCTCCACATCATGGCACACCACCGGAATGAGTCCAATTCCCAATACCCTCCATGTCAACCGCGAATCTCGCCGTCTCACACTAGAGAGCTACACCCTAGTATTGGGTACGAGTACCCTCCCTCCAAGTGTATCCTCTGAATCCTTTGGGAGAATCTATGTCAATTGGTACCGTGACACCATCTCTCCGATAGGCATGAGCAAACTCCAAACTAATCCGATCCCTGGATTATTCGAGCAGGCGAGAATTCAGAACATCGCTTTGAATGTTCGCGAACTGCTCAGTCCCATCAGGGAACTACGCTCAGACGGATGTTTAAACATGCACTCGTTGTTTGAGCTTCCCAATCTAGAGGAAATCATATTCTATTATTCCGATCGGCCAAGCGACGTTGTAGAAAGCACTCGGAGTTTCTGCTTGGAGTTCGAGTATCTTGATGAAAATTTTATTGTCAAGGATCTCTGCAAGATGCCGTTGAGCGAGCGCCCGTCTCTGTCGTACCTGTTAGCTGCGAGGAAGACTGTTCACAAGGACTACGATGTCTTGGTTCAGAAGCGGAAGGTCCGAGATAATCTAGAGAGGATGGGGGAGGAGGTTCCAGTCGAGCTACGAAACAAGGAGATTGACGGAATCTTGGAAAGGAAACGACCTACCGTGAAGCTGGCATATTTGGCTGTGAATTGCAGGTCCAGTCACTGAGCAGATCCCACCGTTAGAATGATCTAGCTACACGGTTTTGTCAGACTAATAAGCATTAGTGCCCAACCGCGGTAGTGATATTGAATTTGAAGGGTCGTCTCTTGGAGGTAACTTATCATCGAGTGGCATAGACTCTCATGGATGAGATAATGTCCTGGGCTTCCTATACACGGTACAAGGATGGCTCTGGACTCCTTCATGGGTTTCAGTCTGAAAGAAATGTTTTTAAGCATCTATTCTATGACTAGTTGCCGAAGATGAAGAGAACCAAATAGTGGAGGCATTCTATTTCCATGTCTCTTCTTTTTGTAACAGCGCCTCTCTTTGGAGCCTCTTGCACATAGTCACTGATACTTTAATTGCCCCTGTTCACCCAAACGGTCGCTGAAACCCGAAGTTCAAGAGCAGCAATATTTCACTCAGTAATTTTCGAAACTTCTACTATTGTGCTTTTGGTAGAAGTTCTCGAACATTGATAAGTTGGTTTTGTCACTTGTTATGAGCCAGTGATGGATGTTATACATATCAAGTACTTCAAAGCCAACTTGTTTCGGTGTCCAACGCTTGAGAATAAAATCAGATGAGTAGAAATTGAGCAGAGGTACTTCGCTTCTACCTTACCCGGGGCACTCCTCAAATATCCTGCACCTTTCCAACAACCACGCCCACCTCTTTGCCCCCCACTCCAGCTACTTCATGGCACACTATACCCGCCTCACTCTCCAGCAAAAACACCTCATAAACAGCCTGTTATTCGTCGCAAGTACGGTCAATATCGGGTATCTGCTTCATTTACCCCCACACATGTGCAGCCAACGAAGATGTTTTTTCAGCCTGGTCATCTTTCTTCTCAAGAATACCGTCTGGATCGTGCATTGTTCATAAGAGCCACTGGGGTAGAAGGGTTTGGGAAGGTAGAGTGGAAAGAGACGGGGACAGGATGATGTACGGAAAATGGATTGCTATTAGGTGTTTCCCTTCGCTTGTGGAGTCCAGGTAAATGATCTGTACTACTTCCAAGGGTGGAATTACTGTTGTACGTTTGCCTTGCATGTTTCTTATAAGTGTTCACGGCGAGACAAGTACCCAAGCAGCTTCGTATGAACTACTTTTATGCCGTGGGACAAAACTATCGAAGAAAGTTGGCGCCATACGGAAATTAGAGAAGCTGTACAGGCCTCAAGATTGGGGGACAATCAACTACAGCTTGTACAGGGCAGTACGATGTCATTCTCTGTGGAAATCAGATATGGCCATTCTTTTGTTTGTACAACTTTCCCATTATAATCATCATCGTCATCATCCAACCAGCCGCAACTTCCATAACATAAGAAAGAAAACCGAATAGCATGATAGCTAGATGCACCCCAGGAGCCAAACAAACCCGCGAACGCCATGCAGATTATGCAGATGCAATGAATGTTACAGCGTCACCATTATTCCTCGTCGGATTCTTCCTCGGCAACCTGAATTAGTTGTCAGTCATTGTTTCATGTCTCATTTTAATATTGGAACTTACGTCGTCGTGGAAAGTCTTTCCTTCGGTGGTCTCCTTAATCATACCAATTCTGATGACGAAGTCACCAAAATGCTCGCCTTTCTTTCGCTCCAAAGAGTATCGCTTCAAGAGAGGCTTCATAATCTCCAAGATCTCGTCCTCTTTTATGCTGCTTCTGTACAACTTGTTCAGGCGTTGACCGTGATAGCCACCACCCAAATACATGTTGTAAGCACCATAAGCTTTACCAACGAATGCAACTTCGGCCAGCCAAGGACGAGCACATCCATTGGGGCACCCTGTCATACGCATGACAATCGAGTCTTGCTTCAGGCCATTCTCTTCTAGAACACCCTCTAGCTTGGTGATGAGTACAGGGAGGTATCGCTCACTCTCAGCCATAGCTAACCCGCAGGTTGGAAATGCAACACAAGCTGAGGATGACAGCCGAAGGCCGGAGAATTGAATATTGTCAAGTTTGTACTTGGCCATCAACTCCTTCATCTTTGGCACGTCGGCATCCAAAACGTTGCTGAGTATCAAGTGCTGATTTCCGGTCAGGCGAAATTCGCCCTTGTGGACCTTGGCAATCTCCCGGAGACCAGTCTTCATAGGGAACTCGGCAGTGTCTTCGATACGTCCGTTTTCAATGAAGAACGTGAAGTGATTCAGTCCCGTCTCATCCTTGAGCCAACCGAAAGTGTCAATGTTGCTTTGGAACTTAAAAGGCTTGGGCTTATCAAAACTCTTGCCCCATAGCTCCTCGACCTTGCCACGGAAGACATCAACCCCCATGTCGTCGATGGTGTACTTTAGACGGGCATGCTTGCGATTCTTTCGATCACCATGATCACGCTGGACAAGCATGACCTTCTCACATGCAATGTGGACTTCGTCTTTTGGTACAAAGCCGAGCATGCTACCTGTTCGGGGATATGTCTTCTTGTTGTTGTGAGTAACACCCATCCCGCCACCAGCAAGAAGATTGAAGCCAGTGAGATGACCATCTCTACCCTTGCAAGCAATCAAACCAATGTCGTGCGCGTATACATCGGTATCGTTATGCGGGGGGATTGCTATGGTGATCTTGAACTTTCTTGGCAGATATGTCGGGCCATACAGAGGCTCAAAGTCCTGGACAGCATGGCCTCCAACCAGTGTCTTCTTGTCGTTGTCATCCTTGAGCCAAATCTCGTGGTACGCAGTGGTAGAGGGAAGGAGGTGGTCAGAGATCTTTCCTGCACAAGCATAAACCTCACTGTGATATTTCGAAGCTGTTGGCAAACTGCTGCACATGACGTTTCGATTCACGTCACCACAGGCAGCAATGGTAGTCATCAAGGCTTTGTTGATACCTCGCATGGCCGACTTCAACTTGCCTTTGACAACACCATGAAATTGAAAGGTTTGACGTGTTGTCAGCTTCATGGTCTCGTTTCCAAAGGCATTGCTGATGTCGTCCATCTGTATCCATTGCTTTGGGGTTGACACTCCACCGTCCAATCGGCATCGTATCATGAAAGAATAGGCAGGCTCAAGGCCCTGGGCTTTTCTCTCATCACGAAGATCGCGATCGTCTTGCATGTACGTGCCGTGGAACTTCGTCAGTTGCTGATCGGAAGCTGATATGGCTCCGGTGCTCGTGTCAAGGAGACCTTCCGCGATAGTGCCACGGAGGAAGTTCGACTCAATCTTGATGTCTTCGTTCGTTATAGGAGGAGCCTCTTCTGGCAACCCCTCCACTTTATCAACACCAAGGGCTTGCCAGATGAGTGGCTCCCAATTTTGATACCCAGTCTGGAATCCATCGGGGTCTTGATCGTCGCCCAATCCAACCTCCGCAAGCCGCTTAGCACCAAAATTGGCAAGGACACGGTCAAGATCTTTTCCAGGCTTATTGTAGTAATGTTTATCTTCTTTCCGAGGCCAGTAATGGCTGTCACCGAGAGCGAAAACGGAGTAGTTGACGGTTGCGAGGTCAAGCTCGGTGTTGTCCTTAATGGCATCCCAAAAAGCACGACCGTTCTGAGGAAACTCACCCTGACCAGCAGTAGCACTCACAAAAACAATGTTCTCTTCCTTAGGGAGATCCTCGATAGGATAGTCCTCCATTGCCATCACCAGAGTCTTGAGACCACGAGCCTTTCCTCTGTTTCCGAGTCGCTTGGAAAGGTTCTCGGCGTTGCCATTGTCAGAAGCGAAAAGGATTGTCAGAGGTGCCCCGTACAGACCTTCAAGAAGCTGATTGTAAGCATCCTTAGCCTTACGCTTCTGTAGCTCCCGTACTTCGCTCCCATAATCCTGTGCCAGGCTTGAAGAGAACTCTGGGCTAGCCTTCATCAATTGTGTAAGATGATTATCTCGTGCCAAGAATTCTTTGAGCTCGTTCTTGATACGCTCCGAATCCAGTGAGAAACTTGGCTCTCCTCGATCTTCGTTCTTTGGGTTCCATCTGTAAAGTGGCCAGTATCCGAAATCGACAGCTTTCTTGGTCTCCTGAAGAACAGTCAACGGAGAGTCGTTCTCCTTGAAATATGGCAAGTAGGCCACAACAACTGATGGGCCGTCAAACTGGTCGGCTTCAATCATGGCCTGTAAGACTTGGGTGTATGAGCTGTACACAGCAACAGAGGCAACATATGCATTACCATAGTTCATTGCGTAGAGACCGATATCCTTCTTCCGTCGAGTGGCATCATTGGCTCTCCCTTCTGAGTATGGAGTAGAATCGATGATGAGCATATTAACATTCTCTCCAGATGCAATGACATGGTGAACACCAGAATTACCCAAGTCATAAGCCCATGCATCGGACCCAACAAGCCACTGCGACTCCTTTCGGAACAGACCCTTCTTTGAGAGCAGACTCTGAGCAAGGGGAGAGCCATCAGTTTGTAGTCGCGCAATAATGTCTTCTGCCAACTCGCTTGACTTCTCATCGTTATTGACGATTGACGCCCACTTGGATAGAAAAGGCTTTACAGACTCGGTGATGAAACCTCTCGACGTAATAGCCTGCTGAACCTCGTCAATGAACCGTTGGCGGTGCTCCTTTCTGGCTATCAGAGACCCAAATCCAAATTCAGGAGATGATGCAATAGTTTTGGAAACTCCAGCATTTTGGGAATCAAGAGCATTCGCCAAATACAAGTTCTGCCCAAAGATCTGGTCCAGAATTTTTACGTAGGCGGACTCAACAGTCGGTTGGGATAGCTTGTAGGCCTCTTGCGATTCCACAGGTCCATCCGAATTGCCAACCTCAAGGTTCTGAATTGGCTTCTCGGACTTCAAGTTTTGGAATACGCCCCGGAGAGCTTGCTGGATAGTCTTTGCTTCGATGAAACCCAACTGGTGGCCCACAATAGTTTCCACGCCACCACCTGGTGCAGATTTGAGGGTTGTCAGAAGATCCAATAAAAGAGGGCCCCATTTTGTAGTCTTTCTTCTGATTTGCTCCAGGACTGCGATTTTCTTGATTGACTTTGGGATTGTCTCAATAAGTTTAGACCCTAACCAAGGTCTGTATAACCGCGAAGTAATTATGCCTGCTCTTGCATAAACTTCGTTCGATTTGGCAGAACGAATGGCTTCCGTAAATACTACAACGTCAGAACCGAAAATGAAAAGTGCCGTCTCTGCATTTGATGGTCCAGAATACTGGAATGGGGTATATTCGCGTCCGAGACTATCCTTGATCTGCGCCCAAATACCAGTCACGAAGTCGTAGATGTCGTCCGAGGAAACTGGTCGGATAGTGGAGGCTTCGACAGTGGTGGCGGAAGAAGCACTAGTCTTGCTGTCTACGCTGCTTTCGCGTCCTGCGTTTGACGACCCCACAGAAGATGCTTTAGAAGCCGCTTCCACAGGAGTCTGGATCGCCGCAGTAGATGTCGCCTCAACTCCTTCCATGGCACCAGAAATCGGAATGGCAGAAGTCTCTGTAATTGCCGCGACTCGCCCATTGTCGGCGTATATGCTTGTGCCACCAAGTTTTGTGCTTTGGTATGCCCGGACAGCGTCAATGTTCAAAATAGCCTTCACAGCGTCAATGTTCTCGAAAGGGATCTGGGCGCCCTGGGCAGATGATCCAGCGTCAAAGAAATGTATGACACCCTTCCCAGACTTGATCGCTAGCGCATGAGCTGTCAATGCGATATCTTGCGCCTCCTGCAGAGTCTCGGATTGGAGGAATGTGAAGCCAGAATTGCGAATAGAGGTGATCGCAGAGTAATCGGGATAATGCGCAGGTTGCAATGAGACGTGGATGACTATTGGAAGGTTTGCGAGTCTGTAGAGGTGGGGCACCGATGAGACGAGGATGGACGAGCTTGTGGTCACAGTGACCAGCTTGCCATTTCGGATAGGAGTAAATACTGAGAGAAGAGGGTCGGCATTGTGTCTGACTACTTGGATCTGAGGAAACGATACATCAGCAAGATCAATTGAGTTTAGGGGTTTTGTACTACCAACCTCGGGAACTGAGCCGTCAGTCGTCGCAACCAGATTGGGGTCTTTGCGGCCAGCGTATCTGTGCAGATGTGATGAGAACTCGGATTCGATTGACTGTGCCGGTTGTACAGAGACGATCACATCACTGGATAGGTATGCAATTCGTGCCACTATTCCCACAGACAGTCAGCGACAAGTACGCACGGAGAAGAGCAGAGGCGGCAGATGCTGTGACCTACCAGCTTCTTCGGCAGTCCGAATCTTGTACGTTGGAGCAGCCATGTCTTTGGCTTGAGAAACCCTCCACTAGGATTGGGGGTGGAGGTAGGTGGGAGAACGAGGAGAAATTGAGGTTGAAAGCAGAGGAGAGGTAGAGGTAGAGGTAGAAGGAGAAAAAGAGGCAGGCTTGCGGAATATGAAGGACAATTTCTTTCACCTCTATTACACCCTCTCGGCCCTAGCCTAAGGTTCTGGGGGCGAAACTCGGAGAAGTGCAGGGGTGCAACAGCTCCAAGCCAGCCAAAGACCTCACGACAGATAATACAGCGACGGTGAGTGGTCTAAGGCAGAGGGTGTCTGTAGGGGAAAAGGGGGGTTGGTCTGGGGTGACGCGACACATAGGGTTAGGTTTCATTCTGGACCACCACCTTTTGATAGCCGATCTCAACTACTCGAGCACGCAATTACTACTGGCACGACCGCAACAAATTCTGCTACACCATTGCTCCGAGAATTCAAAAGCCGTCAAGCGCAGAACAAGCCAGGCATTTGAACTTGTCTGTCACTGCGGATGATATGGTACCTCCTCCTGTTCGTTCTTCTACTTAGAGAATATCATATTGGCAGTTACATGTTGTTTTTATGTGTTGATTTGAACTTATGCGTCGTCCACTACATCAGCACTTACACAACGAATCACCATATATCATCAGTAGAACCCACGCAATAGCATGGTGCATTGATACCAGGACAGTAATGATTGGTTTGTAGGTCTTGTTGTACTCATGAATACATAAGAAGACCGGTATTAGCCTTCGGGATTTGATTGTTCTCAAAGTCATCCGCTCGTTGTATGGCCCAGAACCAGCCATAACAACGTGATAATGGGCGGCTTGGTGCTCGAAGCTCTAGACATACAACTCAAGGACAATTAGTAGCACGTCACCAGCATAGTCCCTTGCGGTGTATGATCGTAGAGCCTTGCACAGTAAATGCAACGATTTTGATAATCCAAGCTGGGTTGGTTCTATCACTTGGCGTCCACGATGCTAAACTCCCTGTGGTAGCAAACTTCCATTCATATACATTCCATTACTGTCCAATCCATTATATGTCTACCCAACCGGCAATTTCTCCCCTTTCAGAATGGTCACGCCAGTACACACTTGGAAATGTTCGATCCAATCGAAGCCCAAGCCCCTTGTAACGCCTCTCACTGAGCCATACGTTCGCTCTCGCTATCCAAACATATCTGTGGGACCTAAAATGCATTTCTGCTGTACAGATGTCTCGAATGCTCATGTTTCCTTTCTGTCTCCTCCTATGAGGCCGGAGTCATGTTCCTCCGTCTCCTATAGCTTCCCCATGTTGAGTCTTGGAATGGGCGGTCCAGTGCCACTTCTTGCCCGTCTTTCCCTCTCCAAAGTGCCCGGTGGACCTCCAGACAGCTTGCTTGTTTTGAACCTTCCATCGAGGCCTTTAACCCAGTCATCGTCGGCCTGTCCACCAAGCCAGTAGCTCTCGCAAATCATAATCATGATTCTTCCCAACTTGCCTCTCCATCCAGCACCTGCAGGCGATCCGGCTGCAAACGGATTGTCCGATCTCCCCTCAGATACCCCTTCCGTATGGAGATGCAATTTTACTGACGAAGTTGTGTACATGTGCTGTCTTAGAACTTGTCTTGCGTATGCCATGACAACCAGAATGAAGTACGCGCGGACCATCGTTAACATGACGACGACCATGATGCTCGGTATACTCTCTTCTATTCCAACTCCATGTGCCAGACTTGGATTTGCCCGTGTCGTAGCTGCTGCGCCAGCCAGTCCATACGCCACAGCGTCCTGGCCCCCCGTAATTCCTTCGCCGGGGGTCGTCGATACACCGACCTTGCTAACGTTGTATTTGGGGCTGGTGAACCCGGCTGTTTCGTCCACTGTGGTACCTCCGGGTGCGTTGCTTGGGAGGCTCATATTCGCGTTATCGGCACTTACGGCGAGGAACCAGGTGATGGCGAAGGCAGATGTAAAGGCCGTATTGATTACAGTATCAAGGAGATAGAACCATGCGAGTGCCAGGCATTCGAACGGGCTCTGTTTTCGGATATGAGGCATCAGGAAGGAGATGAGGCCAAGGGCGCCAACGGAGTAGATGTACATCGAGAGTTGAAGAGGGGAGAGCGAGACTCCTGTGAGGATTGCGAGCAGGCCGAAGAAGCCGGTGAGTTTGTTGAAGATTACTGAAAGCGAGACCATCTCAACACCAGTCCGCAGGCTCATGAGGTACAAAAAAGTCTGTTGGCATGATCAGCATCCTGCGCCATATTGGAATGCAGATTCAGAAGGCACTGCCTGGGCAGTATCAATGGAGAAAGTTGCAACATACTCTTGGGCGAGGAACCCGTAAATATCGCGAAAGGATACCCATCTTGAATTTTCTGTTTCGCAACGAATGCTCTACAAGGGGTTTGCAACGATTTTGCGAGGGCTGGTGGAGGAAGAAAAGGAGGAAGCGCGACCGAACATGGCGCGACCGGCATGTTCGGTCAAGAGCTGATCTTCGTCATCCATGCGACTCTTGGCACCCCTGGCAATGGCAATGTAAGCTTGAATCTCCTAACGGAAGGCTGAGGGACTAGGACAAGGAATCACGGGGAACATGGACGTAAATAACTTTATTATTGCATACTACAGTATGTAGTTGCGCTAACCTTATTTCTATTCATTGTTGGGTGGCTGATTTCTTTTGACTTGCCATTGAGTGAGTTTTGCTGTCCCCGGTCCTGGGCTGCCATCCAATTTTTTCGCTTGCTGTTTATCTTCCAGAGTCACGAAGGCCAGCAGACGACTGAGAGAAAGAAACAAAGTTTCGGTATTACTAGATTACAACCACAAAGGACGCTTTCGGTATCATACAATGCTTCCAACCCATACAACGCTATGCTCATATCCCTGAAAACGATCACTATAAAACAGAAGAGTGAAAATAACCACTGCACTGCTTCCAGCTTCCACTCGCTTGGTCCTGTAGTCCAACAGGTGGACAGCCAACATTCTCCTCGCGCGATAGTCTAGACATCGAGCATCACCGTCGACTCCAACTTTTCATCGATTTAGCAGGCACACCCTTCTTGGTTTGCCGGCGTGGGGTTGATGTTGACATCAATCACTACAGTTATATCAGCATATCTGTCGAGATGTGGCTATCCACAAACATACTTTGGTTACCAGCTGCCGTAGGACCTTCTGCGCCATCCATGCCTGGTAAAGCTTGTGCGATCCTCCTGAATAAGTTCTTAACATTATGACCGACCTTTGCACTCGTTTCAATAAACATCAAGTTGTTCTTCTTAGCCTCTTCCTCGCCCTGCTGAGTGGTAACTTCGCGCTTGTCGTTCAAATCTGTCTTGTTCCCTACCAGCACAATAATCACGTCGTTTCCTCGTTCGCCTCTCACGTCGTCGACCCATTTCCGTGTGTTTTGGAACGATTTAGCATCTACAGCTTGTCAGTACGCGGTACTGCTAAGCCTCATTTTCCATCTTACTTGAGATGTCGTAAACCACCACTGCCACACTGGAGTCTCTGATGTATGATGGGATCAGACTCCGGAACCGCTCCTGTCCTGCTGTATCCCATAATTGTAGTCGTACTGTCCGATCCTCAAGGTACATAGTCTAGCCGGGTCTGTCAATATGGTCCCTCACTTGTCCCTCAACACCTCGTGCATGGTATGCTTACTTTTGAAAGGAAATCGATACCAATGGTGGCCTGATACATGTTGTCGAATGAATCGTACATGAATCGTGTGATCAGAGAAGTCTTCCCGACTGTAGATGCAATCAGCCATGTATTAATCACGTCATGAAGGGATGCGCTCCATACCACTCTGTTCGCCCAGAAACACCAGTCTATCTCGCAGTTAATCCACATGTTGTAGGAGCAGTTTGGCGCAGCGAGTACTGACTTGAATTTCTTCAATGGGTTGTTGTATGAACCGGCTGCTTGTGCCATGTCGTCTGTGTCTGGGTGGCGATTTCGTGGGATGTGGTTGGGAGCCCAGATATATTGGAGTGATTGAATTGTATCCTTGGTTTCGTGGACTCGTGATTTTCAGCCGGGTGGGTACTGTTGTTGAAAGTTATGGACGTGTGAGCCGTTGAAAGAAAGGAGAGCATTGGAACTCTCTGTTGTCAGTGAGTTAAGTCGGGTCCGGGTCGGGGAGTCAACGTCCGGGTCCCAGGTCTTGGCGAATAACGCGGCTAAGGAGATAAGATTGTGCGGATAAATTTTAGAATATTTTCAACCTTCCCATGCAGCATCTGAACCCCAATAGCATACTCGACTTTCCACGCGATTAACTATCAGCATGCCGATAATCAAGCCTGTCAACGCTTCTCCTGGACCGCCCCAGCAGCATAAACAACCTTCACGAAAGGGAAAGAAAGCATGGCGCAAGAATGTCGACGTCACGGAGATTCATCAAGGCCTTGAAGAAGTGCGGGAAGAATTAATCAAAGGGTATGGAATCCAGTTGCACGTGGTGACTAATTGATTGACAATCACAGTGGTGTAATTGCTGAGAAAGAGTCAGCCGACCTGTTCACCCTCGATACTGCTGGCGATGTTGGCATTCAGAAGAAGTACCTGAAAGGATCCAGACCCCTCAAAGCCGACGAAATTATTGCCCAGCGATCGGTTGTGCCCTCAGTGTCAATGAAAAAGCGAGCTGGTGAAAACACTACAGACGGCATCATCCAGCCCAAGCGGCAACGAACAAGCTATGTTTCCCATAGGGAGCTTACTCGACTACGTAACATCGCCGATGGCAGACAGAGCGAGTCGCTGGTCGAAGTGACAGAAGCCAACTACGATCCGTGGGACCTGCAAAAAGATATCGAAGAGGCAAAACAAGATCCGCGATTCTCTTTCCTAGAGAAGTCCAAGAAGAAAGTTGCCCCTTCAACATTAAAGCACAAACCCATTTCTTTGGCGGCAAGCGGAAAGAGCATACCTGCAGTCAAAAAACCAGAAGGTGGCTACAGTTATAATCCTATTTACGAGGACTATGAGAATCGACTAGTCACTGAGGGCGAGAAGGAGCTTGCAGCGGAAGCGAAGCGTCTTGCAGCCGTAGAAGCCGAGCGTGTAAAACTCGAAGCATCAGCAAAATCAGCAGCGGAGGCGGAAGCAGCAGAGGCAAGAGCAGACATGTCAGAATGGGAAGAAGACTCTACTTGGGAGGGTTTCGAGAGCGGTACTGAAGGTGTAAAGCTGAACGCTAAAAGGCCCGAGCGAAAGACGCAAGCCCAGAGGAACAGGATCAAGCGCCGGAAAGAAGAAGAGAGAAAGGCGAAGATGGCTGCGGACATCAAGAGAAAGAATGAGCAGACTGCACAGGTCAAGAGGATTACGAAGGCGCTGGCCGATAAGGAGGCCATGAAGGCAATTGTTGCGGAGAATGATGATGATAGTAGCGAAGGCGATGATCTGGAATTGAGACGAAGAAAGCTGGGAAAGATCGCGTTACCTGAGCGGGACCTGGAGCTCGTTCTCCCAGATGAGTTGCAGGAATCATTGAGGCTGTTGAAGCCAGAAGGTAATCTATTGAAGGACAGATATAGGAGTCTTCTGGTAAGAGGTAAAGTTGAAAGTCGGCGACCCATCAGCTTTGCGAAGAAGCCAAAGAGGAAGGCGACTGAAAAGTGGACTCACAAGGACTTCATGTTGCATTGAAGCAGATGTATGGATAGTCAGAGACCACAAAGCGTATTCTGTATCGAGATCAAATACTGTAACCACGGTTTCAGAGGTTGCCACGTTCATGTGTTTGATCCGGCCAACTTTGGCTGGACCACTGTGCTCAGTGTGACTGAAGATTATAAAGATTCATGTACTGGAACGTTAACTCAACTGGACTTCTGGGATCCAGAAAATCCAAGGTCTACGTACGCTGAACTATCGACTAGCATGTGAATCCATGGGGGAGAGAAGCCCTCCGAGCAAAGCGTCTTTGGAATCACGAAGTGCCTCACTCTTTCACCACCTTAACTGCACTGTTCAAGCCCGGTTCACTAGCTCTTTCGACCAAATATCAAAATGGGCATAAGTAGAGTCAGCACTGATTGAGCAAACTCGCTGTTTGTAGGAAGAACTCACGACGTGAACGGTTTTCGGCATTAGTTGATCCTTGCTCTTGTTCCCAACTAGCGCCACATTCCCTGCAAGTCAGGGGCTTAAGCGAGGCAGACCAAAACAAAACAAACAAATTATAGCACGATCTATCACAACATATATTTCAATTATACTTGTCTGGAAGTTCTACGCAAACCTATCGATTAGTATCAGTTAGTCTCGATTTTCTACTCAATACATAAAATGGACACAGCGCGACACAGCGCAGGAGAAATGACTTACCAGTTGATGGCATCAACCTGCGCTAGAAACGAGATGACTTGGGCACATCAGCAATAAGCGGCATTTTTAATAGCCTGACCACAGTGGTAATTTTTGACATTCTGAGTGTTGGTGCTGCTTTTTAAAATTGGGTCTTGTCAAAGGCAGTGGAATCTCGTCCATGCCGCACATATCGCATGTGTTTTTGAAAATAGCTTGTCCGCGGGGCCAGGATAGATAACATCTGTGAATTGGCAGTCACAATTGACTAAGTTGTTTGGCTAAGGTCGCTACCTATGTTGAAAAGTGTGCCGCCAGGCTTGATGTGTATTTCCGTCTGTAGGATTAGGGGCTGAAACTTTGAAGGCCTGTCCAGTGATCATCAGGTCTGGATCAGGCAAGTCATTATTGAGATCATCCAGTGCAGAAAACTAAACTCCGTACTTCAGAGCCAGACATTACATCGTGTCTCCAGCCCGAGCGGTATGGCTTTGTGCCAGCCTATGACTGACTGCTTGACCGTTGTTGATCTCGTCTGCATTCACTAGGTCACGCCAAAACAGTATCTTCTCCTGTCTTACAGCTCTCAGCTTTGATCTCAAGGTCTCACCTAAGTGTTCTTCGTATTCAATGGCAGCTGGGAGTCGGAATTTTCATTAGGTATCGAAAGGTCCATGGGGTCAATCCCATCAGATTCGTCAATGGCCAGGTAGTAAAGCTGATCAATTTCCCACTTATATAGAAATCGTACGTTCTAGCTACCTCGGTAATAGTGTATTCATCTAAACTCTCTGCGCATACCATAACATAGTACAAATAGCTTATGCGAAGATCGTAGAAGTCGATTTCAATTCGCATTGAATGCCAATCGTATTGCAAGTGGCCGCACAGCAGCAAAGCTTTGAGCTTGTCCAATGTATTAAGTTCTGGTTGCAAGGAGTAAGATCTTACATTGCAGTGCGGATTCTGAAGAATCCTCAGGATGCGTTGATTCGATATTATCCAATGATAGCTTGTTGCTCTGTCTTATTTGTTTGTTTCTGGACTCGGCGACAAAGGCAATTGGTCGATAAGGTCGTTTACCTGGTAGGGCATCTTTTGATGACCATGATCCAAACGTTGAACGTGAGACATCATTATATAATCTCCGTGACTTAGTGACCAAAGTCGACGGGGATGTTGAGGTAACCTGAGGTGCTTTTCTTTTCTCAGCAGCAGGAGTAAATTGTAGATTTTGGGTGCTTTTACGATGAGTAAATGTGTCATCCTTCTTACTTCCAGATCTGATATTGGTCTTCAGCACGGTTCTAAATGGAATGGAAGTGTCACACTTTCAGTCGCTTGTGTTTGTGACACTGCTGAGTCAAATCTAGACACCAGTCGACTTTCCCCAGACAGCGCAACTAGGGAGAAGATAAACCGCAGATTGTGATGATTAGTTTATTTCTACATTAAATGCCGAAAAGTTCTTCCCGACATTATCGTCTGGCCCACCTAAGATGCGCGAACAAAGGGGAAGTTGCTGATATTTTCGGTCTTACAGGAACTTTGTTATCAGAATGAAAAGGATTTGATGAAGGAAACGATGGTCCCAAGTTTGTGTTTCCCCGCTTGACGACCGATGCCGGACCAGTCGGTGACATGATACTGAAAGTTTAAATGGGGATAGAGATTTTGGATCGATTTTGAGCCACATTTACAAGAATACGAGTGGTAGCAGCGTCAAATTGTCAATAGGAACAGTCGTTGATACCGATGCAAGTATCCAGGGCCTTCCAAGAAGCAGGACGAGTTGAAGACATGATAGCTGATAGCTGTGTCGATCGCCGTATCAGCAGACCGATCGGTGGGTGGGTGAAAAGCAAAATGAGACGAAGAGAATGTAATGATTGGTATATAACACTTAGCAGAGCGTATTCTCTTAAGGGCGAACATGGTGGTCTTTTGGCCCCGATAACTTATTTGGTGTGAGCTCTATCTCAGCTATCGCTACAGAGAAGCTGCCAACCCCACTTGACACTCTGCCACCGGGAAACTAGGCTCAATGTCATGTTGGCCTGTCGCAGGTACGGTTACCCTTGCCATGGGCGCTCTGGTTCGCATTTTCGCGTCTGACGTTGCCGGAAATAAATAGATAGAAACTGTTTGAGGGTAATTGGCAAATTTGTATGCTATCAAGTTTTCTTAATCACAAGTGCGTGGTAACTTCGAAAAGAGCGGCGCTCTTGGAAGTCTGCATTTGTCGTTGAGCAGTGGCAGTCGCAGCGCTCTGCTGTGATAAGGAATCCAGTGTTCCTCCAAGTTGCAAAGCACTGTAAAGGGCAACGCAGAGAGAAATATGGCGCGAATAGCCCCTGCTACTCCGTTATTTGAGGTTCCCAGAATTCTGGACAACTAATCTGCAGGAAATTTCACTCGCGATGGCGGCAAAATTACAAGTAGGAACATATTCCATGCCCCATAATTCAGTCTCCAGGGAGGACCCGAAAACCGGAGCTCTATTTTTCTGTTCGAGTGCTGAGGCAGGTTTGTTCGCCTGCTGTTCTGCGGCTTGATCATCCATGCCACTAAACAGTGAGCTGCCAGTGGAATACAACATCTAATATGCATTATCCGTAAAATTATTCAGCTTCTAAGGATGTTTACCCGGGCAGGCATGAAACCATGACGCTGTATGGGTGGGTTAGCGTCGGAGGCTAACGGCTGGACAATTCTTCTAGAAGTGGCACTCATGAAGTTGTAAGTAGTTCGAGAGAACTTTCATCGTCAGCATGAGTGAATGACGACCTAGCAGTAGCCTATGAAGTTGCATTTGGATTGTAAGCCTGTAAGTTATGGAGCGGAAGTTGACCAGGTTATGGTGGAGCTACAACTTACATTCGGAATATTCACGGTGAAATTGCCAAAGAGACATCAGCAAATAATAACGCTACCTCGTCCATCAATGAAGGCTCATGAGTGAGTGTAGCGTCTATAGGCGAAGGAATTTGAGTAGCAGGGCTTCGGTGTGAGGGCCATCCGCGCCAGTCTGACGAAATTAGCAAAGTTGTTGAATAATCCATTGGACAGCGATGCTGTATGCGAGGCTGATGGATCTCTAGTGCTGGATATGGCCGTACAATATAATCACTGAGGTTAGAGATGATGCTTTGAGCCTTGGTAACGTCATCTCGTGGTCATGGGCCTCATGGCCGACGATATCTTGAGCGCAGAAGCTGTCATCTTCGAAGCCGATTCATGACGCAAGATCTTTTCAGGCGATTGTTTAGTGGAGATGTTACGGGCACCTGGCTGGATCCCTGGGAAAGATCTTGAAGGAGCGATCTTTTTGCGATTGGAACAAACCCGTTCGCAATATCCTTCAAGATTGACATGAGAGGAAGCTCTATCTTCTCAGAAGAAAGACTACTGGGATACGCCTTTAGAGATGGCGGCAGTGTGTTCAAGAACCTGGAAGAAGTGGCTGACGTATCGATGCTGTAGCTCCAGTGCACGACCCGTCTTTAGTCTTTGATGCCGGTGAATGGTTTTAATTGCCACTTGGGTTTATCGGTGTCATAGACATTTTACCCTCAAATCAGGTTTACCTTCCTCTGCAGCAGAGCCTTTCCTTGTTCCACGTAGCGAACGCGCATCCAGGCTAGTTGCAGCCGAAATTGATAGCACTTAGTTGCACTAACGTAAGGCAAGCCGCAGGTACATACGAACAACAGCATGATGCTGGCTATTGGACGTAGACGGAGCGCATAGAGAGTCGGGATAACAGGACGTTTTCTCAGCTGCCTTAAATTTTCTGGGGGACCAGGCAAGGGAGGAGCAGAAACTGGGAAAGAGATGTTGGGGAATTGTGGCCAAGTTAAATGGAATGTTAGTTGAATCGAAGTAGTGTGACACTGTGACAGCTTTGACGTGCATAACAAAAGAGAAGGAGGGAAATACCATTCACAATGACTAAATGGCAGCTAAGCTGGATGACGGATGGACTCACACGCGGCTCTTCACAGAGAGAAGTAGGTACTAGCTACCTACATGGTCATGTGTGCGTCTTGGCGAAGCTCCAGCAGAGGCCATTTTGCTAGTAATCAGATCGTAGGTCCTGTGCCCACATGCCAGAACCAGAGTATCGAACTTGTGGCATTGAGATTCAACTTTGAGGCGATAGCTCAGGAACAACCAAGCCAATGATGTTTAATTATCACCGTCGTTTCCAATTCCAAAGAATATCAACAGACCCGACGCGGAGCAAAAGTAGTCTAGGTACCTGCTTCTTATCTTAATCCCGATGCGTCAACAGCCGAAATATTTGCGCTCGATCCACTGGCATCATAAGTTAGTTTTTAGCGTACCCTGTCATTCTTTGGGTATCATGAAGTAAAGATCGCGGGGCGCGCTGAATGGTGCTTGAAGGAGGATACTAAGATGAGCCTAACATACCCTCTCCTCAAAATCAGCAACGATTGTGCAAACAACAACCTTCACTTCTGGGAAAACTTTAGTCAACCTCATCAAGCCCATCCGTCCTGCAAAGTCTGCGACGATCGGTTAGTCATTAATTAATCGCAAGCACTGCAGGAGTAAAGTGCTCCTATCTACTTGACTTGGGAAATAAAGGACTGTCCGAAGAACATACAAGTAACAAATACAATCTTCTCTTCCGGAACTCCATGGTCAACTAGGACCTGCACGGCCATGAGAGCCGCACCGCCACTACTCATCTACCGAGCGCAATATTAGCCCATAAACAATAGCAAGGGAATAAGTTAAGCTGTCGCCTAGGATGGAGGCAGGGAGGCAGGACCCAGCGAAGGCGGAGAATATGATTTTGTGCCACTCACTTGCGGGTCGAGGATCAAGACACTATCGTGACTTTCGATGTGCTCCGGTAATTTCAGATAGTGTAGTTCAGGTTCTCCAGTTCTGACATTGGACTGAATCAACAATCGACCAGTCCGGCAGTCTGGAAGAACTCGTTTCAAGCCTGTCTCGAAAGCAGCACCTGCACGAAGGACTACCATCGATCCCAAAGTCAATAAAACGGATTTTCCGGAGACATGGCAAGTGCCAGAAAGAGTTGAGGTAGGTCAATAATCCGCACGAAGACATGATCGAAGATGGAGAGCTTGGAAACACATACTGACAACCGCACTGGTCTCCCCGGTCGCCTTCAAGCCATGGTACCTGTTCCCAGTAGGAGTTTCTACGATCATCTCCTTGAAGTAAATCCTGTTCATTGCTCTGGCTGCATTCAGCATCAAGTACGCAGATATTGCGAATCATATATTGTTTGACTTACTGTTCAACCAGTAGCGAGGACAGGCGATCAAAATAAAATATGAAGTCCTCCGTAGAGGTGTCTATGTCTTGGATGATGGTATTCATACCCCGAAGCTGTGAAGTCTGCTCCAGCAGAAGCACGTTTCCGGATAAAGGCTCGTCTTCGCTGTTCTGTATCCAGGTCCTGAGTTAATGAATGTGGCATTTCTGTAGTGGTGACATAATCGTAACCATGAGCTGGGCGAGTGGGAATAGAGTTTCTGGTGAGACAAGTTATCAACGTACCTGACCTAGCGTCTTAAGCTCTGCTCGATGAGCTTTGGACTTCTCGATCAATTTTCGTTCAATGTATTGTATTACCATTGCTGAGTGAAGTTAGATTGTGCTTGTACATGTGATGCCGGTATAATTACTAATGGCAACACGATTCTCCACCCCTCGAGGGACGATTATATCTGTCAAAGTTATGGATGGTCGATGGTAGCGTGCTAATGGACGAGCATACCTGCTACTTTCCGTTGTGGCTCAACATATTGCTCAAAATTTGGTTTCACGTAAAGGAACCACTGTTTAATACAGCCTTCAATATCTCTGCCACGTTCGGAGACATCCCTAAGTACTACGAGTGCGTTAGCTAATACTTACAGGAATGGCGGTAGCATACTTCTACGAGATAAGCATGTGTCGGCGTCTGCTTCACAAAATATCTAGTCATACATTTCAGAGCTGCAGCATGACGCATGGATAAGTCGGCAGACCTTCATATCCAAAAGCTCAAGGACCCTTGGATCATACAGCGCAAAAATTCCTTCCAATACTAAGACATGTGGAGAGTAAATAGAGGTTGTTTCCTTCTCTCTTGCGTGCTTTGCAAAAGAGTAAATTGGGATCTCGGCTCTCTTCCTGGAAACAATTCAGCACACAATACTCCGTGGATTTGAAGGAGAGAGAATAGACCCCTCTCCATGGATGCCTTCAGATTTCCAAAATGTCATGGGAAGCGAATCCGTACCCAGCTTTGAGGTCACGCAGTCGGTCGACCAAAACGTCAAAATCGATCGCGTCAGGAGAGTCAAAGTCGTATTCGTTGCGGAAAGCTTTGCGCGATGATTCTTCGTCCAAGGATTTGTAGAATGAATCCTAGGGCTAGTTCAACAATGGAATTGTCATAAAATGGGCAGATCCGTACCATAGAAAGAATCACAACCCAAGGAAGGCTCAATTTCGACACAATAGCGTGAGATAAAGTAGATTTACCAGATCCGGACGATCCAGCAATGCCAATGATGCTCACGTCTGCCCATGGCGGTGAATAGTGAGCTCTTTTGCTCACAATGTCTGTCATCTTGGAGTCCAGACAGAGCCACGCTCAGAGTTCTGTTATGAAGCTAATATGAAAGCTGGGGTATATCATGGCGTGCAAGAAACACCAGAGCTCTTTACCAGTGTAAGCAGCCGATCTGACGGTAGTGAAGAAGACGACGAATAAAAAGAAGATGTGGAAGAAGCTTGGAAAGGATAAGTTTTTGAGATCCAGATTGAGATGGAACTCTTCCTCACCTTCCTTAATCAAGTTAGCGGGATCATCTGAGCTCTTAGCGTCTCGCTTGACCACTTTGACCATCTTGAACTCCATAAAACCAAAATCTCTGTCTTCCTTTCTCCCACAAACACCAGCTCATCTTCACCCATATTTAACAAGTGTTAAAGGCGCAGTGCTGGACACTCCAGCCCTACCGCGCAACGGTTCATGACACATATGGAGGCTAGATGACGGCCACGGCTGCGAGAATGGTGCGTTGCTTCGCCCAGAGCATACCTCTCTCGAGCCGACACTGACCACTACCCAGGCTTCCTCCACAGCTTCAACAACCACCCCATTGCGACATGCCTTCGAGAGACGTGCCGAGGATGTGAAACCACTGAAAAGGTACGTTCTCCTAACGCCATGGCTTGCTGGCCCATATTTCCGGCTTCTCTTCCACGCTTTTGTTAGCAACCAACAACATGATGACTTCAACTGGGAATCTCTCCTAAAAATTACGCATGCGGAGAACATATTTAGTTGTTTATCTGATTTATTGTCTCGAAAGCAATATGCCACAAACACGAAACTCGAGCCTCGAAGATCAACACTGACTTGAATTGCAATAGTGATATCAATGCTCTCATTTTCGACTACCTCACGACCGAAGGCTACCCGTCCGCTGCTGCCAAATTCTCCAAGGAAGCGAATCTGCGACCACGACAGGAGGAAGAGTCATTGAAGGCTCGACGTCAGATACAGCAGTCCATCCACTCTGGCAAAATCCAAGAAGCTATCGAAGCTCTCAACGAGCTTGAACCTCAGGTTAGCATCTCCATTTTCCGTCACATTTCCTTCTCTTTGCTATGATTAGAAAGTTTCATGCACCACTCATATAGCCTTCGGGTCGGTGATGAGAAAAATTATCCAACTTCAGTCCTCAGTATGAGCAAAATACCAAGCACACGTTTCTACGCCGACATGCTTGAAATGTTCGCATGCTAACCATGTCTGAATCAGGTCCTGGACAATAATCCATCGTTACATTTTGCTCTTCTTCGTTTGCAACTGGTCGAGCTGATCCGGATCTACAATGCGACCCCAGGAGGTGACATTACCCCGGCCCTAACCTTTGCCAGTACTCAACTTGCACCAAGGGCACCCACAAATAAGGAATTCCTGGAGGACCTTGAGCGCACAATGGCTCTGCTTATCTTCCCCCCGGATAGTCTGGAACCACCACTTGCTGCACTTTTACGGCCCGAACTTCGGCGTACAGTTGCCGATAGGGTCAACAAAGCCATACTGACAATTCAAAACTCAAGACGGGACGCTGCCATCAGGAGCCTTGTGCGGTTACGGGCTTGGGCAGAGGATGCTGCAAGACAAAGCAAGAAAGATTTGCCATCTCACCTGGAGCTTGGTTTTGATGGGGATGAAAAGGGTACCTCCATCGAGAATGGACATGAGCCTATGATTACATGAGTGCTGAATGGGAGGATTCTAGTGTAAATCCGTAACTTAAACAGGATTGCTCTGGCGTTGGTGAATTGGTTTTAGGGCTATTGTTCGTTTGGACGGAGTTTTCTGGCATAAGGATACCCAGCGGGATGGGCTGGCGCCTAGGATCACAGATTGCGAGATCTATCTATCTTCTGCGATAGTGGAGACGATTAGCATTAGTCTAATACAGTGCAAAATGAAACATGTGCACAGTCATCTACGGCTTAGGCTCGAAAAGCCTTGCAGTCTGTTCGGATTCCTGGGGAGTAGATGGATGTCTCATGGAGAGCAACCTTGCCTTCAAATGCCGTCCCTCCACGCACGAAGGATCGGACTTTTGGAGGATGTTCGACGTTATTTGGAGGTAGCCAGGCTAGCATTGGAATTTTCCTCATTTTTATCTTCTTCTCCGTCAATGGAAGGTCTGCCTGGCTGGTTGGCTGCACAGGAGTGGGTTGTGCGCCGCGTCTTCCGTGCCGCCCAGCCAGTACTGTACTGTACGTACCTGTGGCTACGTCAGCCGCTGGATAAGAAGCTCAGAACGCCCGCTCTCACAAGTAGCCACCAACACCAATATCAACCCCCTTCTTGTCTGCCGCTGTCCCTCTTGCTTCCTTGTCGCTCCTTATTGATTCTCATATCTTCTCCTACAAACATGATAGCCGCATCCTAAAATACCTCTAGCACGGCCTCCGACTCTCAATTGGCACAATGCTCAAACAGCGCGCTCCCACCTGTGTTGCGCGCTTCGGCACCTTTGGAACTGCAACTCGCAGCTCTCTTCTCCTCCCACCACCGCCACGAATAAATGCACATACGAGATTGTACTATTGCCAACGCATATCAATCCGACCTTCACCGTCAGTCTGCCAAGCGCAATGGCGCCAGCGGCTTTTATCCTTCCACGGCATGCGCTTTGTTTCCGGAAAACCGCTTCCCCAGCGACGATCCTGGCTCGTAAACTTCGCATACCGTTCTGCTGCATTGCTTGGGGGCTCTTTCATAGTTTTCGGTGTTGCAGTAGGAGCTTTCTTTCTGTACGATGCCTCGACATACCGCGAGGATCCATCATATAGGGACATTCAAGTATCTGAGATCGCCTTGAGCCCTCGACGAGGTGGCCCCAAGAACCTCCCAATCGCAGAGGTACAGATCGATGACGATGATTGCGCTGAAATGCAGAGGCAGAAGGACAAACCCAAGTTGGTCGTACTAGGAGGTGGATGGGGAAGTGTTGCACTGCTTAAAACTCTGAATCCAGAGGAATACCATGTCACACTTGTCTCGCCTACGAACTACTTCTTATTTACACCTATGCTTCCGTCTGCCACTGTTGGTACTCTAGAGTTCCGGTCTCTGGTGGAGCCTATCAGAAGAATCGTCACGAGAGTCAGAGGACATTTTCTTCGAGCATCAGCAGAGAATATAGAATTCTCGGAAAAGCTTGTGGAGTTGTCACAAAAGGACAACGATGGCAATGAAGTCCGTTTCTATCTTCCGTACGACAAACTGGTCATCGGAGTGGGATCAACCACAAACCCTCACGGCGTCACGGGCCTAGAAAACTGTCATTTCTTGAAAGCAAGTCCGATATAACCAGAAACGTATAGATGTTTGCAATGCTAACATTTTGGCTTCTTTACAGGATATTGACGACGCCCAGAAGATTCGCAACCATATACTCACGAATTTGGAATATGCATGTCTACCAACCACGTCTGACGATGAAAGAAGACGGCTCCTCTCCTTTGTTGTCAGTGGAGGTGGACCTACAGGAGTCGAATTCGCCGCCGAGCTTTTTGATCTCCTCAACGAAGACCTGACCGCCCACTTTCCCAAGATCCTTCGAAACGAGATCTCGGTCCATCTTATTCAGAGTCGGGGACATATCCTTAACACCTATGATGAGGCGCTTTCGAAGTATGCCGAGGAACGGTTTGCCCGTGATCAAGTAGAGATCCTGACAAATTCACGCGTGAAGGAGGTGCGGAGTGACAGAATACTTTTCACGCAGAAAGGGGAAAACGGAGAGACTATCACGAAGGAGCTACCTATGGGGTTTTGCCTCTGGTCCACTGGAGTCTCGCAGACAGGATTTTGCCAACGGGTCTCTGAGGCACTTGGTTCCGTACAATCAAACCGTCACGCTCTCGAGACAGACACTCACCTCCGTCTTAATGGGACTCCTCTCGGAGATGTCTACGCCATTGGAGACTGCGCAACTGTACAAAATAATGTTGCAGACCATCTGGTCACGTTTCTTCGTACTGTTGCTTGGGAGAAGGGGAAAGACCCTGAAACTGTGCAAATTACTTTCGGCGAATGGCGAGAGATAGCCCAGAAGGTTCGAAAGAGATTCCCGCAAGCTGCGGACCACTTGAAAAGATTAGACAAACTTTTTGCTGCGTGAGTGTCGGGGAAGCCCATGAATCTTTTTTGTAGAAACTCCCGGGAGACACATCATCCCATCCGTTCCTTCAATCTCTCCCCACCCGCTCCCAGAAAACCACCCAGAGGACGATTGCTGATGGTACTGCGATTTAGCTATGATAAGGATCAGTCGGGCACGCTTGACTTTGGCGAGATGCGCGAACTGCTGATGCAGATCGATAGCAAGCTCACCTCTTTACCCGCGACGGCACAGCGTGCTCACCAGCAAGGCCAGTACCTTGGTCACAAATTCAATAAGATGGCGCGCGCTGCCCCAGGGTTAAAAGTCAACGACGTCAGCTATGGTGACTTAGACGAGGCTGTCTACAAAGCGTTCGAGTACCACCACTTGGGTAGTTTGGCCTACGTTGGGAACGCTGCGGTCTTTGATCTGGGCGGGGGGTGGAATCTCACCGGGGGCTTGTGGGCTGTGTATGCTTGGAGAAGTATTTACTTTGCTCAGAGTGTGAGTTTCAGAACGAGAATTCTACTGGCAATGGATTGGGCAAAGAGGGGGCTATTCGGCAGAGGTAAGCTTTGCGATCGCATTTGACCTGACGGCCGGCTAATAATAAATAGATCTCATGAACTGGTAGCCCGGGAGCTTTAAGGCAGCATTGGAAGGGATGTGCCCTTTGCTCGGCATAATCAGCAGGTGGATAGACAGCTGGTAGAGCACGGGCAATATATCATTAAGCGCCAGTTGCGAAGTCCGAGGGTACGATAGAGCTTCTGTAGGATGATAATGTAGACAATACAGTGTCATTCTCACTCCCTGTACTTACCTGAAAGTGACTCAGAAATTCCAAACGGTTGTAAGCAGAGCCTTGTGCATCTCATAGTGCTCAAGTTGTGTCTGCAACGGTAAGACTTCGAGTAGTAAAATACTTATGGAAAGCCCTACTGACAAGTATATGTCATGGCACAAGAATTATATCGGCAAAGTAAGCCTCATTAATTCGTGCCCATACAATACTCAGACGGGTACAATGGTCTTGTAGAAACACAGGTTCCAGCCTGGATAACTTCAATTGGCTTTCCAACATCGTCAATCATGCTAATGATACCTGCTCAGTGCTGGAGCTAAAGAGCCGAGGCTTGAGAGTAGAATGAACGTTCTCTTCCCACCAAATTCGCCCCTCAGGTGGCCGGGATGCTGGACAAATATCAAATGTTTTGCCTTCTCGCAATATGGAATGCGAAGGGTGCTTTATGTCATCCTAGCGAACGTGTCAGTAATGGTTTTCCATCAAAAGGTAGCTATGGCCATGTAGAGCTAGATTCAAACTGGATATAATTCCTACCTTGAGCACTATCACAGCTTGATTGACCCCTAGATTGTTGGCAATGTATTTCATCTTCCCGCGAAGATATTTGCGTTCTGAAGGCGATGCAAAGTCTGAGCTTGCAGCAACATACAGAGGCCAAAGCAGGAATATGCTTGCTCGACCTTTCATTGATGCTTGAATCTCGACGCTGTGCTCGAACAAGTTGGCTGTTGCTGGACTTGTCTTCGGCGTCCATCCGAAATACTATGCAGGTCTCATCAGAAGGGTTCTTGATTGTGAAAACTCAATATTCCATGACTGGCTGAAGAACAGTCGCGTTACCGAAATGCAGAGAAAGATCCTTCGGCTTGTGTTGGATATATACAGGTGCACGTACGTATGGGATACTCGAGGTAACATCCTCGATGAGATTGCGGCATTTCCTCGAACCCTCTAAATACTCATCCGTCGTCATATAATCGTAAGGGCCATTCAGCCACGCCATACATCTCAAGATTGTTGACCATATCAAGATCCTGCAGGAGCGTGCAACATTGTATTTATTGGCCATCCACAGATCTCCAAATGTGTAAACTCTGCCTGGATGCACAAGCGATGTGGCAACGTCGGAAGGTTCAAACTCGCTCCAATCGCTGGTTTGAACTACCCAAGAGGATGGGAGAGCCGCGACCCAGTCTGCATATTGCTGATCTAAATGCTTGGCTCTTTGCAGTAGATTGATGACTCGTTCAATGTTCTCTATTGATCGTTCTGCAAGCTTTGTAGCTACTTTATTATCAGCTTGTAATTGCGACATGTCGACGTTCAGTTGTGAAAAGCACTTTTCCCGATCGTCAATCTCAGACTCTATCCATGCGAACTCGGAATCGAGTGGTAGTCCTCTTGCGATGGAAAGTGGAATCTATGGCAAAATTAGAAAGTTCAAAGACAAAGACATTTGTATATATCGTACCATTTGTTCCCGGACTGCAGCCATTAGATCGGATTCATGAGGACTTCGTCTCCGCCCCGCTGGTCTCGCCTTTAACAGGGTCAGTGCTCCGTCAATGTGAGACTTCCAACCTCTAAGAGCCATCTCGGACGGTGTTATTTGCTACGAACATGTCAGAAGTCAAGTATAAGCTGGGCTTAGATGGTCAAATACTCGCCTCAAACTTCGCTAAAAGGAGCACAGAAGCCACTACGGAATCATCCAAGGCCTGGGCAGGATCCCGGAGGGCGAGATTGATTCGACTCAAAGCTTGGAGATACTGCATTCGTGTCTTCGATAGGGAAATGGGGGAGTGTTGATATGTTGCGAGTGCAGCTTGAGACACAGCCGAAAATGCAAGTGGCAAGCATCGACTTGCCTGCGGCGCAGTCAACAGCGGAATCACAAAATCCAGATAACCCTTGCCAGGTCCAGCTTCTGCGATTTTGACGAAATTGGCGATGAAGAAACACTCCGCTTGCTGGTCAATGGGATCCATCAACGGTGTGTGAATGACTGATTCAGGCGAAGAAGCCCGGCGCGAGAAGACCAGCGAATGCTCGTAAGAGCTGGAGGCACGGGACTTCGGATATCCTGCTCCACTGCTCTGGCTACTGGTCCGCGACCGAGGAACCAGCGGGCTTTGAACGATATCTTCCGTCAATTTTTTGCGTGGAGTTCGCGGTTTGTAGCGAAGCTTGTCATCGAACCGATCTCGATATCCAGGGCATGGCTTCTTGTATTTCAGGCATCTGGAGCATTCCGGTCGTCCCTCATCACACTAGAAGCGATCTCGTCAAACCAATCTCCAATAAAGATAGCATACGAAGATCAACGAGCGAGCATTAACGGACCTTTATACGCCTCGTACGGCAGCGACCACATCCTGTCGAAGGCTTAAATGGCATTAGCCGTTGAAGTGGTCGTCGTGAGGTGTCAGATCCAGAAGAACATACTAACCTTGCCAGTGTTCACCATTTCTGGGAAATGACTTGCTATAAGCAAATTGCGTTGGCTGCTTGACCTCGAAGAACTCGGGATGGTCTCAGGTATGATAGATAGCCGAATCCCGAAAGATAGTAACCTGACATCTAAATCCGGAGGAGTTCGCTGGGGAGGCTACCAGTTTTGTACGGGTTGTGTGCAGGTTTAGGACTTCGGAGAGTGGCCCGTTTCTTGTTTCGAAACAACTGTAAAGATCCAAATTTATTGGCAGGTGTTTGCTCACCACTGCTGGATCGTACTCGTGTTTCAAAGAACCGGGTACATCCTCCCCGCGAACGCTGGGACGCTCAAAAGATCTGATCGATGTTCGGTGGGCCATTGACATGATTAGCTTGCGATCCCGGCTCAAAGGTAAATGCCGCGTAGGTAGATATCTGGTAGCAGGTGAAGCAGATTGTGGAAGAGTTATTGCCCGGATTTCTATGTCGCGCTAATGTAGGTCAGAGCAACAAGATCTTCGACGACCGGCGAATGCCACCTACCTACCTATAGGTACCATGTATGAAAGCACGTGTTTTCTGACTTTGTTTTCGTGTTAGCAAGCCTTACAAAATCATTGGCACAGCCACTTAGGAAGTACCTCCGGTGGCCACTAGTGCTATAAGCAGGCCGAACGAGATGATGTCTGAATAAGGTTCGCCCGGCGTATCATTTGCCTGACACTTGAAAACGCTTTCAGACTCTGGCGATACAGTAGCGACACGCCCGCTTGGACGATCTCCTGAAGCTAGAACCACAACAAGAAAAAGAGGACAAAAAGGGAATGATTGATTGAAAATGATTGCATCAATATTGCACCTCAAGGGCACGTATCTTTGACGAGTTTCCACAACCGTAGGCCTGCTCTCTGCACCAGGAACAACGGACAGATGTTGCCACAAATCAACTCTCACAGCTTCCTTGGCTCTTCTCTTGTCCAATGGTCTGGTCTTGCCATCCCTTATTGACGGGGTAATGCAGTCAGAAGCTGCTATGGTGCATCTATTTCCGTGCCGTGTTTTATGGCAGTGGCGATGCTTGGCTAATGCCTTGTATCCTCCATCTCGGCAGCACTTTTCTTCAATACCACATGCTGATTAACTCTTCACTGACTGCGCTAGGTGTCAAGACGCCTGTCTCGGTGATGAGAGCCGAGACGAGGGCAGGTGGCTGTATATGATTAGTATACTCTACAGGGTCTGGTAGGGTTCGACCTACTGTGAAGTCAACGGCATCTACTGCGGTGTTTGGTTTAGGTAAATCAATGTTACCAAAATACTCATCTGTGGGCGTCCGCTCCGCAAACGTCCTCTCATTCTCCGTCAGGTCTTTCTCATCCTCAGTCTGGAATTCAATGACCTGCTGGTCAATACCTAGATCATATTGGCCTAGAGGATAGAGTCGAACGAATTTATGACTAAGGGGGACATTAGTATCAGTATGCAAGAAAGCATCACAGCCAAGAGCCGAAACTCAACGGTATGGGGAAAAACTGCCCAAAACAAGATGTAGACATACCTTTCCGCAGCCACGTAGAATGGTTTCCCTGCAGCCTTCGCAAGTAGCGCAATTTGGTAAGTGCCCAGTCTGGAGATAATGCCTCCATTTTCAACAACACCTTCAGCACCGACGATGACCAGATTAACCTTGCCCATCGCATAACCCACAGCGCCCTCGCTGATTGTAGCAACTGGAACGCCCTTCGCCCTCAACAAAGAAACAACAGCTTTGCTCTCCGAGCTCCGCGCTTGGTTCATCACATAGATGACCTTGAATCTGACATTTCCTCCAGTCTTGCTGGCTTCCGCGGCCTTTCCTAGAAGCGTGCCCACTACTCTCGATCCACCATGTGTCAGAACTACACTTCCATCGCGAACAAAGTCTTTTCCGTACGCAGCGATTCTCTCTCTGGCAGCCTTTGCGCGGCTCACGAACAGCCTCCCATTGCTTAATAAGTGCTGTCGCACTGTCTCGAAGTCGCCAGTACTACTAGGCTTCATTGAACTGATCATATAGCGCTGGAACAAGTCTGTGCCAGCGGAGAGGGAGATCGAGTTGGGGATTCGGGATTTGAGGTAGTCGGACTGGGTTTTGACCAGATCAAGGAACTCGTAGACTGTATCCGCATTTGATTGCACAAGAAGCTCGATCAGGGCCTCGATCGCTGCAACTGGCATAGTAATCTCGGGGTCTTCATGCAGCAGGCGATTGTAGGTTTCGACAATGCTGTACAGTAATGAGTCAGTCATGTTCGCGCGTGTTGTGGGTACCATTTGGTTTGAGGCAGGTAGTTACTCGAAAGATTTAGACTTGTCACTTTGAGGAATGTTGCCTAGAGACGCCATTCTGGTCAATGCGGGGGGGTGACCTGCTAACGGGGGTGGTGTTGTGCTTCCTTCGAAAGTTCGTGATGTCGAAGCGGCTGGAATATATTCTCTCTCGTCAGCGAGGCTACACGATCTACCCATCCACAACCGCACGCGTCCAAGCCGAGCTACCGACAGCGCCGGTGCGACACTAGGGAGGAATCTAAGGCAAGGCGGCCACTGAGAGCCTGGAAGGAAATGGGACTTACAAGAGCTTCCGGGTGAATTCATGATGGGATGGGATGGGATGGGATGGGGGATGATTAGAGTGCAGATCTAGATTGCACAAGTAGATACCGGAAGGAAGGGTTGAGCGGAGAGAAATGAAATGGTCTGGTCTGAAGGTAACCGAAGGGGTGATGCAGTGGAGTATCAAAGGAAAAGTTAGGTGGTGGGTGCGTGGGTGCGTGGGTGCGTGGGTAGGTAAGCTAGAGGTAAGGTACCTTAGGTACAGTTATTGTACCGTAGGTAGGCAGCTATCTTATCTTAGGCGGTCGGATACAGGGAATCTTATTGTATCTAACCTGCTAACCTGCTAACCTTGGAAGGTAGCTCGGGTAGGCACCTAAATTTGCCTGATTTCCATAGGTCACTTGGGCATTGGCAGGGGCCGGCTCCAGGGACATCACAAGGTCGGCGGTCGGTTCCCACTGCCCAGCCTTCGTACAGTAGAGGCCAGCCCAGAAGACCGGTCGCGCGTGCCCGTGCGCTGACGTTGCTGCTGTGGTCCTTCGTTACTGTAATACAGTACGAACTACCTGCTAAGTAGTAGTACGAGTAGGGGACAGAAGTCCGTGCAATACAGGCTGGATCGCTTGAGTGATGAACACTACTCTTTCAACAATTCAGCCTATTTTTATGGTCTTATAACTTTATAACAAATGATACGAAACAATCCTTTCTAATAATAATAATACTACTTTATTGTATACTGATCAATTTGTTGCTTAAGATTTTTCCATTTAAACTTATTAATCTTTTAAATACAGATTTTAAGCTGTTTAAGCCTAACGCACGGACTTCTGTCCCCTAGTTCGTTATTCGTTACCAAGTATCTACCTACCTACCTAGGAGCCAAGCTCTCAGACGCTTCGGTGCGGCAATACCTTACCTCGTCAAACTAGAACTCCAGCTCCAGCTCCAGCTCCAACCCCAACTCCAACTCCATTTCCAGCTTCAACCCTACGTTCAATTAAGCAGGTCAGGCCAAACCACACCTCAAGGTACCGCCATTCACCATATACCCCGTACATACGTCTCGACTGCGAGACCTTCAACAGCATCCACTGCATATTTCCTGAGACTCCTGGTTTCCTGGTTTCCTGGTTTCCTCTGATGTCCAGACCACGCTTTCTCCCGTAGTCGACAAACAACCTATACTTCCTCAACCACCTTTGGTTCAGAATTTTCCAACACATGATTCTTCTGACGATCAATACCTTGGATATCGTCTCCTCTAGCGTTGCGACCGAGACCGAGCCCAGTGCAGCCAGTTGTCTGTCACACATTCCCATGAACCACATGGCAGTTGTTTCCACACCATAGGCTCTGGTTGAGAGGGCGACCTCCACACAACGTAACGCAACGCAATGCCCATGCCACCAAGAATATTCCCTGGCGATATAGAGCTGGGAAAGAGAGATGATGACCATCGGCCTGGGTCGAAAAGTGGTGTGGGCTTGGCAATCGCCTGGCAGCACCGGCAGATGTCACATAAACCCCATCGGAGGACTTTGAAGCGGATCGCCCTGGGCATAATTGCGTTAATTGGACTTTACTACTTCTTCAAAAATATGCCGACAGATCTTGAGAGTCCGAGACAAAGACCTAGTTACGGGCCTACATTGAGTGCCAAACCTCGGCCTCTAAGTACCCCTAAGGACGATACGGTTCCGAAAGCAGGACCAAAGGATATGGTGGAAGTGCCCCAGCATGATTTCAATGGCCCGATCAAATTCTACCACCTTGCCTCTAGTCTGCATGCAGTATCGAGGACACGAGGGTCTGAGCTGGTCAACAACAATGTGGTATGCTGTATTGTGCCTCTGTTCGGCATGCAACTGCTAATTTTGTAGCTCTTTGCTGCTGCAAGTTTAAAAAGTGCCGCAATCCTTCTCCCCATTGCCTGTGACATGGCAATCCGAGAAAAAAACTTTGTTCATTTCGCACTGATGGGCAGAGACGAAATACCCATGGATATACTGCAGTCTGTAAACGGCATCACGAGGGAGTGCAAGATTGTGTTTCATGGTATGCTAGAAGACATGCTCGTGAGGCGCATTCTAATTGTCGTCAGATGCCCGCCCTGATTATTCCAGTCAAAGTTCTGACTTCCGCATGGAAGTTAGTAGCGCAGCTGCTTTTGGACATATCAACACTTTCATACATCCCCAAGCAACTTTGATAGACGGTTCTGGGGAAGAAGAGTCTTGGTTCTCACGAGGTGTTGAGGATCGCGCGATCACCCTGGGTAGGACTGTGATTGAGCTTCCTAATAATGCGGAGAAGAACTTGATGTGGTTGAACCTGCTGGATAGTTCTTCTCTGAGCGGTAAGTGGCATCACCATTGTTAAAATATGTGCTAAATCGTCTCAGCCTGGAACAAAGTGACCATTGATATTATAATCCATGCGCAGCCTTCATCATCTGGTTCCCTGATCAGATTGCTCGAATCGTTGAAAAGGGCAGATTTCTCCTCATCCGCCTTACCTCGACTGACGATCGAGTTGCCTCACGATATCGATAATCCTTCGAGAAGATATCTTGAACGCTTTCGCTGGCCCACAATACCCGATCATGCAACAGGAAGCTTGCTCACCTTGCACCACCGAATTCCACAGCACGGCCTCACAGCAGAAGAGAATTCGATTCGCTTTCTCGAGTCATTTTGGCCCGCTGATCCATTCATGTCGCATGTTCTTGTACTTTCGCCAATGGTTGAACTATCACCTCTGTTCTTCCACTTTTTGAAATACAACGCTCTGGAGTACATGTACTCCACTAATAGGGGAGACCTTCGACAATTTCTTCTTGGCATTAGCCTTGACTTACCATCGACTTACTTGAATGACTCAAGTTTGTTTACACCGCCAGTACTAGCACATTCTACTGTGGGCGAAAATGCGGTTGTTACTGGCGTCACGCCGTTCCTGTGGCAGGCACCAAACAGTAATGCAGCATTGTACTTTGGGGACAAATGGGTGGAAATCCATGATTTTGTTGGGCATTTACTTTCTTCTCAGCATTCTCTCCCAACGCCAACAACACTGAATCAGAAACTGGTTAGCAGGACATATCCATCGTGGCTTGAGCATGTTTTGAAGCTTGTTCGTGCTCGCGGATATTGGACGATATATCCAAACTTCGAAAACCAGCATTCTCTCGCAGCTCTTCATCACGACCTCTACCAGCCTCCGGAGGAGTACTCGGAGGAGTTGAAAGCAGAGGCAACCGTGCCTGGGGAGCTGACGGCGGATCCTAAGCAGCACCTCTCGCTTAAGGATAAAGAAAAGACAGTCATAAAGACCTCACTCCTCGGTATTCTGCCAAATAAAGGCGACTTGCCAAATCTATCGGAAATGCCTCTTTTGACCTGGGACGGCGATTTGACTGATATTGATGGATTTGGTGGGCACGCTATTAATTACAGCAGCATTTTCAGGAGGGAGATAGGAGGGTGTACAGAAGATAGTGTGGGAAAGGACAGGGAAGGACTGTTTGCCAGTGATCTTTTCTGTTTGGACAAGCCAAAGACTTAGATGGGATGCAAGTAATGGAAGTGATGAATTGTCTGGATCCAAACCTACATGACAACCAATTAAGGCCAAAGACTTACATGTACTACTTGTTGTTTTCTCTCATTCTACTAAGCTGTAACCGTGCCGAAGATTAGGACCGGCAATCTTGCATCTGCATAGGAGCCACCTGCAGAGGCAGGCTCGCAGGCTCGGCAGTCCACGTGTGGTCCACAAAGAATTAGCCGACCGAGCACTCTTTTCTCCACACTGATATATAACAAGATAAGATTGAGGGGCGCACGACAAGTGGTCGGGTGGTGTAGTTGGTTATGTATGTCTTCACCAATACAGCAGCCTTCATTTGACTTGACTCCGGCTAATAAATAATGCAGCACATCTCGTTAACAGGTTACTGTTTACATGTTCGTTCATACCGAGAAGGTCCTGGGATCGAGCCCCAGCCTGATCAAAGTCCGGCAAATTGCCGATTATTTTTTTGGGGGGTTTTTTTTTTCTCATCCGCAAATCTTTGCTTCTGAAAGGTAAGATACTTACTTGCTGGCTCCTCCGTCTGGGTAGAGCGTCTTGACTTCAATCATCAATGTCCTCCCTGTATTCAGGACATTCTGTTGCGCGTTCCAGACAGCTTCCTTAGCTGGAGGAACCGGTCCCAAGCCCCAAACGAGAAATCAGCCGGTGTCTCATTCGCCACTGCACTACCCCCAACTAGGTATTGCACAAATCCTCCACACGACGTGACAATAACTGGATCTCAGTGCGCTCTTGCTTGCAAGTAAGCTCTCCAGTATTGTATTGTCATCTACATATTTTTTCCCTTCAAATGCCGCTCAAGAATCATTTCTACTCCGTGCAGTGGTGAACGAACTCTGCCCTGCTTCTTGTTCCCGGCCCACTCGTACATAACACATTGGCTCGCACATCACATCACGCACATCCCGTCCTACAGTACTCATCTTGTGATCTCCATCCACTTTCCATGACATTACTGAGAGTGAGCAATATTGCATTTCTCACAACCACAACCCCTAGAGCTACTCTGGGTCATTTCTCAAGACGTGGTATACACAAAATGTCCCCAAAGAGTCCAATAAATCTCCTCCGTGGCTGGCCTAACCCCACCCTCCTTCCCACTCCAGCAATACTCCGCGCAGCTCAGTCAGCCCTCTCAGATCCATCTATATCCACGCCTGGCCTTCTCTACGGCCCAGACCCGGGCTACCAGCCTCTTCGTGAGGAGATTTCCAAATGGCTCGGAGATTTTTACAGTGTCCAGCCAGACGCAAGTCGCATATGTATTACAGGAGGTGCAAGCCAGAACCTGGCATGCGTGCTGCAGGTCTATTCGGATCCCTTGAAGACCAAAGTGTGGATGGTGTCACCATGTTATTTCCTGGCTTGTACGTTGTTCAGGTCGAGCCGAATTGTCCCTCACTGTGTGTACCGGGGGTATTGTACTCTCAGAAGTGCTCCCTGGACACACGAGTAGAAGAGTAGCTGCTGATATCCCAATCATCGCAGGTAGGATTTTTGAGGATGCCGGGTTGAAGACAAGGGCCGTTGAAGAAGGAAGCGGTGGCATCGATTTGGTCACGCTCGAGAAGGAGCTGGAAAGTGCTACTCGTGCAGGCGGGGAATCGAAAGTGCGCAGTTCATTCTATCCAACCATGGATGGTGAGGAAACACATACTTATAAGACTAACGATGAATAGCAGCTAAAGCGATCAACTCCCTGGTCCAAAATATACAGCAACATAATATACTGTGTCCCAACATTTTCCAATCCTTCTGGTAAAACCATGTCTCTCCACACTCGAGAGTCTCTCGTGAGATTGGCTCGGAGATATGACGCACTCCTCGTCACAGACGACGTCTACGACTCTCTACAATTCTCGACCTCCTCAGCAACCTCGGGGGCTTCGTTGTCAAAAGCACTATTGCCTCGACTGGTTGATCTAGATAGAACTCTTGAGCCAGTTCCTCACGAGAACAGCTTCGGAAATGCAATGTCCAACGGATCCTTCTCCAAAATCGCCGGCCCAGGAGTACGGACGGGATGGTCAGAGGCAACTCCGAAGTTCACGTATGGCCTTTCTCAATGTGGCTCATCTCGCAGTGGAGGTGCACCCAGTCAATTAGCAGCAACCATGATGTCTGAACTCCTTAAGAGTGGGGAGCTGCAAAATCATATTGAGAAGATATTGAAACCCGCTTACCAAAAGAGATATGAGATAATGATTGAAGCGGTCAAGAAACATCTCATACCGCTGGGCGTAACTGTGGGGGAGGTCAGCTTCGAAAGTAAAGCTGTTTTCGGCGGATACTTCATCTGGCTTGAACTTCCGCAGAACACAAGCGCAGAACTCGTTGTAACCAAAGCCAAGCTGGATGAGAACTTGATTGTCGCCCCTGGACATCTATTTGAAGTCTCAAATGATTTGAGTGTTCAATTTCAGCAATCTCTGAGGCTTTGTTTTGCTTGGGAAGCAGAATCGGACTTGGAGGAGGGGATTGTGAGATTAGCGAGAGTTCTGAAAGATAATGGCACGGGTTCTTTGAGGAAGGTACCTGAGGTAGACCCACTGTCTGCAAGTCAGGATCTTGCAGAGTTTCAATGAACTTGCCTGGGAAATACATGATATTTCGAGTAGGGTCTATGGTCGACCGATACTGTGGAACTTTTCGTATGCCTGCCAGTATGATGACAATTGTGATATTATTGCAAAGAGACGTCGCCTCGTATTAGATGCCTCAAAGCTACACTGCCGGGATTACGCTCCAGAACTTGGTTAGCACGTCAAGGTCTACGTGGCTAAACAAGTGAAGTGACAGGCGCAATATTGGAGTGTTTCAATACATGATTGAGAGTTTCGAGTAGCAAGATGACAGGAGGATGAGAATAAAACTTTCACAACTCTGATGTCACGACAGAGATTCGGATTCATGTTAGGTATCGTCGCTTGTTTTCAATGAAACACAATCGAGAAGCGGATCAAACGCGTTTTGAGATTTTTCATCTGGTGCTTAGTTTGCGTCTAGTGTAATACTTTCAAGGAGCTGCAAAGCCAGAGCATCATTCTATGATAGAATCATCCCAGCCGAGCGAAATTCTCTGATTCCGCCTCGGTCGAACTCGAACTCCCCATTTATCACACCAGCGAGCCTTCAAAAGGAAAGCTCCAAAGACCGAAATGCAAAAATGTACACGCTGTGTGCAGGTTGCAACAGCCGCTTGATGCGACAGACATCCGCTCATGAGATTCAGTTACAAGTGTAGTGTGAAAGTGAGGCAGGGTGTAGAAAAGAAATAAATCATTACAGTAGGAGTCCAAATGTTCAATCCTCGTATGAGAAAAGATACCTCCTATGGCCATGTGCCAGATAAGTCTGATTAGGTGTGAACTGGCGTAGAGCTGTGTCGACCCCAGCCAGTGCCATAACCCCGAGCTGCCCGTCCCCCTCGTCCTGCAGGGTTTGGGCCTGAAGTTGCCAGGGGAGTGTCGTGGTTTGGAGATGGAAATGCATTGGATGATTCCCGTCCCCGACCGCCTCTTGGATGAGAAGATGACGTGTGTCGAGGAGTGCCACCCCGCGAACTACCTCGTCTTGGGTTACTTCGTTGCCGAGCTACTGGAACTGGAATGAAAACCTCCTTCGACTCATTTTGTCCCGGAACCTTGATGGTGATGGTTTCACTATTATTCGCAATCTGCTGGGGAAATCGAAGTGGTTCAACGCTTGACACTTGGGAGACCTGAAACTTCCGTGGTAAGTTTTTCGGCTGTGAAGGCGCGAGATCCCAAGCGAGGGAAGGCGCTGAGTTGGGAACTTTGATGACAGGTAATGATCCCATCTCCTGTTCCTCAAAACATGCCTCCGCGGCTGGTTTAGACTCAACAGCCCCGTTATCAGCGACAGCATCTCCGAAACCTAGAGCCGGAAGCGAAACCGTGGCGCCAAATTGCCGATTTGTAACTTCAAGGGCGTTCTTACTCGAAGAGTCGACTGCCAGAGCATGAGTTTTCGGGGGCGAATTCTTGCGACCAATCAGCGAATTGATTCTGTCTTGCCATCCCCCAGCCGTTGAAGCAGGCTCTTGTCGGCGCGCATCTTGATATAAAGAGTTGCTCCTTGCCGAATACTCCTGACGTGGAGGATACGCAGAATGATGCGAGACTGAAGGAACTGCGGGTGACTGCACAGCTTGGGCAAACGATGTTGGCTTGGGGGGGCCGATTGGTGCGAGAACAGGAGCTGGTGGAAGCTTGACTACCGGAGAAGGACGCGGAAGTGACACGTGGGGATGGGCAATATCACCGTCGTACGCAGGATGTCCCGCCATGGTGGGTGGTGGTGGAGATGGAGAACCTGGTCTCTCAAACTGACTAATCTGTTCTTCTAGACGAACATCCCGGTTGCTAGGGAAGAACCTAGAGCCGCGAATCGGAGCAGCTGGATTGGCATTTGGATTTGCCTGTGGTCTCCAAGCATCGACAAATGGTGGTTGATTGCTGACAGGATCCAGTTGGCGGCGACGCCCGACATCCTGATCCTCAAATATGCTCCGTGTAGATGGATCCTCCTGCGGCATTTCCGAATGACCTTTCCACGGCTGTGAAGGATCGTGGACGGTTGTGATATTTCCCTGCACCTTGCCTCGAGTACCATCTTCGTTAATACCCACCTTCCGCCAAGTTTCACTAATGACAGGCCCAGTGACCTCAGGTGGTGTGATACCCTGCTCGATCATTTCGCGTCTCCGTGCAAGCTCCTGTTCGCGCTGTTGGGCACCAAGAGCATCTTCTTGGGCGAGTTTCTCTGGTAGATTACTCCAGCCAGAATTAGCTACTGCTGCTCTGTTTGCAATGTCTTGGCGTGACATCGGCAACTGTCTATTTGGTGGTCCGATTGGAGCTGGCCGCGATCCATATGGCTCTCGGCCACGGGCTTGCTGAGATTGGTTACCACTACGATTTGCGTGTGGTGGTCCGATGGGGCCTGGGTGCGATGATTGGTGAATGTCAGGTAGCCTGCTCAACTCTGGGTTGAATGTTCCATTTCCAAGTGTTCTATCGCTTGTAGGCGGACCCCAGACATTCATCGACGATGATTGAGGGGTAGGGGCAGTACTCCAAGACTTCAGGCGATCAGATGTCGAAGCAGCATTGCTGTGCCAAGACGACGAGGAACGACTGTCTTGAGAGGACTGCTGCACCATAGGGCGGCTCGGATGAGCGCCGTTGACCTGGGTACCCTCGTCTGATGGGCGAGTATCGGTGGATTTGGGCTCTGTAGGGGCGACGACAACCAATTCCTGATCTGGCTTTGTACTCTTTGTTACCTCCAAGCCACTTTCGGTTTGTTGATCAGGCTCCTTGGCATGTGCAGAGGTTATAGTGGCGTCTCGGCTTTGAATGTGCGTTGGTGTTGACACTTCCTCCTTGGAAGCGTCTTTCTTCCTTTTCGTTTCAGGGGGAGGGCCCATGGCTTCCAGCTTGATACGAATCCGCTCCTTCCTCGCGGCGTCCTCACGTGCCTCTTCCTCGATTCTTCTCTTGATTGCAAGCTCACGAGTCTGGCGCATAATCTTCTTTTGTTCCTCGATAGGATCCTCGTAAGGTACAGCAGGAGGCTGGTTCTGGCCATCAGAAGTCACGGCAATGGGTGGTACGATTTGTCCATGTGCTGATTGAGGAGATGTATGACTGATGACAGGTGAAGCGCGAGATTGTGATTGCCGCTGCTGCTGGCTCTGATAACCACGTTGGCCATGCTGGTGACCCGAGGGTGAAAAGTTTCGTGGCGATGACGGTGCATCGCTAACAGCTGCAAGAGAACCTCTGCGAATGTTTAGTATTTCATGTGGCGGTGGCATTTCGTGCCCTCTGCTCATACGTCTGACGATGTTTCCGCTGCCTCCGCTAACGTTAGAAGAAGTTCTGCGGCGACCATAACCACCGTCCTGACCCGCTCTGTGCGTTTGAAATGCTGCAGATGGTTCAGGATGCCCATCTTGCGAGGGTCTTTGAAGTACCGCAGGTTGGTGTGCGCGCGCATCATTACGCAAGGATCCTCTGCGAGTTTCATTAACAGGCTCATATCTGCCGGATTGAGAGTTGTAGAGTTCACGACTAGTGTTCGCGCCTTCCCTCCATGATCGACTGAAGTCATCGGCAGCGATCTCCTTAGCTGGGGGAGGAAGTATGCCATTGAACCCATGTGGATCTCTCTGACTGAATCGATTTTGCTGAGGTGGTTGCTGCAGAGACTCGGAAACAACAGGTGCCACTTTATCAACGGGAGGCAATGGCGCCCATGGGGATTTGACAGGTGTAGGGGGTCCGGGGGGCTTCGCAACAAGTGTAGGCTTCTCGCTTGCTCCCTTGAGAACCAGCCCGGCTCTTCCAGAACCAAATACACTTGGCTTAATAGCTGGTGAGGCTGACGCCGGAGCTGATGGTGCCGGCGACTTCGGTTTTACTGCTTCGGACGCCACCGTCTCCTTCAAAATAGGCGCTGGTGTGGGTTCAGGAACTGCTGCGGGTGTATCATCAGCTTGGGGAAGAGTGATCTTGGTGCCATCAGTCCATTCGATTGTCTCTGGAGCCCAGTCATCGTCATCGTCATCAATGTCTGCCCAATTTGCTTGCTTGCCAGGATCGTCGGATTGAAGCCTGGTTGCAAGATGGATTCCATAACGCTGCTTCAATTCCTCATCCGTAAATCGCTTCGGTTCTGCGGGAGGTGTTGCTTCTGAAGTATTAGACTTGGCTTTCCCAATTTGTTAGAAGTGTAACGTACGTCTGTTCTTGTTCCACACAGCACTGGCATCCGGAGCTGCGCCTGCCTTTCCACCGCTGGCTGAGGTTGCTACTCGAGGTGCAGAGTCACGAAGACCGCTTCCAGTTTTTGCAACTAATCGAGGTCTCAACGCACTGCTGGCAGAAGATGGGCCGATCTGAGCTGCTGTAGCTCCAGCAGCGCGTTTTTCCCCAGCCTTTGCGGGTGTAGCTGCGCTTGTACCTTTCGCTGCAAGAAATGTCTTATTGACGGATACAGGTTTAAAGGATGCAAACTTCTTCACCGTAGACGTGGTTCGGACGTGTCCCTTCTCGTCGACTTGACCCTTCGAGACGTCCACTTTCGAAGCTTCGGTGTCGGATCCTCCACTAACGCTGACCTCCGCCGAGTTGATATTTGACTCCACATGCTCTCCTTCTTGCTTGATATTATTGCTCTCGGTAGCTCCATTTACGGCAGGTTGCTCCGGAAGGACATCTTGACATGGGGTGTCACTGGGGTTCTACGCGCAATTCAATTAGGTGTATCTGCCACAAGGAGGGGATTGCTGGCAGACGTACCAGATCATCATCGGGGAATATAGACGGCGTCACAATGATTTCAGAGGTGGCTTCAGTTGCCATCATACGTCTTCGGAGTTTTGTTTCTGCGTGTTGTCAGGTTCATGTGTTGTTCGACCCGGCGCTGAAGGTAGTTCGGGGATGAGGGAAAGGCGTGAGCTGCAGAAGAAGGAGTGACGCAGGTTATGATGATTAAGTAAAAAGACTCCTTTGTTTGAAGACGCGGCGTCGCGATACTTGCATGCGTGCGTGTCCTTTGCGTCGGGGATGGATGGTGAGGTTGCAAGTTCGTTGTAGACGTAAGGAACGGGGGTGTTGATGGTCGGTTTTCAAGACGAGCTCCGAATCGCTTAGCGCCACTCCAAGGCTGAGGCTGAGGCTGGGCTGGGCTGGGCCGGCTGCTCTGATCTGCTGCGCTGCTTCTCAATGAACTTCACCTCTACAATTTCACTGCCCCCAAATAGGATTACACTTTACCAGTCCTAGTAAACGTTTTCACTTTGGGTTTTTGATTTTGCAAAAACTCTGTGGTTGGTGCCAAAGGAAGGGAGTGCATTTGTATTTTATTTCAGGTCTCCAAAGCTGCATTTAGAGACGCATTGCCTGGCCTGTCCAGCCATTAACTCCGTCAGAACAGATTACTGGCTGCTAGATTATAAGTCTCGTTTGTCGTATAAGTATCTAGTCATAGACAGGCACAAGTCAGTTTCTCCTCGCAAAATCACAAGCATCAAATATGGGTGCATTGGGCATAACTTGCAACACCATGGTACTCGACTGCTAGAGCAAGACATGAGCAGACCCACTGTACAGAGGTGATTAAACCAAAGATACACGGCAGAATTTTCTACCACTTATCAAGCTTTATTCTTCGACTGATGATCGCTGTCCTGAATTCGCGACTAGACAGAAGTCTAAGAGAGTCTACTCCGTCACCCCAGCATTTCAATGAACTTTACCTGCATCGACCAACGATGGCAGCATATTCCTTAATACGATCGTCCGGTACCACACTGCATGAGTCTGACAACCATTTCCAAACGATATTTTATCTGCTCGCTGCTCCGAGTCTCTGACATAATCTTGACGATCGTTTGTCAAAATGTCCACGAATAATTCTTACTGGCTTCCTTCAAGGGTCGACAAAGTATTAAGATTGATCAGAGAATTGACTTGGTATTTCCGTATTTATTTACATCGTTCGTAGTCTAACAAGCCTCCATCGCACGTAGTCCCAATATCCCTTCCTTAATGAGCGTTGTTCTTGTGGTGGCCTGATATTCAGTCAGCAGGCGAATCTCTTGAGATAGCAAAGGTTGGGAGGCAATACGAAGATGGAAGTAGTAGTTCTGGGCATAACCAATAGCAACCAAGAAGACAATAGCATGGATGATGGCTGAAATTCGGTCAGTGTCTTGTTCACTCTGTCGTGGTGGTCTGAACATACGTGTACCCGTTGGGTTCTTCCCGAAGTGCTTTGCTTGATATCTACCAACAAGACCCTTTGGCTTGATTTCTGGTGCAGCGCCGCGAGGAAGTTTTTCGTAGAAGCTGACTACTCGCTGCATACGTGCTGCATCCTGAGCAGCACCTAGCCCCTGCTTTCTCTCAGTGAATGTCCTGGACCATGTAACGGGTCTCGTCGTTCAGGGAAATCGGTGTGGAGCTCAATTGACGCTGGCACGATGTGGGTGAGAACTCACGGTAGGGGATGCCACCTAGATCAATTAGTAGCTTTCCTCCATGCGGTACTATCCAGTATTGCGCGTACCTTAGGTGGGATGAGAGTGGAAAGGGCTCTGCGAGTAATGAAGCTCATCTTGGTGACTACTGGCTCGGAGTCAGCGTCAATGGCATGCAACTAAGAAGCACGGAATCTTCTCGCCGTTTCGCTCGGAATTCCTGACTTCAGTGCAGTTTCTTGATGGTTTATGGGGGGCGTGGCGTGCGATTGAGATGTACGAAAAGGCTTTGACGATGGGCATATCCGAAAGCTACGGACTCTAGCGTCGCTTTTCGCTTACATAACGCTTCCGTATGGCAACTCCAACGATTTCAACTCAATTTAGCGCCTCACTGTTGTCACAGTCAACAAACAATGTCACTTCTACGACCCTCAATTGCAGGTAGGCTGCTCAGAGCAGGCACGCCATGTGTTCGAAGATCGGTTCCTGGTGCCGTACGATTCGAAAGCCAGACGGCATTGGGGACGCCCCTCACATCCAGCACTCCACTAGCTACACAAAAGACAATAGAAGTTGAGAGGATCGAAGTCAAGCATAACCAACCAGAATACACGGCCGAGGTTGATCACGCGTCCTCGTATTATTCCTACGACGGTTGCTAATTAAGCCACGGCTGACTTTCCTAGGCAATTCTCTCCAGTCCCCAAACGAGTCATGAACGGCAGTGAGGCTGGTGAAGTTCTTTCAGCTGCTGTTCTATCTGGAGCACCAATCGAGCTTGAGGCAAGAACAGTCCGGTATTGTAATTTTTACCTCCATCTCGAATGTTCTAACAGTCAGCAGCATCTATCGGCCAACTAAACCCGCTACACAGTCTGGAGACTGGCACGGCCACCACTGGCGCATGGACTGGGATATACTCTCTAAGGGACATCGATGGGAGAACCCATTGATGGGCTGGCAATCTTCGGCGGACTTTATGCAAGGCACACACTTGACCTTCAAGTCGAGGGAGGATGCGATCAGGTTTGCAGAGAAGCAGGGCTACGAGTATTTTGTTCAAGAGCCGAATGTCCGCAAAACAGCCCCAAAGGCCTATGCGAACAACTTCTTGTGGTCTGATAAGAAGCTGAAGCATATTCGAACGAAGTAGCGGGTTGGCAAGCTGTTGATATGTTGTTCGCGGCGTTCATGTCATGGATTGGGTTAACAAGAAGCGGACTTAAGCAGTGCAGTCCTGTGGCAATCCACGCTCCACAGTACATGAAGAATACAGGTGCGGTTTTAATTATTCCCCTGATCTATTCTTATACTCCTTTGAGACGATGCTATTTGCCTCACTCATCAACATCTTGACTTCGATGGGCGGCACTTAACCGGAATCAAGTTCCTGGCTCTGAATCGTTGTCTAGATATGCGTAGCCTCTCCCAGGTTACAATAGTGCAACTTGTCAACTTATTGGCACTAGAGGGACTCACATCGGCTGACAGGGTGAAAGCAAGGCTTGCCCGCCAACCTACCAATGTTTTGTTTCGCGGTCTCCTCTATTCAAATGCTTGAACCGGGTATTTTGCTCGGTTCCGAGGCCTCGTTTGGTGGTCTACCTAGGTAACCTCCCTGAGAGTTGGATGTCACATGTTATATTTTCAGGCACATTTGTTTTCGCACTTTGTTTGGCTCTTTCATGATGTAGTTGGTCCAACTAAGGCTCGCTTGTTTCCTCTTATTGGCCATGAGAATGCCAATCGACGTCATTTGAGATCTTTCGAGTCGTGGAACGAGATCACAGTAATGGGAAGTCAATTGAAGAATCGCCAGTTCATCTCAACCCCCACAGACGATTTCACAGCCTCCCACAAGGATCTCAGATTATCTGTGCTTCTTTTATGGTCAAAGTCGCCCTTTTAGTTGTCCCTCTTGAAATGAGCAGATTACCTTGTGATCTGCCTCCACTTAATCGGGCGTATCTATAATTGTGCACTTGTTCATCGCGTCAGAATCTATTCTGTGAGGCGGTGCATAGTAGTTATCATGCAGCGCTGCAGAGCTTCATAGTCAGGGCGGTCTCGGTGTGCTGTTCTGATCTTTTAATTGGTTGGAATTGTTCGGGCTGGAGATGTTCTGTTTCGAGTTGACATGCATCCGAAGCTCGGAAAGTTTTGACCTTAACCACACGCACCAATGACCTATGACTTCAGGGGCACATCCGTTTTATGAGCTCTTGCTCGTCGGTCACATCAATTTCAATAGTTCGGATGCTCTTGAGCCGCATCCAAAGACATGCGAATATGCATTTACAGTACTGCTGGGTTTGCCCGATGCTTCATGATTTGGCTAGCGAGGTCCAGTCATTTGACTTTATAAAAGCTTTGCTGGGCAATCCTTGCGCTTGGTGCCGAGTCAAACGTGGCTTGTTGCATAGGAGCCTATCTGGACTGGTTCTTGCTAGCAAGAACAGCTCAGCCACGGCCTTGTAACCAGCCATCCCAGATACTTCTTGTGTCATATTTAGAGTACATGCTCCGCCTCGTTGAGCAACTGCCCCACCGACTGCACTGTTCCTGCCAGCATAGTATGCAATGTCACTGTGACCAGCTAAGTCTTGCCAAGCTGGCAGGCAATATAAGATGAACAGCATAGTGCCGTTGATTCTTGATAGTTACTGTTCCTGAAGTCACACTCTTTCAAGTCTGCTTAATAACATCCATAACATTCTTTTCATCCAGCTTACGCTCTTTTAAAGCTGTCTTTGTCATTCGCTTGCGCTTCACCCCTCCTTGTACCTTTCCCCATCCTTTAATCAGCCATGCGCTTTATTCTACTCACTGTAGCAGCAGTCTCGCTCTCGCCTGTCTGTGCTACTTTTGGTCCCCAGGACCCCTCCTATGATAAAGGGGACAATACATGGGGTATGTGCGAGGAGGACGGGAAACACTCCAATTCAACAGAAGGACCGGGTCTGATCTCTGGAATCATGGCGGTGACGATAATGGTAAAGACGATGATGACAAATATGGCGCCCATAAGTCCAAGATCTGTTGGACTGTGCCACATGCTCCGAAATCTTACCAGACCTATCATGCTCCGAAGACTTGGACAAAGCCTGTCAAAGATCACAAGACCATTACTTACAGCGACACACCCATGAATCCTTTGCCGACGACATTGGGCCCTCCCCAAAGCTATGTACGTCAATTCTCAAATCCACAGCATGATGAAGGCGAACCGTCGGCTGACATTAGCTTGAAGACAGTTCTTCCCCCGCAGCCGACCACAGAAACAGTTGGCTCAAGCACTGTGCCAGTACTTGTCATTCCAACTCCCCAGCCCGTGACATCACTGATTCCGACCACACCTTCCACTATAGTCACGCCTGCTCCCACACTCAAGCCTTCTACTACGGCTCCTCCTCAGCAAGGCAATTCCACGGTCCCGTCGCCTCCCATATTTACTGGTGATGCTACGGCGCATCACATCCGTCGTGCTTCTCTCCTGGTCGCTGCCGGGTCTGTTTGGCTAGCCATGCTTCTGATCTGAAGATGTGCTAGGTACCTGGAGAATTTTCCACATGCTTGAAAGTGTACTGTTTGGGATCCAAGTACATGGTGCGACGAGGATGTTATTTTAGTGGCACAAGTGGTTACATCCAGGAAGGCTATCATAAACTTGTTGTTGTATATTTGTAGAAGGTCGTCCTTGTCAGTATCATATCGCTCAATAGGTGAAATCCATACACAATGTTACATTAGCCGTCCAGTCAATTTAACGTAATTATAAGAGCTCGTTCTTGCCGCGACAGTCAATTGGCAAACGGCCAAATATAAATAAAAATAGGGGTCTCTGATGGGTAACACAGTGGGAACGCAGAGTACGCAGAGTCCGCAAGCCGATGTTGACATGATTGAAGTATTATTATGAGTTGTCTCTATGTTTGTCTCTTGGAGCGTGAATACGTTCAATGCAAACTCCTGGGCCCGTCAACTTTTGTACATCGAGCATTGGTAGGTAGGTACCTTGCCGTAGTTACTCCACCTTTGGCTACCAGTGACGGCCCTGACGAGAGGCTCTTCTCAACTTAGCCGTATATTAGCCGGTACTAGTGCCAAACCTTAAATATGTCTTGCACATGCAGCTCTAAATCTGACAAGTTGCCGCCTCCGACGACAGAGCTTTGAACTCCATATACCAACGAACGGGCAGTTCTTGCAAGAAGCAGCTCGGAAAAATGGACGACCTCGAATCCCTTGAACTCCTTTCCTTGGTCTCAAAGGTCACCTCCGAGCTTCAAAATCATCTTGGAATCAGCGACAAGACACTGGCGGAATTCATTATTGCACAGCACTCAGAATGCAAGTCCCTCAACGAGTTTCAAACAAAGCTGGATGCCATGGGAGCGGACTTCCCACAAAGTTTGATTGAGAGTGTGGATCGCTTGGTGCGAACCATGCATCCAAAATTCAGGAGTATGAAGACGATAGAGAGGGAACAACCCTCACATAGGTCTCGAAAATTGGAGGAAAAGACCAAAGTTTTCAAGGGGCTTGCAATGCCTGATATGGAAATACCTTGGCAAGAGCACTCGACTGAAGAACCTGCAAATGGATCTGTGAAACCTGGGACGGATGCAATCGATGATACCCTGGCGCTACTGGAAGGTCTCGAGAGCAAAGCAAGAATCGAAAAGCCCACCCAAACCACCCGCAAGAGAAGTCGGAGCCCTAGCGACGATAACGATCGTGGTAGAAGTCGAAAGGATAAATACAGATCACGATCGCGGTCTGTGGAGGAAAGACGGCGCAAGAAAATTGGGTATGGAGAAGAAGATGAATATGGTCGGTCAAGAAATGGGCACAAAAGCAGCCGGCGAAGAAGGGAAGACGACGATCCATTCAGACGCCCGCCGTTACCGGAGATCGACGACGAGCCAATAACTTACAAAGTCTATGATGGACATGTTACGGGGGTGAAGGATTTTGGCGCATTTGTTAATATTCATGGGGTCAAAGGCAAGGTTGATGGGCTCGTCCATGTATCAGCTTTGGTAGAAGGTCAGCGCGTCAATCATCCGTCTGACTTGGTTACAAGGGGTCAGCCAGTCAAGGTCAAAGTCATCAAGATAGATGGCTCAAGGATTGGGCTTTCAATGAAGGAGGTCGATCAGGAGACTGGAAGAGATCTTGCCCCACAGACGAGAATACAATCTGGCGCCAATATGGAACAGATAGGAGGAGGCAAAGATGAGTATAATCTCATAGACGACAAGGTCCTTGTATTCGAAGGTGATTTGACCAAGAACTCCCAGCGAACGAGGAAGAGAATGACTTCCCCTGAGCGCTGGGAAATTCGTCAACTTATCGCATCGGGTGTTGTGAAGGCCTCAGATTATCCAGATCTCGATGAAGACTACAACGCTACACTAAACGGCGAGGGCGAGATGGAGCTAGAGGAGGACGTTGATATCGAACTCCGAGAAGAGGAACCGCCCTTCCTTGCCGGCCAAACTAAGCAATCATTAGAGCTGTCTCCCATCCGAGTTGTTAAAGCTCCTGACGGATCCATGAATCGTGCTGCTATGGCTGGAGCTACCTTGGCAAAGGACCGAAAGGAACTGAGGTCACAGGAAGCACAAGACAAAGCAGCTGAAGAGGGCTCCAAGGTTGATCTATCGGCGCAGTGGCATGATCCCATGGCAGACCCGGATGAAAAGAAGTTTGCCACTGATCTCCGGAGCATCAAAGCAAATCCAGCAAACGAAACTATACCGGAATGGAAGAAAGCCACACAGAGCAAGGACCAGTCCTTTGGGAGACGAACGGATATGACTATTAAGCAGCAAAGAGAATCCTTACCCGTGTATAGATTTAGATCAGAGCTCATCAAAGCCGTACACGCGAATCAATTACTCATTGTTGTTGGAGACACCGGGTCTGGAAAGACAACACAATTAACTCAATATCTGGCAGAGGCTGGGTTTGCTAACAACGGCATGATTGGATGTACTCAACCACGTCGTGTCGCAGCTATGTCAGTCGCAAAGCGTGTTGCTGAGGAGGTCGGTTGCGATCTCGGTCAAGAGGTTGGATACTCTATTCGATTTGAAGATTGTACCAGTCCGGCAACAAAGATCAAGTACATGACCGATGGCATGTTGCAGCGTGAGATTCTGATGGATCCTGATATCAGGAGATACTCCGTTATCATGCTGGACGAAGCTCACGAACGTACGATTTCTACCGATGTGCTCTTCGCATTGTTGAAAAAGACTATTAAACGGCGACCTGATCTAAAGGTCATCGTCACCTCTGCGACTTTAGATGCGGACAAGTTCTCTGCTTATTTCAACGAGTGTCCGATCTTCTCAATCCCCGGTCGGACATTCCCTGTCGAGGTCATGTATTCGCGAGAACCTGAATCCGATTACCTGGACGCAGCTCTGGTAACAGTAATGCAAATTCACCTGACAGAACCCCCCGGAGATATCCTATTATTCTTGACTGGCCAGGAAGAGATTGACACTAGCTGCGAAATTCTTTTCGAGCGTATGAAAGCCCTCGGCCCAAGCGTTCCGGAACTTATCATTCTGCCGGTTTATTCTGCACTACCAAGTGAGATGCAAAGCAAAATCTTTGATCCTGCGCCTCCGGGGAGCAGAAAGGTTGTGATAGCCACGAATATTGCCGAAACATCTATCACAATTGATCACATCTATTACGTTATCGATCCTGGGTTTGTCAAGCAGAACGCGTATGATCCAAAACTAGGGATGGATTCACTTGTGATCACTCCGATCTCCCAGGCCCAGGCCAAACAACGTGCCGGACGTGCTGGGAGAACCGGCCCTGGGAAGTGCTTCCGCCTTTATACCGAATCTGCTTTCCAGTCTGAAATGCTGCCAACCTCTATTCCCGAGATTCAGCGACAGAATTTGTCGCATACTATTCTGATGCTTAAAGCGATGGGAATCAACGATCTCTTGCATTTCGACTTCATGGATCCTCCCCCTACAAACACTATGTTGACAGCCTTGGAAGAGCTTTATGCCTTGTCTGCCTTAGATGACGAAGGTCTATTGACTCGGCTCGGTCGAAAGATGGCAGATTTCCCAATGGAGCCGTCGCTTGCCAAAGTTTTGATAGCGGCGGTTGACCTTGGATGCTCTGACGAAATTCTAAGTATCGTTGCAATGCTGTCAATGGCTACTATCTTCTATCGCCCGAAGGAGAAGCAGTCACAAGCAGACCAGAAGAAAGCCAAATTCCATGATCCTCACGGCGACCATCTTACTCTACTCAACGTGTACAATGGCTGGAAGCAGAACAAGTTTGCAAATCCATGGTGCTTCGAAAACTTCATCCAAGCTCGGTCAATGCGCCGCGCAAAGGATGTACGGGATCAGCTCGTAAGTATCATGGACAGGTACAAACACCCTGTTGTCTCGTGCGGTCGCAATACGCAGAAGGTCAGGCAAGCTCTTTGCAGCGGATTTTTTCGTAATTCGGCGCGAAAGGATCCCCAGGAAGGCTATAAGACCCTCATTGAGGGTACACCAGTTTACCTGCATCCAAGCTCGGCCCTCTTCGGAAAACAGGCGGAATGGGTGATTTACAACACCCTTATCATGACGAGCAAGGAGTACATGCACTATACTACTTCAATCGAACCTAAATGGCTTGTCGAGGCCGCTCCGTCATTCTTTAAGGTCGCACCGACAGACAAGTTGAGTAAGCGAAAGAAAGCTGAAAGAATCCAGCCGTTGTATAACAAATTTGCTGCCGAGGATGATTGGAGGCTGTCATCACAGAAACGACAAGGCAGGGGAGGTGGTGGTGGAACATGGGGCTGATTCATAGCTGCATGGAATATAGTATTTCTTGTACTAGAGATATTCAATTGATCTGACCTCCAGAATTCATTCTCTGCGTTGTCTTCTAATTCAATCTCAATATTCCGAAGCTACCTGCTCATTAAGTCGCTTGTGAGCATCGTGCTTGGCTCGCTCCCTGTCGACGAAGTTGAGACCCCGAGTCTCGAACTCTCTGTCGATGAAAGCTCCAGCCAAGCCGGCGAGGATCTCCTTAGCTTCAGCGTGGCTTGCCGGCTTTCCGTTCTTAGCACAGTGCTGCTCATATGCCTTTGCGGCCTGTTGGCGGATGAATTAGCTGTGGGTTGGTAAGAAAGAACCACTTGGTGTCAGTACCTCATATGCAGCCGCTCCTCCAATGAGCTCGTGCGAGATCTTCGCCTTATGCTCGTCCGGGGTATTTTGATACTTCGTAGCGTCAGTAACGAGCCTAAATGTGTCGGAATCCAGTGTCAAAATACCTGGTCGAAGGCTTGGGCCTCGTTAGAATCGCCTCCGAACCATCCCATGATGAATGTCTGAATGATCTTGTAATTGGTTCGCAGGGGGCGTGTTTGAATGTAGCTATTGGTGATTTTACTTATATTCAGTAGGAAGTGTGAGAGTCGATGAGAAAGAAAAGAGGGAGGAGAAGAGGGGTAATGAGGGGTTTTTATCTGAAAAGCGCCAGGAACTTGACATTCTTCGTTGTACTAATATAATTTACCTTGTCTAGCGGGGGGGCATTCTTCCACTCTGACTTGCTGAGAGGACACTTGCAACGCCAGGCTCAGCTGGATTAGTTTTGAGTAGCAGCGGCGGCAGCTGCTTAAGGCAAGATGCGACAAAGTTGACGTGGGCTCTCATGCGGTTGGATCCAACGAGAAGACTAGGAGCACAGGATACAGGGTTTCTAGGGACGACAGTCCAGCCACCAGTCCCCGCCAAGAGCCAAGAGAGCCAAGAGAGCCAAGCAGAAACAAGCCTTTCTCTCCCGAAGGACCTGCGGCAGGGGAGATATTATTGGATTGGAACACAGGTAACCCCACAACCACCTCATTCATGTCCTGGTGTCTCGTACTCCACTGTGGGGACTTGCGCTGCGCATCGTCAACAGAAAAAGAGGCATGGAGGCATCTGCGCAAGGTTTGGAAGCTATATGTAGGGGTTTTCGGCTTTATTGCATCAAGAGGAGCTTGACGCTCCATGTGTAAGCAGATCTCTCCGCTTTAGTAGGTCGCGCTGGACACTGAGCAGTTGGAAGAGTCGTAGGGGAGAGGGGAAAATGCGATGGAGTGTGCAGGAGTATATTGAATACTATTCTGAGAGTGTTGAGACTTTGGTACTTTGGAACGGTTGGACACATGTGCGAATTACTATGTATATCTGCCGGGCTCAGCCAGGGCTGCTGATGCTAATAGGCACTTGCCTCTGAAAATAACACATGCAGAGTCCCAGGGCCTAAGACTGCGGCTTGTAGTAAATAACCAATTCTTGAGAACGGACATTTTGAAAAAAAGACCTGAGACTTGACGATCTAACACTTTTTCTTGAACAGGGTAATACTCGTTATGTCTTGGGGGTCCATGATAGGTACTTTAGGAGTTACTGGGTACCTAGGTAGGTACGTAAGGTAAGGTAAGGTAGGTAGGTATACCCGTGTCATTGATCTCTTTCTTATCACGTGCACTGAATCCGCCTGCTTGCCAGGGACCATCAAAAACCACCTAAGCATCAGATTCCTCCTGAGTATTATTACTCCCTTGGATCCGAGCGATGTGACCTACAGGGTCAACTGAAGCTTTTAAAGCAGACGAGCTTCTTAGGGAGGTCTTTGAGGCCTGTGATGTCACGTGCCTGCACGGAATCCGATGGAGCACATAGGGTACCAAATGGAATGGAAGGTACCTTAAGTAATGGCGCTGCTGTAAGCCCGGCATTACCGTACCTGATCTTGTCGTCTCCTTGTCCCGGCCAATTATGTCCGGTTCACGCTTTTCCCCGGAATGCAATAGCACTCAAGTGTTACCAGCCTACGGTAGATTTACCTTACCTTACCTGCGACCGACTTCGGCCGTGGCATCACGGTCACAGGTCGTGCTTGTTGGCCGCGGCTGCCGTCAGGTTGTGCCCAGTCCAGACCAGACCAGACCGAGCAGTGCAGCAGCTCAGCCCAGCACAGCAAAGCGCCCAGCACAGCAAAGCGCCGCGCACACTCCACACCACACCACAATACCACAGAAGTGTTCATCTTTCCAGCTAATGCATGTGGTGACATTTGTTGGTGTTCTGTGGATGCTGGACGTGACTCTTGGGTATCTTTTCTTCTCTAGGACATGGCGTAAATCGCATTACAGTATCAGTAGGTAAGGTAATGATAGGCTGTAGATAATGCTTGGGCGACATCGAACCAAATGGCTTCTTATCTCTACTGCACGCCGTTGTTCTTCGAAAAGATAACTTGGGATTTAGAAGCTTCAGATTGTCTCCTCTCTTGGCTCTCGGCACGTCCGAACTGCCTACAATACCTAGCGTAGGAAAGTAATGTGTGGACATGCTAGGTAATTTATGATACCTACCTAGGTACCTTACCTAGGTATGAGATGATATGATAGAGCGAGCGCCTCTGATTCCATTTGTCTGATCGCTTAGGAATGCACTTCTGTTAGTGCGGCCAGGGGTCTCCCACGTCGCGATAACAATTCCCCGCCATTTTCCTTAAACCTTGACCTTATCTTCTGACCGCGTGCATGCGCGACGTACAATTGGCTCGATCGATGGTATCCTGCGAAACTCTCTCGATAACCTGCCGCCGCCGAGTGCTCTGTACGGAGCAGAGAGATGGGAGAGGAGAGGATAGCTCTTCAGTATTGTAGAAGGCCTGGGCCGCGGCGATTCTGTCTCATCTCATCTCATCTCATCTCATCCTTTTTCTTATCTGCTCGTCGCTGCACCCTACCGTAGCCTTGTCTGGCTTACTCCGCACCGCACCGCACAACCTCAATGACAGAGTATAAGAGAACATCGTACTCCGCGATCTTTCGGGGTTTGCCATCCAGCACATTTGAAGTTGAAGTCTCCACACAGCATACGTAGATTTGAGCCCATCGCAGCCCGCAACCGCTACAATGTCGTCAGACGATGAGAAGAAGGGGTCCTCTCCAGCTGTCTCTGCCTTCGACGCTCCTGTCTCAGAAGGGCAAGTGGTCAAGAGACGCTTTCCTGGCTTCAGCCTGCAGGTTCGGCAAGAGGAGAGCAGCTTCGCAACAACGAAAAGTGCCAGCAATGCCGATTTCGACCCAATCCCTCCTTCCAAACGTACATGGAACTGGGGCGCATATGTTGCCTACTGGATGGCCGATGCCTGGGCTGTATCGAACTGGGAAGTTGGTGAGTTGAGTTGAGGGATCTTCTCTCTAGATCTTCACCATCTGCTCTGTGGTGAATCGTGCTACCCGAGAACCGATACTAAGGCAATGCTTTGCATTTAGCTAGTTCCATGATTGCGGTTGGTCTCGACTGGAAAATGGCAATTGGTGCATGTGTCCTTGGCAACACCATCATGGGACTTGTCATTACTGTTAACGGCCGCATGGGTGCAATCGTCAGTACCTTCCAATCTTCCCCTCTTTACTGTAAGCTAAGCGAGCTTATTTTGAACAGACCCACGCTCCGTTTCCCGTCCTCTCACGCATGCCTTTTGGGTACTACTTCAGTTACTTCGTTGTGCTCTCACGTTGTGTACTTGCCATCGTCTGGCTCGGGTTCGTTTTCCCTGTTGGTCATTCTGATCAGTAAAGAACTGACCTTGCCAGGGTCCAAACAACAACTGGCGGACAATGCATGTCTGTCCTATTGACTGCTATATGGCCCAGCTTCGCGAAAATTCCCAATCACATCCCGGATGATCAGGGTATTAGCACTTCGGGCATGATCGGCTTCCTGTTGTATTTCCTGCTTCAACTGCCCTTTTTGTGCATCCCTTACACCAAGGTATTTCGGCCGTATAGTCAATTGAGAGCCACATGACTGATAACCACAGGTTCAATACTTCTTTGCCTTCAAGAGTGTCATTGCCCCGGTATGCCCAACATTTCTTGCCCAGACATCCCCGTTACCATACGATTTGACTCCTAAAGCAGAACCTTACGCTAATATTATGCTTAGATCTGCTTCCTTGCGATCTTCGGCGATACTTTGCGCAGGGCTGGAGGAACAATCAGCAACAGTATAGTCATTACTGAGGTCAGCCCTCTAAGTCTTGAAATTTGGCAGAGGCTTGGTACTAACAAGTAAAAAAGGGCACTACTAAGGCTGGATCAGCACTCACATGGGCATTCTTTGCGAGTGAGTACACGCTGTCTCGATATTGGTCCTCTAGAGTACCGTACTGATTGCACTTCCAGATCTCAACGGTGTCTTGGGAAATTACGCCACCTTGGGTCTTAATATAGCGGATTTCAGCAGATACGCAAATAAGCCCAGTGCACAGAATGTCCAGGCTCTTGTTATTCCTTGTATCTTTACGATTGTTGGCCTCCTTGGGATCTTCACTGCTGCCGCCGCCGAGTCCGCTTATGGCCATGGTAGGTACTGGCGGGAGCCCGCTCTCATCTTTTTGAATATTCCAATCCTTTCCAGGTGCATGTATCATTCTGTTCTTCGGACATTTAAGATGCAGTAACACTAACCCCTTTTGTTATCTTAGTCATCTGGAACCCGATCGAGATCATAGAGCTGTGGATGGAATCAGGTTCTCATGGAGGGCGTGCTGCTGCCGCTTTTGCAGCCATTGGCTTGATCATCGTCACTTTGGGCATCAATATCTCAGCCAATTCTATCAGCGCAGCGAACGACTTAATGGCATTCTGCCCCAAATACATCAATATTCGCAGAGGACAGCTTCTTGCTGCTGTCATTGGTAGCTGGGCCTTTGTCCCGTGGAAGATTCTCGCATCAGCCGCGAAATTCCTGGCTTTCCTGGGGGGCTATACTATCTTCTTAGGCCCTATGACAAGTATACTTATGTGCGAGTACGTGTTCCATGGGGCGTGAGAACTTCCTTCTTGCATGTTCAGTCTCGCTAACCTTGCTCGTAGCTACTTTATTGTGCGTCGGGGAAATGTATCCGTGCCGGACATGTACAACTTTCATGGCATGTATCGATACTCGCCTAAATATGCTACAAATTGGCGTGCGGTTGCAGCCTTCTTCATCGGCTGTGTTCCACCACTCCCCGGCTTTGTAAATAATATCGTCGTGGCAGGACTTAGCACAACCGGTGTCTCAATCGGAGGTCAACACTTGTAAGTAATTCCACGTGCATCTCACTGCAGAGAGGCTGGCTGCCATCCATTTTTTGGAATAGAGCTAACACTTCTAACCATAGGTTTGCCATTGGATATGTGTACTCATTCTTCGCGGCTGGGACATTCTATTGGCTGTTCAATCGTTTCTTTCCACACTCCGAGTCAATTATGGACCACCCCGAGCTGGGCGAAGATATCATTGCTGAAAACGACCTCAAAAATGTGGAGAAGAAGCGTGCGGATCGGGCAGCAAAGAAAACGAGTGTTTTCACGCGCATTTTCGAGGTTTGAGATTTTGTCATGGGAACAATTATTTATTGTTGTAGGGCGAGCGTTAGGCACTTTTGTCTGGTGTAAATCTGCTATCGCCATACGCGATCGGCTATAGTCTTTGCAGTGGCGAAGGAGTACTCGTATATTTGTATAAATACAATTTTAGACTTTTATCTCTCTGCCGGGCTGTGTGGTTGGGACGGTAAGCGAGTAATGCTGTCCTCGAAACGTTCGCACACTTCAGGAGTATTGGTCAGAGCTATACAGTTCAAATATAACCTGGGACTAGAGATCGCACGATATTCCTGTTTCATTCAGAGCTCGGTTTATATTTTCTGAATTTTATAACTGCTGAAATATGATAATCCGATCCTAGGGAACCTGGGAGTAAGACCTGTTAGGAGATAGAGTTCTGGGTTGTATTAAGCTTAATTGTTGAAGGTATACTAAAGCTGTGGTTTCTCCCGAGTTCTGGGTTATATCAAGCTTGATTGTTAAAGGTATACTGAAGCTGTGGTTATATATAGCGGCCCTTAAGTAGCTCCTTCCTTAACACGCCCCCCCTAAAACAAAGATAATACTATCCTCAGTATAGATATAATCGAAGGTCGAAGAGGAATAGGAGGGAGTCTCGGGAGAAAGCTATAGCTAACTCGACTGGGTAGACTAGAGGTTGGAGAGTAAGTCGAATAAGGGAGATGCTCGAGATCGCTTTAAACCGTAGAAAAGGCGAGTTTCTTATCTATCGTACTACGTCTCGGAGGTGGAGGAGATGCTCGAGAGCGCTTCAAACCGGGGAATGGCGATATCCTAATCTGTCGTACTACGTCTCGGAGGTGTAGTCGCGTTTTATACGTGCGGCGCACGGAAGCTTGTTACCCTGCTCGATCAAATGGAATTGCTACTATGTTAGGAGACAGAGTTCTGGGTTATATCAAGCTTGATTGTTGAAGGTATACTGAAGCTATAGTTTCTCCCGAGTTCTAGGTTGTATCAAGCTTGATTGTTGAAGGTATGCTGAAGCTATGGTTATATACAGCGGCCCTTGAGTGGCTCCTTCCTTAACAAGACCTTACATGGATCCAAGTAAAACATGAACCACATATCCACAGCTCAATCCCTCGAACATCAGACACTTTGCTTCATCATGAATGGACAAACTGCCCAAGCCGACATCTTTCGATGGGTGAAATCCTCTGAAGATGTTTTGAAGGAAAATGAGCTACAGCTCAACGCCAGAGCCACTTAGCATCTTCGTGGAGAAGTTTTAGTCGGCATAGACACGGGGAGAGCACTGCTGGAATAGAGTGGTGGTCTTGTTGTGCATGCTTCCTGTTCTTGTGCTGCGTTCTCTTGGCATACATTAAACCGCTGTCTTTATAGTCGAAGTTCATCTCTTTATTTATTTTGCTCTTACGTTGAGGTGATCAATATAGCAGTTACTTAATACCAGTACCTTCTTGATATCGACGATAGCATAATGGTAGATAGTAAATGTCACTTCCTGAAAACATACGAAGCAATTGACAACGCGACCAAACTATTGATTAAGATGGTTTCAATGACTCAAGAAGACACTTCGGCGCTTTCTAGTCTTCGTGCAGAATCAAGTGGCTATGCACTCCTCGCCACTCGCCCTGTTGGCTTTATTCGGGCGACTTCATGTTTCATATATCCACAGTCGTGCCTGCGTGCCATCTCCAAGCTCTATGGCAGGTTAGTACACTCGTTTCGTACTTGACAAATGACACTCGTCGCCGGAAGCCTCCCTGCGAGTACGTGGCACGGCGACTGTTACAAATATCTCAAGTTGTTAATCCTGCTTCAGCTTTATGCTTACAAAGTGATTTTATCGCAAAATTGATGACTCCTCATAGAGTTTGGATTGTATCAGTGTTGAAAGGAAGTCCGCAGCATGAAATCATGCTTATCCTCTGCCCGCCCAATCGTGCAAGACAACCTACCCTGCCTAGGTAGGTAAGGTACACACTTCTCATCCATCATAATTTTGAGGCAAACAAAGGGCATTTTTGACGAGCTAAAATTAAGATGTCATAAAGCAGCAAAAGCGAGCTGTAACCATGCGACACAACGTATTTGGTTAGGGAGGTGGACCATCGAAAATTGCTGCAGAATACCCGGAACAGGAAAGCGACAGTTGAACGACTTCATAAGTAGATAGGGAAGCTAACTATCCCAAGACTTTTTGTAGCATGTTCATTGAGAAGCTGAGTTAGACTGTCGACCTGTTGGATTTGAAACAGAAACGGCGAATGAATATGGAGCAGGATCAAGCCGTTTCCAAGCAGAACAGGCCAACGAAGAGGTTAAACAAGCAACCATCCAAGCCATCGAGAAAATGAGACAGGGAACATCAATCATGCCTGTGAGTCGCACCGATTGCGCCTTGTCAGCTGAGTGTGTAGTACCAATGACAACAAGATTCACAACAGTCGCCATTATCTTCGCAACCACCCTATGAATCAGGAGATGCCAAAATCTAATTGTGAAGAGGTTCCAATCTCAATTGCTGCCTCTCTGTTGTCTTAATTACGAGATAGTTGAATGGAGGCAACTGACGAACTGGTGTTGTATTCGCTTAGTTGTGTGTAGTATGGCCTTGTCTTTCCCTCTAATTATCACTTGTAAACTACTGAGATCTGCGTTGCGTCCAAATATATAGTACCAATTTCCTTCTTTCATTATTTTCTTCGCTCCGGCCTTACAGTAGCGTCCCACACTGGTCTCCGCCAGGTCTGCATGCTCTGGGCAGTGGTCACAGATTGCGATGGCTTCTTTGAATAACGCAACGGGGGTTTTGGATCGCTGTTCGGCAATCGACGACAGAGAAAATATTACGAAATTGAAGATAAGCCTGAGATCAATCAGGCAATTTCCAGGTAGAAGCCGAGGGGTTTAATGATAAAACAGCTGCGACAAAGATATGAGGTTATATAATATAGAGCTACAAGCTTAATGAATAGCCTAATTTGGGTAAATATCAAGTTGGTCTCCGTAGAAAAAAAAGTGTAGTCCGTTCAAAACCCCTCCCCTAATAACAGGTCTGTACGATGAAAATAGCTGGGCGAAATACAAGACGTCTAATTCCAATCCAAACGTTGCGTGACACCCCGTATACCAGGTGCTGGAAACCCCTACAAATAGAAAGCGGCAAGTCCGACGGAAGCCCCAAGCAGGATGGCAACGATGTGAATGTGTCCATTGGAGCCTGAGTTGGCGGAGATGTACGGGGGTGTAGTGCTGTTCGACTGAGTAGAGGGACAAGAAGGGCCTGGGCAAACAGAAGGCGGAGTTGGTGGACAGTTCGGGCCTGGACATGGCGCATTTGCAGGTGGACAGTTCGGGCCTGGACATGGCGTATTTGCAGGTGGACAGTTCGGGCCTGGGCATTGGGAGCCCGGGGGAGGAGGGAGTGGACAGTCAGGTCCCGGGCATGGTGACCCCGGGGGAGGAGTCGGTGGGCAGTCAGGACCTGGGCATGGCGACTTGACGGGCGGAGATACAGGACATCCTGGACCACTACAGACTGCAGGGCCGGTGACTTGAGCAACCGGGCATGTGACGGTCAAAGTGGGCTTTCCGGCACAAGCATCGCAGACCTGGACGACAGTGGTGAAATTGGGTGGAATTGCTGGTGGAGTGAACTCCTCTTTGCCCCCGGAACATGTCTGCGTAATAGTGAAAGTCTCTGTCTTGGTACCCTTCGCACAGGGTGTCTCGGTCGGACAGACTTGAATATATTCCGTTGTGTATACAGTCGTGTACGGCAGATAGTTTGCTGGGGTTGGGACAGCTACGCCAGGAGCACAGATAGTAATGGTGGAAGTTCCGAGATAGGTACCATTTCCGAGCAAACTCACCACTCCCGCTTGCCGAGCGTGGAGGGCAGCTGCAGGCACGATATCGTGTCTGGACACAGGTCAATATCCACAAATTTATACCATTGAATGGGTAGTATAGCATACGATGGGAACATGTTGAAAGAGTTGTGGAACGAATATTAGCAGGGAAAGCTGAGGACTCTTGAATGAGTGACTAGGGTCAGTTGGCAAGTTGGTTGGTTCTATTACTGTAGGGGGAGAGCTGGCGACTTATAAGTCTATAGTAGGAGCACGATTTAAAAATGGGAATCTCACTCCATACAACACGTATCAGTCACTTGGAATGTTCGGCAGCGTCTAATAAGTGGTATAGCACTAGTGACAAGAATTAAGGATAAGATTATACATTGCCAGATTATTATCGTAATCAATGGGTGTGGTCAAAGTCGCGTCAATGTTCGATGATCATTGTCAAAGAACCAATAGTAAAGGGTTGCTTGTACTTACATTCTTCAAGGAAAAGCGATGACTGGCCAGTACTTCAGAGCCACCAAGAGAAAGAAATGGGGCTAAATTAGTACTGGAATGGCGCTCTCTGGCTTTTGGAGACATTTGAAAGTCTAGCGGTGCATCAAAGTTGTGGACCTGACCTGGCAAGACGAAAATTTGTTTCGATTCAGGCCCACAACGCCTGGAAGAGTGGCAATTACAACATGACGTTCGTATGTGCACTTCCCATGCACTGAGCATTCTTAATAGATATTATACTGACGCAAACATCGTCCAGTTGAGACATGCGACGATAATTGAGGTGAAAGGTTGGAGCCCATTTGGATAAGGTACCTGTATAAGTGACACCATGTGAACAAGCAATGACCACGATTGTTATTACATCACAGGAGGTTCAAGTAGTAGTCTATAGTAGTATAAGCTGTGAACTATTTGGGGATGAGTGTAATGCTCATCCTTAGCTCTGTATCTAAGGTCGACACAGGGAATGAATGTTCATAACATTCACAGCAACCAAAATAACCTAGGGAAAGCAACATGATAATGTCATTGTATATATTACACACCAAACACAGACTTACTCTACGCACAGTGTGTAGAACCTGGATCAGCTGGATTCCATCTACATATATACGAGGGCCGTAAAAGTTTGTTCGTGTCCTATCTACAGTATGCTAGAGGCGCCAGCCTACACAGCATCCGAGGGGTCCTTCAGCTCGTAGCCTGCAACATGACTGCTCCTGGAAAGGGCAATATGGTGATTTATGGAAAAGCGCTTGTTGAAGGACGTGTCGGTGGAGCATAACACGACTGGAATTCGAACAAATAAGAGTGTGAGACACTGCATGCTAGGTTGTGTCAGAAACGTACCGAGTACCTGGACTATACCCCGGGAAGGGGTCGGTTCCTCGATAGGCGTGAAAATTGTGGATAGTGCATATCAGAAATGTCTTGGAGAATGGCGGGGCTAAGAAGCGGCGAAACGCCGATTCGTTGATGAGCGTAGTCTTAGACATCTTGTTCGCAAGCTTGGAGCTCGTTTCCAGTCCAAATGTGTTCCTCAAGAATGAGAAGAAAATATCGAGCTAACAGGCAGATCCAGCATTCTCGATCATGCCATATCTGCCACTACTGTGATTCCTGTCTGAGGAGCATACGAACTGCTACTCATAGTTAGTATGTCTGAACCGAGTGGCCGTTGGTGTTCAAACGGCTACGCGCCTTGGAATGGTAGTAATAAAAAGAGATTGCTGCGCGGTAGATTATGAGTAGAACCTGTACATAAGAAGACCACAGCAACCACACAAATGTGAAAGTCAACAGCATTCACAGTCATTACCTCCATCACTTTGCTTCTGGACGCGAGCCTTCCAAGGCACCATACACTCATTTTGTTTCTGACACTCCTTCTAAAATGCGTTTTCAACCATCAATCGCCGCCCTGTTGGGCCTACTGTCGGTTTCGTCGGCTTCCAGCCTGGAGGTTAAGCGAGATGCCTGCCCAGCTGGTACCGCCCCAGTTGAGGTTATCATCACCACCCAAGTGTACCAGTTCCAGGTCAACATCAACACGTTCATACAGTACAATACTATAATCAACATTAACGGTGGTAAGTGACAGAATCCATGGTTCCCCCATTGGGAGTCGTATGCTAAAGTTGTCACGTGAATTAGGCATCACAATCAATATCAACAACGCACCAACGCAGTTGATCACTATCGTCACCGGAACAACGACTGTCACATCTACTTCTACAGCCACCGTGACTGCAACTACTACAGTGTATGCTATGCTCCGCTAATCTCTCTCTCCAAAGTATAATCATCGGCTGACTTGACGTGCTGGGGACTGTAGCACACCACCGCAGCAATCCGCGGTTACATTCCTGCTATCTCCAGCTGCTCCTGGCCTGAGGAAGGGCCGTCGACAGGTTGCAGGTAATGCCTTTGTCGGTCTTAATGGAGACTTGGTCGGGGACTGTTCAGAAGCTGCCCGTTTCACCATCAGCCAGGGGTTCTTATTCACCCCTGGTGGCCAGTTCTCCACGAGCCCAGGGGCGAACGCTGAGCTATTCGTCCCTCGATTGTCAATTGGGAGTCTGACGGCTTCGTTTTCGTTCACCGACCGCCTAATCTGGACCAACGCTGCCTTCTTTGGTGGCCAGGCCCGATTCTGCATCGCAGCGAACAGGGTTTATTCTTTGTTCAGTCTTGAATCATCTATTGCAAACTGCGTGCTGCAAACTCTCCTTGTTGTTCCCACCGCTGTTTGTGATGGGGTTTCGTCTTCCGCTGGCGTCTCGAGCACAGCTGAAGCATCCAGTAGCACAGCTGACATCTCAACAACCGAGGCCACTTTGGTACCAACCTCTTCAGTCTCCTCTGGCATCTACTCCAACTCAACCTCAGTTGTGTTGCCAACTGCTAGCTCGGAAGTCATTACATCCTCGAGCGCGGCAGAATCGTCCAGTTCCTCGTCCGCGGCTGCAAGTTCGACATCTGAGGCTACAACTGATGTATCTTCTACTGTACAAGCTACTTCTACGATCTCCTCGGATTCGTCAGAAGCTTCCTCTATCACGAGCTTCGTGAGCTCTGATACTTCTGCCGTGAGCTCTGCGGCTCCGTCGAGTAGTACCATCCCCACTACATGCACTGCCTTTGGCCAGGTCTTGGATGTAGCTTCCAATGTATGCGTCTGCAAGGAAGGATTTGATCAGAGCTTCGTTGGCGGTCTCCTCAACTGCGTTTCGAACGTCATTTGCGATTCTGTGTTGGGCCAGGTCCTAGATATTCCTACAAACGCATGTAAGTGCAACATAGGATTTGACACCAGTTTTGTCGGCGGTGCCCTCAGCTGCACCACAAATGTCCTCTGCAATGCCTTGGGCCAGGTCCTAGACCTCGACTCGAACGCTTGTAAATGCGAGAATGGCTTCGACTCCAGTATTGTGGGAGGCGTTCTGTCTTGCGTTTCAAACGTTGTGTGCACCCTTACAGGCCAAGTTCTCGACATTCCTTCCAACGAGTGCGTCTGTTCTGCGGGCTTCGACTCCAGTTTCGTAGGAGGCGTTCTGTCTTGCGTTTCAAACGTTGTGTGCACCCTTACAGGCCAGGTTCTCGATACCGGCTCAAACACCTGCATTTGCGACGAAGGCTTCAATACTACTCTCGTCGGCGGAGTTCTTTCTTGCGTTTCAAACGTACTCTGCACACTTACCGGCCAAGTTCTTGACGTGACGTCAAACAGCTGTGTATGTGCTGATGGCTTCGATTCCGGCTTTCTCAATGGCGCTCTTAACTGCGTTTCAAATACGGTCTGCACCATTCTCGGTCAGGTTCTCAATACGACCACTGGCATCTGTGGGTGTGGTGACGGCTTCGACACCAACACCAATACTGTCACTGGAGTGGTATCCTGTATATCGAATGTTTTCTGTGACCCCACTCTCGGCCTGGTTCTCAACCCCTCCAGTAACGAATGTATATGCGACGGCGGCTTTGATACTATCGATAATCCAGTTACCGGAGTGATCTCCTGTGTCTCGAACGTCGTTTGTACTCTGACTGGTCAAGTTCTCGACCCTGGTTCCAATACTTGCGTATGCGAGAGCGGATTTGATCCTTCACAGGACCCTGTATCTGGAGCTTTGTCTTGTGTCACGAATGTTGTCTGCTCTGCCGTTGGTCAAGTCCTCGACGTTCCTTCCAATACATGTACCTGCGCAGTTGGCTTTGGCGGTACTCCTAATCCCGTTACTGGAGCTCTGGCATGCGTTTCGACCGTTGTCTGTACTGCACTCGGCCAAGTTCTGGACCCAGCCAGCAACAAATGTGCTTGTAAATCTGGCTTTGACGCTAATATTAACACTGTCACTGGAGCCTTGACCTGTGTCTCGAACGTAGCTTGTACTGTTGGGGGGTCTATACTCGACCCTGTTGCCAACGTTTGCAGGTGCAACCCCGCTGCTGGTTTCTTAACCTACGTCGGCTGCATTGCTACTGGTCTGCTTCCCTTGGGATCTTGATTTTGTTTTGACCAAGACGTACGCTCAGGCATTCTTGGCCATGTTTGCACACTGGATTATGCTTCCCTTCTGTAGAGCGCGTTTGGGCAGGTCTTCGATTCTTCCCCTTACAATGTTGCTTAAGTTAAATAGGGTGCTTTTATTGCCCAGGACATAATAAATTCTATACGGGTCCTTTCAGTGGAATAAGAGACTTTTACCCGAGCAATTTACATGATGAGAACATGTTGTTGACATTAGCAAATGTCAATTGATCCCTCCTTGATTTATGCAAACAATGCCTTGGTATCATAATCATACATTCATAGCACTCACCCTTTACCTGGTGTATAGGAAGATTCAATGGCCAGTTCCAGCGTGTTCCTCATGGAAAACATGAGGGATATCCTGCACCTGGACCCAGCCAAGAACGGTAGGGAACAATACTTCATTCGCACAATTATTACATAAGACACGACCTGACCATATGACCATAGATCAACGAGTTTATCAATTCCTCCATGGGACAAGGCCCTGAGGGTTCGGCCAAACATGGAACCTCTGACATCTCATTTTACACGATCTACTGTTTCGCTTGACAACACATGGTAGTGATCATAATTGGTTCCTCAGAACTAGATCCCTAGGAGAAGTACAAACTCTCCGTGCAAGTCCGATTATTTACTTGTTAGTCTGCCATGTTTGGGACAGGAATCCTGCAACATCTATCATCTCTTTCTCACTCCACCAATGCTCCAACCCCGCGTATGACTTGAACTCCACATCCATTCCCAGCTGCTTCAGGGTGTTCTTCAACTGCAAGCCCCACTCGAACTTCATCTTCACATCCAATTTTCCATGGCCAAGGAAAACCGGTACGCTCAAGGACTCTGAGCCGGAAATCCATTTGTTGTCGGCACACTCTAGACCAATCAGTTCTCGCACATAGCTAGTTGTTGCATTTCTCACAGCTGCGGTTTCACTAGCGCTGGAGAGACCCACAGAGACTTTTAGAAATATCTCCTCGATTTGGCGACGAAAAGGCAGCCATCCACTAAGTCCAACGAAAGCGCCCAGGCGCTTCACCAGCCCCCGATGCTGCAATTCCCCTCCCAGAAGGAGAATCAGACCCATTGCAGAACCTTGGCTAAACCCCATAATAACCACACTCCCAGGTCGTTCATCACATTCAGCTATTTGGCCGTCGAGTAGTTCAGCCTCCTGTTGGATTAACCCGGCAAGATACAAAGAGCTCTCTCGCATCCCCTCTAACATATCCATTTCTCCTTTCGTTCTGTCTCCGAAGTCGCTGAGATCAAACCATGCATTTGTTTCTCTGCCGCCAAACACAGTTGTGCTTCTTGCAGCTCCAGTTGGAAATACAAATTTGCATGTAGGGAAAAATCCTGGAAATGAAATTTTCTCATGGGCGACGCTGGAGGTCGAAATCGGGGGAGAACTGGCTGGTGGTGAGAACAGCGCTGGAAGAAACGACTCGGCGAACTTTGCACCTGTCTGGGATGTCCCGTGAAGCAGAATAAGAGTGTTTTTATGAGCGGCAAGGGGCAGTCTAACATATGGTTGAGGGTGAGTAGCCATAATTACTCTGTCGAACCTGACGCTGGTCTGTTAGCGACGGTATTAAGTGTAACGATTTAAGAGCAACTAGCTGTCCTAGCTAGCTTAGTGTGACGATTTAGAGGCATTTCCATAGTTCGGATAGCTCGGTTTGCTATTCTTATTTAGAATAATATAACTCGAGCTAAGCGAGATTACCTTCTCTAACTTCTTATATATTACTCTTTTATCTCCTTTATCTTTTTTCTACTTTAGTTATAAATTCTAAGAGAATATTAATTACTTTTACTTAATATTATTAATATATAAAACTACTATTATTATATAATAATAGCTTTTTATAAAGTAAGTATTATTTTATTTATAACTTTTTATATATTATTTAAAAAGATAGTAACTATTTAAACCTTTTAAATTTCCTTAAGGTCTCTTATTATAAAAAGAGATCTATATAAAAAAGCTTATATTAATTTTTATTAATAAATATTACTCTCTAAAACTAATAATTTAAAAAAGAAAAGTATTAATTATTTCTTTCTCTCTTTTTATTATAATAACTTAATTAACTTATTATAACTAATAACTTCTTCTTTTTAACTTATCTCTTTTGAAAGAAATAAGACTTATATTATATAGTAGTGGAGTAGGCTTTTATATAGTGAAGGACTTACTTAATTAAGTAGAAGTTTATTAGGGAGTACCTTAGAACGTAAGAAGTAAAAGAGGTAATATTATATTAACTGAAACTTAAAGAGAACTATAGAGCTTAAGGGGCGTATAGCCTTTAAGGACTATAGCTTACCTGAAATAATAAGAGCCTTTAATATTATCTCCTCTCTTATATTAAGCTATTTCAGCTAGCTATATATATATATCAGGGTTTATTACTTATTTATAACGCTTCTATAGAAGAATTATAATTAAAGAAAATAAAAAAGAAAAGGAAAATAAATAACTGTAATTATAAAACTTTTATCTTATCTGTGAATTTATATATACTCTTATTCTATTATATATAGTTATATAAGGCTCTCTCTGTGAAAGTACTATAGAAGCGCTATAAGATAAGTATAGAAGCTATATAGTTTTATTAACGTCTATAAGTGAAGAGTTATAGTCGTTATTATTATTATTATCGTTATTAATATCCTTATTATTATTAGTATCTCCGATTTTAATACTACTATTACTAACCTTCTTATAATATTTATAATTAACTATTTATATTATTATATCGGATTTTTTAGCGTTTAATTATACTTTATAATTAAAGTGAACTCCTTTAACCTTTTTACTCTTATAAACTCCTTTAGGTATATTATAATAAGCCTTTATCTTTATAACTCCGAGGATTTTACTTCTATTATCTTATAAGAACTCGAATATTTAAAGAGCTATATATAATAACTTAAAAGGTATAAATAGTTTCTCTTTTAAAATATTATAATAGATTACTTCTTTATTCTATTATCTAATAGTTTAATCTTTATACTATTTATTAAGATAATTATAAGCTAACTAAATTAATATTATTATATTATACTTCTTATAGATTTTAATATCTTTTATATTATAATTCTAAAGAGCTGCTAAGTAGTAGTTATAAAAGAGCCGTAGCTTTACTAGAGTAATATCCTTCTTAAAGTAAAATATTTCTCTTAAATAAGTAAAGAGTACTTAAGTATTATATATTATTAGTTAAATCTTAAGTCGAATAAGAGCGCTCGTTTAATAGCTTTAAGGTAGTCTAGAGAAACTAAGCTTAACTATACTAATCTTTCTTATTTAAAGTATCTTTTTCTTAATAGCGTTACTATAAGTATTTTATTAGAAATATCTATAAGAGATACTAGTATTAATAATAGCTTAGGCCTTTTAAATAAGCTTTATAGTTTCTCTAGTAAAAGTGTTCTAGTTTTAGCTAAAAATATAAGTAATAAACTTATACTAGGATAGGTTTATATATTCAGATATTAATAAGTATTAGTTCGTAGACCTATACTATCCCTTCAAGCGGTGGAACGCCTTTTAGCGTGGTTTTAGCGCGGTTTTCCTAAAAGACCTTTTATAATTTACTATATAACTTATCACCCTCTGCTTTAAAAGAAAAACTTATATAATAATAGTTATTAGTTTAATATTAAACTATTAGTATATATATTTTTTTATAGATACTTCTTTAGTTATATTTAATATACTCTTTTTTTATTTTTATACTAAAAGGCGTTTATTACGAACGCACTCAGAAGGAGTATCACGTGTATCTTAGCCCTGAGGCTTAGTAGCCTTACTACACAGAGAAGCTAAGAACTAGAAATAGAATCACGGGACTATATATCACGTAATAGTATAGAGCTTTTAGAACTATAGGATCCAAGGTTCTTAGAGCCTTAGATCGTAAGATCTATAGGGATCCTTAGAGAATAAAAGTTCTATATAAGACTAATATATCTGCTATTAGATAAGAGCTTCATACTTAACTTTAAATAGTATTCTAATACTTAGTAACTATTTTCTTATCTATATAATACACTTACCTCTCGATTATTAGAGATTAACTATAGCTTTCTATATTTATAGTAAGTAAATACCGGACTATTATACTTTAAGTACCTTCTTATTAGAGGTACTAACTTATAAAAATAATATATCCTCTGTTAAAGGATTATTAAATAACTACTTAGCTCCTACTAAGGTCTTTAACTTAAAGAATATACTTAAGATCACTGCCTTAGATCTTTATAATAGAGACTAATCTAAGCTTAGAGTATACCTCACGTAAGTTAAGCTCTATATAGGCTTTAATAGTTACTAGTTCGCTATAGAGACTAATAAAGTTCTTTAGGCTTTATCTTTTCTCTAGGGATCTACTTTTAACTAAATCGAGACTTTTCTCTTAAACTATATTTAGAACTAAACTAAGGATAAGAGAGTCTCTATAGTAATAACTAAGGAATCCTAGAAGATCTTTATAACTTTCGAAAGTTTCAAGTATAAGATTAACTATATCTTTAGCGATATTAATTAGAACTATACTACTAAATAGAATATCTAGAACCTAAAGTAGGTTAGGTTAGTAACTATATATACTACTACTTTCTAGTAATTCGCGAATCAGACTAGCTAGAATAATAACACCCTTTAGGTATAGTACTATAAAGGGTTAAAAGATAAAGTAAAAAATAAGATAGTAAGATTAGACGCGCCTACTAACTTATAAGAACTTATTAAAATAGCTATTAAGATTAATAACTAAAACTATAAGAGGGCACTTAAGAAGAAAAGCTAATACTACTCCGGAATATATATATACTAAGAAAGAGAAAGTAATAATAAGAAACTATTCTACCCTTAGGAAATAGAACTTAATACGATATTCCAGGAGTTAAGTTATTAAGGAAAGCTATATAGTAGCAGGCTATCTAAGAAAGTTATAAGCGAGTAATAAGAGAAGAAGCTATACTTTAAGTATAGCCTCCCTAGTTATATAGCTAGCTCTTATTAATAAAAGAAGTCGTAGATAGATAAGAAATATACTAATATAATAGGATGTAGCTCTTATAATAAACTAATACAATAACTCGCCGCGATATATTAATATATAACTATAAATAAGCTTAAGGAGAATTATATTTATACCTAGTTAAGTGATTTTAATAATAGTAAGTAAGATTCCGCGAGCGTTATAGATTAGCTTAAGTAAACTATTATTAGTATACCCCCTAAGGATTATATATATTAAGATAATAATAGCTCTAAGCTAGATAATAATATAGAACTAATACTAAGTAATAGCGAGGAGAAGGCTTAGGAACCTAAGTAGACTTTAGAACTAAGGCTACCTTAACTTAAACTCTTAGGACTAAGAGTAAGTAAAACTTAGGAAATTACTTAAAGAGAAGAGAGCTTATATTAAGTTAGCTATAACACTCGCTACTAGACTAATATAGCTACCGGGGTTACTTATTAAGAACTAAGCCTTATTAGCTTAGGGGGTCTACTATAAGAGGTAAGGTATAAAGTAGTCTACCGGGACTATAAGCGTATCAGATAGAGAATAGCTAGTAGCTAGGAAAGACCGACGACCTTTATATAGCACTTACTACTCTAGAATACTACTATCCTTAATATTAGCGCGCTACTAGAGGTAAGCGAGGAATAGGAAATCATAGCTAAGAACTGATATAATAGGATATAGGTTCACGTTAATAATAATAGCTAGTACTACTATAAGATATATAACCTAGTAATATATACTAAACTCGGAATAAGGCTTATATATAAGGTTAGCCTAAGCTATAGTAATTGAAAGGTATAGGAAAGTATCCTTAACTATAGTATATATTAGGAATATTTCTATATATAATAACTTACTGCTATTAGAGATAAATATCTTATATTAAAAGTTAAAATCAAGGGAATTAAGCTTTAGGTAATAGTAGACTTTAGAGTATAAGGGAACTTTATATCTCCTACTATTATACTTGAGTACTACTTATTAACTGAAGTAAAAGATAAGGGATACTATCTAGTACTAGCGGATAGTAAGGTTACCTCTAATAGATTAATCAAGGTCTAGACTACTTTAGTTTATATAAGTATCGCCGGATACTCTGAAATAATTTAATTCGATATTATTAGGATTAGAAAGTATAATATTATCTTAGGATTATTATAAATAGAAAAGTATAACTCTATTATTAATTAGTAGATAGGAAAGCTTAAGTTTAGTTATTACTAAGACTACTATTATCTACTAGGAATAGAAGTAGTAAGTATTCAAGAGGTTAGCGCTACCTTTAAGGAAGAGCTCGGATACTAAGATAAGGGTCTATTAATAAAGGATATACTATTAGTATATAAGAAGTTTATAGTACTATTTAAGGAGGAATAAGGTATTAAGGCCTTACTGAAACACTAGGATTACGATTATCGGATTAAGTTAGAACCAGGTACTAAGCTGATTGTTATGAACCCCTTAGCGCTACGGTTAGTACCTAGATACTGATAGTACTATTAGTAGTACTATAGGGGTATTAGTACTAACGAAGGAGCGGTGCTATTAATAGGGTAGTACTAACTAGGGAATAATATAGGATAGCAAATGGTACTACTATATACT